GGAGACGAACCGCATGCTGCAGTCTGGAGTCGCCCAAAGAAGGACGTTTGACGACGACTTCAACGACGACGAGGATGCCATGCGCGTCCATATCCTTGTCCACGATCTGAAGCCCCCGTTCCTGGACGGCAAGACCGTCTTCACAAAGCAAATCGACCCTGTTCCAGCAGTTCGCGATCCACAGAGCGACATGGCTGTCTTCAGTAGGCGCGGCAGTCGTGTTGTCAAGGAGAAACGACAGCAGAAAGAGCGTGCCAAACAGACCCAGGAGGCTACAAGTGCCAAGGGAACCACACTAGGAAACATAATGGGCGTCAAGGAGGAAGACACGGATAGTGCCGCCCCAGGGCCCGAAGACGAGGAGAAACAGGGCGGTAGCAAGTTTGCTCAACATCTTAGCAAGCAAGAGGGTGCGAGCGCTTTCAGTAAGAGCAAAACACTACGGGAGCAGAGACAATACCTTCCCGCCTTTGCAGTCCGCGAAGATCTCCTGCGCGTCATTCGAGACAACCAAGTCGTCATCGTCGTCGGTCAGACGGGCTCGGGAAAGACGACTCAACTGACCCAGTTCCTGTTTGAGGATGGCTACGCAAAGCAAGGACTTATCGGGTGTACACAACCTCGTCGCGTTGCAGCTATGAGTGTTGCAAAGCGCGTCAGCGAAGAGATGGAGGTCAAGTTGGGTGGTCAGGTCGGATATGCCATTCGTTTCGAGGACTGCACCAGCAAGGAGACTAAGATCAAATACATGACGGATGGTGTGTTGCTCCGAGAGTCGCTGGTAGAACCAGACCTGGACAAATACTCCTGTATCATTATGGACGAGGCGCACGAGAGAGCTTTGAACACCGATGTGTTGATGGGTCTGCTCAAGAAGGTGCTGGCGCGGAGAAGAGACCTGAAGTTGATCGTCACATCAGCTACTATGAACTCAGAACGCTTCTCGCGCTTCTACGGAGGAGCTCCCGAATTTATAATTCCAGGGCGAACATTCCCCGTTGACATTCAATATTCGCGATCGCCATGCGACGACTATGTCGACGCTGCGGTCAAACAGGTTCTTGCCATACATGTCTCCCAGGGACCTGGCGACATCCTCGTTTTCATGACGGGCCAGGAAGACATTGAAATCACATGTGAGCTTGTAGCTGAAAGGCTCAAGCTTCTCAACGATCCGCCAAAACTTAGCATTCTCCCCATCTACAGCCAGATGCCTGCTGATCTGCAAGCAAAGATCTTCGACAGAGCAGCACCAGGTGTACGCAAGGTCATTGTGGCTACCAACATTGCAGAGACTAGTTTGACAGTGGATGGCATCATGTACGTAGTAGACGCCGGATTTTCCAAGCTCAAAGTCTACAATCCAAAGATGGGCATGGACACACTCCAGATTACCCCCATTTCGCAGGCCAACGCCTCTCAGCGTGCTGGACGCGCTGGACGTACCGGGCCAGGAAAGTGCTTCCATCTATATACCGAGCGAGCCTTCCGAGACGAATTCTACATTCAAACCATCCCAGAAATCCAACGAACAAACCTCGCCAACACCGTCCTGCTTCTCAAATCACTTGGCGTCCGCGACCTACTAGACTTCGACTTCATGGACCCGCCACCCCAAGACACCATAACAACCTCGCTATTCGATCTATGGGCTCTCGGTGCCTTGGACAACATCGGCAATCTCACCGACCTCGGCCGCACCATGACAGCCTTCCCCATGGATCCGTCTCTCGCCAAACTCATCATCACAGCCACGGAATACGAATGCAGCGAAGAAATGCTCACGATCGTTGCCATGCTCTCCGTCCCTTCGGTGTTCTACCGTCCCAAAGAACGTCAGGAAGAATCAGACGCTGCGCGCGAGAAGTTTTTTGTCCCAGAGTCCGATCACCTCACCCTGCTTCACGTCTACACACAGTGGAAAGTCAACGGCTACTCCGATGGCTGGTGTGTCCGCCATTTCTTGCATCCGAAAGCGCTACGTCGTGCCAAGGAAATCCGCGATCAGATCTACGACATCATGTCCAAGCAGAAGATGAAGCTCGTCTCCTGCGGTACCGACTGGGACGTTATTCGTAAATGCATTTGCTCGGGCTACTACCACCAAGCTGCCAAGGTGAAGGGTATAGGCGAGTACATTAACCTTCGTACCAGTGTTACTATTCAGCTTCATCCTACTTCTGCTCTGTATGGCTTGGGTTACTTGCCTGATTACGTCGTGTATCATGAGTTGATTCTCACGAGCAAAGAGTACATGTCGTGTGTAACTTCTGTTGATCCGCATTGGCTGGCAGACATGGGTGCTGTCTTTTATAGTATCAAGGAAAAAGGCTACTCTGCCAGGGACAAACGTATCATGGAGACCGAGTTTAACAGGAAAGCTGAGTTGGAGGCGCAGATGGCAGTCGATAAGGCGAATGAGGATCGGAGGATTGCAGAGGAGGAAAACGGACCTATAGTCAAGAAGGCAGGGGTGGTAAAGAAGAAGGATGTGGACGAGGATGCTGTGGTCAAGAAACCGGTCATTGGAAAATCAAAGTTCAGACGCAGGTGAAGGGAATCAATCGCCTGTGTAGTTTATATAGACAGCCTCAAGAAGTCCTGAAGAAGCCTATATATGCTTCCAAGAAAACTCTCACTCTTGAAAGGTTATGAACGTGAGGCTGGTAGGCATTCAAGATGATGTAGATCACCCAGAAGACCCGATATATAAGGCTGATAAAGATTACTACACTTTGCAGGGTACCAGTGGAGAGTTGTATAACGTCAAGGTCGTCGAACATGGTCTTAAACATTAGACTAGTATCTGGTATGTGCTCATGCTACGTAAAAGGAAACAAAAGAACTCAATATGCAACGCCTAAGGGTATGCGTAGGAAAACCTGATAACAAGAAACAAAGATCAACTTTGGAAAAGAAAGATTTTCCGCAATTGCATCTCTACTATACGGTGGTGCATCCACTATGTTGTGAAGCATAATCTCCGCTGTAGATAGATACTCCTACTGCTCCTTCTCGGGTTCAGTCTCGCTCTTGACCTTGTGCGCAGCCTTGACGAGCTGCTTGAGACGCTTCTCCATGACGGTGCGTCCATCGAGTGTGTTCCAAACCTGGTGAGGCGCCTTGTTGACAACATCCCAGCTGACTAGGTTGTCTGTCAGAGTAGTGAGGTCCTTTTGCTTTCGCTCCCATTCGCTGTCCCTCCTGACTTCGATGCCACTAGACACGACGACAAGTGGAGTGTTGGCGCTCTGGATATTCCTAGCAGAGGAGACCTCGTTCTTGGAAAGGCTGTCTGCGACGAGGTTCTCTTGCAGCTGCGCCTTGATGTATTTGCCTGACTGGTATGCGTTGCGACCGTATACACGGTCCTCACGTGTGCGACCCTTGAAGAGTGCGCCTGCAAGACGAACAGTACCAAGCGGCGAAATGATACCCCAGGCCCAAAGGATGAAACCACGTCCTGCGCCGCCGTAACGGTGAAGAAGGTCCTCGTGAAGGGGGTCGACCATCATGATACCAACAACCTGCTTCATGTGGCGCGAACTGAAGATGCGGGAAACGATGCTGCCAGTACCAGCGGAAACGAGAATCCAAGGTCCCTCTTCTCCAGACTTGGCAAGAGCTTCGGAGAAAGCGTCCGCGGACATGCCGGCTGAGTGTGGTGAGGGTGCATTGTCGGAGAAGGCGTAGCCGGGACGATCCCAGTAGCAGTAGCGGGAGATGGTACCGTTCTTGTAAGCTGCGTAAGCCCAGTGCTCGAAGTCATACTCCAGTGGCGTCTCGCCGGCCTCGAGGAGAATAGTAGGGTCCTTGGATCCGCTGGTTTCAGACGCGTTTCCGACACAGGCGAGATGCACGGCGTACTTGTCGCCGTCTACAAGGATTCGGTCGCCATACATCTTGAGTGTTGCGTCGCGAGCACGCATGCCGAGAGTTCCGGTCATTAAGATGACAATGACAATGAAGATGACGGTGAGGATTGTAGCGACAGTGACAGCGAGCCATTCCTTTAGTGTGCGGCGTGTCTCAGCGCGACCGGTAAGACGTTCCTCCTCTTCATGCTTGCCGTATGCGACGACACGGTCAGTCAAAATGCACCAGACAGCCATGACGAAAGCCCAGACGACACTTGCAATACCAACCCAACCTTCCTCGAGCCTGATGCGTGGTACGGCTAGGATAAGGATCATGTCGATAGCCAAAAGTCCGGCGATGATGGCTGTGGTGATGCGCAGACCTCTGGCAGGCGTAACGAAGAAGATGGTTGCGACGAGGAGATTGCCGAGGGTTAGACATGTGTAGGCAAAGTCGAAGAAACCGGATCCGCGAGTGTGTAGGCCAGGAGGGGAGACGAAGATGGATACCAGCAATAGTACCCACCACAAGAAGGTGATGACGAGGAAGAGGATGGTCAGGTAGCGCATAGCGCGAACCGTCCAGAGGTTGTATGGCGATACCTGGCATGGTTAGATAAACACTTTGTATGAAGACTGAAGAACATACTGCTGGATCATCTGGGTCAAGGTAGCCGTCTGAATTGGGCGGTGGCCTAGGACGGTCGAGAAGCCGGGTCCTCTCGGTTGGCTCTTCGCTTCTCCTCGATGGTTGATGGCTTCTCCTGGATGACCTCGACGCTCCATCGTCATTGGGAATTGGATGTGGTTCTTCAGCCCTCAGGCCGTCCTGGTCTCCATTGTCCTTGCCGCTCCACATGCTGGGCATTCCAAGCTATTGCTGAACTAAAAACAGTTGCAGTATAACACTTCAGGCGGACAATACCAGTTGTCAAGGATGCAAAAGACTCTGCAACAGGTCCCGGAAAGTTTTGATAAAATGAGAGCTCTTCGAAGCTCGTGAAGCATTCATAATGCGACTGGGGGCGTGGAGGTTTTACTCGCGGCTGGGACGCTAAGACAAAGATCGACCGACGTCATTATCACATCCATCCGGGTTCGCGACTAGCGGCACATCAAAAGCCTAGATCGTCCCGCGGAAACCTCCAAGCGATCCGTGAATTCGCCAACCAGCTCGACGGTACGCCCAGCCTTGCGCCGTATCTCACTGTCATCTAGACGCCGCTGCGTCATTGGATTGCGAAACGGGGTCCGCGATGCATCGATTCTTCCTTCGAACGGCTGCGTGTTAGGACATTTGGCGTTGATCCCTGCCATCTACCAGATAGAACCCCACCCGTGTCAAATCCCCTCACGCCTCCAGGCCACGACATATTGGAAAGCTGAAGACACGCTAGCTGTCCAATCACCGATGTGCGGATCTCCACGCTTCACCAAACCCTGATTTCCGACACAAACAGCCTCGTCCAAGCCACACACCATGTCCAGCTTGGCTAGAGAGTTCGCGAAGACCAAACTTTCTTCCCTGCCACCGCCAGAGCCCTTGCAGGAGGAGCCTCCCGAGTACGAAGATGACTCGTCCTCGGCATCGTCAATGTCTAGCACCGGTACTGTCAGACCGTCAAATACACTAAGGCCCGCCCCCGCAATACATTGGTCCGACTACTATGCCCAAGAGTTCTATCTTGAACAGGACAGGGATGGGTCAGGACATGCCAAGTTTCATGTCTACCTCACACCACCAGCGACAGCCAAAGCACCCTTGGTAGTACTCCATCATGGCGCAGGAAGCTCGGCAATGACCTTTGCGCTGGCGGCCAAGGAGATTCGCAGGGCTATGCCAGAAATCGGGATACTGGCTGTCGAAGCACGCGACCACGGAAGTGTAGTATGGAACGCTAGTGGGGAGGTGGACAACGACCTCAGCATTGGGCAGCTTAGTGAAGACCTAGTGGACATGCTGTCGCTCACCCAGAGCAAGATGAGCTGGAAAGAACTCCCTCAGGTCGTCCTGATAGGGCACAGTCTGGGCGGTGCTGTTGTTACTGATGCCGCGAACAAGGGCCTACTGGGAAGTAAGTTACTAGGCTTTGGAGTGCTTGATGTCGTCGAAGGATCAGCCATGGAAACGCTGGGACACATGCACACGTACCTTGCGAGCAGGCCCAAGTCGTTTCCTTCGCTTCCTGCTGCTATCGAGTGGCATATACGATCACGGACGATCCGCAACCCACAGTCGGCAAGAGCAAGCGTACCGAGCCTGCTGTTACAAAACTCAGATGGGCGCTGGGCTTGGCGGACAGAGCTTGCGAGCACAGAACCATACTGGGAGAATTGGTTCACTGGCATGAGCAGCAAGTTCCTCAGTGGAAAAGGAGCCAAGCTTTTGCTGCTCGCTGGAACCGACAGGTTGGACAAGGAACTGATGATTGGACAGATGCAGGGTATGTTCTACGGACTTGTTGCTTTTGTGTGTGGTATCTAATATAATGCAGGCAAATTCCAACTCCAAGTTTTTCCCGCCGCTGGTCATTTCCTCCACGAAGACCTCCCTGAAAAGACGGCTGAAGTCGTGGTCGAGTTTGTGAAGCGCAATGACCGCAGTGCGCTTATCCTTCCGCCCAAAGTCTCTGATCTCCTTGCACAGGGCAAAAGAGTATAAGCTCCCTAGGCACATGTTCTTCCTCACCGCGCGCACCCTAATTATCTTGTAATATAAATGGCATACAACTGGGGTAGGTTGCGCCCTCTCAACTTTTGCTTTCAGATCTGGTCTGACGGTGTCCAGTGGTTCGGGTATCGCATTTTGATCCAGACCTCAACCTAAGCCTTTTGCTAGCTATCATGGCGAAGTTGGCTCTGAAGGCTCTCCTCCATCCGGCGCATCCCCGCCTCCGTCAGCCTTGGACTTGTGCTTCCTTCTCCTCTTGCGAGGCGCAGAATCTTCACGTTCGCCTCTCTTCTTGTCACCGTCGGTCTCTGATGTGGATGGTCGCGTCTTCTTGGCAGCACTTGGCTGGGCCGTCTTCTCCTTCTTCGGCTTCTTGACACTCAGCGGATTAGGTCCCTTGGGCCCCTTGCGCTTCTTCGCCTTGGGCCTCGCGTCTCCAGTAGCTTGATCTTCAATAGATTGATCGCCTTGTCCAGCTTGTCCCTCGTCTTCTCTCTTCCTCTTGGGCGCCTCGTCTGGCTTCCGCTGGCCTTTGAGCCCCAGTTTGAACTTTGACTTTTCCTCTCGCTCGCGATGTTGCTCCGTCGCCTCAGCCATAGACTCCATGAGAACTATAGACTTGGACAGGTATATGATTGGCACGCCGGCGATTTGTCGCATTTTTGCGCGCGTGTCCGGGTCGTTGGCCGCAACCACATATCGATGCTTGTTGGTCGCATTGTCCTTGGGGTCCACTACAGAGCTCAGACATTCCAGTGTGCTCAGCGGCTTCTCCAAGTCTTGGTGGTTGCACCGCCGGCGCTCGTACTCTTTGGCTTGTAATATGAGGGTCTCGTTCTTCGGTTCTGCGTTGTAGAGGTGTCGCATGTCGCAAGTCGTGATCATGGGCTTTACCTGCGCGCCAAGCAGCTTTTGCAGTCGCGCGAGCAGGTCGATTTTGCACGAGTAGGCATCTTCGAGGATCTGTGAATCAAGCAGGACTTGATAGGGTTCGCGGAAGCCGAAGTTGAGTTCGTATTGATGGAGCTGCTTCTTGTACGCCTATCTTAAGATGAGTAAATTGTTCAGGTGGCTGTGACAGACTGAAGTTGGTTACCTTGGCGCGCTTTAACTTCATTGCGACTTTGTGTGTTGGAGCAGTTGATTGTTCGCGGGGAAAAAAGTTGGATGCGGCCAAAAGTTCGAGCCAAGGGCGGAATCTAGCGCACCAGCCACGCGTGCCACGCTACCGTGGTATCCGACATCTGCGGCTTGTACCGTTGCTCTCCGCTTTAGTAAATCCGCCTCTGGGCATTGCACGCCTGCTTGTATATTCTCGGACACATAGTTGAATTCTTTCCTACGGCGGCTCCCTGCGCGTTTTCCTCTTGATACGACTGCGAACCTGTCTCTCCATGCGTTTCTCACGGTAGTCCCCACCAGTATGAGCGAGAACCCCGCCGAGGCCCCCAAGAATGAGGGAAATAATGCCGAGACCGCGGAGGTGAAGAAGGAACATAATGAAGCGATTGAATACGATGATTTTGGCTTGCCCATCAGGAAGCGGAGGCCGCGTACGCCCGTCCAAGACAGTTCGGATTCCGAGGGGGAGCAGTTTGAGGATGCCGTAGCTTCCACGCCCCCGAGCCCGGACAAGGTCGCGATTGCGGACCAGGAAAAGGAACAGGTCAAGGCGGACGATACACAAACAAAGCTTCCAGAGACCGTTCCTGAGGGCGCTGAAACGGAAAGCGATGCGCTGCCACATGTCAATGGGCAGGTAAAGGAGCCCGTGGAGAAAGCCGACCCAAACCTACCCGAGGACAAGCCAGTAGAGACGAAGCAAGATACACCAGAGACTACAAAGCCTTCCGAAGCCACCGAAACACCCACAAGCACGAATACAGCACCTTCACACCGCCTCCAAACAAGCGTCGCGAGCGTCCCGACTATATCCGAGTATTCACATCAGCATGCAGTCATACAATCGCAGAGGGAAGTCAAGGACGAGAAGGAAGAAGAGGACGACGGTGAATGGCAGACGATGCCGGCATACGCGCGATACGACATGTACGACGACGACAACAGGCTCATTGCGAGGGAAAACACGGAAGAACTGGAAGACATGCACGGCTATGGCAACGTCGGAGGTGCTGCCAAAGGATACACCAGAGTAATCATGGACGACGATGCCGACTCGCAGACGAGCATGGACGACAACACCGCCTATCTGTTCAAGGAGAGAAGTACCGCACTAGCTGATGAGGATGAGGAGGGTCGGGATCCGCTCTCGCAAATGCAGGCGACAAAGAACCTCCTTACTGAAGGACAGCGTGTCGCATATGTTGGACTGGTACGCTTGGCCATGGTGGAAATGGAACGCAAGTTTTCAAATTTCCAGACAAATAACAAGAAAATGAAAAAGCTGCTTGAGCTACAGTCAGGCACAACAAAGATGTGGGCACAGAAGATCATGGTCAAAATCTATGGCCACATGGATATCAATGCTTCTGAGCAAATCATGATCGAGCAGTTGTCTGAACATGGCGTTGTTCCAGCAGATCTTACGCCAGCATTGATGCAGAATGCTCGAGTGAAGAACCCGGCAGCGGAGGACGCAGAGACGGTAAATGAATCTGACTCTGCCAGACCGTCTGTATCATCGCCGCGCCCTGAATCGCCCGTAAAGGAGCTACAATCGAAGAGAGCATCGGCAACGGATTCGCAAGACGACCTACAAACACCACCCCCGCCGCCATATCAAGAACATCAAGATGACGATTTTGATTATCCAGAAGTTAGATCACCATCCCAACTCCCGACCAGCAAAAATCTAGACATTGATCTGCGATGGACCGTCTTGTGCGACCTGTTTTTGGTGCTCATCGCTGACTCTGTTTACGACTCACGTTCAAGAGAGTTGTTTGAGCAGGTCGGAAAGTATCTCAGTGTAGACTGGCTGGAAAGCTGCCGCTTCGAGAAGCGTGTTACAGATGCTTTGGAGATGCAAGAACAAGCAGATAAGGAGAACTGGAATGAAGATGAGCACATGGTCAACCGAGCTAAGCGGGCGCGCAATAAGCGATTGGCATTCATGGGTCTTGCGACTGTTGGTGGTGGGCTCGTCATCGGTTTATCCGCCGGCCTGTTGGCTCCGGTCATTGGTGCTGGTCTCGCTGCGGGTTTCACGACTATCGGAGTAGCAGGCACGAGTAGTTTTCTGGCAGGTGCCGGAGGTGCCGCTATCATTACATCTACTGGTGTAGTTACAGGCAGTACTGTTGGTGTGCGCGCCATGAACAGACGAACAGGTGCTGTCAAGACATTCGAGTATCGACCGCTTCACAACAACAAGAGGACTCATCTCATCATTACGTTGGCGGGCTGGATGAACGGCAAGGTGGATGACGTCCGCTTACCGTACAGTACTGTGGACCCCATCATGGGAGACATATATTCCGTGCTGTGGGAGCCAGAGATGCTCAGGAGCATGGGTGACACAATCAACATTCTTGCCACCGAAGTGAGTTTATACATGCAATTCAGAAGGTATTCATTGACCATGCTAGGCTCTCACACAAGGTCTCCAACAAGTGCTAGGAAGTACCATCCTCACTGCCCTCATGGCCGCCATGACACTCCCCCTGGCTTTGACTAAACTCTCTTATCTGATCGATAATCCGTGGATCGTTTCGCAGGCCAGAGCAGATATGGCTGGATTGATTCTTGCAGATTCCCTCATCGATCGCAATCTAGGCACAAGACCTGTCACTCTCGTCGGTTTCTCGCTGGGATCGAGAGTCATTTTCTCATGTCTAAAGGAACTCGCGAACCGAGGAGCATTCGGAATTGTACAGAACGTCTACATGTTTGGTACACCAGCCGTAGCCAAGCATGATGAGTACGTTAGGGCAAGATCTGTTGTACCTGGAAGGTTTGTCAATGGGTATGCCACCAACGACTGGATCTTGGGTATGTCATGTACACTGCTACCACTTTCTACTACTAATATTCTGCATAGGCTACCTTTTCCGCGCAACCAGTGGCGGAGTAATGCGCGTAGCTGGTCTTGCGCCCGTTCAGATACCAACCATTGAAAACGTCAACGTTACCGAATTGGTCCCTGGCCACATGGCCTACCGTGCTGCCATGCCCAAGTTACTCCGCGAAGTCGGGTGGCTAGTTGAGTCCGATGAGTTCGCCGAAATCGAAGACCCAGATCCTGAGAATCACGAAGTGCGGCAGCGCGAACTTATCAACGAAATCGAAGAAGCGCGAAGAGAACTGGAAAAGAAGGCGCAAGAGAAGGAGAAGAGAGGTAGTAAACTGAGCTGGTGGTCGAAGAAGAAGAAGGACAAGAAGGACTGGGAAGTCTATGATGAAAATTCAAATGCCGTTCCACCAGGCCATCGGAAACTAGACCAAGATCAAGACCCGGCGAAACTTGCAGAAAATCAGGTCATGTTCGACATCGATGCCATAAGAAAGGAGGTAGCAACTCTGGCCGCAGAAAGTAAAGAATATAACGCCGAAGCCGAGTTTGAGATCAAGGAAATCAAGAGTACACTCCCGCCCATGAAGATCGACATCGCAACCGTTTCGCCATCGCAGACAACAAGTCCATACTCTACGCTTAGGGAAACGAAGAGTTACAACGACAGTCTAGGCGTTTCAGCCACAGATCCCAAAAAGACGACATCTTCTTCAAACGGCCGATACGAAGAATACGACGAGTTCGACGATCCCGGCGCGGGTCAGATGGAAATGACATTCGACACTTCTTTCCGCGATCCACCAGCGTCCGCCTCGACCCCCAATAATAAATCCCCGTTACCCCTATCACCTCTACCTGCTCATCCGAGTCGCTCCGGTACCTCTTCGCCTTGGGACTCCGCAACGCCCAGTAAAAACGGGTCGTCTGGCGCTCCTTGGAACCCAGATGCTCAGCCTTCTTGGGATGATCCTACGCCTGCTGAACGCCCGCCTTTGCGCTCTGCTAAAACTGAATCTTACGCGGGTAACGCGGGTGGTGCGTCAGGAGATCTAGGTCATAATGCTTGGGCTGATGAGTTTGACGATGATTTTGGGCAAGAGAAGGAAGTCAAGATGAGTTTTATGTGATGGAATGGAGGCTTCTTTCCTTCACCAGTGATGCGGGCATGTTGTGGCGTATAGGTTCGTACACCTTGTTGTATTGGGGGCTGTCTTTGCTTGACTCGTTCGCTTTTCCATTGCGCTTTGTTGCATATTCCAGCGCGCATTGTGGAGTTTGGTTGTTATCGGACTTCAATGGCGTTTTTTGGGACGTTCGCTAGGTTTGGGGAGAAATGTCTTTAGCGTAGGCATTTTGATTGGGTATGTGGTTGGGTATTTGGATATCACTCATTGTCCGCGCAGGTTGAGGATAGGAGAGAATCATTAAGTACAATATCCATACGTTCAAAACAACTTACCGACTTCAAAGGAAATTCAAGTCAAGAGATTGGTCCACGGTCGTTCAGGGGTAAGTATCATTATTCGTAATATGCTAGCCACTACTCGTATTATCGTACACGACTCCGACTATACAGTCGAGTCCATATGCTGCGCAAAATAAAATATACCACTGACGTGAGTCAGATGTGCGCTAACCTGAACCTAGGAACAAAAAGAAAACAGAGACGCTCAACACGCCTCAGGTTGCGATGCGTATTTGTACAATTTTGGAGAATTACTCAAACGGGATGGGGTATCATGCCGTTGCGTGTGCGTGTGGAACATCGGAGCATCGCTTCGAACGGGGAAAGAGGGGGATCCCCTAGACCTCAACCTCTTGCTTGCGACGACGAATGCTGCCAATGCGCTTCCTGATTGCGCCACCAACACTCCTGCCAGTAGTGTTGCTGCGGCCGACGCCGGATGCTTCCGGATCGGTAGCGACGGATGGGACGATACCGGGTGCTTCGGCATGACCCACGCTACGTGTGCGATGGCTACGGGAGGTCATCTCAGTACCAGTGTCGCCGAGACGCTTGTGGTCCTTCAGGGCCTTTTCGATGGTGAAAGAAGGCTCGCCTTTGCCTTTGAGATCGTCTGGGTGGTATTCCTATCTTTTGTTAGCAAGGCTTTGGGCAAAGAAAACCAGTAAGAGTACGTACGACACCAGGCCAACGACGGTAGTCGCCTCCAGGCTCTCGCTGCAGGTCGGCTCCCTCTTCATAATCGAGAACCCTTCCGAAACGATCAGCCATGCCAGGTGGTACTATAGCAACACCCTCAAGAGGACGATGCCTTTGTACAGAATCGATAATGTTCTCTCGTGGGGTAGCCCTCAGGGCCTCCTCGTTCGAGTTCTTAACCGCCGCGAGAGGGCTGTACTTGGTATCCCTGTTCCGAGCGATACTGGCGGCATCGTAGGGGCCCTCATGGTGGTACCGACCAAAGCTTGCTTTGTCAAGACGATCGATGACGTCGGCGCCTTGAAAGTTCTTTTTCCTAAGATGGGGAGCACGGTGAGCAACTTTCTCATCATGACGCAGTTGGTCAAGTGGCCTGTGTGACTTGTCTCCAGGATAACGCTCTTTCAATGAACCTGCACGGGCGCGAGTAGGTAGGCTCTTTTGCATGGCGGATGGCGCATGGTCGCTGGATCGTCGGGGTCGGCGTTCATTCATGGGTCCAAAAATTTCCGCGCGGTGGTTCTCAGAGAAATGGGCGCGTCTAGGGCTGGCAGAGTTGGGAGGGGATGGGTAGTCATACCTCCTACTCTGTGGTGTACTCTGCCCAACCTGCGACACTGATGCCGAAGCACCCTTTGACTCGGACGAGGCCCTGGAATGGCGGCGGAAAGGATTGGTCTCAACTGAACTGCCGGTGTTTTGAACACTAACGGATGGGTGGCCCTTGGATTCTCCAGCGGATCCGGGTGGTGTGATGGGCGCTGCAGGCGCAAATGTCGAACGGAAGTGGCTGTTCAATCCAGTCTCGTCGCTTGGGTCTGGTTCGATCAAAGGATCGATCAGCGCATGTTTGGCCTGTCAGGTCAGCTTTTGGATTCAGGAACAGATGGTTGCGCCGAACTGAAGTCAGACGGGTTGGGTGAGGCGTGCCGGCGCATGTGCGAGGCACAGTATATGGATCGCCATGCAACCGGATAAGTGAAAGACGAACTTACCGCCTCCATGATGCTTAGGTTCTGTTGTTAATGTTTTGGCAATGCGAGACTGTATGAAAGTTGGAGTGATTGCACAGTGGAAGTTTGATGATCAGACGAGTGTCAGGTGCTATAGATGGATACGAAGAGTGAACAGGTGACGGGAGGGAGAGCGAACTACATAAAGGCCTGACTTGGCAGGTACCGTGGACGCGTACATGTCATCGGTTCGCAGTCGCGGCCCTGCGTCAGATTTCTTCTTGTCCGCTCTTGTTGAAAAGAGCGGCCCAATCGCAGCCATACGTCATGCGGATGCGCTAGGCTGGGAGTGGGGCGGCCGCTTGGTGCTCTCCACGAGTGACGACAGCTGCGATGATCCCTCACCAACGCGATCCAGCCCACCATGTCCCTGGTGGATTATCCAGATTCCGCCTCGGATGATGATGATAAGAGCCTTGATGTAGACGCCCAGGCGGCACAAGCTGCCGCCAAATCTACGTCGAAGCGCAAGCACAGCGAGTCCAGCAACGCTCTGCCACCCCTTCCGTCAGCCTTTCACGACCTTTACGCGACAAATGCGCGTGTCAGCACTAGCGACAACCCAAGCCTACACGGCGGACGCAAGCGGGCTGTACCTCATGTCGAGGGCAAATGGCCTAGTCATGTTTACTTAGAGTGTAAGGATACCCGGACCAATTCACCATCAACGTGGATAATATAGACTAACGCGTTCGAGGGATACCTACACAGCCTGAATCCGATGCTCTTCACAGCCTGCTACAGCATGTGAGAGAATCGATTGCTCTCCAGAATGCAAAGCGAACAAAGAAGCTACCCGTACCAGAGATCATACCGTCTCTTCAGTCAGAGTTGGGTGCATCGCTACCTCTTCATGTGTCCTTGTCGCGAACCCTGCAGATCAACACTGATGACAGGGAACCATTTCTCAAAACAATGAGCGTTGCTGTGCGGCGATGCGCTGTGCGGGCTTTCAACTTTGAGTTTCAGAGTTTGAAGTGGGTACCCAATTTTGAGCGCAATCGATGGTTTCTGGTCCTTGGCATCAAGCAGTCGAAACTGAATGAACTTAACCGCCTACTGCAGGCATGTAACGACGCGACCCAGTATAGTGGCCATCCAGGTCTGTATACAGGCGGAGTGGGAGACGGTCCGATGGAAAGCCACGACTCTAACGACGGTCCGAAGCGGAGGAAGGTCGACAAGAACGAGGTCGACAAGAATGAGCCTCACAGCCATGATTATTCGCAATATTTCCACGTCAGCATAGCTTGGAACTTGGCTGAGCCCGATACCGAGTGGACGACTCTGGTTCAGAATATCGACACCAGTAAATTCATCCAGGCGCCAGAAGCTGCTTTTGATGCCGTCAAAGTAAGGGTTGGAAACACGGTCCATAACATTGCCCTGGCTAACAGGAGACCCGGTTTTGGTAAAGGCGGAGGAGGGCTGGGTTTGGGATGATCATCGCATTGCGATGACGTGCCGGGTTCTGGATTCGCAAGCTGCCAGGGTCTTATCGCACGTTGGGTGTCAAAAATTGTGGTCCCAACAGCACGTTCCAATAACACGACGTAACACACGGCACATGTCACGTGTACCCAGTATGGGCTGGGCGATTTCTACATGTCCAAAACTTAGCTCTGCGCACCGTCTACCTCTGTGTGATACATGACAGCGTTGTCGCCTCGACTCATCGTGGAACTGATGCAAGTACTTTCCGGAGTTGTGGTGATCGATCAAAAAAAGGAATACGATCATGTCAGTGGTGAGACGAAAAGCCTTTGAAACTCGTTTGGGTGGAAAAAAATAAAGACAGCATGATTTTGATGCCTGATGGTATACAGTGTGACGGCTTGTTGCGCCGATCGTATCATTCACTCAACGTCTCTTGGCTTGAAGCTTAATGCAAATAAGGTGTGCTACCATAAACCACTAGGATTTGCGCGAACGAGTATACGAGGGTCGAACCACGTTGATCTCGGCCGACCCTCGCGCCGGTGGTGCAGAACGCTAGCCTATCCGATGTTGCACAGCGTGTGCAAATTCGAAAAACATGCATCCGTGTTGTGAAGCCCTATCTCTGGCGTGTGGCTTTCGACGCATCCCTTACGGGTATTTCGGTCTTTTCCTGTGGTGTCGGGCCCGAGATGTCAGATTCGTCGCGCCGTAGAAGGGCCCGAGACTGAGTAGGCATCTGGACAACGTGATACTGGCCTAGGCAGCAAAGTATGAGCAGAAGTACTTATTACAAGACTTGAAGTCATTATATTGAACATATCAGATCTTGAATCACCAAGTCACCGCGATACACCTTCCCTGGGCCTGCAATTATTGCCTGCCTCGCTAGACGACAGCTTCTACCCGGAAAACGGCGCGCATCAGCTCAAAATCATCGAAATACTATCCAGAGACTTTCATAGCCCCTAAGCAGCCATGCCGTCAGCCGCCATACCTGACCAACTCAAAATCGGCATTGTGGGTGCTGGTCCTGCCTCTCTAACCCTCGCCAACATCCTCCAAAAGCACCTCATCCCCTTCAGCATCTTCGAATCCTCGCCTGAACTCCGCACACAAGGCGGCTCGCTAGACCTCCACCCCGAGTCCGGCCAATTCGCCATCAAAGAAGCAGGGCTATGGGAGCAATTTGTTAAACATGCGCGTCCAGAATGTGACGTGATGAAGATTGTGACTTTGAACGGAGAGGTGCTCTGGGATGAGAATGGAGATGACAAGCAGGACGTCAAGGAGGAGGAAAAGTTTGACGGAAGACCTGAGATTGATCGAATGGCATTGGCGACGTTGATGTTTGGGAATCTAAAGGAGGGGTCTGTGAAGTTTGGAAGGAAGCTAAAAGAGGCTGTGCCGTCTGCTGAAGGAGAAGGGAAGTACGATTTGCATTTCGCAGATGGTACGAAAGAGCTTGGGTTCGATCTTGTGGTTGGAGGAGACGGTGCGTGGTCCAAGGTACGGAAGCTTCTCACTGATAAGATGCCGGACTATTCGGGCATATCGTCTGTGGCATTAACGTGCAACGACGTCAAGGCCAATGCCTGGCTACTAAAATATGCGGGAGAAGGGTCGATGATGGCTTTTGGTAAGGACTGCGCGGTGCAGTCTCAACGGCAGGGCGACGGTAGCTTACGGACCTACGCCTCGTTGCGTGTGCCAGAGGACTTCCTGGAAACCTGCGGCATCGACTGGAATGACCGGGAGAGAGCACTCAAGACGTACGTTGACCGCTACTTCTCCCACATACACGATGACCTCAAGCGGGTCATCTTTTCCTCTACAGAAAGCCCAGTCGCTCGTGCTTTGTACGAACTACCTGTCGGTTTCCGATGGTCTCCTCGCTCAGGCGTCACCCTCATCGGGGACGCTGCGCATGTGTTTACACCATTTGCCGGCGAAGGAGTCAATGTGGGTATGAAGGATGCGCAGGTTCTGGCTCAAGAGATTGCCAAAGTATGCCGTAGGGAGAAGAGTCTTGATGACGGTTTGAAGGACTATGAGGAAGAGATGTTCCCACGCTCGACGAAGGCGGCAATCAAGACAGCTAAAGGAAAGGAAGGACACTTCAGTGAATACGGAAGTCAGCATTTTGCGGATATGATGAAGGCGCACTACTACGGGCAACAACAGGATAATAGCCGGTAAAGATGGTAGGCGGTGTAGAAGTGGTCCAAGACGAAAGAGGAGAGATGATCGTTGGAACTAGGGCTGCAATACCTTCTTTGCAATTCATAGCATAACAATGCACATTCACTAGAGACCCCTGGTTGTGGACTTCAAAGGCATGGATGTATCTGTAGACATCTCAGCTTTCGATGTAGCTTTCAGGAGAGGGGAAAACTGAGCCCAAGATGCGAGAGATACAACGTGTTGGTTGCTACGCATGCTAGCTTCGTCAATCGCTGATAGGCGAGCCCTTCCTTCATGCTAGGCGTCAAATGTGCTCAATCAGCGCGGGTACAAAGTGGTCGCCTGACTTGCTGTTCGCTCCTTCGGCAACCATCTGTGTCGCCAATGCTGACCAGACATCCAAGGTTCTCAGCAGCGCTTGGTAGCGGTAATCGACAACGAAACACGCGCTACCGTAATTGCGTCGGAACATCGCACGCAAAGTTGAGATACTCATCGTATTGATGCGTACAAAATCACCGAATTCCTTACACCTAAGTTTAGCAGCTTGCGGATACTTGTCTTCCGATGGTCCGGCATCGTCGAGCGGAGAGTTTAGTGATGTCCATCAATAGCGGTGGAAGCGTTTTTAACGCGCCGGCCGTTCCCTTGAATCGTGACAGGAAAGGGGCACACACCAACATCCAGCGCCCACCCCAACTCTTCGACGGGTCTTTCGGCCAATTAAAGAACGTCCCGCAGGTATAACCCTGCACAAGTCGTTCTGTACCTGCATGGTGGCGCACGCTGCGGCCATGGCTCCGCTGTGAGCTGCACAAAGATTAGCCGTTCGCGATTGCTGCTTGTGATTGCTGATATGCGCGTTGCCGTGGTTTTGATGAAGATGGGAGCATCGGTGGACCGCAATTAGCGACACGAGGTGCGCCTTACCGGAAGTGAGGTCGAGCACATGGCAGCTAAGAAACGCACAGCAAGTGGCATTGCTGCGATAAAGTTCACACGCCTCACGGCACTGCTGATGCGAGGAATTGGCGTGGTGTTTGTTGCTGTGACGCACTCGTTTGCTCGGGACGGCAGTTCAGGGTGAAGAGACGACTAACCTCATCTGACTTTAGACTAGACCCACCTTCGACCTAACACGACAATTATACCCCAGACTCATTTCCGCTCGGAGCACATCACGATCTCAATAGAGCCGTAGGATGGCGTCCATGCCGTTCTTGTACAACAATGATCAGGGCAATTTCCAGGACCCCTAACCTAACGCCTTGGAGGCAGTTCTCCACTAACTGCTGCTCACAGGCCACGGCACATGCATGAAAACCGCTGTGTTCCCCAAGATTTCTTCCTTTTTCTCTTTACGCAAGGCTTTCAAGTTACGCATCACCAGCCTCGTTGACAAGAACCTTCGGCCTTTGTGCCCCGTCACTCATTATCTATTTACTTAATATTACCTGCTTCACTCGTTCAGCAGACGACCCTACTACCCCTAGACACCCCTATACCACGTAAACAAGTTCAAGATGCGTTACTCTTTCGTTGCAGCTGCCCTTGTTGGGTCAGTTGTGGCCGCGCAGCACAAGGCTCACACTGGATTCCACATGCGCCGCCATGGTGGATACGCCGCCGAGGAGTCTTGCGAGATCATCACCCACACCGTCACTGTGACCGCAAGTATGTGATACCCAACATTGGAAAGAAGCAGTGAACGAAGAGAAGCCGTGGTCCGTTGAGTACATTCACTAACAGGACTCAGTGCCCTCCATGGCTCCCAACAGCACCATGGCTGTCCCACCTACTGTCCCAGAGACGTCGTGCACTGAGGAGGGAAAGACTTCAATCGTCGTTCCTACTCCTAACGTCCCGGCTTCGACCGGAGAGGCCCCCAAGCCTTCCAGCCCTGCTCCCGTAGTCCCTGGAACTTCCATGCCCGCCTACCCTGCGGTCCCTGAGTCCTCCAAGCCCGCTTACCCAGCTGTGCCCGAGTCCTCCATGCCCGCGTACCCCGAGGTGCCAATGTCTTCTGCACCTGGCTACCCCGCGGTGCCCGAGTCCACCAAGCCAGCGGTTCCCGCTGTCCCAGAGTCGTCCACCACCTGCACTGAGGAGGAGGGAAAGACTTCTTCCATGGAGGCTCCCAAGCCAACCTACCCTGCCGGTACTCCTGAGGCATCCAAGCCCTCTGTTCCCGAGGTGTCCAAGCCTGCCGTTCCCGAGGTCCCAGAGGCATCTAAGCCTGCTGTCCCAGAGTCCACCACCTGCACTGAGGAGGAGGGCAAGCCCACTGGCCCAGCGCCCGTCCCGGAGGAGTCCAAGCCTGCTTACCCTACCGTACCTGAGGTTACTCAGCCCGCATACCCCTCCGTTCCCCAGGAGTCCAAGCCTGCTTACCCTTCCGTCCCCCAGGAGTCTAAGCCCGCTTACCCTTCGGTTCCTGAATCCTCCAAGCCTGCCGTTCCGGAGGTTCCCGAGGCTTCCAAGCCTGCCTACACTCCCTCTGCACCTGCCTCTTCCGCCGAGAAGCCCAAGCCAACCCCTAGCTCCACCAAGGAGGTAGAGAAGCCCAAACCCACTGGCAGCTACAACCAGGGTGACCACATCAAGACCAACGGCGACAAGTGGGCCATTACATACACCCCTTACGCTAACTCTGGTGACTGCAAGACCGCCGATGAGATCGCCACCGACATCAAGAAGATCTCTGAGCTCGGATTTACCACTATCCGCTCCTACAGCACTGACTGCGGTGTCTTCGAGCACGTTGTTCCTGAGTGCCAGAAGTACGGATTGAAGGTCATCTACGGTATCTTCCTTGAGGCCGGTGGCAAGGGCGGCAGGGGTCCTTTCTCCAGCTACGCCAACGACCAGCTCAAGGACATCACCGACAACGCCCCCAAGGACTCCGTCGCCATGGTCATTGTCGGAAACGAATGTGTCTTCAACGGTAACTGCGACGTTAACGAGCTTGGTTCTTACATCGACTACGTCCGTGAGCAACTCGTCAGCTCCGGCTACGAGGGCGTTGCTGTCACTACCACTGAGACTGTTGGCTCCTGGGAGGAGCACGGTGCTGCTCTCTGCGACCACATCGATGTCTTCACTGTCCAGGTCCACCCCTACTTCACCCAGTCCGTCTCCGCTGAGGAGGCCGGTGACTTCGCTGCCCAACAACTCGAGCAGGCTGCCAAGGTTTGCCCCGAGGCTGCTTCCAAGGGCAAGTACATCACCGAGATCGGCTGGCCCAGCGCTGGTCAGTCTAACGGAAAGGCTGTCGCTGGTGTTGAGCAGCAGAAGACTGCTATGAAGAAGATCATGGAGAAGGTCGGATCCGAGGCTTGCCTGTTCTCTTACCAGAACGACGGCTGGAAGGAGCCTGGCAACCTTGACGTTGAGCAAAACTTCGGCTGCGTTGATGCTATCATCGACGCTTCCTCAGGTCTCTCTCTGTCCATTGACATCTCTTTGTAGAGTGTCATTGATGTAGTTCGTAGCTCTTTTGTCAATGATGTATAGGCTACGTTACGCGATTATGTCTTGCATCCCTCTTGGTTCTGTCCATACTATGTTTACTGCAAGTCGATAGCGAAGGTGGCTTGGAGGTAGTTTTTAGTGTTTAATCTACTTACAACAAATAGCAATACCATATTGAAACAAGCTTTGGCGTGTGCTCAGTATGTTGAGCCGTCATACCATGGCATGTTGTGGGTCTGTGGAAGCATGTAATCTTCCTTCGGTGGAACGCAATTTCGATGTAGCATGGATGTTGCGGGCTGAGAAACTACCTCGTACAAGAAAAAATCCAGACAGATACAGGAATAACAAGCTCTACCTTACAGCTTAATGTTATTGATCTTTGTAAGATCTCTTATTAGCATATAATGTAAGTCTTTTAGGTTTTCTATCTATGTCTACACAGCTCTTAATATACTCTTCTAGAGCAAGAAGAAGTAATCCTCTTATGAGGGATGTTTATTTTTTCTCTTTGATACAGTGAACCGCGAAACAGGCGGTGCGAATCCCTACAAGCCCCTCTAGCGATACTGAGGATGTAGGTACCACCAGAGGGAGATTGGAGTGATAACATAGTGCAGAAGAGGTGGTGGGCTCTTTGCGGGATGACTACGCCGCGCAGCGCTAACCTCGGACCCTTTCCGCAGCCTGAGATGAAACTTCCTATACTACCACATCGGACTCTTGTTATCCCAATCGATTCTTTAAGCAGATCCCTCTCGAAACTATTTCCAGACACGAACGACTATTCATGCTTGATTCAGACGTTCGAACATCCAGAACGTCACCAACGATGGCGAACGTCACCACTACCGCCCCTGGCTTTCTCAGACTACCGCTCGAAATTCGCCAGCAGATATATCATTGTGTTCTAGTGCAGGACTTCCGAAGCCAAATCATTAAGATGACTGTCCAACAGCAACACAGTGGCGGTTATAAGTTACGGGGCCTCAAAAACATCCGAGGTTTGGTGTTTGTCAGCCGTACCTTTCACGCCGAAGTTCTCACATACTGCTTTGGTCGCTTCAACTTCTTTCTTCACAACGATTCAGAATCCATACGCTTTGTTATACGGGAATTCTTCCGAAAAATTGGACTCAAGAACAGGAAGCTTGTCAAACGAATCACTTTACCCTACTTCAGCATTGAGCGCGTACTTTTGCATCCAGCGAATATGGTGGCACTTTTCGCCAGCTCACAAGCGAGGTCTCTGCAGCTCCTTGACGACATGCAGCGTTCCCTCCGTCTCTTAGAACACTTCTCTGCCCTGGAAGAGCTTGATCTGGGACTTGATACTGCGGAGGTCCTGGGCCGTCGTGGTAACCGTCTGCGATTTGCGGATAGACATCGCCGTGCACAGGCGCACAGTATGGGTAGGGAGGAGCGCATTGCCCAAGCATATCAGAGGGACTACGAGTCTCATATTATGATGGCTTTGCAAGAAGCGAAGTGGCTGCCAGCAAAAGTAAATGTTGGCATCTGGTGGACTTCGGGCCATGGTGAAAGTCTAGGTACTGACAAGGAAACTGCGGATGCTCTAGACGATTTTGTGTCTCGGTTGAGAAAAGAGATCGCGCCTACACGAGTCACTTATAAAGGTGATATGTAATGGACAGACATGTTTGTGCTGTAAACCAGTCTATATGATCATTGATCTAATAACCCTTGTTTGAAACCAGAACGCGATGGTCATCACCGAGATCTAAACCTCCTTTGCCCTGAATAGCCAACTCAAGCGAGAACTTGAGTAACTCATCCACCATCTGCCACACAACACAGCCAACCAATATGCAAGCACCGTAGAAATCTTATGGCAGCGCACGAACCACGATATAGCTGTACTACAATTGAAGAGTCAGCAAGCCGTCCTAAACACCGATCATGGTAGCCATGACTTCGCACAGTTCTGGTGGGGCAGATTCATACCTGCCTAGCGTTTACAAGTGCACTCGCAAGTCTCCCAGGGACTCAAACATCCTCCACCATCCTGATACCAACCAACTGTTCTCATGCAGCAACGTTTGGATGCGGCAACATTCTTACAACGATTATAACAATCGTTCCCCCAGTCGGTCTCACAACCTCCACCCTGCCAGTGGTAAATTTGCCTACCAGGACAAGCCTGAGAATAGAGGTCAGTGTCAGCCTTGATGGAAATGCTGGTGGTGGTTTCGGCGGGATTATCGGTAGGGGCTGCGATAGAAGTAGCCGTGACGGTGAGCAAGGTAGTGATAAACAGGACAAGATGCATGCTTAGAAGACTTCAGGCAATTCACTTGGGACTAACGGTGATCATCATCGGAACTGTACTATCAGAGCCTTATATACACTCTCCGAGTCGAAAATACACGAGATGTGTAGGACGTTAGCCCGGTTGCGAGATGATTGCCAAGAAGCGTGCTACCTCCATGGTACTACCCACCACGTGAGCTCTGAGGTGTGGGAATACGGGGCATACTGTATAGACGAATCAATATTTCTTCAATTTTGGGTTGAAAAACGAGGATGTTCATGGTGCACGGTTTCCTGAGGCACTGTGCACTCTGCAAGTGAGACTGATCAGCGAATGGCTTTCAAGGCTTCAGAGTTACTGTAGCTGCCAGATACCACCAATGGGCAGTTTTTGCATCAACTTGGCTTTAATGTATGCTCGTATCTCGCTTTATTGCCTGTTGTCGTTAGGTAGGGCATAGATGTCTTGGGCAGCAGACATGCTGATGAGCCGTGAAACTAGGTAAGAGCTACAAGAGGAAGGTCATTTAGAATTAACCAATTAAAGTTCATTTAAACAGATACAGCAGTTACACTACGAACACGAATATGATACCCACACGAAAAGGCTTTACAAATCGACCGGGAACCGTTCCCGAAGCCTCTCGCCAAAGATAAAGAACAAGATTGGAGCGGGTGCAAGAACCAAACTGACAAACGCAAACGTGCTGATGCCCCAACCATATCCTAGCTTCTCGAAGAGCATGGGCGCAAAGATTGGGATGACACCACCGACAACGCTGCGGAAAACAGTACCAGCAGCGATTGCGCTGGCCGCGTACTTCTCGAAGCTGTCGATGAAGTAGTTTTGCGTGCTATTCAGGATCATGACCTGTCCGATGCCATAGAAGAAGGTTGCTGATATAGATGCGAACCAGTGCGCGTGCTTCTCTACAGTCCAAGCGAACCAAAAGAGCGAAACGGGAATGAAAACAGAGCCAATGTTCGCGAGTGGGAGGCGAAACTCGGGTCGTGCCTTTTCGTGATTCTTGGCTGTGAGATTCTTGTATACGGTATCGATTCGCGGGACCAGAAACCAGACAGCGAAAAGAAAACCAAGGCCGGGGCCTAGATATAGCAGCCCGACCTTCTCGGTGGAGAAACCGTAATCGTCTTGGTAAATTGGCTGCATGTTTGTGTAGATGCTGTAGGTTGTGCCGAAGATGAGCGCTTGATATACAGCCATGACGGCCACGATAGGTTGAGCGAAGATCTTGGGTGGGCGTTTGAGAGCTTGGGTAAGCTTTTCTTTCAACGGTCGTGTATCTTCGCCCTCGTAGGAGTATTTCGTGCCGTCGAACTCGGAGCTCTGAGACTCAAACTCGGCCTTCTTGGAACTCAGAATTAACGGCGCATAAGTCTCTCGAAGGAAGAAGTAACCAGCCAAGGTGTTGACGAAGCACACGATGGTCATGATCCAGAAGACCCAGCGCCAGCCCAAGCGCTGTACGATGATGCCGCCAAACAATGGTCCTAGGGTAGGTCCAAGTAACGGGCCTAGTAGATACCAGCCAAATACTCCTGCTCGTTCACTTGGTATGAACATATCACTTATGGTTCCTCCGCCATTCGCTATGCCGACGCTCCCAAAGAAACCTGCAATGCTCCGTACTGTGATGAGGAAGGCGATGTTGGGCGCGAGTGCAGCGGGTATCTGTAGTAAAGCGAACACGGAGAAGCACACGAGGTAGATTCTTCTACGTCCAAACGTCTCGGACAAGGGAGCGAGGATCAAGGGGCCGATTCCGAGCATGACTACGAAGCCAGTTGTTGTTCCAATAACGGCAGTCGTGCTACACTTGAGGTCATCGGCGATTTGCGCAATGCCGGGCGTGAACATGGAGGACACGAGGGGGCTGAGAACTGCCATGGTTGTCAGTAAAGGCATGTATAGACGAGCGAGTGTATGTACTGGACATGAGGGCTATGACAGCCACGTTGGCCATCTTCCGCCATCGCGCCCATGTTCGTGGGTTTTCGTCGTTGGAAAGGTCCTCGATGCGAAGATGCTGTCAGTAGTTAGTAAACACTATCGATAGAAAGCGCGTGCAGGATGACTGACTGTTCGCGGCTCGCCTTCTTCACTCCATCGCTGTTGTAGCAACGGTGCGCGCTCGCCCTGTGGAGACATGATCGTGTTGACACAAGGAGTGAATGTGGTCGTGGTCCGAAAACGCAGCACGCCCAAAGAATTTCCATGATCGCGTCTCAGCCGCCGGGACCACAGTGAGCGTCATCGTCGAGTAAGCAACTATCAACTTTAACCGCGTTCGGTGCGCGTTGTGGACATCGGGTTGTTAGAGCGTCATCGATCGACGCCGCGGAATGCTCGATCGAAGAGCCCCATGTTTCGCTTACCCGCAGGTACAACCAATCATGTCAATGCACAAAAAACGACTTATACCACGAGAGTCGAAACTCAAGCTCCAATCACCAACTCGACTCGATTATGATATACCACTCTTAATTTTGAGTGATTGCAAACAGTGGCTACAGACCAACGCAGTTTACCACAAGGCTGTTCTCCACGTGAAGCGTCCGTAGCTGCGCAATATATTAGGCAGCAGCTGAGAGAGTGTTGAAAGGCTCCAGCTTCTCCCAAATTTATGCTCTTTACGTCTCTTGCATCAGTATGCAAACTCTCTAGTGTACATGTGCTCATTCCAATCTGTTATCCAGAACACAACTTACAAAATATTTATTCGTCTGCGTCATGGTATCTTCTGTCGCTTGTCTGGCAATTCGCCCTCGTGAGGAAGACAAATTAATACTTCATGATACGACCAAGGAAATTCACATGAAATCACGATGTAGAGCCGAAGCGAAAGAGATGTAAGCATTGACAACCGAATGCCTATCAAATTCTCAATTAACGGACGCATCAGTACAACACTGAATAGAGAAAACTCGCCACTCCTACGTCTACCTGGAGAACTTCGAAATCGAATCTATGAGTACGCGCTATGCCAAGATTGGAAATTGAATTCGAATGCAAGTCTATTCCCAGATGACGGTCCAAGGATCCACAAACATTGTTTTGAAGGACTCCAGCGCGTCCTTCAGACTACGGAGGCCTGTAAACAGATGCACAACGAGATGGCGCTCCTGTACTTCAAATTTGGCACCTTTATCATCAACGGCTCTCAGTATGCATTCGTCAGCCAGTGGCTTGTACACCGCTCGTTCCCTCAACGGCATGCAATCACACATCTAGTGTTCCCATGCATATACAAATTGTCGTATTCTGTAAGGGAAGGTTGGATGCCCGGTAAGTTCAGAGAAGCAGACTTTCGGCCTCGGGACGCCACAAATCTTAAGTTACCCATAGTACTGCCGGGTTTGAGGAAGATCACTATCTCTATTGGTGTCAGGACTCCTGAACGGCATACAGGGAGCGGAACGGTGCCTCGACTGTCCATCCTTCAGCTAGAAGAGTGGACGGCATATGATGTCGAAGTCTACAAAGAGGCATGTCTTGGTGTTGCCGTTGCGGTCAAATAAGAATTCTGTCGAGCACTGTACTACATGGCATGAGTTGGATCGTATTAATAACGCTGTGGTTTGCACAAAGAGCTGCGTTATTGTTTATCGATTGTTGATGAAGATATTCATGTATGGGGATTGAATGGCTATAGTATCGTCTTAACATATGAATCATCGTCCAGTCCTGTGATTACACTTCATTCAAGCCACTTCAAATGCATCCATGTCCCCGGTGGGCAGATCAGGTACACCCACTACACTCCTTGTCACATCAATCATCATCTCTACCACTTCGGGTGGGTGGTACCTCTTGAGCACCACTCTTATGAATTCGCTCAACAAATTCAATCCCATATCCCCAATCTGTTCGTCCGTCAATTTCTCAAAATCGCCTTCCTTCAAACCTGTTCTTGACAATCGTCGCTGCAGCAGAATGTCGTAGACCGCCGCTATACGGTCAGTGTTTTTCTTATTGGAACGGCTGTGGAAGTATTGACCACGCACAGCCGCAGACTCATCTGCCAAGTCTACCCAGGCCATCTGTCTTTGCAAAATTTGCGCTGATTCGTCGGTGGGAAAGATGTGGAAGCGATGACGAAGGACGTGCAGAGCGACCAACGAGCCAGCCAGATCTCGATTGTAACTAAAGCAGTGCATGATGAGCGACGTGATTGCTCCACTGTCTGTGCCTGCGAGACCCATGCGGAAACGATCGGCGTCGTAGCGACTGCGACAGAGCGTCCACCAGTTTACCGTCTCTGCTAGTAGCTCACGAGGGCTAGGCAAATCGAGCTTGTTTTGAACGGTAGAGTCGCCAAGTGCTAATCGGAGCGTTTTCCAAAGACAACGTATGCTTGCACCGTCTGGGAAGACGCCGTTGCTTCCTTCTTGCGGCTCAGTGAGAGACTTGTAGATCTTCCATGCTTCGCTGTAGGCACCTTGTCGGCATTTATTATCCATAAGGACATTCATGATGGTAGCATTGGGCTTGACTTTCGCTGCTTTGAGCTGTCGGGACAAGTAATCGACGTGTTCCCATTGCAGGCTGTTGGCATGGTGTTGCATAATCAAGGCAAACGTTGTTACGTCAGCAACAGGAGCTCGTTGGGTCATTTCGTCAGATGTAGGAGGAGCCTCGGCGATTTTTTTGTCGATGATGGCTGGTATTGTTTCTGGAGTAACGTCATGTCGACCAGCTTCGCAAGCGGCTTCGACCATGCGCCAACCAATATTTTCCGCTTTCAGGATATTCGCCTCCTCTTTCGTCCGTATCAACGCTCTGAGAAACATGTTGTAGTGGAACGTTTCTGGTCTGTAACCTCGCTTGAGCATCATCTCCAAGATTTGAGCGGCTGCCTGTGGCGTGTTCTTGACAACGGTAGATTTCAGCCAGTCACCGAACAAATGGCCGTGATAACCACGAGGGAGCACAGATATAGCATCAAGAGCGATACTAGTCATGGACTCGATATTGGTTCCAAGTCGATATATCATGTGCAGTCTCTTCAACACTTGGCTGACTTGTTCTGCATCTCCGCTAGTAGCCAGGTAGCCATCCTTAACCATGTCCCTAAACACTTGCTTGGCATGACTCAAGCTTCGCATTTCTAAGGAGCCCACAAGCCAAGCGTCGTAGTCCTTGATCGAGCAGGTGTTGCCTCTCTGGTCCTTCATTCTGACATAGATTTGCTTTGCCATGTCATGGTGCTCTTGTAGTTCTGAGCTCGTATGAGCTCGGAAAACAGCCATCATGATGGAGGTGTCCCAATTCGGATACAGCCTGAACAGTTCATCCATAATGTTCCGACTGTAGTCTACGTTCCTGGCAAGTGCATGGAGCTTAGCCCCAATCTCCAGATGCTCCGGGTTGTAGTCCATTCGTACACCGTCGTGTCCCAATCTGTGATCCTCTTCCCATTTTCTGAGAGCCTGGTCTACTTTTCCGCGAAGGAAGACCTTCTCTAGATGTTTGGCGCGCTTCCTGGCTGTCGTATATCTCCCAGCCTTGTTCATATCCTGGTAGAGCTGTGCCATATTTGCAGTGTGATTGGACTGCGTGATCGAGAGCAAGTCCCATACTCCATCCGGGATACGTGCTAGGAGTTTCGGATCGGATGCCTTGGCCAAAGAATATGCTCTCCAAAGCGGTGCACGTAGTCTGGCATCCTGGCCATTGCTGTCTCTGACTAGCTTCAATATTTGATTCAGTCTTTTGATAGCTGTCCGCCCACCAGTGCGGTTGGTTCCAGGTGTGCCAATCGCGACGGGTTTATTTCTAAGCTGCTCGCGCTCTGCACCTCTGTTGAAGTTAAAAGAGGGGTTCTCGGCGGTCGTTCTCGTCGACTCATTCAGCACCGAAGTGGATTGCGCGGTTCTGTGTAGGGTCGGATCCCATCGCGGAACGTATTCCGGGATTTTTCGTGGAAGTGTTCGCAGAAAGCGTGTTTGAAAGCTTGGAGTGGAGTGTGGGAGGCATCGCAGTCGATAGAGCGCAAGCATGAGCAAGCGCCGTCTGAAAGTAAAGGACGAGAGGCGGAGGCAAACTCGCCGCGTCTAAAGCAAATGCGTACAGAAAGACAGGAGTAGGACAAACATGTAGTCGTGGCCAACCATGTTGCACGCTCTGTGCATGTCCAAACTTCTCTGTCAGAAGGTTCAGATGGCGCTAGTTTTATCGATAAGGGCGACTAGCATGACATCGCGCGTCATCCTCTCGCGCGCTTTTACCCTACCATACGCGTCAACCTCGTGATTATGGTACCATTTTCTCTACATCACCAACCCCCACCCTTGTTTGATTCGTCATTCCGGCTACCAGACATCCTGTGCCTGTTCTTTTTCCTTGGTCGTAGTCTCAAATTTCCGATTCTATCGCTACCTCGCTATATCGCGTCATCCATACACGGGTTCGTCGCAAAACCTATTCCTACATGAACTCAACGGCGAACATCGAAGAATGATTCCAAAGAAGACAGGATCTCAAGCACTCTTGTTTGGCTTGGACTAGACAGAAATTTTCCAAATGAAGGCTCCGATATTATACCTCATTTACCCGTGTGCCTAGAACTTGCTCATATATGATCAACCAGGGCGCATCTGACCGACACGATCTCGGAGATGAGCTTGAGACTAGAGAAACAAGCTTTCCCCGCAATGCACGAATCTGCCGGATCGCCATACGTTGTGCATGCAGCTGATTCGGCACTCTCCGGTTACGGTTGTCTACTCATACCACAACATCTCGCACCAGGCGCCACTCGATTTCAAGGCTTATGGTACGGTATATTTGACACAAGAAATAGTCCAAACATGGACACACATTTGGTATCGAATTGATACTACCCAGCTTTGCGATCCGGCGTTGCTACTGGAGCGGCTTACGAAACTCCAGTCCTACCAGATTCCTGTCGTGACAAGGTAAACTTGGATGATTGGCTTTTTGTAATGGTGCAATATCCAAGGATATATGACGGCGCCCAACCAGCTCCAAAAGCCACGACACATGGGAGCCGCTGCAGACCACGTCTCGGCTACAGTCGAGTTGTGACACATTGCTACTACATATCCTAAATGTAGGTTTTCAGAGCTTGGACAGGACCGCCTTAAAAGTATAACTTCTCAAACCCCGGATCCGACATTTTGATCCTGTTCCCTTCATAAGGACCAACAAACACACATCAAAGATTTTCCGACCTTCCAACGTTTTCAAGATGCTTTTGTGGCTAGTGTTGTTGGGATGTTACTTCTCGCTCATTTGGGCACAGAATGCTTCGTTTACACAAGGGCAGAAGTTTCAGATCGTACTGCTGGGCATTCCCGACATGTCCAAGATACCTATATCACCTATAGACGCGCCGGTTTGGGATATCGATTTGTTCGACAACCCTGTTACGACAATAGAAACTCTCAAAGCAGCCGGCAAAATCGTCATCTGCTACTTCAGTGCTGGAACAGCGGAAGATTGGAGAGATGATTACGGAAGTTTTGCAGCTGCTGATCTTGGAAAGGTGCTCCCGGAGTGGCCCAATGAGAGATGGTTGCGGACGGGTAGCCAAAGCATCAGAGCCCTCATGGCCAAGCGTATCAAGCTGGCTGCTGACAAGGGCTGCGATGCTATCGATCCGGACAACACAGATGGATATGTAAGTCCTCGTACTGTTACATGGGTATGATACGGTGGTAGCACGCAGTCACTACTCCAAGCTCAGGCGTGAGCGAGTTATACATGCTAACCTCTTTTAGCAGAATGACAACGGATTGAACCTTAAGAACACGGACGCTATCGACTACGTGCGATGGATGCAGCAGGAAGCCGCCAAATACGACATGAGAATTGGGCTTAAGAACAGCCTCGATATCCTCAGCGATGTGTCGCCGATCGTAGACTTTGCAGTCAACGAGCAATGTGCGCAACACGGCGAGTGTCAAGCCTACGAAAATTTCATCGCTCTCAACAAGCCAGTTTTCCATATCGAGTACCCTCTTCCGCTTAATGCGCAAGCTATGAATGGCGCATCTTGTAAAGGAACAGGCGTGGCTGGACTCAGTACCATCATGAAGGATCTCCAATTGAACGGCATGTCGTACTATTGTGACGGCAGCTATGTTGATACACCGACGTTAGGAGGTACATCGCCACCAAGACCGTCGCAGCCGCCTAAACCACCGAGCCCGCCAAAGACGAGTTCGAGCCGCACAGCCCCAATGCCAACGCGAACAAGCTCCTCGCGTCCTCAACCTTCGAGCACGAAAACATCTACAATGTTGCCAAGTCGCACTTCGTCAGCGCAAAGACCAACAAGTACATCGGGTGGCGGAGGAGGATGTAGATCGAAGCACTGGGATCAGTGCGGTGGACAGAATTGGAATGGATGTACAATCTGTGAGGTATGTGAATTTGCAGCCATGACAGTGAAACCATCTGACAATGCCAAAGTCGCCGTATACGTGCAAAGGCGTCTCACCACCGTATTACTACCAGTGCTTGTAGTCTGTTCCAGGCTTCATGCAGGGATCTATATACTGCTGTACTCGCGAGCTAGATTGTGATGATGCAATACATCATCGTTGGTCGTAGAATCTGTAGAACATCTACCTAGGTACTATTAGTTCAGAGTAGTCATCTTTCTGCAAGCTGGCTACAAGGGTGATATCTTCCGTGGTAGATTAATCGGAAGGTATACTTGCAGAGCATAGTGTCAGAAGGATGAAGCTTAGCATACTTATTCGATCAGACATTTAATCTACCATGTGATTTTGGTGTCGTGCTATGCCCCCCGAAGTGTATCCCATAGAATGACCTCACTGAAAAAGAGAGTAAGCACTGGTATTTCAAGATCGTAATTGCCAATAATATGTGTCCCAGATAACGCCATCCAATCCCTGAATACCCCATGTTTTCGCCTCGGTTATCCAAATATTCGTACAGCCTCCATTCCATGTTCACAATTCGTTGGCGCTATCGCTCAAAGACCCAGCGGATTGCTGGCCGTACCGCCACCTTTGCCGGAACCCCCTGAGAGACCAGGTACACCGGGTCGACTAGCCATGGATGCCATACCTCCCACTCCGCTAGTGCTCAAGCCGAGGGGATTCTTGTTTGTTGTCGATCGACTGCCCGGAGCGCCGGTGATGTCTTTGAGAGAGTTGCCGTACTCGCGGACCATATCGCCCCAGGTACGAGACGAGTTTGCAATACTACGGTATGTTAGTCAGAAAAGTCGACTCGGCAAAGTTGCAATATGTACCTTGCTCCGGCGCCTCTCCCTGCCCCAGCGATTCCACTACCTGTCGCGGTCACGACGGCCCCAGCAGCATTGCCAATACCAGTCGTTGCAGCGCCGACAGCACTTCCAATACCAGACGATGCAGCGCTGAGGCCTTTGTTGATCCAGCCCTGTTGTTGTGGCTGCTGGATTGCCTTCTTTGCGGGTGCTGGGGCGGGTTTCTTCTGACCGACGGCTGTCACAGGCTTTTTGGGTGCGACGCTTGTAACGGGCTTCTTAGGGGTTGTTGCCACGGGTTTCTTCTGCATCGCAGTATTGACAGGCTTCTTCGGAGGCTGAACAGCAGGCGCTTTGACGGGCGCCTTCTTCACTGGTGCTTTTACTGGTGTCTTCTTCGCCGTGGACGTGACGGGCGTCTTCTTGGTGCCGATGGGTTGCGCGACCATGGTGAGACGTTGATTCAATGCTTTTGTGGAGTTGTTGTGGTGGATCAAAACAGATGTTATCTAATCAGGTCTTAAGTTGAATGGTGAATATGAATGGAGGGTTCTAGGGAGCATCTCGACCCAATCTCTCTGGATGCACAGAAAGTTGGCAAGCTGCTATGCCTGTCGCACATGTGGCGCAGATGATGTCAGGCACGGAAACGTGGGGCGCGCTTGCCCCGGATGGATTAAGGTTGTCTTAGCGCGATCAGCGGGCGAAACGTCGAGACCCTGGATCCATGTTTCGCATCTTCAACACTTTGAACGTCTGCCAGATGGCATCGTCGTCCCATCTTTCTATACTGTCCAATTCTTCGCTTCGCTTCGATCTAACATCTCCGTTTACTCTGCTACCTTAATTGTAATTGCATCTTGTTGACAGGTGCTCCTCTCTCCGCAGTGCGGACCTGTGAATGTCAACGAACACGCACGCTCACCGCACGCGACCCTGCCCGCTATGAGCCGCATTCACCTCTGGTAACCAACGTAGAATATCATAACAAACGAGTGAGTGCAATTTCTGTTCAAAACACCACCATGCCGCAATAACACAACGAAACCATGCTCGGCGACGACGCCATCATAAAGCTGAAGCGGTCGATGAGCGAGAGCGATCACCTCATCCCTATGGGTGACGTGACCCCGCCTCGCTCACCGGCCAAACACAAGACGCCAGACTACAGGACACGGTCCAGTCGCTCTATCTCGTGGTCGAAGCTAACTGAATCAATCAAAGGCAAGAGAGGCCCCTCGTCACGCTCGTCACGCTCTTCACGCACGCCTTCTGTCGATAAGCGTGATATCTCGAGTCCAATCTTAGACCACCGAAGTCCGTTGTGCCCACCTACACCCAAGCCGAGGCTCGACGCTGTCCTTCCATCAACACCTGGCCCACAACGACCTATAGCACGATCCAGCCCAGGCACCATCAAGCCTAGTCCGCCCAACCCGACCGCAAGACACTCATACTCTGTCTCCGATCCCACAAACTACGTCTCTCCTGGTAGACGGCCACGTCAGCCTAATCGTCCCCCGCCGCCTCTTCCAATCTCAACTAGCTACGAGAGCATCACCGGTACCCTAGAAGACAGCCCCTTGGAGCGCATAGCAGAATCGCCTTTCGAGCCTTCGGAAGACGTCCGAATTGAACCGCCAAGGCTTGACAAGGTTCACAAATATTTAAAAGACATGGAGCCTGCACGACTACAGCCGCCCAACATGGGTGGTACCAAGGGGCGTGCCATGCAGCAGGCAAAGGACATGGAGCTTCTGGTTGCTGAGAGAGCGAAGCGAGGTGGTGAGGAACCACCGCCATATGACTTCTACGAGCTCATTGGCAAGGGCGCATACGGTCGTGTCTACAAAGGGTGGGTATCACGATGTAAGGCCGAGTACATTCGCTGACATGACAAAGAAAGAGCCGCAATACCGGTGCGCTCGTTGCCATCAAGATTATCGAGATCGACAAGGTGGATTATGAGGAAATGACACACAAGAACCTCCAGGACACACTCAAGGAGATTGACATCCTGCAGCAGCTAAGAGACAGCAAGGCAAGGCCTTACGTCAACATCATCGAAGAGGCTAGGCCTGTACACAACGAACTCTGGATCGTCAGCGAATATGCAAGCGGTGGTAGTGTCAACACTCTGATGAAGCCCACAGCCATGACGAAGGACCCGGGTCCTGGACTGGCGGAGAAATTCATCATACCCATCGCCCGTGAGCTGGCCCAAGGTCTCAAGTATATACACGAAGCTGGTGTGCTGCATCGAGATCTGAAGTGTAGGTGATGGTGTCTTTACCATTCCTTCCCTCGGCTAATGTGATACAGCCAACAACGTTCTTATCCTCGAAGACGGTCGTGTGCAATTATGCGATTTCGGTGTCTCCAACACCCTGGAACCTGAAAGATCGAAGCGCTCCACTATCGTTGGTACACCTTTCTGGATGGCCCCTGAGTTACAGAAGGAGTGGGTAAAGGACGCAGATCCGCACAGTCTGATGCAGCCCAAGGAAATATCTTACGGCAACGAGGTTGATATCTGGGCATATGCCTGTACTGTCTATGAAATGGCTTGTGGCTACCCACCGCACCACAAGATCGGGCAATTCGATTTGCCAACAGCTGGTGTTCCTGTGCTTGAAGGCGATCGCTTTTCTCAAGAACTGAAAGATTTCCTAGCCTTCGTCTTTCAACCAGAGCCACAAGATCGACCGACGCCTGACCAAATTTTGGAGCACCCCTATCTTGCAGATACTACTAAGATGTACCCGACTGTATCGCTCGTCAAGCTGGTCGAAGACTACTACCTCTGGGAGCAACAAGGTGGTGCACGCCAGTCGCTATTCAACCCATACGGTGCTCAAGCGCCAGACCCGCTTGCCCCAGAGGCGGAGGACGACGACGATGATGATTGGTCTTTCAGCACATCAGAAGAATTTGAGCAAGAACGTGCAACACAATTTACTGACCCCTTCGCTGGCGGAGCAGGCTTCAATGGAATGGGCCTACCACCTGTCGCGGATATGGGACGATTCGAGCAGCTCCAGGCCAGGTTCAAGGAAGAGTCTATTGTTAGAGGACAGAAACGTCTGAACAAACTATTCGATACAAACACGACGCCATACAGGTATAGTGCCGTCGATATGCCGGACCCGCCGAATGGGCGCCCTCCATCTGACTTGGTTTTACGCGACTTCAACCCTGGCGCGCCCAACCGCGAGACGGTCATCGACTTGGACTTTTCAATGCCGTCAGCAGATGAGATACCAAGTATTGACCTGGGCGAAGTGCCCACCATCCGTGCAAATCGTATGAAGAGCATCATACGGGAGATGGAAGAGGAAGAGGAGCGCCGGGATGCTTTCAACGAGGAGGACGAGATGACTAAACGAGCCACGAAAGACTGGACCTTCCCCAGCATGAATGACGAGAATCGAAAGACGATGGAGTGGTCATTCCCGGGAACCAATGAGCAAACTAACCGCAAGACTATGGAATGGTCATTTCCAGGAGCCACTGAGCAACCTAACCGCAAGACGATGGAGTGGTCCTTCCCACAGCAGCCTCAAAAGCCCAACCGACGTACGGTAGAGTGGACATTCGACGCTGCAATGGCAGAAGCCAACAATGAGGCCCCAAGGAACCGCGCTTCGAATCGGATCTCACGACGACGTGAGACGAAGGAGTGGACGTTTCCCAAGCAGGACGATAATCGCAAAACTCGAGACTTTGCCTTCCCAATGGGTAGTCCGACGGAACCGTATCGCAGCCAGCACACCAAGACGGACTCTTCTTCGCCAGGCCTTGCATCTGGTTTCCGACCAAACCTGCGCCATGCTCAAACAGCACCACTTCAGCCTGCTGTTGATGACAATGACTATCCTGAGATGATCAGCTCTGCGCCCAACTCTCCGCTGCGCTCGTCCATGATTGATCTGGATATGGCGATGGTAGAAGACTACCGTCCGTCCACTTCTGGCTCTGAGATCCTTACAGCAGGAACAGAGCGTATGAACGATAATCCGTTCAACCTCGAAGATCAGGTACAACTATCACAAAATAACCACCGCGCTTCTTTCCACATGAAGTCGCAATCGGAACCAAACCAGACGGTGCCAGGATTATTGACACCTCAACAGTACGATGAACAAGGCCATCCTACAAACCAAGACCCACACCATCCCAGTATGCACGCCCGAGGGGTCAGCTCAGCAAGCCAGGTACAATCACACGCGAAACCAGCACCCACTTCTGGTCAATACCACCGCGGTAATCAGCGCTCTCAGCAAATCTGGGATGGTTGGTCACACAACATGGCATACGGACTCAGCAGCGACGATCAATCTCCTCCCATGAGCGTAACAACCGACACCTCACTCGAAGAAGAAGATGTCGACGACCTCTGGGACACCTTCGAACGCCTCAACCTTGCAGCGCAACGGCGTCCAATGGGCCAACCATCAGCCCCTCTCCGTTCCTCACGTAGAAACGACTCTACATCCACAACCCTTACTTCCACGACGTACAATCTCGATTCCGATACCGATGACTCGTCGTACCACCACAGTAACCAGTACTCTTCATCCTCGGATTTCGATCAACACGATACTCCGCGCTACAGCCGTAAATCCACAACCGTCAGCGTCGGTCCAAATGGGAAGCCGCTTGTAGAGTTTCCTATTCCGACCGGTCCTGAGGTAGGGGCGCTGTTAGGCGTGGACATGGATGCCAGGGCTATGGCGGACATGTTGCTCAAGAGTGCGGTCGAATTGAGGGATGGGACGAGGGCTAGTAGAGATCTGTTGAGGGCAATGCGGTTACAGGATGTTGAGGGCGAAGATGAAGGTGACGAAGGAGCGGATGAGGAGATGAGAGGGGGTACTGTTCGGTTGAGGGGGCCTGGATGATTTATGGTTGTGTGATGGCGTTCATGGATCGGGAAGGCTGTGCCCTCGGTTTAGGTCAAATGCCGTCGAGCGACTTAGAGTGAGCTCTACTGATTTGAATGTCTGATGATCTACTGTCTACCGAATCCACGAACTCAGGAGTCAAAGAAAATGATTTGAATGAAACACGATGGAATACCCCACCTGTCGCCTAGTTATGATCGGGACATGGAGTCGGGGTGATGGCGATGAGAGCCAACGAGAACGAAAGGGAAGATAGTTCACTTGCGTTACACGTCTCATGGTCCATACGTAGTATTCTTCAATATCGAAAATGGCCGAACATATACTACATAACAACGTGCTACAAGGCTCCCGTTCGCTCGACGCTATTGCGCCTGCAAAGCTGTAGACCATGACATGTACAATGTAGGTAGTCCCACCCCTGTGTAGAACCATGATCGTATCGCTATTCGCAACTAATCCGTATATACTCCGTTCCGCTGTCGCCTGCCAAATGCTGTATCGAGAAAACCCTCTCGCTATGCTTTGATAGGTGCTGTTGCGAGTGAAATTATTCCGAGGCGAAAAGTGGCTGAGGGTATGGATGGAGAAACGCCGAGAATGTAGGGAAAAAGAAAAAAACATGGTGGCTTTCACTGGGACGCATGAGATAGGGTGCACGGAAAGGTGGGTATGGGTAATCGTAATTGGGCGTGAGAAAGACTTGAGAGATCTGGACAACGGAATGACATCATCTACCGGTTACCGGCCTCGAGTTGTCCTGGGGTTGGCTGCTGCGGGACAGAAGCGTCTGCAGTGCTAGCAGCGCCACGGTTACGACCAAACCAGCTTGAGAAGGGAGAGCCCTGTGTTCGATTGGGCGTCATCCTGGATAGCCAGCCTTGGTTATGGCCAGTCTGCCCTGTCACTTGCGATGCATCCCCATGTACACGCTCACGGCGAGTAGGCCGATTCAACCGCCCGAACCGGTCAACACCTTGTCGCTGCTGGTAGTCTGCATTGATGACCATGACGCGAGACCTAGAGAAGGGGTTGCTAGTCGTCCAAACGGCCTGCGGTGGCGACCGAAGACCGGCGACTGAACGGCGACCAGTAACAGGATCGACTTCGCCTTCGGGACGAGGCTTCGGAACGTAGTAATCAGCTTTGCAGAGAGGGCAGCAGGCACGGCGGCTCGTCAGCCATGGGTCAACACAGCTGGCGTGGAAGGCGTGGCCACAAGACAATCCGCGTACATCGTCGTCATCTTCCAAGGTGTCCAGGCAGATGGCGCATGTGTCTCCTGGCTCTGCCAACATTTCTGGTGCAGCAGCAGTGCGTATGGGATCCTCTTCATCATCATCTGAATCGTCCTCACGCTCGCGCACGTTTGCTTGTGGGGTAGCACTCTGCCCTTGAGTCTTGTCCGTCTTCTCTGTGTCCAACTTGACCTCGGCTTGCTTCTCGGCGTCCTGCACGTGCTGGCTCTTCTTGCTTTCCATGCTCGTTCTCGGGGAGGCTGCAGGCTGGGTAGAGGAGTTCGGGGCGTTGAGATCGTTGCGAGCCATTGAGAGTGCAGTGTCGGTTCTCGGTCCTGGGCCTTCGTCCTGCGCACTAATGACGCCCTCGACATCCTTCAAGCTTGCTGCTCTGCTCTGGGGCGCAGTCGCGATGCCGCCGTTGGCTGGTAAACCCTCGGTCTCGCGACTTGACTTCCATTGCTTATACTTTGTCAGTGGGAATCGCTCGTTGACCTCGTCCATGGTCATCAGCTTCTTCTCCCTCCTCCTCCTATGCGGGCGAGGCATGTTGGTCATGTCAATTGGTTCGCCATCTGCGGCAGCCTGGGCCGCGCGACGGCGATTATATCGGAAGCAATACTTGACGCCAACGATAATCCTGAAGCAGTCAGTAAGAGGGAGCAGTTGCGAAGCCAACTGCCAGCGCCTACCATAAGTTTGTGAAGACGACACCGAAACCCAGGGCAACGAAGAAAAGCAGCGGCGAACTGGTGGGGCCGCTGTTATTATTGTTGTTGTTGTTGCTGTTGGAGCCATCTGTTGGGGCAGGTGCGTTCTGCCTCGGGTAGACAAAGATGTTGGACATGATGGATAGCGGCGTCTCTGCTATTCCGTTCACGGACAGGATTGCTCACGCAGCTGTAGAGAGACGCGAAGCAGTGATGCGCGTGTACGTGGGGAGTTGGCCGGATGCGGAGAGCCCTGGTACACGTGAAACAAGTAGGGGGGCGACTCGACACTACGAAGGTACACGCTCTATCGACGGGAGTGGTGGTTGCGATATCGTCGAGGCGGCGGCAGCGGCGGGCTAGGCTGGAAGAAGGGCCGGTGTGGTTGATGGGATCAGTTGATGGTGACGGCAACGACTGCGGCTGTGGCGATGGAGAGTCGGCTTCTTAGAGGCTATGGTCGCTCGCGGTGACTGCCCGTGCCACAATCGCTAGCGGTTAATGACAAGAGCACTGTTATCGGCCATGCGATGCGGAGAGTGCAAATGGCTGCGCGACAGACTCTGGACTCGTTGGGGTGGTGAAGGGCAGTGGATGGGTCGCCGAGTGTCAGAACGGGCGAGGTGCCGGTCTTGAGGCGGATAAAGGCCGCAAAGGCGTCGCTAACGTCGACGGCAGGTGCCAAGGATGACCGGCAACCAGGACCATCTATGATAACACTACCCGTCTTACCGAACGCAACTGGGGCGTCTTGGAGTGGCTGGTGGCGAGGAATGGTTAACTGTGAAGTTGGTTGCAAGATGGTGGTGCGCTGGGTGTTGCTTGCTATTGAACCATGCATGTGTCACAGACAGTGTCCACGCAATGCGCCTCCAAGCAGGGTTTCGTCGCCCGCATTGATGCCGTCGCATGCAGGTGCTATCACATCTAACAAATTGCTGACCCCCCGGACGCCTAACAGATGAGACTGCGCTCGATGACTACCACCACTACTACTACGACTCGCTCTGAGTCCCATATCTCAGCTGCAGTGTACAATCTCAGATCGAAGCCCGCCGTGTTGCGTAGACATGTCGGATCCCTGCTCTCCGAGTGGAGTCTTCCCCGGCCGCTAACAATCTGCGAGTATCCACATGAACATCGTCCACCACTTGCAGCAGCCTTACTCCCCTGCTTTCTGCATCATTTTCTCTCCTCGGCACATCTTGGGAATTATCTAGACAGATCGCTGTTCTTCAGTTACCGCACGACTCCTTCACCGTTGCTGCAAAAGCCCGTCTAACGTCACTAGTTCCAATCTTCAAGCACTGCAACTATGGCGGAGACTGCCGAGCCCAACCCAATCGTCTTCTTCGACATCACCCTAGGAGGTATGCATCCACCCATGTGACCCAGATAGTCTCTTTACCCCTCACCCCGCGCCATTGCTACGCGTCGTTCTTGGCCTAACCCACAGTCGGACAAACGCCCCGCGACCCGACCATGGTGACTGACATAAGCGAAAACAGGGGAGAAGCTCGGTAGAATCAAGATGGAGTTGTTCAAAGATGTAGTCCCAAAGACGGCTGAGAATTTCCGCCAGTTCTGCACTGGAGAGACGAAAAACAGCCGAGGGCAGCCACAAGGCTACAAAGGCTGCAAGTTCCATCGCGTCGTAAGTGCCATTCAAAGTTGCAGTACTAGAGGTTTTGACTTTGACCATACTGACCATCGTAGATCAAAGGTTTTATGATCCAAGGCGGCGATTTTGTAAACGGCAATGGCACAGGCTCGAGAACCATTTGGGGAACTGAAAAGTTTGCCGACGAGAACTTCACATTGAAGCACGACAAACCTGGTCTTCTATCTATGGCTGTAAGTTCATGTAAGCCGCCTAGCCAAGTACGTCACTAACAGACCTAGAACTCAGGTCCCAATACCAACGGTTCCCAGTTCTTCATCATCACTGCGAAGAACGGCACCCCTCACCTGAACGGCAAGCACGTTGTCTTCGGAAATGTCATTGAAGGCATGGACGTTGTCACCAAGATTGAGAACACACGAACAGTAGCGAACCCAGAAGGAAAGCCAGTGCAAGATATCGCTATTGCGCAATGCGGTGAGATGTGAACATGGACATGACCGTTCATGTATTCAACCAGCATAAGAGCCTACCACACCCACCTCCGAGAGGCAAGATCGTAGGTGACATTTGAAGAACCCATAGGAAGCCTAGGAAGCATTTGTTTGGCCCAACCGCAGCTCACAGAATGGCAAGACATGGTGGGCCAGCTCAAGCCGCAAGTCTGCTATCAATTCTTGCGTATCTGTGATTGAGCATTCCAGATGCAAGCCGCTGTAGGATGCGGCGAAGAGACTATATCTTTATAATCTGACACACAATTAAAGACCAATGAAATGCATCCCTCTTGGATTTTTGCAGTGATTTTGGTGGTGGATCGGCGAACCATAGTGAACAGGTCTGGCTTACCTAAGTGACCCGCTGAAATTCTCTCGGGGCTCAATACTGCAGCACAGTCGCGTGCGTTCACCCCCGCCGTCCTCACTTCCAGTTTCACCACCCACCCGACAGACGACGCTTCTCTAGGTTTCACGTGCCTGCTCAAATGTAAACCTTTCGCCACCCATTTCCACTCAACATGGTCGCTATTGCCACGATGAACAGGACTCTCAGCACCGCCGCCCCGAGCGCGGGTGGCAGCCTCAAACGCAAACAAACCGACCACTCGTCCGACGCCGAAAACACTGTCCCGAATCAACTCAAACGCCGCCGAGTCACATTCGATCCCGAAGTCGACGTACGCATACTGAGCGAGCACCATGAGAAGAGTCTGGAGCTAGTGGGGGAGGAGGTGCGGCGAGCAATAGAGAAGCATGCGACAGGCGAGAAGGCAGCCTACGACGGTCTCAAGGCCCTCTTCAAAGAACCGCCGACATCAACAAGTGCACCGCTATCACGACTCTTGCAAAAATACGTCATCGCACTCTCGGAACACACGCCAAAACTCGACAGTAACTGCAAAGGCCTGGTGCACGCCGTCATCGATTGCAGCTGGATTGCGCGCAATGAAGACTTCCTACGCTCCTACCGAATCTTTCTGCGCAGGCTGCTCTCGGTTCAATCCAGCTACATGTCTACTGTGCTGCAGATGCTTGTCGACATGTTTCTGAACACGCCGTCCGTCAATGCTAGGCAGCAGGACGACCCGCCCATCCAAAGAGTACGCCTACAAGCGCGCATACACGAGACCCTCATGGGAATACTATGTTACAGTCCAATGGCGAGTTCCTTCCTCGCACCCGTCATCTCCAGCACCTTCCCATTTTCCAACGACAGCGCGAAGACACACGTCGAGTACATCCGAAACATCTTCAGGGTCACAGAGTATGCGCCAGAGATCAAGGGCGAGATTTTGGCACTTGTGACTGATAAGCTGTGCAAGATCGATGCGCAGATGCAGGTGGACATGGATGACATGGACGACGACTTGGAGGAGCAACTGGTTGGCGACGCCATCAATGACGAAGAAGACGACGACGACGACGCGAGCGACGACGGTTCCGTGTCAAGCGAGGAAAGTCTGGATCCAGAGGAGCAACGACTCAAGGATATCAAAGACATGATGCTCAAGCTCGATACCGTCATGGACGTACAATTCTCCTACTACGACTCAATCTTTGAACGGAGAGACCTTCAAGAGATGGACCGCACATACCAAACCCTTATCGCCCAATTCCAGTCCATCATCATCCCAACCTACCGCTCACGACATACTCAGTTCGTGCTTTTCCATTTCAGTCAGATGTCAACGGATTTCGTAGTGCGGTTCGTGGATACCTGCTCGCAACTAGCTGTCGACCAAAATCGACCCCCACTAATACGAGCATCTGCATGTGCCTACCTCGCCTCCTACATCGCGCGTGGCGCTCACGTTCCAGGCTTTGTGGTCCGCGATGTTTTTGACACACTTTGCTCGCAATTGGAGCGTCTGCGTGTACTGCACGAACCAAAGTGCATCGGCCCGGATCTACGCCGGTATGGCACATACTACGCCATCGCACAGGCACTATTGTATGCCTTCTGCTTCCGGTGGCGCGACCTCATTGTCACGCCCGACGGCACATTGCCTACTGATGCAGACATCATGTACCACGAAGGCGACTTCCAGTGGCACCGATCAACCCTCGAAATCGTACGGCGTAACATCTTCTGCAAACTCAATCCACTCAGAATCTGCGCACCAGACATTGTCAAGCAGTTCGGCCGCATTGCTAAGCACCTCCGCTTCACTTACGTCGATACCCTGGTAGAGACAAACAAGCGTGTGCGACTCTCTCGCAGCCTGGCCAGTGGTTATCTCAATGGTATTGGCGGCCGAGAGACTGCTCTCACTGGCAAAAAGGGTGAAGAGGCTTTCCTAATGGATGCGTACTTTCCATTCGACCCATATGTGCTTCCGCGCAGTAAGCGCTGGGTCGAGCACGACTACGTGCAATGGCGGCCCGTACCCGGTATGCCAGTAGAAAAAGACGACGAAGATGAGGACGATGAGGATGAAGACGACGACGACGATGACGAAGATGATGCTGATGACGACGATAGCAGCACTTCGGATGAGGACGACGACGATGACGCTAATGTCGCAAACCCCGAGGACCTCGACGATGGTAGTACGGAGGCTAGTCTATGATCGTTCCCTCATACATTGATTGCATTTATGGCGTATACAGGAGCGGGAAAGCATTGAAATCAGCATTTTGATTCGGCGCTGGTCACAAAGAACGAAAGCAGCCTATGATTGCTTATCTGGTCGCTGGGCTTGTTTGAAATGGCCTGGTTATATGTTTGTCGATTTCTGCATGGATTAGCGTTCAATTTCTTGCATGGTTGGTTGCATTTTCCGTCAGTTGACTGCCTAGAGTGCGGCACATTTACGTTTGTACCAAAGAGAGAATGAAATGAACAACTTAACAACAAGTTTTGCATCTTTTGTAGGTCATCCGTCGGCTATGGTAAGGTTCTCGTCACCGAAACCGGCAATGCGGATCTGAACAACGACTGTGCATTATATGCAAGGTCCAGACAGCGCGGTGACCAAAGATGGAAAGAATCTGTAGACGCGGTGACCGAAGGGGGAAGGACTAACAGTTGGCCAATCACGGTGATCGGTATCTACCGTAGTCCTCAAGTATTATATCTTCCAGGCAACCAACTCCAACCGTCCTCACTTGACCCAGAGGAAACATGTCCTCTCTGACTCTTACTACTATCCCGATCGAACTTCTCGCATACGTATTTGAGTATTTCATAGACGACGACACGCTCAAACATTTGAGCAAAGCCCATCCGAAGTTTGCTCCACCAGCCAATGCAGTGCGCCACAGTATTCGAAGACTTCTTGTACGCGGGAACGGTGCACAAGAAGCATGCAAAGAGCTTGTGGGCAGCATTCATGGCAGCCAAGATGAGACACGATCCGGCAACACTCTCGTTGGACCGATACGCTATCTTGAACTTGTCTTTGACAGCCGGGCACAATTTCGTCTAGCAGATGCAACGCAGGAAGTGTTGAACTGCCTGCCGGCAATCCGACACGTCACGCTCAAGATCATCGCTCGCCCCTTTCCTGATAGTCAGCATCAAGACATGATTGAGAATCTCGAGGAAAAGGTCCGGGGAGCCGTCCAGGACTACTCTACGCTCATGGATATGCTCAACACATTGAAGCCACAACGAAAGGTTGGACTGAGTCTTATCCTCAACGACTGCATGCTTCGTTCTTCACCAATCATTGCCCAGCAGTACGCAAACATCGTCTTGCGAGAATTCGACATCAAATACTACTTACTTCATTTTGATACCACAATCACCTTAGCCAAGCGCTTGGTTCACGCAACCAAAACCCTAACGGACATGACAATACTTGAAGATCCAGCATGCCAGTGGCAGCAGGAACAACTCCCCTGCATGCCCTTCTCAGGTCTCTCCGCTCTCAAGCGACTACATATACCTGCTAGCTTGTGGTTCGGCCGTAGCAATGAAGGCCTTCAAGGCTTTCTGTGGAAGCGCGAGGAGATTATCCGTCCGTCTATCGTCAACTTACTGCCTCCATCTCTATCCTCCCTTCGTATAGACTTCAATGGCATGTCTGCCGTCTTTGCCGTTGGCATGGGCTACCGTGCAGCATTCTTCCGTATGACCTCCGACGAAGCGAAGATGAGGATGAAACCAGCGTGGAATTGGATATATGAGCTCGTTGCTCCTGATGCTTCACAACTTCCCCATTTGAAGAATGTCGAGGTACTTGAGGGACTGGTTCCAGCCGATAGAAGACGCATAAGTAGAACGGGCGATCGTTATGATTGTGATTCGGTCGTTGACTGGGACCCGCCGCTGGAATTGAAAAAGGCGTTCGGAGATAGAGGCATCAAGTTGAAGATTCTTAATAGGACTATCAAGCATGGGAAGTCTTAAGCTGATACATAGAGGAGGTACATCTCCGTTTTCCATTGGTTGTACTAAAGCGGTAGAGCCACCATTGGTCTCGGTACGATAGACAGAAATACAACCTTGATACGCTTAGAAGCATGGAAGTTCATCATGTGCCTTGCACTACCACTCGCTCTGTAACGAATTTGAAAGCTTTATAACAAGTTTAATCCCAGCATTCTCAAACAATTCCCTCATCACTTGCGGTGGTGAGTAGGTATCCGTGGCATAAGTCTTAGGGCCCCCCGCCTTGATAATCAATGAAGGAGCTCCCTTAATTTCGACCAATCTAAGACATTCCAGTTCTGGCAAAACACCTTTCTTACGTTGTTTCTGCTCCGCGAATTCCTTGATCCATTCAAAACCCTTCAACTGGGTAGCCTGAGGTGTCAAAGGAAAGTGTGTTTGATAGCCCAAGCCCGCGGCGAAAACAACTTCGGGCCACATGAATTGGATTTCCAATTCGCGGAGCGATGGAGGGAGGAAGTTGTACACGCGAGCAGCACAGCGGTCCTGTTTCTTCCACATCCAGCCGTTTTCGGGTGCGCTGGGTAGGTCGAAATGGCGATTGTACCAAAAGGCCGAGGTGATCTTCAGGATTCGCAGGTGTTTGAGGAACGAGAAATTGGCGTTGATGGTAGGGTGGAGATGGTCACGAAAGTGACGACCCTCTGTAAAATATACGCCCGCCGGTTCTAGCAGTGCTAATTCTTTCAAGGAAGAATTAGGCCCCAGACTCGCTTTTAGAATGCCTGGAGTGGATACGATCAGGGTACCATTGGCAACCTCAAAATTCATTGGGCGGACATAGTCCGAATTCGTGGTGATGAGCAGTGACTGGAGGTTTTTGGCCTGACTGAGCAGTTTTACCATTTTAGCAGGGCCTATTGTGAAATTCCTGGAATCGAAGGATATAAGGTTGGGAAGGATAGTAGGCTCAAACGACGAGGGGTGATAATCGTCCAGAGATTCGGTAACGGTGTCAATTGCGAAAGACCGGATGGTGGGTATCTGCATCAGTTTGCTCAGAATCCTGACCGATGGTGTCTTCAAAACGATTGTCTGGATTCGGAGGTCTTTAAGCATGTCGAATAGCTGCTGTACACAAACTTGCTGGATTGGGATCCATTCTCGACCTGCCACCCAGTCTTTGATAACGATTTCGACTCTACGCAATTTCGGTAGTTTGTTGAGTATGGTGTAAGTTTGCGAATTGAAAAAGAGTGGTGAGCCCCACTCAGAATCTATCTGAACATGACGGACGTAGTCTGCCAGGTGCGGTGTCAATGTGATAGCCTGCAGGATCAGAGCACAGGTACGCTGTCGATCCATCACCCTTTTGTAGGCCTTCTCCTGTTTGTAGTCTGGTGGCATCTGAGCATCTGGTATCGGTAGCAAAATCGAGGGCCCTGCGTCAAGATATCGATTATGATCTTGTTCCCATCGTATGTATTCCTGGACTTGCGATGCATCGATAATCTTGTTGTCATATGTGACAAAAGATTTGCCCAAGGTAGATTGTGCTGGAAGGTTGATTGTGTGGAACAAGTGCCGCTGAGCGGATTTCATGAAAGATTGATGCGTCTTGATAAGGTTTATCAAATCTTCGCGGTCCACATCTGCAAAGATTTGGTCCAAGAGGTCGTTTGGAAGTGCAATGAAGATGCTTTTGGCCATAGTTTGCGGACGCTATCAGTTGGTAGCTGTGTCTTTGATCGAGAGAGTACAACAAGGGCAGGGCTTTTCGTGGCCGTTGGATGATCAAGAAGGAAAGTTGAAGAACAACTCTGGCGGAGGCGGAGATGTTGGGGTTGAGTTGATGTTGGTTCTTTCCCAAGAAATAAGGAAGAGGAAGGTTTATGTAGTTGTCCGAGAGAGGGCCGTGTGATCTCACACATACACACATTGTGACTACTCGTACGTTCACACTAGAAAATCGGTGAATGTAAGAGCTGAGTACCTCCTTCGAAAATATTTAAGGTTTCACCTCTGAACTCATCAGTCTCCCTCTGAGCTCGTAGTAGTTACTATGACATGAGGTCTGCGCCTGATACGCTGATAGATGCGAAGGGTGGAAGGAAATCAAATTGTTCAGCTACAGCTGACGGAAACGTGTCGGAGGTGTCGGCGCTTGACTAGAGCAATGCCGTACCACGGCTAAATCTATCAGACTGGTAACGTTCTGCAGGAATTGAGGATTGTAGATCGAGGGATACCAAAGTGCATACTTGACATAAGAACGACATCGAGGACCTGTGTGTATTGGAAGATCCTTTTGGGCCCAGCATTGAAAACGCCCATAGTCTGTCTCCTCTTGCCATAAGGAGATCCTAACGGCATGGAAACTGAGTAACGCCATCATCACAGCCTATTGAGAAGTCTGTAGATATGGAAATAATGCCACATCTCGATCACCATAGCCAACTGGGTGGAAATATAAGGTCGAACCGATACTGCACGAGGGAGTAACATGTGTGAACGGCTTTACACACCAAACGGGACACTGCTACGATAGGCTCGATTATAGTGTGGAGCGTCAAATTGACTCCAAGTTGGAGTGCTGTTGATCGATTGACCAAGCGCAGATGTGTGCACTTCAAGGCAACAATCTAGCAACAATGAAAAGTTTGGCCTATTGTTCGTGGTGACTATGCGATCCGTTCATCCAGGGTGGGTATGAATGCTGGGTCGTGGGCCCTGTAGATTCGCCAAAATCATTAGCACTCATTGATACATGCATTAGTGGGATCTCAAAACGGCCGAGGCTATACGTACACGTGAAAGCATAGCCGCTGCCAAAGGTATACAACGATTCGTCTGTCGCTCCAGTGCCGCAAGTCTCTGCTGTCGCACCTCGGTCATCGGGATTATCTTCATTCCCTTCGTTTGGATGATCCAGACCCAGACTCAGCGCGGCCCAGTCAATGCTCTCCCACGCGTTGAGGTCCGGTTCGGCAACGTGTTGTTGTAACGGTCCAACAGGACTATTGGCGTCTTCAGCTTTCGAGGGTGCTTCGAAGAATGGCGCAAGCCTACGTACAAGACAAACTCAAGTATAAGCAAACGAATGCATAGGCAAGAATGTACGGTCATCTAACCTGAGATTAACAACCCTGTCCCATAGATGACATACAGCGTCATTGAGCTTGTAGCTGACCCAGCCGCAGAGGTGTAGTCGTTCGAGAAGCGCTTCGGCCGAAAGGATGTCGAATTCTGCACAAGCGAGCGATGTTTGATACACAAACCATGTGCTATCCGGCGAGGGCTCCGCTGATATCGCGCCAATAGAGAGTATCCAGAGCAGAAGGTCGGGGCAATGCTGCCATTCAGTACGAATGGTACAGTTCAACGCTTTCTCTAATCTTTTGCTTGCCGCAAAGTGAAGATGGTGAACGTGAGACTGCTGATTGAATGCTTCTGTCGTGCGCACCGTGAATATGAGCAACGCAACGCAAAGCGCATCTTCAAGTGGGGTAGCAAGATGTTCGTTTTCACGTAGCCATGTAAGTAAGAGGCACTCCAAGGCACACGAGAAGTTCTGAATATCGAGAGGGTCTAAGAAACTTTCGGGATCACTGAACCAGGCGTTGAGATCGGCTATCAGGAAGAGCACCGATTCCACCAGGGCATTGAGCGACTCTTTGATACCAGCATGCCGGCAGTAGTCGATTAGATGCTGTGAGATGTGCCGCCGGTAGCCTGGAGGATGATGTGGGAAACCGGACGTGCTGATGAAATCCAATGTAGAGGGGCTTGGTGGTTGGAAGTTGAAGATGGCGTGAGCGGTCGAATGCCTGATGCTCAGTAAGCACATGCCAACCCGGTTCGGGACAGAACGTGGGAGTTTTAGCTACACACCAAAGCATAAAAGCCTGGAGGATGCGATTTGTGTTGATTGCTCGTAATCCTCCACGCAACTGCACCATTCTTTGCAAACCTCTCTCATGAATCTCGAGTTGGGCTGCGTGGTCTTCATGCAGTTCGAAACATGGCAGACGGAGTCCCTGCTCTATGGTGAGTAAATTGAAAACTGCGCCTATGTTCGCATCCGAGACGCCATCCGGTGTCAGTATCGCGGCATTAACAGCAGCAATAGCTTGTGCTCGATGATATAAGACGGCATCAATCGTGTCTTTCCCGAATACCCAGGCGTGTAGCGCAATCGTAGCGAGCAGGCTGTGCATGAACCCTGAGTTACCGATTGCTGTACCAAACCAGTCCGACTTCATCAAGGTCGACCGATGCCGAACGTCGACTGCGATGATACCGGGCGCCATCTCCGTTGAAACTACACAATACTAGTCAGCGTACGGAAACCAAGACCACCACCCATCGGGCTGTTTGACGCCTTGCAATCGACTGCAGTCTAGACTCTGCGCTCTCCCCGCCATTGCACTGCGCTCTTGGCCAACATGCTGGGCAGCGTTGCCATGTCACGAACCCGGCAAACTGGGAAACGTCGATGCAAACAAGGATGCAGGGACTGTCACTTACAATGCTTCAACAGTTCCGATACGCTGCGGGTAACTTCGACAGACGATGTCCGAAAAGGGTCGAATAATTGATTATTTGGGTCTTCTGCAGGCGCCGCAGGCTTGAGCAAAAGACATCTTTGGCATAGCCTCTCACCAGGGCGACACAGAAAAATCTGACAGTCTGGACAAACATCTTTTCTGACTATTGCATAGCCCTTGGACTCTGGGGAGGAAAAGTAGTCAGACTTGTTCGCAACAATTGGTGGGCTTGGCGTGGTTGTTTTTGGCGTTGACGCACATGTACTGTTGGGACTTGCGCTTTCGGGACTTCCAGTTTTCCTTTGTTTTGCACCATGTTTGCTTGTAGACCAAGGGTTCTTCCTCCGCGCGTTCTGCATGACAAAAGAACGAGCATTGCGGCGACCTTGGCGAGACGTCTTTGCTTGAGCTGCATCGACGAACAAGAAGTCTTGCTGATTAGACATTGTCGGTTAAAGCCGCTAAGTCTCCCTTGGGTGGCTCCTTCGGGCCCTCGAGCGGTTCTTCCCGTCACAGAATTAGCAATATGCCGAATTGTCCTGTTCTGAGATGTGGTAGATGGTGGGGCTTAGCAGGGTGTAGCCGGGAAGACGTTGCGAGTGGTGACTAGGCCAGACTTTCCCAATCCATGCTCGAGTACCACCATTTTGGTTCTGACATCTGCCGGGACGATGTCGGGCTGCGCCTGTATCGTCTTTGATGTTACTGGAGGTGGTGGAGGGGCGCGAGATGTGAAACTATCAAGGACCCGATTCGTGTTAGGCTGCAGAAGCGAAGTCGGGTGTGACGGGGTGTCTCCGCCGATGCCAATCTCTCGAACGATGAAGACGCGCGACGCCCTATGCTGGTCTCAGACGGGTATGCGAAATGATTCCGTGAGACGGCAGACGGCACAGGGTCTGTCTATATATGTAGGCAATAGGATTCGCGGATGGCTTTGGACCGAAAGGGATCAAAAATAGTACCATCCATGGCCAGTGGCTAGGGTTGCATGATGTTCCATGGACATGTTGCCTGTCTAGAATGTCTAGAATAGTCAAGATGGGAGTCGAGGACGCCACAGCCGACACTACCAGTAGCCGGAGCGCGCGATAGCCTATGCATTGTCGAGTTTTGATGAGTTGCCGTCTCTGAGGTTCAAACGATACCGGGTATGACGCACTCTTGGCTTTCCGGCGCGTTCGGAAATACTTTTTGTATACATGGGTGCAAGTGAAGCCCGCAAACACGCGTACGTATGCAATTCGCAGTCAGAGGGAAGAAGGCACGTCGACACGCGGACCCGGAGAGTGTGTGAACAGGTGAAGGAGCCGAGGAATAAAGAGCCTCCGGCCCCCGGCGACTACTGGGCAAGCGCGATGGAACCACGCGTACCTTCAACTTCCGGAAGCTCTGTCAACATCCGCAATGCAGGCAGACGGAATTGCAGCAGGTATGCGTGCTTATTCTGCTGACTGTGGCGTCCGTACACTAACCGCGCTCCTCTGATTTAGGGCTTTCAGAAATACCTGCGCATATCCTCCACGCGGAATTGCTCCGAAGACAGCAAGAGGACGAGGAACGACCGGAATGTGGAAGCAAGGGCGGCAAGGGATACTATAACACGCCAGTACATGTCTTCGCGCTGTTCTTGATACTCACGCTGAGTACTGCAGGTGCGCATGTTGCTTCACGTACACATGAGTACACCACTGACCATGTCGCAGCTTGCTCCTTTCCCATCGTCGTCAAGCGCTTTCCCTCGATACCTGTTCCGCACCAATTCCTCTTTATATCTAGGCACTTCGGCACCGGTGTCCTGATAGCGACCGCCTTCGTCCATCTCCTGCCCACCGCCTTCGAATCCCTTACCGACCCATGTCTTCCCAGATTCTGGAACCAGGGCTACCCGGCTATGCCGGGTCTAATAGCCATGTCATCGGTGTTTATGGTGGTAGGGATTGAGATGTTCTTCGCATCAAGAGGAGCAGGCCACTCACACTCAACTGGTGACTTGGGTCTAGACCATCACCATGCGAATGCGCGCCCCGGTCACAAGAGAAGCCACAGCTATGGGAGGTTTAGCAACGGCACGCCAAGATTGAACGGCAACGTGCCGGGCATCATGCTGCATGACGTCGAATCATCAGCCAATCTGATGGCAGGCCGATCACCGTCCTTTTCACTGGCATCGCCCATGACACCCAACGAACCCCTGGGCCGAAAATCTCTAGACGACGACAACGACTCGGATCTTGAAATAAGCAGAGAAGAGCTGGAACACCAAAACGAAGAGCTTTCAGAAGACGAGTCGCGCCTACTGCCCGGTCCCCGTGCTCAGAATCACACTCATCGACCTGGCGGCGAGTCGTCCGAAGACGACCAGGAGAAGACAGAAGCCCAGAATAAAAAGTTACTGTTGCAATGTCTCCTTCTAGAGGCTGGAATCCTCTTCCACTCCGTCTTCATAGGTATGGCGCTCTCAGTCGCCACTGGCACCGCCTTCATTGTCTTCCTTGTGGCCATCTCCTTCCACCAAACCTTCGAAGGCTTCGCACTCGGCTCCAGGATCAGCGCTATCCGCTTCCCCGAGGGCTCTCCAAAACCGTGGTTAATGGCTCTGGCTTACGGAACAACTACACCGATCGGCCAGGCGATAGGTCTAGCTATTCACACTCTGTATGACCCAGCAAGTGAAGCTGGCTTACTGACCGTAGGCTTCATGAACGCCATATCCAGTGGCTTGCTGCTATTTGCTGGCCTGGTGGAGCTTCTGGCTGAAGACTTCCTCAGTGACGAAAGCTATGTCACTTTACGTGGGAAGCGGCGACTGCAGGCCTGTGCCAGTGTCGTAGGAGGAGCGTTGTTAATGGCACTAGTCGGCGCGTGGGCATAGTCCCTAGCATTCTCTTCTTGTATATTCTAAGCGCATTATCCATCTGCCTGGCGTTATTGGTGGTTGCATGCAGATCGATCTGCTTCGTAATCATAATAGCCCGAGCGACGTTTTGCAGAGGCCTCGATTGGCTCGATCTTGTTGTCAAGTGCGTATCGCCACAGGTGATGTTACATTACGGACTTGTCCGCTGTGCTCCATGCTACTTTTCAACCTCCTCTTGTTCCTCCGTGCTTCCTACCCTGTACAACCCTTGACTACTACTGTTGCCTTCCTCCTTTCCGACTCCAGCTTCCTGCTCCAATTGTTTGCATCGTCGTACCAAATCGCTCACGTGGGCGTCTCCACTGTTGTGGCTTAATCCAAGCAACGCAATCTCCAGATTGTAAAGGTACTCCTTGTTCTCGCCACTTGGTCCTTTGCCTACAACCGGATCAGCATGTGTCTACTAGTAGGAAATGACCCAACAGTCGCGAAAATGAAACTAAACATACTTTCCAATATCTTTCTCGCCAAAGCATCAGGATCCTGCGCGCCCAAGAATTGCGGATTCTCTGGTAACCCAATGTACACCAGGCACTTGATACTTCCCGCCTCCTCAGTCACGCTTATTGAGTTGGTAGCTCGGATGCCCGCCCACATGCCTCTTTCGGATTCACTCGGCTCCGAGTCGTGAGGTGGGGACGTGACTTCGGCTGTACTAATAGCAGGATGGAATGGCGTGAACTGAATGGAATACCCATTTATCTCGCGGATGTCGAGGTACTCGCGCACCTCTTTTACATGAGAGGCGGGAATATGGTATGCAGCGCCCCACACGCGCCCGGTGGATTCATGCTGGATTTTGCTATTAGATTTATGGCAGGAGGCATTTTGAGTGCATTCGTATATGGTGAATAGGGTGAATACGGGAGAGGTCAGACGATTACTTACAGTGTCTGTCAGAGTCTCCCAATGCGCTTTATCGATCAAAGTGACAACACGTCCTGGAGCCTCGGGCGTTCCCCGGTGATCTTCACTGTATCATGCCAACATTAGCATACTCTGCATGAAAGAGACCCGCTTCTCCATGTATCCATCGAACGATGTTCATACCTCGCCTACTACCATTAGCAAAGAAGATCATCTCACCACATCTCTCCATCGATGAAAAAAAACATACCTGCCAGAACCTCCTCACATATCCTTCGATAAATCCTGGAACCCGTTGATCTATTCCTCGCAATTAGATCAAGAAATGCATTTTCAATCGCAGTAACATGGGATGTTTGCTTTTCGTGGTGAGAACGTTCTGTTCGGGCCGTACCGTAGTGTGGCGGTGGTTTCCATATCAAGCTCCTAAGACCGAGGCGTTAGCTACGTCGTGTTTGGAAAGGCTTGTTCGTTCGGCAGCATTACCCGTATCCAAAGATCCAGAAGTCATCGTTGCTGCCATAAGTCTCAATCTCACTCGTGTGGTCTGCCATGGTCGATTAGTGAGATATGTAAGCTCACTTGTCGTAGGAGCAAGTCTGTTTTAACGTTTCCATGAGGTGCCGAAGGACCAGATTATTAGTGGGGCCGCGATGCAGGGAAAATGCGTAAGCCGCGTATCGTCCGCGGAACAGCATATCGGGATTCTTCGGTGGTGGTTGTTTAGAAATCGTATGTTGTTTTGTGTTGCCAAGCTACCTAGGTATGCATACATATGTTTACAGATACAAGTACGGACGTTTAAGATCCACCCGCAGCGCGGCTCATGAAGAAACCCTTTAGTGGACCCATTGCATCAACAGCTCTCAATCCGAGACTTCGCAATCCTACAAGCGGGCCCGATTCAACGCTATACAGTCGATGTAATTTATCGCATACGCCCAGCATTGCATTATTCTCCGCGTATCGCTCGCTGGTATAGCTCTCCAACGCCAACGTTGATCCTATGTCTTGGCCAGTTTGCACTGCATGTGATATCGTTCGAACGAGCGCCGCAGCATCGCCTTGGCCTTGGTTTAAACCTTGGCCCGCGAGCGGATGTATAGTGTGTGCCGCATCACCAACCAGCGCAACTCGTTCACCAGTGTATGTATCCGCGTGTCGCATGCGAAGTGGGAAGGATGCGACTGTACCGTCTTGTACGTGTGCTACTCGCGTTGGTATCGCATGTTCGTCGACAGGTGTGTGTTTCTCTCGCCATGCAACTTCTTCTGCCTGTCCAGATGAGAGTGTGTGTAGATACTCCAAGTCTGTGGGTGACAGTCGGAAACCCGCATTGACCATTGCAACGAAATCCTCTTGTGACAACGTCTTGAGCTTCGCGGCACGCTCCGGCGTGGTACTCCAGACAAGTGTCGACATGTTTCCTGGAAGGGGCAGCATAGCTATGGGGCCGGTTGGCAAGAACCGCTGGTATGCGATCTTGTGATCTGGACCGCCCCAGCCTTGCCCCTCGAGCTTCAGACTAGCCACTAAACCGTGTCTACCATAATCGAAGCCTCGCGACTCAATGTCTGCAAAAGTCCGCACTGGGCTATTCGCACCATCGGCTCCGACTAACAGCCTAGCTGCCAATGTCTTTCCATTGGATAGCGTGAGCATTGGCCATGATGAGAAGTCCATCTTCTCTGTATCTGTACCCAGATCTATCGAGTTGACCTTTGTGGATGTGTAAAAGTCGACACCGCCCAATTGTTCGAGCCGGCTCAACAGAGCGGTAACCGTATTGACGTTCTCGATCATGTAGGCGATCGTCGTAGGCTGCGCCGGGTTACGAGGAGTAAGGAGAGGTTTCGCTGTGTGCCAATCGAACGATATCCGCGCATCAGTGACGCCGTCCCATACTTGCATCTCTTGGTATGGCTGCACCCGGGGTGTGTTGACATGCGCCCATGCTCCGATTTCTATTTCGCTCACGTCAGACCGGAACTATCATACACTTTACACGCTCGTTCGTACCCTGTAAATTCTTCACGGAGGCCGGGGTGAGGGAGCTGCATCTATTGGAAAAGCTCTCCAAACTAGCATCTTGTGATAATCGATTCTTGTGTAGATCTTGTCCCTCAATGAGTGCAACTTTCAGCCCGCTTGTGATTGGCGATGCTTTCAGACCGGTCAGGAGACTCAGACCTGCTGGTCCACCGCCTACGCAGACGACGTCGTAAACCTCCGGTGCATTTGCGGAGCTCGAGGCAAACCTCTGCTGAGGCCGCAGACGGACCCAGGCTGCCGATGGTGACGATAGAGCCCTGGGCCCTCTTAGAAGTATTCGGGGCGGCATCACGAGCCTTTGAAGACTATCGTAACATGGGAAAACGGATTTGATTCGCGAACCACGAAAGTCGGAATGGTAGTGTCATCATAGGTTTGTTTGGCGTGTTTGCAGACTGACGCGCTAAGGATTATGTCATGCATGGCAAGTCGTGGCGACCTGCCGGGGCCTCGTCAACGTCTGATGTTAGCTCCGGCTCCTTTCACCTTCTCCACCACATCCAAACCGCAACATGTTTTCTTCCAATTGGGATTTCCGGATCCTCTCCAGGCTTTCCTTAGCGACAGTTGTCTGCTCTAGAAGGAGAATTGGTCTTATTCATGAAGCAACGCTTCTGGAGACAGCTTATACCCCTCTTGTTTCATTATACCTTCCGGTTATTGCTCGCTGACAGGCAGTACATCCTGTCTTTGTGAGGATTATGATGTCGAAGGACTCCTTGACAGCTTCTCGGTCCCTTCATAGTGCGAGCGCGATGCTGTGTTGTCGGGTCGTAAGGGCCGGTGATTTGGGTCTAGACGGACAATCTCTTGTGGTAATGATGGCGAATGTACCGATGCTCCTCGACGGTGCCAACACCTAAACAAAATACGCACGAGACCTTCTCCTCTCGAGTCACCACAGTAGCGCCTCCTACCGTGGTAACGTTTCATATCCGCCAAATTCATAGGGCAGTTTTCCCTAAAACGCTCGAACTGCATGTTTCTCTTGCATGCGTGTGCAGGCGCAGAATCTCCTTATCTGCTCCAGGCTGCTTTGTTGGTCTTCCAAACTACTACTAACCAGATGGATCGGTGTTTATTCAGGTTCGCGCCGTCGTGTCAACACCCTGTTTTCTTGTCAACCAAGCTCCATTGGCAGATTTCTTCGGTACAAATATGTGACTTTGGTCATTGGCCGTACCAGCGTGTCCTTGCGCAACGTACTAATGCTATTGCTAGACTATTAAAGTCATAAGAACCATCCAGTCATCGAGTCTTTTTTTCATTCTTTCTGCTCTCTCGCTCTACTACGCTCAACAGCTTTCATGCTGTCCAATGCTATGACCTCTCAAGTTCATGTACACATACCTTCCAATGAACCTTATGTAGTTGTCAACATCAGCCAAACAGAAGTTGAACCAGAAACATACCGATTACCATACCCTCCAGAGCTTACGCTAAAGCGACGAGCAACCGAATCATTCCTCCAGACGTGGGGATATTTGAAGAAACGAAGAAAAACATTAAGACGTATTCAAGAGACAACAATCGACTGTCCTTGTTTACCACCACCAACATACGACGTGGCTATGACTGAATCAGCTTCGCATCTCGACAGTGTTTACCCAACGCTTCCTACTACGCCCCCTACGCCCAACACCCAGAGCAATGGGTCTCTTTCCCGAAGGCCGTCACAGGTCACTGAGGTAATAGAGAAGGTCAATACCAGGCTCAGACGCCTCTTTTATGGTCGAAGAGGATCTGCCGAAGATGAACACCCACCACTCGACCCTACTGTTGCCCAACGCTCGGGCATATCTGACAACACAAGCGGCCCATCTGAAGACCAATATTCCCAGTGTAGTTCCAAAGATCTCGCTGGAATGGGCCTGGCTAATCTGCCCAATGTAAGCGAGTACTTTGATGTGAACGGCGAAGTAGGCCCTAGCTGCTTTTACTCCACTACTGACTGGGACACCTTCCAGGCAACGCTCCGATCTCAAAGAAGAAACACCATGCAGGCGCAATGGAAGACCGACTTACAGTACGATGGAGATAGTGATCTGGACCAACTCGACAAGCATTGGCAACATGATAGCCGAGCTGAGAGATGCGAAGAGCGAGAACGAAAAGACTCTCAATTTAGTTTCAGTGACTTTTTGAAGCCTCAAAGGTCTGGCAAAGTGGACAAAGGGAAGAGTCGAATGGTCTATGACGATGGGGATGGATTGATCTCACAAGATCAACCACTTCTCTCTCCTTACCAGGATGCTTCGTCTGATACGGCCGGACCCTCTACTGTACGGACTGGTGTTCTGATTCATGCGCCATCGGACGAAAGCCAAATCGTTGCATCTGAGGAGTCCGTTGCCTGCGGCCATCAGATCGCCATTGGTCCACTACAGTCGTCAGCTCCAGTATTACCAGAGGATTACAACGGACCCAGGAGGAGGCCAGAGCTTGCCACAAGGAAAGTAAGCGTGCGCCTAGTTCCACCTACACCTCACTGTCCACGAGACGAGCGGCGATCCTCAACGTCTTCTTCAGTCTCCAGCTTCGGCTCTCCCACACCAGCAGCTAAACCGTCAAGGACTCCATGTCACCTCGCACGAAACTTAGTCAGCACACCTGCTACAAGTGCGAGCGAACCAGGTGCCAATGGCCATTCTGAGCCAATCTCAATACCATCTCCATATCACATCAGTCGCGGCTTGTCTGCGGTTCCTGTGGGCTCAGCCCAACCCATTGACGACTCACCCACCTTCCCCCCATCCCTCGTCTCATCAACAACAAATCTGCTCTCCCACGAGTACAGCCCAGATACGACTCCCTCTCCACCTTCTCTTCAGCCCACTCTCGTTCCCTCTCCAGAGGCCATGCAAGCACTACTTCTAGGTCCACCACAACGAGCCTTGCTCCAGCGATCTGTATCGAGTGATTCACGCATGTTTCACGTCTCCGTCGAACGGCTTTCTACACCTGCACCTACGCAGCCCATCTTGCCATACCATGGCCCTTCTACTGTTGACAAGAAGGGTGACTTAGTCCGAGGTTTAGAAGATGAACCGGATTTCAGCATCACACACCCTGCGCCTCCCAGTCCGCTGATCTCGGCCTCCCCACCACTGGCTGATGTGCCATCGCCTGTCAGGCGTCGAACAGGGAGTCTAGAGGGGAGTGAAGATCTACGAGCTGTGTATATTGAGCAAGGAAAAGCGAGCGTGATGAATCATCATCCACGACGCCGGAGTCCGAGGAAGAGTTTACAGGGGAGGTTGTGGTGGGACGAGTCGCCGCCGAAGGTATATCTCTAGACTGTGTCACTTCTATCTTTGAAAGAATTACTCGACTGAACTAAAAAGTTGGGATCAATCTTTAGCGCTTATAAGTCGTTGGAACCCATCAAACACATCACAGTCACATAACATGATAAGAAGACGTAATAGTTCCTCAGCATCAACACCTCTGCGTCCAATGTATTACAACTGCATGCTAAGTAATGCTACTTTTGCCCTTCGGGCTAGTGATCCTCGTCACCATTACAAATACGCCATAGACCCCATGCAATAGATAAAAAGGACAAAGCCTTGCCAGGCTGTCATGAAGAGAGCGGAATGCCCCAAGGTGGGTATCGAACAATCGAAAAGGACTGGAGTTTTTATGCCGGAAAACGCTATGCATGAAAAGTAGGACGAAGATTGCAAGCAGAGACTTGCTAGACGAGATTGTTTGACTCTCCTCATGTTTACAAGAGGACGGCGAAGCCGAAGAAGACGCTGCCGAAGACGGCGGCAAGACCAAGACCGGCGTTGGGCATGAAGATGGAGCCAGCACCGCCTTGGTCAGATGAGCCGCTGTCGCTGGAACCGGTCTCCTCAGCACCGCCGCCGCCGAAGCCGGTGACGGGGATGGTGTTGGTAGCAGCGCCGTTGGAGCCGGTTGGGGCGGCGGTGGAGGACATGGTGGTAGGTAGAGAGGTGTTACCGCGGTAGGGGTCTTGGGCTCCGCATGGGTGGTCCTCACTGGTAATCATGTTAGTGTTGTTTTTACTTGGATGGATCGATCAAACATACCGGCAAGCGCTCTGGCAAGTGCTGTCACCATTGCAGTTGGCAACGCAGTTGTTTCCCCATTGTTGGCAGATGAAGTATGGCAGGGTCTGCGAGTACTGGGTGATGTTGGGAGAGACACCGTTGTCACAGACACAGGTGTAGGTCAGAGCGTCGGAATCGCAGTCGTTCTGCTCGGTGGTCATGGAGTCGACACCGGGCTGTTGGAGGCAGATGAGCGGGCACTGTGCCCTGTTCTGGTCGCACCAGTAATCTTGACCATATTAGACGAGGCAAAGTTGATACAGAGGACTCTACATACCCCTGGTAGACTGGTCGACGGTGTCGGGGTCAATGGTGTATGGGTAGCTCATCTGGGGAGCGTCCTGAGCAGCGACCAAGCCAGTGAAGGCGGCAATGCTGAGGGCGAAGACGGAACGCATGTTGACGGTTGGGGTTGTGGTGATGGTGGAGGAGGAGTGGTATTAGCGGAGATGCAGCGAAGGTATTAAAATAATAGACGGTCAGCGACAGACGGTGGACAATCGAATATAAAGGGCAACTCTTCAGCGAAAGTGATGAGGAGGCTGGAAAAAAGAGGCGGCGTCTGATATATAAAGGGAGGGATGTGTCGACGGGAAGCAATAAGCTAGTGGAGTATCAGATAGGAAGGCTCACGGAAGGGTGCGTGCGTTTCCCCGCCTACCTTCTCGCCCGGGACGATGCCTGTTGGGGACGGGTTGGCCGTGACTCGAGCCATCTGGCGACTGTGGAGTCGGCGTGGACGGCGTGGAAAGGGCGGCTTTGGGTCGGAAATCGTGAGACGCTGTATTGGAAGTTTCCCATTAATCCCTCGGCTGCGCAGGGATGCAATGGTTTGCTTGTTCGTATTGGCCACCGCCCTAGCACCCGCTAGTCATTCACCCAGGGTCTCGCGTCCTAGCTCGCGCTGCGCATCATTCGGTTGAGATGAGCGCTGGCAAACGCCGCCAATTCTTCTTTCATCGTCAACAAGACACTAGACGCGACTGGCTGCATGCTCCGGCCCAGCTGTTGCAGCACCACACTGTACATATCTACCCCTCACCTCGACGCGGCAGCACCTAGATACCAACCGCCTTCCCGTTTGACGCGCCACCTGCCCAGCCATCTACTGTAAATGGATGGAGCCGGCGAGCTTTGAAACTGGAGACCCGTCGTCGTCGCCAGCCCAAGATGGGGCAAAACCCGCCACTGCTACCGCGGGTGACCGCAACAGCGTTGGCAGCGTGGTCCCGCCATACTGGCAATCCCACCAGCGCAACGCGTCCTATCTAAGCAACTACTCTGCTGACAACGGCCGCCCCACTCCCATCGGCCTCGAGGACCATACGGATGAGGGCTCAGACCACTGCAAAGTTCTCTGGGCCAAGGGTGTCACGATAGATGATTACGTTGTCATCAGCGGCACGGCTGCGGCACCTGGATTTGGGGCTTATGTCGTCTTCAATTGCACGGTCGAGACACTGGATGTAAGTTCCGAGCCGCATCGAGATGCGCTAGTCCGCAGAGCCATATCCTCGTAGCCAATCACTTGCATGAAATTATTTTCCCAAAAGATGGTTTCATGCACAAGGCCCGTGGTGGAGCTGCGAGATGCTGCCTATCTCCAGGCGATGAACCTTCATGCACATGCTAACTGTTGCAGGGTGGTCCCATGAAGATACGAAAGAGGTAAGACATGTTTCCACGACCTTCGAAAGCATCCACTGATTGTGTACAGATACTCGGAGTTTGAAGATCTGCACACAAAGCTGCTCCAGACCTTTCCTCACGCCGCGGGTTCCATGCCGCACTTCCCACCCAAGTCCGTAATATGTAAGTCACATGTCCTCGTACGGCATCACTCCACCAGTTAATATACTAATGCATCTGGCATAGCTCGCTTTAGGCCCCGTTTTCTGGAAAAGCGGAAACAAGGACTTTCGTACTTTCTCAAGTTTGTTTATCGATAACAAAGCTAGCGTACATCGGCTGACCTATTAATAGTTGCGTTTTGCTCAACCCGGAGTTCGCTGGATCACCAGTCTTGAAGGACTTTCTTTTCTCGTGAGGTGCTCGTCGGTGTACGTGTTGATCTTGGTGTCTCAGGTGTGGCAAACAAGAGCTGGATTTGGATCGAGGTGCCGGTAGTCCGGGGCGTGCACGACCGGTGACAGTAACGAGCACGACTGAAGCAGTCGCGAGGACGTCTCATTGTTCCAGATTCACGTGTAGATATAAATTTTCCGTAAAGTTGCTCATGCAGGATTACTTCCATGTTGAATGTCGAGTTGGTGCTGCCGGGATCATAGGGTACTGATTGGCTACCAGCGTCGGTGGCGCTACTCTTCCAAGTATCTCATATGCGCTGCACTGCAATTCGTTGAATATTCTTCTGATGTACAGTCTGATATGGAGAAGGGAAGGCTCTGATATGAAGCTTAATTCAACGTCACTTTGTCTGTATGCGACGCATGTGTCTTGGTGAGGCGTACTGGATAGGTTTTGGGTGCAGCAGCTCGTTTGGCAAACTGCGCGAGCTCTGCCACTCGACGACCCCTAACGGCTCGCGTTTTGGCACATCTCAGCGCGACACTCAATGGCAGCTCAACGATGAATAGCTGAAAGATGACCCAGCGAATCGCGAATGATCTCGAGTCTGCTCAATATCATGGCCAACGCCGTTCGGCCTCCGCTGCTGCGAAGCTCGAATGAACGGCAGACGAGGCTCAACTTCCTGCCCGTGTCGCGCGATGACGCCCTCCAACAAGCCCAGCGCAACAACAATAACACGCCCGTCGCGACAAGACGGACCTCCAAAAGCGGCCCATTGCTTGCGCTTGCTGATGACGATAGATCCGTCAAGCAATTAACCCACACGCCCAACAAACCCCCTCCGCCTGCGCGCACCAGCAGCAGGAAGCGGCCAGCCATAGCCTTGGAAGACGACGCGACCGACACGAGACCTCCCACAAAGATCACCGTGACACAACCACACGGCGAGCTCCTGCGCATCACCAATGGCGTCGCCGCCCCGCTGGGCATAGACGCCGACGACGTCCCCTCTGCGAGGTCCACGCCTAGGCCAGGCAGCTCCGGCAAGCTTGCTGCGCCCCCAGCTGTCCCCGCCCCGGCCTCGACAGCGTCGTCGACAGACAAGCGCAGCCTGAGAAGCCACGACGGTGGATCCCGCCTCAAGAGTGATCTCGCCGTCTACTTTTCAAACTACGACGACATCATTGCAGGTGTGTCCAAAGAGGATGGTATGTCACTGTCACATGTCGCGTGGCCTACCAGCTGATCGCATGCAGAGTTCCTCGATATCGATACCCCCATATACATTGTCGACGAGCCCATCAAGCCCAAGACGCCTGAGCCCACGCGAAGCTCCCTAAGCCCGACGCGCTCACGGAAAGCGAGACCTTCGTCCCCATCGCGCCATGCTTCAGATCCCTCAATACCCCTAGCCCCGTCCTCGACTTCCTTCACCGTCCTCGACTACGCCTCTATAGCCAATGCCATCACCCGTAATGACGGCGAAGACCCCCTCGCCGACTCGGTCTTCTTCACACAACACCGACGCGCTGAACGCAAGGAGAAGCAGCTGCGCAATATCGAAAAGGAGCGCGCCATGCACGAGAAGGTGCAGTTAGAGAGGCTCCTCGATGGGCTGCAGGGTCCAGACTGGCTCAAGGTCATGGGCATAACAGGCGTGACAGACGGCGAGAGAAAGGACTGGGAGGCCAAGCGCGACTACTTTGTCAGAGAGGTAGAAGCACTAGTCGACAAATTCCGCGTCTGGAAGGAAGAGGAGAAACGCTTACGTGCTGAAAAGGAAGCAGCTCTCGCTGCGAGGGAAGACGACGAGGAAGAAGACGGCGAAGAGACCGAAGACTCAGACAACATTGTAGTCAACGGCCGCGATGCTCCACCACCACGACAGCAGCCCAAAGAACCTGAGCCACCGAAACCACGAAGACCACCGCGTCCACATGGCTTTCTCCTCCCATTCGTGCCACCTGAACCTGCAGCCCCATTCAGCTCCTTTTATGCTAAACCACACCTCCGCGCCGCTGCCCTTGGTAAACACAGACACGGTCGCAACGCATCTGCCTTTGGTCAGCCTATACCCGATTTCGTCGAAAGGGAGTTTGAGCTGCCTGACGATTTCATCGACCCCCAGTTCTTGAGAGACAATGCGCGCCAAAGACGGAGACGGAAGAGGGAAAGTGGTGTGAATACAGGTACAGGGACCAGTGCACATTAGTGGGGTTTACTGGAAGCATTTTCATCTTCATGGGCGGGGCTTACAATTCTATACCCTTATAAATACTATCGAGCAAGTCGAAGGATAGGGTTCTGTGGCGTTTGTTTTTTATGGACTGGGCTTCCGGATTTGGCTGTGGTGAAGGGCCAACGTCGTGTGTATATTACCAAGGAGTAGAATACAAAACATGTTTTGCTCTGTCATGAGGTGTTTGGGTACCAGTGATTGTGTGCAGTATGGCTAACTGAAAGGCGCTGGACGATCGAAGTATGTCTATTGGCCTCATGTTGTAATGTTGGTGTTGATCCTCTCCAAGAGGTCTTCTACCAGTGCACATGAACAGCAACTCCGCTCATCCCGGGTTAGTTACGAAGATCTGAGTATAGGGACTCACATGCTAGGCTCATTCCCTTAGGTATATAAATCTTTGTCCATTTTCTCCACACCCTTCTCTCTATTGACATAGCAAAATGTTGCTGGCAAATCGGAAGGCGGGAAGATGCTGAGATCCAGACATTGGAAATGCACAAACGATCCACAAAGAGATGGACGGCCAACTCCAAAATCACAAGAGATGCAAAACAGCCGTTGGAACTTTGGCGGAAGCACTGGATTGTGTTGAAGGTAAAGCTCTCACCGTGATATTATTTTGTGACTCCTGAAAACTTATAAGCAGTATGGCCAGATCGGCTGGGCTACTAACATGAATTCCGAAGACTAAAGAACGAGTCTATTCAAAAATGCCGTGAACATATCCTTCGTGGTCTTGATCGGCCGTTCTGGCAGCTGAATACTGATGGAAACGACAGGTTTGCGATCAAGCAAGTAACAGGATGTCAGGAAGATATCCCGATCATAAGAGTGACTCTATGACACCTTGGAAGAGGGTACGCATGTCGCATGAAGTAGCCATGATAGCGATGATGTAGAGAAAGCGAGAGACTCATGCAGCAGCAACAAGAGTTGACTGAACCATGATCAGCACCTAGTACGACCTAGTAGGAATAAGACTGTCCTTACACATCGTACAACCAGTCACATCGCAACTTTTTGGAGCCAAACAGGATTTTCACAGACATCATCAAATATCGGGACACCTTTGACAGCAAAAGAAGGAGATATCGTGTGGTAGAGATTTGCTGGCTGTATATCGAGTTTACAAACATCTTACTCATCTTAGAATAGAGATTTCCGTCTATACACGGAGTCGCACATGCCCAGAATAGCCTGGCCATAGTCAGTGGTCATCGTACACACATAGAACAGACTGTGATCTGTTCCAGCAAGTATTTAGATGGACGAAGCGGCCTGGTCTTTTGTGGGTACCTTGTGAACGCGAACTTCGCGCACAACCGAGTTGGTGATCTTCCGTCCATTCCTCTCCGTAATCTGTTCATCTTCATAAGCCATCACAAACACCGTACATTTCTTAACGTCAAGATCGAAAATCCCCCATTGCTCCAGTAAGTCCAAAGCTGGTTGAGATTTGGTGGTTGTCTGACAGATTGGTTCTCTGCAGAGAATCCTAAAGGTACCTTGGCAACTCTCCTCATTAATTGCACATGTTACCGTCATCTTGTCCTCTCGTATTGCTTCAAGCCAAGACTTGTTTGGGTTGTGGATGAAGTTTCGTATGCTGTGTGTATATTCCATCTGTTCAAACTTGAAAGCCGACCACTCATCGTGGGTCCAATCGTAATCTGGACATTCGCAGTTCTCGAAGTCAGATATAGAATCATAATCGCGGATCTGATTTGAGCAACTTCTGCACATGTCGTCGTCCACAGTATATCCGCCTTGAGCAATCAGTTGTGGAACGAATTCAGTCCGTAATGATGGAGATCGCGCATGTAGACGTAGTATAGGCATCAAATCAAAGGACTTCTCGTTGTCGTGACCATGAGCCCACGAGAACTGCACTAGCTTAGGCATATGGTTGGTTCCGCTCCCATAATGCAGAAATGTATCAGCGAAAAGTGTCACTCCACAAGTTGATGCGAATCCGACACGAAGATCCTGGACCCAAATCGGACGATACTCCGCGCGAACTTGCTTGCAGACCTGGGTCACAGCGAGATATTACCAGGTACCCTTGGAATACGACTTGAGGTGAAGGTAGGAGTATATCGGATGTAGAGCGAACTGTCGAGTGTCATCTTCTTTGGCATATTCGTACACTCTATTTCGTAGCTCTGAGTGGCGTCAGTATCTAAGACACATTGTAAGAGTAGAAAAACCATACCTGGAGAAAGATCGAGGAAGCGGAAGCACTGTGGGTCTTCTGTGGCGGGCTCTTTACTACTCGCAGCCGTTGCAATATTCTTGAAAGGCCTTTTGGGTTCCCAGGTAGGTGTAGCGGCATCTGTAACCTCGCCAGCTGCGCGCTTGCTTCCAGCTCGTCTGGTGTAAGGTTAGTTGGCGACTGCTGAAGTGCGCGATGTGCAGACGGTGAGACTTACGTAGTGGCTGTCATCGCTCTGTTTTTCTTACCGGCTGCAGAAGAAAATGAACTGAGTTGGTTCAATTTGAGAGTGAGTGTGTGTGGGAGTAAACAAGCAGTCAGGGCAAGAGCACCTGCCAAGAGCCGCTAGTGAAGTGATGCAGGTGCGGACTGAGATCTCTTGCACCTTCTTAGACACAGGCGAGAGCACGTGGGTACATAGACACTACTTCATTTAAGCGTCACCTGAGACAGAATGTTGGAGGTGAATCGTATTCTGCTCACTCAGCGTACATGTGCGGCCGCACACTCACGTCCGCCCAGAAAGGCAACTACATGGCAGTCCTCTATACAAGGCTTTCTGAACTCGAGGTGTGACATATGATAACACCTCTATGGCCAGGGAAAGTGCGTTTTGTGCAAGTCTTTGATTAGATAGTATTCGCTTGACAGTGCAATGAAATGCAGTACATACCGGAACGCTGCTGATATCATCCCGAAGAACCAATAGATTTGCCTTTAGTAATCCAGGCTATCAACTGCATGGAAGTAGAACACGTGTTTAGTGGAAAGCCCGGGTGGACCTCCTCCATAGTGTGGGTCAATTCGGTTTTGTTCTTCCAATGACAGTGAAGTCATATTCGAGGCGCACGCAAACGCAGTCTGTCGCGCTTCTACGCCTCGGATCTTGGACCATTCAGTTTTCCGTCGTTTCTATCGCAATCACAAATACATATCCCATATTTGTCATAGCAATCCAAGGCCACTATACAAGCGTCCAAGATCCGATGACCATTGCAAAGACCTGCGGACACACAGTAGCTGCTTCCATCGCATGGATTATTACAAATGTCCGACGCAAGATTTGTATTCAGAGACGCGACGCCGCAGCCTTCCTCCGCTCTCGAGAAACAGGGAACAGCTCAACGAGGATTTGGTGCAAGATGATACCGATCGGGGATCAGATGCGACGACAATACGTACCGTGGACCGAAGTACTTTTTTACCACGAACAACCAGATCGGCGCACGCAGGCGAGATTGGAAACACGATTGTGGCCAGTCAATTAGTGAACGAGAGTCCGTGTAGAGGATGCGTAGCGTACAAGGACGTCAGAGCTGACCACGCTTAGAGATTGTTTACTGGACCCTGAACACATTCTTTCCCACGCTACAGGTCTTCTTCGAATCGGGTCGCTCATGTGTCATAGACGGTGGAAGATTGTCGGACGCATTTGTAGGGCTAGATCCCGCGCTTCGATTCAAACTGACAGACTGCGCACACGAAGAGGAAGGTCGCGTCTCTAACTCCATACTACCTGAACGATTCTCAGATTCAGGTATCGGCCTCGTTATACAGGAAGCGGTTGTCTCCCAGCGCACAAGTATCGCAGTGAAAAACAGCCAGCAATGGGCACCGCGAGATCCACCTCAGTTCCGGATCGTAACAGAAATGCATACAGTCATTGGGTTGAGACTCAGGGGAATGAACAAGATGGCTTTCATATGGGCGAGAACAAAAGCACCTTCTGGAGGAAGATTATGGGGAGATATGAGGACAGCTGGGTTGCGAGACGACGTGCCGATACCGTCCATATCTTTTCCCGGAAATGATACGAGGCCGGGGGCACAACGGATCGTGGTCATCCAGGACAGCCTAATTGCACGTAATCGCCCAGATGTTAAGAATAAGCCACCTACCAAGCTGTGATTATGTGCAAGACAGGGCTCGCATACGGAGATATCGGGGGTTGTACCGGACTTTCAACATCACGACACAGCTGGCGCACCGCGACAGCGTTGAAGTAAATGTCTGGCAACAGATCAGCTTAGCAAGATAGCCAAAAAATACTTGCTCCAAATGCGTGCGATCATATCCACTCGGGAAGATCCGGCCAACCTTGAGCGACAAGTGTCTGGAGCTGGTACGTAGTCAGGAAATGGGCGTAGCTGACAAAAGCCAACAGAGTATTTCCTAAGACCGATCGGAGTGGAACTACGAGTAATCACGAGCGAGTGTACAAGACTGGAGGATCCGAAGCGGCTGTAAGGATCGAAGTGGGGTACTGAGTCGATCTAAGAAACCGGCGCAGCTATAAAGACACTAATACCCACGTCGGTACTGTTCAGCTACACTCATCGGATCTACTACAACAGTCAGTACATCTTGCAAGTATCTGCCAACCTCTACTCACAGCCAACAGAGCTCTTACAACGCCTTCCAGCTAAACATCATCATGCCTGGCGCAACCGCTATCGTCCTCTACCCTCGCAAGGAGGGCTCCACTTTTGACAAGGAGTACTATCTCAAGACACACATGCCCCTCGCCATGAAGCACTGGGGCCCACACGGTCTGAAGTCCTACGCCGTCAGCGAACTCAGTGCCGATGGCCCATACTCCATCTCCTCCGTCATGGAGTTTGACAGCCAAGAAGCTGTTGGAAAGGCTATGCAGGATCCAGGAACCAAGGAGATCATGGACGACGTAAAGAACTTCACCAACTCAGAACCCATCTTGGTTCACGGCAACATTATCGGAACGAGTTAAGCTTGGAACCAAATGGAAGAAACGTCGGCCGATGATGATGAGTGATGGATACGATGACGGGCCTCATGCAGGGCGAGTAGTGGAGACGGACGTGGGATGAGGTTAGCGGCGTGAAAGCTGCATGGAGGGGTAGCTTCGTAGCTGAGATGCCCCGCACTTCGTCCTCCCGAGGCATCTCACATCCACTCACGAATACATGCTCCATCTTGCTCGCATCCTTAGTCAACCAAAGTGATTCCAGACACTCTACTGATCATGATAATTCTAGTGGAAGTTCGCTAGTATCAGAGTATGCCTGTGGTTGCAAATCTCGGAGGAGCAGATTCATACACCAAAGCAGCTGCTAACCTCTTACCATTGGCTGTGATTGTACCGCCCAGGTATGCATAGAGCTGAGAACTTCAGCCCCATCGACAGGGTCACAAAGACACAGCCTCCCTCGCTCTAACAGATGCTTCACCGCTCAAGGCAGACATTTGTGTCACATCTTTGGAGCTGTCTCTTTGTTCTTTCTCCGATTCCCAACACTCTCACACCACACAATCACGCAGCATATCGAGAAAAGAGTGTCCACCGTCCGTGTTGCATGCTAATAGTGACCGATGGACGACCCTTACACATCGTGTCCGGTCGATCGGAAAAGCCGGGAGTTCAGGCTACTCCAACTCCAACCCAAAAACAACGAAGACATAATCAAATGCAACATGCAAACCTACAGGCTCGGGTACTCTCCACCTTACAAAGCTTTATCGTACACATGGGGTGCCAATGCAACCTACACCAACATCGAAATCAACCGTGTGAAAGTTCCAGTCCGCGAGAACTTATGGGACTTCCTACACCAACAGCTGCTTCATGGCAATTACGGGCCATTTTGGATTGACGCCCTCTGTATACAACAGTCAGAAGTTCATGAGCGCAATCATCAAGTACGGATGATGGACTATATATACAGAGATGCTGTATTGGTTTTGATCTGGCTTGGCAAAGAGAGCGACGATAGTGATCTCGCCATGCGGACTTTGGTGAGTTGGGAGTGGTGCAATCCGAGCACTGTACGGCTCATGTTCGCTTGCAAGAACAAATCCGGCAAGACTCTTCTTATGCGTGGAACGAAGGGAGTGACTACCTGGAACTCGAAAGAGGTACTCAGTGTGTTGTCATTATGTAAGAGAAGATATTGGTCGCGCATGTGGATCATCCAAGAAGTCGTGCACGCGGAACGTGTAGAGATTCATTGTGGCTCTGAGATTCTCGAATGGTACAAGTTCGAACAATTGTACTATTATGTAAGTATCATATCCAGATACTATAAGGAGATGGACACGCCTTTTTACAACGCCGTTCGTTCCAGTCCAGCCATGTCCATCGTTAAGACTAGGGCTTCGCATGCGGCGAAAGTATCGGACCAGTATGTGGGCCGGCCCAGCGACATTGCTATCGATTCCCTGATGGAAACATACAATGCCCACGAGTGTGAAGATATCCGAGACAAAGTCTATGCTGTTGTGGGAATAGCGAAGTATGGCTCAACCATCGTAGTTGACTATCGTAAATCAGCAAAGGATGTTCTGCTCGATATCTTCTACCACGCCAGTACCGAAATGAGCTGGGAGGCAAGATGGCGTGAAGATGAACTTGTCCGAATCGGCCAATTGTTGGAGAGAGTTTTGGAAGTTCCTTTTCCGGAGACTGAGATACGATTTCACATCGCTCGCAGCCATGGTCTAACTGCATATCTTGTCGGGAATGAATACAGGGACTTTTTCAGATCCGCCGACTCGGCACGAAAAGAATTTGATAGCCCTGCGAGTTATATTGCAGTAGACAACTAAACACTCAATTGTTTCCTCAATCATCATAAACTCCATTAACGTCCCCACATTACAACATGCGAGCCTTCCAATCCAATTCAAAGCTCCACATGCACCACTACTCACTATCTAATACTATGTACGAGAAGAAGATGCAGACACAAAAGTATATACAGTGAACATTGGCATCTCGTCTCATACTCTTCAATCCAATTGTAATCGACCCAGAGATAATCTCGACCACTTCCTAATTTCATATTCCATCTGTTCAACGTCGGTACTGTCCCTGAGCCTGTTGCTGCGCGAATTTGGCTGCCTGCTGCGCCTGGTCGAAGCTTGCGCCGTAGGCCTGTGTGGGCGGGTTCTGCTGCTGTTGCTGCTGAGCCATGTTGCCATAGCCTTGCGGCGACGACTGTGGGAAGTACTGGCCCTGCGGCGTCTGCGCTGGTGAAATCCAGCCACCAGGGATATTCATCTGTGGGGTTGGTGTCTGGGGAAAGTACTGCTGTTGCTGTTGCTGGTACATGGGGTGCATCTGGCTTGGCGTAGAGTACGCCATGCCGACCATTCCAGACGGCGTTCCAGGCCCGGTAGGCATGCCCATAACACTAGGAGTGCCCATCATACTAGGGGTACCCATCATGCTAGGAGCGCCCATAACGCTGGGCGCACCACCGCCAGTTGGCATTCCCATCATACTCGGCGCATAGGTGCTCTGAGCCTGAGCCATCGCGAATTGCTGCTGCTGCATCTGCTGTTGCATCATCTGCTGCTGGCGTTGCTGAACCTCCATCATTTGACGCTGTTGGTTCTGCAATGTGCGCCTATCGATCTCAGATTGCATAGCCGGAGTATAGCTGTGGCGATTGGCCTTTTGAGCTGCCTTCTCCTTCTCACGGTGATCGATGTAGCCTGTCAGTCCTGTTGGAGGCGGCTTCTGTAGTTTCTTGGGGTTTTGCGACAAGTCCAGAAGAGGAGTGTTCGTCATTCGAGCAACCTGTTCCTGCTCGCGAGCTGATAAGGTGGTGGGCCGTTGATCAAGCAATGTGTCAGCACCACGGCTCAACGGGCGACTAGGTGGACGAGCGGGTCCAGGCGAACCCTGAGGCGAACGCCGTATTTGACTCCAGTCCCCAGAATGTGTGCGGCCGATAGGAGGCTGCATCTGGCTCCAATCTCCAGAGTGTGTGCGACCAATAGTAGGTTGCATTTGACTCCAGTCTCCGGAATGCGTGCGACCGAACGGAGGAGGGGTATGCGACTTGCTTCTCCCATGTCCATACATCATAGGCTGCTGCTGAGTCGCACGGTGCATCACCCAGTCTTCAGGATCCAGCCTCTGTCTATCTGGCTGCTGTGGTGAGGCTGTAGCTGGTTGCCACGCGACCTGTCGTGAGTCGGTTATCTGTGGAGAGTTTGAACCACTACGCATGTGCATAGGCGTGTTTGGTGTGCTTCCTCCAGAGATGAACGATAGTCGATTCTGTTCGTTCGGAGTTGTCGCAAGGTTCTCTTTGGATCGCGAGGCGCTGTTGTCGTGCAACATCTGTGTCATGGTTCCGCTGGTGCCTGGGCGCTTGCCGTCAAAGTCCAGAGCGTACGTTGGGCCAAAATCAATACTGGGCACAGCTGCAGCTGCAGGTGCTCGTGCTGGGTCCAGCACGGATTTGTAGCCATGCGGATCTTCATCCGAAGGAGGCTTTACATTGGGATCTCCGATCATCGTCAAGACGCCACTTCTAGGGCGATCGGTGCGTCGTTCGGGCACCCTTCGTGGTGGAGGCGCAGGCTCCTCCTCTTCAGCAATGCTGGCATAGTCTGGTGTAGAAGTTGATATCGCATCGTCGTCGTAGCGGCTACTAGATGCGCTTGCCTGACGGTGCAGCGTAGGTTGGATGTTGAAAGCGTCGAGAGCTTCGGGGTCGATTACGTCTTCTCGTAAACTATCGAGTCTTGAGCTAGTGGTCGAGAGGGTGTCATCCTCTTCTGAGGCTAGGGGAGACCGACCTGGTACTGGTTTACGAGGTATACCGCCACTTTCGGGGTGTGGGCGGTAAGGGAGCTCGTGGGTAGGGGGCTGCGGCGGCAACTCACTATGTTCTGGAACTGGCGGAGCTGTCGGCTGGTAGCCTGATGGCGAATCGACGAATTCAGAGTGCTCGATGTAGGGCGATGCAGGAATGGTAGATAGGCGATTACCAGAGTTTTGGTTCGATGGAGGTGGCCTTGAGTTTACACCAAGATACATAGACTGCCCCTGATCACCATATCCGTTGTATTCGCCACTGCGCCTACTCTGAATAGTGTCCTGGTTTCTCCAGGCTGCCGCTGCACCTGCACCAGCTATGCCACCTGGAAACGATCCATGTGACGCGTCAGCCATTTGCTGCAGCGTAGCAGAATCGACCGCAGGATTTGGCTTCGCCATAGGCATGTTGGGACGAATGGGCGGCTTTTGATAGGCAGCGTGCTCCTGAGTAGGAGGAAGATCGACATAACCCTGCGGAGGAGCGGACAAATCTGCAGGAGGTGGAGGTAGATTCTGTGGCTCCTTGATAGGGCTCTCATCGTAGTCGGACGCCGAGTCGTAAGGTTGGACTGCTCCATTTGAGGAGCTGGGGAGCACACGGTGCTGGGGAGGAGTCGGCGCACGTTCGTCTTCGTAGGGCGTTTCGTCTCGCGTGAACCTCGACGGTGTGTTCTGGTTGTTGGGTCCATTGACTTGCTCCGATACCGATCGCTGATGGCGTGGAGTGCCGAATGGGTTCGCTGCGGGAGCCGTTCCAACACGACGTGGCTTTTGTACCTCAAAATCGGGGAATTTACGTGTAGGCGATGACTGGCGTGTGGACGGACTAGAGCGAACAGAACCTTGGTCTTCGAATCGTAGACCGCGTGGTGTGAAGCCTGCTCGGCTGACGGTATTCCTGCGACTGGCGCGGCTGTAGATCGATTCAGCGTCCTGGTTTGCGGACATCATACGTGTTGAAGTCAAGTCCTTCAATTGTTTCCTCCACTGGCGCTCTGACCATTTGTCACTGCCTTCGGTATTGATCAAGCCCACAACATCCCACATCTCCAAGTAACCGTACCGTCTGTCAGAAGGCATGGCGAACATCAAACCGCGAGTATCCAACACATCCGCAATCAACTTCTTTGGGCGTCCGTACAGTGAAAATGTATCAAACACAGGGAAGAGGTACTGGAGCATAATCTCAAAACCTGAAATAGCCGGACGCGATTCTGGCATGACAAAGACGAACCCTTCTGTCGTGCTTTCTGGCGTGGAGTGTATTGTAATCTTGCCCTCAATCTTGACCAGCGTGGACTGATCGATTAGCGGCTTCGACTGTGGGTAGATGGCGTAACATGAGTATGCATCCTTGACAGTGGCAATGGCTTTTGTTTTCTTGGTAACCTTCTTGGTCTCGTAGAACTTGATGTCGCCCTTGAGTACTGGCGGCCGCTCGTAAGCGCTGCCCTTCTTTTGTAGCTTCTGCAGTTTGATGTATTCCTTCTCGTCTGGTGGAGAGACAACACACCAGCAGCGGCGCCATGGGGTGCCTGCGCCGAATCGAACGCGCACCCAGTCCTCGTACTTTGCGCACTGCCGATCCAGAATCATGCGAATGTTGTTGAGCGTCTTGCCCTTGCCAGCAATCAATGCGCCCGTGTATGCTTCCGAGAGAGTTGTATGTTCGTACATGGCGAGGCGGATGCCGGCGGTCCATTGCGTAAGCGCGTGGTAGGAATCGAAGTGGAAGAGGAACTTGTTGCTAGCCGCTGTCGAAACGCTGAGGATGTTGTCGAGCTTCTTTCCGTCTTTCAGGGTCATGGAAGGGATCTGGTGGGGTTAGGGAGGCCGTATGGAAGTTATGGATGAACGTACCATGTGGATCGCAGCATCTGTCAGGTTGATGAAGGTCGGCAAGACTTCAGTCTCACCACCGGCCTGGTCCAGCGCACTCGCATCCCATAGTGAGAGGATGGTGCCGACGAGCTGGACGAAGTACTCCTGCCACCTTCGATCTGGCGCGGGACGGCCACCTGCATTGCCGTCAGTATCACAAACAAGCATTGCCTACAGATCTGACGTACGAGTGTCGGTGTCGTGGAACTTGAGGAAATAACCCTCTTGGTACAGCTTGTTCGAGTGGCTGTTCAGGAACATGAAGATGCGCTGCAACTCGGGCAGTGTATCCTGGCTTACTTCCATGACTGGCGGTTGATATGTTTGAATCATGGACATGGGGCGCACTGAGGCTCGGGAATCGCTACGGTCGCGTTGAGTTGCCCGAGAGGGGGGTCGCTCGTTGTTATACGTGTCCAGAGCCGTGGCGGATTGCGCAAAGTTGGCTGAAGTTACCGGTTGCTTGGTAGAGGGTGAAGGCGGAGCGGGGGACGCGGGGCCCGGCGAGGGTCCAGCGGACGGAGGGTTCTTCTGCAAGGTATTCTGGTTGGAACCACCCCATTGTGACATGAACGACAGAACTGTGAAGGGGCGAACAGGGCGCAACATTAGTGAATGTTCTTCCAAAGACCAGCCCTGCTGACACAGTAGGGAGGGCAGCCATTATGTAGCAGGCGCATTATTTACCTCTCTTTGGACGACCCATGGCAGCGACGAGTGGTGGTATTAAGTATAAGTGGAAGGTCTCTCCTCGCTGCGGTACACAATGCAGGTGCTCTACGGGCGCGTTGTCGGTACTGAGCCAGGCGCGCGAGCCACGGGTACACCGGCTCGCTGAATGTTACGATGCAGGGACTAGAGCGTTCTTCGGAAACGAGCGACGAGAGCACAGAATCACAGGCGAGTGCAAAGTGAGGAGGAGGGAAAATTAGGGAACTACAAGGAGCGAAAGAGCGGTAGGCGTAGTACGTATATCTGAGGTCCGTGGTGGAGTTAGACTTGTGGAGGGATTTCTGGGCGCGCGGCAGGGATTAGACATGCCTATGACGCGAACCTTGGAAAGGGTTCTTGGAGATCGCCGAGTTCTGGATGATCCATCTACCGGGTGACAGATTTGTACTTGACTATCCAACTGCCCATGTCTGCGCAGACTGGAAAACGCTCCCCATCAACAGCGACGCATGGCCGCGTGTTCCCAACGCGAGAATCCTTCAAAACACCTCAATGGCCACTGCACGCTTACTCATTGGCTCTTGGTCGTATTCCCAGCCCATTCTGAGGCCCCGTACTAGACTAAATTGGCGGCCGCCCGCCTGTCTTCGGCCACTCGGCATAGGCTTCTCCTCTTCTGGGTAACGATGATGGTGTGGCTGTGCATCTTGGCCTCGAATGAGTTGTTGGCAATAGCGGCCGGAACGCGGCCCACGGAATCTGGGGTACCCAGTTGTGCTTCCCATGCTGTCCGGAACTGTCAAATGCGCTGACCGGGCATACAGATCTTATTTGCATGCAATCCTAGCCGAGTAGCCGTTGCCTTGTATGCTGCATCACTATGCCCGTTTCAGACAGCGACGTTGGTTTCGATATAAATCACCGATTGAGTGACGAATGTGATCGTCAATGGTGGCGTCACGCAAATCAAGGCTGAACTCTATAGTCGTGTACCGGCGGTCGATGCTTTGTTTTACTCCGGCGACTACATATCGGCGGTAACGACGTGTGAAGCCGTCGCAATGCCTCTCTAGGTCTGAGGGCTCATCAAGACGGGCCTTGTTCTGATGAACATGGCCTTGCCTTGCCTTGCCTTTGCATTTGCATTCGTACAAGATGGAGTGATAGATCCTGCCTATGCAAATGGCTGGCATTCAAGACACACGTGATGTCATACTTCGGGACTAGCGCTCCCATGCCTGCGGTACCGTCACTGCTTCGGCAGCTGACAACGCGTTGGGTCGTTTACTCCACTTCGAACGCGTCTCAAGTGCGGTGTTCGCGCATCTCATTTTGATTCTACAAATCGAATTCTGAAACCAATACACGAACTCACCAACGCTTGCAGCCGTCCGCTTCTTCAACGTACCTTCGCTCAAGTCTTGTTGTTCCTGCCAGAGTGTTGGTGGTACCCGCTCTGACTGTGCGCCAAAGCTCCAACGCTCCCAACCACAACGCACGACAATCACTCCACCGATTCGGAAACGCCAAACCTCCATCATCAATCGCTCACGATGGCGCGCAAACGTAAAGTCGTAGATGAGAAGTCCGCGCATACTGGGTCTACTCCCCCAGCCAGCGATGCGACAGACCCCGCCGCGAAGAAACGAAAGATTGACTGGTCGACGGTAGACAACTTTCCTGGCTTCAAAGTCATAGGTGTCGACACCAAGGCACGAAAGAAGCCAGGCAAAGCTTCAACTACACAAGAAAAGCGCAGTGCAAATAGTTGGGAGCACCACAAATACCCTGGTCACCTTATGCCTTTGGACGCAGACATCGTACAGCCAAATCCATTCCAAGGAGCTCCACTGGGCGACCTCCATGTCAAGATCTCACCTGCACGATACTGGGAGAGTACAAACCGCTATCGCAAGTTTACTAGTGAGTCCCAAACTTGTGATACATCCTAAGTCTAATCACGCTAACACGAGCGTTTCAGTAAACGGTGAAGAATTCCAAGTTGGCCAGATGGTCTTTGTGAGAAAAAGCGAACAGGATCACGTAGAGGAGGGACCAGACTCAATCCAGCACTGGCTCGCCAAGGTGCTTGAGGTACGCGCCGGAGACGCCTCTCATGTCTACCTCAGAGTGTTTTGGGCATACCGACCGGAGGATCTACCGGGTGGCCGGCAACCGTACCATGGCAGAGCCGAGCTGATAATCAGCAACCACATGGACATAATAGAAGCCGTCACAGTAGAATCTTCTGCAGAGGTGGCACATTGGAACGACGACCCAGACAGCATGGCACTTCTGGCAGACCAGCTGTTCTTCCGTCAAAGCTACGATATCACAAAGAAGACCAATCGTTTAAGCGTAAGCACTCTCGTTGCAACTGTTTATCTCACACTAATTATGCCACAGAAACTGAACACCTATTGTATCGACAAGCAGCCCAGCAATCCGGACGAGCTTCTTGTCCAGTGTCCACATTGTTCAGAATGGCTTCACGCAGGCTGCCTGAAAGAGCGAGCGCTCCAAGACCTGAGCGCAAAACAAGTGGCGTCCCCACCAAAACCAAAGAAACGAGGTCGGCCCAGCAAGGGCGAACTCGCATCGAGCCAGAGCGAAGCCACACACACCTTCGAGGCAAAGATCAAGGGAGGCAGCAAGACTCGCCTCACAATCATGGAGAAGCATGAAGGAAAGACCAAACGGAAGTGGGATGTAGACATATCGTGTCTCATGTGCGGCGAGATAATTGAGAAGGCTGGAGAAGATACATCAGAGAATGCTGGGGAAGATACATCAGAGAAGGCTGGGGAAGATACATCAGAAAAGCCTGTGACTTCGACTCCAGTCGCTCAAGCCAGCGATGATGTAGACGTCAGAGACATCACCACTCCTACTAAGGCATCTGGTGTTGGCCAAACGTCAACCCGGGATGGTGACGCAGACTCAGTCATCAGTGACGCAGACGACGATCAAGAAGTTGAGGTCAAAGATGCGCCAACAGCTGATACTGAGTCAAAGGGTGAGACTGCTGAACCATCCTCGTCCGACTAACAACTAAATTCCTTACCTAGGACCAAGGAAGAGAGGTCGTCCCCTCGGATCCTTAGGAAAGAAGAGGAAACGCGCTTCTTACAGGTCGATCAAAAAAGCTACTTCACTACATACACAGCGTCTCAAAACAGAGACTGGCAAGGAGGGCTCTCATCCAGATGCTGTACAAGACATGGATACGAGTGCGGTGGTGGTGGCGACTACTACAGCAACAACGGCTTCCGAATCTGCCGAGGACGCGACAGTGACGACCAAGTCTGAACCTACGGAAGAGGTGCCTACAATCGCTACACTTAAGACACCTGCTCCAGCATCCATCAGCGAATCCGTCTTCCAATCTGGTGTACGATCCATGAAGCGACTGCTTTGGCGAGCACGATAATCTCGGCTTAAGCTACACTTTTATTTCCATGTATAAATTCCGGGCGTGTAATGGTAGATACCCTTTGCTATGGCGTACCAACGCCGCGGATTTCGGGGGCGGCCTTTTCAATATCAATACCTATCGATAATTTACATTTCACCATGGCAAACCAGTTCTAATAGTGAATTATACATTCTTACTCTAGCCGGTCTAACCATACGAATCCAGCAGGTAGATGAGGTTCGTTAGTTTCAGAAAACTGGGGGTATATCCACCTAACGTCCCATCCACTATGAAAAAGAATGAAAAACATGAAAACGCCATCGCTGAATGCTGTAGTCCTAATCGCATCATGCAGCTGTCTTAATCCTCCATTTTCCCAAATCCTTTTTCGTTCGCTGGAAGAGGAAGAGATGCCCATCCGTTAAACACCTTGAAAATGCATGTTACCCTTAGTTCTCATCGTTACTCTCCTTCCTGAGACCGCACTCGGTCAGCTTCCCTTTCACAGCTTCCGCTCAACAGGTAGCTTGCTCTTTCCCACCTTCATCTTAAGAAGTAACCTTGGCTTTTCACTACCACTACTACCTTTTTCCACAGTAACGAGTCCGCTCTTACCAGATCCTTTACCATTCAACATACTACTTGTTTCGAGACTCTGACGCTTAGACGGTCTATCATCATCCCCGTTTCCAGAGATCAGTTTGCGTTTCTTGCTCTCTCCCGGGGTGAAGCCTGAGAGAAGCTTAGAAGGAAGGCGTAGCTTGACGATTTTGCTTCTCTTCTGCTTGATCACTGGCCTTGCTATAGATGATGATGGAGTGGAAACAGCAGGACGTGATGGAGGAGGAACGTTGCTGGGTCGAGGTGATGGAGCTGCACTCGGGCGCGGCGAAGGAGCGGCACTGGAAGGTCTTGATGGTACGGTGGAGCCAGATGCGGTTTTGGTCCTAATCTTAAGCTTGGGAGCTGGCAGAGGGACTGGAGATTGAATGGTGGGAGTCGTCGACATAGGCTTCGGTACCTTGATGACCGCCGGTGTTGGCTTCGGAGTTGGCTTCGGAGTTGGCTTCGCTTGGGCCGACGCAGGAGCTGGAGTAGGGACCTTGGGCGGTGGAACCGGAGTCTTGATAACTGGGGCAGGAGCGGAGGGTGCCGGAGTTGGAGGTTTCGGAGCTTGAACGGGAGCAGGTGCTGGAGTTGCTGGCTTGGGGGTTGCTGCTGGAGTTGCAATCTTCTTTGAAGGTTGCATCAGTGGCACCTCTGGGGTCGACGAACGCGAATCTATCTGAGGCGGGGCAGCAGCAGCAGCAGGCGGCGGCCGCGGTGCTACTGCTATTGTTTCATTTGCTGCTGGCGCTGGAGATGCTGGCTTTGACATGGGTGCTGGAGATGGCGAATTATAGACGGTGGGCGAAAACACGACAGATTGACTCCTCGAATAGGCCTGCGGAGTTCCAGCCGTAGACGGTGGAGATGTGGCAGACTTTTTCTTGCCGCCAATCTTGAGCGACAGCTTCGGCAATCCTGGCAGTTTCGAAGCTGGAGCAGTTGCGTCTCGCACGGGCTGAAGTACAGGTAGGGGTTGAGGTAGAGGTTGAGGCTGGGGCTGAGGCGGAGGTATTGGAAGAGCCGAAAAGCCCGCTTTTGCCTCTCGCATCTTCCTTATCCCTTCCTCCACTTGTTCCCGAGGTGGCATCTTTACGGCTCGGAACCTGCTATTGTGTCTAAAGCGCAACAGTCCCTTTCCAACATGTTCCACCTTCCAATAGCGTGGAAGAGCCAATTTGATAGGCAGCTTGTTGACCTTCTGGTTATCAAAGATCATGTCGCAAATGTCCAAAAGCTCAGACATGTCGCTTGTTGACAGTGCTCTTGACTTCAAGGCTTCCTCCAGTACCATTCGAAGGGTGATGTTACCTTGCAAGTCGCTCTTCAATCCTCTCAGAGCCCCGTTAAGGTTCTGTCGAGCGAGAGCCGATGCACGTTCAGCATTGCTGGCTTCGTTTTCGATCATGAGCGTATCTGCTGAGGTTTCAACAGTCTTCTCTGGTGCCCAAACATCTCCAGTAGCAACCTGTCCGATAGCGATGCCGAAGATCCGTAGCAGTTGCTTCCTGAAGTACGGCGAGGGATCGGACCGGATCTCATGCATAAGAAACCTTAACATTGTATCTTTCCGAAACATGCCTAGCCGAATTAAGCATTCCCAAGCCTTCAGGCGTACGTTGTCTGCGTTGCCTAGCTGGGCATACTGGAGAAATTCGGTCGGCTTGAACGGGGTAACGCGGCTCATGACCAACTTCAGTGCACAATCGAGAGCCGTAGTTGTGTAAACGTTTTGATAGGTAGGGATCCACTCATCAAGCCTCTGATGTCGGGTAAGCTCCCCAATGGCTTTGCTTGTGAAATCCTGCTCTTGAGCCCATTCCTCGTGGCTGAGCTCGGAACTTGCGGTGGTCTTCGTGAGCGTCTCCGCAAGACACCGCATCAACGTAGAGATGTAGTGATCGTCGCTGTAATCGTTTCCACGGTTGTCGTTGTACCGCACCAGGTCGAGCAGAAAGCGCTTTGCCTCTAATGGAGATCTCCCATCTTCGCCCTTGATCTTAGCAATAGCTCTAGGTATAGCGCATTGAATCAGGTACATGCTACGATCAGAGAAGTCGTTTGACCGAGTCATGGGCGAGTTGGGCAAGCAAAAAAGCTCGCGGAAAGCTTTCTTCAGATGGAAGAGACCAACCCACTCGGTCCGCTTCAACGCACTCTGAGCCAGGACCATAGCAGCCATGGTTCGTATGCCGTGGAAGTATCGATTGTCCATCAGGGTCTTCACCAAGAAAGTCGAGATTAGTTTATGACCTTCCTTATTCGCGAGGAACTGTATCGACTCTGCTTGTGCAACGACATCCTTATCTTGTTGCAGCTGCGAGACGTACATGTATGATGGCATGTCCTCGATGTTGGTCCGACATATCCACTCAAAATCCGCATCAATACGAATCCACTCGTAAGCCTCGCCCTCTTGTTTGGCCTCATCTTCCGGTGGCCAATCATCTAGTCGCCACTCATTGTGTTCTTGAGGAGACGTAAAGAGATCTCCGAGCATGTAAAAGGTGACGTCTTCTTGTGTTTCACCTGAGGCATCAAGGCCTGCTGCTGCAGCCATACGCTCTTTGTTCAGTCGATTCCTCTTCAGACGCTTGTATTTTGTGTTGTACGGGATCTCCACTTTGACGTTGTTCGAATTGATATCGACAATATGTTCATAGGGTGTGCCATCAGCTTCGTGAATTCGAATGGTCATTGGGCCAACAAAGGTAGGATATCCTGTCGCGGAGCGCAAGTCCCGAGACTTCTCCTTTGCTTCGCGCATGAAGTCGTCCGCGGCGAGACCGTTTTCGATATTTGTTATCGATGAATCAGCCTGGAGCTGCTTGATAGTAAGCTGTACCACTTGCTTCTTCTTGTTAAATGAAGGTACGCAGTGGAAAGTCGGACATCCAGATCCCACGATCCATTGCTGGAAAAAGGACTCCAGCTTTTGATGCCCAACCTTCTCGCAAATGTCGAAGAAGTCGTCCGAAGCAATCGCGCCATTAGGATACTTGCCCTGGCGAGCATTGAACAGCATCCGGTACAAACACCTGTCAACACCGTTCTTTCCACTTTGTTTTACCAGGCGGTTGTGGAGGATGGAGAGTACCATGAGCGATTTCAGCTCCATAAACTCAACCTCGCCCGGATCCAGCTGCAAGATGTATCCAAGTTGCTGTAGCGAAGGGCGCTTCCGGTCCATCTGGATGACCTTGTCAACCATTAGCTTTTGCCGGAAACGCCAATCGTTGCGACCGAACAACTCTCGGAGATAGAGCTCAGCCATGAACCATGAACCACCAACGATGATCCAATGATCTTCAGGATTGTGTGCAATAACATCGACGCCTATCCATTGGCTGGCTACTGCATGTACCAGCACCCTAGTTGTGTGTTCCAGCGGTTCCCATACCGTCTCCGGAAACAGCAAACGAGAGCTGCAGATGGAGAACGAGGCTGTATGCGCAGTATCCCACTCCAAATCATCGACAAATGCGAGCTTGTAAGAGTTGCCGAATGCATAACTCTGGAAGCGCTCGGTGAAGGTATCGAGCGCTCGAGCTAGCATCATGGCGCTGTTCCGGACCTCGTTTTCCTTGCCTGGCATACAGAAGGCATGGACTTTGATGGCATTCTCTCCCAAGCGCTCGTCGTCAAGTGTGTCACGGTACTCTGAGAGATCGACATGTTCGAAGGGGCCGATTACGAAGCCGATATGTTGTGGAAGAACAAGTGTATCGCAGGAGAAGCTGGCTGTCTTTCGAGTAGAGTCGGCGGGATCGAGAATCTTTGTATGTTAGCAAAAAACACATCTGGTACTGTACATGAACACTCACATCGTCTGTCAGTGTACCAGAACAGATGACTTGCATCTCCATGGCCTTCTCTTCCTCGGACAAGTCCACTTGGTCGTCATCCGCGTCCAGCATAACACTATCAGCCTTTTCGGCACCCTCTCTTTGTGGTTGCGCATTCGTATTGGTATCTGGAGTTTTGCTAAGCGCATCCCCCAGCGTTCGTGGGTAACGAATCGAAACATCGAATAGACAGCGCGTTTCACCGTCGTCTATGCACGGAAACAGGCACGATGCTGAACCAGGAAAGGACGAGTTGCGCGTGTAGGCATGCGGGTACCGTGCATCTCCATCCTCCAGTCCGACAAATTGTAGCGCGTCCCGGAAATCGTCCAGTTCGTATTCAATCTCCAGCTTCAGCGGCGCATAAAAGGTGCCCGGGGCGTCGTCGGTCATACCAGCCTCCGAAGGCTTCACTTCCCGAATCTTGACTTTTTCAGGCACAGCAATAACCAGCTCATCTTCCCCGCCCTGTGTATGTCGCGCTATCCGCTCTTTTGCATAGTGGTATTGCTCGAGGCCGGTGCCGGGATATAGCGTCAGGCGCTGGTGAAGGTTCGAGTAGCTAAAGGCGGCCCTCTCTCCCTCGATCTTGATGCTCGTCGGCCTCAGTTGGCGGCAGTTCAGTGTAATATCCCGCAGTTGCGCTTGGTCGGGCTGTATGTCGAGTGTAGTAAGGCCTTTGACGCGGCGCGGTGCAAAACTGAAGTCGAGCTCGAGCTGCTGCTTCAACAGGGTGAAAGAGCCGCCCGACGAGGCGTCGTCCGCTACGTCGGCGAGCTCGTTGGGCGCCATGTTAGGCGACGCAGGCGATCCTGCTTCCGAGATTACGGCGGGTGGGTTGCGGTCAAGGTTTGTGGCGGGTGTTGACTGAGCCTTTGACTGCGATACGCGTAGATGTCCGGGAGTTCGCGACAATGGCCGCTACGCTAAGCGTTGGCCCGTGCGGCTAAAACTGGGGCGCCTGGTTCCGCGCTTCACTAAACGTCACTGCGACCCACTTCACAGACTGAGGATGTGAAATACATGAGCAACCAACGAACCTCAGCGTGTCTCCAGCTACAGTGAAACGTGAATAACTCCAGTATACCCTCGTCAACAGCCACTTAAGAAGACCCCCACGATCTCGCAACACACGATCCAGAAAGCAGTGATCAATACAAACATCCAGACGATTCCAGTCTACAAGACTAGAATGAGCCGAATGCTACTATAGCTACGTCTACTAACCTTCATCGATATGTGTCCCTAAAGCTGGCTCATTCTCTTTCAGACCAGTGAAGTCTCCTTGCACACCACACTACGCAACTACATCTCTAATCTGACTCCGGCCATTTCAAACGTCTTTCTCAATTCCGCTCTCCTTGCACCTCCCACTACGCAACTGCATCTCTAATCTGAATATAGATCAATACCGAGCAACAATGCGATTCTCAGATAGACGCGCGAGTCAGCGGGTACAATGCTTTTGTTACATTCAGTCAAGTTCGTTATAGCAGAGTCATACACCAATAGTACGGACAAACTAGTTTCGTGTCCCGCCGTTTCTTACCCTCTAGAGAGTCATACTTTTTGACACATTAAGTATCACAGGAGCAATATCACAGTAGCTGGACTCAGGAGATGCTCCTACCCGTCCTCTGACTGCGGCTCTTCGAAGACTCGTTTATTAGTGATGACTCTATGAGAGGGTATAGAAGCTTAAAGAACGATACCATGATGTCTCTCTAAACAACACAACCCAAATAGTCTTACATACTAAGACTCTACGTCGTACCTGCGGTGATTGCATCTACTACCCGTCGCCTCTCAACACACAAATCTCGTCATCGAAGTCTCCAAGAACACGATTCAAACTCCATAGATTCCACGATCGAAGATGTTGACTGATAATCCCTTCGACTCTCTGGCTGACGACTACGATGGTATTCGGCAGGAGAGATGTACACTCTATATACAACAGTGGCAAGGCTGGAACTATCACGCCGTCGTATACGATCTCATCATAAAATGTTGGAAGTATAAAGAGAAAGGTAACTGCAGCTATCCCGCAAGTCCCGAAAAAAGTGATATCAAGCCTCATCCCACTCGTGATCGTGTAGAAGGGATTTGCGAAGCCCACAAACCAAACACTTTGAACTTCAAGCCACCGGCACCGAAGCGGGAAGATGCCTATGAGGGATCGTAATGAATATTACAGAGGGTATGAATGGAAAGTAGACGGGGATCCAAATCATCAGGCTGAGGGGTTTGGCGTATGGTTCTAGGGATTTGGTGATCTTCACATGCCTGTGTTGATATGCACACTCATTTTGTACTCATACTCTCGCTTCCATCGACTCTTCTCGATAAATCTTCATAGCCTGTCCTTTGACTGCAGCTTCGTGAAGGATCATACATCACCCACAATGGTAAGAGTGGAGTACAAGAATGAGTCAAAGAAGCCAACGATTCGGATTTGTGAATTGTCAGTCTCCAGCATCGAACTCCCTTACCATGTCAGTACAGCCGGGCTCAGTACCGCACAATATTCCTCCTCCAGCACACCCACCGCCACGATGCATCATATGGGTCCGATATGCTAGCGGTTGCGGTCACGTAGAACTTGAGTATACACCTTCAAGATACTGCTGGACCTTTTATCAATATAGCGACTGTGGCTGTAAACAGCATCCCACGTACGAACAGCATCCAGACATACAACCTCTACCTGGTATATGCTCCACTTGTCCTATCACCGACAGCAGCCGAATTGATAAGTGCCAAAGGGACGAGAAATCTGATGACGGCAGGCCGAAGGATAAGAAGACTATCGCACAGACCCACAGGATGATGGCCAACGTGACGCTGTGCAGGTAGCGAGGACTTCTTTATTGACGATTTCTCTGATATACAAGTTTCAGGGAAGTTGCTATACCCCCTTTGTTACATTTCAGTTACATATTATACTTTGGTGCATGTTTGAGTCTGGACAAACATCGGTTTTAGCCAGTTGTTGTGAATGTCTTTTTTGTATTGAATTGACTAATTGCAAATATGTACCATATTCGTATGTTCTCTTAATGCGTTCAAGACAACGCTATCGCTATACTTTCTTGAGATCTTCATCACATACCACCCCCTCCCATCTACTCATCTTCGTAAACACGTTTCCTTAATCAAACCTCCTCCTCTTCATCCCAACTTCCAACCCCAGCGGCTTCCTCAAAAATCCCTCCCTAGTCTCCAACTCCCCCTGTCGAATCTCAAACTCATACCTCCTAAACACCGTCCCTACAATAAGCGCCAACTCCATCTCCGCAACATTCCTCCCCACACAAGCCCTCGGCCCGTAGCTGAACGGGATAAAAGCCGCCTTTTGTTTTTCCGTGACATTCTCCCAGCGCTCAGGTCGAAACACATCGGCATCTTCGCCCCAGATCTCTGTGGAGTGGTGAATGGTGTATGCGGGAACGGAAAGGACGGTTCCTTGGGGAAAGTGGTGGCCTAGGAGCATTATACCAGGGCCAGGAGGAATAAGGCGAGGAAGACCGAGGGAAGATGTGCTGTGGATACGCATTGTCTCTTTTATGACGGCGTCTAGGTAGGGTAGATCTTTGACCTGGGCGTAGCTTGGTACGGCATCTGCATCTGGCAAGGCGTCGTCTAGTTCCTTTTGTAGCTTACGGACGACATCTGGGTGCTGGAGACAGTGGTAGAGAAGGGCACAGGAGGTGTTGGACGTGGTGTCTGAGCCAGCGATAAGTTGGGTTAGGGCTTCGGCTGTGAGTTCTTCGCGGCCGAGTTTCTGGCCGCTTTCGTCGCGACCTTCCATCAGGCGGGCCAAGAGGTCGACACGATCAGATGGTTTCTCGAGACGTGCATTTACGCGGGCGATTGCTATGCCGGCGAGGTCTTCGATGGCCTTCATACCTTGACTAAAGAAGGGGTCTGGGAGGTGTTTCGCGTAGGGCTTGATGGCAGGGAAACATCCGATGGTTCTAAATGTTGTTAGTCACTAGGATCGGATATGTAGGATTGCAGGGCATGATCTAGACATACCCACTGACTTCTCCTCTTCGGTTCAATACTTCGATAGCGGGAGCATATGTGATTTGCCCCGCCTTGCTAACCTCTGCCTCATCCTTGCCCTTGGCCAGCATACCGAATGGTTCCCCAAACGCCAAGTCTCCAATAACGTCGAAAGCCAGGTAGTTGAACCAGTGGAGCGCATCCATATGATACCATTCTCCCTTCTTTTCAGCGCTTTCCGCCCTTCGATCCCACTGCTTCTGCAGCTCTTCAAGGTTATGATGAATATACTGCTCAAACTGCAACACACTCTTGGCAGAAAAGGTGTGAGACACCGTCTTTCTCTTTCTCGTATGTTCCGCACGATCCCTCGTGTTGAACAAACCACGCCTGATCGACACAAAGGCGTCATAGTACTCGCTCTTTAGGAACCCGTTGCCATGACCGTAGATCTGAGGAATAGCGTCCGCATCCGCAATACTGACATGATGTGGTTGAAGGCGAACGAGTTTTCCGTATTTCTTGTGTGCTTCATGAACAGCGAGATAACGTTTCCCGCGCCGACATTGGTATAAGAGCCAGAGGTTTGTCCAGGCCGCTGGAAATGGAGCTGGGATGTCGCGGATCTGCCAGTTACGGAGGTAAGGCAGGATGTAGAAGATGACCGGGAGGAGGAGGATCGAATAGGGCGTCAACAGGAGCGTTGTTAAAGACATCTTAGGTGATCGTGAGAGAGCCGGAAGAAAGAAAGGAAGAGGACCTGAGCTCTTTATCCGTGTAGAACCACTTTCGCAGTAGCACCGAGCCCAGCGTACTTCGTCGAATCTCGTACAATGGGTGGAATGACTCGCCTCTAACCTCCTCTTCAACGTTTAGACATAGCCCTCTTATAGTCCCATGCCAGTGTTTCTCTACGCCCAGGGTTCACACGTGCGCTATGTTTCCCCACGCCAACACGAGACAAGCAGACGTCAGAACCATCTCGACTCCATCAGCAAAATCTCCTAATTGACCAATCGCACGCCTCCAAAAACCATTCCACCTAGCCGTGTCGAAGGTCCGAAGGTCTCCAAGCCGGAACGCTCTGGCGCTTGACCCCGCCTTCCTCTAGTGCGCCGAAGGTTCCCCGCGACGAAGCCATCGTCATCGGGAAGGCGACGCCAAGCAGCACCGTAGCCGATGAGGTGGATCATTGTCCGAGAGTTGTGCGTTGAATGTTCGATACCTCTGTTTCGGCGTGAGAAGACGGTTGTGAGATGTTAGATGGTGGAACCTCGTCGTTACCGATGTCTCTGCCGTGTGTGCCTGATGCGGTGTCACGTCGGAAAAGAGTGAAAATGCGCCGAGGATGGTCAGACAGATATCCCGCGGTCATGCTTAATTTAGCATCTTAGCAACCCAAATCTAACCACAAAACTATCCACATATTCATAAGCATATCTCACATTGATCGAGAAGACAAAACATTTTCATGGGGGTATTACATTAAGAAACAACGCTATCTACCTTAACGTCCTCCCGCTACAAATGTCCCATCAAAAGAGTCAGACAGGTAAAAGGTACCGCCTACTCGTACAGCAAAACGCCTTGTGGTATCATGCCTTCGACCATCCATCAATGTATCGTTATCCTAGCGTGTATATCATCCACCAACACGTTACTTAGTTGTTGTCATCATCGTCTGAGAAGAAGTTCAAGATGGCCTTGACCGCCATAGGGCCCAGCCCATGGGGTGGGTAACAGATGTAGCTTGGGTCATCGACTGCACCTAGCTTCTCACGGAACTCAGTCTTGTTTGTGAGCTTGAGCTCGGTCGCGATGGCGTGGTATGCGCGGCTGAGCACCTTGACACGAGTGCCCTTGACGTTGTGTCCCGGACTGAACTTCGAGCTAGCACCACCACCAAAGGTGACGCTGGTCGCACCACTGGCGGCGACTTGCTTGAGAGCATGCGTGACGATGTACTCAATCGAACCACCCGGTGCGCCGGGGAAATCGAGCGAGTACTTGACCTGCCAGCCATGATCAGGTGAGAGTTGGGCCATTGCGACGAACGCAGCGATGGTACCATCAGGCGTGTAGGCAATGTGATATTGACGATGCTCCTCATCCTGCCATGGGTGAATGTTGGTCAGATGGACCTGCTTGCCCTTGCGGTTGTTCAACCAGTCTGATACACGGGCATCAACCTTCTGCTTGACATCTGCCGGTGGTGGTGAGCCGAGAGCGTAGTCACTGATCTTGACACCCTCCTTCTCTGCGTGACGGATCTTGCGCTGAACGTCAGAGTCCTTGTCCGCAGGGTTGTGAACTGGGTCTACACGCTGCTCTCCAGTAACAGAGAATGTGCGCCAGTTGAACTTGGTTGCGAGAACCTCCTCTGTGGCAGATCCTACAAGAAGCCAGAGCGGCTTGAGGTTGCGCTCCTTCTTGATGTACTTGAGGTAACCAGCCATGGTCTTGAGATATTGAGACTCGTGGCAAAGAGGGTCACCAACAGTAATGGCGAAACCATCCTGAGGTACGAAGCCAACAGCTGCACCAGTGTTCTCGTCGCGCCAGATCTCTGTGCGAGGCTCCAGCCACGAGGTGTTTGTGGCATCACCGTAGTTGGCGATAAGCTTCTCGATAGGCTGTAGATCGATCTTGGCAACAGCACGATCCTGGCCTTCCCACGGAGGGTGCATAGTGCTTGCCTCAGGATGACGCAGCTGCTTGATGACTGGCCGCTCCGGTAAACTCTTGGGGTCGCGAGGGAACATAGAAGCATGACGGATGTTTCCGAGGTTCATCATCAACATGAGAATACGCTCAAGACCAATACCACCACCACCGTGGGGCGGTGCTCCCCACTGGAAGCCCTGGATGTACTCCTCCATGGAGCCGGGGTCAACCTTGAGCTTACGCATCTTCTCCAAGAGCAGGTTAGAGTCGTGAATACGCTGACCACCACTGAGAATCTCCTGGCCTCTGCAGAAGATATCGAAAGAGTTGGTAACAGTAGGATCGTTGGGATCGTTCATGGCGTAGAATGGGCGCGCATTGGCTGGGAACTTGTCTAGGATGTAGTAGTCGGTTCCAAGCTTCTGCTTGATGACACGACCAAGTTGCACCTCATCTCTGGTGCCTAGATCCTCGTTCACGTCAAGCTCGTTGCCATCGTCATCCCTCCAGCCAGACTCGTTTAGCATACGAACACCGTCAGCGAAGGGAATGATAGGTGTCTGGTCCAGCCAGACAAGGTCTTCGTGTGGAAAGTGTTTCTTGATAACCTCAATCTCAGGACGGTATTGCTCGTAGATGCCCTTGAAAATGGCCTTGAAGGTGCGGTCCAATACACGGAGGACTTCGTGGTAGTGCTCGTCAATCTGCATCTCCAGATCGAGACCAGTGTACTCGGTCAAATGACGGTAGGTGTTACTGTTTTCGGCACGGAAGACGGCACCGATCTCGTACACCTTGCCAAAGTCTGCGGAGATGGCCATTTGCTTGGCCAATTGAGGACTCTGTGCAAGGAACGCGCCACGACCGAAGTAGTCGATCTTGAACACGCTGGCACCCGACTCAGTGGCACCACCCTGCAGCTTGGGAGTGTGGATCTCGATGAAACCCTCCGAGTCGAGCTGATTACGGAAGAGTCTGCAGATACCGGACTGAATGCGGAAGATACCCTGAGATGCTGTTGTCCTCAAATCAATAACGCGGTTGTTCAAGCGTGTACGGTCTGCAATCTTGACACGCGTGTGGCCTTCCTTATGGTCTCCCTGTGCTAGCTCAGCATCAACCTCAGCCTGCGAGACCTCGGCCTCGTTGACATTGAAGGGAAGGTGGTCTGTGACGGCAGCCTCGACATGTAGGGCGTGGACGGAAACCTCGACGTCGTGAATGGTGGCACCGAGAACCTCGCCCTGCTTGGCCTTGGGCTCCTGCAGGATACCCTTGACCAGGACAATGGTCTCGGCGTCCAAGTGCTCAGCCCAGTACAGCATGTATTTTGAGATGTCGGCGTGCTCCAAGAGGACACCCTGGATAGTAGCGAGCTGTTGGCGGAACATCAAGAAGACGAACTTGGAGCTCATCTTCCTGAGGTGGTGGATACGGGCACGGAAGACAACCTCCTTGCCGACATCCTTTGCAGAGAAGTCCTGGATCTTGTGGCGGGGCTCATGCTTCCACTCTCCCGAGTAGGAGTTGGGGTGGATGACACCGTACTTGGACCTCTGCTCCGGGGTCAACTCAGCCAGGGCTTGTTGCTCCATCTCCTTCCTCCTGCGCTCCAGTTCTTGTTCCTTCTCCAAGTTCTGCTTGTGACGCTCCTCCTGCTGTGCCTGCTTCTCGTGTTTGCGCAGTTGGCCACGAGACATGGGCTCACCTTCGCGGTTGAGGGGAGCATCTTCGTCGCTCGAGTCGTTACCAATGTGCAGCTTCTCCTTGACGGCTCGCATGGGGCTGTGGGTGGAGAGAGAGCCGGAGCGCTGGTGGCTGGATCCGGACTTGTTGGTGCCAGTGCGGTTCGGGCTCTCGGTGCGGCGGTGGAGGATGCCGCTGAGGGAGCCGCGGGGCTGGTCGATGCTGGTCCTGCTGTCGGTGGGAGACGCAACGTCTCCACGTTTGTGCTCGCCGCTTGGTCGGGAGCGACCTAGGGTGACGGAAGAGCGCGGCGTTGCGGCAGGCGACTGAGCGCGGCCATTGACGGAAGTGGGAGACTTGACGCCGCTGCTCTTCTCATCGTCCGAGGCCGACGACCCGTGGTGCCCGGGCTTTAGCTTCTCAAGCGCTTTCTTGAGGGAACTCATCGTGGCGGTGGTGCGAGAGCTTTGCCCGTGTTGTGCGTGGTTAGACTACCTGAGCGCAGAGTGGGGGCAAGCAGACGCGGGGGAATGCTCTTGCTGAGGGGGGGATGTGGAAGGTGTTTCTGGGCAAGGGAAAAAATAATTGCTATGGATATGCCAGCAAAGCCGAGGAGGCGCGAGTCTAACTATATCGTGGCTGGGAACGGCCTCTGGCGTGGTTGCCGATGCGAAGGTGAACGGGATATGACGTGACCCCCCCAGTATTTTGGCTACTGCAAAGGCAGCGTTTCACTTCAAGCCCTTCCTAGCGCCGAGCCAGTGCGCGATATCACCCGTGCGCACCCGTGACGTAGATGCTTGGGGATTGATCCGCTCTAGACCTTTGCCTGCTTGTAAGAGACGCCCTGAGAACCCGCGGAGGCCGAAGGCTGTAGGGGAGGTTAGCACGCAGAAGACATGGGCCATGGAGGGGTCAGTCACTGTTATCACCACAACCATTCCAACTGCTTTCATAGCCAAAGCTCAACAAGCCAGAGACGCAATAACTATGTGGATTCTGACAGGCTAGACAGGCTGCATGCACTGCTCTTTGTCTTCGCTGACGCATCCCGCACCTCTCTCCCAATCGGTAAAGCTTCTGTCTACGCCTATCTCTTTGCAGCAGAGCGAGCACTTGTATAGGCAATGAGATGCGAAGCTTTTCGAGCCAAGATCTTCAAGGCGGCCTTACCAGTCCACTCCAGCCACAAGCCGGGGACTTGTCAGCATCGAGAGCGGGCGATTGGGACACGCAGAGCCATCAGTCATGCTTCAGCTCGTGCTTCGGCCGCTCGGAGCTGGTGACTACGACATGTGAAAGATTAGTAGAAGGAAGAATTCTTGGCTCATGCTTGACTTGCCCTTCCGGCGGCGTGTCGGGTGAAACCGAGCCTAGTCGCTCCGATGGGGTTGATGGGTTTTGGCGAGTCGCATGGCATTCTGCCGGATGCGCATGAGCAGGCCTTGGAAGTGCACATCCAACGACCAACTATCTGCAGCGACCCTGACATTTCTTTGCAACACCATGTTTCCCTGAAAAACCTGTTGCTCTGCCGCCGCGTCACAAAGGGGGCGGCAACCATTGCGAAAGCGAGATGAATACCCAAGAATAACCGACAGCATCGACGATCGTTATGCGCAATAACAAGTTCTTGCCAGGCACGCTGTGTTCCTGGAGATCGCATTTCAGCATGCAAATCACTCAGCCCACTGCCGATATCCGCCTTTTCTCCCCCCACCATGACTTCTGCCGGCACATGGAATTCAGGGAAAGCGGGTTTTTACTTGAACTCATGTGCCACCCTACGCTTGGACTACGATGGTTGTTGTCTCAGCTATACTGTTAGACAGCTTTGGAGCGGCAGGTCCAGTCGTTCAACAACAGGATCTCGCCCTAATTAAGGGCGTCCCCACAAGCGAGATTTCGTCCCGCACGTGTCTTGTTATGGTGTCATAGCCTACAGATGGCTTGCCACGCTCACTCATACTACGCTTAGATGGTACTGGCAGTCCCTCGTTTTCAGGACGCCACTCTCTCTCTTTCCTCACGTATACGACAAGGTCGTATTTCAAATTGATGCTAGGACATGCGCTCTCTCTTTTACCGTCTAGCTTCTTTTGCTTCGCAAATACCATCTTCAGCATACGAAGTCTGGAAAAATAGCGGCTAACATGAGCACAAAATGAGAAAGTAGAAACGACCGTAATGTTGTTCTGTATAGGTAATTGTATACACAAACCGTCTTCTCCCCAGAGACGCCCACTGGACACCCACAAACCTGATGCCACGCCTCGTTTTCTACGACTTACCCAACACCCAAAGCTCTCCGTTGCTGCTCGTATCACTCGTCATGAACAGCCTTCCCTGGGAATCCCAAGCCAAACCTGCAGGTCTGAAGCAACCCGAGCTAAAACTTGGTCCATTGCCCTGGCACTTCTCCACAGCCGGATTGTAGAAGATGTCCTTGGCAGCTGTAGTACTAGTCAAAGGCTCAACTGGCGTATAATTCCCATCAGTACCGACTTTAAATTGCACGGCGACAAGCTTGAAACCGGTAACGGGATTGCGGTTCCAGCTACCGTGGTAAGTGATGTACATGGTGGTGCTGTCGGCATCGAACTTGCAATCGATGGGTGCGGAGTGCGGGAATAACGTCAGCTTGGGAGGTGTAGCCTTTTGAACGCAGGTGTCATCGTTCATGCTCGTGCTTGGTTGTTGGACGAAGAAGTCGCCGACTTTGAATGTCTTGTCGGTGAAGTCACTGGGTTTCCAGACCGTAAAGCAGGATGGATAGCCGTACCAGTTTTCATTGGGTTTGGTGACGTCTCCCATATAGTGGATCTTCTCGCCGGGGTTGTCTTGGTGTATGTCTTTTCCGTTGCGCTTGAAGTCGTCGCCGCTGTTCTCTACGCCCCAAAGCCTGTTACGATCATTAGTTCTCAACGCACATACTTCACCATGAGTGGTGCTTACATGTTGTTCTTATCAAAGCAGATTCCTACGTCATTACGTTGTCCATATCCAGCGTTGTATCCGCCAGACACATAGTTATACCCTCCGCTAGGGACCTTTGACAAGTCGAACACCTTGATGATGGCGCGGCCAGTCTTGGGATCCGACGTAGCAGAGTCAATATTTGCGTTGGATCCATGGGAGACCACCAGCAAGTTCGGGTTCTGTGGCGCAATGGCAAGAGTACGAGTCAGATGGGAGCCGCCATTGTACATGCCGGTGACGATAGTCGCTCTAGTACCCAGTGTACCCGCAGCGGCATCGTATGGCCAAGAATAAGCTTGAGTCATGGAGCTCGCATACAGCGTCTTGCCGTCAGGACTCATTGCGATACCATGGTTCAGGTTGTTCTGCGAGACCAGCATCTTGGTGGAAGTGATGCAGCCGTCTGAGCCCATCTTATGGTACGAGATACCCTTGCCAGATTGAACGACCAACATATTCCCAGCACTGTCAAATTGAATGCTGCGAGGGCTGGTCAAGCCTCCCGCAATCTTTGTGGCCTTCCATCCAGCCGCAAGACTGCCCTGGAATGCAGGGTTGCCAGCGCCAGAACACGAGGCTGGGATGGCAGCAGGCGCTGCTGGCTTTAACGTCGCAGACGCAGACGGTACGACGCTTGTCACGACAGTGGTCGGAGCAGCGGAAGGTGTGGCTACAGGCGCCGTCAGCAGGTTAGTCTTGACCAAAGAATCGAAATCATCGATGCGAGCAGCGTCTAGGTTGTGGATCCATTTCCCCCAGGCCTGGTGGACGTTGAAAGCGGAATCGTTTCGGGCAGAATCCTCGACCGAAGAGACACCGTAAGCCCAGGCGAACTCTGTTGTACTGGTACCGTTGAGCGCATATCTTGTGTCTTCGCTGTTTTGCCATCCAGTGCAGCCTTTGCATAGCGCATTGACTGTCCAGTGCGTTGCGTTTGTTTTTGTGCCTTTGAGGTATGTATGCTCGGCTCCATCGTACCCCTGCGGCAAGCCAATACTGCTGTGTTGAGTTAGTAACGTGCTCGTAAACCTTGGAGATACGACATACAAAGCGAAGCGAGCAGAGATAGTCCCAGATTGGCCATTAGGCCAAGCAACGCTCAACGGGTTCCAGACCATAGTACCTCCCCATGAGAAACCGACCCATTGGCTGGCGATCGGTGCGGTGATCCTAATGATGGCATCATACGGGTCCGTAACATTCTTTGGAAGAGCAACACCAAATGACATCCCTGTTTCTGGCTCCGTGTACGACGTATAACTGATCTTCGTTTCTGAATCGTAGACAACAGTAGACTGTGCCTCACCTTCTTGAGCAAGAGCTTCATCAATGTCAGTATCGTCCGTTCACTTGAAGACCACACTAACCATAACCGCCAAGTGCAGCAGCACTGCCAAGAATCTGAGTGTAACGCATAATGGTGGGTTCTGTGGCTAGGTGGCACGTATCTAGACGTTTGTAGCTGCCACTCAGGAGGCCTTGTCCAACTCTTTATGCAACCACATCCAACATCCATCGTGGTAATAGACGAGGCAGCGAGCCACGCCGGGACTTACTTCGATCTTCTCAATCTGTAATTTGTCTTCAATCTTCTTGTATGTGTTAAATGAAAATGTTGGAGAAGGACTGGAGAAGCCATATTGAACTGCCAATCAACGCACTCGGAGCTGCGATCCATGACGGACTGGGATACATGACTGTGGTCGCTATGTATCTTTTGAACATTCGGACGAGTTTCAGCCTGAGTTTACTGCTGGAAAAGGTAGGCTGATAGTCGAGAATCTTATTCCGATGTAGTACAATTGGTTGACGAAACTCTGCGCTATCAATTTTGATGAGCTTGAACTGCATTGTGACCCGGAATAATACTCGCGATAGCCAGTATTCGTTCATGCGGTGCTACTGAATGGCGCTAAAACTGGACAAATCCTAGGCAAACGACGGCAGTTGACACGCGAAGCTGGACTGGGGTCTTAAATTGGTGGGGAGTTTCCTTGACGTTGCTTCAACGTTAAATGGTAGGTATTGCATTCTTCCAAATAACCCGGGGCCCCTAGCGACACGGCGTTGTGGGGAGCCTGTTAGAACGTCCGAATTTTTGGAGAATGGAACGACCGCCAACGTCAACTTAATATCCAACATGTGGAAGCCGCACGTGGCTAGGGCAAAGTAGACTGTTATCATCAGGTCGCTGACAGGCGTTTTCCGACTCTCGCTACTCGAGGTACACTAGAAGACGTCTGTATTTTGGGGGTACAGCCGGTTGCATTGTTTGGTGACTCTGTTTGTGCAACGTTAGCAGTTCCAAAGTAAACATTGGCGCTTGGGATTCCATTTTGCATCCAGTTAAGATTTGTTTATGGACATGGTACGATAATATACGGTTCTTAGCACGACGCACTCCCTTCTCTTTGGTTGCTGCTTCGCAGAGTTCATACGCGTTTGTTCATGTACGCATTGCCGAATGTCCACAGACCGAATGTCGCCAGAATGCTCAGTCCAATGGGAAGCGGCTTGCCGGACTTGATCGCGCGAGGAATTGAGCTACCCGCAAGAATGACAGAAGCGAGAAGAGCCAACTCGACACCGTAGGCTGCGCGGCTGTTGACACGGTAGCCACCGAGCATATACTGTTGTCTATGTTAGACGCGCTAGAAGTGATAAGTAGTAGGGTCGGCGCATACCAGAAGTCCAACAGTACATCCAGCTGCGATTGATGGCACGGAGCCAGTCCTCACGTAACCGGTGATACCGCCACCAGCAGTAAGAGCACCAAGGATGAGAGCGATGTTTCCTAGAGACTTGATTGTCCAGTCAGCATGCATTCATTTACATCATGACTCGTGTATAACAGCGATTGGTGGTGTTGCTCACCATTGTCACGTTGCACTCTACTATGTAGTTTTTCAAGTGATACAGTGAAGTCTGGGTAAAGGCGTCGATATTTGAAGGATGAAAAAACAAACTGAAGCAGTAGAAGTTTCTCGTCGAATGCTTGGAGATGGCTGGGCCAAGTGAATGATGGCACTTGCGGCGGGGATTCGCGGACACCCGAAGAAACCGACGCCGACTCGTAATCCCCAGCTTGGACCAACCACGAACATGTGGCCTCAAGCTATCCACCACGGGCATCACCACCGCGCGTCATCTTCAATATCCCCTGAACGCCCACCACTCGACGTTTACCGTTGAAGCTCCCCGACAATGGCCCCAAAACAGCGCACCACTGCCTCGGCTGACGCTCCTTCCACAACCACCAGTGCCCCGGCACCCGTACGATCAACCAAAGCCAAAGCAAACAACACAGACGCAGCAGCCATTGCGCAAGGAATATGGGATAAATACGTCTCCAAGACACCCCAGCGAACAAAGCTCCTCGATACCTTCCTTGCGTTTCTCGTTATCGTCGGTGCTCTGCAATTCCTCTATGTAGTCTTGGTTGGAAACTTTGTACGTTGCCTCTTGTCCCTGCTTCCCAACGTCCTACATCACGCATGTAAAGGTACAGAATTAGAACCGTTGGCTAACACTCTCCGATAGCCCTTCAACGCTTTTCTTTCCGGCTTCAGCGCAACAGTCGGTCAATTCGTCCTCACAGCCTCTCTGCGCATCCAGACAAACTCGGAGAACAAGGTGCACTTTGAGAACATATCGCATGAGCGGGCTTTTGCAGACTTCATCCTTGGCAGCTTGCTACTGCACTTCTTCTGTGTGAACTTTATTAACTGAGCGGGAAGCGCAGGGAAGGGTTACAAGAGAGTCCCAATACAAAGCAGAGTGGAAGCGGAACTTGCCTGTCTGTCGGTATCAAGGCGTTGCGCAATGGGCTAAAGGGTTTATAAAAGGAAAGCCTAGGGATTGAATATCTGTAAGAGTACTAGAGATATGGACGAGGCGTGGACAGCCTTGGTTTCAGCAGTGACATGTATGCTGAAAGAATCATCCTGCTATACTCCGAAACAATTACCACCGAGTCAATGCAAGACCACGAGCACTGAAGTCAATTCCCATCTCAATTACCCATCAAGTATCTCTAGCATACGCAACCAACCCAAACTCCTCCCTAACCGCTTCCCCTAATCGCCTGATCCCCTCCTCGATTTTCTCCCCTGGCGCCGCCGCATACGTAGCCCTGAAAAACAACGTGTCATGCTTCTCCTCCGCATCCGCATAGAACCAGCTGCCCCTCATGACTAGCGCCCCATGGTCAATAACGCGCATAAAAATACTCTCCTCAATACTCTCAATGCTCTTCTCAGGATAACTGGGATGTTTTCTGAAATCAATTTGCATCCAGTGGAACATGCCAGCCATGGGTGGTTTCCAGCTCATAACTTCAGTGGGTAGGTACTTTGTGCATGCGGAGAGGATTATGTCCCGACGGTGTGTGTATTGCATGCGCATGTAGATCAGCCAGTCCAGGTACCCGGCGTGACCCCAGTGTTCATCTAGGAGCTTGAAGAGAATGAGTTGGGACATGCCAGCCGGATTCTGCGTCGATACATCAGCATATTTGGAATACCGTTCTATGACTTGGGCGGGGGCAGTGATCCATCCGATTCGCGAACCAGGCGCGATGACCTTGGAGAACGAGTCCATGCGGATTACGCGGCCGTCTGTGTCGATGGAGAGGTAGCTTGGAACGAGGGATTTGATGAAGTCTGCGTGGGATGCTGGTGGGGGGATGGCAGGGGCGTTGGCGCCGGTGTAGGGTTGCATCTGGAGGAAGTAGTATGGTTCGTCTTCTAATATGTGGATGTCGTGCTTTTGGCAGACAGCATAGAGGGCATGCCGGCGCTCTGCACTTTGTGTTGCTCCGGTAGGGTTCTGACCTGTGGGCACTGTGTATAAGAGATGGGGCTTCCGCGCCCCTCGAGCAGCTTGGTCCCAGTTTGTGAGGAGCGAGTCCATCTCAGTGGGGAGAAGTCCTTGGTTGTCGATTGGGACGCCGCAAACGCGTACGCCCAACGGTCGCGCGGTCTCTACAAAAGCAGAGAAAGTGTACTCTTCTGATAGGATCATGTCACCAGGTCTGGTGAACATTCTAAGGAGCATATCAGTCGCTGATGTGCTTCCAACTGTCATGGTGCATTTCCAGTCTTGATACGGCGGATCGTGTATCAGTTCAGTGTGTTCAGTCATGAAGCGTAGAAGCTGTGCTGAACCAGATCCCTGGCCGTAATTGAACGCAGTAGCGATATCAAAATTGGACTTGTTTTCAGCAAGGTCATGTTTGCCCGCAGTGATGGTCACGCCGGATTCCCTAGTTTCGGCTTCTGAGAAGTGGCCGATCTTGGGCACTTTGATCGATAGCTCTTCGAAGGGAAAGTACTCGCTGGATGGTAAACCGCCGCCGAGGGAGATGATTCCAGGTGTGCCGAGATACTTTGCGGCCTCTTTAAGAGAGTTGCCTTTGCGGATCGTTGCTTCATGGCTCATGATGTCTAGAAAGGCATAGTTAGTGTCTGGCTCATCGTGAAGACTGATTTGAAGTGTGAAGAACGTACGGCTCCATTGCTTGGCTTTGGGCTTGTGGTCATGCGACTTCAGTCTGAAGTTTGCAGTATCCGATGGCGCCGCTACGCCCCATTGAGCTGCAGTTGTCTTCTTCCTCCTTCCATGGATTTCATTGCTCTGAACTGGCGCACTCAGCGGGTTCGGGATAGTAACTCCAGATGTGTCTGAAACTGCTGACACTTCGACAGCTGAAGGCGGTGACATCTTTGACGATAGATTGATGGTGGGCGTAATCTGGACCTCGTTTTTCCAATGTTTTCTTTGTTTCCTGTCTTCCAGACCTTAGTGCAGCTTACCAAGGACTTAGCAACGACCTTGAAAGCTGATGAATTATTTGAGTGTAATAGAAGTTGATTGTTCGAGATATCCAAGTCTTAAACTTCACTCGGTCGAACTAAGCTATCAGCTATCGGTTATCATACGCCCTACATATGTAGTCTAAGGCGTGTAGGTGGAGCCGCGAACGTGCACCTGCATCATGCCTACCATTTCGGGTAGCGGCTAGCCACGGTCTGGGGAAAGCAAAGCGTGCGACTCCACAAGGAACACGTGCCAAAGCCATACAGACAGCTGCGTGTTACACAATTCACGCCCTTTGCTTGTACGTTGTTTGCCGCACACGATCCCTTTCATGTGGCCTGAAACGCAGTCGAAGCGGATTGTTGCAAAGAGTGGGCCATGGGAATTAGGTACCGAGAGTATCGTATAGAGCGGACACGAACGGACTATTGTGAGGTTGAAGCTACGTAAGGTGCTGCAGGGATTGACCAATCGGCGCTTTTATGACAACTACGTTATCACGAGATGCGTTCATGGCAACAAAGCCGTCGACACCCGTGCTGAACATACATCTGATCTTACATACTCCGGTTCTAGAAGCTTTAGTCTGCGCTAAAGAAGGGTTTGTCTGACAGGTACTCAATGTTAAATCTGGCGACAGAAACAATCTTGTCATTAGCACGAATGTACGATAAATACATGACGATCGACTACAAGTTTTGTCACCATATAGGCCTATCATAAGATACAGTCATTCGTACAACCATAGCACATAGTCAAGGCACCTGGTACCATCATCCGTTTTGTTTTTCCACTGATCTCAGCTGTCCTCAGAATTTAACTCTATTCTGCATGCTATGACGAAGCTTCAAAAACCGTCGATATGCTACCATCAAAAGTGCGGAAAGATTTTGACGCTCAAATCCCGAGCGGTGATATGCAAGAGTAATGCATCACAAACGCCGTATATGCACATCCCCCCATATTAAAAGAACTACCGCCATACCCATTAATGAATGGCGGAAACCACCAACCCATACACATGCAAGAGAAGGAAAAACAGATCGCGAATCGGGTATAAGAGAAAATACAACAGAAGCATGGACGGAAAGAATCGACAACACGCCCCTCTTCACATTACGACGCAGTTTTCGTCTTTTTCTTTGACATCCTTTTCCTTGCTGACTTTCTCTTTCTTAAGTTTGCCTTTATCGGTATTGGTTTTTGCTGGAGTGTGTGATTGCCCGGATGCGGCAGCTTGAATAATGGCAAGACGCTGTTTCGCCCGCTCGTCGCCAGAGTCTGCGGCTTTGACGTACCAGACATTTGCTTCTAGAGGATCCCTCCGGCAGCCAATGCCCATTTCTGTGAAATATCCACAGGCATACTCGGCTTTTGGAAGACCTGACAGAATTAGCATGATTAACCTCTACGAATGTTGACAGACTCACCATGCTCCGCAGCTTTCTTAGCCCACTCGTACGCCTCATTTTCGTCCTTCTCCAGAACTGGTTCGGCACCGACCATATACCACGCGCATAGGTTCATCATGGCTTCGGGAATATCGGCCTGGGCAGCACAATTGTAATAGTGAACGGAGAGTGCAGCATCTTTAGGACAGCGTAGCAAGCCATGTTCGTAAGCTTCGCCTAGCTTCAAAGCAGCCAACGGATGTCCCAACTCGGCAGATTGTGTGAAGAGCTGTACTGCGTACACCTCGTCCTTGAAGATGTCGTCCCCGAAGCCCGTCTCGTGCAGCAGACCAAGCTCGTACGGCGCAATGTTGTATTGAAAGTCGGCTGATTCAGTAGCTCGCTTGAGCCATTTTAGTCCTTCCCTGTACTTGTTCTGAAGGCCCATATCGCCTGTCAAACAAGCCTTTCCAAGTCGTGTCGCAGCTCCCGGGTGGTTCTTCGATGCTGCAGCGCGGTAAAACTGAACAGCTTTGGCGTAGTCTTTGCGGCAGCCCCAACCAAACTCGTAACAGAGTGCGGCACGGAATCCTGATTCCGCGTGTCCATGCTTACTAGCAGCTACAAAGAGTGGAAATGCGCGATCGTGATCCGGCTTGTCCTTGTTGAACAGACCTGACGCATATCCATCTGCAAGGTAGTACTGTGCAAACGGATAGCTGCGGGCGGCTAATCTCTCAAGAATCTGTCGTGCTTCCTTTAGCAATTCTGTGGGGTTCATGCCGTGGTCATCACTGTCATTCTCCGACCCCAGAATCTCGCGGGCTACTTGTACCATGAACAGCGCGAACTCGTATTGCACTGCAGTATCCGCTGTCTTCTTGACGTTCGCCCTGTACATTTCCAGCGTCTTCTTCTGGTTGAGCAGGGAAGCATTCTGCCCCACAGCGCCCCGCAGAGCTGCATTACCAAAGTTGGCTGCAGGGGCGACTTGCTGGTTGTACGGTAGATTGGTCAGATCGATGTAAGACGACTCCGGCCTGACGTCGGGAGAACGGCGGCTGGTTGAGATGGGGCGGGCATAAGGATTAGGTGATCCGCTAGGTGACGGGGAGGTTCCATACACTGAAAGGCGTGGGGATTCTGTACGACCTCGTGCATTCAGTTCCGAGCCCAGGGTGTACGCAGAGCTGGGTCTAGGCACTGTGCTACGCGGGACTTGCAGCTCCCCCTCCTGCGCATGGGTGTTGAAGTAGCTGTTGCGCCCACTGTTATTCGAAGAGTGCTGCGACCCAGCCGTCGGCGATTGTGCGGTCTCGCGGGGAGAATGTGCAGCAGCCGGCGGGGTCGGTTGGTTCGGGTAGGATACGGGCCGGTATTGCTCCTGGGGAGTGTATATGTTGTCTGCCTCATCTTGAGCCCTTGCGACGTCCATTTCCGCGAATTGTGAGAATCGACTACTGTACGATCCGTTGCTGATATGCAGCTGTCTAAAGGCAATCTCTTGCGCGGGGGGAATTGAGCTTCCGGAGAACCGATACTCGAGGTCTGGTGTTTCTATGTCTCGCGACGGGGTCCTTGAATGGCCGTCGGAACTTTGGTTGAAGGAAGATCCGGACTGTCTCGAATCGCGTCCTCCTGCCGCTGTGGTGTTGTGCTCGGTAATACTGAACGAGGGTGTGGAAGAGTGTCGCGTGGTGGGCGGTTTGCGATGCTGGAAACTACCCGAGGCGTTCAAGTCAGGACGATGTGCGCCGTAGGCTTCTTCGTCGGCGGGGACGGGTGGCAAGGCCCTCGATGGTGGTGTCGAAGCAACCTGGGACATCGCTTCGAAAATGGCGTCCCCCTTCCTTAGATCTCTGGTGGCAGTCTTATGTCCGACTAAGTCCTGACTCGCTGCAACGGCGGGGCTCTAAGGTGGTGGTGCAGTCTTAGTGACAAGCAAACCGACGCATGCGATAACGAGCCGTCTGCTGTGTGGATCTTTGCTGCTCCTACAATCAATTGTTAGCAACTTGAGTTGCGGTGTGACGACTGGTTGTAACAAATGTTTGCCAACCTCGGCCATAGCAGGATGCGTACCCTGGGGCCTGGGATGATGATCTACGGTACAGATGAGGATTAGACTCACTGGAAGCGGAGTGTAAGGGTTGGCGGCAGTTGGACCCTGAACGTTGCCCTCGAAAAGTGCGAATAGTCTTTTAGATGAACCCTCGACTCGGTTCATACAAAATGCAGGGCAAGTGCACGGTACGAGGGCAGTAGACGCTTTTTGAAACCCCACTCGATGCCGACTCTCGTATAGAATGGCGAATAGTGGACTGAGTGGATTGAGTGGGCTGGGCGGCAGAGGCCGGCTTGCTGAGGAAGCGAGATGGTGTGTGTGTGACCAGCATGAAACACGAGCACTATCGATCTATTCGGTAAGATCCGAAGGGGCGCAGAGAATCGATGGCGGCTCACGGGGGAAATATTGGCAAATGCGGAGGAAGTTCTGCATGGGCGCGGATGTGCATCGGTATTTGACTACTGGGCTTGGGCTGGGCGCTGCTTGAGACACGTACGCAGTGAGCATCAGGAAGGTGGCGTCATTCACGATGGAGACACTATCCTGTCATGCTCCAAACGTTATTAATCACAGGTGGTCGAGCAGACGCGTTGAGGCTTCATTGTACCTCGATGCGGACAAAGAATCACTTGTCCAAGCCATCTCCACCCCACCGAAGTTTCCGCGGCTATCGAATTCTATACATGTGACAAATGCCAGCTAGGTAATTAACCGTCTCTGCCAATTCGCGCGAGTGGAGCTACCGCTCTGCAGGGCTTAGGATGGAGACATGGAATGATGTGGAGCTGTGTGAAGAGACCCTGACTCCACGCGTTCAAAGCTGTCAGTCAGCTTGCTGCAAAGCACGAGGCGTCAGGCGGAAATTCGCTGCCAAAGCTCAGCGCAGGTCCACTCGTATATATTGAAGAAGGATGGGGCACAATCTTTGATGATTTTAGGCAACTCATGACAGGCGCGCCGTGTTAATGTATGCGGGAGTGTGTACCGCCCACCGCTCTCGGCGCCAATAGTGAAGATGGACTAAGAAGCCAACTCGGCGCATGCCTCCTTTATACATTGGTGTGAAAGATGTGTTGAGACACTGTCCAGAAGGTAGAAAAGGAGAAGTGAGGTTAGTCGATAGGGAGGTTGATACTATGGCGATCTAGGGCTCGGTAACCGTTTGGCTGCAGGATTTGGTGCATGCAGGGGTTCCGCCATGTAGCATCCATGGATCGTTCGCAGGCAAGGGGTACTGAGGTGTGACAGCGACATGTGAAGGGAGAGGCAGCTAGATGCAGTACGACGGAGAATTACAACAGAGAAGCGTACTGGAAGACGAAGCTGTCAATGGCGATTGTCATTGATCGCGAGGGTGGAAAATCATCCCGTGTTTATGTACGCTCTAGCGATAGGCCTGGTGCTAGTGGCGGAACAGAATCCCCAAAATAGCATCCACCCCTTGCCAGCTTCGCCCCCATATGCCATCGCTCTAGCAACACCTATTGTGTCGCCCGGGGTCTCGTCGGTTTTCCTCGTCGCTCGTTAGGACCGTCTTTCACTACACCCTTTGGTTTTTTGCTGCAGCGCACTCGCTCCTGCTGCACACGGCCACCACTCGTTGCAAAAAAGGAAACCACGATCCACCGCCATTTACAACGACTCTAACGACTACCCCAAGCCCGCACTCTATCTTATATGCGATCGCCATCCCCATAGAACCGCTATACACATTCTTCCCGGGCCGAAACGAGCTCCGCGCAACAGCCCCACTGTGTAACAACAGCTGAGGTCACAACCTCACGTACATGTCTCTACCGCAGCGACCCGAGGAGTCGTCGCCGCCTCGACGGGGCGAGCGGCGACATGCGCACCGAGACTCGCACCACCGCAGAAGGAGGACTTCGGATCTGGAGAACACACGGTCGCACGACCGCTCCAATAGCAAGAGCGGCACCCAGGCCTACTCGCGCGCGCTTCCCTCGCCCGGCACCCCCGTGCCTATGGAGCGCGATCCCATAATGAGAGGCCAACCGAAACCATCCGAGCCCGAGTTGAACAGGAAGCGCAGTCTTATCCGACCTGAACGCCAGCGAATGGACCCGAGCCATCCGAACTATCACTACCGCAAACATGCCCAGCGCATGGACGTCCACCCATCGACGACGGGTAACGACCCTATTCTAGAAGACCACCTCGAGGCAGAGACTGTCAGCTCAGACAGCACTGACATCAAGCCCCCGCATATGCGAAATGCCTCCGGCGGAGGGTACAACGACAAGCAAGCTCCGATGGACGACGGGGAGCCACGGATACAACGCAAGCTGACGAGCAAGACAATGGAAGCACGTGAGAAGCAGCGTCAGAAGGAGCAGGACAAGCTACGACCACCTAGTCTGTGGAATGTCTACTGCGCTATCGTTACTTTCTGGTGTCCGAATGCCATCTTGAAGTGCTTTGGAAAACCGCAGAAGGCGCAGCAGCGAGCATGGAGAGAGAAGGTCGGACTAGTCAGCATCATTTTACTCATCTGCACGTTCGTTGGATACCTCACATTCGGTTTTACGGAGACTGTGTGCCCATCTGGCGGCAATGCTCGCCTTAGGACAAACGAAGTCGGAGGTGGATACCTGATCATTCACGGCAAAGCCTACGATCTCGCTCAGTCTAAGCACCCTCGCGCTCGCGGCATCCCCCAAGACGCAAACGTTCTCTTCGATCTTCCAGAGAAGAACGGCGGTAAAGACGCTAGCTTCTTGTTCCAGAATGTCAATGGAGCTTGCAAAGGACTCATCACTGAAAAGGAAAACTCTGGCATTCCCACGAGTGGTAATGGCGATCTGGGCTGGTACTTCCCGTGCCGTCTGTTCAACCAAGACGGATCGACCAAGCCCAATACGACCTTCTTGGAGTACAACGGTTACCAGTGTCATACCTCGGACAACGCTCGTAGAGCCTTCTACGGTCTGCGAAACGCCGGCGACGTGTACTTTACCTGGGACGACATTCGCAACAGTTCTAGGAACCTCATGGTATGGGGCGGTGATGTCTTGGACCTGAACTTGCTCGACTGGTTCAACCGGACCCAGGTTAATATTCCACCTCTGTTCGATGAGATTCGTCAGAATCCCTCTGTTCGTGGCGTAGACGTTACCCGTGCGTACTCATCCAGCTATGAGAAGCAGGTAGCTCGTTGCTTTACCGAAACCATCAAAGTCGGCTCCATCGATACGGAAAGCATTGGCTGCATTGCTTCCAAGGTCGTCCTCTATGTGTCGCTCGTCTTCATCTTGGCTGTTGTCATGGCCAAGTTCGTCCTCGCCCTTCTCTTCCAGTGGTTTATCTGCAAAAAGTTTGCTGCTACCAACACATCCATTTCTCCCGCGGACTCCAAGCTGCGAAAGCAGCAGATCGAAGAGTGGAGTGACGATATCTATCGCCCGCCACCAAAACTCATGGATCCATCTTTCGGCTCTGACCGCAGCAACAAGCGTGGCAGTACTTTCCTGCCACAGACTTCGAGGTTTACCAGCCCTTACGCGGTTGACAAGAACGCAAAGACCCGTGCCCCACCGACGACTATGACGAGCCAGAGCACGACATCTCGCATCCTGGGATCGAACAGTGGTATGTACAAGCAACTAAATGCCAGTCAAGGCACCATGCCCTTGGACGGAAAGCACAATGCGCAGTTCTCAGCACAAGAGTCTCGGTCTAGTCTACTTCTTTCTGGGCAGACCGACACCAACCGCTACTCAAGTGTCGAAGGCTCCGGACCCGCAGGTTTCACACACGAAGCTGTTGTACCTCAGCCTCCACCAGAATGGCAGCCTTTTGGATACCCCTTGGCGCACACCATCTGTCTTGTCACCGCGTACTCTGAAGGTCCCGACGGACTGCGAACTACACTCGACTCCATCGCTACCACAGACTACCCCAACAGCCACAAGTTGATCCTCATTATTTGCGACGGTATGATCAAGGGTCATGGAGAAGATTTGACAACGCCAGAGGTCTGTCTTGGTATGATGAAGGATCACGCGGTATTGCCCCACGAGGTCCAAGCGCATTCATACGTCGCAGTCGCTAGTGGTTCAAAACGACACAACATGGCCAAGATCTACTCAGGATTCTACGACTACGGCGAGACGACCCGCATTCCTGTCGAGAAGCAACAACGTGTTCCCGTGTTGCTAGTCGTGAAGTGTGGTACACCCGATGAGGCCAAAAAATCGAAGCCCGGCAATCGTGGAAAGCGAGACAGTCAGATCATCCTCATGTCGTTCCTGCAAAAGGTCATGTTTGACGAGCGTATGACGGAGCTTGAATTCGAAATGTTCAACGGTATCTGGAAGATCACTGGCATTTCGCCCGATTTCTACGAGATAGTACTCATGGTCGACGCCGACACAAAGGTTTTCCCTGACAGCTTGACGCACATGGTCTCAGCCATGGTAAAGGATCCAGATATCATGGGGCTCTGCGGCGAAACAAAGATTGCCAATAAGCGGGATTCGTGGGTCTCCATGATCCAGGTGTTTGAGTAAGTGCTGTCGCCATGTTTTACAATCGCGCCACTAATTGTGATAGATACTTCATCTCCCATCACTTGGCCAAGTCATTCGAATCAGTCTTTGGTGGTGTTACTTGCTTGCCGGGTTGTTTCTGCATGTACCGCATCAAGGCTCCCAAGGGTGGTCAGAACTACTGGGTGCCGATCCTGGCTAATCCGGATGTTGTTGAGCATTACTCCGAGAACGTGGTTGATACGCTGCACAAGAAGAATCTGCTACTACTGGGTGAGGATCGATACCTGTCGACGCTGATGCTCAAGACGTTCCCCAAGCGAAAACAGGTTTTCGTCCCGCAAGCCGTTTGCAAAACCGTTGTACCGGACGAGTTCAAAGTTCTGCTGTCACAGCGCAGACGATGGATTAATAGTACGGTCCACAACCTGATGGAGCTTGTGCTAGTGCGAGATCTGTGTGGCACCTTCTGCTTCAGCATGCAGTTCGTTGTGTTCATCGAGTTGATCGGAACCCTGGTTCTCCCAGCCGCCATTGCTTTCACATTCTACCTAAGTAAGCCTCCGTACTCCACTATGAAGCTTCGGCTTTGCTGACCATGTCTAGTCGCCATCGCTATCAAAGCCGCTGTTCTCCACACAGAAGCTCCCGTCATACCCCTCATCCTTTTAGCGCTCATCCTTGGTCTACCCGCCATTCTCATCATCGTAACAGCCCATCGGTGGTCTTACGTCGCTTGGATGTTCGTCTATCTGCTGTCATTGCCTGTTTGGAACTTTATACTTCCGACATATGCGTTCTGGAAGTTTGACGACTTCAGCTGGGGAGATACTCGAAAGACGGCAGGCGAAAAGACGAAAAAGGCAGGCTTGGAGTATGAAGGAGAATTCGACAGTAGCAAAATCACAATGCGCAGGTGGCATGATTTTGAAGCAGGTAAGGAACACAACTTCTCGCGATAATGCTGTCACTAACGTTGGGCACCAACAGAACGGAGACTCAAGACACCAGCGGCGACATCGGCTGGTGGATGGCCACAGCACCAACAACAACAGGGTTACGACCAGTATTATGATAATTAGTTTCGCATCGTGGCGTTGTGTAGGAAGGACTGCATCTGTACTACATGATTTGCTGCATTGCTACGATGTCCGTTTTAGCAGGCCATTTCTGTCATTATTATGAGTTTGTAGAATTTCTACTTCACTGTCGGGGTCACATAGGCATCTCGCTCTAGTAATACATCCTTACCGCATGCTGTCAGCTCTCGCGAGACTCGGCATGTCATGATCAAACAGTACTGAGGTGAATGATCTCGCATCACTGTTCCTGTATCGTTTTACAGTCTCAAGATGTGTCTTGTGCTTCCAGCGTCTGCGTAAGATGGGCCCTGAATCGACGGCATTTCCCCGGAGCGATCAGTGGCTTACTGTCGTGGAGTGCCAGCACCGTTGTCCAGAGGCGGGACGGCTAGGAGAGACAAAAACGGCATTTGAGCCACAGTCTGGGGAGGCGCGGTGGGGAAAGACGTTTGATTTGTTCCACCAATTCGCCGTGCAACTATGGGCCAGCGCTCAGCGCGTCACCTTTTGGCCCCAGACGATGAGCTTAGCGAAGCTGGTGTGCTGCCTGTGTCCCAAAAGGGGCCTGACAAGAGCAGGTGTGGGCCTGGATGTCTGACGTTGAGTGGCCACTGCATTCTCGTTGTCGGGTCTTGGCTCCAGAAGGTTGTCGTGTTGGCAGTGCCATGTGAGTTGTGTGACTGTCCGCGGGCACGCCATGGCCGCTTAACCCTGAGCGCCTGGTGACAGCGTGGAGATGAGCAGCGTGAATACACAGATCTAATGTCTGGAGATCTCTTAGATGGTGGAGTCGCTAGTTAGGCTTGGGGGTGGGTGGCTGTCCGATCCCCCCGTGTTCAGTCTAAACTAGAGGGCCCGCGGAGGGTGGGATACGAATATTCGGCGGGCTTCACAGACGGCGTATATATCTGACGGAAGTGTATGTTCTAGGAGCCGTTTGACGCACATAGCCATATCCATAATCATCACGGGAGCTGACCTGCTTGCCCTGCAGCCCAGCCCAACTCTCCCGCAGCCAATGCCCATCTAGGGCTCTGGCAGGAGCGACCCCACATTTAGCCAGGACGTGTCTTCCTTCGCATGCAGCGCCTCGGGTAGTTAACAGACAGATCGAGTGCAGAGAGGCGACCTAGTCAGCTTGCGACGCGACGGTACTAGTCCGTCAGCCGCTACATATTTGCTGTATTCTGCCTGTCTCGCTGCGCCGAGCCTATGCTTTGGCCTAGTCACCTTTCCCCCCCACGCCAGACAAGCCTATACCTTGCGCCGCAACGCCTCTCTACAACTACATCAGTCGACCGTCTCGTCGCATACGCACAAACAACAAAACCCTGCCTCGGCGGCCCCGCTGCACTGGTTATCAGGCGGATAGCGGGCGTCGATGGCCAGCATGCACAACTGGTCCGCGCCACACTCGACGACACCGCATCTCACAACGCCGCCGTCGCAATCGCATCCGGACCATGGAGACTGGCCGCACTCGCCCAGCGCATTGGCTGCTGCTGTAACTCTTGCGACTCTCTCTGACGGCAGACCAGCCGATGACGACGGCGACGACGATGACGAGGTGGAGGACGACGATGACGATGGCGGGGGGATATCGCTAGAAGACTACCAGCACTTTATGGAAACCATGCCTGGGTCACATGGAGCAGGAGAGGGAGATATCGACGATGAAGACCCATCGCTGGATGAAGGAGGCACGATTGAAGACATGTTTGGCCCAATTCACCCGTCATATATTACATACAACGCTATCGACATGTTTGATCAAACATCCAGCATCCCTCACCACCTGCACACATCCACCACATACATCGCCGCGCCAATGGCTATAGGGGCCCAAACAATACACCTGCCATATGGTGCTGATCCATTGCTCGAGCCGCCACCCACGCTCAATGAGCCGCATCTGAGCATCCAGGATAGGGCAGCTTTTTGTCCCATCACTTCTTACTTCCATCGTTTCTTTGGACATTTCAAGCCCGTCGTTCCTGGTCTGGACCTCGTGCAGGTTCCGGATTTTATTAGTCGAGACGACCTGAAGGGCGACGAATATGACTACCAGGGCATCGACTGGACGAAACGCAATGTACGTTCTCACATTCTGATGTCTACATTGGCAGCTGCGAGACAGCGTCTAGCAATTTCCTGCATATACATATGCAAGAAGCAAGAAATCTTTAAGCTAACACTTTGATAGACTACACGTGCAGCGGTTCGTAAGGCGCGATCGCAGCACGAGCGTCAAAGAGTGCTGCATAGCGTCAAAGCAGTTCGGAAGTATATACATTCAACACCTAACACAGACAGCTTCTTCCAGTTTCGAAGGATCAACACCAAGCCCCGTGCCTTCGTACCTCACTTCCAGTTGCGAAACATAGTGACAGCTACATCTCGCAACGATGTCTATTATGCCAAAGGTCACCAAGTACTCCACACAGACGCTGAAGGTGTGCCCGAAGATGTTGTCGCAGATCTCAGCAAACATCTAGCTCCTGATGCGTCAATAACCACCATCGCATCACACGGCGATGTACTTATCGCCGGCGCTTTTGAAGGCGAGTACGCCATCGCAAACCTTGCTTCCACCCAAGGCTCGGCCTATACCTTTGGTCGCACCTCGGACTTTGCAACAGACACAAAGTCGCGGATAGTCAACCACATGCATCTGTTCTCCTCACGGCGGACTTACACCCCCCAAGCCGTCCTATGTTCCAACGACCACCACCTCCGCGTCCTAGACTGCGGAACCAACACGCTCATTCACTCATTCCAATACCCAGCAGCAGTCAACTGCTCAGCAATGAGTCCAAACGGCCGCATGCGTGTCGTAGTTGGCGACTTCCAAGAAACGCTCATCACAAACGCAGAAACAGGCCAAGCATTCGAAACATTAAATTCCCACACCGACGACGCTTTCGCCTGTGCCTGGGCAGACGACGGCATCCACGTCGCAACCGCCGCCCAGGATTCCACCGTTGTCGTCTGGGACGCGCGGTACTGGGAGAAGCCCTTGGCCGTCATGAAGAGCGAACTGAGTGTCCCACGGTCTCTGCATTTCTCACCCATTGGCTCTGGACCCCGTGTTCTCGTTGCAGCTGAAGCAGACGACTTTATCAATATTATTAATGCGCAGACATGGGAGTCAAAACAGGTCTTCGACTTCTTTGGCCCTGCGGGTGGTGTCTCGTTTACGCCTGACGGACAGTCTCTGTTTATCGCTAACGGAGAGAGACGGTTTGGCGGTATCATCGAACTCGAACGTACGGGTTGGGCGGATAAGACGGGCAGGCGGGGCAGTTTCGATGACGAGCATCAGGAAGATATTGTCACAGATTGGGTGGGAGATGGTGCGCTGGATGCTGACGGCCGAGTTTTGGCTGGCGATGTGCAGAGACAGAGGCGACATGTTGATCTGAGCGGTGTCGTTGTGTGACGGGAATACTGTAGATGTCTAAACTTGCTCTATGGGAGGTAATGGCCGAGTTTTGGCTGGCGTTTTGTTTTGTTTTGTTTTGTTTTGCAGAGATGGCATGGCATGGGCTGGGAATGGAAGATACCACGGATTGGGCGGGCATATGGGAATGGTGTTTAGCAAGTATAGATTACTAGTGTTCTGCATGACTATCTGATTCATGTTGCAACGGACTCTTTTTTCCTTTGGTGCACCGTGATACTCTATAAGCAGGAATGATGGGAACTCATGGCATGTTGGTCGATGTGGTATCATTATTCTTTTTGGTTACATTCCATATCTGTCCAACATAAAAGGCACAGTTGCATCATCGGCTAGCCGCCCTTCTTTCCTGCCTAGCAAATCCCAATCTCATGCTCGTAATCGCCGCAACGCCTTCGGAATGGAATATTCAGATGACCAATTAACGCCGTCAAATGCAATTTTTTCCAGAAGCTTAGACGAGGAGAACGGCGTTCAAGCAACCGTCGTTCTCGGGGTTGTTGGTGATTTGTGCATAGCGACCCCAGACGACCTTTCCTCCAGCAGTTACGAGACCAAGTTCCGAGACGTTTACTTCGATGATGGTACCCTTGGTTAGAACACCCAGCTGCGTGTACATGGGTTGCTGAGGGTTCTTCTTTACGGAGCTGTGAAATGTTAGCTATGCTCGTCTGTCGTTACTGCGTGAAGACACATACATGATGGGCAACTGGACCGTAACGTTCAGTTCAGGATGTGTCACGTTGGCCTTCTTGTAACGCAATCCCATAGGCCTGATGAAGCGCTCGTACTTGACGGGTCTACGCGTGAAGCCAGGACCGACGAAGGTAGGCTTGGTGATCATACGCTTCCAGCTCTTCTTCTTCGTCTTCTTTCCCGTCTTGACAACCGAGAACATTTCCTCCTCGGAAATACCCTTGACCTTGGGCAGGGGAACCGAGAACCGGGCTGCCTTTTCATTACGCTTCTGCTTGATGGCGGAAGAGAGAGCCTTGGCATTCTTCTCGTTGCTGCGGTCCAGCAGGTATGCGGGGAGCGCGTCGGTAGCTGGCTCGGGTGCTTCGTTGGATTTGACGTTGCGCTCCTCGTGTGCGCGGATCTTCTGCTTCATCTGAATCTTCTCCTTCCTGCGCTTCTCGGCGTACAACTTGGCCCTCAGACCACGGAAGTTTTGCGCCTTCTTGGATGCATTGTGTCCTTCACGAGCGATCTTCTTGCGTTGGCGCTCATCGTGATCGAAGCGCTTTCCGTGCCTGTTGCGACAGAGTTAGTGGAGTGTTCTTGGCACTGAGGCGCGAGGCGCTGGTGGTGGGGTGCAGGATCCATGATGGGTGTAGACATACTGCTTCGTAAAGCGCTCGATGTACTCGTTCTGAGGCATGGCGACTACCTCTGCGTGTGCTAGATGGTAAGGGTAGTGGTGGTAGAGTGGAGTCTCTTACAGCAGCGCCTTCCGCCTCCAAAAAGTTCGGCACTAGCCCCCACTAGCGCGATGCGGGCTGGATTCTTCAACATCGGACCTCCGCCGCATCACCAGAGATACTGTTTGCAGCAGCCCCCAAGCCATTGCGTCCCACCAACCCCAGTAATGGCTCTATTCGCTCGCTCCGCACGCCATGCGTTCCTCGAGTCCAGGGCGATAGTCCAACCGACCATCCGCCGCGCAGGAATAACAACCGTATCGCACAACCTCGACACATCAAATACCCCCGAACCGCTCATCCAATCCGGCCACCGCATATCAGACGAAGCCAAAGAGCGCGCTCAAACACCACAGCCTCTCCTCAGCGATGCCCCTACGCCCGCTTCCTCAAACGATGTCAAAGCCTCACCACACGCCCGCTCAGACATCCTCTCGCAAACCCTCACACCCTCCATCCGCAAGCTCCTCCCTCTCCTACAGACCCAGCCAGCACACTACATAACCGCACATCTCCATGGCCGTCCATATCTTCTGACTCGCGGCGACACACTTCGCCTCCCCTTCCAAATGCCACATGTACGCCCCGGCGACATTCTGCGCTTGAACCGCGCTACACACATTGGATCGCGAGACTACACATTAAAAGCGCCGGAGCCTGTCAAGGGAAACGCAGACCATGGAAAGAAGGTGTACTACCTAGATGAGCGGTTATTCACGTGCAGGGCGCGGGTTGTGGGTGTGGAGAGCGAACCATTGAGAATAGAGGAGAAGACCAAGAGGAGGCAAAGACACACCAAACACGTAAAGAGCAAACTGCATTTCACCGTCTTGAAGATCAGTGATTTGGAGGTTAAGAGTTTGGAGGAGTACGAGGCGGCATTGGGGCAAGAGGAGAAGAAGAGTGTACAATAGCTGTGGCATTGTGGGAATCAGCAATGTCTTGTCATGAGTCTTTCGAATGTATCATATATGTGTCGATACCATGAGCACGCTGGCCGCAGAGTTGTCAGACCGACGCAATCTGTTTGGAATCAGAACGACGTCTTAGGCTCTTATGCTCGTATTCATCATGTCTAAGTGTACACTGGGTATATGCGATCCCTTGACGCCGTTTATGCACTATCTGCTCCTCGTCGATCCGCTGCTGGATGCACTAATTCCATGCTAGTGCACCACCTGCGACGCATAGAAGTCAGGATATTGGTTCTGGATCATCGAAGTGACTTTCTCCACCTCCTCTGCCAGACCAGTGACATTGGCATCCCACTTCCGTAGCTCCTTGCCTACAACGCGCTCTGCATGTCCAGTCTTGCGTTCGCCACTGGCCTCGCCCTCAAAGAAGACGTATCGGTCGATTTGGTCAATGTATCCGGCAAGTCGTCCTTGCTCCAGCATCTTCGCCGCATAGTCTTCTGCCTTCTCCGCATCTATACCCAATAGCTCGCCCAATTGATCAAATCCAATGTTGTTGTAGAGCTTCGATGCGCCGAGCAAGTTGTGTTCGAGAATGGCCTTGTCAAGCACAGTCAGGCCGTCGGCGCCTCGGGCAAGGTGGTGAGGATCGAGCTTAGCGGAAAAGGCCTTGATCTCAGCGGGTGTAAGGAGACGATTCAAGAAGATCTTCTCGAGGATGGCGTAGTCTTCAGCAGAACTAGCTCGGTCGTCTTTGTACAGCTTGGCCAACATCTTGCCTCGCTGTGGACCGGCAGGAGCGAGGACCGTACAGATGATAGCTCTTCCGAGAAAGCCGTCCCGCTCCTCAGTGTCGACTAGGGGCTCGTTGCTCAAGGTGTAGTATCCCTGCGCGGCATCGAGGAAGGATCGTTGCGAGTCAAGGATTCGGGCTTGACTCAACTGAAACATGACCTTGGTTGCCTTGTCCTGCACGTTGAATATGATGTTCTTGATCTTGTTCAAGTGTGTGAATGCGCTTGTCGGATCATCTTCCTCCAAGTAACACCGGACTATTCGAATCCAAACTTTCGCCTTATCATCCGCAGAAACTGACTTTTGTGTCGACTCGAGGTTTATGGTTGCAAGTGTCTGCGCAGACCGCCTGAAATCGTCGTTCTGCTCGAACGCGTCTGCCAGAGCATGCTTGATTTGTGTATCTTGTTCCTCGTACTGACCCGCGCCCTTGGATTGTAGGAGTGTGATAACTTTCTCTCCAACATCAATCTTTGCATCTGGATCTTTGACCGTCCGGTAAGCGTCCACGAAAGCAGCAAGAAGTGGTCGGAGGACTACTATGCCAAGAGAGTCGTCAAGGAGAGTTTGTGCGTATGCGTTCAGATCGGCGGCAACATTGTTCGATGTTTCGACTATCTGTTGGAGGAGGGCGGTATACTGAGAGGGCTTTTCGTTGGCCGACGTTGCCTCGATCTGCTGTAAAGCGGAGGTGACAGCTGGGGAAGCCATGATGGGGGATGCTTGAGGTAAGCTGGATCGTGAAGAAAACCCTCTAAGTTCAGTTTAATTGATTTCGAGATCCTAAGTAAGAAAAGGATTAGAATTGCCAAAGACAACGTCGGATTCTGGAGCTACAAGAGGGAGAAAGCCGGTCCTGCTCGTTGGTTGTTGACGGGTATAGGCAACAGACGTGGGGCAAACGCGACCTCACCAGAGCTGCATTATCGATAGGAGGCTTGGCACGCTAGTGCGGAAGCGCGTCGGGAGGTACAATGCGCCTGCCTGAGACGATCCGATGTCTTTCATCATCGCAACCAAGGTTCACGCTCGCTGAGCCACCTCGCTACCACTGGCACATTCTTTGTAGAGCACACGCTCGAGCTTCTATTACTATCACCACCAGCTATCACGCACACGCTGCACCGACCACAACGTGGATACCTCGCACTCCTGCCGTAACGCAACTTCGTCGCATCCGCAATCATGAACGGCATTAAGCCAGAGGTCAAGGAAGAGCCTGGCGTCGGCTTCATGGACGATGACTTCTACGAGGATACGGGCGAGATGTCCATCAACAAGGACAACCCACAGCAAGACGTCTGGCTCACGCGCATTCCAGACTGGCTCTACGAGGCAGTCTCCAAGTGGGAAGACATTGCCGACGGCAACGACAACGACCAGATTCAGATCGGAGAGGTGTGCGCTTTCGCGACAACGAGCGGCATCGACAAGGACAAGCCTATGCGCGTCTTCCTCAATGACCGTTGGCGTGCAAAGTCCAACCTTCCCTCGGCCTTCCAGTTGGACCCTGCAGCCGCCTCCGATGTTCAGCTAGGCAACACATACGTGTTTACAGAGAAGGATCTGCCGGGATTCAAGGGACAACAAGGCTACGGCTATGGCAGAGGCCAACAGGGAAGCTTTGGTGGTGTACAAGATCCGAATGCGCGTGTTCAGAAACGAAGCAAATACAAGAAGGCAATTCCCAAGCAGACTGCGCTCGTCGGTCACGCGACACGGCAGTACAACGCGAACCCTCTCGAGACCAAGGAATTCAAGGACTTCAGTGCCGCGCGCATCAAGCAAGCCATTCAAGGCTCCCACACAACCACCATCATCACAAAAGACACCGAAGTCTCAGACGTCAACAACTCCATTACACTCAACAACCGCTTCAAGAACTTCATCAAGCCTACGACCAAGGCGAAATCGCAACAGAACAAGGCTGCTCGTATGGCTCGTTCCGACCTTATCGATGTACTTCACCAGTTGTTCGACGAGTACCAGTACTGGCCTATGAAAGCCATCAAGCAACGGACCAAGCAGCCGGAGCAGTACCTCAAGGAAGTTCTTAGCGACATTGCGCTCCTCGTCAAATCTGGGCCGTTTGCAAGCAACTGGAAACGCCAGGCTGTATTCGACAACCAGCGAGACACTAGTAAACAAGCAGAGGCAGCTGCACCTGAGGGCCCGGGTGATGGAGATACCGAGGGAGAGGATGAAATGGAGGACGTAGTTTAGAAGACCACAGAACGTTGCTGTGTGATTTAGATACCCGGCAGAAGTGTACATCATTTTGCGTTCTGTTAACCTGTTAAAATAATACACTGGGGATACCTTTAGGGTAAATTGTCCAAGTAACTGTTCATCCGTATACAGCATCTATCCAGATACGAAGAAGCTTTTTTTCACGAACGGTACCTGCTACTGAAATTGTGCCCTTGAGCTATACACAGTGATGCATGCCACAACTGGATTAGAAAAGTAACAGAGTAAGCAATTAGGTCGCAATTTCAGTTATAGGTCGAGAATCAATTAAACACTAACCATCTTAGGAATGACGCTACCTCGGCGGCTGTCTGTCGATGACCTAAGTGGGCCTATCCGAGGAGCTCGTCTAACAACCTGGTGATCACTCCGACTCCACTTGTCTGGCATCCTTCGCATCTTGGCCTTTCTATCTTTTATGGTTCTCAATACATTTACCTATTCCTTTTTCTTGCCAACATCCCTCATCGTTCACCTATCAGAAGTGGCAAACAGCAACAACTGCATTGAGATTGAATAGCTAAGAAGCGTAATGAAACCACAGACGCAAGAGCAGGGTCATTGGCTGGACAAATACGCAACGAACTATGCAGAATGGAAACTATCTGATAGTACAGATGGCAGGCAGCTATTCAACCGTCCGCTTGGGCTAGTGGAGACTTCATTTGACTCAGATGGCACGTACTACGGTGGCCGGGCAGGTATGCAGCATCTCTCAGTATTTTTGTATCGGTCCGACATCAGCCTAGAGATCCCAGTCGTTCTTCGCGGCTATACACTATATGTACAAGAGCGCGAGATACTATAGACCTATTCACTAGGGCAACTATTATTGAAAGCGACTAATCATGCCACAGATATGACGGCCCTCTATACATTGGCAATCCAGCACAAGCTCCCAAAGACAGAATTGAGACGTAGGATAGCGCTCGCGTGGACCGCTTTACGGCTTCAACATCCTCTGCTTATGGCTCGAGTTGTTGACAACCAAGAAACTGGAACACGGGGTTTCGCCGTCGACGTACCTGTTTCCTCTGAATCTGCAATCGAACAGGTCGAGCAGAGCATTATCTGGATCGAAGATGCATATGACGAAGTTGATGAGAAAGAATTATACCGTCACGCCTACAACGTGACTCGCATCGTCGAGCCCGCAAAATGCTTATCGAAGCTGCATGTGCTACCTTTGCGGAAACTTCCAAACGGGACATATGAGCTGAGATTGCTCATCGTGATTGCGCACCAGATCTCCGATGGTCTCTCGGCGTACAATTGGTTCAGCCACTTTCTTCGCATCATAAACCAGCCGTCTCAGAACATCTTGGCAGAGATCGAGTCTGTCTGTACGTCAGAGAAGATCAAGAAAGTCTTACCAGCCGCTCAAGAAGACCTATACCCACCCATTGCAGGCAACAGGGCGAGACAGCGTTGGTTCTGGGCGCTCATCAGAGTGCTGAGACATGTGAAGAAAGGAGGACTACCACCTACCTTCACGAATCCGCTACGGAGAGAAAAGAGGCTCGACGAACCATTACGACTAGAACCTAAGTTCGATAGAGTCTTCGACTATAGCCCTTCAACCCGCCCTCCGATGTCATGTGGTCATGTCTCCGCATCGCTTTCAGCTGCCGCTTCAGCACGTCTGATATCACTATGCCGATCTGCAAACGTCAGTATAGGAGCTGGGTGTTTCGCTCTTGCCGGTCTAGGCATGATGTCAATCCACGAAAAGCGTTCTCCTTCAGACAGTCACCCGCCATTCACAGCATCGTTTCCTCTAAACCCGCGCGGCTTCTTTGTGAACCCACCACCGGCAGACTCATGCATGCTAGCCTTCAGCGAAGGGATAGTAATGCCTTTCTTATCTTCAGATCTACCAGTAGAAGGAAGGTTCAAACTAACAGCAAAGCACGCCAATCGCGAGTTGCGGGTCTACCAAAAACGCTTGAAAGGAAAGGGGAAGACAGGTACAGCAGGTATTCTTGACAAACACTCACCAGGCCGTCTACTCGCGACCGGCTACGTCACACAGATTGAGCGTGTCGAAGCAAAACTACCACCCGAACGCCGTTCACCCTCTTTCCAGAACCCGCAAGGCTCCCTAGCTCCCAGCACAGCTGGCTACGGAGCGACGTGCGGAGTCTCATCCATCGGCCCTCTGGCTACATTTTTCAAGCGCGGAACATATGATTTGAAGAACCTAGGGGACAAAGACTTTGCGGCGGACTTCCGAGACGTGAATATTGGGGTCAGAGCACGGGAGAATGAGTTCTTGGTTGGAAGTTCGACTAGTGCAGAGGGTATCATTGGATTTGGGGTTAGCTATGATTTGAATGCTATCAGTGCTGAGGCGGCGGAAATGTGGAAGGAGACAATGGAAGGAATGCTGGAGGTGAGGGAGGTGGCGAAGTTGTAGGTGTGGGGTGAGGTGGGTGACTATGTATAAGATTGTTTTTTCTAAGCTTCTCAAAAGACTAATCTGCATATACTTGCTACATTTGGCGTTAGTGAACTAGAGATTTGAAGAATTTCTAACACCTCTAAGATGTCTTATGGTACAGGGAGACAAGTCAACAGATACGACCCAACTGGCAAAGGTCGAAGACATGAAAGCGCGATCTGTATGAAGCTGTCCTTCTTTTCTCATTGGAAGTTGAAGGCCATAGCAAGGAACACTTTGTTAACCTCTCCCAGTGAAGTATTAAAGTGAGAAAACCATACGTTCCATGAACAGCAGTATATGCATGAAGGAAGGCGGAAACTGTTCACCACACCAGAAAGAAGTGGGAATGTAAACTTTCAGTAACTTTTTTTCCTATCAATAGATACTTAAATATAATTGCCAAGTTCAATATTCGCCATCAAGCATACTTATATTCGTAAGGTAGAACGAGCAGCGAGGATGGAAGCATTGTGGAGTCACTTCGAGGTTCTACTCGTCCTGATTGGGTTAAGCTTGCGAGCGGCACCGAGGACATCACGTCATACCAGAACGAGGAAGGCGCGACGCGAGCTCTCATTGCGCATCTTCCCCGCAAACTCTCTTGAGTTTTGCAATCACACAGAAACAATGTTCAGCTTACCAAGAATATCGTTGCCATCTTTTCTTCGTGCAGGCGAAGGCACGCATCTCACTGTCGATCTACCCTCTGTGGAGATCCATGATATCGAAACCTCGGCGGAAAAGCGACCGCGAACTCTCAAGCATCTACTCAAAGCAAATCACGCGAACTACTCGATTATATACCACAATCTTACATTTCACAACCATACACCGCACGTATGCTGCTCCTCCTGTAAAGGCTGTAGCTGCTAAGCAAATACTATAGATCTTAGGATCGGCTTACCTTCTCGGAGGCACGGCAGAACATCTGAATGAAATCTACGAGAAGGAGGCTGAAGTACTAGAGCCATGGCATAACGCGCCAGGCGAGATAACAAAGGACGATTGGCGCGATTTTCTGGGGAAGCGCGAGTGAGTAGTGACGACGATGAGACGGAATCAATTACCAACAGCAGCCAGATACCAACGCGCATTTATCGATTTCTTCGAAGATCAGCTCGTGAGCAAGAAGTACAATGTCGAAGAAGTGCTCGAGGAATTCATGTTCAGGGGAAAGGAGCCGCTGATCAATGGCCTCATCTCCGGACGTAGGCTTGCTGGCTTTCGAAGCTTGAGCACCGCTAACACCATCCAGTTGCACATCCTCTCATCCATCTTGGTTACGCTTACGAACTGAACTCCAGAACCGTCGCGATCGAGGCTCTGGCTATGGGCTCCTGCTTTTACAGTCCCCTTCATAAATACATCGACGACCCGAGGTATACAAAGCCCAGCCCTCATAGCGCAAGTGGAGATCACACCGGGCTCATCGATATCCTGGACAAAGTGCGCAAGGACAAGCGCTTCGATGGCCTCTATGACCACCGCAGCGGTGATATCACCAAGGTCTTAGAGGAGCGCGAAGAAGCCTTTTTAGAATACTGGAATGCCTGGGAAATTACAGCACCGAACGAACAGTTTCAGGCTGCTCAGGAAGTCGGGTTGGGACTTCTGACAGGCACACCGTTACCAGCGAAGGGGAAGTACGATTTCTTCATCGTGCATGTGCTTACAAGCTCACATGCCATTCGCATCCTCCTCCCCTTGATACCGGCCAAGTTTCATGTTAGTCTTCTGCGACAATGGTGGCTATTCGCATTAGCTGTGTACATTGCCCAGATGAGGCCGGAGATCGATATGGGTAAAGCTATGGGTAACGATGGCGGTGAGAAGAAGGGCTGGAAGTATGTTGTAGACAAGGCATTGAACGGCCCGCATTCGACTGATGCGCATCACGTCAAGGGTATGTTGTGGACGTTACGCTAGATCATGGACATTTTGACTGATGTTTACAGCATTGAGGGCTTTGAAGGTAGCGGAGGAAACATGGGAGACTGGAGATAACCGGTCGGACCACTGGCTCCGCGCGGCAGTCAAGTTTGCTGACGAATTTGAGGGCTGGGGAGGATTTGGAACTGCGGAAGATGAGGCGAAGATGGGGTATCCTGAGAAGCAGTAAGATATACTGGTACAAATGAGAAAGATAATCTACGAGTATGCTTTTTCAGATCTACTGACTCCTACATTCTTCTGACAGTGGTCACCACCAACCCTAATGATCAACACATCGGAACAAAATACAAATGAACGCGGTCCCTCCTTCTCTGGACAGCAGTCCCTGGAAGACTGCTTTTCACAATGCACCAACACAAGATCTACAATGACACCCAGAGGAACATCACCGCGCCATTGAGGATAATGAACAAACGAAACGGAGGATTGCCGCATGTGACGCTTTCAAATACTTCAAGGTGTATCCTATGCTTTCACGCAAATTATCAGCCCTCTGCAGACAGTTCCGAATCTGCTTAAAAATTGCGGACATTGTAACCGAGACAGAGGGGATTTGGTGTCATGCGAAGACAAGGTTAGAGCCAAGCACTGTATATATAGTGAAAACTTCCCAATCCAACGTGATACAGCTTTCCATGATGGCGATGATGAATATGTAGAGTGGCTAGATGGGAAGAGTGACAGCCGAAGATGATGAGGGAGTGTTAAAGGAGTTTGGAGGCGCTCGGGCAAGGCAAATATTGAAGGAACTCAGAGAATGGGGGAGTTGGTAACGACAACGTGGAACATGCTGTGTTGTAATGTAGGTGGGTGGGTTGCAAGTAGAACGTTGTTGACTCACTAAGAGATTGAGAGCAGAATAGTCACTTGCGGTTTCTTTTTCTGTAGTTACATTGAGATATAATACACGGTTGATCTCAGGAATCCTGATTTCAGCTTATGCTGTTTCTTGCCGATGCCAGTAAGACTGCCCGTCTATCATCCTCAAACAGTGAGCTATGCTTTTTCCCACTCACCATGAAGCTTTTAACGCTGATACCGAATTACATCAGCAATACTCGATACCACACTCTGTACGAAATTCGTCCAAGAGAAAGACCTTGAAATTGGGCATCTCAGTCTTTAGCTCCGTCAACTTGTTCGAAAGCTTAGCTTCCGTTCCCTCTGGATAGTACCCTGGGAGCTCCAATATCTCTGAACGTCTAAGCGCGACTTCTTGAAGGCCTTCGAATGGAAGAATATACCATGCGAACGCCCTGAACGAACCCTTCTCGTCCATCGCACGAGTGAACATCAGTCTTCTGATGGCTTGTACAGCTGACATAGGAACGTCTTGTACGAAAAGATCAAGACTGAGAATTCCACAAAAGAAGAAAGTATTAAGGCTGTATGGGAGAAGCGCAGCTTCGGCATTGATCTGAGAGCATACTTTCAGCAATGTAAGAGCTAGTACATTCCCCCCCGGAGGACACCAGTGTTGCTTCGTTTTGGTCTCCCAGATGGTTGGTTCCATCCAGATCTCACAGCCGCCCAGCACATACTCGTAGACTCGGTTCCGGAGCTCGGCTGGCAGTCGTAGAAGAGGAGAATTGCGCTGGTTTGCTGCCGTACTGTTCCGATGTTAGCTTTTGCCTTCACCGCACTTGCTCATTGCGTTTGAACTACGTACATTCAAGCGTGCACCGCTTTGGTCTTTGTCTCTTGAGTCATCTTGGCAGACGTGCTATCGGTAGTTGTTGTCGCTGTTGTTATTGTTTGGATGAGTTGTGTTCTGGTGCGATTGAAATAGTTGGCAAGTGAGTGAGAGCTTGGACCCAAGTCTAGGTGAAGCCGAGAATGGTCAGAGAAGTGAGAGAGCGTTTGGGCTACCGTTCGCTGGCACGCTAATGTGATTGGTCTAATATGCAATCATCAAGGGCAGTTGAATTTGAGGTTCATCTAGATGTATCGCCTGGTTTATGGCATTAGGCCACTCTAGCACCAAGGGGAAAGTTGGCAACAAGCTGATGGTGGGTAGCCCTTATAATACTGCAACAACGTACAAATTTCTCAAGTCTAAAATCTTAGAAGTACTCGCAGCCTTGTATTGTATCTATCTACCGTTTCTTATTTCTTTATTACGATGTTGTAGTGCGTGGTTAGGGCAAAGAGGGTTGGTGTTCTGAATCTTACTTCCGACTTTCCCCTTGGTGCTAGAGGGCCATACCACCTTACACTCTACTTCCTCTCGCTATCAAGACTGCTAGTAGGCATCTTTTGCCCTGCTTACCACCAACACCAGGGATACCACATGTCTACATCGTCTCCGGATTTCCAGACCCTGACCATGACATCGGCCTTCCAGGACCTCACTATCTCTGCAAATCCACGGTCCTCTTCGATAACAATTGTTTGTAGTCCTCCCAGTCGGTTCAGATGAGCGAATTTGATTATATCAAAATCTTCCGACTGACTGGGCAGACATTCTACCTTACCAATCTGTATGGTTCTGATGGCATTTTGCTGTGATGTCGATAGTTGCTGTACGAATATACGCAGGGCAATGGCATTTCTGAATGTGAAGATACTGAGTGAATAAGGTAGCAAGGCCGCTTCATGCTGAATCTGACGGCACACGCGCAATAGACCGAATGGTCGAAATTCACCCCGGTAACTGTTACCTGGAATATAGTAAATATAGCTGCCGTCGTACCCAATCTTGAGGGCGAGCGCATATCTGCCAAAAGCATGGTATGTTAGCACGTTTTCTGTATTCAGGCCTTACGATAGGTAATACGTACTCATAGATTCGATTCCTTAGCTCAGCTGGAAGGCGTAGAAGTGGAGACTCAGTAGCATTGCGCAAAGTACTGCTAACGTTAGGTTGAAGTAGTGAAGTACCAATGTTTTGAGACCTACATCTTGTCATCTTGATCCAGTGACGGAGTCATTGGACACACGTCGGTGGCTCGCTTTGTGTTCGCCATCCTCGTTAAAGCGGCGTGTCGAGTGGTGGAAGGATTGTCAGGAAGACGAAGAAACTCACAAATGTAGCCAGCGTCGTGATGGGAAATCCAGGGTCCATTGCGCTAGGCCGCACTCTCACCGCTCACTGCAAGCAGGGCAAGATAGTATGTGACGTTAACATTATAAACTCGTGCAGTTATTATTGTTCACGAGTTATGATGATAATTGTGCTCTTCCCCGTCTATTTCTGTACCACTTCACTAAGTCCCGCCTGACCGTCGTCTTCAAATGCTCGTTAAACCCATACGTGATAGCGTTCGCCAGACCGATATACTGTGTGGAGCACTGTAGAATAGCCAATGGGTAGCTCGAATGACCTGAAGCTTCCACCAGGCGATTGAGAATACCAGGCAACCACAAAATAATGTACAGCACTGGATATGCGTTTAGCAGTAGCATTCTCTTAATCTCTCGCTCCAGGTCCCGAGGACTGGCTCCATTGCGCTGGGGAGTGGTTCCGGACTCGTAGGCTCCAGAGATCGCGACTTTGGCACTGCTTCCGGGCATGGCTATTGCGACGTTTCGTACGCTGTCCGCAGGAGGGAAGTCTTTGGTCAAGGCTGTACGTGTCAGTAATGGGTTATCATAGACGGAGAAGCTATCATAAACAACGGCTTTCAAGAATGAAAGGACTGCACGTACCTGATGGATCCTTGATGTATGGGCTTACTGGTGACAATGGCGAGCCAAGTGTGGTTTCGCTAGGGCGTCTGTTGTCGCCCACCGAGGATTCAATGTCAAGGTCCTTTCCGAGACTGGTACCGCTCCTCCCTTCAGAATGCTTGACTTCATAGCGGTACTCGACATTAATCTCGTGCAGCTCCGTCTGCGACTCGCTCCTCAACTCAATGGCATTATCTCTGTGGAAAGTACGGCGTTTGGCAGCTTTGTTAGAGCTTCCTTGGCCGTAAGATCTTCCTCCGCTGAGATTGTGTAGCTGTATGAAGTGTCGTCGCATATATACCCAGATGTAGATGTAGATCCCAATGGTTCCGAGGATGATGCTGAACCTCCAACCGTGACCTAAGGCGTAGCGTAAATCCGTACGTTTACCGGATATCCAGCACCAATTGCCGCTAACAGGTTTCAGTTCCTCCAGTCCCGCGGCTGTAGTCGCTGTTGGGTTGAGTCAGCCTTGTATTGATGATCGTGCTGTTATGGGCTTACCTGTGATGGTGGGAATGACCCATACGGATGCGCAAATGAGGACCTTGCTCAAAAGGGAGGCATTTGGCATGTAAGTCTTGCGGGTGATCGTAAGGAGTGTTACGACAGCGATAGCTAGGATTGAGAAGTCGGCAGCCTGAACAGACCACTGACCTACCCAACCATTGAGGCTACATGCTGGACCCTCTGCAATATTACCCCTGTTCACAATCGCATAGATTCCAGATATTGAATTGTTCAGCGAATTAATGAATTCTGTTGTGACGTGTTAGTTAAATATCTCAGTGATTTGTCAAGGACTCACCAGCCAAAGCAAGGTTGAGAACCAGTGCGTGACGAAAAGACCGTTGCTGATCAGCGTACACAATGTACGAGATGAGAACGCAAGAGGTTGCGACAGCTGACAGCAAGCTGCCAACCAGGGTCGGGATAGCAACTGTGAGATCGTAAGGCATGTTGAAACAGGTACAGCCCAGGGACAGCAGCTTGGCCTGCAGATAGCGTAGCTATGTATCCAGGTCCAGGGTTATGTGACCAAGTTTCATGTCGGAGCCAGCGGATGTACTTGAGTTGGTGCAATCAGATGTTAGGAGTACACTCCAACTTTGTGCTGAGTGCTCCTGCCCGAAAGGTGGTGTGAATAGAGGTTCCCTTACGTGACTACGGTTGTTGTCTTTAGCCTTGCGAGCAAATAGCAGCTATGAGCTAGAGGTTGGTGCCTGAGCCTTGGTGTAGCGGTAAAGTTTAAAGCGAGCGTGTGGTTTGATTCCCGCCTTCCGCGACCGTCGGCCCAGGGCTTTAAAGAGCGAGTCGACTACGCGCGTCTCGCACTCCGAAGAGTCCAGGACGAACGAGTCCTTCAATACATTTGTTGTAGCATGTGGTGTACCAGAATGTCAGAAGTCATAACAGACCGCGAGTAGGGCCGGGGCACACCGAGGTCCTTCCCTGCCCAATCGCATCTCGGATGAGCGCCATGTCCTGAAAGGTGCAAGTGTAGGGCATCATGATGGGATGCGATGCTAGTGAACCGCCAGTTCTGCCATCGTGTTTGGTTTGGTGTTCTGACTGGGTGCTTCTAATATCGGTCCCGTTAGTTGGTGGTCGATGATCCTACGAGCTGAAGTTAAGGTTTGCGCAAGTCCACCGTCGCGGTCGGAGATCGGAACCAACCAGTCATCTCTCAGTAGGTACTGTACCCGCGATCTACCACTACACCAATGTTTTCCAAGCACCTTCCCATTCAGGTAACATTGAGGAACCACGACGCCACACCCGCACCAGAATAAGGGGTTGAGCTTGAACCATGGGATCCCAACCCCCCAGCTTGGGCATCGCACATGTAGTGCACGCTTCGTCCTTCGGTATGGCGACACCTCTTCGATCCGCGCCACGTTCTCCCTGTTGAGTTAGCAGTCGCGCAATGCAGAGCGAGCGATACTTCTAGTCGCCTTGAGTTACCCGCCACGCCTGGGAATCTTAACATCGGACATTTCTCATCGATCTACATCTAGTAGCTTCTCCCAACTGCTCAACTTCTTCCGAATTGGCGGGTACAAGAAAAACAAAGGTGCATAGGGGTGCAAGAAGGTTTGCTCGGTGGGTGCTTCAGGGAAAATAGCTCAGGGTCTAAGATGCTCATTCGTTGTTGATTCTATGTTCTGCCCGGCAGTGATGTCACCAGTATAGTCCTCTTGGAGTCGTTCCAGGCCTCAGCGGGATGATTAGAAAAACAAGTTGAACCGTCAAGGGAACAAGAACGAGGAAAGCTAGGAGTACAACAAAGTTCAGATGGTCAGTGCTGTGGGGAAATCGCTTAGGTAAAGGGTCCAACATGCTGGCTCGGTGCACGATTCATGTGCTGATTTCATTTCCTCCATGTTCTAGTCGTCCCGTGCTTGGAGCAACTCATCTCGGAAAGCTTGGCTAAATGCTCGTTGAAACTGTTATACTCGCGGTTCGGCAGCGATCAAGGCCCGGCCCTGAAAAAGGTAGTAAGGGGCCTTCAGCTTAGACATTTGCTAGCATCACCCATGTAGCATCAAGGGATTCACCAACCACGTTAGAATAAAGATGCTGTGGACGTCGAAGCAAAGCAGAGAATATTAAGCAAGAACAATGATTACTAACTACTCCTACTATTCATACAACAGGAACGTCCCCTTGCGATCAACGCCAATGCTAAACTCAACTATGTGCAACAAAGGAAAACCCGGCTGGTCTAGCCAAAGATGCGCGCGTACGCTCTTGAGGCCTCAAAGAGTCGCGGCATGATGATGCGTTGGAAAACACGACAACAAGAACGCTGATTTTTGAAAACGCAAGCCAAGAAAATTCATGCCATCATCGAACCAGACCTGGATGTGACATCCACCACCAAGGAAAGCTCACAGCTCCTTTCCGGCATCCCGCTCTTCTTTTCCTTTGGCGACAAAAGGTCGACCTTCAGACCCCCCGATCTTCCAGCTCTTGTGTGACCAAAGTCCATTAAAACGGGAAAGAGGCAAAGAACTGCCAACTTCCATGATGACAGAGCACTACCAGGTAAGGTAGTGGTATCATATGCAAAACAATTTTCGAACCAAAGATGTGAACAGACATTACTTCATCTTCCCCCCGCAACTACTCAGACGCCGTCAAGGCATCTATTTCTTGCCGAGCAGGCCGCCGACCATGCTCATAGGGCCGGAACCACCCTTCTTCTTCTTGTCCTTGTCGCCGCCGCCTCCGAGCATATCGCCCAGGCCGCCAAGTCCAAGGCCACCAAGCAGCTTGTTGATACCAAGGCCACCTAGCAAGCCGTTGACAAGGCCACCGAGACCCAGACCGTTAAGCAGCTTGCCAACGAGGTTGAGTACACCCGTCAACAACAGACCAACAGCAGCGATGATCTGGAAGAGGGGCTCGGTGAGCAGGGCCCAGAGAGGGTTGAGCTTCTTCTTGGCGTGAGGCATGTCGGAGATCTTCTTCTTCGCGTTGTCGATGGTAGTGACAACTGTGGTAGTAAGCTCCTTGAGGTTGTCGGCCAGCTTGTACTCCTCGGGAGAGGCTTCGCCAGTCTGTTGACGACCCTTGGCTTGGGCAGCGATACGACCATCGGGGTCCAGACCACGGAGTGAGCCGTTGCAGTCGTTGAGAATGCGAGAGCCCTCCTCGATGAGAGGCTTGACGTTGTTGACAAGCTCCTCTTCGTCGAGCTCGTCGCGAGGTGTGCGATCGGCTTGCTCGATGTACTGGGTAGATGTTAGTATGCGTTTGATATAAGCCAGTGGGGATGAAACATACCTCAGTAATCTGCTTCATGACAGGCTGGACGCGCTGAAGAGTGTCCTCACAGATGGCGGACATCTTCTTGGCCAGCTCGGAGTCCTCACGACGTTGCCTCTCTTCGTCGGTCTCGTCCTCGTTCTCTTCCTGGATGTTCTCCAAGAGAGTAACCTCGCCGACCTTGTTACCATCGTTGTCGATGACATAGCCGTTGTCATCAATCTCGAGGCCAGCGCAGTGACCAAGGTCACCAGCAGTGAGGCGACCCAGAACATCACCGTTCTCGTCACGGACCTCACCCTCCTTGTTGACACGCATGCCAGCCATAGGGTTGATGCGACGCTCCTTCTCCTCGGGCTCCCAGCGCTCAGCCTTTCCGATGACATTGCCGTTCTTGTCGTTGATGTCGCCATCCTCATCGACCTTGTGGCCAGTGAGCTTCTTGACATCACCCTCAATGACGCGACCAATGATGTCGCCAGCGGGTGTCTGGACAGTACCGTCCTTAACGACAGTTGCCTCGTCAAAGCCAGCGAATGGGCCTTCGGGTCTGTTGTCTGCGCCATGGACAAGCTCACCACGTCCAATGACGTTACCTTCGTTGTCCCAGATCTGGCCCTTACCATCGACCTTCTTGCCGGCGAGGGTAGCCGGATCACCCTCAGCAACGCGACCAATGACTTGGCCACTGGAGTCAACGATGTTGCCGGCCTTGTTGACAGTGGCGCCAGCAAGAGCGGAGAGGTCGACTTCCTCCTCTTCCTCCTCGGACCATGGCTCAGCATGACCCTTAACATTACCATACTTGTCGATAATGTCACCGTCTTCATCGACTGTGTGACCAACAAGACGCTTGGCGTCGCCTTCGGTAAGCTGGCCAACACGGTTGCCGTCGTTGTCTTCGACGAATCCGTCCTTGACCACGCGGAGTCCTTCGAATCCGGCGAACGGTCCCTCTTTGCGCTCAGGGCGCTCGTTAGGAGGAATGATGTCACAGCGACCGACAACCTTGCCAGTGTCGCCATGAATGAGACCATCGCCGTCAGACTTGCGTCCAGCGAGCTCGGCAGCATTGCCCTCGACAAGCTTTCCGACAGGAATACCTTCGCTGTTGGTAAGGTAACCTTGCTTGTTCAAGGTGAGACCGTCGAGAATGGAAAGGTCGGCAGGCTCCTCATCCTCTTCCTCCTCAAGAGGCTCAGCGTGGCCCTTGACGTTGCCGTACTTGTCAAGAATGTCGCCATCCTCGTCAACAGCCATGCCAACAAGACGCTTGGGGTTGCCCTCAACAATCTGGCCAACTGTGTTGCCATCCTCGTCGGCAACCATGCCGCCTTGAACGACGCGGAGACCCTCAAGACCAGCGAAGATGCCCTCAGGCTTGCTCTCACGCTCGTTCTCGGGGATAAGCTCGCAACGGCCAATCTGCTTGCCCTTGTCGTTGAAGATGAGACCCTCATCGTTGATCTTGCGGCCTGCAACTTCCTTGGGGTTGCCCTCGACGAGGCGAGCGATTGGCACACCCTCATCTCCGATAACGTTGCCTTGCTTGTTGACGGTCTTGCCATCAAGGATGGACAAGTCCTCAGGCTGCTCCTCTTCAGGAGCCTCCTCCTCGGGCTCGTCGTAGCGCTCGGCGTGACCGACAACTGATCCCTTCTTGTCAAGGATATCACCGTCCTCGTCAACGGAACGACCGACGAGCTTCTTGGCGTCGCCTTCAACGACCTGGCCGACGCGGTTGCCCTTGTCGTCCTCGACGAAGCCATCCTTGACGACAACAAGGCCATCAAGACCAGCGAAGGGAGCTTCCTCCTCGCCTTCTTCCTGAGGAACGGTCTGGGCGCGGCCAATAACGTTGCCCTTGTTGTCCCAGAATTGGCCTTCGGCATCGCAAGTGTTGCCAGACTTGGACAGCTTCTTCGCGTCACCTTCAGTGAGCTCACCAACGATGTTGCCGTTGGCGTCGACGAGCTTGCCGGACTTGTTAACGGTGAGGCCATCAAGAATAGATAGAGGAGGACGGCCATCGTCTTGAGCTTCTTCGGCAGCATCCTGAGCATCCTCAGCGGCGTCCTGAGCGTCTTCGGCGGCATCGCCAGCGTCCTCGGCGGCATCCTCAGCCTCATCGACTTGCTGCTGGACCATCCTGGAGAGAGCCTGGACCTTTCCAATGACGTTTCCGTCCTTGTCAAGAACCTCGCCCTTGTCGTTGATCTTCTTTCCGGCGCACTCCTTAGCGTCACCTTCGATGAGCTCACCGATAGGCTCGCCCTCCTCGTCAAGGACCTGGCCCTTCTTGTTGACCTTCAGGCCCTCAAGCTCGTTGATGTCTGGTGTAACTTCAACTTCCTTGACTTCAGGTTCGGGGACTTCGGAAGCCTCAACCATCTTGGGGAGTGCCTTGACCTTGCCAAGGACGTTGCCATCTTTGTCGACGACTTCGCCCTTCTCGTTGATCTTCTTACCGGCACACTTGGCAGCGTCACCCTCGATGAGCTCACCAATGGGTTCACCCTCCTCGTCGAGAACTTGGCCCTTCTTGTTGACCTTGAAGCCCTCAAGCTCGTCAATCTCGGGGGTGATCTCCTTCATCTCGGGCTCGCCCTCGCCCTCTTCTTCTTGCTCCTCTTCCTCCTCGCCTTCAAGGGGCTCGCCGAGCTGCTCCTTAAGCTCCTTGATGGCAGTGAAAGCGGCCTCTCCAGGAACAACGTCAACCTTGCCAATGACATTGCCGTCCTTGTCGAGGACTTCACCCTTGTCGTTGAGCTTCTTGCCAGCACACTCGCTGAGCTCACCTTCCTTGAGCTCACCAATCTCCTCGCCTTCAGAATCAAGGACCTTGCCCTTCTTGTTGACCTTGAGGCCGTCCAAGATTCTTGTGTCGAGAGCACCGGAGGCGGACTCCTTGAGTTTGTCAGCAGCGCCTTCAGCAAGTTCAACCGTGCCGAGAACGTTGCCGTCCTTGTCAACAACCTCGCCCTTGTCGTTGACGGTGAGGCCCTTGACGTCGTCGATGTTCTCGAGATCGCCGTCAGCAACGTTGCCAACGACTTCGCCGTCGTCGTTAAGGATCTCTCCCTGGGTGTTGATCTCCATGCCCTCGAGGGCCTCAACACCAGGAAGCTCGTCCTCAACATCAGCAGCCTTCTCCTCTGCTGTAGACTTGGCTCCGTCAACGGCATCGGTGGCGCCTTCGGTGACGCCTTCAGTGGCACCACCATCCTCCTCATCCTCCTCCTCATCATCATCTTGCTGGTAAGCAGGGAGGTCGGCGGCTTCAGGTGAAAGCTCTGCCTTGGCGATGACGTTGCCGTCGTCGTCAAGGATCTCGCCGTTCTCGTTGAACTCCTTGCCCTGGATGGCGGATGGGTCGCCTTCAACCAGGTGACCGACAAAGTCGCCATCCTCGTTGAGGATTTGACCAGATCGGTCAGCGGTAAGACCCTTCAAGACGCTGATGTTGGGCATCTTGTTGCCGGCCTCACCAGCAGCTTCGTTGGCCTGTTCCTCGGCCATCTCGGGTGTGAGTTCGCAGCGGCCAACGAGATCACCATCGTCGTCAAGTATCTCTCCGTTGTCGCCAATGGGGTAGCCAGCGAGGTCCTCAGCATCACCCTCAACGAGGCGTCCGACATTCCTGCCATCCGCATTCTTGATCATGCCATCCTCGTCAACTTCGAGGCCCTTGAGCAGGCTCAGGTCGGGGGTAGCGTCCTCGGCGGCGTCCTTGGCGTCGTCGGTAGCATCCTGAGCCTTGCTCTGAGCGTCTTCAGTTGCGTCCTCTGCGGTGCCTTGAGCATCCTCAGTGGCATCTTCAGCGGTGTCCTTTGCGTCGCCAACCTTGGACTCTGCGGTGTCCTTGGCAGACTCAGCGGTGTCTTGAGCGCCCTCAGCGGTGTCTTCCGCAGTTTCCTGCGCATCTTCCGCTGTCTCCTGGGCGCCCTCCTGAACGTCGTTGCCGGCATCTTGAGCAGCTCCTTGTGGGTCCTGCTTAGCCTTACCAGCGAGGTTCGATGCGCGGCCAGCGAGACCGCGAGCACCGCTCAACGCACCGCCACCTGCCTGCTTGCCGGTGTCAGCGGCCTTGCTGGCAGTCTCTGTTGCATCGTCTTCTGTGTTGTCGGCAGTGTCCTCGGCGGTGTCTTCCGCGTCGTCTCCAGCCTTGTGTGTAGCGTCGTCGTCATCTTCCTCATCGGCGTCGTTGTCGTCGTCGATTGGCTTGGGGTCGGCTTGCTCGAGTTCATCACCAGCTTGTGAAACCTTGCCGGTAGTGTCCTCAGCAGCCTCTTCCGCCTTGCCCTTGGTGTCTTGGGCAGCTTCCTCACCCTGCTGCTTGGTGTCTTCGGCGGTGTCTTGCGCTTGGTTCTTTGCGTCCTCGGCCTTCTCCTGTCCTTGCTGCTTCAAATCCTCTGCTTGCTCGGGCACATCGGGGGTGGGGGCGTCCTCCGACTTGCCTTGCTGAGGCTTGTTCAACTTGGGGGCAGATGATTGCGGCTTGCGTCCGAGCTTGGTAGGGGTGCGGGGGGTGTCACCCTTTCCTGCTGCTGGGGAAGGCATGCTGTTGTATAGAACGCTCGAGACGTTGTACGAGTTATCGTGTCCTTGAATTGTGTATGATGATGTGCTGTAGGAAGTAGCGCGGTGATGGCTGCTTCCTGACTTATTGCTTGATATAGACTGAGAGCGTGTGGAACGGGGGGAATTCCTATTAGGTGTTGGGGGGAAAGAGTAGTAGGAGTAGTTGTGGGAGGATGAATTGTCTGTCATATATCAATTGACGAATGGTTCGTCTTTGTATGGAAAGAAAAGTTGGAAGGATCACAGAGAAGCAGGCATTTATGATACCACGTCTCATCAGTGAGCATGCTGGAACGGATGACGTCGAATACTGGCCTCCTTGAGCCAGAGCTTGCGCCTCAGTTGTGGAGAGGCATGGTAAACCTGCTTTGGCGCCATACTGCGTGCAACGAACGAGAGGAGTATTGCGTCACACTACTCACAAGCTCCAGCCTCGAGCGGGGCGTCAGCACATCCTTGTTGAATGGCCTCCACTCAGCGTGGTGAGACAAAGCGGGTAGCTGCTGCAGCAGGGGTGGGAGCGGCCTGTGGCTGGAAACGGGATGGTTTGGCATCGTCGATGAACCGCGGAGAGCGGACTGCTGCCAGGGTAGAAGTTGAATTGCCCCAGGAAGTGGAGCTGAAACACCTTAGCCAAGAAAATTGACGATGGTACTCTTTGCACTGGACAGCTCTAGTCACTGCAAGAGTACACCAATGGCATGCAGGAAGAGAGGTTTGGCAGACTGGCCTCATCTCTACCAGGCCAATGCCGGGCTGTAGATGCCCCGAAGCAAGTCAATATGCAGTACGAGACGAGCTGGTGAAGCAAAAGCACACAGAGTCCAGGCCCGATCGGCGGCGCTGTGGCTGCCTTTCTTGTGAATCGGGTACAAGATCCCTGGCGGGAATGATGCCCCTCCTATCAAAATGGTGCATGCAGCAGGATGGAAGAGCAAGTCGTGCCGTGTGTCCAAGCAGGTTGCAGCGACGCGTATGATATTGTCGAACTACTGACGTCACGGCGTCGGGAGCTCCCCTGCTCAAACGTCGCTTAGCACAGCGATAGCTTCCTTTTGGCGGCCGATCGCTGCACGCTACCAAGCCTCGGTACCACCATCGTGAGCACCACGAGCTTGAAGCGCGACATGGCATGGGAAAGAAAGGAGACCCTGCGTTACCGCGGCTGGGGGATCAGGAACGACGGGATTCGGCACAGAGCATCCGAAAAGTATCACGTCCGGACGTTCCTATGTTGGCTGGAGCTGGAAGAGCTCACACCACGCCGTGTCTCGATACGATGAACGGCGGGGCTCCAGCGCAACGGTCGGGACGTTGGCCGCTTCCCAACTGCGAGTGACACCACGCACCGCTAATAGGCTGCAGGCGAACTCTATATTACCATGGTAGCTAACGTCCGGGGATTTTATTGACACCAAAAGTCCGTCTATACACACAACGTGTTCTCGATGAGGACTACCTGTGTAGCGGCCTCGATCCAGACACCTCCGTCGTACCCATAATTTTGTTTGCGCCACAGCTGCACAAGCAATTCCGCGCAGACGCACGATCGATCAATTCAGCTCAGGTACCCCTATCTTGCAATCTGCCGAGTCATGCTCGAATAACAGGCTGCAACAGCAACACACATTTCGCAACCAAAAAAGAAAGATGGAAATCTGGGTCCGTGACGACGCGTATGATGTCAGTCGCCGCCGTTCGTAAGAATGATGGCGGCACGGAACGGGGTCCGGAGGCTTGGAAAGCGAGCGAGTCAAGACATTACCTGTTTTCTGGTTCCTGGATTTAACGTTTTCGATCCAAGTGCAATGATCGCGCGCCATCACGATGATCTAGCAATGACACCACGCGAATAAGGTAGATCTACGGTCCTTAGGGAAGGTGTTTATTCTACAACATCAATTTCGCTAGCAATACTTGGTCAATCGACGATGGGGATATCGTAGGTACGTAAAAATAAGCCACAGAGGTAGGTATGGGGTCATGCAGGAACAGTAGCAGCCCGCTTTGTAGCCCGCTTCGCGTCCAGCCGCTCATGATGCAGGGGCAGAGTCCCGATGCCCATCAGGCGGAATGCCATCTTCGACGTCTTCTCCTGACTTGGATATCCACTTCTTCCTCTTCTGCTTGGCGGCCTCTCGTTCTTTGGATGTCAGGTCGTCGTTCTCACCACCGCCTCGACTAAGCCTTTTCCATAGTCGCCGACCGAAACTAGTCTGCTTCTTCTCTGCCTCTTTCCTTTCCGCCTCTTGCGCAAGTAGTTGCCGCTCTTTCTGTGCGCTTTCGCTCTTGTCCTTCTGCTCTTCGATTTTACGTTCATATTCTTCTGGGTGTACAACCTTCGTCTCTGCCTCCTTGACGTGCTCAACTCCATGCTTGAACTTTTTGCGTGTCTTGACATAAGCTTCGAGACCGACGAGTACGGCATACGATCGGGATATGGAGACGCGGGACATGTCTACTCCATTCTCCTTCATCGAATGCACGAATGCACGAAAGTTCTTCGTAGGAGGTCTGTAGTGGCCAGACAGGGGTGAGAGGCGCCTTAGCTGGCCATCCTTGACTTTGATCAAACCCGCGGCAGAAATGCGGGCCCCATGTAGAAAAGAGCTGTGCTGGAAGGCACCCGATTGCTTGATTCCCACGTACAGGCGGAAAGACGTATCGGCTACCTATGCTAGATTAGTACGTCTGGCTGGAGCAAGGAGCGCAGCACATCTTACAAAGATCCACGAGTTTGGTTTTACCGAACTTCGCAGTAGGTGATTTAGAATAGTCGCGGCTGACACATGTTTGAGTTTCGAGATGCCCTTAGCCTTGTCGAGATCCTCATTGACATAGTGTTCTGCCTCCGCATCGCTCTCCGAGATTGACGAGCTTGAGCTCACCGAAATCATCGAACTTCGTCGTAGGGTCTTACTTTGTCCGGAGTGGAGTTTGGCCTTCGGACCATAGGCGGGGGTATCGTCGTCGGCTGGTACAATACCGTTGACACTATCTTTGTAATCCATAGATGTGTTGAGCCGTTCGCCGTTCTTCGCCCAGCACAACCGTCCTTCGTCGTCGATGGTAACCAGGTAATTTTGGCGTTCCTCTCGCGATAGATAGCGCACCCTCTCTGTGTCCAACCTCTCTCTGGAGACAGTTGGATGCTCGAAGTGTCTGCCTTCGCCATTGTCTAGCCAGTAGAAGAAGTTCTCATGCGTGTCTGCTCTCTTCCACTGGTCGTGGTAAGCCCTTAGATTACTACCATAGCGATGCTTCTGGTCAACCATTTCCAAGAAGTACTGGAGATCCATCATCTTGGCTGTCTTCTCACGCTCGGCCTTTGACTCGTTCTGCTTCCGCCGCTGTTCAGTGTGGTTCTCGGGCGCATCCTCGTCATCCGTGGGCGAGACATCGTAGGGATCGTCGGCTCCTGCTCGCCGCGCGATCTCGCCCACACGCTTCCACTTCTCGCGCGCTGCCGTCGAGTTGGCTCGTGAACGTTCCTCGGGTGTGGTGAGGCTCTCGCGCAAAGCCGCTTCTTCCGCGCGCGGCTTGGGTCTCGTCGCATTACGCCATTTCGCTTTAGAGGTTTAGCTTAGGCGCAGTAGATATCGGGGTAGACTGCTGACCATCGCGTATAGCCTGGTACCATTAGTTGCATGTCTTCTGATGTATGGCAAACGTCTCGGACCTCTGCCCATCGTGCGCTAGCATCTAGGCCCATGCCTTGAAGCTGCCTACGCTCTCGATAGCCGCGATAGTTGCGCTGGATCATCTGCGCGGCTTGCTTTTGCTCATCCGTACCCGTGTCCGACTTGCGACCCGCGACATCTTGGGCGCTGACCATTCTGGCGGAGTAAACCTATATGTGGCGCAGGACATCGGAGCAGGTACACTGTAGAGGTGGGTGTTGAGGCTTGACGGCGGGATTTTGGTGGGGCTAGTGACCCATTCATCCTGGCTTTTCGGCTTTTCGGCAGCGGCCGCGTCATCGCGCAGCGGACAAACACCAAGACCTTTTACCAACGGCTATACTGCAGCGGACACTATTGTCAAACCAACCTTCTGCTTGCTTCAAACTCGTTTTACTATGCAGCTATCTGAATCAACGAACCAACAAGCCGAGTTTATGAAGTAGGTTAGACTTGTGCACATCAGTTGGCATATTACCCTTCCACGGCTACTCAGGGCCGCTTCCGTCATCGCATTCGTTCGGATCCCTTGCTTGCTTTTATCCTCAACCTCCCAAACTAATCAATCCTTATCAATACGTCTCCCAACTATTAGCACATCAACATGTTGCATTGCAGTAGGAAGATCCGAAGTTCAAAGACATCAACAAATGTAGCGTGATCGAGGCGCATAGTCTCAACATCGTCGAACCAGTACCGCAACACATCGATCAAGAAGACATATCCGATGACGATGAAGGGAAGAACCGATCACTTTCGCAGGACGATGCCGATTTCCATTTCGATTCTAAAGAGGATTCTGTCTATGAGTACGATTCATGACCCGTCCGCGATCGTAGCCAGAGCGATGTCTAAATCCCCAATCTCTCCCTAGAAGACGGGTTGGTGGCAGGATCTAGCTTTGCAGCTGAAGATGATGCATTTGATGCGTACCTGAAAGAGAAGAACATGGATGGTGTATATGAGGAGTTGGGTATAGCAAGCGATTTAGGTGACAATGATGAAGCAGCCGAGCGGAAGCGTGGTAAGTAGGGTGATTTGGAGGATGGTATGGACAATGATGTGGGCCCTGGTGGTGAAGAAGGAGGCGAATATCAACGGCAACGATTTGTAGAAGTGATGTATGTATGTATAATCATTCTTCCTTTACAGTCTTCACTTATTGTGTGGTCAAGATGTTTTTGCGAGGTTTGTTCATCACCTCTTGAGCAAAGACATGTCGAGCTTGATAGGGCGCTGCATCATGTTGTAAATCTCTCACAATTTCAACCGAAAGTTAACAACTGTTTTGCTCCTTATGTTTGGCCTTTCCTACCTCGAACGTTATAATGTCATCACTCACTTGCGTTGTCACGGTAGCTGTCTGTGGTACTTATGGAAAGAGTAAATCGCAGAATACGCGAACTCGTAAGCGGTGTCTACTTCATCTTCGGGGAAATGTTCCGTTGAATCTGGGATATGCCTTGGGTATTCACCTGGTTCAGGAAAGGTCTGCTGCCAGTATCGTCTGATCTCACCGTTTGCTCCTGCACTTTGCTTCCATACAGCGGCGTCACGGCCAATATAGGACACTACTACCTCACTTCTCCTCTCTACACTTCCAACTCACCACTTCTTTCACTCAAGCATCACCTACAACCTCACCTCTATCAGCCATCATGAGCGACATTCTCAGTGAGAAGACGACTTCGGACGTTAGCAGCGATGCCACCACATCGTCCCAGCGATTTCAGGACCAACTGGAGTCTGTTCTGAAGAAGCTGAAGACCGATCCAGGCAGTATCACGGCGGAAGAGGCTCGCATTCTGACTGAGAACGTCGCTAAGCCTGACGACAGAGCGGTCCGCATTATCTCTGCCGTCGAATCCCTAGCTATTGCTAACAAGGTGTGCAATATCAGGGACCCAGTCACGATCAGGCTCCTCATCGTTCCCTGCTGATGGCCGCCAAGGACCTGCATGCCGCTGTGGACGGCAGCTCTGAGGAAGCAACTACCGAGATACTTCGTGTTGCTCAGAGCATTGTTAGTAGTAAGTTCATAAGCCTACTACACACCCCACCCAGCTGGCCTTGAGCTGAATGTTGAGACATACACTGACAACGCCACAGAACTACAAAAGGCCGTCGGTCATACCAACGCCCCCACCCCGAAGTCGAGGCTGAGCTCCAGGAGGAAATCGCTAAGATCGAACACAAAATCGCGCAAGGCACTGTCAACAAGACTGAGGCTGACCGTCTCCGTTCCCTCGAAGCTCGTGCCCATGGTCATACCGAGAAAGGGGGTATCGCCGCTGCAGCTCAGTCTGTCGTAGCTAAACGTGAGCGTCAACTGTCACTGAGCAGCTGTTCTGGATCCGTTTCGAGTCCCATCTATGGGCGATCCCGTGCCAACAGCAGGAACTTCACATCGCCTCAGCAGCAATTCTGTCAAGAGAGGTTGAACGAGTTTCACCATGCAGATATGGCTATCAGGCCCAAGACCGAGGCAGAAATTGCAACCAAATCAGGGACCGACAAACCACACACTCTCGAAGTTCGTGCTAACGGCGGCACTGCAAAGAGCGACACTTCAGCAATGCGTGGATCGGTCGCCAGCAGCAGACGTTCTCGTGCCAATAGCAAGAGCATTACCTCACCTGGAGAGCAATTTCGCCATACCAAGGATGAGAACCGATGCGACACGGAGGCGTTTATCAGGCCCAAGACAGAGAAGGGCACCGTTAGCCATACTGATACCGACACTCTTCACTCCCGCGACACGCGCTCTCTTGGCCACATTGGGACTCGCAGTCTTAGTGCCACTGCGCAGTCATTCATCTCGCGTAGAGCACAAGAGTCTCTCGGTAACGTTTCCAACTCTTCTGGGACGGAGCACCGCAAAGAACATTCCCAACTCGACAAGGATCTCCAAGAGGGTGATGAGGAGTTGGACAACAGCAAAAGTGAAGCCTACAAGAAGCATCTCGTAAACACGGGCCATGACTGTGTCAATGAGAGCGATGACCTTCAGCTAGAAGACGGCGAGATCTGTCCCCGTTGCGGCTACACCAACTGAGTGGCTTGGTAGGAGTGACCACGAATTCCGGTAATATACCTGGGAAGCTGGAGAGACAAGGGGTATTAGAGATGAACTCTAACGAGATATTGTCAAATGGCATACGAACCTGTATACATAATTGAGCCGTCTGTAGGGCACCTAAATGAACCGTATCTGCCTTCTTCCTTACAGAAACTCGTATCCAGGTTTCATTTCCTACTGTGCAAACGTGAAGCAAACATGAAGAAACATCCATGGTATCAATTCTTACGAACCTACTCAAAGAAACCTTCACCGACCATTCCAAGCCGCTAAATGCATGACAAGGCCTCCTCGGTTTCTGAACACTATCCTTACGCCCAATGCAACCCACTCACTTAATTTCCGTCTTGGACATGAGGTCCGCCAAATCATCAACCTTCTTATCCTTCTCCTGTGGCACATTGCTCTCCTCGGCCTTGGTATCTTCAACAATCTGTCTCGCAGCCTTCTCCTCGACCTCGACACCCTCCTCGTCGTCATCAGCATCGCCGCGCTTCTCCTCCGCGTCACTCTCCTCTTCATCTTCGTCTTCGCTCTCCAACTCATCTAGCTCGTCCAGACCCCAGTACTCCTCATCGTCCTCGTGTTCACCAGACGCCTCTTTCCGCTCATCGAGCACACTGCGGAGCTTCTCGATACTAGGGTCCTCCTCGTCGAACTTGTTGCCATTTATTTCCACACGACGGAGAGCAGGGAGGGCAGACGAAGAGGCAGAGGCCAGGCCAGCAAGACCCTTGGCGTTGATATCGTTGAATTGGAGGCGGAGGACTTCAACCTTCTTGTTCTTGCCCTTCTCCAGCGCGGCGGCGAGCGCAACGCCTCCGCGTCCGCTGAGGAGACAGTCGCCTACGCCAAGCTCACGGAGCTCGGTCCAGTTTCCGACGGCTTTGCTCAGGGCATTTGCGCCCATGGCTGTGAATGTGTTGTCTTGGAGATCGAGCGTGTCTAGTTTAGACAGGTGTGCGAGACCGTTGGTAATGAGGTGTGAGATACCCTCCTGACGAATGCCGTTCTGTGTCATCTTGATGGTCTTGACGCCACTGTTGGCGGCATATGCTTTTGCCCATGCGGCCATGCTGCCGTTCTCCAGACGGTTGCGACCGCAGATTACTAGCTCGAGGTCTGGGACTTCTTTGCCATCCTTCCGTGCTGCCTCCTTTTTGGCGGCGAGTGCGGTGAGTGCATCGGCGACGAGGACACCGGCTGCGGGTCCGAGACCGTTGTTGTTTAGGTAGAGGTAGCGTAGTGGGGTGTGTTGCGACAGGAAGTCTACGAGCGGGGCAACGGTGTTGAGGCCAAACGCGTTGTCCGAAAGGTCGACGGTGTGGAGGTTTGGCAGGGTAAGGAGGGAGGTGAGGAGGTGCGATAGCGCAGGTGGGATCTCAGAGAGGAGACGCGAGGTGAAGATGTCGGCGAGGTTTGCGACCTGGAGATTGGGTCAGTCCCTTTTTTGACATCGCATCGCGGTCAAGCGGGGTTGTAAATATTACCTGTAGACTCTTCTTGCCCTCCAAGACCTTAGCAAGAGCCTCGCTGGCTCCGATGCCCAATGTGTTGCCCAAGAACTTGATCTCCTCTACATCGTCGTTGCTCTTCAGGTCCTGGATGTGTGGCTCAATATCCTCCGCGGTGGTGAGTTTCAGGCCCTTGCCCTCAATCGAGAAGATCTTTGCTCCAGCCATGTTCTTCACAGGCCCTTTTTGCAAGTAGTACTAGTAATAGTCTCAAGTGTAAACAACAAGATAGCAACAGGGGGGGCGAAAGGACTCGTTTATAGTGCGTGTGACTCGTGGGTCGCAATTGTTTTGGCGTCGTAGTGGGGTTTGGTTCATTGTCTAGACCCCTGTCGCCTGCAGGGTTAGTCTCAGCCACATGCCACATGCCTGTGGCGTATGCCGCGGGAGTGTGCGGCAAGATCAGTGGCTGTTGAGCCGATGACATGCTCGGCGACTTTTGCGATGGATTGCTAATCACCTTCAATTCACCACCACCACACATACAGCCAGCATGTCTTCAGGTAAGCTTCTGGGCTAGACGATGGTATGCATGCGACGCAGAAGGGCTAATTGATGGGATTGTAGCACCACCGACCGCCGCCAACATGGGCTCAGACCTCAAGGACACCGCTGCGCCGGCGAAAGTCAAGCCATGCTGTGAGTGACGCCCCTATACGAAGTGTATGCGAGACATGTGCTGACTTCATGCGCCAAATTTCAGGTGTCTGCACCGATCAAAAGGCCAAGCGCGACGAATGCATGCTCTTCTCCACATCGAACGACCCCCAAAAAGAGTGCTTCACTCTAGTCGACGATTACAAGAGATGTATGGCTGGATATGGCTTCAAGATATAACACATTGGGCAACGTTAGTGTATACGACATGTACAACACAAATGCATATGGGTGGCGTTGCGCACTAGAGGCTTTTCTGTATTCGCTGTACAATATTTGAGGAATGGGGAACCAGAATCTTCCCTCCAAAATCTACCTGGGTATCTTGAAGAAGTGCTGAAGTGCGACAACGAATAATTGCCAACTGCCAAACTTTACTGCGTCTTGTCTTTTACTCCTCCAAACAACTCACTCTTAACTACAAGTCGCCACAAGCACCAGAGATAGCAAAGGCCGAAGCCGCCTGTTCCAACAATCGCATTCGCCACAACCCAGAGATCCGGTTTGTCAGTTGGTGGAGGATAGAATGCCTCTGCAATGTGCCATGCAACCATGGCTACATAGATATTGAGGTGAAGAATCTTGCTGAAAATGTTCAGCCCACTTCGGCTGTCTCCCTGGAAGGTGGAGAAAGAGACTGGTGGAAGACCAAGAAGATAGGCCCACAAGAGTGAGATGACAAAGTATGGGACTCGCAAATCATCTCTCTTGAGCAACGGGAACATGGTCCAAACGCCGAGCATGTTCGCAAGACCGACCCACGCACGAGTGGAAGGTAGCAAGCCGTCTTTTCCGCTAAGAAGTAGCGTCATTGGCAACAATGGAAGCAACACATTCTTCTCGTGTACCTGGTATGAGCAGAGAAAGAATCCCCAGGAGACGGCTGCGAAAGCGAGTGGAAGGAGCTGCTTCTTGGGCTTGATAAAAATGATTATGCACGGCGGCAGGATAGCAGCGGAGGTGGCAAGTAGCGCGAGTCGCTGAAGTAATTCAATCGGGTACCGGTTGAGCTTATGGAACGTGTGGATCGTGCACCAGATGTTCGCAACTTTGTCTTCGAACAGTCCCCGAGAGAAGGGGAATATGCGATGAATCGACTGCCCCATCTCCAGAACATAGGGAAAGTACCATGCGTTCATATCCCATGGTGTCATGAACCATCTCAGGTTCAGAAGTGGTGGCAATTCGAGGGGAGCGTGGTTGAAGCCAGTATAGACATCGTATGCGACACCCATCAGGAATGGGAGGTACAGCACAGCGAACGCGGCCACAGTCGTCAGCGCAATTGCGAGGAACCGCACGATATTGATCCTGGGGAAAAGGCAGATGCCCAGCAGGTATGCGAACACCGCAGGCGCATAGAACAAGGCCATCTGTTTGAAACCAAGCGCGCCAACGAAGAAGACGCACCCCCACAGTGGTCTTCCAGCGACCATGCTCGAAAGTGTTGCAACTGCAAAGCCAAGCATGACGGTGTTGTATTGGAAGTGCCCGTGGTCGATCAATATGGTGCCCGGTTGCATCAGGATAGCCACCAGCGCAATTGACGACTCCCAGATATTGACCCCTTCTAGTCGCGAATATCGGCGGAGGAAGATGACTATCGCGGGAACGCAGATGAGGTATTCGGATACGAAGACAGTGGCTCGCATGTATATCTTGAGGGAGGGGTCATCGAGAGCTCGCGACTCATCAAGAGCGAACCATTTTGGATTGATAGCAGAGCCACTACAATGATCAGTACTAACATTCAACGTACAATATTTCCACATACATGACGCCCAAGATCCAGCTGTGATATGCCGTGAGAGGCGGGTAATCCAGCCCCCACCATTGCAAGTCGTAAAAGTACCATTTCGACACGGGTAGATGTTTTGTAATCTCCATCCAATGTCGCTGGGCTTCAAAATCACCGTGCATTGGCGGTGATTGGTATCCAGAGTAGCCCCACAAGCTGACAGTCCATCTGAATAGGCCAACTACCATCAGAATGAGGGGTATCGTGATCCATTGCGAGACGGTGCCTTTCGCTGGCCAGAGGAACGCGACGAGAGGGAATGCGGGCTTCCGTGCATTAGTAGACTGGTCGAGATCGAGTGTACCGTGAGCGACCTGGGCGAGAGAGCCTTCTTCAATCTTTCGCCGTCGTCGCGGCTTGTGAGCTGCTGGAGATGCCATGTTGGAGCTACCCAAGTGAGCTTGGAGAGGGTCTGGACGGATTCGAGGAACGTGGCGGATCGATTTACGCGTTACCGCATCCGAGCTAGCCGCTGCCCTGCATTTTGAGCCCTGCTGCGAAGAGTTCTATCCCCAGCTATCGTCCGACAATGGACCGGCATACAATTAACTTCTGCCTGGAAAGTGTCTTTCTGAACTTGCCGTTCAGGCTCTGTTGATCCCATTGAACTACCTGTATGCACATCACGTCTCAATCGGGTCGACATGGTCTAGGTGTCGCTCCAACAAGATGCATACACCGAAGCGTGACAAAGCTGCTTTGAGTGCGACCCCGACAACCCAGTAGACAGCCTCGGTACACATACTCTCTAAGATTTGTTGTATCCGCTGCCTGTTTAGACTATTGGGTACTCTTAATGTGAAATTGTGGATAGAAGATTTTACCTGGTTTGAAAGATCAAATCAGGTAATGGATTCTGCCAGCCACGAAATTCCTAGTATTATCACCGAGGGCTTACCGTGACTTATCCACATTCTCAATGAAAAGCAGGCATCCAAAGACCCTTAAGTCGTTACCTCAAGGGTATACCGCCGTCGCCGTCGCCGTTGGATGGGTTCGCAGTGGGGCGACTGTAGCGTACCTCTGAGAGCGCGTCTCTAGCGCAACGCTCGGACCCCGGATCCGCTGAAAAGTTCGATGCTGATCCTTCTGCTACATAAACTGCGCGCTCCCAGCCATTTGCTAACCACCACCTACCATCAACCTTCTTCACATTTCTTTTCGAACATTTACCGTTCGAAACATACACTGAGGGCTTTCGCGATTCTCAAGTGGGCTACTGAGGGCAACATCCAGTACCAGATCAACATACAAGTCAGTGGGCAACGTTTGGCTTTTCCTTAACACACATTACAGAGGGCACGTCTGTCGCTCGCCAGGGCACGACAAGATCATCCTGAGGGCTTTTTGCTACTATGAGGGTTAATCTTCCGGCTTCTCGGCTTTTGCGGGAACGCGCTGCCTTGAGGCTCGGTTTTCTGTGGGCTCTTGTGGGCTTTCCGTGGGCTTGAGGGATATCCGCTTCGTGCGGTCTCGAGAGATACCAGTGGGCTTTTCGCAATTTGAGACAATCAGACCAAGCAGGCTGGCGCACATGATAACCTTTGGGTGTCAGCGCCCGAGCGACGGCGTCATTGCCGTCGACTCCTCTCTTTCCTTTTTCTACCGCACATCATTGGCGCTTTCGTCGCATCTTTCACAATACTAATACGTTGTAGATCTAGTTACCTATCATCAAAATGGGCAAGACCAAGGTTGCGGACAAGTCGTCCAAGAAGGACAAGAAGTCCGAGGTCGCCGCCGTCAAGGCCGGCCGCGTTACCAAGCCCGCTGCTACTCCCAAGTCGAAGAGCAAGGACATTGCCAAGTCAGTTGCTTCCAACATCAAGGACAAGAAGAAGTCGAAGAAGGCTCCTACCCCAGAGCCTGAGTCTGATTCTTCGTCTGAGAGCGAGAGCGAGAGCGAAGAATCCTCTGAGAGCAGCAGCGAGGAGGAGGTCGTCGAGAAGAAGACTCCTGCCAAGGCTGCTCCTAAGGCCGCTGCTAAGGCCGACTCCGATTCTGACTCGTCCGACAGCAGCGATGAGGACAGCGACAGCGACAGCAGCGAGGAGGAGAAGCCTGCCCCCAAGGCCGTAAAGAAGGCCGCGGCCAAGGCTGAGTCCAGCGACTCTGACAGCGACTCCGACAGCAGCGAGTCTGAGGACGAGAAGCCCGCCGCTAAGGCTGAGGTCAGTTTAGCCCTTGACCATCACACGACGTAGACTAATTTTGATAGGCCACCTCCACCTCCGACTCTGACGACTCCTCTGACGCCGACTCCGACGACTCTTCTGCTTCCGAGAGCGAGGAGGCTCCCTCCAAGAAGCGCAAGGCTGAGGAGGCAGCTGCCCCCGCTATCAAGAAGACCAAGACTGAGGAGCCCGCCGCTGAGGAGGGTGTCAAGAACCTCTTCGTTGGTAACATGAGCTGGAACATCGATGAGGACTGGCTCCGCCGCGAGTTCGAGGGCTTCGGTGAGATCGTTGGCTGCCGTGTCATCACTGACCGTGAGACTGGCCGTGCTAAGGGTTTCGGTTACGTCGAGTTCGCCAACGCTGCTGATGCCGCCAAGGCCCAGAAGGAGATGCACGAGTACGAGCTTGACGGTCGTCAGCTCAACGTCGACTTCAGCACTCCCCGTGCTAAGCCCGATGCCGGCGGTGCCCGTGCCAACAAGTACGGTGACAAGCGCAGCCCTCCCAGCAACACTCTTTTCCTCGGCAACGTCTCATTCGAGTGCTCCAACGAGAGCATCCAGGAGGTTTTCCAAGAGTACGGTAACATCACCCGTGTCTCTCTCCCAACCGACCGCGACACTGGTTCCCTCAAGGGTTTCGGATACGTCGACTTCGGCTCCCAGGAGGAGGCTACCGCCGCTCTTGAGGCTTTGAACGGCCAGGAGATCGGTGGCCGTGCCATCCGTATCGACTACGCTCAACCTCGTGAGGACAACGGTAGCGGCGGCTTCGGTGGTGGCCGTGGCGGAGGTCGCGGTGGACGCGGCGGCGGCCGTGGTGGCTTCGGCGACCGTGGCGGTCGTGGAGGTGGCCGTGGCTTCGGTGGCGGTCGCGGTGGTGGCCGTGGTGGTGCTCGTGGCGGCCGTGGTGGTTCATTCAACCGCGGTGGCTTCGGCGATTTCCAGGGACAAAAGAAGAGCTTCGATTAAGCGTCTTCTAGGACGTTACTTTGCACATCCTTTCGTGTATCTGCTTTGATCATCTCGAAGAGTAAGTAATGGAGCTGCCGTACGATATGATGTGAAATGATCATCGAATCTGGATTTCGGACCTCTGGGTATGGCGTTCATGGGTAAAAGTCGTTTGATTAGAGATACTCCAACCACTCGGTCTGATTTAGGCTGGTTATGGAAACTTAGTTGTCGATAGTATAACGAATTCATTTAACAAACTTTAACTGAACCTGCTACGTGATGTCGTGAACCGTCTCTATAGCCATCAGCATTCTTCCCGTACTACCATGCGCTCCAAGTGACGCTTCTTGTAGTGTCCTCTAGCACTGCTGACCTATTCACCCAAGTAAGAACACTTCGCTTACCTACGATCGCCCAACTCCGTAGCTGTAATTCCAAGTGACACATGGTAGTGGATCACCGATGGGTGCATCAGGTTACATGACGTCTTCGCACGTGGGCTTAAAGCTTCCGGTTTAACCAGTCCTCCACTCTAGTGCAGTGATTCTCAAGTTCGGTTAGTCAATTCTTGTGTTTGGTACGCAATAAAGGTGTGACTGTCCCAACCACGGTACACTCAAAACCGGGTACCGGCATCAGTGCCAGGGGTTGGGGGCGAAATAACAACTTCACATCACAATAGCACATCTTGGAGTATGTTAAGACAGACAATTGACCTATAGGTCAGAATACGATGACTTGCTATATACTCATACAACCCAAGAAGCAGAGTACTAAACTCAACACAAGGAGATAGATGAACAAGCACAAAAGAAAAGACAGACAAGAAAAATGAGATGATGAGACGACGCGCTACAAACATCAAGACATACAACAGGTGATGATACAGTGATCGATCAAACCTCCTCAACATCCTCGAGGCTAAACTGCTTCTCGGCATCAGCATCGAAGCATGTCTCCCAGCAGAGAACCTCGCTGGGGAAATCCTTCTCCACACTAGGGCGTTCGCGGACAAACCAGGCTAGTCCCGCACCGACGATACCGAAGAGTGCGAGGCAAGTCCAGAGAGCGAAGTTTGTTGTTTGTACGCTAAGATCGTCGCTGAAGTAATAGCTTGTGCCACTGACTGCAACGGCAAAAGCCTTGAAGAGACTGGCGATCTGCATCATACCGACAACGGTGCCGGCTGAGAAAGCATCTGGTGTAGTGTTGAGGACGAGCAGAGAAACGAGAACGTTTGCGCCACCGGTGAGGAGGTGTTGGGTGAAGATTGAAAGAGCGGAAATGACGGGTTCAAGACCGGAGCAGGTGACGACAATGGCGAGGATGGGTGTGAGGACATATGTAGCGGGTAGGAGGGCGGAGACGGAGCGGTAAAGTTTGACAAGACCGTATTTCGACGTCGCGTAAGGAATGGCGTAGTAAAGGACCATGCCCGCAATGCCGCGGACACCGAGAACGACGATACTGAGCCAGTCGCACGAGATGCCCATGCCGCCTTGGTCTGTGCTGCTGTGTCCGAGGTGGGGAAGGACAACGTCGAAAGTCGATGCGTGGAGCGAGAGGAGACAGAAGGAGGAGAGCAGGACCATGAGAGATGGGGCCTGGAGGAACTGGGAGATAGTGATGGGTTCGGGGCGAGCAAAGTCAACGAGGGTGATGTTTGTGTCTTCTGAGTCGCGGCGGAGGAAGGCAGCTTTCTCGCAGTCCATGTCGACTGAGTCTGCGGAGCGGTCGTTGTGGTGAGGAAGCGTTTCCTTGAGGCAGATGCTTGCCGTGAGCGCAATGGCGAACAAGACGGCTCCGCAAGCTAGCTCAGAGCCCAGGGTTGGAAAGTCTTGCCAGACCATGTTGTAGGCTTGTAGGCTTTCCGAGACCATGAGCTGCATGATCGGGCCCATGGAGCCGCCCAGAGAGATAGTAGGTAGCCGGGCGACGTTCTTCGCCCTCTCCTCTGCCGATGTGCTCAGATCTCCAATCATGGTCAGGGTTGTGCATACAATCGCTGAGCTAACCATGCCGGCGACGAAGCGGAAGATTGTACAGCTGACGAGACTGGTTGCGAAGCCCATGCTCAAGCAGCATGCGAACATGCTCCAGAGCCCAATGAGCGTGACGCGCCTTCTTCCCATACGGTCGGCAAGGTATCCCCAGAATAGACCCGTTGTTCCGCCAAATGCGTATGCGCAGTCGAGTATACTTCGGAGGTAGGACGAGGAGAGAGTGCCGCAGTAGTCGGAAGACGAGAGGAGCATCTGGAGCTGTGGTTGGAGGCTTGAAGCCATGATGCTGTATAGCATGTCAGCATAAGTCGGAGCAGACGGGTCATGTCATTCGAGATTAGGTAGTAGAACTTACGCCTCAGCAAGGAAGATGAGGTACACAAGCATCAGCTGCGACCGTCGCGACTTATCCGCACCATCTGGCGCGTTGTGCATCTCCATCTCTTCCTCTACATCCAGCTCCTCCTCTTCCTCAACCATGGCCACCTTATCATACTTGCCCAAATCCTTGACCGGTATTAAAGACCTCGTCCTTCTGTGGAAACCCAGCATCTTGCGAGAACTCAAACGATCAATCCGAAAAAACTCGGCTGAAAACACTTCAAATATGCGATAACGCGTTTATCGCAGGAGAGAGCGTGTGCAGGCACGAACCAGCGTAACCTGTAGAGAGATTGTAACGGCCACGACGGGACCTAAAGGTAAGATAGAGAGTGACAGGAAAGACTGGTCAAGGGAGCGACGAAAGACTCGCCTCGAAAGAGAGAGGGTTGACAGTCAGAAGTACAACGGCGGCAACAGCATCGCGAGGGGTTTGAGCTTGACGGGGCTCTTGAAACGGAACTATACTGACTGGCGTCTCATTGGCGATCAGCCCAACCCAAAGTCTAAACGCTAGTACTATTGGAGCTAAGCCCCTTAGCCTGGAGCCACATGAGGTCACACGCAGACGGTTCGTTGCTCCTGATCCACTGTAAGCGGAAACCTGCAGCGGTCCTATTTTCAGGTCCGATCTTTTGTGGTCTTTGCTTCGACGTTCGTTTTTGACCACCACCAAGATTCTTTGTCCGAAGCAACGTGATGCGCAAAAATATATGTCGTCGTTTCATTAGCCGCGTTCCGCGAAGAAGAACTGAATTTGACTGACTGCACGAGCGACTGGAGTATTCCACGTTCTGGTTCGTCCACGGCTTCATCGCGCAGATCACGGTGGCCATGAGTTCTAGATTTGGTGAGTTCAGTGGAAAGAACATGGTGTATTGACCTAGTTTTGAAGGAACTAGTGAATCATCGTTCTTCTTGGTAGCGAGAACCATAGAATCTGTACTCTATATAAAGCCTCTCCATATCTCGCTAGAGAGAAATATCAAGGTGGTACTATAGTCGTCTATAGAGGCTGACGATTTAAAAGGAATTATGACCGGGATTACGTCTAGATTTCTTACTACGACCTGAATGGTTTATTCACTAATTGAAATAAGTTTATTGGGCAGTGAATTTAGCTATATAATATCAAAGGTTGTGATACCTAGTCGAGTTGAAATACTCCTCCGTATTGCGGGTCGTCAAGGCCTTGGTACCCACAGTTCAGCGATCGCGACCAGGAGCTCGTCGGGAGGTAAGAATAAGCCCAATCAGACTCAGTCTCCCTTGGGCTCGTCTTTATTTCACATGTGGTGTTGCAAATGTATGTCAGACCTCGAGCTCGACAGTGAGAAATATAGTGGAACATTTGCCGTTGGCGCCGTGGTTCAATATGGGAACAATTCGAGGTTTCCAACGATCTGAGCCACGGCGTTCACTTATCACAAAACTTCAATATTCTCAAAAGCCATGATTCTCACTACTGGATATTCCCAAATCTCGCACAGACCCAATCAGCCATGGCGACTCGTCCACGCCTTGGCCGACCATATGTCCTCACTCCCTACGATCGAGAATTCGCCAGGCCAACAACGTCGAAAGGACATCCAATAAGAAAAACACCTCTGTCGAGTCAGAAACAGCAGACAAGATGTTCTATACATGGAGTATCTCCATCACCTAAGGGAAGCCCGACAAGATGTTCTTCTCCAGTGGTGTCTCCTCTACGCGAAGTAGACTCTATAGGAATTCCTACACCATGCAATTCTCCGTTGAGTGTAGTAGACTTGACAGAATGTTCTACACCAAGCGCATCTCCATTGAGCCAAACAGACTCAACAAAATATCCTTCGCCTAGAGGAACATCTACGCCAGTCTTTCATCCGTACAACTCGCATCCCTTCAGGCCACAAATTCCGGTAGGGTATCCTTCACGGGGAGAATTTGAAGAAGTCCAAGCCATAATTGCGCCATACTGGCACATCTTCAACCTCGTACTTGAATATGAACCAAGACTTCGCGTTCACCTTGATATCAACCCCTCACCTGGACTGGCAAGCCTATCGTCATCTGCGAGAGTGAGTATCCACCGATACATGGGAGATTGATACAAGCATACGGTCCTGCTGTTCATGATCCTTGGATCAGTCCAGACATGCGAAGGGGGTCTAATAAGTTTAATCACTGCGACTTCAGCATCCGCGTCTTCTTATACGTGCTCGAGCCTCTTCTGAGCCGTGTCAACGCTAGGATAACCTGGCTCGCGGTGGTAGCAAAACCGTATTGGGTCATCTTCTGGAAAGATTATCAACCGGATCCACAAGTCCTCCGTCACAGCGTCTTCAACATCGAAACTCGGTCCGGCGACGAGTACATTGCAGACTTTACGATTGAGCAGTTTGGCTACTCAAGCGAGTGTTGGCTGATGCGCAAGAGTGAGTACGAGAAACAGTGTACTATGGGTATCAGAATGCGGCAACCGAGATCTGAAGAGGTCGACGAGGCGCGGCGAGGCGAGGTTAAGTTTTGGATTAAGAAAGCACAGGCTATATGGATGGTTTGCCAAATAATGCATCATTATGGATTGGGTTCCATGGACGATGTGATGTTCGTTAGGTGGTTGGAGTTTTGGGTGAAAGACGTTTCTTTGTATATGTGGCAAAGACAACCGGCTTACCAACCGGTTCAATGACGGATAATGAAGCGATTCTACTTTCGAAGCACGAACATCCAGTCTAGAGCGGGGGAGATGGCTGCTCCGGGGTGATGTATGTAGATGAACACTCGTCATTGCGTACTTTTGCAAAAGAAACGAGCAGCGTTGTATTCCGAGATGAGAGGAGCATCTCGCAAAGAGACAGATAGATCGAATGTAAGTTGGTACGGCGGCAAGGGCGTCCACGCTCCTGTGCCCGGCTTTTGTCCGCAGCGAGTCGTGAGAGAAGGTAGGATCCAACACCTGGGCGTGGCAAAGCTACGTAAAGTATGAGACAACCTCACGCCTATACTTAGTCCCAGAGTACCCCGCCATGGATCTTATAACTGGGACTCCCTCAATATCGATATGCCTCTCACGTCTGCATGCGCAGCCCTAACATCACATGCATGTTGACGACGTGTTTCTGGCCCCCACGATTCCGGTGAAAGGCGTCCTGTGCTACTCGCCCAATGGAAGGATGTGGCATACGTATGCGCCGACACCCAGAACATCAGGACACGGTGGATTGCGCAACGACGGAATAGTGGGTATGACGGCGTGCGCATCTGTGCAATTCCAGGGAGCGGGGACGGCGGCTTTATCAATAGCGACGCCTTAGTTGTCTTAGTTGCTGGTCCACCAGAAGTGGTGAGGAAGGCGAAATGGCTCCATCCATGCACAGCCCTGTCGCCCTTTGCAAGCCTCCACCCATAGGGCGCCTTATGCCATCAACCAGTGATAAGCGTGCGCTAGCAGCCGTTCCTGCGCTTCTTAGGGTTGACCGGTTTCTTGCAAGGGTCTAGTCACCGCTGGATTGGAGCCAATTCTCGCAGTCTTCTGGTGGTTCCGTGTCTATCACCATAGAAGGGTTTGCGGTGAAGGACACAATAAGTTTGGCGCTCGATTCCTGCGCCCACGCGTATGCCAGAAACGCGGCAAAGGTACAAGTGACGGATTGGCTGACGTTGTGCCGATGGACGAATAATGGCATGTCGCTCGTATTCAAGATCCGAGCAGGGGCTGACTGCGCGGAACGTCAAGTGTCCGTGCACTGCTGCCTGGAGTTGGACTCCACTCACTGGAGGAAGCGACGACATCCCGTTCCTTCCCTCTTGAACCACCTACTCCCCCCAGCCCGCGCTCCTCGATATCTCTTCTTGCTTCAAATCCTAATCCTCAGGCCTCCCTTCCTCCTCGTCTTTTTGCACCGCAGACCCGCCGCCCTTGTGCATCTTTTGCCGCTCGCCGCCCGTCTTACTCCACGTGCTGCGCCTTCCTATATACCAGCACTTCTCCTCCGACACTCGACAAGAGGACTCAGCGCCCTTTACCCTCTCTCTGCATCGCTCTCATCACTCTAGCCTATCATTTGTTAGCTTCCGCGGCCGCAAAGGTTCCACTGTCCCCGGTCAATGAAAACGTGATCTGGGCTTGGATAACCACTCACACTTGGTCCTTTTGGTTCGCCGGGTTTGGGGAATCGTGCAGTCCGTGACTCACCTGAGGCCGCCTTTCCCACTTCAACCGGTACTACGACCAGTCATAGCTCAACATGTCTGCACCCCACGACCAGAACCGTCATCCCCGCCGCCGTCCTCTTAAGGGCTCCGCCTCCCCTCTCAGCACCCATGGCATGCAGCTCCGGAAGAGCGGTACTTTCTCGTCGCCAACCCACATATCGTCCGACATCTGCGACGTCGACAAATACTTCATGCCCCGCCGCTCACCGACCAGCACTGAGCGACTAGAGGAGCTAGTCAACGACTCCATCCAAGACCCTAGCGTGCGTCGCGTCACCAACCTGCTCAAGGACTTCGAGGCGAGGGTCGCTGGCCATAAGAGCGCTGCTGCCGGCTCTGACCTTCTCAACGACCCGGAGGTTCTTCCTGTCCCGAGCTTTGTCCTCGACAGCACCTCATTGGATCACACCCCAATGGACATTGACCCAAAGCCTACTGCAGCTCAACGCAGCCCCCACGACCACGCTTCTGACAGCGGTCTGGGTTCGAGCATCAGTGGATCGAAATACGGTAAGGAGTCACCGCAGCTACCCGTCTTGGAAGAGAACGCCCCGCATTCTAACATATATAAAGACGAGATTCGCACTCAGCGCTCCAGCGTTCGTGAATCCATCAGCACCTCAATCAGCTCAACACACTCGGCTGTCACCAGGTCCTTTTCCGCACTCGGTTCTCCAGAGGAGGATCACGTGCTTGGTGAGCACACGTGCAAGCAGATCCACGACTTCATTGTCAAGCCCATCCTCGCCGAGGAGTCCCTCAAAGACTTTCACTCGCTTGTCAAGGACGTTCCCCGACGCATAGGTGAGAAGAACATCCGAAACCTCCGTGATCTCGAGAAGACCCTCATATTCCTCGCACCGGTAAGTGGAACCACCCGTTGTCTTTCTCAAAGTGCAGTAGCTTATTGCATTTTTCGTGGTTTAAAGGAGCTGTCGGCTACCCCGGACTCGTACACTCGTTTTTGCGAACGATCAATCCAACTCTTGGCTACGACCGTCCAGTACATCTCCGAACAAGACCAGCGACTACCAACCGACCGCCCTTATACTGACGGCTACTTCCTCGATTTGATGGAACAGATTAGACGATACGCTTCAATCATGGCTGCTACAAGAGAAAAAGAATCCAAGGGCGAGGACCTAGACGACATGGATTACTCACGGTATGACCGCGCCGCCGGCTTTCTATTCGCACGCACTAATCAAATGGTCCATAGCGATGAGAAGATCACCCTTCGTGGTGGCATCAGCCACAACGGCCGTCCTGTCGAGCTAGTCCGTGAGAAGAACGGCAAAGTCATGCCCATCTCGGAAGATGCCTCAAAAGCCTTCAGGATCAAGCGCCGTCTCTCGGACGCCTCCGAGGACAGCATGGACGAGGATGAAGTCACCCGCTCCATGGCGCGCCGCCGTAAGTCCGAGAAGCCAGGAGATGTAATGCACATTTGCCGTGACTGCAAGAAGGAGTTCAAGCGACCATGCGATCTGACCAAGCACGAGAAGACCCACTCTCGCCCGTGGAAGTGCTCTGAGAAGAACTGCAAGTACTTCGATCTTGGCTGGCCAACTGAGAAGGAACGTGACAGGCATATGAACGACAAGCACTCTGCTGCTCCTGCCCAGTACAAGTGTCTCTACCCACCATGCTCGTACGCCTCAAAGCGTGAGTCCAACTGCAAGCAGCACATGGAGAAGGCTCATGGCTGGGAGTACGTTCGTTCCAAGAGCAACGGTCGCAAGAAGGGTCCTACTGGCAGCGAGAACAGCCCCACTACCCCTCTTACTCCTTTCATTGGCACACCAATGTCAGCGACCATGACTACACCCATCACACCGTTCATCCCATCGCCACAAGTGCCCATGATCGACAACTTTGACTTCTACGGCGTTAACACGCCAGCTTTGAGCCACCAGGGTTTTCAGGATGACTTCCGCCGTGACTCGATCACAACCGACGGCTCCCTCTTCACCTACTCATCTGGACGTTCGCCCGTTGAGCCCACATCCTTTGTTGATGCTGTGACCCCAGAAGATACTCACATCAACCACAACGACATCTACAACGCCTGTGACCTGAACGCAAATTTCAACACGGGTTTCCAGCAGCCAACCCCAATGAGCACGGCGTTTGACTACGCGCCATTGCCATTCACAACCAGCAGCACGATGAATGGGCTCCCACACCTATCACCGTTGGCTCAGCCTGACGTTACTCTCTTCTCACCACACATGGATGAGGGTTTCAGTGGTGACATGGACATGACCATGCAGGGCTTCAGTCGCCCCACTGAGGACTTCACGTTGTTCGATACCGCGCCGCCTAGCCAGATGGCGTTCAACAACACGTCCAATTTCTTCCCCGATTTCAACCAGCTTGGGGGGCAATTCGACAACTTGTACGCCGAGCCCACCACTACGTTGGATGATTTGACCTTTATGGGCTATGGAAACCCGCAGTAATTTCCACACTATATTGTATACGATTAGTGGGCACTTGTATAGCCATCTTCCCCATCTTGTACTTTTACAGAAGGAGTAATTTTCCATTGAGCGGGCGTCTGGACACTTGTTTTTCTGAACAGCTATTACGACTGTTATGACAAGAGGAGGAAATGAGGAAGATATATGTAGGCACGTATTCACGGCCTGGCCTTTTCTTCACTCTGCCATACTGGTATGGCATCATGGTTGCCTCGTACAGAACAGAACAGAAACTCCACAAAAAAACAAAGGATCTTTGTTTGATGCGGGTTTTCTCTTTTCCTCTCATTTCTTTCCTCTAGCGACTGATTTCGATCTCCCCCCTACCTCCTTCTTTCTGGCCGCCCATTTACGGAGTCTCAAGGCTGTGGTAGAGATCATCAGATAGTGTAGGATAGATAGAAATAAGAAACGGTGGAAAGGAAATCGCTGTTTTCGTCCGGTGTTATCAGAAGTGCTATGTCAAAGTCCACCCAGCTTTCTTCACAATCCCGGTAAGCATCGATCTAGTCGCTGATAATCACGCGACCGTGCACGAGAGGTGGACAACCTTTTAGTACGTCCGCTTAAACGTTCACCCTTTACAGACAGCATCCGAACAAGACATAGAAGACTTGCGATCCAACTTTGGATAATCTTTGTACCGGACCGTGTCGGTAGCTTTTCGGACATGATAGTGACTGAATTGTACATTGAAGCTGACGACGTGCCAAGGTCATGTAACGAGAGAAGACCACAGCGCGCAATGGCAATTAGCCTTGAGATGTGTTATATAAGATGGGGTAATCGTCATGTCTCCTGTTTCAGTACATTCGTTCTTTCTCCTATCACAGAAGTAGGTTTCTGAACCATGATCTCGCGTGGTATCATCGCTGCCCTCAGCACTGCGTGCCTCGCTGGCGCATTCGCTCCCGGCCTCGAAGTGGTCTACGATCTGGATCTAGCAACTCAAGGCATCGCATTCTCGGCCGAGGGACGTAAGTTCCTAATGCAAAGATACTCTCTTACCGATCCTCCACGAGCAGTCGAGCTTCTGGACGACAACTCTACAGTGCTCTACCCCGACGCCGAATGGAATTCCTACAATTCAAGCGACAGTACTTCGGATCCAGCGAAGACCTTTGTCAGTCTCGACGGCGCCCGCATTGGACCTGATGGACGCTACTGGCTAGTCGATGGAGGATCTCAGGACCTCAATCACTCGACAAAGTTAATCGGCATCAACCTTTCCAACGACACGGTTGACAAGCTTTACTACCTCGACGACATTAAAATCTCCAGCAGCGGCATCGACGACGTGCGATTCGGACCCTCCGGCGATGTCGCATACTTGAGCGATACAGCTGGAGCACTACTTGTCCTCAACATGACGACGGGAGAGGGAGTGCGGGTACTAGCCGACGACCCGACAGCAGTCGCATGGTTCCCGATGATGTATAACCATACTCTTGTTCCGGGCTACGGTGCTGCTGGAAGCACACTCGCGGTCGGACTCGATCAGATGGAAGTTTCGCCAGATGGCATGTGGTTGTACTACCAGCCTTGTAATGGCGGCTTGTTCAAGATCAAGACTGCCTTGGTTGACGCGACTTTGACTAATTCCACTCTGGCTGCTAGTCTGGGTGACTATACTGAGGCGGTTGCACTGACTCCCAGCACGGGCGGTAGTACGATTGACGGGGATGGCAACCTATACTTCAGTGATACCACATTGCTTGCCATCTGGAAGGTAACCCCTGAGGGCTATGCTTCTATCTTGGTCCAGGATGATGCGCTCGTTTGGACAGATCAGATGTGGGTCACTGCCGATAAGAAGCTTTGGCTGCCAGCTTCGCAGATGCGACCAGGAGCAGACGGACTCATGGCTTCAAGCCCCAATTACATATTCACCTTTCCCATCGATGCAGGGCCATCTCCAATCGACCATGCTTAGCTCGACCGATAGCTTTTGTAGCCTAACGTAGCATAGAGATGTGTCAGTAATGCATAAGTATTCATCGGAAATTGGCATACCTACGGAAGACGTATAGCCCCAGTGGGATGGTCTCACTAAGGTGTGGCCTTGGAATTGGGTCTTGAGTTCGCAATAAAGCTGAGAATAGACACACAATACACTCATTACTCATGCTCTAAATTAATCTAGCAACCTACATCGTTGTGGGTGATACCTTACAAGTGGGTCTTCGAAGACAGTCTATATCTCAACTGGTTGCCACCCAAGGATGCCAGGATCATACAGGGCGACGAACTATTCGCAACTTCCTTGGCTATATAAACAGTCGTTCTCAAGTGGAGTATTTCGCAACTATTTTAGACTGAAAGAGGACTTAGATTCGTGTATGGTCATTAATATCGTGAAATAACTTCAATCAACATCTTCCGATGGTATCTCACATTCCAGCTCGTTGCCACCCGGTTTCCCCTTGTCACTGACACCCTCATTCAAACCATCCTCACTTTCTAAATTCCCCATACCAGCTTCAAGCACCTCAAACCTTTCCAGTAGCCCAACATCCCACCCTTGGAACTTCTTCGCAGTCGGTGGCAATAACCTCTGACTCCTTTCAAGCGCCCCTTTCAGCTCCCCATACAACTCCTCAGGAAACTCCACGTCCTCTACCTGTGCACTCTCTGGTTCCCCAGGCTTCAAAGCCTGCCAGGTCTGCTTCTGGTAGAAAATCTTCATCGTACGTGTGGGATCGAGGCGACCAGGCGTGGGTATGGAAGAAGAGAAGAGAAGGTCCGGGGTAAATACCCAGACCAGAAGGGAAGGTATAGGTTCAGTTTCTTCGGAAGGGTTGGAGGGAGGTGGGGGAGGGGTGTGAATGTGAAATTTGCGGAGGCCGGTGTTGTCGACTAGGTGGAGAAGACGGGCTGTTATCCATTTCTGGACTGTGTAGGTAGTCGGAGAGGTGGATGATGTGGATGTTGTGGATGTTGTGGATGGGGACATGGATCTTGCGCCAATGGCCCACTTTCGTATGCGCCAGCCGGAGGTAGCAGGATCCTGGGTGCCGATCGTGTGGTTGCAATGTGCGCATCGGATCAGGTCTGTCGGCAGCTCTGCTTCTTTTTTGGAAGATATCTGTGTCATATCAGTACGAATGGACGAATCGAAACAAACATAGACAACAGTATAGATGAAATGTAGCCTTGGCTAAACCTGCCAATCCCAAGGGTCTAAGGGTATAGAGACAGTGAAACGCCAGGCCGTCAACTCAACAGCGCCGGTAATCCATCAACCTGAGGAAGAGGATACATCCGAAGCAGAGAGCACGTGTATGAGCATATTGTTTTAGGGAGCTTGTATCGACGATGATGCCACTGGAAAGGCGAGTTCGCCTTCTTTGCGCCCATTTTCACGAGAACGATGGAATAAAAGGAAAAGTATAGCTTACCTGTGCGCCATCACAGTCCTGCTCCGCCAGTAAGAAAGTCGCCAAATCAACAAAGCCTACCCCGTCTACAGCCTGCAAGCGATTGCCAGCTGCATATCCCTTCTGCCCAACAACCTCATCGTGACTATGATCATGCAAGTGATGCTCATCCGGCTTATGGCAATGCCAAAAGTCCATCATCTCAGCCCAATTCTCATTTGGTAGATCTTTCCACTGACGAATCTTCCCCTTGGACACAATCACGCCTTCGCAGCTCTTACAAGTAAGCTCCACATCTTGTGCATCGTTGAGTGAGGCGCCATCCCATGGCACAATATTGGCTTGTCGGTCCTCACGTTGCAGTGCGCCCAGGAGGTCGCTTCCTTCGCGCTCTTCTAGTTGAAGACGTAGTGTGAGTTCCTTGGTTGGGGGTTGCGATGGAAGTTCGAGCGCAGCCTCGCCTCCACCCTCGATGTTGACAGGCAGACGTATCGACGCAGACTGGCCTTCGTGCGATACAGTGATGTAAGACCCGTCGCTTGACAGCTTCGCATCAGTTGAGCGCGAGAAATTCGTGCGCAGCGAGGCGAAAAGCGTGACAGTACGTATATGCAGCAGGAGCTCTGCATACAGCGTTATAGAAGTCTCGTTGGGCGACATGGGCCGCGCGTTGTCCTCGTCGCTCTGGAGGAGGTTCGGCGCGTGTATTTCGGGGGGTTCAGGCGGCGGTGGCTTGGGATTCATCAGGTCTTTGATCGCTTCAGGAGAGAGGCCGAGAGCTGCGTATGCTGACTCGGGAAGTAGCGGGCGCGACATACTTCTTCGTGATTGCGCGCCATGTTGGCGGGGTGAAGGGGAACGTGGGGTTGGGAAAGTGCGATGGAGCTACGACGCGCGAACGACGAAGTTGACTTAATCGGGAGTGGGTCTTTGGGGAGGTTCTAGCCACATCTGGAGGACCACAACAGTGTACTCATCTTTGCATCTTCCAGGAGGGAGTTGCTGAGTGACGTGTGATTACATTATACCAAGACTACATACAGTCTGCAATATAGGAGTGAACTTGTCTCTAACCGACCTGAGCTCAACGCGTTCCCACGCACAAGTCTACTGGCCCTTCTTCTCGCCAGCCTTCTTGTCCTGCTCCAGAATATACTGTACGCCCCTCTTGATGCCCTCATCGAGGGTGACAAGTGGCTCATACCCTAACCGCTGCCTCGCCTTGTTGATGCTGTGGTATTTCGACATGCTGCTGTATTTGACCTGAGCCCTGGTCAAACTAGGCTTCTTCCCCAGGAGCCAGAAGATGTTCTCCAGGATCGCACCAACAGTCCATGCGAAGTCGGCGCTGAGATGCCACACGCTGCTCAACGGTGTCTGGTCACCTGCTTCGTGCCATACCGAACGCGCAAAATCCCAAAAGTATACGGGCTGGCCGTTCGTGATGAAGAATGCTTCGCCGTCGACGCGCTCAGTGTCTAGGGGAATGCTGGGCAGGCGTCTGTGGGTATGGAGCAGTGCGATAGTAGCGAGGACATGTCCGTATGCGACGTTCTCAACGTACGTGAAGTCGAACATGTTGTTGTTCTCACCGACTTGGAACTTGGTCTTTCCTGTCTTGTACGCGTTGACTATCTTAGGGAGCAGTTGTACATCGCCTTCGCCGAAGATACCGGCAGGGCGGATGGCGCAGGTCAGGAAGCTAGGGTCGTTTTCAGGGCTGCGGTTGGCTTGGAGGACGGCTGTCTCTGCGTATGCCTGAGAACCAAGTCAGCGAAGAAGACGAGATAATGCTGTATTATGCTTACCTTTGTGGTTGTATAGTACTCAGGCTGGGCATCGCCAGTAACAAGTGGCCATCTCTCGTCCGCGTTGATGAGCTCAGTCTCATGGTCGAGGATAACACTCGCTGAGCTTGTATACACAAATGCCTTGACTCCAGCTTCTTGCGCAGCTTTCAGCAGGACCTTGGTTCCGCCAACATTGACCTTCTCGTGAATCTCAGGCTTCAGGTCGAAGTGCGGAGATGCTGTGTGGATGACCGCATTGGGCTTCACCTCAGAGAACAGCGCCTTCATGGCGGCAGCGTCTGTGATGTCGCCATCGTGGTAGGATACGTTCGGGCTGGAGTTGCGATTCGAGTTGGTTCGTAGATCGAGAACTGCGACTTGTGTCTGGGGGTGACGGTTGACAATGAAGCTGACGATGTGGCTTCCGAGAAAGCCGCAACCGCCAATGACAAGCACCTTTCCGAGCGATTGGATCGTGTCTGAGTTGTTCGGCATGTTTAGCGATGGTAGGATGGTGCAATTGGGGTGCGACGATCAGAGAGTTGTTTTGCGGAGAGAGATGAACCGACATAAGTCCGGGGGCCTGGGTTCAGGGTCCCGGCGGCCAAACTTTGCGCGTAAAGCGCCGTATGCACGGGCGAATCTCACATGTCAAACGTCAAGCATAGATGAATTCAACTTTTGATATCACGCCTCAATGAAATAGCATGTCATTGATGACTAACGCCGTTACCGATGCTGTTGTGCCCAGAATCCCCACTGAACGCCATATAATGCAAGCCAGGACCACGGGGTCGGACTTGGGGTATCATGTAATATCATGTCTGATGAAGTCGGCCGTTATATCATTACTCCACCTTGTTCCTCCTAGAAACAGTTCCTACACGGCTGTCAGCGAGCATCCTAGCTTTACTTGACCATGAACTTACTCAGCACTGTCTTGTGCAGACCGCCTTAATTTGCGGTTGTAGAGCTTCTTCTCCTCTGGTGTACCCCAGAAGAGCTTCGCAGCCTCAGGGTTCACCAGCGTGCGTGGGTCGTATGCAGGCGATTCCTCCTCGATAGCAGCAATGATAGCCTCGATGTGTGATCGCATGTCATCCTTACGGGCAGCGTCGTAGCAGAGAATGCCATCAGGCGACACGCGATGGTGGTATAGGACTGGTGTCTCGAACCTCACGCGGGGTAGGACCTCAGGAAACTTCGGGCTAATGTACAGCATGATTCTGAACATGCCACCGTCAAGGTTGGTCATAGGCCTGCCAAAGAGGACCAGCTGCCACACGAATGGATTTTTGTCCACCAGATCAAGGTCCAGTGTGACGGCGTCTTGCTTCTTGTACTTTTCAATGATCTGCTCATACTGGCGCTGGAGATTGTTGGCGATGCTCATCTCCTTCCTAACAGCGGCCATTCCCTCAGCAGCCCAAGCCTCCATCTCCTTGTTAAGGGTCTCGAAGATCTTTACGAGCCGCTCTCGGAGTTGTGTGTACTGGAATGTACCCTCCATTGCGTTGCCTGGTCCCTCGAAGGGCATCTTCTCGAATCGTTCACCATCCTTGTTCTTCTTCGCCGCCTCATCTACACGAGCCAGATACGACTGGTAGTACCACAGGAAGCGTCGCTTGCAGAGGTCCTTGAAGGGTTCAAACGGCGCGTCGTCCCTGCTAGACTGATAGTCCTCTTCCGCATTGTACACGGTTGGGCCCGACCTCCCCCAGCTGATGCCCAGATACTCTTCAAGCCGGTCTATGACTGATATGCGTAAGGATTCGTGACGGATCTTGTCAACGTATGCCTCCTGGTTCTTCTTGTCGTAGTCTGAGTTGGCGTCCTCGAAACCAGGCTCGTTCTCATATGGGTTACTGGACATGAGGCTCTGGATAGAGATGAGGATAGATTCGAGTCCCTGGGCAGATGACCACTCTTCCCCACGCTCTCCTCGCCATGTGCTACGTCTTGTTAGCGTATACCCAAATCGAGTGCTTCCCGCAACCTACCCAAGGATTGACAGGCACACCTTCCCACCCGCATAGATATTGGGGTTGAAACGCGTGCGCCCACCATGCGTAGTGATAGCCGTCACACTCGGCGCCTTTGTTGGGTAGTCTCGGGTGAACTTGACAGCGAATTCGAAGAAGCCAAACTCGTATGGGGTGTCAGGTGGGCCGATGATTAGTGCCCGCACATGGCGCACGTCGATATCGCGACAGGCTACAGCTATGGAGAGGTCGGAGCCACGCTGGATCTCGCCCAGTTCGCGGGTAATTCTCAGAATGCTCTGGTTCGACATGGTGTCGCGGACGTCTCCCGGCTGCGGTTTGGAGAGTTGAGTTCGCGGGGTATGGGAAGCTCAACAGTCCGCGTAGGCCGGGCTGATAATTTTGAGCGGGTGTGGGTGTCGTTGTACGGTATGGATTTCGTGGAGAAATAGTGGGCGGGTCAAGTGTTGTAAAAGGGCAAGCAAACAATGGTTGCCCAGCTGTCAAGGCGGGTGCTGTGGAGTCCTGAGGGGCAGAACCCCGTCACCGCTTACGGGACACGAGCCGCAACACCACGCCGCCTAGACTTCCGTGATAGTTTGTTCTTTCAGTTGACAAGATGTAATAAAGCGCTTTGTAGTCTTCCTTATCGCTGGCTAATACTATGGTGTAGGGTGGTGTTCGCGCTGTTCATAATCAGCAAGTCTGGCGGCCTCATCTACAATCGAGAGTTCCACACGGGCATGAGCAAGCTTACTAGCAATGACTACCTCATGCTTGCTGGATCGTTTCATGGGTAATATGCAGTTTGCCCGAGTCGGAATATTCCACTGACCAGCATCTAGAATGCATGCCATAACAGCGCAGCTCTCTCCAGTCCCACCTGTCCGCGCGCCTCCTCCGTCCACCGCGACTCCCAACCTCCAGACATTCCCTGTCCGCGCAACTGGTATCGAAGTCCTGGAAAGCTCTCACTTCCGTATTCAATGTTTCCAAACGCAAACCGGTGTCAAATTCCTCCTCTTCACAGAGCCCCAGCAACCGAACGTAGACACGATGATGAAGAAGATATATGAACTATACGCAGACTACGTCATGAAGAACCCGTTCTACACTGTGGAGATGCCGGTCCGGTGCGAGAAATTCGATCGAGGGCTGGATGGTTTTGTAAAGGTCAGGGGATGAGCAAGAGTTCACAAGAAATATGATACCATGAAAAGGAGAGCAAAGACAGAAAGCAGAGCAACGTACAGGGCAGCATGGAAAGCATCCTGTTGCGACATGTGTTATAAGAGTGCCACAAATCGGAAGCACTATCGGTGAACTCGTTGCATAGCTCCAGAGCCTTACTGCTGAGTCTGAAGCATGCACGATGGCTTCAGAGGTTTCAATAGAGAGGCGTAGCCACCCTTCCTGGGGAAGCCAGGCTATTCGAGTGTGAGAGGTATACCGTAGAAGACGTCACTTCCGTAATCCAGTCAATGGAGACTAGTATTCATTATTTGCTTCATTTATTCATCCATGCCATGCGGTAGACGCCAGCTCTAGTCATACAGTAGACGCCGTGAATGCTCTGCCCATCTTGAAGCTTCAAGGGCCATCCCCTCCTAGCTGCACTATGTGCGCGCTAGCTTATGCCGTGTCCATCTTGTCTGCGTCGTCATCCTTCTTGTCCTTACTGCCACTTCCGCTTGGCTGACCTTGATTGTCTAGCAGCGGCTGCTTCTCGTCGCCCTCAGCGACTGGCTCAAGCTCTGACTTGCCTTCGGCGGCCTCCTTGGTCTTCTTGTCCTTTTCCTGCCGTGCTTTCTCTTCCTCAAAAGACATTCTTAGCGCCAATGCGAGCTCGGGGTCAACCGATGGATCTACGCCGAACTCGAAGTCATTGCCGCCTGATGGACCGCCACCTCCGCCTCCAGAACCGCTGTCACCTCCAGTATTGGATGCACCCTCTCCACCAACAATAGGCGTGGTGATCAACGAGTCACTAAGCAGGTTCGCGCTTGGCGGGATGGTAGCAAGGTAGGAACCTTCGGCGCTTTGTACGTTGTCGCTGAAGGCCTGGAGTTTCCGCGTGGTGTCGTCGCTTAGCTCGCCGAATGCGATGATGTCGATGCTAATACCGCTCTTCTTCATCTTCTTTGCCAACTTGACCAGGTTCTTCTCGTCTTCCTCGATGGGGCTGCAGTTGAACATGACTATCCGCTGCTTCTGCGACTTGTTCTGCCTGTGCTTGAGGGCCAACTGTAACACTCATTAGCTCGGGCATCTTTCCAAGGTTTCTGGATATCATACAGCCGCGACGTTGATGCCCGTCACAAAGTGCGAGCTGCCCTTTATCTTTGTCCGGTGCAGACCGTCCAACACCTTGCCAATGTCCGTTGTCAGGGTCGTGAGGATCTCCGGTGTGTTGCCTCCCATGCTCATAAGACCGACGGAAGACTCTGGGTTTGCACCAGTCTTTGCGGAGAAGATCATGTTCACGGCGTCCTGTTGTGCTTCCCATCGCGAGGGTACATAATCGCCGTTTCGACTAGCTTCGCTGTTGTCAACGCTGTTCGAGTTAGCATATGATCGCTGAATCAGTGAGAGTAGCCGTACACTATCATAGAAGCTTCTAACACCATCTTGCAAATCGGTTGTATGTGGGGTTGAGGTGATTGTTTGGGTAGTTGCTCGGATCGACGGTAACGTTATGATGCTGAGCTCAAGGTCGCCGCAACGGAGGACGGAGGCTGGCCATCGAACCGCCGAGATCACGTGCAAGTCTGACCGCGACCGCGGGAGGCCGTGCGGAAGCAAGGGTGAGCCGACTCAGATGGCGTTTGCGACACCTGTAAACTGACTCGCGCAATTCAACATTGAATGTTACTCCAGTTCACAAGCGTTGCGTTGCAATTATTGTTGCGCAGACTGCCATATAATTATGATGTTCGTGCTCGCTTCGCACATGACTGGTTACGATGCTGTAGGCGCTATGCTGAAATGATCGGGTGCCCTTGGCGCGCTGGCGTAAAGACAGACCTCAGACCCTCCATCCTTCCTTCCTCACACATCCCACTCGAGAATCTGAAGCTGCGACCAACACTACCCGCAACTACACCAAAATTGCTCAGAAACTCTCCGAAACTGCCGCAAAAGCATCAGAAAGTCTCAATAAGTCTCTTGCACTACTCTGTTCTTCTCCCCAGTCTACTTGTCGCGCCTTTTCTCGCGTTGTTTACTGTTCTTCACGACTCTCAACTTTCGGAAGCTGCAACCCTCTTCCACCATCACCACACCTGAGCTGCTCAGAACCCGTTAGGAGTTCTTCGAAAGTACCAACAAGTCTTTCCTGCTTGCTGCCAATCCTCTTTACTGCCGATACCCATATCACCGCTGTCGACGCGTTGTCCTCCACTACAACGCGACTATGAACAACATCCAAGACGGACTCACAGCTGAGGCAAAAGCCAACATGCTAGCCAACCTCCAGCTCGAAATCAACTCACGCAAAGAGAAGCTGCGAGCGCAATGCGATGCACAATGCGCCAGTCTGCAGTCGCGCCTGGAGAGACGCGTCAACCGCATCCCTACCGTGACGCGACAAACCACGCTACTTGATCTCCTCAAGGCATCCGCGCCAGCGCAACCAGTCGCCGCGCCTGCTCCAGCAACCAAGACCACTGTCGCCAAGAAAACATCTGCGCCTGCGCCTGCACCTGCCACACGCAAGACACGCACCGCTCCTCCCACAAACCCCAGTTCATCTGCCGCAGCAACCTCATCACCCGACAACAGGCGCGTCAAGCCTGCCCCAAAAACGACCAAACCAACACCTGGCTACGCCAAGACGACACAGACAACGCGCACCAAGAAACGCAGCAGCGACGAGATGTCAGGAACAGACAAGGAGAACGCAGAGATGCAAGTACCCAAGAAGCGCACAAGGGCACCAGTCCAGAAACCAGCGTCCGCAGCTCCCACAACTCGTGCAACCCGCGCAGCATCCCGCACCAAAACGACTACATCACACGTCTTGTCGCCTAAGACCAATACCGCCAATGTCAGGAAGCCAGCTGCGCGTAGCGCCCGTCCTAGGTAGCGCCCTTAGGCGGACATCGATTACTACAGCATTGATTATACGGCATTGATTGTTTTTGGCGTTTGATACCCTCTCGTTATCGCATTTAAGCGGCGTTGAAGGGAGTTTTTGGATTTTGGCTTTCACCTCCGCCCTGGCTTGAATGAAGGGCTCTGTTGATTGTAGCCGCCCGCAAGGGTAGGCTCTCACAGGGTTCCTGAACACAGCCGGATGGAGGTACAAGCTACTTTGATGTTTCTTGTACATGGCTTCTTTTGTTTTCTTTTTCTTTTTTCTGAAATTGGCAGTTTGGCTTGGTAGTAGCATAACGATGAAGCTCAAGTAGCGTAGACAATGATGAATAATGATCAATACTTGACCTTGTAGTTTATGCTTGCGATGACTACTTGTGAACCCGGTCCCAAAAGCTTGTGGCATGCACTGGAGGTTGAAGCATACAGCAGCGCCAGGTACTCCCAGTGTGTTAGCGCAGGTTACCCCAAATACATTCTGGGCACATTTTCAGTTTGAGTCTGCTAACGCGGGTTACCAATTAACAATCTCGATATTGTGACCAAATCAAACTTGCGATGGATGCATAGAAGCCCGATTCAAATGAGATAGCGAGATGCGTTATAGCTAGAAGCATACATCAACCTTTGTTCCTTCAGGCAGCTGAGGTGGATCAACACATGCCTCTAGGATACATTATCATTTAGTCCCACTTCATGACCGCTTCCTCAACAATCGGCCTGATGACCTTCCTGCCCGCACCACTCTTATGCGTCCACACCATCTGTCTCGGTGCCAGCTCATCCGCGCGATGCCATGGCTGGAAATCAATACCCTCCTCGTTGTTCTCCAACGCCTCCTTGACTGTCTTGAACAGAGAATCCGCTTGGTCCTGATCGATACGTACGTCGTCACGGACAGTCAGGACGACTTCGCGTATCTTCTCCTTCTCGCCGTCTTTGTAGTGTTTCTTATATTTGTTGAGTGTGATGGCGATGTCGACGCCGGCTTCAGCGGTCCAGGCGGCGTGGACGGCGAACCAGTCTGAGGGTGTGTTAGTTGAGTCGTGCATCAAGAGCTGCTGAAGGTGGATTTGGAGGACTTACCAAAGAGTTCTGCAAAGTCCGTCTTGAGAATCTGTTCATCCATCGAGTAAGGAACAGATGCGAAGCCAATGCTCACAGTAGGTGTACGCGGCGAAGGAGTATCAATAATATCGCCCTTCCAGTCCCGACGCAACAAATCGCGAAGACCGAGGTTATCAATGTCCTTTTGTGCGTCACTCAGCTCGTCGTCTAGGTCTTCCATTACGTCTTCTAGGCTGTCCTTTTTCCAGTTGCTGCGTGCAAGAACGCGCTTGGAAACTGCAATGTCGGTTTTGGTAGTCTTTTTACCAGTCAAGCCGCCAGAGTCGATAGCGATGGCGCTGAGAACTAACTCCAGGAGTTCATGCGGCATGTGGTATTCTTGGTCCAACTGCTCGAGCTCGTCGAGCATTTGGCGAGCTACAAGCGTGGTGCAACTTGCTACTACTTCAAAGACACGGGGTTCAGCGTCGGGAGCTGTACCGCGGTCTTTGTGGTGGTCGAAGATGCTGAGAATCTTTGCTTCGCTCCATTTGCGTAATGGGCTGCCATGGTCGACTAGGACGATGCCCTTGAGCTTCTTACCGAGAGTCTCGGGGTCTTCGGGCAGTTCGTCGAGCGTCAATAGATCCTCGTGGCCAGGCGTCATCTGCGAGTTGTCCAGAGCCAGTCTGTTCTCTGGCCTCAGATCCAGCGCATGCGACGGAGTCTGGAGAAGTGCAATTGCTTTAATGGGGTTCGACGTGTTTTGGGACGAATGCTCAAGATGGTATGCCCAAGTCAGCGCCGCCGTCATGGAATCCAAATCACCACCCTCATTGCCCTGTACAATCACCCATTCTGACTCCTTGCCGGCTTGCCAGTCGATCAGAAACTCCTTCTTTGTGGCGCGACTCCATTCGCTGAAGTGGCCCACTCCGAGTGTTTTGACAAGATGCTTGGACGCGTCGAGAACTGCTTGTTGGGGCGCGCTGCGCTGGGGCATTGCGACGACGACGCGGCTGGCTGCCAGGAAGGCCGGTACGAGGGCGCGAATGGCCTTCATCGTAAAGAAACAAGTGCGATGATAGTACTAAGATGAAGATTACTGTGTAAGACCAAAGTCACCATCTCTCAGGTACGGATGCGCCCAGGATCCACAGCTACGTCAACGTTGGCCCGGGCGTGGCCAGCTAGGTCTCGTTTCAGCCTTATGGGGAACGGCTGTTGAGTCCAGAAATATGGTCTTGAAAACCTGCCTGTAAGCGATTTTTGTTGAGTTCAATAAGGAGAGCATAAACGAATAAACGATAATGCAAATGAGGGTATCCACTGTTCCTATGCACAATCGAGATGCACGCGCATCGCGACTAGTCAAATGCCATGCTGCCGCTCTGCTGCAGAGACTGGTCGCAGCTGACAGCGACACGTTCATCGCACATGGTGTGGGTGTTGTACAACAAATTATTAATACAAGCTGCATGCGCAGAGGTCAGCAACCCCAGATATGTCTGCACTCCGCAAAGATTGGGATATGACGTAATGTTTCACGGTGCGATTTGCGGTCGTGGAATGAATTCACAGTCCGCACCACTCGGATCTTCGCACGAGCCGCAGTAGCCGAAGCACTACAAGACGGTTAGCTTTGAATCCGCGCGACCAGAAAGCTTGACTGTGTTTTCCAAGACCCCTCTCACGCCCTTATTCCTGAAAATCGTTATCATCGCCGTGCCAACGCGACTCTTTCCTATCATAGCGCGCGTCTAACCCTTTTGCTTATGACGGATTGCGGAGACGCTGCTGACTGAACCATGAACTAAAGCCACGCCGGTCGCGGCCGGAATGCTGCACGCTTAGGAAGACACTACTTTTACCCCAACGCCTCAACGCTCACCCAAACTGATCCTTTTCCTGGGGTTCTCTCGTCGCAATCGCTGCCACGATGGATCAAGGACAAGGCGAGCAGGGACGTCCTTTGGCGTCGTCGTCGACTTCGACCACTACCACCTCTGGTCCACACACAACAACCACAACAACCTCGACCACGCCTGGCCACGGCGTGACCGTGCAACATTTCGGGCCACAGTCCACCACAATCACACACCCTACCGTCACCACCATGACCCGCACACCGTCCGCCCAGCCCTCCATGTCTGACCTATACGCGCCTCCCTCAAATCCTGCCCAGCGCGTGCGCAGTTCGTCAATCCGCATACGAAGACCTTCGCACCAGCCAAGCCTGAATACTCCTCAAGCTACGCCCGATCCTGTCGCTGCGCCAGAGCCAATATCAGAGTCCGACAACACATGGCAGACTGGTCGAAGACGAAGTAGCTCTGAACCGCGCCCACCCCCACAGGCTATGTTCGCCGACGATAGTCTACGACGCCAATTAACAGGTCCACACCTACAACCTCTTTACGAGGATGGCGCAAATCCCTCTACCGGCAACGGACCGCCGCCTTCTCGAGGCCCTAGCAACGCGCGGAGAGGATTAACTCGTCAATCCTCCGCATTCCACATGAGGCGGAGTCAGAAAGACCCCAACCAGAACATGATGGGCCACAACCTTGTTGACGTGCTTGATGTCATTGGTTAGTACACTCCAACATACTCCACGTTGATCGCGAGCTAACAAGACTTCAGATCCCGAAGTGTCTGCCCTTACTACCCTGAATAACGTTCAGAACTCGCTCTTCCTACCCAATTTGCCATGGCTCTACAACCGCCAGCCTACATACGATCTTGGACAGACTACGTCGGACTCGTCGGATGAAGAGATGGGTACAGCCAGGGGTGCCGGACGCGAGGAAGACCAACTCCCCGAGATGACACAACAAGGCGAAGTAGAGCAAGCAGCGCGCGGAGGCCGCGGAACGTTGCAAAGAAACAACACAATCGACTCGAATCTTTCAACTCTGGAAGAGGGCGAGGGCCATCACTACGCTGTGCTGCCACACGGTGCTTCCTTGACAGGCTGGACTGACGAGGAGAAGGCAGCTTTGGACGATCACGTCCGACACCTTCTCCACTCCAGGCGCGCAAGATTCAAGCGGACTATGAAGGGTTTCGGACGTTATGTCCGCAATCCCCTTGGCTTTCTCGTCACCCTATACTTCTTCCTTATTACCTTCTGGGGAGCGGCATGGGTGCTGTTCCTCATCGGCTGGATTTACGTGGGTGACCGACAGGCCTACTTCGTCGAGATTGCCGACCAGGTCCTGACAGCCTTGTTCTGTGTCGTTGGAATCACCATGTTCCCCTTCCGTATCGTCGACACCTACCACATGATTTGGGTTGCCAAATATGCACACAAGACCTGGGAAGTACGTAAGAAACGAGGACTACAGGACTTGAAAGACCACAACGAGCTACCAACCATGCCCCGATCAAACGCGTGGGAAACAGGCGAGGCAGAACAAGAAGGCGTTGAAGCCCCTGTCCTCACCGCCGAAGAGCAAAAAAGGCTCGAATATCATCAAGCCAAGCTCGAGAAGTCACATACCTTCTACCGTCCCCACGAAACGTATACACACCACGCCTTCTCCATCCGCCTCCTCATCGCCATCATCGTCCTTCTTGATTTCCACTCCATGTTCCAATGCGCACTTGGTGGTACAACCTGGGGAATTTACTACAAAGATCGTCCCAAGGAAGTCACCGCCATCATCCTGAGTTTCAGTCTTACCTGCAACATCACCGCTGGTATCATCATCGGCCGCGGCGATAAGCGCAGTCGCAAGAAGCTTGTCGTGGAACAAATCCTCCGCCAGGAAATGACGGAAGAAGCGCTCAAGAAACTACGAAAGGAGAGAGGTATCAAGGCCAAAGGACTCATGACGAAGAAGCAGAAAAAAGAGGTCAAGAAAGAATTGGTTGGTCCAAAGAAAAATCCGTTGGACACGATTTTGCATCGCGGATAGCATACTTACTTCTCTTTTCTTATTAAGTTGACGATGAAGATGACGGATAGATTGCATACTTTTTTTTAATTCTATACCCTTTTGGCGGTTTGCGAACGCCTTTTGTTCTTCGCAACGAATTTGCTCAATGGACCGCTGCTGTCGTATCTCAATTCTTCTGCACTATCCGCCCTTGTCGTTGCAGTGCTATTCATCCTGACTTGTCTAAAAGTACAATCGTGCTTGGACGCCACACAGGAAACCCTTTAGGTTTTGTTGAGTCCAAGCGACACGACCCTTGAAGCACACAAATACCCAGATTACCGACTGTTACCAACCTTCAGCAGACGCATACGAAACGCTCCACCAACCCTCGTACTATACAAACGTCCTTCCAGTTCTAGTTTCCATAGAGCGCAACTATCGCGGGCTATTGGCTGTCACACCCAGACACTTCTTCGGCACATCTTACCGAGCACTAACTCAGATGACTTAGTGCTGGATCCGATTCCAAGCCTAGAACTCATTGGCAATTTGACGTGCCGCTTTCCCCCCACCCACATTCGGATCCGATTAACTGACGATCACCACGTGTCCGACCTCGTGACGAAGTCTCAAGAAAACGCCACGATCTCATTTAGCGTCAAATGGCTGTGCAAGAAAGAATGCAAACGCGAGTCAGCCTTGAGAATGAGTTGCGAAGATCATAGAGTGCGAGTCAACAAAAGCCGTAGTAAAGCAACAAACTCTTCGTCGTTCACACTCCACCTACATATAACAGTTTCACTAGTTGTTCGGACACATAGAGCCGCTTGCCACGCTACACGGTAAGATGCGGCCAAAAGATATTCGGCGCGATAGCACTGGCAAGTTCCAGCAATCGGCGTGCCCAGGTGTGGTGTGTGTGGTGTGTCGTGACCCGAGGATTTGGAATTTTAATATCGCAAGAAAAGATCACCAAAGTCCAAGTTTGGGTGGTTTGACATGCAACCTGCAGCGACGATCCATGTTTAGAAGTTTGTGCCCCTCTTCACTAAAGCTATTAATGCATGTCGAAGAAACATGGCGCAGACATATGCCCACGTGTAGAGCGATAAGGGCCCAAAGTCCTGGGTACACGAACTGTTTTCGGACTGGAAACCGATCAACCGCTCGAGATGACGAAAACAACCATACGCCTGCCATCATGGTGGAATAATCCACTTCTGTTCTTGAGATGAGAAACCTGCGTCTCACCAACTGAAACATGGCATGTACTTTTTTTTCCCCTAACCTTGTTCCAAGAAGCCTTTCTGAGCCTATTCACTCCTTAGATATAAACCGCCTGATGAAACGCCGCCCTACGCCCTAGTAGGTAAGTGAAAGAAAGACCCACGATGAGTGGCGAATATGTCGATGATGTCGCGTAGGATCGGTATCATAATACATCTCGATACTGAAGGAATCGTAAAACACAGTCGGTAGATGATTGAAAAGGTTGTTGATGGGCTCATCTAGTCCTAGGCGGAAAACCCTTTCCCGTCCCTAGGTGTAAAAGCAGAAAAACAACGCTTGCTGAATGTCTCTCGATGTAACACAGAATAAAAAGGACATGATGGAGTCTTGATCGTCGAGAACCATATCAGCTGTATTGCCCATACGAGCCGGTAGCGACGTGGAGAAGGGTTGCTTCAACGATGCGAATGCTCATAAGGCCGCATACCGCCAAACTCGACACCCTGCATCGCACTCGACATTGCACCCGCATGTGGTGGTGGTGCCCACTGAGCCTGTGATGGTGGTGGTGGTGGTTGCGGGAGCCCCTGTTGTTGCTGTTGCTGTTGTAGAGGTGGAAGCACATTGTTACCGGGTGCAGGAGCTGTGGGTAGTCCTTGCGCAAACTGGCCAGTCATGCTTCCGTAAACATGGGTGTTGGAAGGATCTGCGCGACGAAGAGCGTTCCAGACGGCATTCAGTTCCGCCCGTAGCAATTCGTTCTCTTCTTGGGCTCTTCGATAGTACTCAGCTTCGGGTCTCAAACGGAGAAGCTCCTCACGAGCGGTTTGGTGTGCGCGAGTCAGGTTTTGGACGTATTCAATGGCTAGAGGGCACGTCAGACAAAAATGCGCAATAGTTTGACTCTCGAGTTACCTTTAGTGAGAATCTCCCATTTGCTTGACTTGCTGCCTGGGCTGTTGGGTAGAATTCCATTGAGGTCGTCGAATAAGGTTTTCATCTCACTCCTTCGCTTCCTTTCAGCCATCTTGTGACTGACCCGAAGCTCGGGAGTCCTGCTGTAGCTTCCGCTTCCGGGAGCGAGTGGGTTGGTAGGGTCAATAGCTTGTAGGCTCGTGACACTGCGATGTTGCATGGAGTGATGATGGGTACTAGGGACGTCTATGCTAATTAGTACGGCTGATGTAAAATAAGGGTGGGAATGCGTGCCATCATCCAGTCGTTGTTGACCAGGTGGTAGCTTAGAATCTGTGGTGTAGATGCTACTGTTGATCGATGTCGCAAAGCTACCTTGACGCGAGGGGACGTTTGAGCGGTCTACGCTAGACTCACCGCTGCTTGATGTCCTCTTCTCTTCATGATCAAAGTCGTCTGCCGGAAAGGCCCAAGCAAAACCCTTAGTCGGGGCCGCTGCCATAGGATCGGGCATACCAGACACGCTCCTAGGGTTGGGATTGATGACTGGAGCACGTCGTGGGGGATTGCTAGCACGTGGACCGGCTCGGTGGGGTGATAAAGGAGAAGTGCCATTAGGTCGCGTGACTGGATTTGTGATTCCGCGTTGTTGCTGGAGGTCCTGGACAAGCGAAGCTCGAGACGCGTTCTGGCTGTCGTACGGTGACTGTGGGTGGTGAATTGTGAGATGACCCATGCCAACATTCACCCGACTGTCGACACTGCTGCGTCGGGAGTCGAATTGAGAGGAGCCGGCATCAATACTTTGTCGACTGTTGTCATATGGTTGGGAGAGCGAAGGTAGACCACCATGCTGCCTTTACATTAGACGAGTTCGGGGACAGTAACCAAGTCACGTACCTGGGATGGCTGAGAGTAGCCAGAGGGATACCGAGCCGATGACGGCGTCTCTGGTACGGAATTGCGTGATGTTGAATCATCAGAAGGGTTGAGTAGTGTTTGCAACTGTAAGCCCATGTGCTGAGACACGTTGGATGAATCTAGAATGTGTATTAACAACGTGTAGTTGACAGATATCGTGTATACTCACGTTTGCTTGGGGCGATAGACCAGTGACCCGAATCTCGAACTTCACCTGCTTCTGTGTGCTGCCTAGGCTGTGCTGGGCTGTGTTCAGACGCGGGGAGACGGTTGGTGAGTTGTGATAAAGGCGGCAGGGACTGCTGGCCTTGGATGGCGTTGCTTTGCGGCATATTGCTATGCGGAAGTGGACGTTGAGAGACAGAGTCCATGGCTGTGGAGGAGCACGGGAGGAGCACGAGGCACCTTTTATACGATAGTAGTGCGTGCCCGGCTCTCGTGGTAGGGAGACAAAGATTGAGCTCGTGGTGGTAATAACTCGAATCGCTAAGAAAGCGGAGCCAGTAAGGCAGTGAGGAACACCGTTCAGCAAAAAAAACTGGGTCAGACCACTCTGCAAGGTCGAGAAGATGGGGCCAGGTGGAAAGATGGAGAAGTAGAAGTAATAGAGGACCGGATTCCGGGGATTAGATAAGCTGTGACGTGGAATGGAAGTGGATTGCAGGGTGGTTGAAGAGGTAATTCTGAGCGAGGCCGCACGAGATATGGTTCGCTCCTCCCTGAAGTAAGGATGGCAAGTTGGGTGAAGTGGGGCACGACGAAGGGACGCCAAGACCGGTCCAACTCGAATGGAAAGCGCAGGGCAGCGACGCACGCCAATTACCGCGAGAGAGACAGAGAGGCGACAGCGATGGCTGTGATTTCCAGATATGCCGGTCGTGGAGGATGCCCAGTTCACTTGTTCTGACGACTAGCAGTCGTTCAGGGTACGAGTCGAGACAAAAGCAAGCAGTGCTCCCCGTGCAAATCTACCACGAGAGTCGATGCTAAAAAAGACGTGGCTGCAGTGCTCTCCCCGGTCGGCGGTTGCTGCGACAGGGACAACAAATTGGTGCTTTTCCCTGAACCAGTGGGCACAGCGTCCAGAGGGCGGGATCTGGAGTTGACACGATGATGGCGCCCCAAGAGGCGAGTACACGACGCAGGCGTCGAGCGAGGTGTGCTGGTTGCCGCTGCAAGAGAATTGGCCTGGTCAGGACGGCTGTGGTGCGCAGTGGGTGGATGTCGTACAGGGCGAGTGGTGAGGTCAACGCAAGACACTCACAGTGCTGCGCGCGTGGGGAAGAAGAGCAGCGCAGTCAGCAGACTACCAGGTCGAGTACATGTCCTGGGACAAGGATGGCAGCAAGGTGCACAACAAAGCAGCGGGCAGCCGGCGGTCTAGCCGTAAGTACGACGTTCGGAAGGGACCTTTTGAAAGTGGAGGAGGTGCGGCGCAACAGAAAGCTAAAGGCGACGGTTGAGTCTTGACGAGTTGCAAGGGCAGCAAGGGAGCCAGCCAATTAATGGGTATGTTGGTGCCCAGAGGTGAGCCGACCGCACGTGGGAAATCGTTCAATCGAGGCCTCGTGTATCTTAAGCAGCCCGTCTAGCGGCGGCTAGCTGCACTTAATATGGGCTCCCTGCCTCCGCGCGCGAACTGGTGCGCTTGTCATATGGCGGTGCCGATGACAGCAATCCCGCTCTGCCCACGGCCATCGAGTGGGCAGGGCAGTCTCGTCGGCTATGGCAGAGTTTGTCGTTCCGCACTTGCGTGCAGAGCAGATGCATGCATATACATACCGAATCCTGGGCGCAATAGACACGGGATGCGAGCATGGCAGGGCCTTGTAGTTTGTCGTCACTTTAGCCAAACCCGTGTTGCTATCCCGCCGCCCGCTGTACCGCCACGAGGTCCGCTAGCTCTCCACGCCTGCTACCCAACCGGCCAAAGCGCCGAGAAAAAGCAAATTCTGCGACGCTGTCCTCCAGCGCCGATCCTCACACATGGCCGCCTGCAGCGCGCATCCTTCTGCAGCCTGCATTCGCTGCCGACATGCAGTAGTCGGCCCAAGGCCACTAGCCCGTGCCCATGCCAAACAAACATGGCCATACTTGGCCGGCTAGCGCTTTCTCATACCACGGTACAGCTCTGGAGAACGATTGAAGAACATGTTCACACACAATCGCTTCTCCGGGGACGCCGCCACTGCTGCCTTTCGTCTTGCTCCGATGCACGCACTGAACTAAACAAGTCTCTGCAGGGCACGGCGCTCCCGAACCCTGCTTCCCGCATGTAAATCAACCCGCTCCATTAACTTTTAACCATTCCTCCTAGCCCGACTTCTGCCAGAACTCCTGCAGCCCACAGCCTCTTTTGCCTGCCGATAAGCCTACCAATAATCCTTCTGCGGTTGCAAGAGGTGATACAGGTGCTGCGCCCACTTTGTATCTTCGGTAACACGTCCACCCCTTGTCACTGTCCACAGTTCTCGGTAGTTCTGTGGTCGACATGGCAGATGGTTGTGACCGTTGCATTGCTGCTCGGAACATGCAATGCACCTGATGCTTGAATCCTTGGGAGCCGCATCCATCTATAATCTATAAAGTGACACGAGACGCCATGTGAGCATCGACATTGAACCGTTCTTGAGCAACCAAGCTGGGTACAACGATGTTCTCCGCTCTCTAAAACCATACATCGCATGCTGTATCGACCTTAGAGTTCTGAACCGCACATCGGCTCAGCTTGCTAGAGTCATGACAACAACGACCAACAAGGCCCACGGCTTCCCTATCGCATACTAGGATGCGAGCGTGTGAGACAGAGGACCATCCCTATATGGTCATCTGGATACACAAAAGGACTAACCTCCTTAACTCCATCTGCCTTGACCAAACATGACCATCGGACCTGGACTATGGCCGGCAACCGCTGCCGACATATGCCCATTATTACGCAATTTTTGGATCAGTATCACTCGTTCGGTCCAAGCCGACCAAGCTACTCTTAGTACTCTACACCACATGGCGGTGTCGCCTCCTCGCACTGTACTCGACCTGATTGTGCTACCACACGCAGACCCGACGACCAGGTTTACAAACCTAACGGTCTTGTGTCAGGTGCCAGTACATGTTTTGTACTCTAGTACTCCGGTTGAGCAACAATGGCCAAAGAGTCGACTCTGGGTTCCATAAGAGTGCCATGGTCAAGCGAACCGCTGTCGAAGATGGAACGACTGTCGCATCAATCACGTTCACACCCATGGACCCCCACATGCTCAATAGCATGATTATTCAACTGATCTCATAGGTTCACTCTGCATCGAAGATCTTGCAGGCTAGCTGCGGTCACAGCATTACTAGGCTGTAGGAAATAAGGTTCACTATGCTGCTGTGCCTGCAGGATGTATGGCAACGCTCTATGCACGAGGCTAGCGCAATCGGGCTCTAGATCTTTGCGAGTATGGATCGGAGCAGGAACAAACGATCGCCGTATTGCGAATGACATTTTTGAACCCGGTCATTCTGTATGTCTCTCTTGTCATCCGATCTAAGCCACAGACCGACTTGCATCATCGGACACGCATGTATGTCAGTTGCACAGACGCAGCACGTTATCAGCATGTCAAATCTGTTCAAGATACAGGTCTGAAGGACGTATGCTGTACGCGGACGCGTCAACTTGCCAGCAGCTAGTATCCGTTCATAGGTGGAACTGTTGGGGCGCTGACCGTGACACACATGCAAGACTACCCCAGGTAGGTCGTTACGCGCTGAAAGTCTATCGGCAAACAAGACCAGTCGGTAGAGCTCCCGCGTGCGTGTTCCCTGCAGTACATCAGTATACGGATATTGCAGTGACATTCCCCGAAGATCTGAGCCTTAGTGACATCTCGGATGCAAGGCCCCTGAAGTCGAGCCGCACAACGGCAGACCCGTACCTGAAGGCAATATACCTGTAATTGACAGAAGCGAGCGGCGCTGCAACGGTTACCTCTGGATTGCAGTAACACACAAGGTCATCTCGGTTATGATTACCAAGAGAGTATGGTTGTTGAACGGAGTCTTACCTCGATGCGGTGCAACTACCAATGAAAGCATATCACCTCGGCACCAACCGAACACTCAGCAATGTTTGTCAACTCGTCGGTTGGAGTGCGTCTGAGCAGCAGAAAGCTACAGCAATCATGATTACCTTGTGATGCAAGTATGATAGGTATGTATTGCGAAGGTTCCGCATTGCACCCAAGGTACCTGTAGGTGCCAGATATCGCGATTTGCTTGCGACCCGAGTACGTGGATACGCTACGAAGATGACGGTCATTACAGACAGGAATCGGCCCGTTCATCCATGGTAGGTGTCAAGCGCCTGCCTGATCCAGTGTTGCTAGTTCCGCGGCGGCTTTGCCACGACAGGGATAGGCCGATGGGCTCGGGGGGAAGCGATTATCACGTGAAGATCGTCATGGTGGTGCTGCGGGGCAAAGCTTGGTTCGCAACACGAAAAGGACGCGTCAATTACAGTAAGAGTATGTACCATGGCCGCCACTTCCACATCCGGGTTTGTTGACCCTCCTGTTGGTACTGAACAGATTGAGCGTGAAGATGCGGTGTCATCTCATGTTTTTCCCTTTCTCAGACTTCCGCGAGAGCTCCGTGACCAAGTCTGTATTTCCGCCACCCTATTGGAGCCTAGTCTGATTGCGATATAGATATACGACTACACATTCGCAGCGCAAGAGCTCAGTATAGATAGGGCCATTGAGCGCCGTCACTTAAAATACTTCAAGCCCAGCGCTGCTGCCATACTTCTTGTGACTCGCCATAATTACTTCCTTCTCAACCGTCAAGTCGCCCGCGAAGCGCTCGAAATTCTTTTCAAAAACCATACCGTCTACCTCAGCTGCGGACCTTTTGTTCTCAAAGCGCTGTTAGAGAAGATTGAAGAGCCCAACGGACCTGGCAGACAATGGCTGAAATGGCTCAAGAAGATAGAGTTGGATTGGCTAACGCTACCCAACCTGCAACATTACCCACCAGATAGAGAAGAAGGAAGGGACGTGTGGTACTGGGAGCACGATCAAGTAGAGGTTGATGTCGACTACGTACGAGGTGCCTACTATAGCGGCCACTACGACGAGTACGACCACGAAGGCAAATCTTACGATGACAACTTCTACGACGCTTCAAACTCGTCACTATACCCATCCTTTCGCCAGCCAGCCACGACACAGTCCTCGAACGCGAACGACCCCTTCGGTTTCGCAGGCCACTACCCGTTTGCCGACCCAACCCGCGACCCCGTCCGCGAAGCCTCCGCAGCGGACATAGCCACGAAACTAGATCTCCTTGTCTCAATGGAAGTCACACCACTCTTCACATACCTCGCTTCACCCACCTTCAACCTGGACAGCATAACACTGCCTTTAAGGTTTATATCCCGCGGTTCGCACCAAAGCCGCAGCGTCTCGCGGCCAGGTTTCGCTCTACCCCTCAAGATCAGGTACTGGGTCCAAGTCTGCGTGCACGCTCTTCTGATGCTCGCTTCTTCACATACCGAGGGTACATCGACGTCAACGCCGCTCCAGGAGGTACGCGTCAAGTACGCGCCCGTGGATATCTGGGCGTCCATGGAACCGACTGACGACTTGCGCCGTATTGTGGACGCTGGGGTCTGGTTCGATAGCCCAGAGGAGGGACAGGAGGTTGAGCGAGAAGGAGAAGGTGAGGCATTCCGTGCTGTGTGGGAAGGTATGCGAGCGAGGACGACACATGAAGAACGCAAGAAGTTGGGGAGGAGGTGGGGGTTGAAAGCGGACATTACGTTTCTTCCTTGGGATGGAGATATGGATAGTGGGAGGGTGGGGGATGAACTTGAGATTGTTTTTTCTAGGGATGAGCATGTTGCGATGGCGGGGTGATAGAAGACATTGGCTTTGAAACAATTGTATATCAATGAATCCCACAAAGTATGCTATTCAAGCAAGAAGAACAGGTATCATAACTCAGTAAACAAACTTTGGTGTTACATGATCACCACACTCTGACATCTAGTGCACCATGTCAATGTCTATCCTACCAAGTCCCATACTAGAACCCATATTCCGTCACATAGACGTTGAAAGAACATAGACTAGACATCGACAAAAGGAGACTGGTGCGTACATAATGGCATCCACGACACGATGATAATCTTCTACGCCACTCTGGCGCCGACACCTATCTTCAAAACCTCAGCAGTCGCTCATCCGCAGGTACCAAAAACGAAAGCCGTGGGTTCGTAGGCTGAGACGCAACCTAAAAGTCCCAGAAGCTCTTGTCCGCGCCCTTGCGTCCACCCATACCATCGCCCTCGGTCTTGATGGCAGTTCCCCTCGCGCTCCTGCTGAATCCACCACCATTCTCCTTCTTCGCCGGTTCAGGGCTCTCCTCGAAGAGAGACCACTCAGTGCCCTTGCGTCCACCCATGCCATTACCAGCAATGTTTATGCCGCGACCATCGGGTGAGTCGGCGTCAACGCCCCAGTGTGTCTTCATAGAACTACGGGTCTGGTTCTTATTCTTCGTGATGTCCGAAAGGGCGCGCGCATCGGCCGGGTCGACGTCGTTATCTGTGACGTTGTCGGAGTAGAGGCCCTGGCCTTTGTTGCTGCGTCCGCCTTTGGTGGGTGCAGGGCCGCGTTGAGCTTCGGGAGTGCCGTTATCGTCAAAGTCGAAGTGCGCGTCTTGGTCGGGGCGGGCCTTGTGGACGATGGGTCGACGAACAGGGGAGGTATCCTGAGGTGACATTGACGTTAGTATATGTTTCAGAAGTATATCAGAGACTTGGATGCAACCTGTGTCTCTGGCTGATAGAAAGCACCAACCTCGTCGTCGCTCCAGCCAAAGTGTCGAACCGCGCTGGGTAGCGTCTTGGGCTTCGACTTGTCCGGGGTGGCGAAGTCGTCGAAGTCCCAATGCGCGTCGTTCCTGTTGCGGTTCTGGTCGTGCTTGGACGGTCGTGAAGTGTCTCGTACCTTTGGCGTCTCTTCGCCTTCCCCGAAAGTGAAGTGGTCGTACTTCTTAGAGCTGGTCTTGATGCTCATAGGGGCGACTGGGTGCTCTTCCTCACCCTCCTCGAACAACCGGTTCGCCTTGTAGTGCTTTCCGCTGCCAGCCTTGGCTGGGATCCTCTGGGGTGACGGTGAAGGAGATCCAGCATCCGCGCCAGCGAACAGCTCGGAGTACTCGCGTGGAGGAGGCTTCGCAGACTGCGCGCGCGGTGCTGACGGACCAGAGCTGCGAGACTCTTCTTCGTCCACCTCGCGGGGCGCGAAGAGGGCAAGCGATGCATGCGGGTCGTTCATGGCATTGTTTGTTGATCTCCTTGAACGATCGCTAATGGAAACCTCATCTACGCCACGAGAGGCCGACGTTGATGGGCGCGACGAAGCGCTTGACTCTGGCTGTGCAGCTGCCGCGTTCGATGCAATCAAGCGAATCTGCTCGCTGCTGTCGCGGATAGGCCAGTTGCGAGAGCGCGCGCCAATGACGTCGATTTGCTTCAGGAGAGAGCCCTGGTCCCAGTACTGTCGGATCTGTGTGATCTTTCCTGACCTGTCAAAATGGACCATGTGGACCTGTCACCGTCAGTGAACGTGTGGAGAAATGGTTGGAAGGGTCACATACCATTGGGAACGTCACTGTGCGGTCTGTGACGAAGTTGTCGTCAAGGCCTGGCAGGTATGCGCCGCCGCCGTTGGTGAACTCAATCGTCGTCTCCATATCGACACTCAGGCCATTGCTGCTCTCAATCACATTCAGCACCTTCTCTTTGGTCTTTTTCAGCAGCTTCTCCTGAACAGACAAGTGCTTGATGATGGCGGTCGCGTCGTTGATGCTGGTCGTAGTTGTGACATAGTGAAGAGAGGCATTGTCCGCCAGCGCGCCCGAGGAAGGCGTCGCCAGGAACCTGGTGTACGTGTCGCGGAGCGTCATGACGCCGTATATACTAGCTATCTAGCTAATTGCTGTTGCGCGTATAGATACTGGGGCGAGTGTTGTAGCGGATCAAGTGGGGTGTGATGGTTTGTGGTGATACAAATGTTGTGTGTAAACAAATGCTGCCGGACGCGCGTAAGATTATGTAGCAAGGCGGTGGGGAAGGCGAAAGGGGAACCACAACATTGAGGGCAACAGGCTCCCATATGGCCCGCAAGAGCCCCCGGTCTTCAATCGCAAGGTGTTGTTTATGCAGGGGTCCCGCGACAAGCCCCACCTGGGTCAGCCACCTGGACGGTGCCGGACTGCGGAGATCAACGCGGAGAACAATGTCATGCAGCTAACGGCGTCGCGGTGGAGATCTGGTTTGTTGTCATATTCCATCTTCGTTTATTGACTCGCTGTTGAAACGATAAAATCGTGGACATCGGAAGTCTGCCCATGTTTGCTTCTCCGTATCGCCAATCACTGGCGTGTTTCAGATGGCTTCTTCATTTGCCGTCAAAACCTGGACGCCTACAATTTCTACTTACAGACACAGAACACAAAGTCACGGCTTATGTATACAGCAACCACATTCACTGACGACGGTCAGCAGTCCTTCGGCTCCCCTCGCTATCTCTGCCTGTAATCATGCCGTCATTGCTTGCTTTTCCCCTATGAATCATGAACTCTACATGTTTTTTCTCTGCGAGGTGAAAAGAGCAGGGACAAGCGAAATGTGAACTCGGTGAGCTGTGTAACGCGGCTAGAAGTCAGGTGGGGTATAATGACTCGTTGGAAAATCAAGTGCGGAACAACTGCAGTGTTGCTTGTAGCAGTGCTACTGAGGCAGCCGGAAGACGACTTGGAAATCGACAGCGAGAGTTGCCTCGATACACTCTACGAGCTCTTACAAAGCAGATTCAGAGCCACGTAGGCGTCTCGCAACCACGATGTATACCGTCAAGACCGCTGTACGTTCCGCGGTAGTTGGCTGCTGCTATACAAGGCCATCGAAACATGCCCCTCGACTGTTACTGTCATTCTGAAGCTGAATTCTTCCCGTCACGCTCAGATTACAGACTCTTCGATACTTTCCATTTTGGCCATAAGACGCAAATTCACCCGAATTTTGTTCATACTATCCTATGCAGCGGTCGGATACTATCTCCGAATGGGTGGAATATGACCTTCTGGACTTACTCTGCAAAGTGTCAACCACCTTCACTTGTTCATCGGTATTCAAGGGATCTGGCTATCACGAAAACCGAGAAGATTATATCATGTGAACTGTTTCTACTTGATGAATTCGAGACATATTGCATAGAGTAGCGACACAGTCTGAGCTTTGTGCAATTCACATCAGGTTGGATTAGTCTGCCTTCACTCCTGTTCAAAGGCTAAGCCTCACTACATAAAAATAATAGGCGACTTACCGAAACCCGGACCTTCCGCAGATTAGCACCGAAGAGATGCAAACAGACGCTCTACCACTGAGCCACACGCCCCAGAAGTCGCGGTCCAAGAAAGATGGCTTAGTAAGATTACTTGCTAACATAGTTCAGTGCAAGACAAAACAGTACCACTTCACCTCTCCTCTGTCTTCCGATAGAAGTGCACGACAAGGTCTTGAAGTACACAGTTTACAGGAAAAGGGATTTCACGTGTAGTGCGATTTGATGCGCCAAATAGGTATTAAGCTTCAGTTTCTGCCACATGGCCTACGGGAACGTAAAGAACCCAACCACTCAGAGCCTGTTAAGCTTCATTCCTGTAATGCGATGCCTGGTTGAACGCACTTTCAATCTCCCCTCACAGAGCAGATGTCGAGTCAAACTTGAATTTAGGTTCTACTATTGGTTGCTGCCTAGGTAGCAGAACACATATTAGTAAAAAAAAACCTTTCCAGTTTAGTAGAAAATAAGATTGGAAAACAACTTACATCCATACACAGTGTAAAGCTTCCCATACCAGTTGTACGACCCATAATGATTACCAAGGCCAGAGCCTTCAGGACGACACTAGTTCAGGATATTCTCGAATGCGTCCCAGCATCTCTGCTGATCGAATCCTCCAGGCCAAGTGAGTCTGCCTCCACCTTCAGCTTTGAGCGATCCATCATTCTTGTATAAAGCGTCACCGCAAACGTGTTGACGGGCAGCATAGAGCTGATAGCGGGATGAGGCGCGAGTGACACCACAGAGACCGTAGGCGCCGCAATCAGCGGCCGAGACCACAGCTCCAGAGAGCATTACGCCCAAGACGATGATAGAATTGAAGTGCATATCTGTGGTATTTGGGAGATTGAGGTGAGGAAGTGAAAGTCTTTGAATGGAGAGTGTCTTTTGTGACGAGGATAACTTTCAGTGGTTAAAAACCCGGAGGAATGTTCTGCTTGCCCTTGTTGTCGAACTCGACAGGGACAAACGTCTGATCCACAAGTTAGCATTGTGCATAGAGCTATGATGCATGGCACTGTAAAGAGAGTACTTACTCACTCCCCCACTGCTGTCTTCTTCTTCTTCTCTTTCTCCTTCTCCTTCTTGTCTTTCTTGTCCTTCTTCTTCTTGGGCGGCTCGGCGCCCGCCGCCTCTTTCTTCGCAGGCCGCTTGGAGGGCACGGTGGCCTCAGCCTCAACGGGCTCGAGCGGCGGAATCTGGGGCCAGAGTGCGGCAAACTCGTCTACACTGCGTTAGCCTACATCTACATCTGGATGTCGTTTCTGGATGTATAGGTATCGGAGATAACAGATGATCAGGATTGATGTTTGAGTTTTCGTTCTGGTCAACTCTCATGGATGGAATTTACCTTCGTCTCCCGCTGGGGCCGAAAAGGCCATCTTCAAGAACATCGGCAGGTGTTGGATCTTGAGACCGGAATTACCCAAGATGTCTTCCAAATGATTGATGATAGCTTTGCCATCTGTACAATCGTCGACGACAGCCTTATTGCAGAAGCACTCCACCACGATAGACTTCAAGCCTGGAAGGAGTTGTAGGAAATCATACGAGAACTGATAGTCGCCAACTTGAATCCGCTGTATGGCGGCTTTCTGCTCGGGAAGTAGCATCATGAGCCATGCCGTAAGATAGGCTGTGTTGACCAACGTGAAGGTATTAACGGTGTAAGCAAGCAACCGAGTTTCTGCGTGTACTTGTCTGCAAACTCGACTCATGCCCTGTACAGGCCATTCTGTGGGGTACCGGCGGCTAACGAGGTGAACGCTAACTAATGTTTCTGCATGTACAGCGTAAGACCATATCAGGTTTCGTATTTCTGGGGGCAGGCGTAAAAGCGCCGACTCCTCTGCATTGCGCTGGGATCTGGTAGATTCTTAGTCATGCTCTAACATGATAAAATAATGGAATCGCACTCACATCCTGAGATAGTGCTGGTTCGGTGTCGACATGACGCGTAAGTAGTGCCTGGTCGAGCTTCTTTTCGTAGGATCAGAGAAGCGTTCTGGTAAAGTATGGAGGAATTGCTTATGGCGAATATGTGGCGTGAGATAGGTGGAAGAGCAGAGCAATCATCCGTTAAGTGAGAGAGAGAGAGGCAGTTGTTAGCGGGAGCACGGACGCTACAAGATGAGGGAAAAGCGACGAAGTCAGTAGGTGAAAGGGTATATTGGAGTGATACGAGACGCTCAACCGTGTGGAAAGACGGCTTGTCCAGTTTTTGGACATACTCACGCTGGATAGAAAAGAAATGTACTCATACAAGCATACTCATCAATGGGTGCGCATCACCTAGTCGTCCGAGCCATCCTCTGGGAGCTCCCTCAGTACATCCTCGACAATGTCAATCAGCTCGTCAACATCCGGCCGCTCATTGGGCTCCAGCCTCAAACACTTCCTCACCACCTCTTTCACACTATCTGTGATCGCATCCTCAGGGTTGGCCTTTTGCTTGCCCCTCTGCATACCCTCATCTGGGAACCTCCAGTCACCGCCCAAAACACATATGCTCAGACTACCACCCGTCTCGTCTGACCTAGCCTCGAAGGGGCTCTTGCCGACTAAGCATGCGTAAAGTGTGCAACCGAGCGACCAAATGTCGACTTTGGTGTCGATGACTGAGCCGGTCTTAACGTCAAAGAGTTCAGGGGCGCGGTATGGCATGGTCGAGTGTTCGGCGGCGGTATCTTGGATTTGTAGGGCAAGAGAGCGTGAGGTTACGGGTGTTGGTGATGGCGCGAGGGAGCCGAGATCCATCAGGATGGGTGTCTTGCCGTCGTCGTCTATCATTATGTTGCCTGCGCATGTTAGTCCCACAATACATCATCGTATGAGGTGTGCGAATTGCATACCAGGCTTGATGTCCCTATGCGCGTATGCCCTCTCTCCGCCAGGCGCAATGCCTTCATGCGCCGCTGTAACTTCCGACTCTTCTAGCAGTCCTTCTGCCTCTTGTTCGTCGTCTTCCTCATGATCGCGGTTTCTCCTGCTTGGGCGCATTTCCATGCTCTCTGCAGCTTCCGCGTCTGCTCTCTTTGCATCTCTCCTGACTTTCTTGGCCTTGCCCTCACTTCGCGCGCCGCCAGGTCCACCTTTAATCTTGTACTGATGCATTGCCTTTAGCGCTTTGCAGACGCCTAAGAACAGCACCATGAGTCTCCGCTCAGGGAACTTTGTGTGATTGACCAGGTTCGCGTTGATCATATCTTGTAGATTACCTCGACGGTAGTATGGGAGAAGGATGTACACAGTCTTCGCAGACGAGTCTGATTTGTCGGTCTCAACAGAGTAGTCAATCGAGTGTATAATGTTCGGGTGCGGCGAGAATAGTGTGTAGGCCTCGACTTCTTTGAGCGCCAAGCTCACGCTTTCTTGTCCGAAGGGACATCGTATCTTCTTGAGCGCAAGGAGTTGTTGATTCGAGTTATCTTGTACGAGATATACATATGAGAAACCACCCTATATCGCGATAAGTCAATTGGTTGTGTGCTAACGAGAGATACCCAACTTACCTCGCCCAGCAACCGTAATATCTTGAAACTCCGACTGTTGATTTTGAGTTGAGGTGAGCTTGGGAAGCAGACCATGCAGTTTGTGAACGAGTACACGACGTCCAGGAAGTATGTGCCTAATGAACTCATCGTGGCGATTGTTATTACGATTGCGATGTGTTTGTTTGCGAGCTGACGACAGTTACGGGAGTCGATGCCGGATAAAGGTTAGACGCGCGGCCAATTCGAATCGTCGATTATGGTTATGAAATGGAGGTTACGTTGGGGCGATGATAGGGTAATCCGAACGGAACGATGGTGAAGACGTGTTGTTTGCTAAGACAAAGCACAGGTGTGTTCGAGGATGCTGACGACGTGGTTCGTCCGTGATGCGCCAAGGGTGTGGCTAAGGTCCCGTACCCACGTTACGGGCCGAAAGCCAAATGCCACACCACGTGGGATTCACGCCTGCAATATATACTAGCCAAATTGTCTTCATTCCATCTTAGTAAGCCATCTATCTCAGATGGCGACTTCTGGGGCGTGTGGCTCAGTGGTAGAGCGTCCGCTTTGCATCTCTTTCGGTGCTAATCTGCGGAAGGTCCGGGTTTCGATCACCCGCCCGTCCAATTCTTTTGCTAAGATCAGCTCCTCTATCAAGATGTGCTGTTGACGATTTTTTGTTCATGTCGCAGCATGTCAAGAACGAAGGAGTTACTACAAACTTCATCTTTGGTGTTTGTTGACTATGTTGTCTACATTTTTTCACCTAATCGACAGGCATATATATAAGCGTATGATTGACTTGAGACGAAAGATTGGCGCAAGCTATATAACATCTTAGTGGAGGTATTTCTCGACGATATGGACACAAACTTATACTTAGAAGAACTCAAAGATATAAACACAAGAGGCCAGATCCCTCGTAATTGTATCTCGACCCGCCGACAATCTATTCAACCTCATTATTTCTTACCCCAACAATGACATTGATCTTAACACGACACCGAACTCCACGGAAGCAATCATATCGCCCCCTAGAACAGGTATCTCAACTGCTACGCTAAATACAGAGGGTATTGTAGTTTTCTCATCATCACCTTCCCAAGTCGACATCGTCCCACTGCTCGCCTTGTCGTCTCCCCGCCAGAAACCCCTAGCAGCCATTTTACTATATTTCCCTCAGGGCCAAACATTCTGCGGCCTCTCGTCAAAAGCAAAATCAACCTTCTCATCCAACACCTCCAAGAAATTCTCTTCTGCACGATTGACATCGTACAACGACCTTGCAGTGTCCTCGCATTGATGATACCACATCCTCTCGAAATTGTACTCTTCTCCCTCCTTGTCGGGCATTATCGCCCACTCGGGTATCGCACACGTGTCCTGTTCGCCATCCATGTACCACCAGAACCTCATCATGTCGTCCCTTTTACTGCGCCAGTTGTCGCGGTTCCACTTCCTTCTCATGGGTGAGTGCTTGTCCCATCCACGTATAAGACTGCGGTAGTGCACAATGGGGTGGATGTATTCGTTTGTATCGCCCATATCACGAAGTTTGACCCACTTCTGTGCCTTCCTTCTAGCGTCGTATATCTCGACTTCTTCGTGGCCTGGCTTACGCGCACGTGCTCCAAGGAAGTGGTAGAAGCCGCCATACGAATCTACGAGAGGGCCCGTGCCCCAGCTAAAGTCGAAGTTGGTGTGTTCGTGTGGAGGGTCACGCCGCGGAGGTTTGAGTTCGTCGCATGTGAGGCTGAAGCTGGGTAGTTTCGGTAGCTTGTCCAAGAACTTCTCAAAAGAGCCCTCATGGTGGTAGGTACATGCGTAGCGGAGGCGGAAGAGCCAGCGCGTGTACTGAGCCATAAAGAGAGAGAAGGCATGTCGGTCAATGGTAAGATGAGGGGAGATGACTTGGAGCATCCAGCATAGAGTTGCTGTAGAGATATCTAAGTAAAGATTAGCATGTATATCTTACGGGTATAACACAATATCGCCTACTTTCGGAATCTCCTTTCATGTCGCCGAAAGCGTCTTGTGATCCGCCGCCGCAGTTGGTATGAACACCTGGAAACTAAGAGTGACATCGTTAGTGAGGTCTTCCTTACTGGAGTAAAGTTTTACATACCCAAACCTGTTTCAGCTCTGGCGTAGGTCGGTTCGGATCGTCAACGAGATCTGTGGGAATGTACCAGAGAGTCGGGCGGAAAGCCCTGCGACGCTCGTCCAAAGCCAATGCCTGATATGCATGCTCGATATCTATCGAACGGTTAGCAAGAAATGCATATTCCTTAATAGATGAGAACTCACTCTCCGTCAGCTTGACATTGTGGAATCCGTACTTCGTCCTTGCCCGTGCAAGGTCTAGACCGATCAGGTCTGGTACGCCCAATGAGCCAACAGTATCCCAGACACCCACCACCTTCACCTTTCTACTACCCTCACTGACTGCAAGCTCACCGTGCGGTCGAATCTCCCACACTTCAGTCATAAGTCGAAGATCATCCATGCCAGTGTTTCTGATATCGATACCAATCTTCTCCATCTCTTCTCCTTTTTTGCTGAGCTTGCCCTTGGTGAACCACTTCCACGCTTGTGTTTCTCTGAACTCGACGCCTTCCTCGTTTGTCTGGTAGAGACGGTACAGTTCAGGGAAGAACTGCATACTGGTTGGTGCAATGACACCGAGATCCGAGACCAATCCAGCAACCGCACGTGCTGTATAGGCACCTCTCGAGAACCCAAAGCAGAAGATCTCATCCCCCGGCTCGTAATTTTGCACGATAAAGTTGTATGCTTCGATGACATTTTCTGCCAAGCCAGCTCCCGTGCCACCCTGTCGTCGCGCTTCAGAGGCACTGAGATTTCCGGTTCCTATGCCGGAGTCGTAATAGACGATCTGATGGAATTTCTTCGAGGGATCGTCTTTGTCTGCGCCAACACGCGCGATCAGCCGGCAGAGTCTTGTGACATTGGAGGGTATGTTGTTTTTGCTGCTAACGCTGGACTGCCACGTACCATCGCAGCAGATCACAAGCCGTCGTCTCCAGGCTTTGTTGTCGTCCGAGAGGAAAGTTAGTTTGGCCATTGCGAAGAGCGAGAAGTCTACCGCTCTCTGTAGGGCGCGACGCAGATTATAAGAATGATGACTGTGTATAAAGAAATATGCTGAGACGCCGATCTAGTACCAAGACTGGAGTTTGGCGAACGCGAGGACGTTGTATGTGACACTCAGGGGTAAGCACAAGTACCAACAGATGAAGCTCACCGGAGATAAGCCACGATGCTGCATCCAGGCAATGAAGTAGCGCAGCTCTTCTGATTTAACCTCGCGAATCTCACATCGCGAATGAGCGGTGTTCCAACGCCCAGTTGGCCGCCTGAATCGCTAAAGCGCCTCATCGTCAAATCGCGACTGGCTGAAGGGGGCGCTGCCAAGTGACGTGTTTGATCGCGGCATGAAGCGCATCGCATCCGCACGCTTTGCATTGTCACCCGGGTCAGGCTGCGAACTACTTCAATGTGTCAGGCCTGGCGTGAGGGTGTCAAGTCGGGGCTGAAGGGGTTGCTTCTGTTCTTCGCGTCGGCCCGCTACCTGGACATGGGAATGTGGCGCGCATTAATCCGCGGAAAGGACACTACGCGCTGACCACCATTACCCACTCGCAATGACTTCATCTCTCCGAGCTGGACGACTGTGCTGGAAATAAATCTCAGGCGCATGCGTAGTTGGCTGCCGACCGAATCGATGCGGCTTTGATAGTCTCGAGGTGTTGCAGGCGGAGCTGATGGGCGTAGGGCACTACGATCAAGGCGTGTCAGCTGTTACTCGAACCCCGAATCAACATTCAGGCAGCGGCAGGCTCGACCACTATCCGATCTAAGATATTGCGCCGACGGTCACATCTCATTGTCAAGAATTGGATTTTTTGTTACACCAATGTGGGCTTGTACACCCACGTTTCACTCGGCACGTGCCGATTGTCGCAAAAGAAAGACCGAAGTTGCTTGCGCCGCCTTCGAGGCGGCGATATACCAAATGACTTGTCATTCGCGTCAATACCCTGTATCCAATAGGTGGTCTATACTATCATCCAACATCAAATCGTAACCAATAGTCGCTAAAGAGCAAATCCATAAAGTGTCCCAATCCCTGTGTCGCAATATGGCGCCATTTTGGCGCAACCTGAGAGCACCGTTATGGCAGCACCAGGCGTACCTATATAACGCCCACCATCCCACCATGAAAAAGAACGCTTAATCGCTGAACATCAGAAGACGCTGTCCTGAAACATGTACGACAAATCCACAAGCCGTCAAAGCTATGCTCCGATTCCTTCGAATCTACCGCTCACATTGAGCGAGGCGAATTGCCAGCTGTATGTGGCCGACTACCACCATACTGAGATCCGTCATTAAAGCCCTCGAAGCTCTCGCCCGAGGACATCCGTCTTAGATCGTTATCGTCACCCATATCGACATCCTCCATCTCGTACCTTCCTGCTCCATTCGGATTCTGTGGCGGTCCCATATTGGAGAAAGAGCTGTATTGTCGTGGAGGCGGCGCGGGCGGCACACCGGCGTTGCTGATTTGCTCTGCAAGACTGGGCTTCTCCGCCAAGTTGTTCAGCATGGCGCGACTCGCGTCCAGCATTGACACTGCATACTCAAGGAAGTCGGCTCGCTTCGAAGAAACCGAAAGCGTCCAGCGGTATTCGCACAGTCTGAGCTTGTAGAACTCAGCTTCCTCCTTGGCGGGTGCCGTAGCCCACAGTAGCGATCCAAAGGTACCAATAAGAGTAAAGTTGACTTTGGAAGCAAAGTACCAGAAGGCCTGTAAGTGCTCTGGCTTTAGTCTGTTGACAAAGTCCATAGCCGAGATCAGGCGCGTCTTCGCAGCGTTGCGGCACATGAAGAGACCGTATGAGTCAGGGTTAGTAGAGTCGAGCGACTGTACTATGCGCCTGTGGAGCGTGATCTCTGTTGCAAAGTATGCGAGATGGAGGTAACCCGTCGAGGTGAGCTTACCCTTTTCGGGGACACTCATCTTTACTTCCGCTGGTAGTTTCTCATGCCACTGACGGAGCTTAATCTGCACTGGTTTGGCGCGTGCGAGTATCAGCTCAGTTGACTTCTTCCCAGCGTTGGCGAAGTCGTGGATAGCCGTTTGGGTGTAAAATGTATCCATGACCTCAGCCATGATCTGCGTGAGCGCAATCATCTGAGCATACAGTATGCGGCCTCGGTGACTTTCCACCTGTTCATCTTCCGTCTCTTCTTGCCGTGTCTCGAAACCATCTCCTTCTTCAATAAAGTCGTCTTCCGTAATCGGCTTTACTGCCCAGTTGGCATTGAAAATGTGTGATGGTCGGCCATGGATCAGGGAGCTCCACTTGTCTTGCATGTATAATGCCCATGCTATGCGCTTCCTCAACCCACGCTCCCAAAGAGGAACCGACCATGATGAACAGTCAAGATGTAGGCCTAATTCTTGACCGATTGCCACCAGCTGAGTTGTTAAGCTCCAAGAGTCCGCTTCAGGACGCTGCAGCAACAACAAGCCAGCTTGTACAGTGGAAAGTTTCGGCCGCTCCATGGCCAATGCAAGCGCTTTCATGGCGATTGCTTCCAATCGGGCTGCATCAGGTCTAGAATAGTTGGCTAGCTTGGGGTTGAGTGACCACCAGTTAAGGGCTAGAATGTACATGCCAGCCAACAAAGCCGGTGAGAAGCCTCGGTCGCCATTGCGATATCGCTCGACGAACAAGTGCTTCTGGATGATGGGGTAATTTGGGTGTACTACTTGGAAGTACAGATCTAGCAAAGCTGGGCCATGTGGATGCACAAGCTGCTCAACCTGGCCTAAAGCCTCAGACTCGCCGGCGAAGTCTTGTGTGTTTTCGTCAGGTAGCATAATGAAACATTCATGATCGTTCACTCGTCGAAGTGTGCCAAGGTCAAAGGTCGACTCGTTATGGGTATCGAACTGTGACAAGCCAATAAGCAGGGAATCGAACGGAGAACTCAGACCGATGTATCTGCTATGCTGCCGTCGCTGCAATCCCAGTGTCTCTCCAAATTGAGGCAAGTGAAGACTTGCTATTTGGGACAGCGAGGGCTGTGGTGGTGGTGGACTTGGCGCAGTTGCTGTGATGGTGGGTGTTGATAGTGCTAGTGGTGGAGGATCTGAGTCGACGGATCTGCCATAGGATGTCAGCTACGACATCCGACAACATGCTGACGAACCGAAACATTGGGCGACGACAATTTCCAAATCCGTGACTAGACGTGGGACGGGAAAAGCAAGTACTGTCACACGTGCGCACGTGACCTGGTAGCGTGACGCAAAGGGCATAGCAGACGTCGGAAGTGATATATCTACGCGAGCCTGGAGGCGCAACGAAAAGCAGGGAGGTGGGGTGACCTAGACATACCTCTTCTTGGTGTTGTTTGGTGAGTCTTTCTTCTCACCGTCGACGACCTTCCTTTTCCGTGGCAGTGGGCTCTGTACAAAGGTACACTCTTGCTTGTGGAACTCGCACAAGACACACAGTGCAGCACCCTCGTGTATTACACAGCGACTCTTCCTCCGTCTGCACGCGTCACAGGGGCGTTCCCTCCGTGAGCGGATGTTAGATACTGGACCGTTGTTGGACGTGGGCTTGCCCAAGCTCTCCTTGCTGGATGGTGACTTCTGTATCGTGCGAGGACGAGCTGGTGCTATAGAGACAACAGGGCGTGGGCCCATAGCCGGCTGCTGCATTGCTACGGCCGTCATGGCTAGCTGGCGTGGTGGAATGGGTGCGATAAGGCTATGATAGACCACGGCCCGTTGGCTAGCTTCCGAATCAGGTTGCAAGTATCTGGCTATCGGAAGCAGGGTACGTGACAGGTCTTATCGCGTGGGAGATAGGTAGTTCAATCGGTTTATGAGAGATATCCCGGGCAAAGCAAATAAAGTTGAGTAATCCAGCGGAGATGATTCAAGAGAGGCCCAGATCAGGGTCCTAGATTGCCGGTAACGGCGGCGAGAAGTATGAGGTGACTGATGGTTCGCGCCGTCATTGAAGGTTCACGAAAGAAGTAGAGGATGGGCGCAGGCGGGCGGGAGAGGCGGGATAAGCCTGGGCTTGGAGCTTGGAGACCTAGAACCCTGTGTGGGGAGAGGGCAGGCGCATAATCGGGGTTGGCAGTCGTATATATTGGAGTGATTCTGGAGAGCGCGCTGCGAGTGTCTTTTGTGGCAGACATGTGCTCGGGATGGGTTTCAAGATGCACTGTGCACGGGCGTTGCTTGGAGGTAAGCTGGATGCGCTCTAGCGGCTTCCTGCATTCTATCTTACGTACAGCCGAGAGATAAGGGAGGCTCGACGGGCCAATGGCAGCACCGTGTGCCATCCCCCACCTGAATAATGTGATCTTTCAATTACTCCAGCTCTGCCTTATCTGTGCGTAGGTACTACACAAGATCCAGTTTAACTGTCTACGGGAATTACTCTTATGTACTCGTTACCATACTCTATAGTTTTAGTATTGGCACATGCACGTCACCCACGGCTACGCATCATTATCTCTCGCCTATCATGCGTAAACAGTGAACGACCGTTGGAGGGACCTTGCAGCTGACAGGTCCTGCCGCCAGAATTCTCGGCCTGTACAGCCACGACAGCACATGGCGAGACGTATTGCATTGCAAATTTTGCAACGCCTTCACCAGTCGCTTCATTGCAAGGCGGATCTCGCCCGATCTTGCCCAGTATCCATGGTTGTGGTATGAACGGCCTCCGCACGTGTCGCGTGTTCTCCACAAGCCCTACTTAGAATAGGACCCTCGATAGCGATCTCCGCTCCGCTATGCCCCTGGTCTCGTTTCTCACCGCTCGCCCTTCAGGCAAAACGCTTTCCGCTCCGACCACCGGCACTGCACACGACCCGAATATCTCCGCCAATCCTAGTCAGCGAGTTGCATCTTGCCGTTGCATTCTGCCATTGATGTCATAGCAGATTTCGCCGTTGTGACGCGATTCAGGGAGGCTGGTAAACAACCGCGGCGTTTCTAGGTGACGCCAAACCTACCAAGAACGCAGACGGCTGGAAAATCGGATGCGATCTACACCAGTGTACGTAAAACGAAGGCTTAGCCTCGTACTGCCAGCAACCTCAAACTTGGGTTGCGACTCTGCAGAATGACAGATGGGTCCCTAGTAGCACGCTCAGGATTTCCACATCCGACCTCGCTTAAACCACCATTTAATCTCTCAACAACGGAATGATATATCCTAGGTCCATGTCAAAGGGCCGTAAAGAAAGCCAGATCGCAATATTCCATTCAAGGTCCGCTCACTGTAAGTGGTCCAAACATCGGACAATGATATACCCGCTCGACCGCCTCAAGAGTTGGAAATTTCGTAGACCATGGGTTCGTGGTTGACATTACGAGATCGTTAAGCGCAGATCTGCTTGTGACAGACTAGATGGGTGGATTCTGCCCAGGCTGATGACACCTCAGGGAAAGTCGGGCCGCTTTTCTCCGGAGTATGATTCAACCACTCCGCTTAGCTGTGATTGGCAACATTGGCAACACCCTACACATGCATCGCATCTCATACAACCGCCACATGGCATACCTACCATATATGCCCTATCTGCTTTCTTGTTTCTACACGGACAATACTTCGCAAAAGCCGCGCACCCGTTATCATATTCTACATTGCCTGCTACCTATCCCGCTACTAGGCTCAGTAAAGACGGTGTTGAAGCGCTAGTAAGAGTTGGAGAAAAGAAGTGGTGAATGTTAACTCGAGCACGCGACAAATGCAGATTCTTTTCAAAGTGCACTCGTAACTAAGAATGACGAAAATTTTCCTCCGCGGACTCCCCGGCCTCATCGTCGATAGGTTACATCATGCCATGAACATATGCCTCGCCAAATACAGAACTTCTTTTGTCACTCTTATTTCCGTATCGCGAGCGCTTGTCCAAACATCCTCTCAGGCTATAAAACATGGAGGTTATGAGCACGGGTCCGACTTTTCCGCTTAGTTGGCCTCCGCTGACCACCTGTTAACTGTGAACGCTGCAGGTCCACCCGTAAAAGCTTCAGTACCAAACTGGTAGACTAATAAAGTCGTTAGCATAAGCACACCTAGCTCTATCGCCTAAAGCAACATTAGAAACTTACCGATGAGGTTTTGGCTCGACGCAGGATAGCCCTTGTTGCTGGTGAGCCAAGTAAAGAAGTTCTTGATATCACCACTGTAATTGGTGACAGGACTTGGAGCAACGAAGCTGTAAACTTTCATCGCCCCGTTGTATCCCTCCCAAAGTTCCCAGGAGCGGCCGTCGACGGTTTTCATGCCTTGCGAGGTACCGATGGGGTAAACGTTGCCCAATCTGGCGAGCCTGTTGACGAGGAGAAATTAATGATTGCACTGAGATTAGAGCGTCAATATGAGAGTAGCACTCACCAAACCATAAGCTCGTAATCCCCACTACTCCTATCATGGTTGATATCCGCAGCAGTGAACACATCGTACGCAACATTGGCGCGCACGTTTGTCGTATTGTAGCTCCACTGCGCTGTGCTCGGCATGGTGCTGTATTGCGATATCAACTTTTTGGTGGCCAAGCGGCCGGCGTAAACGTAAGATTTCACGTTGTTCTCGGCACCTTGCCACTGCCAGTTTGAGTGCCAGGCCATGCCGTTATTGAAGCCGTCGTAGTATGTGCATTGCGAGCCGGAGGTTGCGGCGTCGCGGCCCCAGAGGTTGTTGAGGAGCTCGTAGCCGTTGGTGGAGTAGTAAGCGTATAGGTCGCAGAGGGTTTGTTGCTGTGCGACAGTGACAGAGGCGAAGCCTGCCAGGACAATGGAGAAGGCTTTCATGATAGAGGTGTCTTATTTGATCTTTTATGTATACGCTCTTTTGATGCTCTGTTGATGCTCTGTCGATGCTTAGCTTTCCTGGGAGGATCTGATGGCTTTTGTATAGTCTGAATTTTCAAGACATCAATCAGTTCAGTGGATTGCCCTCATATCGCGTTCTCGGACAAAGTGCATCGTCTATTGGAGTTCGTATAATCTGAACTTTACAGTCTGCGAGCGCAAATCACCCCTACGCTCCGATCTTTTATGCTGGGTTCCGAGTGGTTTTGATATGCTGGCTCAATTCGCCAACAAAATGAGCCACCGGCTGTGCCCACATACTTCGACCGCGTGAGTTGAGCACGGCCCTCATCAATTACCGCCCTCATGTACCGATAGCCTGGAGTACTTAATGGATCCCTTAACCGGGGAATTGTGTGCGGGCAAGTAGGTCATCCTACGTATGGCATCATTTATTCGCAACGTCAATCATACTGTGCTCGACCGAGATCTGGGCGCATAATATCGAGGACATGAGATCCAGGAAACCCAAGAAGATCCATCAGCGACCTGATGCGATCGACGTTGTATCCCTGGTATACCAGTATGTCGCACTCTTTTTCTCGAGAGAAATGGAGCTGATCAGGAGCCAAGTGGTTTTTCTCTGGAGATAATGTAAAGGTCAACGCAGCTTTTTTTGTGTCCTGGGGAGCTGCTTGTCATTCTGATGCTCCTATGCGGTGCCCATGATATCAGATCTGACATTTTGCTTTGACCGATGTCTGCAAACCGCAGGATACGGAAACGTTTATGTCTATGTTCTCCATTGAGTGGCAGTTTTGCGGGTTCGATAAATTCGGCAATAGAAGAAATGTCGTATGTGTAAATTTATAAGATCTTGTAATAATTGTGAATCATGAGTTTAAGTTGTGAGGCTTTCGAGGTTCTGTGAAGCCAGGCAGACACACACGCTCCCAGGTAGCTTATTAATCGATTGCCTGGCTCAGGCCGGCGGCCGAGGTTCTACGCCTCTTCGATACTACTCTGCATTTATTTCTTGAAATGGCGCACCTTGCTTTTTCTTCATACCTCGATGATTTCCTCATCGGGAGAAATGTCAACAAACACGAACAACGCAGGGACCAGGATTGACGTGTGGGACGCGCTAGATTCGGTCCGTATGACATACGTCAAGTTTGCGCTTAGATTCTGGAAGGCATACTGGTGTCCAAAAGTCGTCTGAACAGGTTTAGGATTTTGACCAAGTGAAGGAGCTACAAATCTATCAAAAGATCTTATAGCAGCTAGCAACCGTTTACCTATTCCATGGTCTCTTGCCCAATTTCCAGTAACGCCCAGTACCTCCTTCTGCCTCGGCTGTATATACAATTGTGGGCTTTCAGGTACCCTGTCATGATGGATTTGAGACACGCTTTCGCTCCGATCGTAACCCTACAAAACCAGCGCGTCAATCATACCACCGTTATCATATCATCGTTATATTTAACGCGCCTCGCTGGAAATGGACAAAAAAGGTATCGCGATAAGGCCGTCTCGTGTGCCGTGGTGGTCTGCGCAGCTGTTGCGCGTATTGTGGTCAACGTGTTGTAGACCTTGTGCTGCGCCGTGGTGCGATATCAGGATCAGTGCATAGGAGGCTGGTAGTTGATCGGTCGCCTGTCCAACGATTAGCCAGCAGCGCGCGATATTCGCATAGGAACAACCTACTTGAAGAGCAAGATGTGTGGTTCTGGCTCATGGACTTCGTAGTGCTCCCATCCCAGACTCTGTTTCCAAATTAGCATGTCGTTGGTAGCCCGCGTTCTTTGACGCATACCTGTGTGATTCCCAGTGCCCGCCATTCCTCTTCCCATAGCAGCTTCAATGTGCCTCTAGCGCCGTCGAAGTAATCTTTTGGGATAGCTTTCAGCATTTGCTTGGGGAGCTGTACATGACGGTATTCGTATGCGTCGTCCGAGTATCTAAGTCCAGCGTTAGCAAAGAAAACGCGCTGACCGCTTCTTGCTTCGCCAACCCACCTTGCCGAGTAATGGATCGCGTCGATAAATTCATCCAGCTTCTCTTTCTCATGCTCAGATAGCGGGCGCGGCTTCTTGTTCCGGCGTGTGAAGTCAATATCCAATTCGGCCGACATGTTGGGTGGAGGGTGACGCGAAGGAGGAGCTCGTGTGCTCGTCCAGTGGGGGTTCGTCAGGTGGTAGAAGCGAGTGGGGCGGGCAGCTGCTTAGCCGGATGGGAAGTCGCAGTTGTGTATGTGTGAAGACGCGCGCCGAGGGAGAGTACCGTGTTTTACCGCGCTAGGGGTATCTTTGTCGTGCAAGAGGAAGAATAGTTCAAGTAAATGAACCTAAACAGGCGTTGTTTACGAAGTTGTGAAATTTGGTCGATTGTCCAAGCTTCTACGCTAATTCGGCCGTAGCCTAGCGTAACCGTCCAACCACATTCTTACCGCACCTGGGCGACGTCTTTCACCCCTGCATCTGCATCTCCGCTGATCAGCGACGTGCAGTCGAGTTTACGATGCAAACATCCTTACGCCAGCTTACGTACGCCTAAAGATTTCGAGTACCCAGGCACTGCCGTTCCCTCTCTCCATCATCCTCGGGTAGCTCTTCAAACATTATGACGACTTCACCACCATCATCTGTCAAGCATTTTCTCGTCTGCTTGTACCGACTAATTGCGATTTGTTTAAAAAGCTGCATATTTCTGTCGAGAATCCACATCTTTCACGTTACAGTCGCCTCTACATCTGTCTAGCATCCACCACTAAGGCAACTACTAGCCCCTCGAAAACACAGATCAATGTTGTTTGCGCATAACTCGCTACCGACTTCCGCTGAACAAACGATCTCGATGAGCGTATCATCTGCTTTCAAGTCGCACTATCCCGCTATTACCTGTCTTTTTGGCTTCTGTCGTCGATGTCATCTCTCCACCGTCTTTACGTACTATGGCCTTCTGTTTGAATAGTCTCGTCTTCATCGTGTACGAAACTCGTATGGCTATCACGCAACGAATATTTGCATGAGAGGTGGAGTTTCACTGGTCAGTTGCGCAATAACCCCACATATGTTGGCGTTAACTTCATGTCTGCAAGCCTCTCCTAGGTGTCGCTATGAGCAGATGGATATTTATGTCCATCCGAAGTGGCCCTAACACCATTATCTCTAAACGCCGCTTTCAAGATACCCAACAAATCGCTCAAACTGCCCGATACTCCGTACACACCATACCATCTTTGTCCGTCCTCTCGACGACCTTAGAATGTCCACTGCCATCGTCCAGCTTTCCCTCACGCCGATCCCATCTTAGTTGTTTCTTTGGTTTGATCACCATCGCCTGCGTCATCTCGGGTTTTTTCTGTCCCAGGTCCCCATGAACCACGTCAATACCGTTGTCAGCAACTCCTCGCTCTAGCCACTCGTTCGCTTTGTCGTCGCTCGAGCTTGTTTTAATCTCTGGAAGGAGCTCGATCGACGGTGATGGCGGTGCGGACGAGTAGCGTTGCTGCAGACCTTGGTAATGCTCTTGTTGTGTCTGCTGGCGAGACAGGCGATGCGAAAGGCGAGACTCTCGGCCGGATTCAGGATTGAGTAGGACAGGCTTAGAATCGGCATTTTGACAGGCTTTGTTTCTACTTCGATTGGCAGCAAGACGAATGGTGAAGTACATTAATATCGAAATGAGGATCGTGGAGGTCAGGACAATAAGAGCGAGGAAAAGGTTCTGTATGAGGCTCAACTCAGACATATTCCTCAAGCCGAGCTTTTCGGTTACTGTCAGATCTGTGGAAGGCCGAAATAGAGGGATTGACAGGTATTGTGGCGCCTGCTGCAAGAGCTATACTGCGGTACTTAAGCCTGTCAGCTACTGCATGAGTGGGTTTCCAAGACCCAACGTAACTATGCAGTGGACTCCTTCTAGGTAGTTACCCGACCCATTGCCTTTCTGGGCCGACACTTGCATGCCAATGTACAAGAATCCGGTTAAACTGCCCTGTGGTCGTGTTGAGTCGCGCAAAGTGCCACACAATACGGGAAGGAAGAATTGCACTACTATGCATTGACTTGAGGGATATGAAAGCCAGTCCTGAGATCCAAATATGGTCATGGCATGCATAGGTCAACCTTTGTGATTTTCACGAGCAATTTGCTGGTTGATACAGCACATATGTACAACACCATCGCCTAAGTCCCTACTCGGACTCCAACGCGCCAATGTAGTCATACACGAGTCTAACCCGAACAACCTCATCCTTGTTCTTCTTCCTAACCACGAACTTCCTCGTCAACTTCCTCTCACCACCAATATCTGCAAACCCCCAGATTTGCCACGCAGTCCAAGCATTCCCCTCATTATCCACGTAGCTCTCAACGATGTCTCCGTCTTCCGTCTCCTTTAGCCACCCTTCAGCCAAAAACTTGATGTCTTCCTCCTTTGCACCTCCACTCTTTCCTTCTTCCACTGTCTTGGCCATGGTAGAGTAGCGAGATCGTCCCTTGACGGTGCCGAAGAGCCAGTCAGTGTGCTCGCGGTAGTGCCAGTCCAACGTGCGGTTCTCGACGGAGCCCTTGAGACCGCCGGTGATGAGTTGATCGATCTTTATGTGCGTAGTTGGGGTGTTGTCCTCGCCTGTTGTGGGAGATTGGTAAAGGTGTTGGGTTATCGTTGCAGCGCCGAGGGCTTTTCGTGTCAACCAGCCGATGCCTTGTAAAGAGAGAACAGGATCGAAAGCATCGGAAAGGGATTTGTTCTGGGATACATTAGGCTTGTTCTGTAGTCCAGCGATGCTTAGGATGAAGATGAAGCTTTGTAGAGAACGAAGTGACCTGAAAGCTGTACAAAACTTACCATGACCCATTTTCCTTGGAGATTCTTGATATCAGCACTTGATGGAGCTGCCATGTTGCCAATTCCTATCGTTGCTTAACACTGATGTGGTATGGAACGACTGTGTCGTATGAAGAGCTGCGGGGCTGTGGTTATTGGTAGTGGATACCAGCCTGTCTTGGACGGCCATATGCAGGACATCTTATATGCCAATCGCCAAAACACCAAGCCTATTCAAAGACGCCGTGTGTGCTAGCACCTGCCTTAGTTGACAATCGCATACTGTCACGTTCGTGCCTGATCGAAGATACAATGTGGCGTCATGGCAGGGATGCCGAGGTCGTCTCCTTTAGGGTAGCGGGGAACCCTGGCCCTCTGTCTCATGCGCGTTCGCAGCGTTCGCAGCTCCAATCCTGAACTACATCCACGGCCATTTTGGGCTTCACGGCACAACCCCGGATCGACCGGACAAGCTTCATGTGAAGATTGTTCGGACATAATACCGCAAGACGTGCGTCCCCCGATTGAGACGGGATAATACGAGTATTGAAGAGAGCGTAACCTCTCAACCCAGGAGCTGGCATGTGATCAACGACCTTCCAGCTCACTTGTCCCATGTTCCTTATAATCTTATCAATATTCCCTCTCTCATTTGCTCTGTTCTCGCGTTCCATAGAGGCGAGTTTAGACCAAGTCTAGCGACGAACACAGGCATGTTGGGATCGACAAGCTAAGAATATTCCTATGCGACACATGATTCCACTGTCGATGGACTACTCCTACTACGGTTATCTCGATGATCCGAAAAGTCTTCTATGGTTGTACGCATGGCGCTTGTCAAGGCGATGATTTGCCCCAACGTCTCAGCTTCACCAACTGAAAAATACTACCCCAAATACACCGCAAGCACTGTTTTGAGCAAGTTCTCTATTGGCAAACCTTACCATCTCGGCATTTGTCAGGCGCCCCGGGTTTCGGTTCGTTACATGTTCCGAAACGTCTGCCATGTTTCAACAATCGCAAGCATGGTGTGACTTAGCGCACAAGGGGAGAACTTCAACATAGGCGAATATCGTTAGCAACTTCGCATCTGAAGTAAGGCTGCGACACGGATTGTGTTCGATGCCTCAGATATGACTTGTTTGGACTGCCGGCCGGTCGGTAATTTCCCCTCATCTTGAATCTGGTTCGTGATTTCTTTTGTTTCCAAGGTTACCATTGATTTCGTCCCTAGCTTCAACTCTTCCTCTTTTGCGCGCGCTGGTATTCGCATTGTGTGTTTCCATTTCATAAAATCGAAGTCTTCTCTAGAGCGCAGAGTTCCGGGCTGCAGCATTGTCGCACACAGTCTCATCAAACTTTCCGTCACTTCTCATTCATTGGACGCGCATACGGCTTCGCGCAGCACCATCGTCACAATTCCCAATTTCAGACGGTTACAAGCACAGTGAAAGTACCATCCGCACGTTGCAATCAGTCTTGCGATCCCAACATTTCGCCAGCAAAGCATCACTACTCTCAACCTACTGTTACGGCGGTTCCAAAGATCGGCCTAGACATATCTTCGGGTACATATAACGACTTGAACGATCGACTTCAACAGTAATTTCTTTTCGCAAACGGTCAACAGAACTGAGGGGCCGAGCACTGTCTCCGCACTCAACGTCGGATAGCGCAACAGTCATCGCATATATCGCAGTCGCTCTCACTCGTTTGTTTGTCAACAACAACCCACTATATTCACGACCACTCCCACCTCATCGGTCTTTCCCTCTACTCACAACCCACACTCGTTACTCCTCAAGGAATTACCCGACATTCTTCTGATCGTCACTCGCCAGCCCATCCAATAATTGCCGCATCTACTACGCGCCTCCAGCCAACCGCAACAATGAAGTCTTTCCTCATCCTTACAGCCTTCACCTCCAGCGCCCTCGCCTCTGCGATCCAACTTCCCAACCACCTTATGGACCGCGATATCGATCCAGCGACTATGAATCCAACACTGTTCTCCGTACTATCAGTGCTGAAAACTGGTATGCCCACGGGCCCCAACGTCCCCATGCCAACTGGCAATTCAGAGCCAGATTGGTACCAGAGGCTGCCGGAAGATGTTAAAAGCCTGTTACCGTCGTTCTATCCTGTTGCGCCTACTGCTCAGGCTGTGGTTGCGGCTGCAACGAGTGAGGTGCAGGCGAGTCAGGTTGTGAGCCAGGTGGTGTCGTCGGTGCTTCAGAGTAGTGTTGCAGTGTCGAGTATTGAGACTACAGTGGTGAGTGCTTCTTCATCTGCCTCATCTTCTGCTCTATCGTCATCTGCGTCTGCGGCTTCGTCTTCTTTGTCTTCCGCCATCGAGTCTCTGTCTTCTACTGTCGACGCCCTGTCTTCCACGACATTGACATCGCAGAACACATTTACTAAGACGTCGCAGTCCGCGTCCATGGCCAGCAACACACAATCACCTTCATCTTCCGCACAGTCTTCAGAAAGCGCATCACAAACACCATCTTCTACGGTCCTGGCTAGTGCTTCAGCCACGCCATCGAGTTCCCTTTCTACTGGCGCTAGATCCGTAGCCAAGACAGAGGCACTAGCTATAATCGCTTTCTTCAGTGTTGGGGCTGGGTTCTGTATCTTCGCATAGTCTGGTACGATGCTCTGGCATTGCGTAACGTGGCACCGGTGAGCTACGCTGGTTTCGCTGCCATCTTTTCGTTTCTCTGAGGTATCTTGTAGAGTTGTGTTTAGGGAGAAAGTGGGAGAAGATATGATTTGGGCATCTTGGATGCCGCATGATGAAATGTCGTCAATGCAACGAGTATAGTTCACTAGGCGCTGAGTGGGCGCACAACGTATGCTTTTGCATCTTTTTTGTATATTGTTTTCCAAGATATCCCCATGCGATACAAAATCAATACAGCTTTTCGTTAACTTTGCAAACGTTGAAGATACCACTACGGCTTCTTTAGGTTATTTCAAATGCGACAACGCACCGCAAAGATAGCCAATATTATACCATTTATTCTGAGCTTGTTGTATATTTCCAAGAACAGCCTATCATATCGGTGTCGAGTACAATTCACAGAGGACCAACTTCTTCACATGCAGCAATTATGACATGATTGGTGGCACTGACATGGTCTGTGCGGAAACGTGAGTTCGCGGGTTCGCGTCGACGCGTCGCACTTTAGCAGCTGTTCAACACAGCGACATCGTCACATCATCCTCAACTCAACCCCAACAATGGCCGACTTCTTCAACATAAAAGCGCGGCAAGCCAATGCTGCCAAGGCTAGCTCATCGAAAGCGCCCACAACGAAGCAAGAGCCCAACCGCATGCAGCCATGGGTTGAGAAATAGTGAGGATACAGTCTCTGAACACAGCACGCAGTAGCAACGCTGACAGGTTTACAGCCGCCCCAAAACTCTCTCCGAAGTCACTGCCCAAGATAATACCATCCAAATCCTGTCCCGCACAATGCAATCCTCCAACCTCCCACACATGCTCTTCTACGGGCCCCCAGGAACCGGGAAAACCTCCACCATCCTCGCCCTTGCCAAGGAACTCTACGGCCCCGAACTCATGAAATCACGTGTCCTCGAACTAAACGCCTCGGACGAACGTGGCATCAGCATCGTGCGGCAGAAAGTGAAAGATTTCGCGAGACAGCAGTTGAGTGTTGCGCCGAACCACACCGTCATGGTCGAGGATAAAGACGGTAGTGAGGGGGGCAAAACGGTGCGGTATAGAGACAAATATCCCTGTCCGCCGTTCAAAATCATCGTGTTGGATGAGGCGGATAGTATGACGCAAGATGCGCAGTCTGCGCTGCGTAGGACCATGGAAACATACTCACGTATGACGCGCTTCTGCCTTGTGTGTAACTACGTAACCCGCATCATCGACCCCCTCGCGTCCCGTTGTTCCAAATTTCGCTTCAAGAGCTTAGACCAAGGAAACGCTGTGAAGCGTGTAGGCGACATTGCGAGACTCGAGAAGGTGGAGTTGGAAGACGGTGTTGCAGAAGAGTTAGTGCGCGTCGCAGATGGGGATTTGAGAAAGGCAATCACATTCTTGCAGTCTGCGGCTAGACTTGTTGGCGCTGTTGTTGCAGCAAACGGCCATAATGCTGGGGCGGGAGGAGGAAAGAAGAAGAAGGAGAAGGAGAAGAAGGTTGTCGCAGACGAGGATGAAATGGACATTGATGGAGCAACACTAGTACCCCCACCAGCAGTCTCCCTTCCCATCATCGCTGAGATCGCGGGTGTATTACCTCCCGACACACTATCCTCCTTCAGCGACAGCCTTTTCCCCAGATCTTCAGCGAACAAAGTCGTGCGGTATGCGGAGATTGCCAAAGTCGTGGAGAACATGATTGCGGAGGGGTGGAGCGCGAGTCAGACCGTGGGCCAATTGTACGAACAGATCATGTTTGATGAGAGAGTCGAGGACGTGAAGAAGGTTAGACTCGCCGGCGTGTTTAGTGAGACGGATAAGAGGCTTGTGGATGGTGGGGATGAACATCTTGCTGTGCTGGACTTGGGGGTTAGGGTTGCTGGGGTGCTTTGTCTCTGAGGATAGAGCTAATACGGTGAACTGAAGTTGTCGCGAGAACACTTGTTAAACGATGATACAAAGCACACTCGTACCAACATGCACAGAGAATAGTAAAGAATGTCGCTCAACACATAACGAATGCTATATCTAACACTAAAATACCAACCAAATAGCATTAGGTCGTAACCACAGTAACTCTTGCAGGGACGACAGCCCGCTCCGAGTCAAACTTTGCTCCATCCGTAGTACCTCTCTTATATAAAGCAGGTGAGATTACAAGTTGGACGTACTTTTGTCTGTGCCGTGCACCACCGATGCGGTCATCGTCCTCATCATCGCTCAAGTTGTCGTCCTTCATACACCCAGCATCAAACATTAGCAGCCCTTCATGAGAGAGCATTGTTGGGAGCCTCGGGGTCCATAGTGCCCGTTGCTGGCGTAGGAATTGCGAGAAGGCAAGCGCGTCTTTGAAGATATTGATAAGACTCGCGGTAAGATCCTGCTTTTTGTCGGCGTCCGCCCAGACGTGGACAAGATCCATGACTGCTTGGGCAGCAAGTTCACTTCCAACTTGAACGCGCTCCTCTCGTGAGGGATGTTCGGTTGCTTCGGATAGAAGGTGAACAGTCAAGGCTCGCCAGTCGTTAAACGAGCGTTGAGAAATGACGTTATCGTCTGGATTAGTCAGAGGTGCGCCATATTGATATTAGGAGGACAAGTTTGCGGAAAGACAATATTGTAGTTGAGAAGCAAAATTCGAGGACTTACCTGTATACCAGAGTTTGTTCTCAAGGCGCCTAAACGCCTCCAGGTCCACTTCGGAAGGCCCGACATCTTCACCAGTGCTGGGCCCTTGTTTGTTAAGGATGCGAAACAGCGACCTGATCATCACGTACGATGTCCAACCGCGAATGAAATGCCGTTTCTGCTTCTTGTCTTGCTTTGGCCTTTCGCTCTTGACTGCCTCGTCTAGTTGATCTAGTGTCAAGCAGGATGGAGCTACTTGCCGATACTCTGAATGCTTTTGCACTTCTAAATGCAGCTCCTGTCCTGTAGTGCAGGAAAAGCCGGAAGCCCAGGTACGAATGTCAGCGAGCAAAGACTCAAACCTCGAACGGATGACATCGTCAGTTTCCTGCACTCCAAAGACGAGTTCCTTGGAGTCTTTGGTCTTTTGCAGCTCATGGGCTGATAGCTTGATAACCTTGACTGTGTCTTGCTCCGTTTGTAGTGCTTTTTCCAACCCCAGTATTCTCTCCCTAGTCGTTTCTTTAAGTTCGTCGTACAACTGCTGTAGGTCGTTTCTTTGGTCCCTGTAACGCTCCATTTTGGCATAGTCATCCTCGATAGGACGGTTGTCCTTGCGAGGGTAATCATCCTTGCGAGAGTAACCACCCTTGCGAGAGTAATCATCCCTGCGAGAGTAATCATCCTTGCGAGAGTAATCATCCTTGCGATAATAGTCGTCCTTGCGAGTACGGTCGTCATCCTGACGTTGACCGTGGCTGGAATCTCCATTGAAAAAACTTCCAACTTTCCCTCTAAACTTGCTACCCTAATTATCCAATTAGTTTCACCCAGATTATGAGCTGATAGGAACCCACCTTGCTACTATGAGACTTTTCTTGTGGTGGTGGTGGGTATTGGTGATCTGTGGGGTATGAACCAGGCGGTTGCCCCTGCGCATTCGAAGATTCTCTGGCTGTCACCGGCAGTCGCACATCTCGATTGCCTTAGCATGGTCTTAGCAAGTTGTTTCTATTGTGAAGAATGAGAAGAGTCACCTTGGTTCTGATTTGCGTAGCTTCGGGTGAGGATGAGTTGGGGCTTCTCTGTCTGGGGAACTTGCCCTCCAACACTGTAGTTTCTTGGTAAGGCTGGCGGCTTTGAAGAGGACTTTGGCTTCGAGAACTTATTAGCCTGCATTCCACTTTATCTTTCAGTAGAGCCAGGTACCAATGGTTGTTCATCATTGCGATATATCTGTTCGACCGATTGCCCGGTTGCAGGAATAGCATTGCCGGGTTCAGTGAGTCTTGGGTTGTGTCGGTCCGTCATGGTTGGTTGACAATGATTTTCACAGCACGTCTAAATAGATTGCGAGACTACCATTAAAGAGAGAAGAGATACGGACGGTCAAGACACCAAAGGTGCGAGAGACGCCAATTGTCCCACAATAGCAGCTTTGGGCGTTTGCCTGGCCCAGCCACACGAGGCTACCATGTCAAGCTCAGAAGGCGCCGAGGCTGCGGAGGAGCGAAGTTGCATTTCAGCTGATGCGGCTGATTACTGCATCGTCGCTTCAGTGAAGGTCGAGGTCACGGTCTAGGGGCCGAACGAACGGATAGATTCTAAGCTAGCCTGTGCACAGGGATCGTCAAACCTCAGCCTGGGCGCCACCAATACGGCAGCTTGGGGGCCATCTGCACTCCTCACCCATTCACGACAATTGAGAGTAGAGAGACCGCATGGTAAACACAGCATAGCCTGGAAAACTACTGCAACTAATCCTAAACCGCACACAAATTGAATCTTAGCTGAGTCCTGTGTAACCGAAATTGACACACTGCAGGGAAAGATGGCCAAGCGCCCCGTACCGTCAGAAAGCCAGCAGATCGCTGATCGAGCCGAAGTCAAAGTTCGCTCCCGCATCTGTAAACCATGAAGTGAGGAGTCCGGTCAATCCTGGAGGAATGCCCACCATCGATGCCAGGATGCTAACAGCAACTGGCACAAACGGAAGGATTCTAGACATGCCAGACTTCTTGCGCGCAATCTGCTGGTCGACTTCCTGATTGACGGGACGCTGTAGCGCCACTTGTTCATCACGCACCTTTCTCAGCCTCGCCTGCTCATTCTCCCAGTCCTTCTGAATCTGCCGTTTCATGACCCGATCGCTCTCAAGTAGCTCCTGCTTCAGCCGCTCCAAAGACGCCAGCTCTTTTTCGTACTGCGCTTTTAGTGCATCCAGATTGTCGTTGACCAAAGAACCCGCTGCCGTTTGATCCAGCCTCTTCTTCTGATGCACAATTTCCTTTTGCAACTCAAGAACCACTACGTCCTTGCACAACAGCTGACCGGTTAGGGCAATGGCTGAGTCTCTATCGCCAAGGAAGCGGCTCATGTTTGATCCCCGTCCTAACATATAGGCCCAAAACTTTTCCCGCAGCTGCCGCTCGCGATCAGATCCGGTGGCTTGTGTGACCCCATCCCAGCGGGAAGTAACGAGGAGCACATTTTGAAGTGCATCGGGGCCGACGACTCCCTTCAAGATTTCGAATGTCTTGACGGAAGACCGGTTAAATCGAATGTCGGTGATGCGGTGGATATACAAAACCCCTTTCAGCTGAACTCCTAACTTGTACTGTGCAGTAAGCACCTTCGCGATTTCTCCCAAAATCTCGGAATCAGGGCGTGTAGTATCGTCAAAGCCAGGCGTATCAAGAAGCAGGACTTTGCTTTGGCCAAGTTGAACAGGGACGAGCTGGCAGGACTGTGTACCTGTAAGCTGTTAGTCTCTGCAGGCCCAACACAGAATTGAAGAGGACTTACAAGAGTCAAGCGAATCCCCTTCTTCGACTACCTTGCTTCCCGCTAGCTGATTGATGAAATAACTTTTCCCTGCCCCCGTCACTCCCATAACAAGAATCATGCTCAGAACATCGTTGGGGTTACTGCTTGCCGTCATGATGGCAAAACGAACGTGCTTATACGTCGAAAGACACGATATGTGTAGATTGAATCAATGATAACGAATTAGATGGTTCAACGAGTTGGGCAAGACTCTGAGAGTGCATCTAGGTTCGGATTTTATGCCCATCCAAGACCTGCGCTCCTCGGGTCCCAGCATGCAAGGCTTAGCTTGTCGGCTGAGAAGCGATTGCAGCCTAATCACGCGAGGCTGAACCATTGTTTCTACCTTGTTGTTTAACTTCGGATCAGCCGCAGAGGCGTCAATATGCTATCAATGATTTAGCTGCGAAACAGTGGCTTTGGGCGCTCGCTAATTAGTCTAGATTCAGCCGCATACATGGGTTCTACGTACCAAGTTCACCTGGCCATGCATCTCTTTCTGGATCGAGGCTATGCACTGGATGACCTGCTGACATGCTGTTCTGGTGGCTGCATGCTATCTCTGGCCCTTGCGCCGAGGAGGGGTTGCCATGGGGGAGAAATACAGGCCATGGGCACTAGGCTACATGAGACATTTCAACTACTTCCTACACGATACCTTTGCTCTCATCTTTAGCAAACAAGGATAACAACTATGGCTTCGGAGATTGTCGTGGGCATTGATTTTGGGACTACGTGAGACTGACTATGATTATAACAATAACCAGAAACTAAGACTCACAGGTTCTCGGGAGTATCATGGGCAATCAACGGAATCAACAAAGTCCACCTCATCAATGACTGGCCAAACCCTATCGGAGACAACGCCCAGTCAGAGAAAGTGCCAACCATCATCTCGTACGCAGACGGAAAACCTCTTGAATGGGGTTACAACGTCAACATCGTAGGTACTGAACAAAAGTTCCAATGGTTCAAATTACTCCTCGACTCCAAACAGAAGCTGGGAGGAGGCTTGGTCGCACAATCTCGCGATCTCCTCGGATCTCTCAACAAATCGGCCGAAGACGTAGCCGCCGACTATCTGCAGCTACTTTGGCAATACACAAAAGATCATATCCAGCGCGTTGAAGGGGATACATGGGAGACGATATATAGTCTCCGAGTGGTTCTAACTGTGCCGGCTATATGGAGCCCAATTGCAAAGGAAAAGACCCTGAGAGCTGCCAAAACAGCGGGCTTGCCGGCCAATATCGACCTGGTATCGGAACCTGAGGCGGCCGCTTTGGCTGTTTTGAAGGAGAAAGACAAGGAAAAGAAGCTAGAGGTTGGCTCCTCCTTTGTTGTGTGCGATTGCGGTGGAGGCACTGTGGTAAGTTCACCAATCTGATCTACCTTTTCGGCGCTTACAATAGAAGGATCTGATCTCATACAAAATCACTGGTCTCGGACCTTTGAAGGTAGAAGAGTGCGCGATGGGTGATGGTGATCAATGTGGATCCGTATTCTTAGACCACGCTTTCGTCAGATGGGTCCAAACAATTGTAGGTGAACGTGAGTACGAGAACATAAAGCCCAAGGCCAAGAGAAGGATGCTCCAACAATTTGAGGCAGGTGTCAAAAGATGTTTCACTGGAGACGACAAGGTATACAGCGTTGAACTGCCTGGTGTTGAAGACAACAGAGATTGTGGGATTGACGACGATACCATCAGTTTAAAACCGTAAGACCTCAACTGCTGCATGTGCACAACATCACATTCTCACCTAATCATTCATAGAAACGTACTTCGGACCCTATTTGATCATATCATCAATCAGATAATGGCGCTTGTGGACCGACAAATCGATGAAGCGCAAGATAAGGGACAGAATATACAGGCTGTTCTCTTGGTCGGTGGTTTCGGAACCAACAAGTACATCTACAAGCGATTGAAGAACGCACATCGCAGTGATGGGATTGAAGTCCTTCAGGTACCCGGCGGGTAAGCATTCGCTGTTACTTCATCATAGTTACTCAGTTCTCACGTCTCGCTAGGTGGTCTGCTATCTGTCGAGGAGCCACATTATGGGGTTTGGAACACTCATCGCATTCCGAGTTCACACCTGCTACGGTCTCAGCACGTATCGCGAGATTCAGCTATGGCAATCGCTGGGATATTCCATTTGATATATCGAAGGGGCATCAAGAGATAGATCGCAAGAAGAGGCCAGATGGCTGGTATGCAGGAGACCAAATGAATTGGCTGATCAAAAAAGGGGATCGCTTAGAAGAAGGTCGTAAGATTCACCTATCGGTCGGCATCGACGTCCAAGTCGGCTTCTTTGACTCGGGCCTACGTGCTTTCTCGCAGCAGCTATGGTACTGTGCTCTTGACACGCCGCCCCAGCGTTTTATTGAATCTTGTGCGTTTACTCCAATCTTCTTCTACTCATGCGACATAAACCTCACTGACTTTATACAGGCGTCAAAGAACTCTGCTCGGTCGAGTATGGCGTCGAATGCTCCAAGTTGTATCTAGAATACTCATGGAAGGATAAGGAAACGAGGACGAAATATAGAACGGCAACATTCGATCTCACAGTGACGCTGAATAGCGCCACATTGCAGTGGTTGGTTGCATACAAGGATAAGCAGGTGGCGTATACAGAGGCGAAGTACAAGGAGGACTAGATCTGCGTGATCATTGGTGCAAACGAAACGGAAGTGGTGAAGCAGAGGTGGTCATCTTACTCTCGAAGCAGTACCACATATCATGATATACTTGTTTTTATTGTCTGGTAAATCGAATGGGACTGGTGGAGCTCCACTCTTTCTGACGGCGCGCTGAACTGTACGACCAGTGTCATTGCGAACTTGAGATACACAGCAGCATAAGTGAAGCCGAGTGTTTGGCAACACACTTCTCTGCGATACAATACAGTGTAACTCAACAACGTTGTGCCTGCGTCTTAAAATTAGCACTTCGATCGAATCAATTGTGAACTTGAGAAGAGGGAAAGATCTATTCGCAAAGATGCCCCGAATGTAATTGCATCGCTCAATACAGTCTAAATACTCATAATGCCGCTCAACGTGATCACGTATTCCAAATAGACGCCACCCAGTACAATGGTATCTAACGCTCAGCAAACGCCATTGACGCCGGGGATAATGCACGCTTCCCTCCCAATTTCCCTGCCTACGGTCCACCTTTCGGACGCTGTCTCAGTTCGGTAAAATTGAACGGCACGGCTCGCATACCGACATAACGTTCTTGTTTAGGATCATAAATGGCATAAACGTTTAGCGTCAGCTTTGCTCGTTCGCCATAAATCTCAATGAGACCGAGCACCCAGAAGCCACCACGTGGAATGACCATCGGTGTGGTTGCGGTATTCGAGGCCTTGCGCACGTCGGTGCGGAATTGTGTCAGGTCAAGCATGAGTTTTTTGGGATCGGGAAGGAGAATACCATTGAGGTCCTTGGCTGGACCATCAACGGGGGCTGCTGATGATGGTGTGGTGCCTGGTCGTTGAGTGTCTTTCGCGGATGTCGAAAAGGGTTCTGGGTTTATGCTCGTCGTTTTGTTCAGAGTTGACTGTGGGTTCGCAGATATACGCTTGACGAGCTGCTGAACAGCTTCTGTTTGCGATTCTTGCGACCACCCCATGTAGATTTTAAAGTCTTTCCATGCCCTGCCGGCTTTCTTCGTTGTGTCTTGGTAGAGCGCTTTCGCTGCTTCTTTAGGATACAATACTCTTTCCAAGCGAAGATGATGCGAGGGTTCGACCGGTCGGGTTGCCCTTCGCCACTCCAGGTCTTCGGTCAGTTCGATACCAGGGCGCTCGTACTCGTCCGGCATGGTATCGGGGAACCTGAATTCAACCCACGTTTTCCCTTTGTGTAAGTCGATTTTGCCGGCTTTGGCGACAAATGGGGGGCTCTGGGCGAAGGTCTGGCGTGTGATAAGGACTAGTTCTCCTATTGAATAGTCAGTATGCGTCCACTGTGTTCGCATCAGACATATCTCACTTCGTATCTTGTCAACCCTTGGGCGGTCCGTTGCGATCTTCTTGAACTCTTGCCACTCGGGGTCTGAGCCTTTCCAAAATTGCTTCGGTCGTGGTCTTGAGAGTCCGGTTGGCAGGAATAGTAAAGCGTCGTCGTACTCTTCATCCTCGTCCTCGTCGTCTTCAGGCCCAACTGTTGTCCACCCATCTTGCCCAGGCCTGGAAGCCCTTTCCCCCTCTTTTACCTCTTCCACTTCGACTGTTATTCCGACATACTGTCCGAGGCCGTACGTGGCCACTCCGATGGCGACAGCACCGACTAGACGTCTGTTCTCGAGTCAGCATAGGTAAACTGCAAGGGATGTGTGAAGCGACTCACGATTTGCTAAGGAATGGTCGCCGTATACGCACTCGCTGTATTATGGCAGTCCCATGACCATCGCGTGCCGCTTGTCGAATTATGCGCGAATGCGATAACCGACTAGAGAGGGAGAAGTTGCGCCGCAAGACCAGTGGCGTGAACATTGGCGTGATGCAGGCGAGGAGCGAATGTTATGAGGAGCTCGAAGCTAGGTGGAGAGACATTTAAATCGGGGTTTAAAAAAAAACACAAAGAATACGCGTGAAGTGTGTATGAAGAACAAAGTGAATGCTGTTGGCCGGCGCCCCACGAGTTGTATAGTTGCGGGCGGAGGTGAGGCGGGTTCGACGCTAGTGCCGTCTAGGTCGCAGCGCAGCTCAGGATGGCGATGATGCAGATGCATCATCGCCGAACTACCTCAACTCCATCCCTACCGCCACCATGAAGCTATCCGGCGCCTTTGTCGCCTCATCGCTGTACTGCGCAGTCCTTGCAGCTCGACCCACCGTCAGCCCCGAGACAGCGCGTCTTATCATCGCCCAGCGGCTGGGTCTATCGCGATTCCACTCTGTTGAGCACGCAGACGCCGAGACGATCAGACACATCAACACGTACGGAGGAAGGCAACAGAAGCTGTTCGGCGGAGACGATGCAGAGCAGACCAAGGCGCACCTGCTGGTCTGGGCAGAGGACGCTGAACAGGACGAGGCAACGGGTGGGCATACGTGACGGAGGCATAGCAAAGGTTACCCACTAACTAAGCTGTCAGTCATCATCAACGACGGATCAGACCGCACCCAAGACTTTACCATATCAAGTGCGCCATCTGCGTCGGACAATGACCGCCTGATCCTCGACTTCATCGCACAAGCCGAGTCGCTGCCAGCATACCCAGACCCCCAGCAGCGCACCTACACGTCCAACTTTAAGATCGATTCCGTGCTCCCACCAAACTACAAGTCCGAGCCGCACAATGGCTACCTCAACATCTGGCGCACCGACAAGAGCAGCAACATGACGCCTGAGGAGCTCGCCCAGGTGCTCGGCAAGACCATCACCAAGGCCGCGGAGACGGGTTTCTCCACTACCTTCGTCATGATGCCGCGTTCAGCTTCAAAGGGGAAGCGCGCTGCCAACCCCTGGGGCATGTATGACATCCCGTCCAAGGAAGCCCGCCGCCAGAACCCCGAGGCAGTCCTCTCCTCCCAGCCCGTACCAGCCGTCTCCAAGGTCCCTGACCTTGAGGACTTCCCCGTCGTTATCCAGGCCGAGAACAACAAGGGACCTGTCCGCGGCATTCTCCCTACTTGCTTCAAGTCCATGTCGGCGTGCCAGACCCAGACCCACAACTGCTCCAGCCACGGCGAGTGCAAGCTTCTCCACAAGGGTCGGGGTTCCGGCTCCGACCAGGAGACTGTTGACTGCTTTGGATGCGCCTGCTCGGCTACGGTCGAGTACGAGGACGGCAAAGGTATGGAGGAGAAGAGGAAGGTTACCTACTGGGGTGGCCCCGCTTGCCAGAAGAAGGACATCTCGGTTCAGTTCTGGTTGTTTGTCGGCAGCGGTGTCGTTCTGGCTTTCTTGGTATCTGCTGGTATTGGTATGCTCTACACCATGGGTGCTGAAGAGCTGCCCAGTGTCATTGGTGCTGGCGTCAGCGGTCCCACCAAGAAGTAGGAGGTTGGAGAATAGTACAGAGTGGGCGAGGAAAGCAGGAGGCGGAAGAGTGGGTATTGTATATCTGGTGTACGACAGACAGTATTTGATGGTTAGCTGTGTGGGAACTTGTACTCTATGGGATAATGGCGTTTATAGCACTGCATTTTAGCATCTGAACAAGTTGACACAAACATCTAATTGATTCGGCCGCCCGTTGCAAATCTGCACTAACTCGACTAAACATGGTATAAAAGCATATCTGATGCGCTCACGCAGCAACTAAAGTGCAGCTGTCCAGGACGCCGTCAAATGCTGCAAAACGCCGATACCCTAGACAACTTCAACCACCCCCCGTTCGACCCCTGAAGTAGAAGTATGCATCATCTCAACGAGGCAACACTCAGGCCTTGGCCTTCTCTACCATTACACCGTCTTCGCTCTTGGCCTTTTCCTCGTCCAGCTCCTTCATGAATTCAGTCTGGATGTCGGTCCTACGCTTCTCCCACCACTCCTTTTCCGCTGGCGCCTTCGCCGTGATCTCGGCTAGGCGCTCGCGGATGTGGTTGTTCTGTGCCATTTCAGAGGCGGATTGGAAGATGGTCTGACCCCAATTTGGTGCGAAAGCGTTGGCCTGTCTCGACGTTAGCCACACTCGTATATCTACAAAAGCCGTCTGGCGTCAATCCAGGCATGATCGACTTACCTCGCTAACAACATCCCTAAGTTCTTCCTCGATTTCCTTCTCTGCCCTCTGGAATCGCTGCCACAGATCATCGCCCACACTACCCCTCTGCAGCAACACTTGTAGCGCCTGCTTCGCGTTCCTGACCTGTACGATTCGGTGAATGTCTTCGGTCGCGCGGCGCAGTAGTGCAGCTTTCAGTACGCTGTCCGGCACCTTGGGGTCGTCCATGTGGAGAAGAGAGAGGTAGACATTGCGCTGGAGATGTGTGGGGAACCAGGGTTCGAGGGATGCGGCATTGGCGGCTTGACGCTTGCGGTAGAGGTTTGTGAAGACGGCAAAGGAACCAGCGAGGATACCAATGTAGGCGAAGGGCACGGTGAGCATCACCCAGTCGACCATGTCGAATGGCCACATGGTGAATGTAATGTGCGGGTTGTCTGTGTGGTGGAAGAAGGGGGTTCGACGGGCTCGCGATCCGGTGCAGGCGCAAATACCAGAGTTGTAAAGGAGCGACGGTGTCCTCAGAGGCGAGATACGGTGGGAAGGTGAAGACCAGTGGGTGGGTGAATTACGCCGGGCTTTGTCTCACTATCGATATGTTGGAATATCTGTCCAGTTCCGCGCTCGACTAGCGCCCCTCCTAGCGCGTCTGCGTCATCCATGTCCGCCTTCGAATGTCTAAGCAGATGCATGCATCAATCACAAACACCCTCAACCGCAGTTCACCATTCCTGGCTTGCCTTCTCTTGTCGCGTTTTCCTACAACGGCTCTCGTCTACTTTCTAATACTCGCAACTTTTTCCCAACAACCTACCACAACTCAACCCAACCCAAGATTGACAGCGTTGGTTGCAATCATGATATTGAGGTTCGTTAGCAAAGACGGCCAGTTCAGGTTGACGGTACAGCCCGAGGATACCTTTTCCGCCATCCTGCCCCAGGTCGCCGAAAAGCTACCAAAGAATGTCGATATCCAGAGCATCAGCGTTAGCAACCGTCCGCAAGGAGGCGACGCGAGGAAGCTGGCTGAACTCAAGGGCGTGAGCTTCAAGCAAGTGGGACTATCAAATGGCGCGCAACTGTTTCTGTCCTTCGAAGAGCAGTCTGCAGAACCAAACGGCCATGCTGCAGCACCAACTGGCGGCTCACGGCTGAATGGCAAACCCGTCGAAGCCACCGACATGGCCTCTGTACCCCTCGGCTCTCCTACACAAATTATAAAGAACCCATGGGAGGTTGTCAGGCAGTCACCACTCGACGACAGGCTAGACAGGCAAGACGGCAAGATCCCTAGGAAACGCGACGCTCGCATGTGCTCCCACGGACCGAAGGGCATGTGCGATTACTGCATGCCTCTAGAGCCCTACTCGCCCGCATACCTCGCCGAGAAGAAGATCAAGCATCTTTCCTTCCATTCATACCTCCGCAAAGTCAACTCGGCGAAGAACAGGCCAGAGCTTGGTAGCTCGTACATGCCTCCGCTGACCGAACCCTACTACCGCGTACGCCCCGACTGTCCATCGGGACACAAGCCATTCCCCGAAGGTATCTGCACCAAGTGCATGCCCAGCGCCATCTCCCTGAAACCGCAAGAATACCGCATGGTAGACCACGTCGAGTTCGCCTCGATACAGGTTGTTGATGATGTGATCAACTTCTGGAGGCAGACTGGCTGCCAGCGACTGGGTTTCTTGTACGGCCGGTACGAGGAGTATACTGAGGTGCCGCTGGGAACAAAGGCTGTCGTCGAGACCATCTACGAACCACCGCAAGTCAACGAGGCAGACGGTATTTCGCTGGGTGATTGGGATAACGAAAAGGAGATTGATGACATCGCCGCACAGTGTGGGCTGCAACGCGTCGGCGTCATCTTTACCGATCTGCTCGACGCCGACAAGGGTGACGGCTCTGTCGTTTGCAAACGACACTCCGACTCATACTACATTTCCTCTCTCGAAGTCACATTCGCGGCACGATATCAGGCAAAGTACCCTCGGCCATCCAAGTGGAGCGACACCGGACGACATGGGTCCAACTTTGTTACCTGCGTGATCAGCGGCGACGACCAAGGTCAGATTGGCATTTCGTCATACCAGGTATCCAACGATGCCGTAGAGATGGTTCGCGCAGACATCATCGAGCCTTCAGCAGAGCCATCAGTCATGCTTGTCCAATCCGAAGAGGAAAACGAAGCTTTGAACAAGGCGCGGTACATCCCCGAAGTTTTCTACCGAAAGATCAACGAACATGGTGCAAATGTACAGGAGATTGCTAGACCTGACTTCCCTGTGGAGTATCTCCTTCTCACACTAACACATGGTTTCCCCACTCAGCCAAATCCTCTCTTCACCGGCGGCAAGTTTCCTATTGAAAATCGTGAAGCCATGGGCGAGATGCCAGAGATTACACACCTCAGCAAAGCGCTCAACGCTAGAGCTAACGGACTGGCGCTCAATACGAACAGCGGCCTCAACGCCATCTCAAATTTCCATATGCTGTGCTTCATCCACAATCTCGGCATTCTATCAAAGGTGCGTCAAGGCAAAGCTACTTGTGTACTTTACTAACTGTGTGATTCAGGACGAAGAGGCACTGCTCTTCAAGGTCGCTTCGACACACGACACATCAGAAGGCTCAGCACTCCAACATACGGGTGGCTGGGCAACTCTTCTGACCATTCTCAAAGAAAGTGGTGAGCGCCCCCCGAAACGTTCCTATGCTCCTTCGCAGCCCCAGCTGCGGCAGCAGCCGTCCTATGGCTCAGACTCCGATTCTGCTGTACAGTTGGCTAAGAGGGTAAAGGGGGTTAAGCTTGGGAAGTAGATTAGTTGGTCATGACTATTCGATCTCCCGGGGTGGCGCCTCTAATACTATAGGTCTGTGATTCGTATGCGACGATGGGTAGGCGTTGGTAGTGCAGGCCGATGGCGTTGAGGGGGTGGGGTGAGACATGGGCGGGGGGTGCATGCATGGTCTGGCGTCGGGAGCAGATTAGAGCTTCTGGTGTTCGTTCTTAGGAACAATTCAATGTGCGATGTATTCGTTGAGCAATGGTGCTGACACGTTGATGCTGTGGTACAGGTTAGACATATCGCATGTCTCCAATGCGACGCCTTGTATCTCATGCTACAGGATATTTTACAAGAACATATACTCGCACATGCTTTCTTTGTCTATGGTAATATACTTTCCTTCATACTGAGCGCTGTTCTTGTCGTATGCTATTTACGAATTCATCTCGTCTTGCTAGCTTCCATATATATGATTTCTTTTTTGCTTCTCTTCACTTCTCCTCGTACCCTATGTCGAGGTACGACTAGGACCAGATTGATCATTCCCGTGTGGCTCGCTCCTGCCCAAGTGAGGCAGAGCCTGTCATTGTCGTTGGTGGCATGTGCCAAGTCCATGCCGGGGCTCTGGGAAGCGAACATGCGGCGTGGTAGGGGGCAGAAGTCAGGCCATCGCAGAAAGCAAGGAGGGTCAACGGGATGTTGCCGCTTCAGGTCGGCTGCCCGTTAACTACAGCGTCTGAGGTGAGAAGCGGGTCGCGGTACTCCTTAAGCTAAGGTACCTAGGCTCTTAAGGGTCTTCCTCTTCTGACTTACAATCTCACGGCCCCATCCTCTTGTTACTTATTCTCCGCCTGAAGAAGCTGGTCTTCTCAGCCCACCTCTTGGCAATTGCTACGCCCTCGTACTTAGGCTAATGACCGTGATTTAATGGCGCGCTTGCGAGATCCCTCGACTGCATCAACCTCTACAACCAAAAGCACTCTTAGACAATGTTACTGGCTCTTTGACGACGAATGACCATCATAAATTAACTCCTTACATCGAGCATCGAGCATCAAGCTCTAGGGCGAACTGCTTGCTGTCGCTGCCGCTACGATGGGACAACCCTATATGCGCCTGCCGGAAGATGATAGAAATGCCAGACTTTCCGCGTCCAGGAGCGCACATCTAGCAACAACCACGCTGCAGGTCGGCGGCATGACGTGCGTCGCCACCTCTTGTGCTTCTGATCGTTTCATCCTTCATGGCTAATTTCATAACGCCAACAGATGCGGTTCTTGCACATCAGCCGTTGAATCCGGCTTCAAAGGCGTTGACGGCGTCGGGACAGTCTCCGTCAGCCTGGTGATGGAGCGTGCCGTCGTCAAACATGACCCCCAGATCATACCCGCCGAGAAGATACAGGAGATCATCGAGGACCGTGGGTTTGATGCTGAGGTTCTCTCGACTGATTGTCCCAAACCTGTGACTACTCAATTCAACAATCACTCCTTTGATGAGAGCACCGCGATTGGAAGCGAAGCCAAGCCTGCGACGACTACTGCGACAACCACTTTCGCCATAGAGGGCATGACGTGTGGCGTCTGCACTTCAGCCGTTGAAGGCGGCTTCAAGGGCATGGCCGGCGTGCTCAAGTTCAACATCAGCCTTTTGGCGGAACGAGCCGTTATTACTTACGACGAGACGAAGCTTTCGCCAGAGAAGATGGCTGAGATTATCGAGGATCGCGGATTTGATGCTACTGTTCTATCGACGCAGCGAGACTCGAGCCATCAGGGAGGAGACGCCACAACCACTCAGTTCAAGGTTTTCGGCTGCAAAGACGCGACTACTGCCCAGACTCTGGAGGAAGGCCTCGTTATGGTTCAGGGCATCCGTTCCGCATCTCTCAGCCTCAATACAGACCGCCTGACAGTCGTCTATCAGCCCAAGACGATAGGACTGCGTGGCATTGTCGAGGCCATCGAGGCGCAGGGCTTGAATGCCCTGGTTGCAAGTGGCGAGGATAACAACGCGCAGCTTGAATCGCTGGCGAAAACGCGTGAGATTACTGAGTGGCGGACAGCATTCAGAACCTCACTAGCCTTTGCCCTGCCCGTCTTCCTAATCGGCATGATTATTCCCATGGTCTTCCCAGTAATAGACTTTGGAAGTTTCGAACTTATACCCGGCCTATTCCTGGGTGACATTATATGTTTCGTTCTCACACTACCTGTCCAATTCGGCATTGGCAAGCGATTCTATGTCTCTGGATATAAATCTCTCAAGCATGGATCACCAACAATGGATGTTCTCGTCATTCTTGGCACATCATGTGCTTTCCTGTTCAGTGTTTTCTCCATACTGATCTCAGTCCTTCTTGCGCCACATTCCAAACCTTCCACAATCTTCGATACAAGCACCATGCTCATCACATTCATCACACTGTCTCGCTGGCTTGAAAACCGCGCCAAAGGTCAGACTTCTAGGGCGCTATCTCGTCTTATGTCGCTAGCTCCGTCCACAGCTACTATTTATGTTGATCCGATCGCTGTGGAAAAGGCAGCAGAGAGCTGGGCAAAGTCATCTGACCAGCCGTCAACGCCCAAGGAACCTAAGACGCATAGACCTGGCGGCTCTGCTTGGGAGGAAAGGGTTATCCCAACAGAGTTGCTTGAGGTTAACGATATTGTGGTCATCCGGCCTGGTGACAAAATTCCAGCAGATGGCATTCTGGTTAGAGGTAGTACATTTATTGACGAAAGTATGGTTACTGGAGAAGCTATGCCCGTTCAGAAGCATATCGGCGATAACATAATCGGCGGCACTGTTAACGGCGATGGGCGCGTCGACCTCCGTGTTACTCGAGCTGGCTCTGATACCCAACTAAGCCAGATTGTCAAGTTAGTTCAAGACGCACAAACCGCTCGCGCTCCCATTCAGCAGCTTGCTGATACAATCGCCGGCTACTTTGTTCCCATGATTCTTATCCTCGGCCTTGGTACGTTCCTTGTATGGATGGTCCTATGTCATGTTTTATCCCACCCTCCGGATATCTTCCTCAAAGATAACAGCGGTGGCAAGGTCGTAGTCTGCGTTAAGTTGGGTATATCCGTCATCGTCTTTGCTTGCCCATGTGCTCTTGGGCTAGCTACGCCCACGGCCGTTATGGTCGGTACGGGGGTCGGTGCTGAGAACGGAATTCTGATCAAGGGAGGCGCTGCCCTGGAGCGTATAACCAAGGTCACACAGATTGTCCTCGATAAGACTGGAACAATTACTTATGGTAAGATGAGTGTGGCCAGCATAGGTCTCGTCCCGCAATGGGCTAGAAGCGAAGTCAGTAAACGACTGTGGTGGTCCATCGTTGGTCTAGCCGAGATGGGGAGCGAACACCCCGTGGGCAAGGCTATCCTAGGCGCTGCAAAGAATGAGCTGTGCATGGGACCCGAGGATACCATTGATGGCAGCGTCGGAGACTTCAAAGCGGTTGTGGGCAAGGGTGTCAGTGTGATTGTCGAGCCAACTACCGCAGATAGGTCACGATACATGGTTCAGGTTGGCAATCTCGTCTTCTTGCAGGACAGTGGTATCGATGTCCCCAAAGATGCTGTCGAGGCCGCAGAGAAGCTTAACCAGTCGGCTGGCGCGGGCACATCGCATGCCAACATCACTACCAGCAGTGCTGGAACCACCAACATTTTCGTTGCCATCGACGGCCTTTACGCGGGCCACGTATGCCTGTCCGACACAATCAAAGAGGATGCCGCAGCGACCATCGCAGTCCTGCACCGCATGGGCATAAAGACCGCCATAGTGACCGGCGACCAATGGTCTACAGCACTCGCCGTCGCCTCCGCGGTGGGCATAGATACCAACAATGTCTACGCCGGTGTTAGCCCCGATCAAAAGCAAGCCATCTTACAGGAGTTTCAGGGTCGTGGTGAGGTTGTCGGTATGGTTGGCGACGGTATCAACGATTCGCCGGCCCTTGCGACGGCGGACGTGGGCATCGCCATGGCAAGCGGCACAGATGTGGCGATGGAGGCGGCGGATGTAGTGCTTATGCGGCCGACAGAGCTTATGATAATACCTGCCGCGCTGGCGCTCACGCACACCATCTTCCGCCGGATCAAGATGAACCTCGGATGGGCATGCATGTATAACGCTATCGGCCTCCCGATCGCCATGGGGTTCTGCCTTCCGTTTGGGCTCAGCGTACACCCTATAATGGCGAGCCTTGCGATGGCATTCAGCAGTGTGACGGTGGTGGTCAGCAGCCTGATGCTCAACTCCTGGACAAGGCCTGGTTGGATGAACGAGGTGGCGGAGAACGGCGGCAGAGCGCCTAAAGCGGAGAGGTGGGTATCGGGGAGAGGCATCGTTGGCTGGGTGAGGGAGATGGTGAGACGTGGAGGCAAGGTAGAAAATGCTGGGTATGTGCCGCTACAGGACATGGAAGTATAAACTTGTGTATGACGATTGTCTTGATGTGCGTTGCAACAACAAAGCCTGCTTCACCTCATACAATGAAAAACCCAGACAGATGCAGAAATAATAAGCTTTACCTTGCAGCCTACGTTATCTTCTAATAAGAGAAGTTGTAAAGATTAATAGCATCGTAGTCTTCTAAGTCTTCTATCTATATCTACATAACTCTCTTAACATGTTCCTTTATAGTAGGAAGGAGTACTCTTAGAAGGGAAGTATTTTTCTTCTTATTGATACAGTGCTTGGTGAGTTTTCAACCGGGGAAAACGAACGTAGCTACAAGAAAGTTGCATTTTCGTCCACAAAGGCGCGTCGATGCTGTCAGTGATTCGATCTTTCGTATTTCTAAACATACGCGGAAGAAACGTATGTTAAGACCAAACTGGAGACTCTTTCTCGAAACATTCAGACAAGAGGGACATGATTCTGCCATTTTTCATTCCCAGTCTAATTTTGCAGCCGCGGACTTCGCGATAGCGATAATTGCAAAATTTGATAGACGTGCTGGTGATAAGACGCAGGCGCAACACTGTCGAGTCATACTGTATTGTATGGCGGTAGAAGTTCATTATATGTAGCTGTATATGGAAGCCAACATATTCCACAGACCTGGAAAATACGATACCCTGTTGATATCTCTTAGGTCCATGTATCCATGCTGCTATTGACCGAGGCTTGTTCTATCATCAGTGGTCTAATGACTGCTCTCGGAGTTGCATCTGTCCAAACTCAGAGATCAAAAGACACATGTGTCGGGAGTGCAGAACGAGCGAAGGTACAGCTTTCAAGAAACGTCTACTGGGAGGATCTTTGATCCCATGCTCCAGGAGCAAATTTCACTTCATAGACTGTTCCGTACAACCCACAGTCTTTGCATCATTACTCACGTACGCTCCACCGGTCAACACAATACGAGCAACACTGTGTCATGTCATCATTGCTTGGCCAAAAAGGGGACTCGTATAGCAACTGGTGGTATTCGTGCAGCCTGTGCTTCGACCGTGCCGTATGCTTTTTCTCGTAAAGTCGCAAAGGCGCAAAAAGGTCAACGCCTCAAGCTGCGCATGGAGCATTGTGCAGTTGTGATATCTATTCTCCTGCGATCGATCGTATTTACTTCTGCCGTCGTGTGATGCACCCCAGCCACCCCTATCAGCCCAGGTATGATGACGTAGGTTGTGGCTTAGACAGATGTGAAGGATCGAAACCTGGAGGGCTGAGGTTTGAGGTACGAGAGATGTCGGCCCGTTATGCGCCGTCGGATAATGGCGCCGGTCGCAAGATACGAACTCCTCGGTTCTCCTCCTGCAAGAGTAAAACTATAACGAATGATCGTGGCCCATATCGCATTTTCTCCCTCCGTTATGCCGTTGCAAATGCAGGCCGAGGCGGGAAACTGCTGCTTACTGCACTGTAATGCACTCATTCGCGCTAGAACTCAACGAACGGTAAGCTCTTCACCCTAGATTTACACTACGTGTGCGTTAGCGCAGCGTAGTCTTTTCACCAAACCTGCGTTCGCGTGCAGTGGTGAGATTTCGAAGCGATGAATTGTTTGCTCCGCCCATGTTGATACGTGGAAGAAGATGCCGGATGTGAATATATCCTCCCCAAAGTTTTGTACAATGCAAATGCCGAGGTTGCGATTACCACGGTACTCGAATCTGCCCCGTTGGACTTTGCCGGAGGCCCAGGTTTTCGTTCACAAATGTTTAGGTCCCAAGCGCTTCTCTCTCTGCCGTAACATCAGGTAGTGTTCGGTGTCTTGCCGAAGAAGGCATGTTCCGAACACGCAGTGGAAGGTGTTGCGTAAACCTCTTGAAGTAAGCGCCTCGAAGCGAGGGTGACCTGGGAGAGCAGAGTTTTGCGCACAACGAACGGTATCGGAGTGGAGAACTGTCAAAGTCTGTTGAAGTTGCTGACAGAGGCGTCCACTCACGCTTCTGTCGAGTTCTAGAGTCGCGGACCGACACTACATCCACATGGAAGGATGGAAGTAACGACTAGTCCACCAAAGGTCTCATCCTTTGCAAGTTGTCCCGTGCTATGCCCCTTGGCGTTCAGAAGTCGCAACAGGAAGCCAGGTCGCATCTGCCGTGTTGGGAACGCCACGTGAAAATCATCAGAAGCGCCTCGCTTCCTCCTTCACGCCGTCGCCTGCGGAACGACTGAAGACGCCGCTATAGGACGGCATACGTTCCTGGTGGACAACGGAAGATTGCGGCTCGGTACGGGCCCATGGCATTTCTAGGCGTGTCTGAACACCATGATTGGTAGACACAGTCAAATTATCAGAAAAGTAAAGTTTGTTTACTTTCTGTCAGAGGTCTTTGCTCAAGCACAATGCTCGCGCACTGTTGCCCACAACTTCCGATGAATCATGACGCGCCTCGTATCGTGGTGATTTTCATGACAACATACATGTTGTCGTTGAGTGGATGTGCATAAGTGGACTTGAAACGGTCAGGATCGGCGGCAGCGGGAATGGACGTTGGGTGTTGTCGCTCGACGCCTGCCTCAATCTGCTTAGTGGGCCCCACTACAAGACAGTTTGCAGTCCAGAACAAATCCTACTCCAGTCACCGAAACTTGTTCCTGCGCTGTACCTGAGAAGACAGCCAGCTAGACATGGGTCTTGCCTTAGACACCTCCAACGTCCCTCTCACAGCACACTACTAAGCAGGTTCTTCTCGTGCATATGCCGCGAAAACCAACGTGGCTCCAGCGACTCGGCGACCGACCATGCATCGTCAGCACCGTGATTTGACGGATTCCCGAAGTTTAATTTCCACACAAGCTTGGCCCCTACAGCCCTACCAAGGTTGACGAATCGCCAAACCCCAGAGCCGGCGCCGTCAGACCGGGCTGACGGGAGATGTGCTCCATAATCTTATCGCACGTGGATTTTCGGAGTTGGCAGTAGTCTTGGGTGAAACACTGCAGAGAAGGCCGAGAAGGCGACGCCATGCGCTGTTCTGCACATGCTGTGGGCCTCAGGCGCTAGTTTGACTCTGTGAAAGGCGCCTCTTAATTTCCCAAAATATAAGTACAGCGTGGAAGGCACGATGAAATGGGCATCTCACTCCTTTGAAGATCCAGCTCTACCACGCTCTCTAGCAACCCCACAGTCATTCCTTTGATCAACTGATCAGTCATTCATTCAGTCATTATGCTTACCACCACCTTCATTATGGCCCTTGCTGGCCTCTCCACCATGATCGAGGCATCTCCTCTCCAGGCACGCGGCGGTAGCAAGCGCGGTCTTGCCTTCCCCAAACAGCACAACGGTGTTGCTGGATCTCAGTGGACACACAAGTTCTCTGGTTCCAAGGTCTCTTGGATGTACGACTGGGAGGCAGTCATCGATGGAACCCCCCTCGACCTCGAATACGTTCCTCTTCTTCACTCCAACCAACAGTGGTGCACTGAGGGTTGGGCCAACAACATTGCCAACGCCAAGAAGAACTACAAGGTTTCGCACGTGCTGAGCTTCAACGAACCCGACCAAGCTGGTGGTGGAGGTTCCAACATCGATGTTGCTACTGCTGTCGCCACCCACAAGAAGTTCGTTCAGCCGCTCGCCGCACAGGGCCTTAGGATCGGCTCTCCTTCAGTCACCAACGCCGACGAGCCCAACAAGGGCATCAACTACCTCAAGAACTTCATGAACCAATGCACCGGATGCCAGATCGACTTTGTCGTTGCCCACTACTACGCCTGGGACAACGCTCAGGATTTCAAGAACTACCTCGAAAAGTTTCACAAGACCTTCAACAAGCCCGTCTGGGTCACCGAGTTCGGCGTTACTTCTGGCGACGCGAATGCGTTCCTTAAGCAGGTTCTTCCCTGGATGGACGCTCAGCCCTGGATTGAGCGTTACGCTTACCATATGGTTGCGCCTTCCACTGGTACTTCCACTGACAAGAAGTACCTCATCAGCGCAGATGGAAACAGCCTGTCGGATATTGGCACGACCTTTGCCAATGCGTAGACGTTTGTTGTCTTGAGAGACGCTTCATGAGTTATGACTTCTTTTTCTTCTCCTTCTTGATACCACGTTACCTTCTTGTCTATAGACTTGTCCGAGACTTCGATACATACCTATCATCATTCAACCATTCATCATACACCATCGTTGCCTGTGATTTGTCTCATCGCGTGAAACTCAAAGCGAAATTACTGTCTTAGTACGATAACTATTTGAGTGACGTTTCATCCATCATCTCGCTTAGTCACTGGCAAAAATTCTGACCTCTACGAACAACAGAGCTGATGCGTGTCGACAAAAATGTCTAGTGACAGCCAATGGGTGTCACATCAATTCGCTAACAATTCGGGGGTCGCCTGCTTGTAAGTTGTTGACCTACGACGCGCAACATACTACCAAACACCGTCCTTGGTCTCGCTCCCGTCCACCTCTTTAATTCTTGCTAAGACACCTAATCTGCCGCCATGGTAGTAAGCCCTCTCTTTCTCGAGCCGGTATCCTGTGCACCTGTGGAAACCCGCCTCGCAGCTATACACGCTGCTCTATCTGAAGGCTTCTCTCCCAACGAACTGGACCGGCGCCCCCGCGGTGTAGGCCGCCCACTAGACTGGGCGATCGAGGATGGCGCTGCCACCGATTACGCCCATCTCAAGCAAAACCTCCCAATTGTCCATCTACTCCTTGAGGCCGGAGCTGATCCCAGGCTTCCTTCTAGGCATCCTTTTGGCTGGTCGCCGATTGAGTCCCTGGAGGCTTGGTTCAAGCAATATAAGATCAGACCGCAGGACTTCCCACCGGAGGTTTTGGTGTTGAAATCGTTCTACGAGAAGGCACTGGAAGCTATGAAAAGGGTTGCCGATGAGCTTGACAGTGAGTTTGCGTTGCTCTCGTGTTGTGTATGTTCGTTGTTCGTTAGCTAAGCTAAGACGCAATTAGCAAAAGAAGTCGCTGAAGCCGCCAGAGAAGCTCAGAAGGAGGGCTCGTTATTTGGTAGGCTGAAATTTTGGTGAAGCGATCGATGTAGCTACAGTAGGTGGTCAAAGATTTATCGCAGGAGCATCTCAGTCCTGCTAATCGAATTTTTGGGTTCTTTGTTATGGGAGTGATCTTTTACCCAACGTCTTATTCGACTTCAGCATACCCTACGATGGTCACATCTATGATACAGATTTTTGGATGATCTTTCAAAATGACACGTCAAAACTGGTTCACTCACTCCCTGGCTGCTCTCTTCATTTCATAACCGTGTAGATGATCCGCTAGACCCTGCTCGATTTCCAACGCTTCTATAGTCCTCCCTCTGACCATTGTCCTTGCTACCTCTTGGGAAGAAATTCCGGTTGGTACCAAAGTCCTGTATGTTCAAGTCTAATTCCAATAGAACATCTTCCTTTTCCTCGGTGCTCACGTAGCTCAAAGCTGCCAGAAAGGAACGGTCATCTAGATCAATCGCTCATACCATAGTTTGGCGATCAGTGAAAGTATTAGCATTTATCAAGAGAATGCAGTGAAGAAGTAGAAGTGGGAATTGTACAACAAGATTACAACGTCGACTTACCCTCCTTATCTTGAAGTCGAGACCATGCCGCTCTCGTAATCGCTATTCTGTAGCTAACCACGTCGAGTCTCATCGTTGAGAAAGGTGGTGGAAGGGAAAGCAAACCATTGAGCAATCCTAGGGTGTGGTCATGATACCTTTCATAGAGGGCGATATGGATAATCATTTGTTTCTTGGTTTCCCCTAGCTACCAAAGAATTGTTTTACAGCAGAAAAGCGGCTCAAGGTGTAACTATCTGCACACTGGCTTCACCTATATCATTCGCCGTGAGCTGATACGATCATGAAGATAACCGTGTTCACGCCGTCGTTTATCGCTGGCCAGACCTCAAAGTACGAGGAGCGCCTAGCATTACTCGTCTCATCCGTGGCTGTGTCAATGTCGTTATTAGAGCTTGATATCAATATCTGACTATATGACGCATCAGTAGAATACAATTATGCGAGCAAAGACCAGAGAGTCCAGAACCTTGAAACAGCAAGCGGCAAGATCATGTTGACCTACAACAACGACATCTTCAAGGACGGAAATATGGCTGCATACCAAGTTTGGGCCAGAGCGCAAGTAAATGACGGCGTGAAGCCAGTCAACAGCGCTATCAACTCTGCAATGGAGGGTATGGATTTTTGTTCCTTGATGCAAGGCCTTGTGTTATATGCTGATTGTAGTCTTCTAGGATACATTCAAACCGACTTTCTCGAGGAAACGTGCGATTCTGAGATGCTTGGACTGGGCTTAAACGAACTTTTCAATTCAATACTCGCGTACTGGGCTCTTCAGATTGTGTTATTTGTTTATATATACACATTACAAGTAGACTGATGGCTGCTCTCCACCATAGCCGTTGATCAATCTTCAATGTCGTCATCGCTCAACGTGAGACTGGCGCCTTTGTCTGCTAATCCAGAGATGGCCGATTCCGGCTCTTGCGCTCGGCTCTCGAACTTCACTCGTCCCTTCCGTTTGGGTGTCTCTAGGGTCGGTTTGTCTGTCGACCACTGCTCTTGCTCGCCGGGGCGGGCATCCTCCTCCATATCATCTTCTTCAGTGGCACCAGCTAAAGCATTCCCAGTAAATGAGGTAATCTTCTTGATCTCACGCACAGTGGCTGCTGTAGATGGAGGCGGCATGCGTGACCTTCGTAAAATAGTAGTCAGGTAAGGAAGACGTTCCAAAAGCATCTCGTTCCGAGCCGAACCACCACTTCCTAGGAGAATTGAAGCGGGTGCATCTTCTTCCGCATCTTTCGAGCCTGACGCTGATGTGGGTCGTGAAAACGAGGCATTGCCTCTCCAAGTCTCGACTCCCCCGCTTGAGAAAGTCGGTTTTGATGTACCTGACCCCATCGAAAACAGTTCACCGCGTTGCGCTTTCGATACCCACATCTCCAATAAATCTTCAATCTCTTCCTGCTGTTTCCATATCCGCAGCGACGCCGGGTAGTACATGACGAACGCGTTCCCTCTCGCCGCGCCGCCACTTGCTCCCTGGCCTTTCGCTTTGATGCCCATTGTGCCCGGGGGTGGCGCCATTCGTTTGACAGGATATGGCAGATTGTACAGAAGTCCGCGCACGCTCGTCTGAAAGCACATCTCGTCTTGACGCAGATTGTCCGCACTCGTTCCTTGAAGATTCCGACGGCCAGCGCCAGCGCCAAACCGATCCGGCGATAAAAGATCGGCATCCGAAAGACCTTCTATACATCCCTCAATAGAATCCATTGTTTCTTCACTATCTGCACCTCCGCAAGACAGGACATAGTTTTCGTGTAGAGCAGCAACAAAAGTTTGTGTATCGGTGCCTAGCTCGTCGATGAGCGTGTCAACATTGACCTCCGAAGCCTTTGGCCTTCGCCTCTCGGGAAACCAGTTCGGTGGATGGGCTACAGGTGTGTTAGGGTCTTCTGGTAGACGTTTGTTGTAGACGACCCTCCCAACGGCGTGGAAGATACCAAGAGTGCTTTCCCGCTGCGTTACCATCTCAAGCGACTCCTGTTCAATCTTCGTTATTGGGACATCTTTCGGCCCCTTCTTCTTGGTAAAGTTGACCTTTGCGCCCCAGCCTTCCGCGTCATCGCCGCGTAAGCATAAGAACTCGAGTGATGAGACTGCGCTTCTGATGTCTCCAAGCTCCGCAAGACGATGGATGGCTTGTGGCCCGAGAGTCTTCTTACGTCCAGACTTCCGTGCCTCTTTGACAATGATTGTGTCTAGCGCTTTCGTCATGAATGTAGTTGCGATTGGATTGAACTCGATAACATCCACTCCAGGATGAGTAAGGATCTCAGGACCTAACAGACGATGTGCAGTGAAGCTGTCTGCTGCTGCTGTACTGGTAGACAGCAGAGTCTCTGAGATGATCATAACGATTGGAGTCACGGGCTGCTCGGAATCGACTTGGGTGGAGAAGAATGCAGTAGCTGATTGTGTGTTGGCAGCAAGATAGTTGAGGACGGAAGAGCGAAAAGATTGGACGGCCGAAGAAGTACGTGTAAATGTATTCGGAAACTCCTCTACTAGGACCAGTTGCTTCTGCCTTGCAGCATGACTGCTAGGCGGAGCGGACTGAAGACTCATTGTCGGCTTATCGAAGGCCAGACTACCAAAGGTTCCAGTTCTCCCAACAAAGTCGTCGAATTGTGCAGTAGCAGACACGAAGCTGTCAGAAGTGGACATGGAACCTATAGGGTTCTTCCACTCATGCATTTCAATGTCCAGTTCTTTGGAGAGCAAGGACATGGTCGTGGTCTTTCCACTACCAGCGGGGCCTTTGAGGAGCAGCAATCTCTTACGTGACTTGCCGCTGAAGACGTCGGCCAGCCATGTCCGCACGTCTGTCACCTTCTTCTTATGTACAGCGAGCTCATCGAGCGACACGGGGCCGTACTTTTCAGTCCATGGCCGCCGGTCATCTGTGTCCTGCCGCGCCGGCTGAGACGACGATGGAGTGACACTGCGGGCTCCGCTTGCTGTTCGTAGGAACTTCTGTCTACTGTTCACGGTACTGCCATGGTCACTTGGCGCTGTCGCAGCGATCGGTCTCTTGCGCACGGGGAGAGGTTTCGAGGGTTTGACCGGTTGCGCATCGTCCGAGGAATCAAAAATGTCGTCGTCGAATATATCGTCTACACCCTCAATGGACGCGGCAGGTTTCTCGGGACTCGGCGTGGGCTGTAGCGATTGCGGCCGCGGCACACTGCTGAAGAAAGAAGTGATGGGCTTGAGGACGGGCTTTGTCTTGGCCGGGGATTTGGCTGGAGACGTGGTAGTCTTAGTAGCAGCTGTTCTCGATCGCGTGGGAGAGGCTGCACGTGTCTGGGATCGGGTAGCCTTGTTCTTACCATGCGCCCCAGTCGGTACGCTTGTTAGTGTGCCCCTCTTGGAACGCGTGGGAGGCGGTGTGTGTGAATCATCTGCTTCAGAGTCGGATGAGAGCACAATCGGCTGTTTCCGCGTGGCTCGAGGCTTAGCCATGCCGCCCCAAGTTGCTGGACCTGGTGAAGACTCGACTGCAGAATGACATACTCAGTGCTAGCCTGGTTGGAGTTGCAAAGCGCGTGATGGGAGCCTGTGCAGCCCTGACGATTTCACGTCGCGTCGGAAGGCGGAGGAAGTTCCACGCCTCGGGTCAAAGCGCGCTAGGTCGGGTGGGGCTAGCAGCTACTAAACTTGTTGACAACGCATCTTCCTTCTGCATCTTCACACACACCGCTGCTCTTTTACCGCTAGCACCCGCTGTAGTGCACTCCTTTCGAGGCTGATATGCAGCTAACACGTCCAACCGCAGTATGCCACAACGCCCTCCCTGTCGCTTCTGCATCGAGGCCAAATTTTGACTTCCCACGGCGTCATCGCGTGCATATTGGTTCGTTGGATCGTTTTCCTACAGTAAATATCAACAATGAATTCGGGCCATGGTCTCCCGTTGATCCACTGCCGATGGCTGCCGTTGTGGTACAGAATGAGAAGCACAGCGCGACCATATAGACGTAACTGTACCAGACACGCGAAGGCGTCTGCCATGGCTGGAGACGTTACGCTCGGGGCATATAAATTAGGCCGCTCAAGTTTGCGATGAGCTGGCAGCTCCCTGCCAATCTCCCATTGGGCGGCATGGCGTTTGCAGCTTGTACTATCCTCTTTCATCATTTTCACTGCCGCGTTCTTTATATACTGATTCTGCGCTTGCTCATTGTTTTTTGACCTGTTTCCCGCCGCCATGCCACGTTAATAGACAGCTATTCTAATCTCTGCAACCATCTGAGCTCAAAGTGAGAAGCGCATGCTCTGTTGTAATTTTTAGGTGTTCTGGCGTCTTTAACATTATATAAAACGACCATCGCACTTGGCGGCCGCCGTTATGGTGAAGAAGAAAAGCAAGAGCAGGAAACCGGTGGAGACCGTTGCTCCACCTGACAACGTGCCAACGAATACTGCCGAACCATTTCTAGATGCGCCTGAAGTTCCATTGACAGCAGAGCTATCAGCCACAGAAGCAGCGTCCGGGGAGCAGTCAATGCCAACCGCTTCCGAAGTGGAGACAGACGAGGGTACGGTTCCCACGCCGGTGGACGTGTCCACACCTGCACCCTCACAACACTCTGAGAGCATACAGACTATTCCCGACGAGGCCACAGAGCCACAGGCCATCGAGACCATACCTGCTGCAGACCTGGAGCCGCCAATGGAAGAAGAGCGGGAATCTGGATCGCAAGCGGACCCTACCGAAGCCACGGTCTTAGCGACTGCCGCACAAAGCGCTGAAGATATGCAGCATACTACAGTGGAGGAAGAAGAGTTACCATCAATCGAACCAGGAGAAGCGAATGATCCAGAACCCACTGTGGAGCAAGAGGATGCGTCAGAAGAACAACAAATTACAATCCAAGGGTACACATATCAACCAGCGCTCCTCCCCATCCAAGAATCTGTTCAGCATACAGCTGAAGACGAAACGCCGGTTGAAGTCACAGAACCTCTACAAGAATCTGCAACCGAGCCAGCGCCTGAAGCAGAAGCAGAACCTTCCGTACAGACTGCACCTACCACTGCAGAAGAAGCCGTCGAGTCGGCAGAACCAATGGAGGGTACTCTCAGTGGAGAGGAAGTTGAGCTAGACCCAATAGATATACTCCAACTACCCGACGCTCCTGAAGCTCCCGAAGCACCTGAAGCACCTGAAGCACCTGAGGCGCCCGAAGCACCTGAAGTACCTCAAGTACTTGAAGCTCCTGAGGCTCAATCAGAAGAGTCAGCTGACATAGTCGAGGATGCCACCGAAATTGTAACAGAAGAAGATCCAGTGGTGTTTGCACAAGAACTCGAGACCTATCCAGCAGCACCCGAACAGCCGGTAGGTACCGAACCACAAGATGTACCCATCGATGAAATATCAGTGCTAGAAGCCCCGGAGAGGCCGGGTGTTGAGAGATTCGAGACTGCGCAGGAGGGGTTGGTAACACTTGCCGCTGAGCCGGAGGTGGAGCCTGAATCTATACCTGAAGTTCTTTCTGTCGAGGCTGCCACGAAACCATCATACGAATTTGCTGCGCCCGCAGACGAAGAAGCACCAGTGCAAGAACAGGTGCAACTTGAGGAAGAAGCAACGACCACTGCGGAAGCCCAAGAAGCTGCTGAGCATGTGCAGGCTATTCAAGCTCAAGAAGATGCGCCGCATAAAGAGCTGGACAGGCTGGAGCAAGAAGCTCTCGAGCACGAGCGGCTGGCGAAAGAAGCACTAGAGCAAGAGATGTCACATAAGGAAGCCGAAGCCAGCAGATCATTAGAGAATCAACGTGCAAGAGAGGCCCAAGAAGAGATGGAAGCTGCCGAAGCCGTCAAACGAGCTGTAGAAGAAATGAGGGTCAAGAAAGAAGAGCAACAACGAGAGTCTGAAAGACTCGAAGAAGAGCGACTAGCCCGTGAGAGGCTTGAGCAAGAGAAGCTCGAGCAGGTTTCTGAAGCGAGGAAACTCCTAGCGTTAATGGAGGAAGAAAGACGTGCAGAAGAAGCCCAGGAAGAGATCGAAGCTGCAGCAGTTGCCGAACGTGCTCAAAAAGAGAAGGACGAAATCGAAGCTGCTGCCGCCGCCGAACGCGCTCGAAAAGAAAAGAAAGAACTTGAGGAAGAGCAATTACGACGTGAAAAAGCGGCCCAGGCTCGAATTGCAAGGAAAGCTCGAGCAGCAGCAGAGGTTCTCGTAGAGGAGCAAAGATTGGCAGCAGAGAGGCATGCTGAAGATGGGTCACGTGAACAGGCCGAGATACCATTCATCGCACGTCGATCAATGATCGAGTCAGCACGTGCTCCGTCACCTCTTTCGGGAGTACCTGATATGCAAGATCGTTCTCCGGTCTCTGATCGACCATTTCGATCGTATCGATCTTTCGCGCCACATGCACCGAAGCTTAGAACACACGAAGCGGGTCCAAACCATGCGCCAAAGCCTTACGCTGTGGCACAGCTCATTGAGGATAATAGACCTTCGGCACCGAGCCCGCCAATGAGTAAAGTACGACCAAGGTATGTAAACTCGATTCAACTGCTCGATGAGCGCATAGCGCGGGTCTTCTTCGGCGCGACCGTAAACCACTACACTGGGCCCAAAGCGAACATGCTTAAGATACATAAGCTTACTCACCGAACTCTTACGGAATTATTGTACTGACTAGATGTTTTCCTTTAGATATGCTCCTACTTTCGATACAGACGACGATTCAGATTCTGCTCTAGTACAAAACAGGATAGCGTCGAGGCGTCCATTTAGCGGTGAAGCACATGAAGTGTCGCGGTCCCACTTGGGCCCACATCAACCACGTAGCGCTTTTGCATCCCGAGTGCCTGTTGAGCCCACCTATCCGGCCCCTCCACCAAATTATCATCCCAGCTACTATGCCCCGCCAACCCAGCCGCCTCACCAGTACCCAAATCATGCATACGGCATGAGTCAGCAGGGTTATCCCGCGCCTAACCCCAATCCTTACGGCCCTTCGTCGCATTCTTCCTCCCCTCCCTACCAGGAATCATGGAGCCAATACCCACCCGGGTACCCTCCTTATGGCAACTCATCGCAACGACAGGACTCCTCGGGTTCTAGAGACTATCATTCACACGCTTTAGAGAGTCGACCTGCAATCGAAAACGGGTCTGGTGACGCTTTCTCACGCATCCCGCAGACCGATCTGCACGTGCTACTTGCGCATTACAAAGAGAATCACAATCAATTACGTATTAGGGAGGACTTGCTCCGTCGGCAGAGTGCTGAGCAAGAACAGCAACTGCGAGCAAAGGATGGTGAGCTTGGTGAACTGAAGGACAAGATTCGCAACTTGGAAGACAGGCATTCTGCCGAAGCAAGCAGACTACATTTTCAGATTGGTAATCTGGAAGAGCAAGTTAGAGAGCTTCGAGAGCTGATTGCCGAAACCAAGAAAGCCAAAAGAGACGCTGAAGAGTCCAAATTGGCATTGAATGCAGCTATGAGGTCTTGGGAGGACAGGTACAGGGAGTTGGAAGATGTGCATCGCACCTTGGAGAGGACCTCTGCGGAAGAGAGGGAAAGGGCGTGGAGAGATTTCGACGAGTGGAAGTCCGCCACAATCACGAAACACGACGCCGAGAAGATCGCCCTTGCTATACAGTTCGACAAGAAGTTGAAGCAAGCTGGTCAAGATGCCGAGAATGCATCTGAGCTGAGGTCTCAGCTCCAGCAAGCCCTTGAAGAGCGCGACAACTTACGGAAGCAACGAGATGAAGCGGAAACGAGAGCCGAAGAGGAAGCAGCGAGGGCCAATCAGTTGGTGAGAGAGAACGATGAGCTAATGAACCAATACAATCAACTCAAGGCCGAGAGTCAACAGGAGAAGGAGGTCATCAGAAGTGTTGCCAACAACCTCGAGTCGGAGAAATCCAGACTGGAGAAGATGATGGAATGTTATGGTGACATTGCCGAAATCAAGAGCAAGGGCGACAGCTACTAGTAAGTGACCCAGTCTTGCACATTTGTTTATGATATCCCCACGGTGGTGGCAGAAGCGCATCGTGGCTGATGTTGAATCGATTGCGAACGGCTTCGATTTGCTTCCTCGTCCCAAACCTGGGTAACGAAGAGCGCACCGAGACCGTCCAGCGAATCTTCTGGCCGACGGCTGTGATGTCACGCTGGAAGCCACAATGTGTTGCCATACACTGTCTTCAGAGTTCACCAACCCCTTAACGCAATGCTTGCTTCCGCATCAGTCGCGACTCCCCTATCTTTCTGTTATGCTAGGAGTCACCCGTTAACACTATCGCGTCTAGCCTGGTATCCTTTTCTCAGCTCCAAAGGCAAATCATCGACCTCGCTACAACCCATTTCGTTCATCTTCCAGTAAGGCCACCGCCGGAGGATCTTTCTCAAGTACCGTCCAACCTACCATCATTCCTTGGCGATAGCATTGCCTCCAGGTGAGAAAGATCAATCCATGTACACCATGACCTCAGATACTAACCGAGTCTTCTATCCAGGCAAGTTCGAGCTGCATACATCGCCCACACTGTATCAAAGTTGATCACGTTCCGTGTGTTCGGCCCGTTCTTGTTCAGTCTTGGTCGTCGGTACGACAAAGCTGATTCCCTGTTTTCTTCAATGAGCCACCACATTCGCGAGAAGAGCACGCGCAAAGAAGCGATCTGGCGACAACAAACACTCCTTGCTGCATTCACCAGCACCGGCGCGAAGCAGCGCATCAATACTGCTGCGGGAACTGTTGTGGAGGAGATTGTCAATGCTATCCGACACTTTGCTGATCCGAAAGAGGAGGAGGGTATCAAGATTGCCGTGAAACGCATTGTCAAGGTTGCTGCAGAGACATGGAGGTTTGCTCGTCTCGAGCGCGAGATGATCACCGCTGTCATGCCTGCGCTACATGATGAAGAACATCAATTCACCGGCAACCAATTTTGGCCAGCTTACAAGGCAGAGACAGGTTCGGCGGACGATAGCCTCCCTCCCACTGATTCGCAACGACAGCTACTGCTTAGAATCTTCCCGGTCGTCTATCGCGAATCGAAGCACGAGATCTTCCAGAACAACGAAGAGCGCGACGAAGGCTGCATTCTCCACCATGGATTGGCCCTGTATGATGATGCAGAGCCAGTCGTGACGAGAATGGAGGAGCTCAAATCTGCTGGTTTGCCTTCCCATACCACTGCATTAACGAGTCCGACTGACGAGGGCAAGTTTCCGCCGCCGGTATGTAACACCACCCGCGTGTTCACCTTACCCCCGCGTTCCTAGCACCGTTTTCGAGCTTGATTCACCGCTTCATTCACCTCGCCTCTTGAAGGGCTCGCGATATAACGAGATCTACGTAAGACGGAAAGACTGCTTTAGATCACTTGGCTAATCCACCGGTTTCTCAGGCCTGCCCGCCGCCCCGCGACCCTATACCACCTCCTCCGTCTCCACCCGCTCCCCGATCTCCGACGAAGACCGAGACGAATTCGGCTGAGGAATCTTCCGCATCACGCCCAATGTCACCTATCGCCGAGAAGCCAGAGAAGCCAAAGAAGCTCTCGGCCATTGAGCGAGCATTGAACCTCTTCTCTGCTCCTTTCCCGGACGACAAGCCAAAGCCTCCGCCTCCAGGCTCTACGTTCTCACGTCCACCGGCGCCTCCAACATCCGTGTTCACGTCGCCTAGGAACTTTATTGGTATGCCAGTGGAGAGTCTGGCTCCCTCACACGCACCAAGTCCCAAGAAAAAGCCACCACCACCACCGCCGAAGCCAAAGCCCGATATTCCTTCAACGGCAGCAGAGATTGCGGAAGCCATACGCCATCGTGCGTCCGTCGAAAGCGCGATTCTGCCTCCGTCTTTTTCCCGCACCACAACGGGAGAAACGATTCAAGAGGATTCACGAGCTCCAACGCCGGTAGACACGGTATCTCATCTTTTTGATGCCATTGATGAGATTGAAACACTGGTGCCTCAACGCACGCGGACTACGTCAACCTCCACCACGCACTCACGACGTCGCTCCACGCACAAGCGTCGATCTAGCGAACATGCCATGGAAGACGAGCTATTTGATATCACTCCTCGGCCAGAAATCAGTCGCAGGAAGAGCGGGTATGCTGCGAGTATCCGTACGACCAAGTCTGCCGATACCGAGCGCACTGATAGAAGTGAGCGCACCGACAAAAGTGAGCGCACTGATAAGAGCGAGCGTACTGAAAAGAGTGAACGCACGGAAAAGAGTGAGCGCACTGAGAAGAGCAGCCGCAGCCATCGAACGGAGAGGAGTGACCGCTCGGATAAAACCGAGCGTGAAAAGGCTCGCTATCTGTATGAGACCCGCGGTGCTGCCATGAAGGCTCTTTATCCCAGTACTCCAATAAAGGGTTCTCATGGTAGCTCCAGGAACTCAGCCAGGAGTGAAAAGAGGGAGAGGAACAAGGATAGAGGAAGCAAGGACTCTACCAAGGAATCGACATCATCGAGGGAATCAAGAGAATCCCGAGAGTCGAAGAGAGACTCGCGAGAGGTCAGGAGACAGAGGAGCATCTCCGATGCTGGCACTTGGGATACAAACAGCATCATGACTCATGATTTTGCACCTACCACTATTACGATGGATGCACCCTATCCTTCCTCGTACGACTCAAGACGAGACTCGAAAGAGTTGAAGAGAGAGTCGAGAGAGATCAGACGTCAGAGGAGCATCTCCGACGCTGGTACCTGGGATACCAACACTGAGATCTCTGCTGCTCGGCCCCCACCCACCACCGTATCGACCAATGTTCCTTATCCGACAGGAATGCCTTGGGAATTGAAGCGGTCGAGAAGCATTTCCGACTGCGGTACCTGGGATACTAGTAGTGAAGTCACTCAACGTGCTCCTCCCACTACCGTATCGACTAACGTCGCCTATCCGATGGAGAAGCATATGGACGCGTCGGAACGATGGTCCATGCCACCACCTCGTGACACAAGGGGAATGGCTGTCTACGATGACGACGATGCTGTCTCCGATACTGGGACTTGGGATACGAATACCGAGATCAACACCCACCGCGCTCCCCCTACGACTGTCTCCACCAACGTACCATACCCGACACAGATGTCGCGATATCTGCAAAGACCAAGCGATTCCGATGAGGACGAGTCTGACGATGGCGTATCCGACACCGGGACTTGGGATACGAATACTGAGATCACTACCCACCGCGCGCCTCCAACAACCGTATCAACAAACGTACCCTACTCAAACGTGCTACCCCGCCAGCTGAGAAGGCTAAGCGGCAGCGATGCCGGCACTTGGGACACCAGCAGTGAAGTGACGACAGTCACACACCGCCCCCCTCCCACGACCGTTTCAACCAACGTCCCCTATCCAACCGGCCAATTCAGCGATCTCGCCCCCTCGAGCTACCCACCCGGTCCCTTTGAGCAGCTCAAGCGAGTCGAACAACTCAGGAAACAGCATGAACACCATAGCTTCTCCGACGACGGTTCCGACTCCGGTACCTGGGATACGAGCAGCGAGATTACTCATGCGAACAATGGGCCTGCAACGGCTGTCTCGCAAAACAAACCTTATCACGACAGACCCAGAAACCTGAGAAGGCAGACGAGTCCTTCCGACGCGGGGACTTGGGACACAAACAGCGTGATTACGGATGTGAAGACGACTGTTTCGACGAATGTGGGGTATGCTGCTGAACGAAGGTCTCGATAGGCACATGCGAGGAGGCATCGTTTGGATGATGTGCACAGTATAGTTTCTTTCCTTTTGACTTTACAGTTTCCTCTTTCTTTCTTTTCTGGGGGTGAGGTGGGGGGAAGTAAAGCCTCGTTGTTTGAGATTTACATGATGCATCGTGGCGACGAAGATGGGGGGAGGGCATGCGAGGTAATCTACGAGGCCCACATTGATGATGACAAACAAAGACGCAAACGATGATGAGCACGAGCGAAAGATATACATGGATAACGGCCGAGCAATGCATGATGGATATGATGAAGATGGTAGCGAAGATGGTTGGCATTTCTGTAGCATGGCGTTCTGGGTGTTTGCACGTCTGATTCGAAAGCGATAGACGAGCTTGTAAGATAGTACACATATATCAGCTGTTTTCAAGTTTCATACTAGCTTTCATTGTCTGCATCTGTGATGAAGCGGACATTCCTTCAGTTGTACTGAATACTGAAGATACATCCGGAAAGTGGTCGACGTATTCTGTAGCTCCATGTTACTGGGTAAAATATGATCCAGACCTCTCGCATACGTGTTTTATCGCGAGAAGCAGGTCCCTTGGCCACATATCCTTCGATCTGGCAAACGACTCCATGTAAAGATATTGATATCGACAAAAGGCATGCTAGCTATCCATCGAACCGAGTCGTAACATTCCATCATTTCAACCATGCTCCCCATCCGGTATCCACCATAAACGCCATTTAACACCCACACATGCAGCGTGAACACACACACACACACACACCCCTCCTCATAGTCTACCTGCCATGAGAGCAAAGCCTAGACCTTCTCATCATGAAAAACAAAGCTAATATCCCTCGGCCGCTGGGTATTATACCTTACGAAATTCTCATCGCCCTGCGGCCTCTCCTTCTTCGTGTTACTCGTAAGCATACTCTGCAGACTGACACACACACTCTCGACGTTGTGAACAGGCGACCAACCGGAACGGTCGAGCAAATCGAGGCAAATGATGCCGTTGGAGTAGATGTGCGGGTGCCAGGGTATGGGGTGCGTGGGTGTACGGACGAAGACTACTTCGGGGGCCTGCGATACCACATGGCATTAGTCGTGTTTTTGGTAGTTGATGGGGCAAAGAGAATGTGGCGTAGAAGAATAATGGAAGCAGTCAGAAGGTCAGAGTGGGGGATGGGCGGTGGTGAGCAAGTAGTATGAGAGGAAGGGGAGACATACCTCGATAGGATACTGTGGCGTGAAACTAAACTTTAACCGATATGTTTCTCCCTGGTAAAGCGGGTTGTCGTCCATGACTTGGATGTCCATGAGCCAGGTTTGGAAGTCGTCGGCCTGGATGAGCGTTATGCCTGGAGGGAGTTTCTCGTGCATCTGTGTCCTCGTCGTCAGCAACCTGATCATTTCGTCCTTGCATAGCCGTATCCGTAGTCATTCCTTGAATTCTACGCTGTGGGCGCGGGTTGTGTGTAGATTTTGGCACATGGACGCGTGAATTTGGAGGAATGCGTGGTGGGTAGGAACTTATTCGACCGAAGACGACCGATGAGAGGGATTCGGTACCTTTGACAGCTCCTATAACACACGTTAGCTTCTTCTCCCTTCATGTATCTGTCTTTGCGCCTTCTCCTTCCCTCTACATGTCCGCTCAAGACTGGGTAAACATACCTTGCCTAACCGTTTCGACGCGAACATCTTGAGTTATGCAACAGCGCTCCTCCTTCAATTCAGCTCTGGTGTAGAGGCGCGAACAGACGCAGTACCTCTTTCGCGGTACCTGTTTTACAGCGACAACGTCGTGGTTACGCGTGCTTTGTCTGCTTCGTGTCTCAGCTGTTCGCGACTGGAGCTAGACAGGCTGCGACCCTGGAGACTGCACTGAGTGGGGGAGGGGCAAGCAGCACGCCTAACGGTAACAGCCTAGAACTATGATTGAAGGGAAATTGTAGTCGTGGAAGTTGAAAGGAGCGACTAGGAGAGTGCGAAGGGAATAGGTGATAGGGTCCCAGATGTGCCAGGCTGGTCGTTGCCTGTCGTTTCTCGGGGTCTCGGCTTTGTTCCGAGAGCTGGGTGACGTTGCGGAGCGCACATGCAAGGGCAAAGGCGGACGACGGCTGTAGTGTATGAACACCACTTTTTTAGATATGGATTACCTGGGTTATCTTCAGAATCATATATACTAACTCATGATTCACTTCAGAGGCTCAGATTGAGAAATTTGTTGAATGTTCGAATTTGGGCTTGATAGACCCATGATATCTCTGCGCGCCATACGCCATACCGTAGCTTTTGCCTAGCCAACTGTACACTCCTAGAGGAAATTGCATTAAAGATAAGAAAGGTAAACGTCGCTCGAATCCTACGAGTAGAAAGCGCCCTTCTGGAAACTCTCAACCCCCATATCACCCGCCTTGCTCTCAACCTTCGGACCGACCTTCTCAGGTACCTTGGCTGCAGTCATGGTAGCAGTCCTGCTTGAATCGCTGCTGTTGGTCATCGTCTGGGTTCTGCTGCCAGCCGGACTACCGCTCTGGCTTCCACTGGTAATCTGCGCAGGTGTCTTTCGCTGAATAGTCTCGAGATAAATACCAGGGAGATAACCCATACGCCCGTCTCTTGATCTGCACTTCCACCACTCTGATGCATTGCCCATGGGGTCGCTCTTACTTAGCACAGCGACCATATCTCCCTTCTTGACCGACAAGTCCATTCCCTGCATGTTGGCGTTGGGCGTGAAGTCGTAGAGGGCGCGGCAGAACTCGAGCTTGTTGGGATCGAGCGGTTGGCCGGCTTGCGGGTTCTCGAGCATCTTCCGTTGCTCCTCGGCTTCTTGTGATCGCGCGAGTGCCTTGATGAGTTTGCCCATAAGGTAGGGTAGACCGAATACAGCGAGCATGAATACAAAGAATGGTTTCTTGGAGGGCTTCGCGGGTGCGGGTGAGCCGTCGGGCATGCGTCCGTTGAAGGCTGCGAAGCTGGCGGGGGTGAGGGCCGTCGCATCGGCTGGTAGGGGTCGTCCGGTGAGCTTTGCAATCGCCGTTCTTATCCATCGCATTATGGTGTAAATGCCCAAAACCGAGCCAAGCGTTTGTCGTAGGTTTCCGAACTGCTCTGCCACAGATACCATGGCTGTTCATGTTAGCATTTGGTTGGCTGTAGCCGGAGGGTGAGCCTACCGAAGAAGGACGAATGCGTCGCCATGTATGTGCTTTGCAGCATCTGTGCAAACCCGCCGAATGCACCGACAATGTTCTCAATCAACTGGAACGTCGCCGCTGTACTTTGGCTGAATGATTGTGTGAGGCTGCTGTTTGGGTCGCCTGGCATGCCTCCCATACCACCGTACATTCCGCCCATTCCCATGCCCATGCCACCCATGCCGCCGTACATGCCACCCATACCGCCCATGCCACCGTACATGGAGCCGTAGCCGCCGCCCATGGAGGAGTAGGGTGAGCTGTAGCTGCTCATTCCCCCATATCCGCTGCTGTAGGGGGAGCCATAGCGATTGTTCATGCTGGAGTAGTTGGACGCGTTGCGGTTCGCGACGGTGCTAAGGGAATCCGGCACTGACGGCAATGGAGGCGCACTTGAGGATGTCGTCGTCGAAGTGGGTGTTGTGGTGCTATTCGATCCAGTGAGGCCTGTGTTGTTGTTAGTCGCGGTTATCCCTGACGTATGGAATGGCTGGCGGAACTGACCGACCGAGGCACTCGTCGCGCCGTTGCTCGTCTCCCACGGCTTTGGCGGCGATGGCGCAGACATTTTGTCGAATGTGCGTCGTCCGCGCCTGTGTGCGCAGAAAAGAAGGCTGCTTCGCAGAGATGATGGAGGATGTCGTCAATGTGCAGGCCGGCAAACGTCGAGAGGCTGGCAATTCGCGGCGATCGAGGGCTGCGAGTTTTTGCGGGGAAACTGCGCCGGCCGGGGCTTTGAATCGCGAAAAGGGCGGATCCGCCTTGACGTTTGGCTGACGACCGATACTGCGCGCGCAAGCAGTGATAAGGGCAATGTGGCTGGATGCAGAGTCGTACGCAGACGGAGATGGAGATGGAGGCGATGAGTGAATGCGCAATGTCGTCGGCCGGGGTGCGGCTCGTCTTTCACACACACAGACGCTGAGTCGCGCGAACAGACCTCGGTTTCTCGTGCCCGCTTTGGCAAGCCCAACCGTCACCTATCACACGCCGACCACTTTGCCACTCCACTGCTACAATCGCCGGCCCACTCCGCTGCATCGCCCAAATCCGTCTCCACCACATGCTGATTGTGCAGTGACCACAGGTTTGCCCCAGTCATAGAGTTCAACTCACTCGCATTTCAGCTTCAAGGAAACTCTTAGAAATGCACTGCATGAGAGAAAACTAATTGCTTGAATTGTCCTGTTCGGCCTACTGTTGTTACACATGATTCCTTCACATGAAAATCACAAACCGCCTCCAAGAAAACACCCTCAGTCCCCAATAGCATACAGCGAGTGCACCCAGCTATCCGGATCATACGCCACCAACTTCTTCATCGCATCATCCGACATGCTTTGCGAAAAGTCAAACTTGTCGTCCAACACCAACGCTGTAATATGCGGATAATGCCACACAACCGCAAACTTCATCGTCTGTCCAACAGGTCTGCTGAAGTAATTCGAGTCCCCGCCCTCCAAATTTCCCTGCCGATGTATAGTCGACTTCGCTCGTTCTGCGCCGTTGCTTAGGAGCTCGAAGGCGTCGAATTCGCCACATCCGGTGGACCAGCACGAGCAAGGGATGTTGTTGCGGTCGCTGCCATACTGTAGGATGCGGGGGATGGCTGCGTTGAGGAACCAGTAGGCTGGAGCGTCGGAGAGCATGCCTTGGTCTGTGCCGAGGTTGGGATAGTGGTCCATCTGGAATTCGATGAAGAAGGCTTTTGATGAGCCGGACCAGCCGTAGTGAGAGGTTGCGTTTGGCCTCCAGTACGGACAGTCCGCGTCACACTCTTTGTCAGAAAGAACTACGATTTCTGTTTCAGACGTTTGAAGCATGCCGTTGAATGGTAGACTCTCGGCTGCTACCTTGTCACCTCGAGGAGTGACGTAGCTGAGCGAGTTTCCGAAGGCACTGAGGACTTCAGCATCAATATCTCAGGAATCGTGGAGGACTTACTAGTCGAAAGTACCAGACTTTTGGGGGTCGCCCAGATTGGCCATGAAACTGAGTCCAGTGGCTTGGGCCGGTGCTGTTGACGTGTAGTATGCAATGCGGCTCCAATCGGCAGCCTGCCTTTTCACCATGGACGATGGCAATGGCACAGGAATATCATAAGGCTGTCCATTGGGACGTTGAAACACTGGTGATGTATCTTGTGTTGAGAATGATGTCGGTGTCAATACTGAGGTTGGACTGACGTAGACCTGTCCGTTGGGCCTCTGAAAGATGGGATCATCAACTCTATCATTGCCGCAAGTGCAGTTCGGTGCTGAAGACGCGGGATCGGCTATCGATGCCGCAGCAGACGTAGTCATACACGACAGTGGAGGACCTATATAAGTCATGTTCGGTGCAGCCTGCGAGATACTAATTGAAGAACAGGCTGCCTTTACCGTCACAGTCGATGTCACTGTAGCTGAGGTGCAACTGGTTGTTGTGCTATATGTCCATTTGTTCAGACGATTGAACCAGCTTGGTGACGACGACTGCGTAGGAGTGGCAGTGGCGTCAGATATCACTAGTGTTTCTCGTTGCTCCAATGCTCGACGACGGTTGTAAAACGGCACTGTAGTCCGCTTCTGCATTGTATGCACTTCGTCTGGAAGCTGGTAGACTGCGAGCTGAGAGACGTTCATAGGCCCGCGAAGGTGCATTGACACCTGGTGCTGTCAGTGATGTAACGTCTAGAACCCATGGCAGGCCATACTTGTCCAAACAAGGGTGTCAACTCTCCTGTACTTGGATAGGCAACACGTTCATGACCGCAGGTACCAGTCTGTGGATCAACTATAGTGGTCTGATTGTAGGCGCCAGGCTGACTGATGTTGCGATAGGTGATTGCCCAGACTTCAGAGCAGTACTAATTGCCATCTGAGGACAGCTCGGCCGTACCGCGGCATAGATCGCTGGAGGTCTTGCCATAGGCGAAGGGAATAAGAAAAACTGCGCTGAATATCGTATGCTTCATGTTGGATGTTCGAAAGTGATTATTGTATGAGCAATGCGTTGCGGAGTAGCGTCCGCAATGTAGAAGAAAATCTTGTGAGTAGGGTTGTAGTGGTGATGGAACAGGGTATTGATTGATCGAACATCATTGACGGATGCCGCTATGGCGTGATGATATGTAGCGTATGGAAGCTACGAGCAGAGTTCATTGGAAAGCGCATGCACGTTGTTGATGAGAAAGAGTAGTTTTCATTCATAGCTATGGAACTGAAGGACCCTACCAACACTCTGGACGATGAGACTCGGTGCCATATAAATCTGCTTCTCGTTAGCCCATGTCGCCAACAAACGTGTCATAGAACAAGAAGAGGTGAGATCGCGTGTCAGAATAAAGGTTGAATGCACCGGCAGACCCGTGAGGGCCCGCCTAAAATAAGAGGTACCAGAAAATAGTAAGGGTTGTCATCATTGTGCGATGAAAGATGGGTGATGATTGTACGTACCTGGAGAGTAGAGCCATCGTCGCGCTGTATGATTAGTACCTTCGGCAGGGTAACGATGACATTGCACAAAGCACTCGTCTAGCTTCAAACATAGCCTTTAGACCGTCGCGCCTGCATGCCAAGTTCAATGTTCTCACATTGAGAGGTGTGAGGAGATGAGGTCGGTCGTCGCTGACTTTTTCTTCGATGGGAGCTTTGACGCTAACCCGCACGGTCCACCACAGACCTAGCCGAGCCGCGAGAAATTGGAACTTCGATCGCGAACTTCCATCACGACTCCAAGCCTACCACACGCCTCCGTACTAATCGACCAGGTCGCCATCCGGAACATTCATTCAAAATGGGTCGTCTTCACAGCAACGGAAAGGGCATATCAGCCTCCGCCATCCCCTACTCCCGCAGCGCTCCTGCGTGGTTGAAGACCACTCCCGAGCAGGTTGTCGACCAGATCTGCAAGCTCGCGAAGAAGGGTGCTACACCATCTCAGTAAGGACAATCGCACGGAAAAAGGACTTGAGAACGATGCACTAACACAGTCGCAGGATTGGTGAGATCCTCCGTGACAGCCACGGTGTCGCCCAGGTCAAGGTCATCACTGGCAACAAGATCCTCCGAATCCTCAAGTCCAGCGGTACGATCGCCCTATACACATGAAGCGCACGTCGACACAGCTCTGCTCTTTCGAGAGTACCTGCGCGCTATACAAAACTGCATCTGTTGGTCTAGGCTAACATTTTGCGCATAAAGGCCTTAGCCCCGATATCCCAGAGGACCTCTACATGCTCATCAAGAAGGCCGTTGCCGTCCGCAAGCACCTCCAGACCAACCGCAAGGACAAGGACAGCAAGTTCCGCCTCATTCTCATCGAGTCCCGTATCCACCGTGTAAGTCGACTTCGCCTTCTGCCATGTACCGGAGCACGCGCTAATTACCGTCAGCTCTCCCGTTACTACAAGACCGTTGGTGCTCTCCCCCCTACCTGGAGGTACGAGAGCGCCACCGCCTCTACCCTCGTCGCATAAGCAGATGTAGGATTGGCGTGTGTGGCAGTCTTCATGTTAGACATTTAAGTGGAGTTTCACAGGTATGGATGCTGTGTGGATACCTAACAGGATCACGATATGGAATGAATCAATCAAAAGCATCACCTCGAATTGAATATACCCAAGTTGAATTGAACGTGTCAGAATTTGATCGTTTGCTATTTGTATTGCTGATTGACTTGGGTATCATCCTTCATGACGCCTGCCTGCCTGCCTTGTACTTTTGGAAACACCCTCGCATAAGCCTGTGGTCCTTGGATGTTTTTCTGTCATGTCTTCCGCTGGGTAGCCATGTTTGACCAGCATACCATGGACTTGCTAACCGACCACGCATGCGCATGGCATCTTGTTCCTCGTCCTGACATAGTCTCTAGACCATCTCTGTATTCCCCTCTACCAGTCCATCCACCCCTCAAGGCCCCTCAATCTCCCTACTCTTTTGCGCCAAAAACTCACTCAGCCACTTCAATGGCTTCTCTGGCTCCGTTGTAGCAAGATGCTTCATAGCTTCTAGCAAATGCGGCGTCACATGCTGATTGAGATACACTCTTGTCGGGCTACCGTGTGGAATGGGTTGAGTCGGCGCTTGAGCAGTCGGGTGAGGCGAGTTGCGCGACGATGCTGCAGGTGTGGGTGTGGGCACGGTGGGGAGGGAAGGAGCAGATGGGGGTGCGGGCGTAGTGGTTGAAGGTGTTGGCGGGACTGTTTGGACGGTGGGTTGGAGGTCGGCTTGAGCTTGGGATTGGGTGTCTTGAGCGGGTGGCTTGGAGGCGTTAGTAGAGTGTTTGTGATTGTTGTGCTTGAGCGGAGAAGGGTAGAGACTTACTGCTGCTACTGCTCCAGAATCTGTCATCTCTACATCTGCGGGTTGCTCTGTGGATGCTTGTTGTGCCAGGCCATTTGTGATCGCAGGGTCGATGTCGGGGTTTTGCGCAGCTGCTTCGTTGGGAGATGGTTCTGTCATTTTCGATGTTTGCTGATGGTTTTATTCTCGCTGTTTGACGCGAATTGGCGCGGTAAAAGTAGGTAGAATCGGGCGTTTGTGGGGTTGAGATGGAGAGTTGGGTCTTTCTTGAGAATGTCTCGGTAGCTTGAGCTTCGAGCGCGATTGATGTTCGGGCTAGCCTCGGCCTTTGGAGCTGTCCTCTACTTTCTTCGCTTTGTTACTGCCACCATCTGCGTGTGCTATAGGACTCTGTCCTGTACGAACAACATTTTGGGAATACACGGATTTGGGGTTTGGAGTTGGGGTGAGTGCTTTATGAATAACTCTATGAATTTCATCTGCGTCCTAAACTATCTAGGTAGCTACAATGGTAGAGATACCAAATGTTGACTATGCGTTACCGAGCAGTTGTTTCTTAGCTCAGATTCTAAACGTGCTCAACAAGTAGGCTTCGTACTACGAACTTCCCACGCAAAAGTGCAACTCGTCGCGCACGCAGTAGGTAGTTACCCACCTAAACGCCAAGCCATGAACGTGCACGTGCCTTGAGTCCAAAGCTTAAGACCCGAAAATCCAACCACCTCTTTCCCACTCTATCGACCTTCACATCACAAGGGCGAGCTGCATAGTCATGCGCGTTAGGATTGTTCGCAAAAGCTGTAACTCATGATACAGCGGCGAAGATGGCGCCCATCACACCTCTCAATGCGGCGGACATAACTGAAAAAGCGCGCCGGGAGCTGCTTCTTCTGCTCGAGGGTGTAAGGTAATATCAACGTCGCAGATCTCTGCACCATCTAACGCGTGCGGACAGATCAGAGGCAAGAAGAATCTCGTGCTTGAGAAAGCTCTTGCAGGCCCACTGAACTTGCTTGTCAAATTCTCCACGTTGCAGGAATACGGCGTCGACAAGCCCTTCTTCCTCGAGAACGACAATGTCGACTCGTCTCAGCGCAACATCGTCTTCCTCGTCAGAGGCGAGAAAGCGAAGACTGTGATGGCTGTTGCTGGTAAGTGAAGCTCCCTCGGCTTCCTTACTTGTTTCTTTCCATCTGCCTTATGGCAAGCTTTTGGCTCAAAAAGTAGGCTAGACAGACAGTACCCACTCTGCCTAGCCAGTCTTGATGCCTAAATCGAACATAGCGCTTTTATTGGATTGCCTATTCTTCCCATATAGGAACAGTCTATTGTACGGTGCTAACATACTAGATAGACCAAATCAAACGTATACGGCGAGACAGCCAAATTGAGCATGAATTCTCCATCTTCTGGGTGCCCCGTCGTACTATGACTTCCGATCAACTGCTCGAAGAAGCGGGTGTTCTGGGTGAAGCTAGTGTGAGCGAATGGCCGTTGTTCTTCGTGCCACTTGCAGATGATGTGCTGTCGCTTGAACTTGAAGATGCTGTGTCAGATCTCTATCTTGTACGTGTGTTCTGGACCTGCTGCAGACATGATACTAACTGTGTGTAGAAGAAAGATCCGACCGCAATCTACTTGTCAGCCAAAGCACTCATGCTTCAGCAGCAGAAGTATGGTCTGTTTCCACGCATCATCGGAAAGGGTGACAATGGCAAGCGCCTCGCTGACCTCCTCATCCGCATGCGTACCGAAGTCATGGCAGGCGAGACATCTGCTAGCGGAGGACCATCGTTCATGGGCTTAGCACCTAGTTCTAACATAGACAGCCTCATCATCGTCGATCGAGAAGTCGACTTTCCCACGGTGCTACTCACTCAGTTGACCTACGAAGGGCTCATCGACGAGGTCTTCAATATTACCGCAAACCAAACAGAAGTCGACTCTTCCATAGCCGGCGGCGCACAGCCTCAGCAAGGACAGACTGGATCGGCGTCGACCAGTATGAAGCGCAAGATCATGATTGATTCGAAAGACACTCTGTATGCCGAATTGGGTGATGCCAACTTCGCCATTGTCGGCAACCTGCTCAACCAAGCAGCCCGTCGCCTCCAAAGCAGCACAGGACGCGATCAGCTTGCTACAAAGACGACTTCCGAGCTCCGTGACTTCGTCGCCAAGTTACCAGGCTACCAGGCTGAACAAGCAAGCTTGAAGCTACACACCAGCTTGGCTGAGGATATTATCAAGTTTACACGCACTGACATCTTCACGCGAAGCCTAGAAGTGCAGCAGAACATCATGTCTGGCGCCGACCCTACAACCCAGCATGACACGATAACCGAGCTCATCAACCGTGATGTACCGCTCCCCGCCATCCTCCGTTTGCTATGCTTAGAATCCACCACTAACGCCGGAATCCGCCCGAAAGATCTTGAAACCTTCAAACGCGCCATTATCCAGGCTTACGGCCCGCAACATATCCTTACCCTAGCGTCACTCGAGAAAATGGGCTTGCTAGGACCCCGAGGCGGCGTAAGTCTCGGCGGCGTAGGCGCACCCGCCAAACCAGGCAGCGTAACAAACTACACGCCCTTGCGAAAGAGCCTAAAGCTCTGGGATGATGATGTCAACGAAGCAAATCCAAACGACATCAGCTATACTTTCTCCGGCTACGCACCCCTCAGCGTGCGCATAATCCAATCCATCATTCAAAAACACACCCTCGCCAACGCCATCAAACCGCCCTCCGACCCCCGAGCGAGCGCTCAAGCCAACCCTCTAGCCCAGGGCCTCCGCATTTTCGACGACGCGAGTAAGTACATTCGTGGTGCAACATTCGACGAAACACAGAAAGGCGAAGAGAAGGCGGCCAAGGCACGACAGCTGTTGAATGGAAGTGCTGGCGAGAAGAACAAGACTATCGTTGTGTTCTTCCTGGGCGGTGTGACGAGAGCTGAGATTGCGGCCTTGCGGTTTGTGGGGGATAAGTTGAAGGAGAGTGGTGGTGAGGGGAGGGGCTCGAAGGTTGTAGTTTGCGCGACGAATGTAATCAAGGGCGAGGGGTTGGTGGGAAGTGCGATTGAGAAGAAGAAGTTTGGGGGTTGATTTCTAGGATTCTAGGAGGGTTTTTGGTGGGTAGCGATTCAACGTTATAATGGATGTCTATTGATGAGATTTTGGTCCCAGGCATCGTACCCCGACGCTGACATTGCGTGCGAGGATGTTGCGACTCGTTCTTCTAGTGTACTGTCGTTTCCTTACTGACTGAACCCAGGCTACTCCTATAAAAAAGACTATTGATCTCTGGTATCCAAGTCAACATCCGATTGTGAGTTAATAGCCTAGTGAGAGGAATTGTTGTCTTTGCTCTAAGACATAATCAGAATGAAGGTTTACTTGTGTATGAGCTATTCAACTTACAGTTCGATAGACATGGAGTCTTTCCAATCCACTGCGCCTTGTCAATCTCTTGAAGCAACCAATTCGCCATGGAAGCTCGCGATAGCTTCAAACTTATATGCGGAGCACCTAATGGTCCAGCGTAGACTTCGCTAGGGGCTGCGTCTGTTAGGAAAGGGACGCGGAATAACGTCCATTTGATCTCGCTCAAAGGTAGTGAAGTGACGTAGTTTCCTATTCCTACAAAGTCTTTGTAGGCGTCACGGAAAAACAACGCTATGGACCCAATAGACATTTGCCATAGCAGTGATCGCTTGTCCTCAGACGAGGCCCATGACGGTGTCCCAAGGATCATGGTGCGCTTGTAATTGCAGCTGGCGAGAAGTGGAAGGAGGCGTTTATAGCCTTCTGTTAGAGGCTGAGGAGCAGGTTAGCTGGAACATGTTCGTTCGATAGTAATGTCCATGGTTAGGGAGGCTTACCGTGCCTTTGTGGCCAGAAATTGGGCCGATAAAAGAGACGAAAATATCGGCGCCACATTTGGCTGCAGCCTCAAGGGCGACCATGTCATCGAACCCTCCTTCTATGATTCCTGCGTTCGTGTTCTGGGCAATGGCTTGCGGCACCTTCGATGGGTTGCGCACGAACAGGGTTAATCTATGTTTTGCATCTAGAGCAACATTACAGAAAGCCAGTCCGGATGGTCCTGCCAACTGTCAGATTTGTTCTTGTCGTGTGTCAAGAGTGAGGACAAACCTGTAGCTCCAGCTACTAAAATATGATATTTCGACATTGATGAGGCAGAACAATTGCAATGACAAGTCGAACTACTTCGACCCAGAATACAGATTTGTAGGAGACTTATACAAGAGAGAACCTACCAGCGCTGGCGCACTATATCATTCGACAAGGCCATTGGTAACATCCGGGATTTGTCCGCATCATGAGATCGGACACACAGGCGCTATGAATCATGAGAAGGAGGCTTACTAGTCTGACAACAATCCAATTCTGCTTAATAAGAAGAATCGTCTTTTTTTGATGGCTGTGTTGCGGATACAAATCATGTCCGCAGTACAGCCATAGCGTGCGGATACAAATTGTATCCGCACGCTATACCGAATACAGTTAAGCCTGCCTTCTAGTGCGGAGGTGAAGACAAACAGATCAGGACTCAGCTTCTCGTAAACGCCGAGGACTGATTCGTACCACTGGTCCCGAACGGAGCATGCGTTCTGGATGATTCTTCTTTGGTTGTGCAAGGTCGCATTATCAAATCACATAGTGTTCTGTGTAGCACATCGTGTCGGCATCTGACAAGACTCCGCAAACATCATCGCCAATCCTCGCTCCGCGGTTCCCTATCATCTTGTACATACCTGATAAAACGTCATAACGATACGCGTACATCAACAGGTCTGCAGACATGTTCAAAGGCAAACGAACCATCAATGTAAGTACGCTCGCTTGTTCCGCTGGAAAGCATACCATACAATACGCTAACGCGTTTTAGGCATGCCTGGAATGTCAGCAGAGAAAGAGACGTTGCAATGGAGCACAGCCATATTGTAGCCATTGCGTAAAGCACAGACGGAATTGCGTATACACAACGCGACGGCGACGGGGTCGTGGAAAGGCGTAAGTCTTCTCTTTGGCAAAAGTAGAGGGATGAGCTCACTCATACCCTCCAGCAAGAAGGACGATGCGCCTGTTGTGCTGCAACAAAAACAAGATCATCTATTTTCACAACAAGATGATACACCGCATGACGCGATTTGCGAATCAAGAGGCTATGATCGAGTGCAAAGTGGCAAGAAAGCTGTGGTCTCTGAAGGAGGTAAGCATAGCAGTACCACTTCATTGTACGGGTATACATATCTAAAAGGATCTCACATGGACGATACAACTGCCAGACTATATCGGATCGCTGATTTGACCTGGAGTCCTTGGACTGACAGCGAGACAACACGAACCCTGCCTACCGCTGCCAGAAGGTTCACAGTCTTCGCCGCTGATGTTAGCAGAACGATGGAACATCTGCAGTCACAAGTGAGTCGAGGCTATTATGAGAGTAAAATATATGCACAGCTTCCTCCAAAACATCTCGCAATAGATGTGCTGCGTTCAGTAACCGAATCGATCCAGGTCCATGGCATCTTCCTTGCTAGAGAAGATATTATGAACCGAGTCGATGAACAATATATTGCAGGCGCAGGTGATTGCTGCAGTAGCCCATGTCGATGGGCGACTGTGTGCTCACTTCTTGGGGTATCGGCACTTCAGAGGATAGACAATGGGTCTCTTACAGCACTCTCATCAACGGCATGGGGGTTTTTCAAGAATGCATTTGCAATCTATGCCGAAATCGCGGTTCGAGAACCTTCGATAGCGTGTTGTGAAGCGTTACTTGCGATGGCTTTGTTCATGCTGCGTTCAGCTGACACCCGCGTCGCTGGACAGATAACGGCTACTGCAGCCCGCGTGGCTCATATACTCGGCATGCACACGACGGAATACTACGCCGGTCTCAACAATGTTGAAGCATACAGAAGCAAACGAATCTTTTGGGTAATATATATCATCAATGCGGAAATGACGCACAGATGTGACTTGCCCTCGCCTCTTGGTGCAGTGGAAATATCTGTGGAATTTTCTAGAGACAAACAATACCATTCCACGAGCCCTGAAGGGCTGGATCAGATCACTCTTGTGCGAGAGCGAGCAACGCTTGCTATCAAACAGCTGCGGATACACGAACTACTACAGAAAGCGGTTTTCAGGCAGTTTTCCAAGCAGGAAAGTTTTGGTCTGCTGAAACCTTTACTAGAAATCTACGACGATCTAGAAACCTGGAAAGATACATTGCCCGCAGATAAGCAAGTCTGTGACGGAATGCATGGAAGTCAGCTCCTCGAAGTCCCAGTTGCTCTCCTACACTTTATCTATCTTAGTTGCAAAAGCAGGGTCAGCACCACGATCGCTCTTCTGATCGACCTGAAAACATGCAACTCCGTCTTGCGAGAAGACCAACTGTCCTCACCGGAGAATTCCCTGTTCAACAGCAGAATGCCTTGGATGGAGTGCGCCATGGCAGCTCGTAAAACACTTGACGTGCTGTTTCGCTTCCGACCGCAGCAGCCATTCACACATCTCTGGTATGTTTGCCATGATTCATCACTAATGATCTGCTTGAGCGCCTGAAGCTGAAACTATATAAAGGCAAATACTGTGCTATCCCCTCTCCGCTGTCTTGGTCTTGCTATCCGAGACTCTAGTACGTCCAGCATCAATTTATGCTGAGGCTGATGCGCAGCTGATCCACAACTTTGTCCAATTCCTGGACCAGTTCCAGAAGGCCGGTTGCGATGTGAAAAGACTTCTCGAAGGATGTAGGAGATTGTGCAACTTAGCGAGTTGTGCGGTTATCGCTGCCCAGAGCGGCGAGCAAGTCACGATGTTTGGACAATCACTCGAGGTAAGCCAGAAGGCCATCAAGTCCGGAGGTTGGTAATCAACTAACGTCAGTGATAATCTAGTCAATAAAGCTCAGGCTTACTCAAGTTGTCGACTGGTTGCCGATCGCGCAAGGACTGTTGAGCAATATGCCATCCTTGCGTGATAAGGCGCGTGAGGTGTTTCATGATATCCTCGAGCCAAATGGATTAGATGAGTCGTATGGTGAATTGGTGCCAGATTTTCTGAAATCACACAACCATGGGTTCATGTTTATGAATTGAGAAATATCAGATTAGTTGCAAAGATTGCAATCGCCTTCAACGCTTCAGTCGTTGAATAGGAAGAATGAAGTGTATCACAAATCGCTTTTTGTATCTCCACTTGTGAGCATATTCCCATATTACGACAGCAAAGATAGTGAATCAGGCAATCGCACCAAAGCCATCGCGAACTGTTTGCCAGTTTCGAGTAGTGATACTTATACAATCGCACCGACAAGATCCGCACATCCTTGTTCATTAACGAGCTACTACTGCAAGATCAGTTTGGTTAGTAACTCAAGGAGCTGCAGCATACATAAAATTTTGTTCGTGTGGATAAGATGCAAGTAGACTCATGTCCAATGATTTACGGAAGTTCTCTTTCCACCGAAGCCAATGTTGACTGAGGCTGACTACCCTCGCACTAAGGCTTTGTACGGCGTCTAGAACCCGTAGCACAGCAGTCTTTGCTGGTTCACAATGGATGCTTTTCCGGTGCGGATATATTTTGTAGCCGCAAATGCCCCACTTAAAGAAAAGCGATCACCGTCTCTCTCACTGCGGATGCAAATTGTACGGATTAGTTAGCAACTTTGTAAATACATGCGAATGTTCCATGATCGGACCGATGCCTACCATCTGGTTGCCCTGGTCCGGATCACCAAACGAGCTTCCGCAGCTGATGAATCATCTCCAGATCCGCAGTGCAGTATGGAAATCGTATCTATATATCGCTGACGTATGAACAAGTCACACTACGTATATGTAAGAGTAGCGCCTCCCTCTAAGGATGTCATATTTTAAAAAGAGTTCTACTCAACAAATATCGCTTTGGATTTTCACCATGCCGTTCACCCTTGTTGGAATCTCGCACTCAGTCTGCACACTTCGCCCGCTTCTTGTCCTTGCTGAGAAGGGAGTAAGTGACTTTACTGTGCATGCTCCAAACATTGCCGCTGGAGAACACAAGGTAAGTGAACACGATGCTCGAATTCACACAAACTAATGGGATAAAGACCGAGTCGCATCTCAAAAAACATCCTTTCGGCAGGATTCCGATTCTCGAAGACAACAACTTCGTTCTCTTTGGTCAGTACGCAGCAGACTCCTTTCTACATGATCTCATTTGTTACCTGTAGAATCTCGCGCGATATCGCGTTTCCTAGCCAGCGAGTACGCCAAGCAGGGCACCCCTCTTCTACCCTCTTTCAACGACAAGAAAGCCTGGGCTCGCTTTGAGCAATGGGCGTCTGTGGAACAAAATAACTTCGACCCATTTGCCCAGGAGATCTTTTACCAGAAAATGGTGCGACCGTAAGTTGCCTATGCACAGATCTTATGACAGGATTGACGAACTCCATTTAGTATGTTTGGTCAGCCCACTGAAGAGCCCGTTCTCGAGAAAGCGAGAAATGCTCTCTCTGAAAGCCTTGACGTGTTCAACGATATCCTTGCAAAGCAGGACTACATGGGTGGCGATGTATTCTCTTTGATCGATATATTCTATATGCCACTCATCGGAAAGCTCTTCGAGGTTCAAGAGGGTGATCTATTTGGAACCCGCCACAATGTACAAGCTTGGTGGGAACGCGTCTCCGCACGGGATTCTTGGAAGAAACTGGTTGCTTGAGTCATCACACCAAGGTGGGATTTCAATCTGTTACGCGCACACTAGAGCAACTTAACAACTGTCAAGCATAGCATAATGGATGTCTCTTTGTAGTATCTTGGTCCTAGGTGTCGTATCCCGACGCTAACATTGCATATGAGCATATTGCGACTCGTTCTTCGAGGTGACCTATACCTTCACAACCTAAAACCTGTACCTCCACATAAGATCTAAGGCTTGTCATTTGCACTGTCAGTCCGGATGCCGACTTGGAGAATGTAAGCATGAACTCTCTCTCAACAGGAATATTTCCTCCCATCTGTGAATGATGAGCGGGGGCGACTACATATGATGGACTTGATCATCCCAGATCATCCCATCGTGTTTGATCTAGCAGACGTCAACATTGAACACCGCAAGCGCATATGCCGGTCGTGACTTGTAGAAATCTGGGAACGTCACGGTCTAGCACACACTGGAATGGGAAATGAAGAACAAACTTAGTACGCTCACGTATAAGTAGTTAAGGACTTTCGTAAAAGAAAAGCTACACCCATTACATCACGAGATGTCTCGAAAATGGAAGATCGACCAAGGTATTTCTTCTCCAAACTACATGTGATTACCTAGACCTAATCTAAAAGCCTTTTTCTGGCATGAAGTCTTCGTCGCAGAAGCAAAATGTAGGCCCTGACGCAGCTTTTTCATACTGTTTCTTGTAATCGCACTTCTTGCAAGAGAGCTGAATCTCGCGTTGAATGTTTCTGTGCCCTCTCCTGTAATACTCGGATCCAACAATATTCTGCCCGTATCTGGATCCGTGAATACCTGTACCACACTTGTGTCTGAGTAACACTTTGCGAATCCACGCCAAATGTTTGTGAACTCTGCGCATACCAGGCGTCGTCAAAGTCGACTTCATTGTAGCGTACAAATCCCATTGGGGATCTGATGCGATCCATAGTAGCAACTTACCGTCGACGTATGGCTCATCACCCTCACAGAAGGAGACGTCGGAATCCGAATCTAGCCCTTTGCTGTCCCAGTAGACAACTACCATTCGCAAAAGAAGCCGGATGAGCAATGAATGGCTGAGTTTCTCCGATGCTGCATTTGTGATATAGACGCAGATTCCGGATCGCATTACGCCTGTGTTGATGAAAACGCAATCTTGGGTAGGGTCCAAGACACAATGCGGCTCCATGGTGAGCGAATGGACGATGTTGGTGTACCGATAACATGATGAGTAGAGTTTGTAGAGCTTTCCTCGTTGATTCTCGCAAGTGGTCTTGATGAAAGCATCCAACCTTTTGGCGTAGTTCGTGGTCTCGCCGTCGCTGTAGAAGCCAAGGGTGACACGATATACTGACCTATCGTGGTCAGATGCGGTGACACAAAGTACGCTAGTTTGGGCGCTGGCGTAACGCTTGAAGTAATTCTTGTTGCTCGAAGTCCAAGCTTCTTGCAGCTTGAGTCCAAGTTCCGCAGCTGAATCAACCAGCTCATTGTTCTGTAATAGGTGTCCGAAAAGAACCACTGATTTGCGAGCAAATGTTTCAGTAACAGCCAGATACGTCAATTCGCGTACAGGCGCACCATTACCATCTTTGCGGTACTGAACATAGAGGGAGACCAGGAGTTTTTGCTGCGGAAGATCTTGAACGTCCTTGATCTTTTGACTCCCAGTCCAAGCCTCTTCGATGATTTTAATATCTTGGACGTTTGATAAGAGGAACCAACAACGCTGACCATGAGTCGTGTTTAATCTTTGGTAGCCCGTGTGTATAAGATGTTCCATAGCAGCAGCGTCATTTTCGGTGATGAAAAGCCCTCGAACTCGTGACTCATACTTGGCGCTTTCCCAGACCTTGATATCGACATGTACTCCACTACTCTCAAAACGAGGCTCGAAAGAAGAGCTGATCGTGGAGTGTACTGCATCAAAGGCTGATGCAGCAGGCGCCTCAAATGTTCCAGCTCCGGCAATGGTAGGGACAGGCCTGCCACCGTACCGAGAGTTAGCAAGATCGTGTATTGAGAGGATGTCAGGTTGATCGACAATCGTGTAAGACGACTGTTCGCCCTTGTCGACTACGGACGTCAGTTGTCTCATGATACTAGGCCGGAAGATATCACGCGCCCAATCAACGATATAGTCCATAATTAGAACTAGTTGAAGTGCCTCGTCGTAGCCAGTGATATCGCCTTGCCACAAGCGAACGATCTCCTGCTACTGTGTTAACCAACGCATCGGAAAGCTCACGTGTTCACTCACATAACAGGGCAAATTGCCTGGACTAGACTTTGTGACGTAACACCCGTATACCCTCCACGTCTCACCAACATAAGCAAGAAACCAGGTCAACGGACCTCCTGGTGTCGGCATGTTGTTAAAGTTGTCGTCTTGGAGCTTGAGTTGCAGGTACAGATGATTTCGTATAGGTACTGCCGTTTGTGTCTCGATTTCCGGAAAAGTGGTTCCGCTCTTGAGGCTCTTAGCCTCCATCACCAAGAAAGGATATATCGAAACATCTCCACCACTATCTGGATTGCAGCTGACGGTCAATCTGCCTAGTAGGTCGTCGTCGAGCTCAGATACTTCTTCCAAGTGAGAAACATGCGGTTGCTTCAAAATCTTTCGAACGGTATCTGTAGTATTCAATCCAACGATTCGATCAGGCCGCATTTCTATTCTACGGTGGTTCTCTGGGTCGTCTTGTATGACGCTTCGCTCGCCAATACGTGTAGTGAACATGTCGGTCAGCCCTGTGCTCAAACTGGGAACGTGGTTAGTTGTGATTCGTCGCTTGATAAAGTCATCGACTCACATGCTATATTGCTTTGACAATGGCTCACAGTCACATACGGTACGACGATGCTGACGCTCTACAAGGTTTTTTGTTCGGCTGTTGCTCTCTTCCGGGTTGACCTCGACGAAGGATTGCCACCGACGTTTGCGGCACTCCTGGCTACCTGTTGTTAGCACAAGAGATTTGATATAGATCAAACTCAGATCGTATCATACCATGCAACTTCGATTCCAAAGCGTTCAAATACGAGTTCCTCAAGCCCCCCAGCCATCCGCCAGCCATCCTCGTTTTGATATTCATTTCTCGCTTGGATCGCCTTCTCGCTCACCCGTGTAGCCCTCAGCTTGTTCTCGAGTTCCCATGGCTTATTGGCAGTGTCAGGTCGAGGTTGTAGCGCATACGAATTGTAACTGATCTGGCCCAGCTGCTGAATGTGACTGAATTTTGTCTGATGTTCCTTAGGAACGTTTTCTGGACGCTGTGGGTCGAACTTCCGTGGGTGGAACGTGATGCGGAGTTCTTTCACGATCTTCGCCTCCTCAAGAGCCTTTTGGCAGTCCGTTTGTTTGCTTGGAGCAGCAAGTATCGAATCTAACCCTTTCCTTTTCTTGGATATCGAGTTGGACTGAAAATCTGGTGTTCCGTCTCTTTTTCTCTTGCTTCCATTACTGGCAACAGTTTTGGAACCTCGTGAATTGGCTTTGGCTCTTGAACTCGGAGCCATGACTGCTGTAGAAGAACAGGTAATGGCATCTGGTAGCTTTGGCCTATGTCCTGTGGGTTGTGAATCTTATAGATAATCTTTGGCAGCCTGCTCAGCTGATGACGAGTTGCAACAAGACATAGCACGGTTCGCGCTATGGAGGGCGTGACGGCCAGAAGCGCGTCAACACCCTGTTTATGGGGGCCAAAAGCCCTAACCGAGATCCTTCAGGCAGGAGCATATCTTGAAACAAGCACTTGAAACTTCCACCTAATTACATGCTGCTCCAGGATGTCCCGAATCCTACCACAATTACGCTTTCCCACTCAAGCATGAACGCTACATTGGTGGCACGAGCGTGGATTGAGGGCGCCTGTGGGTTGGCGTGCCAGCCACTTTGCTTCCAAGATACATCCTCCATATCCGCTGCAGGTCACAGGGGCATGCTGCATTGACCAGCTAGAATTTTTCTTTTCCTGTGATCACGCATCCACACGGATCTTTTACTATGCCTGCTAAAGTATGATTGGATTTCGTTGTTGGGGGTATATTGCAATCACGATGAGGTTTGTGCTAGGTGTCCGGGACGGGAGGTGGAAGCGTTGACCAGGATGATGGTGGGGGGACCGTGGTGGGCTGCCCTTAGTAATCATACAGAGTGATGACCATCACTTTTATTCATGAACCGTCACTTTTTACACCGGAGAAAGTATCGTGCAAGTGCTCGAGGCACGAGAAGTTGACAAAGAATTGCATATTCACTAGTTCGCCCTTAATTTATCACCCTACCAAGCTCATCATGGTTGGCATCCCAATCAGCCACCTCAGCATTAGGTACACGCAGCAGCCGATGCGTGTTGGCACCATTATCATCCACATTAACCACCTGTGACCTGATGGTATAGTTACCCCAACGTGGAAGGACATCCATCCATACGTAGTAATAAGCACCGCAGACACCGATGACCGCGATACCCACGATCATGTAAGTAGCATAGAAAAAACTAACGGTGCCAGCGTAGATGCCACCCACCGGGGGAATCCACGGCATGACAAGCAGATAGATCTGTGAGAGTAAATATAGGATGACGATAACCCACCAAGCCCTGAAGTCTGATCGAGGAGTACCAGACCGGTCGCGACGCCGACGGAGGAAAATGAGGCCGGCGCCTAAAGCCACGTGGAATATGGCATCTGGATATGACTTCAGCGAGACGACAAATTGAAATGCGTCGCCTGCTGGAGGTGCCACAATCATAATGATGGTGAAAACCCATTTCAGAAGATAAGGACCGAGTGGTGTACCAAAAGGTTTCGTCGATACCCAAAACTCCGTCCACGGAAGCACACCTTGGCGGGCAATCTCGCGAATCTGTCGTGACTGGCCGACCAAGACGGCGAGTAGATTGCCAAAAGAACTGAGCAAGACACAGAAGTTGAGAGCTGACTCGGCAGCCGATCCAAAAGCGGTACGAAAGAATACAGCTGCTGCCAGCTCGCTCGAATCGATAAATACATCCTTGGGAACAGTGGCGAAATAGGCGATGTTGCAGAGAAAGTAGAGTGTAAAGACAATCAGTAGCGACGCGGTAGCGTTTTTCTTGAGAGTAGGCAGAGGACTCTTGATCTCGTTGGCCATGCTGAAGGCATTCTGCCACCCAGAGAAGGCGAAGCTGATATTCACCATGGCTTGTGAGAGATTGTATCCGCTGGAAGTGGTTCCGCTCATGGCGTTGCCGTTCCTGAAGTTGATGCCGGGGTTTTCCACACGAGGCGCATGACCGCCGAGGATGACAAAGCCTGAGATCGAGATGAAGACAAGCAGTAGTATCTTCAAAGCTCCGATTCCATTTATCGCCCATAAGGAAAACCTGTTGTGTGCGACCACGCAGATGACGGCGAACGTGTACGCGGCGATAGCTACACCCTTGAGCTCCCATGGGTCCGGCGCGCGCCCAGCAATACGCCATAGATAGTTGGACAATACGATGGCGTTGCTGCTACTGAAAGACAGGAGGACTGATTGAACAGCAAAGGTTATCGGGAAGAAGTGCTTAGGTCTTGGAAAGCTTTGTTCGAGCCACACGACCTCAGAACCACTTCGGTTGGGGAAGAAGCTGATGAACTCCAGATATACACCAAGGCCAGCGGCGGCTAGAATAAACCCGATAACCCAGTAGATCAGAGCCAAGCCTACGGAGCCTGTCAGCCGAAGAATTGTAGCTGGCGTAGAGAAGATGCCGGTGCCGACCATATGGTTAACGTTGAGAAAGATGACTGTAAGCCAGTTGACGTGGTAGCCCAGAGGTGAATGCTTCTCTACAGGCGCACCTACGGCTTCCTGATAGCCGGAGGCGCCATTTCCAGCCGTCTGATGGACGTAGGCCAAGTTGCCGTCATGGATAACTGAGAGTTCGCTATCCGAGTTGTCGCTTTCGGATGCCACCTGGCTTGTGGTGGTCTGCGGTCCGATCTTGGAGAGAAAGCCCATAGTGAGGATCGTCTGGCGATTCGGTCTGGAGGACGATACGGCTCGGGTGATACAAGGTGGCCAACTATTTTCGATCCCAATGGTGTATCCTGCAGTATGAACAAGAATGCGAGGGACGTTACATATATCGCATCGCGGATTGTCTAAAATGACGTGCTGTGGGAACAAGATTGATACAGCATAGTTGGAATTTCAAGGACGACAACAGTGGAGGGTATAATCCTCCTCAGCCTTGTCATTTTGTCCATGCGCACGTCGTGACCAGCCTATGTAATGGCACAATCACCATCGCGATGCCAATTACGGGAGTGACAAGCAGTATCCATGCCATGAACAGTCTCTCACCTTCCAGAAGTGGAACATGCCTAGAAGCACGTCATGTAAGCGCTCATGATGGAGTGGTGGGCGATGCAGCCAAGGCTCGTAGACCATCAAAGCCCGCAACTCTTTCTGCTCTGACAATTTGCAATGTGCTCCCTTGCTCTCCGAGAATCGCACATCAAGCCTTGCTCAAGTCTTATCGGCGCGCACTGGAGCAATGGTCTCAAGATGAAGCCTTGGTGGGGTGTTTCGCGATATATCGACGCGCTTGCATCATTGACGCTAACTAGCTGTTCTGGCACGCCAAAGCTCCACATAATACCCGTAATGGGAGCGCATGTTGGTATCACGTGGCTTGCTCTGGCAAGTAGGAGGACTAATTTGCCGTAGACTTAGATGATTCGTGAAGCCAAACTCCAGCTTTTATCGAACCTGGTAGAGTGAGATCAATTGTAATCATGTTACCTCGAGGCCGTGAAAAAGATGAGTGCAGTTCCGTCATTCTCAACCCGCAAATTGATCGTCTCATGACATTATGTTGGAGGAGCCTACTTCTAAGCTGCACTTTGTGTTTGAAGTTATGCTTTTCTATCTGGAAGGTCTGATCACATGGAATTGCGAGTATCGTATTGCGACAGCTAATACTTATTTAAGTACTTGCGATGACTGCTGTGATGTCATTCTTTAATGGTCATGCATGATACCCGTGAATCACCATAGCCTGGTGGCGTCAAGATCAACGTTCCCGCTATAGATCAATCCAAACATGGACTATAAGACCAGTCGCTCACTTTGCACTTGGGGTACTTTCGCTGCGAGTGTGCGGTTCGAGCGGGAAAGCCTGCAGCTCGGGTGTCACACCTTCATATACACGATCCCATCTCGAGGCAAGCGGAACTGGAGTCTCCCATGCATTCTCAGGGTCACGCAACCACAGTCGTAGTAGGTGTCTCCTATGATCCCCAATATAGTCAGTTGTCTGATCTTGTTGTACTCGGCAGTCTTCTGATATTCTGGAGAACTCACTTTTTGTCGCCCTTATCAGTGAAGCCGTCACGCGCATGGAATACGGCAACGTTGTTGACGTACTGTATGTCCCCCTTCTCGAAGTTGGTCGATACACTGAAACGCTCGCCTAAGAAATGCAAGGCATCGAGTGCCTCTGCCTGAGCTTCGGTAATCGGTGGTAGATGGTTGCCGCGCGGAAGCTGCCCAAAGCCAACATAATAGCGCCGAGCATACTGAAGAAGGATCCTTTCTGGCGTCTTGCCGTCTACACTGGCAGGCTGGTAATAGAGAAGAGGCCGCTTCTCGAATCTTTCTTTGTCATCTACGGTCTTGGTGAAGCTGGCGAGAATGTGTTAGTGACTTCTGAACTTTACTGTGCTTGTTTTAAACTTGGGGTAACATACAGCTCAGCCTCCCAGTCTTGGCTCAACGTATGGATAAGGTCGGGTCTTGTCGCAGCCAGATGATTGTAAACACGCCACGTACTGGCAAGACGGCTAGCGCCTCCTTCTGCCGCCGTTGAGAGTGCGAAGAGAGAGACGATATCGCCCGAGTCAGTATGAAAGACTTGCTTGTCCGACGTGTACGCTGGAGTACCAATCTTGAGCTGACTCTTGTTCTCGCCCTCCCCAACTCCAGATCTGACATCCTTGATATGTCCTATAACGACATCCGCACGCTTGTCGTCTAGATAAGCGTCCTGACGGCCCCGGATAGAGGCAATATGCGAGGATATACCAGTGTAGATGATGATATTCTCCTCGCGTGTGTATTTATCGACATCCAGACCACGAAGAACAAAGAAGCCGTGGCCAAAATGTAGCTCATGTGAGAGACGGCGCAACTCTGCATGCAGATTAGGAAGAGGAAACGTTTCTTGCGCTATGTAGCCAAAGCCAAGCTTGAGAGCTATTCGGTCCAGTCGTCAACCAGTTGCAACAAAAGCATATCCGCCAAAAGGAGGGAATCAGTAAGGCAGGGAGCTTACATTTGAAGTGAGTAACTGCAGTGTCTATTTCCGCTAGTTGATCGGCCGAGAAGACGTAGGTCCAATCGTATCTTTGGGCAAGAGACTCTCCTTCCCAAACTAGATCGCCCTTTAGCTCCTTGGGGAATCCATCTGGAAGGGTTTTTGGGAGTTCATCGTTCTGAGTGCGACGAGCTACACGGACTTGGTACTTTTTCCAGTCGGGGTGATATGATATGTCTGGCTGGCCTGGTGGTGGTTGGGCTGCGGGTGTAGTGCTGAAGACTGGGCCGAGCGCTGGAGGCGTCACAGTGGCAGTGGCTGCGGTAGCCATAGTTGCTTCTGAATGGTATCAAGTAATGGAGATATCGATCAGTGGACACGCTTCAACGTAGATAAGCTAGCCTGTGAGCATCCGTCTCAGTGTGCTTCTGTTGCGTGAAGGCGTGGTTTCGAGAGATGGTTCAGCTCATTCGATAGGCAGCGGCTGTGTTTCTGCGTTATATATGGACTTCTGTTTTGTGAGAACGTGCGAAATCGGATGTTAGTCTAAGCTATCTGTTCCCCGCGCCTCGACGTGAAGCGCATCATCGATCCTGGTGGTGACGTGATTTCTTCAACCGAAGAGAAGCTATAGCATTCTTTAGTTGTAGCAGTACTCGCGCATTGCACCATCAATCACGCTGAGCGCGTGCGCAAATAGTTAATGCAAAAAGATGAAAAGGCTCAGATGGGCAAGAGCAATAGAACGCGCTTGCGGTTCCCTCGTGGTGTGGAAGCAGGGCGTGTTAGTCCTCTATGGCTTTGTGGGCGGGGTAGATGACAAAAACGATAGGGGGGCTTCAAATCATTCCTACTCTTGAGATAATGAGGACTTGGGATAGTTGTAGTTGACGAAGTTTCACGGCTCGAGAAGCTTGAATACGGTGCGACCATGCTCGCGCATACGTTAGGAGAGATTCGGGTTATCGTTTTGTCGTTGATAACGTGTAGACCGGGCGTGGTGGCTGTGTGATCCCCCATGTACTTAGCTTCCCCGCTTTACCAACGGGGGCGGCCGCCGTGGTACTTTCCCTCATCTCTCAAGACAGATTCTGCGACTTTGAGCAAATGCTACATCATGCTTTGCACCAAAAGAGATGGGTTGAGATGAATCCCAATTGTTAATGCGGTAGAAGAAGATTGAGGGGAGTCAACAGCTACGCGCGCGATGGAAAGTGGGAGCCAGAAACCCGCGTGTCCTCAGCCCACCGCAAGCCACCACACTACCACATTACCATACGTCGACCAGCCACATCAGTTCGACGTGACACAACTCAGCCTCAGCTTAGCGGTGTTGTCGGCTATAGGGAAAAATTTATGCGCACAAATGTCGAGAAGGTTCTCACAAACTAATGAGGTGCAGTGTGCGAGATACCATCTACATATACACGCGCAAAATATCGATAGAATGATTCTTCGCGTTGTTTATATGACTGATGACTTCTCTGTAGGCACCACACCTGAGAATGCACTTTTCTTTCCGGCTGTTTCTTTCTGCTTTATTCTCCTGACAACATGACACAGCCACACACTCCACCACTCCTCCCCTTCATCACTCTCGCCCTCCTGCTAGCTCGCGCATCTGCCACCCACAATAGTTGCTACACAGGGAATGGAGCCGAAGACACCGGCCCACAGCGCTGAGTAGTAGACAGTCAGCTATCAGTATCCTCACGACTAAAGGCGTAAAGACGCTTTCGTGGTATCAGATTGGTCTCTTATCAGTCGTTCTCTGAGTCATGGTCATACACTAATCACTACACATAATTGAACCTTGAAGTAAGTTCTTTTACGCTCGTCATTTTCCTAGTTATTCAATAGTTGTTCAAACCTGAATCACAGGTTTCCTCTCATCCAAGGATGCTCAAGCAACTCCTTCGCGGTCAACCGATCTTCAGGCCTCCATTGCAACATGCATCTCACAAATTGCAAGAACTCTTCTTTCTTCTCTCCATGTAGATTCTCTTCTGACGTCTCTAACGTCAGGCCTTGCGGTACGTCTATCTCGGCTATCCAATTCCCTGATAGAACTTCGGTTAGCTTCACACAGTACCTTAAGAGCGCATTCTCACCTTCACCATCAAAGAAGTCTGTACTCCGCGCTCCTCTCTCTAGCATATCTATCGGTGGTGGACCGAGCATCGTGACTAATTCCGCCAGATGAGCTCTGGTCAGGTATCGCCTTTCGGTTGGATCGATGCCGTAGAACAGGTGTTTATTCTCATATAGGTCCCAGATCTGTGCACCTTGGTCAACGTCTGACTTTGCCTTAGGCTTGAGATGGTACATACCATCGCTCCAACATTCCAGATATCAGCTGGATAACCCCATTCAGTTTTCAACATAACCTCTGGACATCGGTAGACATCTGGTTGCGCGTCATGGATCTGAGGCTTGTCGCCACGAACTGCAGAGCCAAAATCTCCAAGGACAACACGACCGTACTCTTTCGGTAATCCAAACTGGCGTGTCGCGTAAATTGGCTTGCCGTCTACGACTTTTCGAGGCGAGGGAGTCGTCATTTCAGCGTCAACAAAGGCTTTCAAGATGTCCTGGTCCTCGATTTCTATGAGGATGTTGTCGGCTTTTATGTCTACATTCTTGTCAACGGAATCGTGGGAAGATTTATTCTAGGTCGCACCTGTATGTATGATCTTGGCTTCTGTGTGGAGGTAATCAAGTGCGAGGAACACTTGCGACAACCCAGCTTTTAGAAGCTCGTCCGTGAAGCGGTGCGCAGGGTTTCTATTCAAAAGATTTCTGAAACTATCCCACATTGGTTTCTGAACAAGACATCGATGATCGCCACCTTGCCGGGGAATAGTAAACAAATCGAGGGCTGTCCGGACGTGATTGTATCCTGGATGCAAAGCATTGCCTTTGTTTAAGATATTGTACATGTTGTACTCGTCCTCGTCCATTCCCTCTCTTGTGAAAACTTTCAAGGTCGTGTAGGCATGGTGGCTGGTTTTCTGTTAGTATAGACAGCATAATTGCTGAACGCTGACTTGCTGTAGATCACGAGCCAACCAAACAGTTGACGTAACACCAAAACCAAGTTTGCCTACCACTTGGTACTTCAATGCGAAAACATCTCCTATGTTGACAGGATAGTAGACGCCTCTGTGGAACTCCTCAAGCTGTTCTTCTTCAAATAATACCGCCTCGCTGACGACTTCGAAACCAGATGTCGGAAATTTGAGTTGGGTCCATGGTTGCCTTCGAAAGGGCCACTTCGCGAGTTTGAACATGGATGAACCCACAAAGAACGTGTCCTCATAGCTCTTGAAAGGTTTGAGGGAAACGTTTTGTTGGTAGCAGGTGATGGTGGATGATGTTTAGATTGGAGATGGCGGACAGACGAGGTAAGGTAAAAGGCATGGACTTATTTTAGTAGAGTGCCCGTCCAATGAGCCGGTTCACCACCCCACCATCAGAACGCATGAATCTTCACAACTTTAACGCGACATAACCACACCAATATAGACCCCATTGAGGCTGCAATCAAAGCCATCGAGTCGCATGAAGGCAGCGGAGCTCTCTTTCCTGTACCGCGAAGTTGCGAAACAATTCAGTGTAAGCCGCGCAATTCTACAATAGGTACAGCAAGAAGGAGCGCGATGTGAAGATAAATATTGTCATTATCAGTTCTAACAAAAGGCTATGCAGACGCTCAAATGCTATGATATATACACATTAAAAAACAAAAGTCCCGTCTTCGAGACCATCATTATGTACACTCCAAGAATTTCTATAGGCTCGGCATCTAAGCAGGAGCAGAAGAGTAGAGGCACTTCTTGGGCTCGTCCTCCTTGAGCGCCTTCATGGTGAAGGGAGTGCATCCCTCAGAACCAGCAGGCTTGTCGACACCAGAGAGCCAGATCTTCCAGCCTCCGCCAACAGCGCCGGGGCAAGCCTGGAAGCCAACATCGCCGGTAAGACCACCAGCAGCGAAGACGAGGTCACCGTCGTCGTTGATCTTGAAGGGGCCGCGCTCTTGGTTCTTGCCGATGGGCTGAACACCGGTGGAGTAGCGGACGTTGCCCTGGCCCATACCGCTGCGGTCGACGTACAGCTGGAGAGGGGGGTTGAAGGTGTAGATGTAGACGCTGCCGTCCTCCTGGTCGAGCGAGAATGAGGCGTAGTTGATGCCGCTGGTGGTGTTGTCGCGGTCGCCGTTGATGATGCAGGTCTTGTTGTTCTCGTCGGGCGAGTTGATGACGAGGCCGCCATCCTTGGCCTGGACGTTGCCGTACTGGATGGGAGTGGCGGAGCGCAGAGACATCAGACGGAAAACGTCGCCGGCCTCGGGGCGAGGGAAGGGAGAAGAGGCCTGGGGAAGGGCGGAGGAGATGGCGGCCATGGAGGCAGCGGCGACGGCGGCGGTGAACTTCATGTTGATGATTTGAAGGTGGTGTTGTTGAAGTGTGGAAGTGGTAGTTGTAGTGATAAAGTATTAGTGTAGAGTTGATGAGTTGATGTTTGGATGGAAGCCTAAAGAGAGCGGCATTCCATCTCTCATATACCCAAATCTTTTCTCGTATTTGCTCGCCTTGTCCTACATCATTTCGCGATCAAAGCTTGTCCTCAGCGAGGCTGAACAGTGCCCACACTCGGCGCCGACGACCAAAGTGCAACGCTATGACTTCATCCAGTCGGAACACGAGGCTAATTATCGTATCCCCAGTTTTGTGACCCCGAAACGGCCAGCACCGGCTGTGGCGCGCCCCCCACCCATGACCTTCTGGAAGGGTTTGGGCGGAAATGACGTTGATTGCCACGGTATTTACCCGAAGCTCATGTCAAGTGGCCGAAAGGGGTAACGGGCGACCCTCTTCCACGCTCTGATTGGTGACGGCCTCGACCGGCGCATTGCTCAAAATAGATACAGTAATGTCGTCTCCAGAAAACTATCATGCCGAGGATATGCATAAACATTCGCATTAGGACACAGACGCGTTCAGTTAAACACGATGGAAGATCACAAGACGATGTTACCTTTCGCTCGTGAGGGTGGATTGTAACAGCTGGCAGTGCAGCAGTGCTTGGAAAACCGCACCAAGAATATCGTTAAGGCATAATTTAGGAAGCACGGTCAAGGCGCAATAACGAATGCAATTCGCGGACCGTTGGGTTGAAGCTTTGTCCTACCATGGGTCAGCATCTTCTTCCCCTGAAATTCTAATATTTGTTTACCTACAGAGGTGGCTTTCAAAAGTTCTTGCTAGCGTCAGACTAGCGGCTGATTAATCAGCCCGACTAGCTTAGCACTAATCTCTGTTTTTTAAAGCTCTAGATAGCTAGTATACCTACTGTTATAGGGTTTTTAATAGTGTTTTTTGCTATACTATAGCTCTAAATACTAATATCTTAACTCGTGCTTTAGTTATTGCTCTAAAGTTACCTTTTAGTAGTAAATCTACTACTTAAATTAGTAAGATTATAGGCATCTTACCCTGTACAATTAACGCTATCTATAGCAGAGCCTGCTAGCGAGAATTTAAGCCTAACGCCCGCCTAATTAAGCTCCTTCTAGAGTACCTTAAAGACGCTTCTTGTGCTAGTTGCCTACGTAAGTAAGAAGCTGTTACTAGAGCTATAATTAAGAAAGTACAACGTAATTACTATAGACAAGAGAAGAGCTGTGCTAATATTACTAGTAATCTTAGTGCTTACAGCTTTAACGTATTCTCTATAACAGTGTAGCGAGTCCTTAGAGCAGTAGGTTACAATAAAACAAAGCTAACAAGGAAGCTTAGGTTAACAAAGAAGATAAAGTAAGAGAGGCTTAACTAGTGTCTTACCTACAAAGACTAGAGTCTTAAGAATTAGAAGAACATAATCTAGTCTAATAAGACCTCTGTTGTGCTTAACTACTACTATAGTAGCTATCGCGTCTAGAGAAAAGCTAATAAGCTATTTACTAAGTCTATAATTTAAGAGAAGTAGAAAGAATACTCTAAGTTTATATTCTAGAGCTACTTCTTATATAATTATAAGGGTCCTTATTACATCTAGAGACTTAAAACAGCGCAGGAGAAGCGCCTAGCAGCTAAGTAAATAGTAGAGCTTAATAAAGCTCTTAAGCCTGTAATAAAAGAGGAGTAGAAGCTTACAACAGGCATAAAGAGAATAGGATTACAGGCTAAGCTAGGCTGCTCGCCTTAGTAGAGATAGATAAAAGAGACTAGTAAACTTACTTGTAATAGAGGTAGTAGGATTAATTAGTAGCGCTATTAGACTTAGATTCTAGTTCTAAAGCTTCTCCCCTTTGCGAAGGAGTATTAAAAGGAGAGACTAGGCACTCTTGTTTAAGAAGACAAAGCTCTCTCTTACTTCTACTACGCTTAGCGTTTAGTATATAAGAGAGAGAGCGTAGAGAAGCTCCTCTAGTGTAGTAACTTACTAGACCTTAACGCTATTAAGCTATGCTAGCTATAGCTAAAGAGAAGAACTACTAAGAAAGGCGCACTAAAAAATAGAGCAGAGGCATTAAGGGCATAGCTACAGGGCTAGGCAGAGCTACCTTAACACTAAATACAGGCTTAGATAGAGTGGATTCTATTTTATGTTTAAGAAATAATTAGACTTAAGGGCAGTAATAAGTACTAAGAGAGGCGGCGGGATAGGTCTGTCTAAGCTTCGGTAGTACTTCGGTAGTAATCGAGACACCCCTGTCAGCAAGAACTTTTGAAAGCCACCTCTGTATACGTCGACAGATCGTCTTCAACCAGTGTACCCATTTTGACCAGCTTGCATATAGTCGCCCCACTTTGTCATCGTAAAAGCTCCTTGAGAAGCCACCTTTTCCGGCATCGTGAGCACACTCGCACATGCCTTACCGCCAGTCCTCGCGCTATACCTTCTGGACACTCTTGGCGACGTGACCAAGAGTTTGAACACACATTTCCGTTCATCGTCTGATCCTGCAATCCCAATCAGAGTGTCGAGAACAGACTCTACTTTCTTGCAGCGTGCCTCGCTGTCCTCATGCATCGTGATAGCATCGATAATGCAGGTCAGCACTACTTCTTCAGGAAGTTCGTTGATCATGATCTCCAGGGTGGCGCACAACGGTTTGAGATGATCTAGATCGGAATTGAGGAGCTGTTTGATGAGGCGGCTGTCGAATTCGTTATAGCAAACCAAGAGTTGGGCTATAAGACTCCTGACAATGCCCTGTGCGCCTTGATGAGGATCTCTGGGATCGAGGTGTTCAGCACAAAAGAAAGAAATCGCAATAGTCTTCACGGGCGGATGCAAGGACGGCTCTTTCGACACTTCGCTGTTAGACTGTATGGCGGAAGCCAACTTGGCGCAAAAAAATGACGTGGGACTCTGAGCCATGGCTCTCGGTGAGCTGTAATGTCCGTTCAGGAAGAAGACTGAAGACTTGCTACCTCCTAGCCACGACAAGACTCTCTGGTGTCGGATTATGGCGATGATGCGGTCTTGAGCAGGTTTCGGTAGTTGATATGCGCAACGAAGGTTCTTCTGGATATTGGACTGGATAACAACTTCTTCGTAGTCGAGCAGAACAAGACAGCTCCGTTCAGCTTCGTTGCGAAGTCTTCTGAGTGTCGGAGCCGACCGAGCTCTCTTAATGGGTAACCTCGGGGGTCGGAGATCTTGTGTACTTTGGTCTAATCTCGGATTGCTGCTCATCATCTCAACAAGCACTTGGAGTGATTGGCTGATTCGGTCTTCAAGACTCTTAATTCGCTCGTAGACTTCCGTCCGTACGAGATTGACATGTTGGTGTAGACCACTATCGTTCCGACGTATGTCTGCCTGCAGAGCTTGTACAGTGGTTCTTGTATGCTCAATCATCTCAAGACAGCATATGTGAGTGATCTTTTCGAATTGGGACGAATGGTATCTGAGCATATCGATGCTATTAGTCAAATCTTGCTCATATTCAGATTGTCCGAAGAAGGCGCCCGCTGCCTTTCCTGTAGGTGTGACTTTGTTTAGTTCTCGTGTCGCATCATCATGTGTCATTGACTTACTTGAAACTTTGGTCCTGAAGTACTTCAGTATGTGTTGTAGCAATGTGATGGTGGCCAAGAACACTTCAGCACCACTTCGACGAAGTTCTTTCGATGTCTTTGCAACATTCTGCGCACGATTCGCACAAGAAAGTATAGTTGGTATCTCGACGAGAATTCTGATGATGTCTTCACGAAGACCTTTCAATCGTGATGCAGCCTGCTCGTTTTGTCAGCCTCTAGATCGACTGCATATACACTGCGATACTGACTCCAACAATGAGTGTCAGCCCTCCACACAGGATAGAGAAATATTCCGAACTGGCTGGCAGCAAGACCAGCCACGCTGAACTAGACACAGCTTTATCGCCAGACTTCCTGAAGGCTTTCCTGATTTTACCCCATACGCCGTCCGGCTCGTTGTACTGTTTGGACGCATCATCAACTTCCGCCAAAACGTCACGCCAAGTATGCAAGTCGCTACTCAGTAGCGACCTTTTCTTACAACCTTTGCCATCGGCCAGTTCGTACTCTTGTATCGCTCGCTTTAGGCGTTGTGACTCCTTCTCGGTATCGTGGTATAGTTCCTCCCTGTATGACAGGTCGGATAAGCACCATATCATAGCCTCACATAGCTCTGTCACTTACAGCGGTAGATCCACCTCCTCCTCCTCTTCCTCGTCCGTCACAACTGACAAGACTCCGGAAGCGGTGAACGTTACTGGAGCGCTTAAGGCGGAAACTGCGCTCGGTCTACCATTATTTGCATGTGCCAATTCCTGGAGTGGCTGGTAAGATGGGTGCGTCTCAAGCTCCAAGTCGTTGAGGATATATGTCTTAACTGCCGCCTTCAAAGGTACAGGAAGCGGTACAGCCTCGCCGACTACGTTCCGCGATCTTGTTGGCGCGGAGTCGGACATCTCTTATGAAGTCTTCTCGCACAGAAGGACAGGGCGCAACCACGTCAAAGATCCGAATTGAAAAGATAACCAAGGTAGTCGAACTTTAAGAAGAGAAGAGTAGGATGATGTTTGATCACAGGCGCATTGCAGCTCCCTCTGGCCAATCGTGTCGACGAGTCTCGAGTGGAGGGAGGCTGAACAGTTTGGCCCCCCGCCGTACAATCCTTCTCGTATTGATCACAGTGGCACTAGCGAGCTTGGAGAACGGATATCTGAGTTCTAAGCCGTGTCGAATGTATACCATTGGCACCCCCCATCGCATTGCGGGGTTCTCTCACCCCATGCTAACGACATCCGGGAGCATCCTAAAATCTCACAGCCACCATTGAGACACTTCTTCTTGGTCAGAATTCTTAGTCTTCACTATAATCAGCTGCAAGTGACCTCAAGATAAGAATTTCTCGATGCCGATGATGCCCATAATGGAGGTGTGGAAAGATGTCAAGCAGCCACCGGTGGTGTCAGCAATCCTACCAAGGTAATGCACAACCATGCGAACTGGGTATCGTTGCTTGCACCACGCTGGGATGACCGAATTCCGTCAGATACGAGATCTCGCTTTCAACACTGGAAACAAACTACGCGAAGGTTATGATTAGCCAACATGAGTACCATATCGAACATAGTCCAACACTATCGTCCAACCAACAAGGCCAAGAACGCCTATCATGCGGCAAAAAACGCCATCTGACACAAGGGGGATGTGCTGGATATTGGACCCCAAAGTTCCAATTTTTGGTTCCGGAAGGGTAAGGGTGGCAAACCAGTAGAGTTGTTTCCCCGCAACACCGTTCGTATGAATGAAGAGGCTCATGCTCAGCCTCTCTTTCCAACATCCTTATCATAGGAATAAATGGTTCAACTTAGCATTCATAAGATTTAACTATCTCGAAACATCAACTAAGACTCTAACCAGATCCTGGACCAAAGTCTGACTCTAGTATTTCTAACGGGCATGGATACGTCCACTGAATTACAGGCTTCCGGGATAACAAATGCCAGCGATGCGAAACCCTCAGATGTTTCTGTCGATTCGGGTTACGAGACAGCCACGATGAACCCGTCAACTGAGATACCTGAGAGTTTACCACCAGAATCACCACGTCTTTTGGTGGAGAAGGAGAATGACAGTTTGTCGAAGGGTAGTGGTTTGCAATCACCTCCCATGTCGATCACTGAGGAGACACCCATCAAGCAAGATTCCATCGACATCAGCGATACGAGAGAGAAAGATGATGATGTCACGTCCATGGAGAAACGCTTGATCAAATTGGAAAATGAGCTCAGGGAACTCAAAAGCGGAAAGTTAGTTCCGTGCTTCTCAACACATCATTCCCAACTGACGCATTCAGCCCCCCTGGGGCAATACCTGCAACAGATCATGACCCGCCTGTTGCCTCCACAGAGGTCAATAGTGATGCAGACCGCGAGGCTAAGATTAGTCGTATGACATACAAAGAATTTCGCCAGATCAAACCCGATATGAAACCAGCCAAAACTACGGCTGCAATCATCATTTGTTACGATGATACTGATATGCACGACACCAAACGGTCCAAGCATGTAGGAACCGAAAAAAGAGAGCTACAGGTTCCCCGTGAAGATGCAGTTCCAACTCACATCGCCATCAACTCACGGATATTAACTGACGTCATAAGGCCAGAGATAGATTTCAGTTTGCCTGAAAAACAAACTATATTCATTGCTCCTTTCAAGGGGATCGTTGCTCACGAAGCGGCAATTAGAGCAGCATTCGAGCGACGAGCTGCGGACTGCGAGTCCGAGAAAGCTGGAATGAACCGAGACAGTATTGATCCTGCATCTACGGATAATGTTGATAAAAGAGTCACGCAAACAGATGATGCAGGATTATCTCCCCGTAGGTCGAGCTTGTATCAATAATATAGCATAGTTACTGAGTCCCAAACTAGGCCCAGTCGATGGAAAGGACCAAGACGATACACACAAAGAAAACCAAAGCGGTGAACGCAGCAACGCTGAAGTTGAACCCACAGACACATCGTCGCAGAGTAGCTACGAATAGAAATGTACCGAGAGAGACCTTCTCAGATGCCTCATCGAGGTGATGGACACTGATCTGCGCTTCATATTCGAACTGCGACGCCAACTTCAGGATGGGAGGACGTATCAAGGGGGCATCGCTTACAAGGATCTGTGGCATCTGTACAAACCAGGAGACATCGTTGTATCGAACCCTGCTGAACATCCAGGCCCCCAACGAGCATACAGTGTGCTTCATGTCACAGGTGGGCGAGCTTCGTACGAGAAGCTACATCCAACTACGCCCGAACCAGGAACATCTACCGCAGTATGGAGCATCACTGATGAAGTAGTCAAGGTATCTTCGAGCATAACACCGTTCGTTCTCGATTGTGTCTATATTGACTATGACGGAACAAAGTATGGACCGCGAGCAAAATGTGTCGCGCTGCAGGACTATAATGGTCTGAGGGCAATCAAGTCCTTGGAGCTTTTTCCAATCAGATTCAGCCACGAGATACGAGGTGACTATGCATCGCTAGTCCAGCGGGGAAAAAAGTATGCAAGCTTGCGAGGTGGCGTTGCGAAACTCTACAGAGGACTCACTCTAGAGGAAAGGGTGGAGAAGACGGTCTTCGACGCGGCCGTTGAGGTGACCCAGAGGAAAGAGGTAGGCTGATAAACCCCTGTAGCTTTGGAGCTGTGCTTACTCAAATAGGTCAACGGTGAAATTATCCTAGACCAAAAAGCGGGAATCGAGTACTGCGAAAGCAAGCCTCGCTACGACATGAGGTTTGGTGGTAGCATTGTCGAAAAAGCTAGTAAGATGGCATTCTCCGAGATAGAGATAACAGGATGTGGAATTACCGGCTGTTCCACGTGTACCGACATCTCTGTGGACGTCGAACTGGACACAAACGCAAGACTCTCATTCATTCGTTCGACTACACTTCTGAGAAATGCTACCAAGGACGAGTTGACTGATGATCATTATGCTGTGCTGACACCACGGATGTACGGGTACGCTTTGCAGGAACGGAAGTGGCACGCATTCAACATCGAGAATGTACTAGATCACGAAGTCGACTCGAACAAGCTCCAAGATTCGAGCAAGTCGTTCGAAGACTTGGTTCTACCTTCGGCTCACAAGGTCCTGCTTAGAGCTCTCATCAGTAATCAGACGAGGCAATTCCAACCCGCATCAACAACTCCAACAGTTGACACTTCAAGCACTTTTGGAGACTCAGAAGACATGTCGATGGATCTGGTCCGTGGTAAGGGGAAAGGTGTCATCATCTTGCTACACGGTGTGCCTGGAGTAGGCAAGACTTCTACAGCCGAATGTGTCGCATTCCATCTGCGAAGGCCACTATTCCCCATCACATGTGGCGATCTTGGAGTCGATGCAAATACCTTTGAGTCGCGTCTCGAAGAATATTTCCGACTTGCATCACAGTGGGGATGCGTTCTTCTTCTGGACGAGGCCGATGTTTTCCTAGCGAGACGATCAGAAGATCAGCTCAAGCGAAACGCACTTGTTTCTGGTAAGAAACTCGAGATGCATAGAACCAATACTGGAACTAATGAAATGAACAGTGTTTCTCAGAGTCCTCGAGTATTACTCTGGCGTGCTGATGCTTACCACAAACCGTGTCGGCTCGTTCGATGAAGCATTTCGCTCGCGTATTCACATTAGCCTTTACTACCCGAAGTTGGGCAAGAAAGAGACCACTAAGATCTGGGAAATGAATCTCAGGCGTATCGAAGAGGCTAAAGACGTCGACGTTGATATCGATGAAGTAGGAATCAGGGAGTTTTACAAGAAACACTGGAATGCCAACGAGAAGAAGACATCGCGACGTTGGAATGGACGACAGATCAAGAACGCATTCCAAACAGCTCTTGCTTTGGCGAACTGGGACTTCCACGAGAACACAGACAGCAACTTGACACGGCCAAAGCTTAAAGCCAGTCACTTTAAGCAAGTCGCCAAAACCAGCAACCATTTCGATGATTACTTAGCCGAGGTCTTCAGAGAGGGTGAAGATCAGTATGCTGACATGTTTGCGATGGTCGCGAAACGAGAAAGGTTAAGAAACGACACGGATCGCGGCCATAGAGCTAGTAAACAAAGTAGACGTCGCGATCGCAGCTCAGACAGTAGCTCAGACAGTGCCAGTTCCGAAAGTGAACACACCAAGCGTAAGCAGTCTAAGAGGGAGAAAGAGAAGAGGGCCAGATTAAAAGCAAAGAAGTCTGGGCTCTCGGACACGGCTTCGGATGGGCTTTTGTCTGACAGTGAGAACAAAACCGAATCTAGTGATACTGAATCCGAGAAGAGTCGCAGGAAGCGCAAGACACCTAAGAAAGACACGAAGAAGAGCAAAGGCAAGTCAAAGAAAGAGCCTCGCGCCGAATCAAGGCAAGCGGATGATTCTGGAAGTGGCTAGAGTGACTGCTAGCATCGCTTTGTAACGCCATCGTAGCGATCTCTTTTGTTTGTTCATTGGACGTACTCGGTGTCCAACTTTACTTTATTCATAATTAACGAGTAACGAACATTTCTTCACTGTTAAGGTTCTCTCTCAGCAGATGAGGTCTATGGAGACAGGCCGTTAGAATACAAAATCGTTCTCCAGATCAGGCTACTAGAGTGATGAGATAACAATGAGTAATGCAACACACCGGACCAAGGACCGAAGCATACCCAGCGATTAATAGGAAAGCGATGAACCTATCAGAGAATTTGGAAACTTTAATTGATCTTCCATTCTGACCTCATTGCTTAGAAAAATTACAGTGGTCACGTTGCGAAAGATTCACAGTATTTCTTGTCCTTCATGCCTGGCAATTTCATAGGACGCTGAACATGAAAATGGCTCCAGCATAGACATCAGCGGGGCATTGCTAGCGAAGATCCCAGCTAGAGAAGTCGAACGTTGAGCTTGACGGGTTGACGATAAGGTACCCTGGAGGTATCCGCTGCACTTTGTTCTCACCAAGCACGATGTAAAATCCACTGAATACCATCAGAACATGTTTTGCTCTCGAGCGGTACGATCTAGGAATGCCAGGACTCATACTCTGATACACTACCATTGGCATGGACGCTAACAAGGACATTGGTAGGAACGACCGGATGTCATCCTTGAGCTATCGACTATAGTATAGCCTAAAGGTATTCATTGCTCATCACAACATCTATCGCAAGCGAACACATCGCAGTAGCAGTCACAACGAGAAGCATGGCAGAGATGTTTTTTGTGAAGTCATTCCAATTTCCTTTCCTTTCTCTCCATGTATCTACTTCGTTGAGGTACATAAGAGACATTGACCGCTAGGCATACTTTTGCAGATCATCCATTACGATCGTTTCGTCAGGCATCGTCGTGAAAGTACAAAGAAGACTTTTCCGCGTTCCTGAATACCGGGAACCCATGAAAGATAAGGAACCAAACACACCATGTCTATCGTTAAATGCCGCAATAGATGAAACTCCGTTCGCAGCTCGCAGTCTGGGTATCCTGCACGTGCGCCCTTCCTTCCTTCCTGCACGCCCTCGTGGCGCCGCTAATATGTGATGCGCTTATCGGGTGGAGAAAGCCTTGGTGACAGTGCGCTTGAGGGCAAGCTCCTTCTTCTTCAGGTCATCAGCGGGGGCATCCTCAACCTCGAGCTGAGCCATGGCGTCGGAGAGAGCAGACTCGATCTTCTCCTTCTGGCCACGCTTAAGGCGGATAGATGTGGTGGGGTCGGAGATCATCTCCTCAACACGGGAGATGTAAGACTCAAGCTGTTGCCTTGACTCGAACTTCTTGGAGAAGGCCTCGTCGCTGGACTTGAACTTCTGGGCGTCGTTGATCATGTTCTCAATGTCAGCAGATGAGAGCTTTCCGACGGCGTTGGAGATGGTGATGTTGGCGCTGCGGCCAGAGGTCTTCTCGGTAGCGGTGACCTTCAGGATACCGTTGACGTCGACCTCGAAGACAACCTCAAGGACGGCCTCACCAGCGCGCTAAGAAATAGTTAGTGATGCGTAGCAATGAGACGGTGGAAATTCTTCTCACCATGGGAGGAATAGGTGCGAGGGTGAACTCTCCGAGAGAGGTGTTGTCCTCGCAGTTGACACGCTCACCCTGGAAGACGGGGAATTGCTAGCATGGATTAGTATGAATGGTTTCAAAGCGGTGCCGAGTATACATACAACAGTCTGCTGGTTGTCTAGGAATGGGTTAGTATGAATTCTTTTGAGGAGGGATGTGGGGTCAAGTACCGGCAACAGTGGTGAAAGTCCTCTTCTTAATAGTGGGGACGGTCTGACCACGGGGAACGACGGGGGCGAAGATGTTACCCTCCATGGCTACACCAAGGGAGAGGGGAACGACATCGAGGAGGAGAAGGTCAGCGGTGTCGGCGGAGGTAGCCTTTCCGGAAAGGATACCGGCCTGGACGGCGGCACCGTAGGCAACGGCCTCATCGGGGTTGATGCTCTTCTCGAGCTTCTTGCCGTTGAAGTAGTCGCTGAGGAGCTTCTGGATCTTGGGGATACGGGTGGAACCACCAACAAGGACGATCTCGTCAACCTTGTCCTTGGCAAGGGCGGCGTCCTTGAGAACCTGGGCAACGGGGTCCAGAGTGCCAGCGAAGGCCTTCTGGTTCAAGTCCTCGAAACGAGCACGGGTAATGTTGGCGTTGAAGTCCTCACCGTCGAACAGCGAGTCGATCTCAACAGTGGTCTGGGTGGCGTTGGAGAGAGTACGCTTGGCACGCTCGCAAGCAGTCCGGAGACGACGTAGGGCACGGGCGTCACCGCTGATGTCCTTGGAAATGTTAGTATTCTGCAAACAAGAATATCGCGAATCCTGCGGGGTTCTGTCATACCTTCTTCGTCTTCTTGGTGAATTCCTTCTTGAAGTGGTCAAGGAGGTTGGTGTCGAAGTCCTGACCACCCAAGTGAGTGTCTCCAGCAGTAGCCTTGACGGTGAAGACACCACCCTGGATGTGCAGAAGAGAGACATCGAAAGTACCACCACCAAGATCGTAGATGAGGACGTTCCTCTCCTTGTCAGACTTTCCGGAACCGAGACCGTAGGCGATAGCGGCGGCGGTAGGCTCGTTGATGATACGGAGAACGTTGAGGCCAGCAATGGCACCGGCGTCCTTGGTGGCTTGACGCTGGTTGTCGTTGAAGTAGGCGGGGACGGTGATGACGGCCTTCTCGACCTTCTTGCCGAGCTTGGTCTCAGCGACCTCCTTCATCTGTTGATTTTGTTAGTCGCTGCCCCGCCATGCGAAATGTGTGCGCAGATCTTACCTTGACGAGAACCATGGCAGAGATCTCCTGGGGAGAGAACTGCTTGGTCTCACCGAGGTACTCAACCTCGACGAGAGGGCTGCCGCCCTGGTCAACGACCTTGAATGGCCATGACTTGATGTCCTTTGTGACGGTCTCGTCCTCGAATCGGCGACCAATGAGACGCCTACGAAAGTCAGCCTGCTGATCGTGCGCGTGCGAAAAAAAAGGTGCGAAGACACTCACTTGACATCGAAGACGGTGTTCTCGGGGTTCATAGCAGCCTGGTTCTTGGCCGCCTCACCGATCAAACGCTCCTCGCTGGTGAAGGACACGAACGAGGGAGTGGTGAAGCTACCCTGCTCGTTGGCGACTGTGGGCAAACATTGTTAGACATTGACCTTCTCGCAATGGAACTGGCGGGCGCATACTGATCTCGACATTGGTGCCCTCGTAGTTGGCAACGCAAGAGTAGGTGGTGCCTGCGATATTGTTAGCCCACAACACATCCCACTGTGGGGTAATTCGCGAATATTACGCACCAAGATCGATGCCGATGGCACCCTCGTAGACTTCGTCGCTCATGATTGCGGTATGTGTGGAAGGAACAACCTGAAAAAATTGAAGAGCAGGAAGGTGTTGGAGAGAAGGTGAAAAAGAGGGTTGGGAATCTTTTTCGCGCTTGCTTAAAGGCGAGCGATCAGAGAAAAATTGGCCTGGCAGGGATCTCTCGTAGTGTCGGCGAATGACGCTAGGCAGACTCGGTTAACCAACCCAACGCGGCGCTTATCGATACTGAATGAAAAAGTGCGCCCACCAATATTATCGTCAGGCCTCGGCCCGCTGAGTGAGAAAAGAAAGACCAGACCGTATATTCAGAGAAGGTGCCCCGCAGCCAAGATCTGGTAGGTCCTGGGAGAGTTTGGAGACCGAGTTGTGTCTATCGCGGGATGTTACACTCCTCTGCCTAAGAAACACGCGTCGGTATATGTCCGGCGTGCTGAACAAAATATTCCGGAGCATGCAGTACTACGGTAGTCGTCCGGCAGAGCGACTCTCGCCATCCAACTGCGGTATCGGCGTCGGATTCTTGCCACGGTTCTGCCCTTGAGGAAAGTTTCATGGACCCTGGAATCAACATGGTTTCCATCTTCGCAGTAGATTAGAACTGAGACCACCCTGGTATCCTCCATCGGTATGCGCCTAGAAGAAGTAAGATCAGGTCTCAGCACCCGCACACCAGTCTGTACGTTCCAAGAGTACCAAGTACAATCCTCGATATCGGTGTTCTTATCTATCCTTGGGGCCTAGGTCCGCGAGGCTGAGAAGCTGAGACTCTTTACTATAACTCTCATCTCGTACTCCAATCCCGCGATCAGTAACTTTCACCATCAAATGGCCTTTCTTCCAGTCCTCGTAATCATACTCTCTCTATCCATTCTGATTCTCCTTCTTTCCGCAAAGTTTCAGCAGGCGTACACCGGCACTGCCACAGATGGTGTGCATCCGTGTATCCATGACACTAACTTCACGCGAAAGACTACTGTCCTGGAGGAAAACTGGCCAATGAGAAATGTGCAATATGGAGCAAGGCGGCGAAACTGGCCAGTTTGGGTGTGATAGCCTGACTGTCCAAGGGTGTTACTGGATACATCACTATATGTACGCAGGAGACTGCATTGTCCACACCATTGTAGCCAACTAAAGAGATTTATATTGACGAGTAACGCGTCTTTGGCGCACCTATGTAGAAAGCATGGGTATACAGCGAACATTGTATAAGAGAGGTCGTACCTGCTGCTCTCTCTACACCCACAATCAACAACACTTCCAACACGACATCCAGTCACAATACAACACTTTTGGCGTCACCCCAGGAGACCTAAAATAGTAGCTGGACGCCTACAGACACGTGGGGTAATGAGTTTGAAAACAAGGAGCTGCAATGTAATCGTCGTACCTCGAACCAAGAAGTTGCTTCTGGGGTTATCAATCCTTCCATCCTACTCAAGCCGCACCCAAAGCCTGCAGCGCCGCCCTCAACTCCTTCACAGCCGTTGAGGAGTCTTCAAAATTCAACGCTGAAATAGCCCATTTCGCATGCTTTGTAGCTGCCATGATGGAATCTTCATCGTCTCTGAACGGACCCTGCGATGACAGCTGCTGCTGTGGAGGAGGTCCTGGTGCTTGGGCGTACGGATTCTGGTGAGATGTCGACGAGTATTGTTGCTGAGGAGGCTGCGAGGAAACGTTTTGTTGTTGGTAATGTTGCTGAGACACCACGGGCGACGTAAAAGCGTTTTGAGATTGTTGTGGAGTGACTGTGAAGCTTGAGGATAGTCTCTGTGGCTTCTGAGGCACTTGGGGTGGTGGTGATTGGTATGGGTTTTGAGGTGGTTGCTCGGGGGCTTGGGGTGGAGGAGACGTAGGGTTCTGGTAGAAGCTTGCAGGGTCTGACGCGTCTGGAACTTGTGGTGCAGGGCTGTTTGGTAGGGAAGATGTCATAGGGTCGATGTCCATGGGCGCGGTAGGTAGCCCGGGCGCTGTCGTCTCTGATGTGAAGGTAGGAGGGTCGGTCTTTGGAAAGTATCCGCCGCCGATTGAGACGACGGAGCCCTGCCTCGAGGTTGCTGATTGTGACATGGGCGAGACATCGTTGTGCGATGATTGGTTGTAGCCCGTGGGCGCGGAAGGGAGATTGGGAGCTGGCGGCGACACTTGGCGCGCAGACAGACTGGGCGATGGCTGGGTCGTATTGGGCACCGTCTCGACGTATGGTTGGTATGGGTTCTCTGGTGGCGCGCCTTGGTTTATGCTTCGTACTTCCGGGTCATTTGGATCTAGCGCAGACGGCGACAAGGCCTGTTGTGGTGCTTCTTGTCTGGGGTTCGTCGCGTTCGGGTCTTCGTTGGCCTTGATGGCCTTGACGATGCGCAGCGCATGGTATTTGGCGAACTTGGTCTTGGAAGTGATTTCGGGGTCACTATTCTTCCATACAGACATGACCTCGAGGAATGTCGATGCCGCGAGGAGGGTATCAGCGGTCTGCCTGCAAATGGTATCAGAAGTGAGAATCGGCAATGGAACTACGTGTTTGCTACGCACCCATTGACCCTGTTCTCGGCCATCTCCCTCTCTGCCTTGGCGAGAGTTTGTAGAGCGAACTGTTCACAGTATGCGCTCGCAACCGTGTCATCCAGCAAAGCATCCTCGTTCGGGTTCTCGGCCTTTGCTTGCTCCAACTTCTCCATGAGATCGGTCGTGTAGGCGGTACATTCCTGATCAGCCGAGTGGAGTCCACCGGCGATGATTCGTTGGACAATGCAGAAGCGCACTGTGCAGCTTTAGTATACGTCTCTTGTATTGGCAGGCGCGAGGGTACTCACACCAGTAGGTGATGATGGGCTTGAACTTCTCAAGCTGAGCGGCGCGCTTCGCAAAGGACGCGAGCTGCAAGCTCCTGAGCTTTGCCGGTACTGTGTCGGCCATTACTGTGGTATCTTGTGTGTGCTAAGACGCGTATCGCATGTGGTGTTTAGTCTGTGGATAGACGCAGTAAGGTGCAGGCAGCTACAGCGGACATGCGGTCATAGGCGCTAGTCCGGACTGATCCCTGTCTCCCCGCATCTCAGCTTTGGCCATGTAACTTATGGCAAGCTGTTACAAGTGAGTGAAAAGGCCAACCTGGCAACTACGCCATGTAAGGCTATATCCACTGCAGCAGCTGCACCTCTGCTTATTCTCCACTTCACCCACAACACACACCAACCATGGTCCGCGCAACCACGCTGTTTGCCGCTACGGCCGCGCTGGCCCTCAATGCCCACGCCGAGAGCATGTACTCCAAGAACAGCGCCGTCGTTCAGATCACTGGCATGGACTATGACAGATTAATTGCAAAGTCCAACTACACGTCTATTGTCGAGTAAGCCGTCCTCGTTTGTCATCATCCCCTCTCCTCACACCTCTCAGATTCTATGCGCCATGGTGCGGCCACTGCAAGAACCTCAAGCCCGCGTACGAGACGGCCGCCAAATCCCTCGCCGGCATCGCCAAAGTCGCCGCCGTCAACTGCGATGAAGAGATGAACAAACCCTTCTGCGGGAAGATGGGCGTTCAGGGCTTCCCGACCCTCAAGATTGTTCGACCCGGCAAGAAGCCCGGAAAGCCTACGGTGGAGGACTACCAAGGACCTCGTTCGGCCAAGGGCATCGTGGACGCTGTCAAGGACAAGGTCCCCAATATCGTGAAGAGGGTCAACGACAAGAACCTCGACGAGTGGCTTCAAGGAAACAAGGACACTGCCAAGGCCATTCTGTTCAGTGAGAAGGGCATCGTCAGCGCCACACTGCGCGCTCTAGCGATTGATTTCGCTGGAGTCGTTTCGGTTGCGCAAATCAAAAAGTCAGAAAAGGCGGCAGTGGATAAATATGGAATCACCGACTTCCCAAGCTTGGTCTTGATTCCCGCGGGCTCCGACACACCCATCAAGCACCAAGGCAAGGCTGACAAAGCAGCAATGGTCGAATTCCTCTCTCAGGTCGCCCCACCTAACCCCGATTGCCCACCTGCCAAGGAGAAGAAGTCCAAAGCTAAGAAGGATACCAAGAAAGAGTCCAAGTCCTCCAGCAAGTTTGCAAAGGCCTCAGCTTCACACAAGTCCGCAGATTCATCTTCAGCCGCCGCCTCAGCCACAGACGAGACTGTCGAGGAGCCGGTTGTGCCCACTGAGTCGCCTAATCCGAATGTCAAGGATGGAGATACACCCAACCCGATCGAAATTCCAGTCGAAGAGGCCAAGCCGACTATACCTCTGGTTGCAGAAGCTGCCGAGCTTCAATCAATGTGCTTGACCGAGCAGAGCAAGACCTGTATTTTGGCACTGCTTCCCAAGGACGAGTCTTCTGACGCTGCAACCACCGCCATTGCATCTCTTGCATCGATCCACAAGAAGTACGATGCTTCTGGCAGCCATCTCTTCCCCTTTGTAGCTGTATCCTCGACAAACCCACTTGCTGCATCCCTGACCACAGAACTCGGCCTGGGAAGTGCAGACGAGGTCCACCTCATTGCCACTAACGGCAAACGCGCATGGTACAAGAAGTACTCTGGCAGCTCTTTCGGAGCTGACGCAGTCGAACAATGGGTCGATGCTATCCGCATGGGTGAAGGCAAAAAGGAGAAGCTAGCCGACTCCCTCCTGGTTGCTGGTGAGAAGCCAGACCCGGAGACACCCGGTCATAATGAGCTCTAGTGGTGGACGGTGAGCTCACAGTAGGTGCACTTTCAAGTAAGACGTATACCAATTGACTTTCGTGTTCTATTGAACAAGCACTCAGACTACTACATCACTGCTCCACGCGTGAAACACTCAATTACTGACAAAATGTCGTCGCCTCGATCTGCTGTTCCGTCACATTTTGCGTGCTCATGCAATGAGGTCGACCTTAGCCGTCCGGAATGACGTACCGAACGCGATCCTCTCTGTTATTTTTCGGGTGCAAGGTGAGTTAGATGCAAGCGTCTGTGTTAGCCTCCATCGGTTTCTGGGGGCTTTGTGAGATGGATACAAGCTCCTGTATCGGTCTTTGTTAGTTTCCGGATTATTGATGTATGCATTTTGAGTATGCGTACTGATCACGTTTCGGCTATTTGCACATCCCTGTATATTGTTCAGAAGAATAGAGTGACCCGATAATATATGAGGCACGCACGATTGAGAGGGGAACCGACGGTGGGCGTTCGCTCCTACCCTTTCACTGGAAGCGGGCAGGTGCACGTGCCCTGCTCTTATACCTTGCGCTTACTTGCTGCGTATATGCCAACTTTGAGTACGACTACACCTACATCGGATATTGCTCAACCATGGTATCATTCTTGCTGATCGCCCTGAGCTTAGTGCATCCGGCAACAGCATGCCAACGAGAACTCCGCAGCCTCGAAACCGGTCAGCTATCACATCAACATCCTCTAGTGCTTCTCCAAGCAGTTACTTTCCCTCCGGTACGGAACAAGAATGAGGATATCCTACATGAGTCCTTCTTAGCATCTTCTATAGACGATTGGTCCTCTTATTATACCCATGGCGATCATGTCGCTGGACGCAACAGGTCCATGGCAGAAGTCACTGCAAAGGAGTGGACCAAGAACGGAGTACCCAGCTCACTGGTCGAGTATGAGGTTTTTCTCAGCTCTCCTCAAGCGTTACCGGCATTCCATGGATACTCTGCTTTGGGAAAAGTGGAAGCAGAGTATATTTATGTTGGGTGAGTGGCTTGTGTACCAGTTCTGCGGATATCAGCTAATGTACAACAGCCGTGGCTACAAAGACGACTTCGCCGCACTCACAGCATTGAATGTCGATCTGAAAGGAAAGATCGCTCTCGCAAAGTACGGAGGTCCTTTCCGTGGTGTCAAGGTTCTCAATGCCGAGGCGCATGGCATGGTCGGAGTGATCATGTTCAGTGGTTCCGGTGACGACGGGCCACAGGAGGCCAAAGGACAGGTTGCATATCCTCGTATGACTACTCCTAACATGACGAATAGCAGAAACATATGTCTGACTTCTTGTAGATGGTCCAGCGCGCCAACCGTCCTCCATACAGCGAGGATCCATCGCGTACATCCACCAATACCCCGGTGATCCAACAACGCCCGGATATCCGTCGAAACCTGGCGTCAAGCATGTTAGCAGGCCCCCGAACCTACCTAGAATCCCGTCTCTGCCCATATCCCACCGCGATGCTTTGCCATTCCCAAAAGCTCTGGACGGCCACGGTACATCAGGAGAATTGATTAATCGAGACGGATGGAGCGGTGGCTTAGACGCAACATACAGCACCGGTCCGGCACCAGGAATTACCGTTTCCCTTACAAACTTCATGGAGGAAAATATTACACCAATCTGGGACGTGATCGGCACAATCAATGGCATGAATCCTGACGAAACAATCGTCATCGGCAACCACCGTGACGCCTGGATTGTCGGCGGAGCCGCAGATCCCAATTCTGGCTCCGCCATCTTGATTGAACTCACAAAGGCTTTTGGCAAGTTATCGAAATCAGGTTGGAAGCCACGACGGAACATGTACGTTCACGAAAACCCATTCTTTCGAACAACAGAAGGTTCAAGTTGATATGTTCTTTGCATCGTATAGCATCTTCGCCTCTTGGGATGCGGAAGAATACGCACTAATCGGGTCAACGGAATGGGTCGAAGAACACGCTCTCTGGCTCTCCGCCACCGCATTGACCTACCTGAACGTCGATATTGGCGTTGCAGGTCCACTTCCCGGTGCAGGTGCTACTCCCGAACTACGAACCCTCGCGCAGGACATCATGAAGAAAGTTAGATACGGTAACAAGAATTTATACGATGCTTGGCATGAGTTGTACATGTTCCGACCTGAGGATAATGGTTTCACGGATCTAGGGAGCGGAAGTGATTACACGGCGTTTCTGCAGTTGGGTATCGGAGCTCTGGACTTTGGTAGGTGATTTTGGTCTACCAAGTGATTGTGAGATGGGTACTGACAAAGACACTGTTGGATTAGGTATGGATGCAAGTCGCGAATCGCCAGTTTATCATTATCACAGCAACTATGACTCGTATCATTGGATGGAAAGCATGGTGGATCCCGATTTCGGGATCCATGCGACTGTAGGGCGGTTCATTGCATCACTAGCATACCACTTGGCAGACGATGCTCTCATACCGTTCGATATGGATACGTATGCGCGCAACATCAATTACTGGATCAGGGAGCTTGTTGAGGAGACAATGGGCATGCCGGATAGCGGGGCTGTACAGCGACAGATCAAGATGAGTGATCTTGCATCTGCGGGAAGGAGGTTACGTCAGGTTGCCACCGACTTTACAGACCGAACCAGCGAGCCGTCGTTCCTCGACGACGCGGCGAGGGTGCAGAAAGCGAACCGCGTTATGAAGGATGTGCAGAGGCTGTTTGTTAGACAAGAGGGTCTACCTGGTAGACAGTTCTACAAGAACGGCTTGTATGCGCCGAATCGCGATGATGGTAAGTTGGGTTGAACAGATGTTGTGTAACGTGGCTGATAAGAAATAGAGTATAAAGCACAGACTCTTCCGGCGAGTATGGAGGCGCTTCAAGATCGGAACTTGACGTTGTGTTTGGAGTGGAATGTTTGGCTGACGGAGGCTATTGATAAAGTGGCAGAGCTATTGGCGGGTGTTTGAGAAGGAGCGTGAGGGGATGGGGTGATGGTGTGGTGCGGTTTGTAGTGTCATTGATTGCGCTGTGGTATCCATCATAGACGGTAGGAATATCGGTTCAACCAATAGCACTGTGTGTGTTTAGTCATACCGTCCTGCTGTATGACATATCAATCCTTGCTTGCTTGCTTTCTTTTTGTGTCTCTTCACTCACAACTTTGTGCTGTCTTTTTACCTTAAATGCCGAGCCCACCAAGTCATGTGCTGTTCTCCGGAGTCCACCAAAAAACACCACGTCGGCCAAAATGGTTGGCCTTTCCCAAAATCTCAAAAGGCCTCTCCATGTGTCGGGCAGAAGCCCGCTATTCCCGTATTTCCCGCAGTTCGCCAAAAACCTTCTATGACCAAGTAATGTTTCGCTTCCTGACAACATATAAATATTTTCCACGGCACCCTCTCTTTCTTCAATCTATCTTCCACGGTTCAATCGCGAGTTACCAAAACCTATCCCTTCTCCTGCCATGGTGCGTCCTTTTCTTCGCCAAAAAAAAAAGACATTCAGCGCTCTTATATGTCTGCTTCTGGGCTCTTCCATCAAAAGAGTCTCGCCGCATGTACATGTCGCTACGGCTCCCTCGCCAACTCATACGGCTTTGAAGAGGTATTGGACATTCCAACGATGGTGATGGTATCAAAACGCTGAAACACCATTCACATGCTGGGTGTTGTTGTCGAAATTCTCGATACAAAACAAGGGGTCTTCCTCTCTACTCCTTACCCACGTTCGCTACCTTCTGTCTTTCGAAATTGTGCTGGTGTCAGATTCATGTGGTCCTGTCCTGGAAAGTCTACATCTATCGTCCTTATGCCTATCATTGTGGTTTCGAGTTCCAACTATCCTTGGTTGTCATCTTGCAAAACCAAAAAGAACTCGCTCAATATTCATGGCCTTGCCGGCGCTTAGATTCCGAAACCGCTACTGTAACCGCGCATGCGTCCGCCTCTGATACCGGTTAATATGAATATAAAGCCCGCTCTTTCGCTCTTCAATCCCTGCTGCTCTTCTTGTCTCCCACGAAAAGTGTGTCTTACCGAAAAATGAAATCAAACAAGCCATGCTTCTTCTAAGACTACAGGAGAAAAGATGTATGTTTGCCTCCCCGATCCGAGGCCAAAAGCCTGCCAGTATCATTCTATTTCCTCAAAATTTGCTCGGTACAACATAGCTAGAGACAGCTTGACGTTTGGAGCTTTCTGGCCCAGGTTCCAAAACGCTGGTTGCACAAGATGTGCTGGATCAGCCACTCTCCAAGGGATAGCACTATATAAACCTCGTCGGTGGTCGTCTTCGAGCATATCCTCACAACTCACTGAGCCTCTCCATCTTTACAACAAAAGCTCAGACAGCTTAATGTCTGGCACTAAAAACGGTTCATGGATCAATCATGGTTCGTCCGACCACGTCTCCTAAAAGTGACGCGTCCATCGCCATATCCTTGGAGAAAGCTGCCTTTGGATCGAAAACTCAAAAACATGTACGAATTTCCGTCTGCCGCCGACAGTTTGATCCAAAACCCGAGACCTGTATGCTACACCACTACGAGTCTTCACTCACGTACATAAAGTCGGAAGTTTGGCTTCTTTTCTTCCACTTGTCAACAGCGGCAGGCCTTTTACCAAAAAACGAAAACTTGCCCAACATCTTTCTTTCAAAAGTACTCCAGAAAGTATTTATGTCTTCTGCTGTTCTTCCTCGCTTCGGCACTAAAAATGAGGGTGTGTGGGGAGTCATGCGGAGAGGAGTGTGCTGTCGCTCATCAATCAAAACATCATACCGAGACCACGGACTTCTCTCAGAGTTGAAAGCATGTACGGCTATCACGATCTCTTATCCTTGGCTCTGGCCTTCGAATTTTGGGATCACTGCTAGCTAATTTTATGTTTCTTTTTCATACGTCTACTTTGCTCGTTATCAAAATGTGCACATAGGAACTGTCATGATGGACGGAGCAGTAGGAGGGTGATTGGCAGCAGAGGCAGGCTCTCGATTGGGAAATGTGAGCTTCGGGGCGGGAACTTCAGGCTCAAGCAAGATCGGTGCAAGCTTCGGTCTATCGTCATCTTCATGGTCCAGAGCTGACCACGTCCAATGTGCTGGACCGGCGAGCGATAGCTTCTCAACTAATCCCAGTCGCTGGGCGGGGTCTTGAGCTGCTTTGACATCCATTGCTCATGGGCACGCTGTCTGGCACGAGATGATGTCAACGGGTGTGTCAGGGTAGAAAGAAACTCGAATGCGAGAGAACTATCCCTCAGGGGATTGACAGCGCTCTGGTGCGATCAAATTGGATTGGGTTTGACTTCAGAAGACGTGGTCGACTCATGAGTCCAGGACTCTTCAGCTAGTTGATCTTTCCCTTCTTCCAGCGCTGCCTGCAGCTTGATAAAGTTTTGCGACAAGGCAAATGATCGCTAGAGCACCACGCACCGGGCCGTGAACAAGCTCTTATTGCTGAGATGCATATGTTCATGCACATGCACTGGGTCCACGCTCATGATCTCCACTGCGTGGTATGACTAGCTTGGTGATAGCGAGTTTAGCGCGGCGTTGACAGCTTTTAGTATCGTAGGCTCAGCTATACGCACAACAGCCACAGTCACCAAGAGGAGCAACGACTGGCGCGTGGGCCGGGCCGATCCTCAGCCGCAGACCCACATCGGCACTATTATTGAATGGTCTTTCACCCTGAAATGCCTATCGAAGCTCTGCATTTTCTTGCTCGCATGAACATCGCATTCTGCGGAATGGTCTGGACGGCGAGTGTGGCCAAAGGTTGGTCAACTCTTAAACCTTGAATCCTTCGTGCAGCGAAGCATCTACACCTGCGTGCATAAGGCGAAAGTTGGACTTGCCACGAATGACAACGAAAAAACATGATGTAATACTAGGTTGATCGTGTAGCACTACGCGCCTTTGTATCGCATATTCAGCCAGTAATGGTCAGTCCAGTGACGATGGTGATCTTGTTGAATAGGTAAACCTACTCGATAGGCGAACACATTCGATTAGGCATAAAGCTTTGGCATGGAGATACACACGTAATCGAGTCAGTTCTTCGCCTTCCCCTGTCAGTTTGGCCTTTGCATGAAGCTCGCAGTAGGATAGCGCCATAGTCACTGCAGCGTATCCGCAGGCAGCCTTCGCCATGTGCTGTGATTAGCGGCCCGCAGATCCACACGGGCCCTGCATGATGGGACATATTAGGCTAGCAATGTGGTTTGGACAATCTTCGCCTTCATCAGGTGTACTGTAATACACTCATCATATTCATGATGGCTCTGTGTTCTTGAGCTGTATAAGTAGCCTAGCTTCCTCCGCCAAGTTAGACAGACCAGCAACCAGCACATCTTCTCTAGCAACCAGGATCTTCAAAACCTAACCAAATTTCCCAAGCCACTCTGCACCTTTCACCAATATGCCCCTAACCGAAGCTGAACTCTGGAAGGTATATGCCAACAAGATCAAGGATGACTACCTTCAGCAGTCCGACTTTGGATCGCAGAACAAGATCTTTATCCCCCCAATCAACTCTCAAGCAGTTCTGGCTTCGGGACCTATTAAGCAGTCGCAGACCAATTTTGGTGTTTTCCGAGCTAGCGACCCTTTGCTTAAGGTTGACAACCCCTCTTTCACTCCCTCCAATGATGGCTACGCCCAGAAGTGTCTAAACTATCTGAGAGCAGTCCAGCTCGTAAGTAATATCGATAACGGAGTTATAAGGAGCTTCAGGCTAAGAACTCCATCTAGGACACTGATGCTTCGGCAGGCCTCGTCCAAAACAGGGACGCGGCTTACCAGAGGCTGACCGCAGCGTCCGAACGCTTCCAGGCAGTAGCGGAGAAGGCCAGAGCTGCTTGGCAGGATGAATTCGATTATCCTGGTACTCCTTTGTACCAGTGGACTATGCAGAACTATCCCATGTACATGGTTGCTGACCATGAACAGAAGGCTGCATCAGCGGAGTTTGACCAGGTGATGTACAATATCCACGGGCCTAACTACATGACGCTTGTGAAGATGAAGCAAAACCTCCAGCTGGCTTTGGAACAGCAGCCTTCACCGTATGCGCATCGAGTCAACTAAAGCGATACTTCTTACTGACGATGGAACCAGGTTCACCATGGTGGTCAATGCCGCTCTACCCGATGCCGCCGAGAACACGGTCGCAGATGAGTACCGACCCAAATACGATATTGATGCGGGCTACGCGAAGCAAGTCGAGGCTTGGATCGACCAGGCAGTTGATGGGGATGACCAGCACGAGAAGGCTTCCATCGTTATCAGTGCCTCCGAAACTTCGGACTACGACTGGCACTCTGTTGGCTTCGATGAGAGCAAAATCGATGCATCAGGCGGATTCTGGCCCTTCTTCAGAGTTGAGTACGCCGGGTCGCACATGAATCGGTACGATGACGTTAAGGTCGATGAGTCGTCCAGCAGCCTCTCTGTCAAGATCCTTGCCGATGGCATCAGCTCCTTTGCGGTTACTCCATCGAGCACCTGGTCAGTCTTTTCGCATCATGATTGCGTGTTATAGCTAACCAATTGTCGGAAGGAACCCAGGAAATATCAAGCAGACCTATCCTAACTTGTACAAATCCGCCTCTCAGCAACTCTGGGATCCAATGGTGCAGGTCAGCAAGATCGTTGTTGGCTACAACGTCCGTATCGAGATCTCGCTAGATTCGGACACGTACAATAGCATCACCTCTAAGGTCGACACGGCACTGTCCCGTGACGCGAGTGCATCGGCCACGCTGTTCGGTTGCCGCCTCAACCTTGGTGGCTCGTACAACGACAGCGAGTCCAATTTCACAAATTGGAGCGATGTCAAGAAGGACGGTGACAGCAACACGTTTGTTATTTCCGCTTCGAACAACACCATTCCAGTGTTGCTTGCTGTGGTGGGCACTGTCCTTTCTTGAGCAGGTGCGAGGAAAGCGCGGACCTAAAGCTACAGCTCATTGCAGTCACTCGACCAGGAAGCAGTGGAGGCTGGCTCGAACGGTCCTCGCATATCATCGGCAAGTTGTTCCGCAGCTTTCGTAGCTCTAGCAAGAGACACGAACAACTTACCATAGTCTTTACATTATTTTGTTCGAAAGGTGAATTCGAAAACTTATCCGTGATCATCTTTCGGGACTGATGCTGCAACTGATTAGTTGCAGAACACATATAACCATGTTTCCCAAAGTCCAGTTTCTGGTAGTTCATTGACTTTTCCTGCCATGTGAGATCCAGTATCCAAGCAAAGTCAACGAACGATTGAGACAACCTCGGACGACATCAAAGAACGCACATACGAATCTCATGATTAGAATCTCAGGAGCCGTTTTTTAAATCATCAGTATGTTCTAGCATGACTCCAAGAGACTCAGATCTCACTCTGTCATGCTATACGCTGCTTTGCGAAAGATCACTAGCTCGTCATGTATATAAACTCCTCGTATTGACCTTACACTTCCTTCTTTACACTGCACAAGGCGGTGTATTATAACAAAAGATTGTTCGGAACATGACATGTTTGCTATTCCTCCTGTTCGACATGAAACACAATACGCAATAGTGTTATGACTCCGATGAAACACCAAAAAATGCGCCTCACACCTCCATGGCGGAGACGACAGGAATGATCACAAAAAAGAAGGTGCGGTTTACCAAATGTTCCGTCAGCATCTCTCGACTCAAAAGGTCTCATGTATCAGGTCATGAAGATTGCGCCAAGCCAAAGGCTGTCGATATAAATGTGAATTCCATGCATTGTGCTTCACTACCACACTCACGCACCATTATTTTACCGGCCAAAATCCGAAATCAAAGACCACATGGCTTTTGTTCTTTTCAAGACACGACCATGAGACTGTATTGTTCTCTCCTCTTTTGCCTGCTCACATGGACGTCCCAAAAAGCTTTAGGGCCAGCTTACATGAGCACCACGCGTCTGTACCGACAGTCATGTTAGAATATCTATTGTGAGAATAACAACCCTGGATATCGTGTACATGCCCGAACGCCAACATACCCGAACTCGTTTGGAAAAGGCACCCTCAATAAAACTCTTTCCAGTCGCCCCAAATGATGTTGCCTTCATACTTCTTCATGAGCTGACCCGTAGGATCCTCGCCCTTGACATGCGCCCATGCACCCGCAAAATGCAGGAGGAATTTGCCTGGCTTCCATTCGCCATCTTCGTTTTCAAAACACGGTATATCCTTTGGAAAGGCGTTCAGCTTCGACTGGGGCGCCACAACATGTCTGCCCGAGTATGGATCCTCCTTGAGCAGCTCGACCATGGCGTCCTGCTCGCTGTAAATTTTGTGCTCGTCGCCGTTCTTAGCTTCATCACGTAATTCGAGTGCGCGGCGAAGGAATTCGAGAGAGCGTTCATGTCCGCGAACGGCAAAGGATCCCAAGTTCAAGCCGTTGCAGTCGTGCGTGAGTATGTAGTCGACCTGGTCCGGATTTTCAGCCTTTTCTAGTTCGTCGGTGATGATGTCGGCGACTCTGACACCGGTGTCTGTGATGAGGGTGTCAAAGTCCAGCCACCATATCCAGTCGTATTTGCCAGTTTTGACCAGTCTCTCCACCATGTCGAACTTCCAGTAGACAGGCCCCCGTTCAGAGTGGGCTTCGAAGTCAGTGATGAAGTCATAGCCGTGGCGTCGCGAGTAGTCTATCCAGCCCCTGTGTCAGCACTTCTCTGAGACGATGCCGCAAGGCTGGACTTACGGTCTTTGTTCTTGAGCGAGAGGTGGAGATAGGATCTTTGGTCCGTCACGAATGTCACGACGGCGATTCGCAAGGGCTTCTTCTCTTCCTCGTGGGGCTTCTGTTCTGCCTCGACTGGCGGGGGCGCAGGCACATCTGGGGGTGGGGGCGGAGGAAGTTCCTCATGGCTCGGACCCTGACTGAGTTGCCATCCCAAGAAGACGAGGAAGACGAGGAGCAGGACGAAGGACGGCGGAATCTTTCGCGCTGAACGGAGCAGCATGATGGCGCGCGCAATGAGCGTGCGTCGGTGGAAGGAGGGTGGGAGAGTATACTGGTAGCATCTATACAGTCGTACACGGCATGATTATCGCGGCTGGTGGTACTCGGGAAGGGCAGCCAAGCATGTGCGGGATGCGGGATCGGATGCCAAAAGGGCGAAAGAATAGGCTCATGGTCGAGAACATGCCCGGATGCGGCCGCGTGTCCAGGCCGGGATGCAGCCAACGGGAGGATAAGAATTTGAGTATTGAGGTGGATGATTGCAGCTACATTCCGTACCAGGCCAGCGTGCGTATCCGAGTGGCCAGATACGAGACGCGACGGAAGCCAAGTGGAGCGTTTGCGTTGAGTGCCCCAGGAACGCTTGTCTGAGGTCCACCCCGCTGCAGTCGTTTGAGCCAGGGTTCAGCGACCTGCTCGGACCGATTCCCCCAGCCCGACGCTTTGTCGCCAACCACCGCGACACATCAACACTGACATCATCGCTGCGTTCTATTTCCTACTACCATCATGTCTGCTTTTAGAGGTAGACGTGCTGGTGGTGGCGGGACGCTCAAGGGACAGTTTCTGAATGGTGTCTGGCACTGTAAGTTGTGTCGCTTGTAGACATGAACACGACTGACGGTGGTTAGGTGACTGCAATCCGCGCCTGCCTGCAGTACACTTCGAGACCAAGAAGGAAGGCGCAAACAAAGGCAAATGGTGTATGTACTTGCTTCCCTGCCTCTCTAGCAACTCCCTAACCCACGCCAGTTCGTACTTGCCAAAAGCCAAAGGAAGAGCAATGCAATTTCTTTCTCTGGGATCACGACGCACAGCCCAGGGAGAAGAGTGCTCTAGCAAGAAACTCTCGCACCGAGTCTGATCCTGTCAATCCAGCTCCCACCGCCCCAGCCACGCCTTCCAGGCGTCCACCCCGTGCCCCACCATCTTACACAGTCCAAGCAAACTCGTCCGCAGCAAGTCGCAAGCGATCGCGGCCCATGGAAGATAATTCCGATGACGAATACAGTCTTGGGCAGGTTGATGACGATGATCTAAATCAAGTCATGGTTGCGGCTGAGACGCCAAGCAAAGCTGGTAGAACGACCGACTTCACAACTCCGGCACCGAAGAGACAAAAACTACCATGGCAAATGGAGTCGGGCAGCAGTTCCAGAATCAACGGCTTACAAACACCTCGAACCCATCATAAGAGTCAGGTAGATGATCCGTTCGCCTCGAAACACACGGCCTCAGGGAGTGCGCCGTTCACGCCAACATCCGGACCTAACGCGGATGGCAACAAGCAGGTCGCGACACCGTCTTCTTTGTTCGAAACGCCCACTCCAAGTCGGTTCAGGAACGCGATGGACGAAGACATCGTTAAAGATGTCTTTGACATGCTAAAGAATCGCAACGTGCCCCTCTCAGAGCATTGCGAGAAGGAGCTTAGGACTGTGCTAGTACGGCACAGCAAAAGTGCAGAAGGATACAGGAGAGGCCGCGACCTCATGCGCAGCACGATCAAAGCGAAAGACGCCAGAATCACGGAGCTGACGCATCGCAACAACACACTCGCAGCTGAGCTGGAGGCTGAGAAGGCTACTGTCAAATATCTTCGATGGGAAGCGCAGGACGAGCAGGACACTTGACCGCTTCATTGTACACGGCATACTTGTTCAACTTGAAAGCGCCGCTTTTTCATTAGCCCTAATGGGATGGTGCTGTGGCTGACACAGATCCTGTGGCTCACAGCACCATCACCGTAACACCAAAGACGACCATCCTGACCTCACTCTAGCGGGCATATTACCAGATCGTCGGGCCACCCCACTACACTCAGCGCGCCCTGAAATGTGGCACACGGCTGCATAGCACGAAAAGGCAACCCACACGATGCCGATCGCACGGCACCCTGATGCTAGCACCGTGACGGGTTTACATACCTGTCGCGCATAGATTTGCTTAACATTTCTTTTCGCAGAAGTTGACCTTCACTCTACGGTGACCTCCGGGCACCCCATGAGACATTAAGAATTTCCAAGGCAACCTGAGATCGGTCCGAGTTGCTCAGACGGCAAACAAGCACTCAATGTAGTGCGAAGGAGCGTTGGTGACGTGACAGCTGCGGCGGAACCGAGCCCTGCCCAGCGTTGGCACGCGGATGTCGGCATTGATAGCAAATATGATTCGTCGGGGTTTCTTAGACCCCAACCATCTTACGTACGCCAGGCCTTTGCCGATGGACCTTTCTCCACACCCTCCCCAGCGGAAGCTTGGCTCCCAACGGTGCACCTCCACAACCTCACCGAGATCCGTGTTTATGCCCCATAGCATGCAGTGATTTACCAACAAGAAGGATCCATTCAGTGACAAAAGCTTGTTCCATGTGATGGCCAGCATTGGAGTTACCGTAACCCACACCACCGATGGTCTGATGGGGCGGCTCAACCATGTGAATCTACCTAGAGGCTGCAGGGTCACTCTCAAGCCACTACCACCATGAACCGAACGTGGATTGAAGAGATTTGGTACAATCTTGGCGGACGTAGTGGGGCGGGTACCCTGAACAGGATACAAAGCCAGTTCACTTCTCGATGTTGACATTGACGCTTCCCTCCGTATCCCATTATTTTTCTACTCTAAGTGGCGTCGATCCAACATTGTCAAGGACAATTGCCCGTACTTGCAGTCTTTTCGAAGGCGAGCATCTTACATTTTCCCCTCTGATCCTCGCTACAAGGCGCCTCTGTCAAGATGGCAATGTCATTCTTGCGAAAAGTCGGCAACTACCTAGCGCCTCCTGCTTCGCAAAGCGAAGATGGTCGTGATCAGTGGCCTTCCAGAGCAGCTTTTCTTCTCGCTGCCATGGGTGGTTGCGCCGGCCAGGGCAACTTGCTTAGATACCCTAGTGTTCTTTACAACAACTATGGCCTCCAATGGTTCATCCCGTATCTGCTGGCTGTTTTTCTCATTGCTATCCCGGCTCTTATCTTGGAAGTATCTATTGGCCAGGCGTATCGTGGTGGCACTGTAATTGCTTGTAAGACAACCCATTTGGTGGATACACGCCAAATGCCAGACTAACATGCCTCTGCTAGTCAACAATATAAACGCGCGTCTAAAAGGCGTGGGCATGGGCCCTGTAATCGTCAGTTTCCTCGTTGTACAATACTTTACTGTCAACCTGGCTTGGTAAGCAAACACTCTCTTCACGAGCTCCAGACTGGATCTGTACTGATACCAGTTTACACAGGATCATGAGATACTTCCAAGAAAGCTTCACCAGTCCCTTGCCGTGGACCAACCGCATCGACGACTTCTACTACAACGACGTTCTCCAGCGTGGAGAAATCAACGAAGGAAGCCTGAGCGCGGATGGCAATTCCGTCCTCTCCTTTACTGGATACCCCAATGGAGCTCTTATCGGTGAAACCGTCGGCTGGAGCATCTTTGTCTGGTTTCTTATTTGGATCTCGATCTTCCGTGGAGTCGGCATGACCGGACGCGTCGTCTACTTCACAATGGGTTTACCCATCGTCACCACCATCATCTTCGTCGGGCGCGCGCTATCCCTTCCCAATGCGAGGGAAGGAGTGGACCTCGTGTGGAGAACGTGGAGGAGCGATCAGCTTGCCTCGGGCGTTGTCTGGCAGACGGCTGTTGGTCAGGTCTTCTTCTCCACTGGTATCGGCTTCGGATATTTCACCTCGTACGCTAGCTACAACACGAAGCATGCCAACGCCGTTATGGACGCCTGCCTCATCTGCGGTAGCAACGTATTGTTCGAAAACTTCGCCGCGTTCGCCGTGTTTGGCGTCGTCGGGTACCTGCGAAGGTGGCCGCAGGATGGCGTTCGTCTCGGTGCTTTTGTCGTGGGGTTCCTCACACTGCCTGAAGCTGTGTTGCAGATGCCTGGAGCAAACTTCTGGGCCGTACTTCTCTTCTTCACGCTCATTGTTCTTGGCTTCAGCTCCGCTTTTGTCATGCTCGACGTTGTGGTTACGTTGGTTTGTGATTCTGGCATGACGAAGGCTTCGAGACCGGTCGTTGTCACTGCGCTGACAGTGCTTTCCTTTTTGATGTAAGCAATCGCCTTCTCATTTATCTGTGGTGCCATGAATCCGCTACTAACTAGGTTGGCTATAGGTGTCTGCCATACTGCACAGAGTTTGGTTACTACCTCCTCGATGGCATTGATCGCTGGGTGAACAACGTAGCTCTCATCTTCGTCGTCTGGAGCGAAGTATCAAGCGCCACGACCGTCTACCGCTGGCGCGACATTGTCGATCAAACCGGTCTCCCCGCCTTTATTGTCTACAACATTGGTTTCTTCGGTGGCCAGATTTTCGGCATCAGCCTTGCGCACGGTATCAGCCAACCCGGAGCTGGCGCCGGGGCAGGAATCGGGTTCTACGTCCTCATGGCCATTGTAGCTGTCATCGTCGCACGGCCTCCCGATGCGCGCGCGCCGAGTTTCTGGAACGCGAATCCCTTCATTAGGAAATTCTGGTTCTTGGCCTTCTATTCTGGTAACCAATTACGAAGAGACCTTAATGTTATCGTTGGCCAGGGCAAGAACTGGAAGATACCAGCTTTTATGCCGTTCCTTCTGAGGTACCTCAGTGGACCTGTCCTTGCCATCATCTTTAGCTTCGCGTTTCCGGAATTCCACACTCTGAGATACGATCCTATGATGATTGCTGGATTCATCTTGTCGATACTCACAATCATTGTTGTTTTGTTCGGCTTGGTCATGCCGAGGTACTACGTTGTCTTCATTCCTGCCCACCGACGACTCGAAGGAACAGAACCGACGGTGGCGATGCAAACCAAGGGCGAACTGGCGGGTAGACCGGTTGCTGAGATGTTGAACGCTGAGCAAGGGCTTCCTTCGCCGCCACCATACTCGCACGAGCCGGGTCATTCGGGCGTTATGAGAGACTCGTCTTCGGGGCAAGAGGTGGAAGATGACAAGCATGTCAAGACGACTGGATTGAAGTAATCCACGACTGGATTACCGTGGCCCAAGTCCTCACCTTGTTTTTTTGCTCTTCTGGCCGGAGTTTGATTGTTTTGGGCTTGCAGCAGCGCTTTTGGCGGTGACGTGAAAGCGTCGCATCTTGGTTCTGTTCTCCTGGGACGGTGATTTTGTTTTGGTGCAGAGATTGCGATATTGCCAGACACAGCCATGATACATGCTGATAGTCCAGGAGGATAGTGAACGTCCCAAAGCATGAAAATGCTGAGCTAACTCATCCGCGCCTTCCGCTATCTCTTACACCCTTATGCGACCCCCCTCCAGCCTGAGATGCCAAACCTGTTCTCGACAGTGCACATAGCCAGAGTCATACTTGCAAGCAAGCTCAGGTCCAAGCTCCTCTGCACTCGGCGAATTGGCCTTGTAGCATGCATTGTGGTAGCCGTACATACCAGATGGTCGCCGATATTGACAGGCTCAGATTGAACATTGGTTTGCGTCGAGACATAGCCGATGCAAAGCCGTTAATGTGCCGATCTTCCTATCAGAAAGCAGACTGCTTACTGACTAATTTCGCAAAAACGCGTAACTCCCGTTCTGGACAAGGGCCACCGGGACTGTTGCCCCGCAATCACGATGCCGTCCTCCCGCGTGATACATCGCATAGGGCTGTCGGTATTCCCAGATTGATTTCGATATGTATAGATGATGATCATGCATGTCGGGAGCCAAAGATGTGCGAAGCTGGGGCAAGCGAAAAGCTTATTTTCACGTGGCTGCAGATGTGCTGATATGACATGGCACAAGCCAAGAAGTAAGCCATCATGGAAGAGTGAAGTAAGATTTCCTTTACACAATTGCTCTGCACGCACATGTTTGCCCCCGGGTTCGTTCACCAACGATACGATGTGGCGAGTCAGACGGGTGGGTTGCGCAGTTTGTGCGGTGACCCGCTAAACCTCATTTGTGGTGACTGCGCGACTTGTGCGGCCGCCACTGTCACGCTTTTCGACAATGAATCACAATCGTAGGTGGTAATGACATATCACGCAGAAATCACTCGGAAAAACGTAGTTTCACTTATATGCAGAGCTTCTCAGTATCGTGTTGTGTTCTCCTTGGACTTCTCTTTCTTCATCTACGCCCAGTCGCTTCTTTGATTGCTTTGATTGCGTGAGGCCAGCCGTTGGCTATTTCCCAGGACTGGTGCCCACTACGACCAATAATCATCCCCCAAACCAGAAGCTCATCTACCCGATCGACTGAGGACTACCGATACTCTCGATATTGCGTAGCCAACGTCACCCAAAACCCGAACCTGTCACTATGTCACCCGCGGCATCGTCACCCAGATTACGCTACCAAGCAGTAGCGAGCACTATCACCACGACATGCTTTATTTCTAATCTGCATTGCCCGTCATGTGTCGACGGTATCCAGGCCTCTCTCAGCGCGCTCGATCCCCCGCCACAGGACGTTTTTGTTTCCATCGTTTCGCATTCAGTGGTTGTGCGCCACGCCACAAGCCTTGACGTCGACGACATCACGGTCTCGCTCGAGGCTGCTGGATTCGAGATCCATAGTGTGTTTCAGGACAACAAGGCGGTTAGGAATCCGATTGAGGTCAAGAACCCTGAGGGAACGAGCAGGGAGTGGCATACAAGCTTTGAACGCGCTGTGAACAATTGGTTACGTCCTGTCGCAGACCTCGACGGTTCGCACGACGACATGAGGAAGAAAGAGACACATCTCGCTCAATGTGAGCAGTGTAAGAGAGAAGGTGGTGGAGTCACCTTCCACAGCCAAGAGGTATCGCCGTTGAAGCCTGCGCCTATCGTTACGTCTTCGCCTAGGGGTAGTTTTGATGGCTCTACGTCGCCCGAACCAAAGTCTCCCACATCTGAGGCTTTTGTCGCTGTCGACTCATCGGTCGCTCCACAGGTTTACAAGGTGACGCTGGCCCTCACCGGAATGACGTGCAGCTCATGCGTCTCCACTATCACCCACGCGGTTCAACAACATCCATGGGTCCAATCGGTCAATATCAATCTTCTGACAAACAGCGGGGTGATTGTATTCAGTGGCAAGGAAAGATGCGGAGAGGTCGTCGAGACGATCGAAGACTGCGGTTTCGACGTTGCAGTCGAGAAGCTGGAAGAGGTCCAGCACACGTCATCAAGAACGCTGGCGGCATCTAAGCAGCAGACCGAGAAATGGCGCGCAACATATTCCCTCGGAGGCCTCACATGCTCCGCATGCGTCGGAAACGTGAACCAAGCGCTGCAACCTCTTACATGGATCGAGAGAGCCGACATTAACCTGATCTCGAACAGTGCGACCATCGTTTTCCGCGGCAAAGAGCATCTTCCTGAAATCAAGGAAACCATCGAAGATATTGGATACACTGCAACACTAGATCAGGTCATACAAGAAGGAACTGCGTTAACCGAGAGTACGGAACGTTCTGTCGCAATCCGCATACATGGTATGTTCTGTCACCACTGCCCGGACAACATCACGCGAGGACTGCAAGAAGCGTTCGCAGAAGAAGAGAGTCTCGTGATGGAGGATCCGCCGATATCTCTACAACAACCTATCCTTCACATCAGATATGTACCGAATTCTCCTCGGTTCACGATCCGAAAGATCTTCGCAACAATTGAAAGCTTTAACCCTGCATTCCAGCCCTCGATCTTCCACCCTCCGACTCTTGAAGAGCGAGCGCGCGAGATGCACGCGCAAGAGCGGACACGTATCCTGTTCCGTCTTGTACTGTGCATCATAGTCGCTATCCCTACGTTTGTCCTTGGCATCGTCTTCATGAGCTTGATTAGCTCTAAGAATCCTATACGTAGATACCTTATGGGCAACATGTGGGCAGGCAATGTTACTCGACTCAGCTGGGCGCTCTTCATCCTCTCTTCACCCGTCTACTTCTTCGCCGCCGATACGTTCCACCGCCGCGCGCTGAAAGAGCTGAGATCGATGTGGCGACCAGGGAGCAGAACGCCGTATCTACATCGCTTCACACGTTTCGGCAGTATGAACATGCTCATCTCGCTCGGAACAACGATCGCATATCTGGCGTCTATTGTTGAGCTCATCTTGGCCGCTACGAAGAAGTCCTCTGGCTCGATGAATGATTCCTACTTTGATGCGGTGGTCTTCTTAACGATGTTCCTACTCATCGGTCGATTCTTAGAAGCTTACAGTAAAGCGAGAACTGGCGATGCTGTCACCTCGCTTGGTAAGCTCCGCCCAAATGAGGCTATCCTTGTTGATGCGGAGAAGGGCGACACCAGGATCGCTACTGATCTTCTTGAGATTGGTGATGTCGTCCGAGTTCATAATGGCACTTCGCCGCCTTTCGACGGAGACATCATTGAAGGGAACTCGAACTTTGATGAGTCGAGCTTGACTGGTGAATCGCGTCCGGTCAAGAAGGCAGAGGGCGATACGGTCTTTTCCGGCACTGTCAACAAAGGCGCTCCAATCAAGATCAAAGTCACAACCGTATCTGGTACTTCGATGCTGGATCAGATTATTAATGCCGTGAGAGAAGGGCAGTCGCGCCGCGCACCTGTTGAGCGTGTCGCTGACACGATTACCTCGCATTTTGTACCTTTTGTCATTGCCGCCGCCATAACTACATGGCTTGTTTGGCTGATTCTCGGTACTACTGGGGCCATACCTAGCGACTGGAAGAACGAAAGTGCTGGTGGTTGGGAGCTCTGGTCTCTCCGCTTCGCCATAGCTGTCTTTGTCATCGCCTGTCCTTGTGGCATCGGTCTTGCCGCGCCAACTGCGCTCTTTGTCGGAGGCGGTCTGGCTGCCAAACACGGTATCCTCGTACGAGGAGGTGGTGAAGCTTTCCAGGAAGCTAGTTCATTGGACTGCATCGTGTTTGATAAGACTGGTACCTTGACACAAGGTGGTGACCCAGCGGTGACAAATCACAAGTTCTCTGACAACCAGAACGCTGCGTTCGTGCTGGGCATTGTCAAGGCGCTCGAGGAGAACAGTAATCATCCTATTGCTCAAGCACTTGTATCTTTCTGTGACCAGAAAGTTCACAATACACCCGTTGCGGTCAATGTTGATGAGGTTCCTGGAAAGGGTTTAAAGGGTACGTTTAGGATCGATGGTCAAGAGATTACCGCTATCATTGGTAACGAAGGCTTCATGGCTGATCACCACGTACCCATTCTCGCCCAAGATGCCTCATCGCTACAGAAGTGGAAGTCTCAAGGTGATTCGGTCGCTTTAGTCGCATTGTTCCTACCACAGAACGGCGATCAAAGTGCTCTTCAGCCTTCCACGCCTCCCACTGAATCGGAGTCCCTATCAATCGCCATTACCGGAACCCCAAGCTCATCAACATGGAGACTCGCATGCATCTTCTCCATCGCTGATCCACTGCGTCCTGAAGCACCAAGCGTTATCTCAGCTTTGCAAGAACGCGGTGTAGACGTATGGATGTTATCTGGCGACAACCAAATCACCGCCAACGCCGTAGGTGCACAAGTCGGTATCCCCGCCTCCAATATCATCGCTGGCGTGCTGCCAGACCAGAAAGCAGAGAAGATCAAGTACCTCCAGCAAACGCTGACCAAGCCGCACAAGTCCTTGTTTCATATTCCGTCTCTATCTCGAAACAAGAACTTGAAAGAGCAAAAGATGAGCAAGCAAAAACGTGCAACCGTAGCCATGGTAGGCGACGGCATAAACGACGCACCCGCTCTCTCCACTGCCGACCTCAGCATAGCAATAGGTTCCGGATCCGACATCGCCCTTTCCTCGTCCTCGTTCATCCTCATCAACTCGCGCCTCACGACCATTCTCACTCTCCTCGACCTCTCGCGCGTGGTCTTCCGCCGTGTGTATTTTAATTTCGGATGGGCCCTCGTTTACAACTTGGTCGCTATGCCCATTGCTGCTGGCGTCCTATTTCCCATTACGACTGGTGGTAGTAGCAAGAAGATGGATATGCATCATAATGGGATTGGGATGGAAGGGGGGATGGCAATGGAGGAGTCTGGTAGGAAGCATGTTAGGCTTGATCCTGTCTGGGCTAGTTTGGCAATGGCGTTGAGTAGTGTGAGTGTGGTTTGTAGCAGCCTGGCTCTGAGGAGTAAGGTGCCTGGGCTGGGGTTTAGGGTGAACCGGGGATTGGAGGAGTTGGTGGATGGTGTGGGTGAGAGAAAGGAAAGGGCTGGGAACGAGAACATTGTGTGAGAGGTTTGGTGAAAGATGGGGTAGTTTGTATGGTGTGATATTCCTATAATCAGACTGTCCTAGGTACAAACTACTCGTCCTAAGAGAGACTCTTTTGCTTCTATAGGATTCAATGGAGCATTGAATAAACACGAGGAAGTATTCCGTAAGGAGGACCCTTTCCGTCTCGATGAACTCCGCTCAGTGTACAATTGAGCAGGTTGCAACTGCTACAAACCTCTCTTTACGTCTACAATATCGATAGATCGCTGTCAAACATCAAAAACCGTCAAGACTACTGAACTTGCCACTAGTAGTCGCTTTGTGATGAGCGTTTTGATGTGTCAGTTTCTTTACTGTTTAAATGGCAATCGCTGATACGGGAGTATGGTTGGAACAAGAAGTAGTGATGAGGCTAGCTAATTTTTATAAAAGAAAACCTACTCTTGAACTCTTGACAGTCTTCTAAATCCATTGATTTGCCGTGTATCCATTTCATAGCAGTCCCATCTCAGACATATGGGGTGATAATTTTGGTTACACAAAGCGGGGTAGGCTCCATCTTCAAGTACCTCACCTTCCCTTAATTCATTTCTTATCACACAAGATATCCCTCACAATGAAGTACCAGTGTCCACTTTGCCCCAAGAAATTCACTTCCAGAAACATGCTGAGACAGCACACCGGCACTAACGACGCAGCCCTCCGCCGTGCCCACCTGTGCACCAAATGCGAGCAGACGTTCTGCAGCCAGAGGGCGATGGAGCAACATCGCGACGCTCCATCTCACGATACCATGTTCACCTGCGACGTGTGTAAGAAGCCTTTCGGAAGTAGGCAGGCTGTGGAACAGCACAATAAGAAGTCTTCACTACACGCGAGAAGGCTGGCTCAGGCAAATCTTGCAGTTGGAAATGTGGTAGGTGCGTCGTCGAACCCGCGAAATGTAAGTTCACAATCTCGTAACGCGAAGGTATACATGATCCAAACGCTAAGATATGTCCGAGCCTTCATCTTACCAGATGGAATCCCTTGAACGAGCGACGCCCTCCACTCCGATCAAGGAAGGCACGCGTAGCAGTTCCGACAGCTGGGAAGAGTACTCCGATGACGAAGACATTCTGGCGGAAGATCGCCCCGGAGCAGTCTGGGACGAGGACCAGAACTGGGCGCTCTGTGATACAGATTGTGGATGGTGCGGACATTGTGCTGATGGAATGGATTACTGAGTCGTCACGAACAGAGGTCCAATAAATGTTTCTTGACATAGAATCGTTGGTGTTGCGCTCAATTCAGCACAGCCTTTTATAAGAATGGTTTCTGGAAGCATTTGAGGCGCTCGTGGAGTCTAGAGGTTATAGTGACGCCATTGTGCTTCAGTAGCAAACGACAATGTATCGGCTGCGTGGACGTAGCTGCTTTTCTACCCCGAAGGCGCTGATGATGATGTGTATGTCGTTGTCTAGTAGCAAAATTGGCAATCTCTTTCTTTACCACGCGTTAGACTGATTGAGTTTTACATATCCAACGTTTTGCAGCAGTCGAAAGTTGAGAACCTTTGAACCAATCGAAGCTTCCTAGTAATCGACACGTGATACGGATACTAGATAATCCGCTGACAGGCCGTAACCCCGCACCTGAACGCCATCAGGCCTCAGCTGAACCAGACAGACAATACCATCGCTCCTGAGATACTACGTCAAGTTGAATCACTTGATGAAATGAAAGCTTTCAGTACATCCTTCGTGCTGTTGACAGTCGTCGTTTGCAGTGTAGCTGCCCAAGGTAATTGCGTTCTTATGACTCCAGTGTTTCCAATGCTAAGAGAGAACACAGAAGTGCTACATCCTGGTAAAATCGGAGTTCACGAAGATGATCAGACTCTGGACACTCTAGTCAATCGCGGTGGCTGGGTAAACCCTGAAGATCTGATCCCCATGCCACAGTGCATCGCTCAACAAAATTATTCCTCTTGGCTAGGTGCGATAACGAAATGTACGGGTAAAAGATGCACTTCACATTTCGGAGTAATTTGTACCCACCACCAGTGGCTCACTCAGCTTAGCTGTCTCAGCACTGAAATTTCCTCTGAGATCGTTCGGGCCTATCTCCCATATTGCAGCCGATCCGTGCTTGCTAAGGCGCAGTTATATCGATGGATACGTACAGTCACAGACCGGACATGGCTTGTTGATGTCGGCGACGCCAATGGGTTACAAAGCCTCTCGCCAGCCTCGCTCACTAGAGGGTATGCCACTATGGATGTGACTAATAAGGCACCAACGTGCCTGAAAGACTCGGCTTCTGCATCATCGATGGAACCATTCCAACGCATAATGGCCTCATGTGCTTTCGCATCCAACACTCAGCACACCGGGAATGCCGCTCGGCCATGGGAATACAGTGAATCACTGCGGTCCGTTATCGCATTGGATTCTGAGACGGTCGGTTACGATGTCACTCAGCATAGTATACGATATGGCGATTATTTCGATAAGCAATGCTTTTGTGACGCATTCAGTATAGACCTGGAGTCGGAGCCTTGTTCAGTTCCGGGGCTAGCTTCAACAAGGGAGCGGCTGTGGTTGAATGCCACTTGCGGCTCGACTTCCCTACCCATCAATTGGACAGACGGACTTCAAACGACAACATACGCTTATATTCCTACCGAGAAATGGCGTTGGCCTGATTGTGTCGCTTCTATGCCAAAAAAAGTGATTGGGCTTACTGATCGGTGTGCGACTGACGCTTGCGAGTCTGATTCGAATGGCTTTTGCAAAATAAAGCGTTCAATAGACAGGGCTTGCTTCTGCCGCGATATAAGCTATGGCATCTGCAAGGGAACATGTCATATCTTCGAAACCCGGATAAACTACGTAACATGGCTCCACGACCTTTGTGGCGGCGAGTCGGGGTGGCACGGCTTACCGAGGCATTGGCGCCAGTTAGCCGCCCCTACTCCTCTCGACATGATTCCTTGGAGATGGAGCATGAAACCATTTAAAGACTCGAAACCGACCCCTATCAATCATTCGAAATCTCTGAAACGAATGCACGCATGTGCCTCTACCGAATGGAAGCTTGGGAGCCTTGTTTTAATCAACCTAGCCACTTCTCTTGCTGGTTTATTTCGCCCGAGAAATGTTGCCAGTCCCATAACACGTATGTATCTACACTACCTGCACTCACAACATTGGATTCTGGGAGGGTTTTCGATCGCTGCTCTTCATCTCTGTGCAAATTGGCTCAATGCGGTTCTCATTCAGTCGACCCTTGGGTACGCGGATGTCCCAATCACCCAAATGATACTTCTCTGGTGCTCGATGCCTCGATTTACTTGGTTAACAGTATTGCTGGTTGTCTTCCAACCCCTTCAAGCGACGACGTTTTCCACGGTCAAGTCGTTCTTGTTTGCAGAATCGATCCTCCAGATGTTCTCGGCATATCATATGATCACGGCTGTCAGTTATGGCCGAGAGCATGGCTTCTATAGTCAAGGCATGGCAAGACTAGATAGGGTACTATCTGCTCGATGCCTATACGCGGGAGCACTTATGTGGCTTCTTGTCACTATTGCGGCTTTGGCTCTCCTGCTGCAAGCTATATGTGGGGCAAAAACGTCAACTAGAGGCGCGAGATTTGATGGGTTAGAGCCACGAACTGACAGAAGAACAATTCCGAGTGTTTTGGAGGAGCTAGTCGCGCTATTCAACATCTTTTGGACACGATTTGAAGAGAGCTTACTTCGTTCTTGGCTTGATGAGAGCTGGGTCCAGGAGCAACCGCTGTCGACGAGTAGTGAGGAACAGATTTACACAGTCTATGGTACTTTGCCTTCCAAAGTTCCAGAAAATCAGATCATCGAACAAGGCATGGTTAGACTATTTCTGATCGCAATTGCAAGTATGATCTTCCTGTGGATCGCACAATGGTTGTTTTGGGCCGGGTTTATTGGCCTTAGCATGGAAGAGTAAGTACTCGCACAAATGCCTTGAGGTCAACCCAGCTAATTGCACCAAGATTTTGTCCTCCTAAACTTGGGGTCCTTACCGTCATCTGGATGATTTTCTCGTTGGCTATTGCTGCTGTAGCAGTACTTCCATGAGTCTTACAGTTCTTGATAATTGAGATATCTGCATGTGAATTCTTTGAACGCAAGGAACGACTACATGAACTTCTCTTGCATTGTTTTTGACGTCTGACACCTAGCTTCTCATAGCATGAACTATCATTTCCTTCAACGATATCATCAAAATCATATAAAAGAAGATCCACGCTCTCATTTGGAAGCTGTTTCGAAACACATAGCAGCAACAGTATATCAGTGTACGCTCTCCACGCTCGCTGTCTCCCATGTGCGTAGTTCTTACACGACAAGCGGCGTAGTCGGAGCGGAGAAATAGCGGCCCGACCCCGGAAAGAAAGAACGTGAAATTGTGGGAGGTAAGACTCTACCCATATGAGAGCATTCGATAGCGTCATCTCCAAGACATACTGCTCGTGACAAGCTCGTCAAGACTGGACAAAACTAGTCAGCACCAGATCTACCTCCACACAAGAAGAATACATCCTGCTTTGCTGCACCCTCGAACGACCTGCCAGAGTCTTGGCTGGACTATCTCTAAGCTAGCGCATACGCGGCCGTTACCGAAACTGTGGTTTCTACGGATAAACGGCATCCGATTGGTCACCTCCAGGAGCAAGATCGAAATCTCGTCGGGTAAGCGCAACCCGATTCGTTGACGTCAGTCCTTCTGCGATGCTTCGAAGCTTGCATCAGCAGTCCGATTTGCACGACCGCAGAACTTAGAGGGCAAGAGATCTAGGCCTACTCAGTGCGAGGAGCCAAATGAATGGTGGTTCTGAGAAACGATTTATGTAAGCTGGGGGCACCTCCACTTCTATAAAGGCTGGAACCACTATGCCATATCACTAGAGCATAATTGATGCTTACGTTCGAATTCTTGCTTTCCCCAACTCAACCTCGGCTCGAAAACCCAGCATGTCACTTCCCGTCTGGCTCTTAGCCGTGCTTGTGGGGCTCATAGTATACTTGACAACCTACGTTGTATATCAGCGATTCTTGCATCCACTAGCCAAGTTCCCAGGCCCTTTCTTCGCATCTCTTACAGATCTTTGGCAGGTCTCTGAGTTTCTCTCCCTGAAGCAGCCGTACAATTTGACTGCTCTCCACGAGAAATACGGGCAGTTTGTCCGGTATGGCCCGGATAAGATTAGCACTACAGCTGAAGATGCTATACCGATCATCTATCAGAAGGGCGGTAGAATGTTTCCTAAAACCGAATTTTACGATGCCTATGGATCGCACATTCCGAACGTCTTTGGGATGCGTGACGAATCGGTAAGTTTCTTGGCAGCAATATTGCTGAACTTGTCTTTGATACGATTCCTCAGAAACACTCTGTCAGACGACGACACATGTCTTACAGCTTCTCCGCCTCGTCTGTAAAAAAGATGGAAGACCTCTTGGACGAGAACGTCAAGATCTTGAAGCAGAAATTATGCAGATATGCTGAAAGTGGCGAGGCTGTTGACCTCAAAAGGCTCTTCAAGTTGTATACCATTGATGTCCTTGGCGAGTTAGCTTTCGGTCGGTCCTTTGCAGTTCAGGAAACTGACGATGAGTCCCGCGTACCACCGGTAGTCGAGCATAGCTTGCTCGCGGCAGTGACTGGGGCATGGCCTGCGATGACATTCAGGCTGAAGCGATGGCTTCCAAAGGTGCCTTCTCAAACCTTGAGACGATTGTTCGAGGGCCGTGCAGCCGTTGCGAAACTGGCAGCAACGTGCGTTCAAGAGCGACTCACAGCCTTACGGAATGCTAAAGACCTCGACGATGATGCAGCCGCACCAGAACGGAAAGATCTCTTGACCAGCCTCATTCTGGCCAAAGATCCTGACACCGGAGAGAGGTTGTCTCAGATCGATCTCGAGGCTGAAGCGTTTGGTTTCATGTAAGTTGCATTTGTCGATGGACTGTCTGCAGAGGTGAAAACTAATCATGGTACAGCATTGCGGGAACCCACACTACGAGTGCTACCACTTCACTACTCTTTTACCATCTGCTGGAAGCTCCCCAAATCATGGCAAAATGCGTGACTGAGATTGACTCTCAGCTCCCGGCGTTGTGTGAAGACAAACCAGCATATGCGCTTGCGGAGGTCGAGGCTTCACTCCCTTTTCTCCGGAAATGCGTCAAAGAGAATTTCCGCGACACCCCAGTCTTCACAATGCCATTGGCTCGCAGAGTCCGTACTCCTGAGGGTGTAACCATAGGAGGCGAGTACATTCCCTTTGGGGTAGGTTTCTCCGTGGCTGCAAAACCGGGTATCAACTTACTAACTGTCATATAGACCTCGATTGCAGTTTGCAACCATGCGTTTCACCACAATCCAGCTGTCTGGGGCGATGACCATGCCATTTTCGATCCTGATCGATGGGATCAGCCTGAAACGGCAGCGCGTGGACGCTATTTGATGCACTTTGGTCTTGGTGGTAGGCAATGTATCGGGAAGACACTTGCGCAGACAAACATATATAAGCTGACGAGTACTCTACTACGGGAGTTCGCTTTCGAGTATGTACGGCTAGGGGGCAAAAGGGCGGTGGACCAAAGCGAAGAAAGAGGCCAGAGCCTGGGAGGATTGCCAGATATGGTATCTGTAGGTATCAGCGATCTAGAACAGCCTCTTATGGTCAAAGTCCGCAGAAGGAGTCAGTCGCCATGACGACCGCCCTATGCAAGAGACCTGCTCATGGCTCAGCGTATGAGTAAGAGAACAAAGGGTTCTTTTTTGAGTTCTCCAGTAGATTAAAAGGGTGCCTTAAGACTGTTAGTTTGAGGATGTAGAGGCTCCCAACCACCAAGTTTTCGCCTTTACCTAGGTAATCAAGGTCCGGATGGCTTAATGAAGATTGGAAATTAGCTTCGGCCTAGTGGGTGTTCTATAGAGGTACTGGAAATGTTGCGCGGGCGAGCGTGGTTTACCACGTGTCTTCGAGCGAGCATTGCGCTACCGCAACCGTACTTGGCAGCAATTTTGCGGTAGCTGATTTGCCCTTCTAGTGCAAGCGATCTAAACAGCGCGACCGCATCTTTTCCCTGACCCATGGTGATGGAGTCGTTGATGTTGAACGTTGATGATTGATATTGGTTGGAAGCTCGAAGGGCTGGGCTCGCACGCCGGCCAGCCTCGGTACCCAGTCACGTGTTGCGGGACCCCGTGGGTTGCCGACGAGCGAGTGGGCCACGATCCTTCTATCTAGCCATTAGTTCGCTAGTCACTCAATGATGGCGCCGCACTCTATCGTCACCTCGCCTCAAGATCGGGTGTCGAAACGGAAACGCGTGGCTCTCGCTTGCTCGCAGTGTCGTACTAGGAAATCTCGCGTAATCACATCCCTTTAGTCCACCGCATACATCATCTAACAAAGTGCCAGTGTGACGGGCTACGACCTTCGTGCTCCACTTGCCTCGAGTCATCTCTACAGTGCCAATATCAGCGTCTGCCATCGCCACAGCTAAGGAACCCGTATGCGCCAATCGCAACGGGATTGCACATACTAATCACACCAAATCAGGACATATGCGCAACTCGCAAGGAGAGTCAAAGACCTGGAGGCCCAATTGCTATGGGCATCAGCATTCTCCGACAAACCTCTTCAGCGAGCGCCTGAGCCATTGGATAGTCATGATGAGTCTGCCGTAGATCTGTTGGCTACTAACGCTTTTGACGAGTCACCGCAACAAGACATCGGCTATTTCGGTAAGCTGTACTACGCTTGGAATTACCACCAGCTGACATGAGAGCGCCAAAGGCCCTACCTCAAACCATGCCTTTTTCAGGCTCCTAACTGCAGCTTTGACGCAAAGATTACCTATGTTATGCCGGCTCGCTGGACAGAATACTGCTCTCTCATCTGCCAGCTTCCTCGACCAACAACACTCAAACTCTGCAAAGCAACTCTTGGAACCACTTCCACAGTACAAGCCCACCAATCCGCAGCTCAGAAGTCACGTTGTTGCGTCAACAGACCAGGACTTACATAGTTTGATAAATCTCTTCTTCGAAGCCCAAGGTTCAGTCTTGCCATATGTCGACAAATACGCACTCAGCTTCAATGGCGCCCGATCCCTCCTGGAATCGTTTCACAACAGCTCAAACGCTAAGAAGGCATTGCTGAATATCATGTTTGCTCATGCGGCACTTGCCAAGTCATTTCCAGACGCCGAGGCATTTTACCGCCGTACGCTTGCACTTCTCGATGGATTGTCTCTTCGTGGCTCCAGTTTGGAACTTGGTATGTGAGCACATCTGACCGAAAACTCTCCCACTTATGCCGTGAGATGACTTACTATCCAAAGTACAAGCGGTTCTACTGCTCTGCAATTTCCAACAGAATACACAACGCTCCATCGCAAGTTGGACCTACCACGCAATTGCAGTCAAGGCAGCTTTTCAAATGGGATTGCATACGTCTGACCTTTATGAAGGGAAAAATGCTCATTATTGTGAGATTTTGAGAAGAGTCTGGCTTGGTGTCATCATACAGGATAACACCTTGAGTATGGCGTTGGGGCGACCTCGTTTGATCCTTCCACCCCACATACGCGCATTACACGAACAAAAGAGGCTAACGAGTCTCACTGACGATGTAGTTTACTTTTATCAATTTGCGTGAGTAACCTAGGGCTGTGACAGATGAAGCTGACTTGCGCGCAGGGAATTAACCAAGGTGAGAGCTTCAATTATCGAAGCGACTGAAGAGCGCCACTTCGGTTCCTCACAACCCTGTACCATCCAAGAGATTCTTTCTCAAAGGCTACAGCATATATATAGACTCGAACAGTGGAAAAGAAATCTTCCATCAGCGAGTGCATTGGCTACTTACGCAGAAATGGTGACGTGGTCGCCACCATCGTACAGTAACAACCGCTTCCGCACCCTGCTGACTATCCATTATCATGTCACCATTCTACTCATCAATCGGCCAGTGCTAGATTCGATTACCGAACACGAGCTCGGACAAGACGCGTTCCATCCATGCACCGGTGAAATCTCGATAGCCGTGGAAAATGACTTTGCAGCAGCGAAAGAACTCGACAACATCGTATCCTGCATAGCCAAAACATGCCCAGAGTATTTGGACAACAATACGGTCTGGTGGACCTGCAACTACTATGGTGAGTTTTTCCCTCTGAGATATAGACTCTGTAATACGCGATTGACATCAGATAGTCTTCACGGCCGCTTTGCATTTGTTTGCGATACTTCTTGCGAGCTACCAACACAACTCCACCGTGCCAAACAGATTGCCTGACTTGTTGGACATTCGAAAAGCCGTGGCATCAAGCTTGCAGACACTGGAAAGTATTGACAGAGGCAGCCTGATGAGCCGGAAAGGCCGGAAGTGTTTGGAGAGATTTCTACATGTACTCGAGACGGTTGGTATGTTTGAATGTTTCACCTGTCGAGGCGGATCAGGTTGCTGACTCACCTTGTGATAAAGCGCCACATGCGGCATCTGTGCCCAATGACATGTCATTCAATGATACTACGCTTACAGGCGCGTTCGATGATATGCTTGCACAGTTTGTCGCCGAACCCGCATGCGACTTTGTTCTTCAATCTAGTCAGCTAGGCTTTTTGGATTCGGATATGGGGTTTCCGGACTCTGGTTTTGATGGCCAGCAGCCCTTTTGAAAGCAAGAGGACAACCATATATGCCTTGACCAACGGTAGGATTACGAAAGGGAAGGCTTTTTCGGCCAACCCCAAATACTATTCGGCCAACCCTAAAAGATCAGATAAAAGCAACTAGCTACACAGATTAAAGACTAGATAGAAGCAATCAGGTACCCGAAAATAGCACTAGGTACCTAAGAATATTACTACTAAATTATAAAATAAACGCAATCCACTACCTAGAACCTTTAAGAACATTTACCTCTCCTCTTACTTACTAAAAAAAGATTAGATAGAAGTAATCCTTTACTAAGAACCTGCCTAATCGGGTAATAATACTTAGAAGTGTTAATATCTTAAGTTATTTTTACTACATTTTGGCCGCTTAGGGACCTTCCATCTCATCTGATCTTTTTGGGGTTGGCCGAATAGTATATGGGGTTGGCCGGGAAAGCCTTGCCTTACGAAAGCATATCAAGAGTCTGGTGCACTGGCAACTGCATCGTGGCGTTTCCATTTAGCAGTGACTGCTGGCCTCCGTTGTCCGCGACACACCCTCTGATTTCGATACGAGCGCTGGAATCGGGTTCAGATATCCTAACAATATCCCCTCATATTACTTCTCCTGCTTCTTGCCTACAACAACTGCCTCGCATTCCTATTTCTCCTCCTCATAGGCCCTCTGCTTGCTCCTCGGCAGATTCCACCTTGGCGATAAGAGCAATTTCGTCATTTGCCTCAAAAGCAGCGTTCGTTCTTAATCTGGTTTGTCTGGCAACACGACTTTGGTTCACTTCGAGTACTTGTTTCCGTGCTAGTGCAAAGAGGAGAGTGTTCCCTTTCCTACGTCTCCTCTTAGCCTGGCCATCTCGGCGAAAGAGGTTTTGTCGGGTTCGACTTCGAGTTCGTGTTTTCCAACGCGTCATTCTGTCCAGGATGCCTCAACGGGAGATTCCAACTTCTTCTCATACATCGATGAGATTTGAAGAATATAATTGTCGCAGGAGCGTGATGCGGTGTCGTATACGCCCAGAGTCGGATGTGGTATTAGTTGCCTTGGTAGGGAGCTGGTCTCTTCTTGCCAATATAGAGCGATGTGGGGACATTCTGCAGAGGAGCCTGGTGGCGTCCATTGTGACTCTGTGATGTGTTATGTGTATCTGCTGTCTGTACCTGCCGTGTGTTGCGTGCGGCTTCGACGGGTCAGAGATCGGCCCTTTGGGTATTGACGATTAGTATGCAATACCCTGCGCGGTCCGAAATCATGCATCACGAACGCTGAACCTTTCAACACGCAGTAGCTGGAATGGGGTTAGTGTTAGGGTCTTGTCGGAGACGCCGGCTTATGTACCTTACATTGTCATCGTTGTCCCCCTGGTGTTCCTACGTCTTATTTTTCTTTATCAAACTGGTCTTGACATTTTACTCTTTTTCATCATGGGAGAATCACAAGATAACAAGACGGCGGAACAGAAGATACTGAAATGGGGAGAGTTGTCGAGAAGTGAGGGTTACGATGTATGGTCACTCTACTACTCGACAGATGAGATATGGTGTTAATATGTTATCAGTATCACGATTCGCTAGCCTCTAAGATAATGAATCTCGAGGAGGTCACGATTGCGCCTACTGGAGAGGCTTCAGCAGTGTTTACTTTTGTCGTCCCTAAGACACTATGCAGGTAACGTACCGCCATGTGTGTAACATGTGGGTAAAGGTTTACTCACATTTCGGGCAGTGAGTAGCTCCTTCGTACCAAGTGTACCATGATACCACTGCGGCGAACTGATGAGCTGATCTTGTCAGATTCTGGTGGTAACCTCCATGGCGGTGCTGTCGCATTGATCTTCGACATCACAACATCCATCACCATTGCGGCTATGAGTCGCGAAGGGTTCTGGAATGGCGGTAATGTTTCTCGTACTCGGTATGTACTTCTTTGTTATTCCACAAGCTGTTTTTCGCTAATGTCGAGTAGTAAGTATGACTTATAACTAAAAAGTCACTGTGTTTTTAAAGTAGACCGCAAGAGTACTGGACTGACGATTATACGTAAGTTAACTGCACATTTCTGAGACCTGCTGTCGTAGGCTCGAAGGTTTTCGTGGAGACTCAAGTCGTCCATTTGGGAAAACAGATGGGTCAGATGACGGGAGTGATGAGATTAGGTTCGAAGAATGGGAAGGTGGCTTATATGTGTGAGCATGGCAAGGTCAACATTGGAGGGTCGAGGTTGTAGATGACGCATTGAAGAAATGGCGCAATTGTAGATAGAGTGATACGAGATGAGCATTGATTCAGGCGTACAATTCCTAGACTCCAATGGCTCGTGAATGCTCGGTAGTCATTCAGGAGGGGTATGAGATTCCAGCCGACCATGTAGAAGGATGTGGTGTATCTGACGAGGTTCGCGCACGTGGTAGAGCAGAACGATGGTAAGAGTACATTTCGGTCCTTCTATATCAGTACCTCAGTTCTAGAACATGTTACATTCATCGATTGCCACCTGATAGAGCGCAATGGGTTTGTGCAATATAGTGCAAGTCACCATCTTTATGCAAAACCACAAAACCTCCCATAGCAAAGTCTAGTGACGACAAAGACCTCATCAACCATGTGCCAAGTCAGTCGGTGCCACACACACACACAATTCATTCAGGACCACATACATGCCACTCCAACAATCATCAATCTAGTCCCGTCCATCATGCTAGTCTTGTGACCACCTCATCGGGCTTGCCTGAACTCCTCTCGCACGTGAACTCGACGAAGAAACTCCCATACTGCTATTCCTGACCTCTATCTCCCGGGCGGCCGTGGCTCCCTGGTGCTTCTTGTTGTCCTTGGCGATCTTGTCCAACACGGCGGGAGTGATCATGGTCGGTTGGCGAGGTCGGCGATTGCGTTTGCCTTTTGCTGGCTCAGCTAACGTCATTTCGTGGTCTTTGGGGTCAGTACTCTCTGACGAGGGTGTCGGCGCGGCCATTGCTTGTTCATAGGCTGACATGCACCAACCAAACTTGGTGGGGACGGAAACGGAGGCGAAAGCGAAGGCGGGAGTGGAAGCAGGAACAGAAGAAGTTTGTTGATCACGGGCAACATGCCTCGAGACGGTAGCGGGTTCGACCGTGATACCAGGTTCGATGTCGGCGACACACTCATTAGAGGACACAGGGCAAGGGAAGGTCTGAAGAGTCTGAGAGTCCTTTCCGCCTGAGGTGTCCAGTTGCTTTTGTACGCCCTTGGGGAAGACAGCTATGCGCATGCTGTTGAACCAACGTCGAATAGAAGACCTATCCCCAGTCTGAACATGGGCATCGTGGAGGGTGACGCTGCCGTTGCTGTCGCTGCTCGCGCTAGGGCGAGCAAAACGGGTGTCCGGGGGAACAGGAGGCGACATGGTTGGTGACGCGACGAATGTGTAAAGGTAGATTTTATGTGTGCTGTTGAATGGATGTTAGAGAGATGCGACGTAGAAAGAGATGTTATATATGCTTTTTGATGAGCGATTTGTAAAAGCCAAGTTGAAGGCGCTTTGCTGTAATATGTATATTTCGCATCTTACGTCGCCACAGTCGCGACGGTCACGCTGCAGTATAAAAAAAAACGGCTATGACGGTGAGTTTGGTAATTTGAGCGTGGGCAGACTGTGTGTGCTACTGGCTGAACCAAGTCGCGATGGCTAAGATCAGGCAATGGGTAATAATGAAGTATACCGCAATCGAGTCACGATACGTGACGATCAATCTATGAGCCATGAGCAGCGAATAGGGACGAACACGTATCCAAGGCGAGATTGGTGGACCAATCATGTTAACGACTGGTTCCGAGTACCAAGCAGATGCGGGATCTCTCGTGATGGCAAAAAAGTGGTATTCCCAGAATGATTCCTATAGCGCCTGCCCAATGCTCATACACTCTTATACACCAATATACAAGGTCGCCCGGTTCGCTACTTGCGTGCTTGAACGGCCTGCTCGAGGGCTTGGGTGGTGCCCAGTGGCTGTGCGGTCCTCTCCATGGGCTTGTCTGGAACGACGACATCCTCGAACTCGTCCTGTGAGATGGCGTTGATGGTGTAGGTATCTGCGGAACGTGAGTCCGTGCTCTAGGCAGAGGGGGCGGGCGCCATACAGATTCCAATAACCAGCGTGCAGATAGCAGCGCCAGTGATTGTGTTTTTGATCAGGTACGGCGCGCGGGCTCGCAGCAGGGCCGGCGATGCCCGCATGCGGTCGTCATAGTAGGTCGATTGGAAGGGTTTGCTGTCGGCATTAGCATACACCCTCTACGCTTCCACACGGCTGGACTTACTATCCCATGTTGGCGTGCTGAGGCTCGGACTATGCTGCGGGGGAGGAAGGTGTCGCCGCGGTGGTGGTGAAGTTCCACCACGCTAGGCGGCCTTGGCGGCCAGGCGCAGATCATCATGGCACTGCCGCGAACCCTCCGCGTCACTCACCTCACCCGCAGCTGTAGCCACAACACCAGTCGCAACATCAGTCTCAAACACCAGTCGCACCACCAGTCGCGCAAATACGCCTTCTTTTCTCTTTGGTTGTAGCATTGCTGGGAATGGGAGCGCCCTTGACGGCGGATACTGGGCTTTGTCGCGCTCTTAGTTTGACTGCATTGCGCGCGTGAATCAGCGTCACTACTACTTCACCCTTTCAAGCATACACAGCTCGTCTCTTGTGCACTCGCCACCAACCACCGCCATGAGTTCGCAGACGATACAGCAGATGGAGTCGGCCCGGTCGCTCGCGTTAGGCGACGGTAGATACTATCCTACCATCATACCGGGCGTGCTTCCCATCATCGGCTACAGTGAAGACCAGAGCATCGAGATACAACGTTGGGGCGCCGACTTCCTAGCCGAGGCCTTTGCATCGCCCACATGGCCCCAGGAGGTCAAGCAGCAGAGCGCGCCCTCTGTCTTGGCTACCCTGAAGGCTTACCTCGAGAATGTTGAGGACAAGAGCGTCATCAAGAGCGCCATCCAGGCGGCTGCGAGCGTGTACCCGCTTGTCTACAAACACATGTAAGTGATCCCACGCATCAGATAGAAGTCCCCATGCCAAATATGCCATGCCATGCCATGCCTGCATTCACGCGAACCCGTTCTTATACTTGCATGTGCCAGTGTCTCCGACCCCAGCGATGCGCAAAAGTGGCAGCTCATGGCCGGCATCAAAACCAACATCTTGCGTCGCATGGACACAGCCGCCCCAGGTGTGCGCATATGTTGTGTCAAGTTTCTTCAACAAGTCGTCCTGGTCCAGACACCAGGCGTGGCAGACCCAAGGGTAATTACCACACCTCATCCAACCCATATACATCCATCTGATGCCTTGCAGCGCGCCGACCAAAACGACATCTCCCTTTCCCTCGTCTCCCGCGACCACCCCCTGATACCATACGCGAGCCTCGAGGCTGAAGGACACGGACTGTTGGACAGGTTGTTGGATATCATAAACGGAGATCACAGGTTAGATAGACAGTCACAGACTGCCGGAATGCCTCTAACAGAGAATAGTGACGGCTTGCTCGTGACTGCGACCCTCAACAGCTTGGGCATGCTTATTCACCGTCGACCAAATGCTACAAATAAGATCTTGACCAGTGTCTTCAACTTCAACCCTCTGAAGCTCGCCAATTCACCCATGACGCCCAAGAACAAGGTCATCATGAAGTCGATTGAGCGCACAACCAGAGCACTACTTGTAAACATCATGAAGAGGTGTGTCTGCCTTACTACCTCATGATACTGCTGATTCTCATGACCACAGGAATCCCGAAAACCCCGTCAATGGACGGATACAGCAGTTCTTGGAACACATGCATCGCAAACGGGTGGAAGTCTTCGATGAAGCGAATCGCAAGCGACCAGCGCCTAGTGAGCCGACAGATGGTCTAGATCAAGCGAAGAGGCAACGATTAGTCGCGGAACCTCCGAGTCGTACGCCATCTGTCCAGCCGCTACCGCCTGGCGAAGTGAGCTGGCGACAACTATACACATTGAATGCTGAAGGCAGCACTGCCAACTTTGATGTCCAAAACTTCAGAGATCCCGAGCAATTATTGAGGATAGTGGTGCCTGTTCTGCAGTCGGTGAACCCGCAAAAGCTCGAACAAGCTATCAGCGTATGTGATGTCTACTCGTCTTGTAGACTGCCAAACCCGTGGCTGCTGAACAGCAACGAGACCCACCAGCCATTCACTTGCTAATGTTACACAGGCTGTCCGCGCCCGGTATCAAACACTGAAGCAGACCGCTGCAAGCCGACCCGCACAACCCCCGACAACCGCCGCCACGGAGGACGAAGAGGAATACGAGCCTGACTTTGAACCCGAAGACGCTGAACAACTCATCAACAAGCTCGATGGTCTTCCTTCAAACCCCTTCCCCTCACAAGGCGGACCATCGACCACTTTGGCCCCCTACAAATTGCCCGAGGCACCTCCGTTATCAGAACAGGACGTTCAGAAGTACGGTGACATGACCGTACATCGAGCCTTCGGCATGCTGAGCAGTGTAGATGAGACCCAAAAGAGCAAGGTCGCAAAGGGCGGCTTCAACCGCCTCGCCGCTACCGACTACAACAGAGATGCCTGGGTCACTATACTCTCCCGACTAGCTACACGAGCTAGTGCTGGACTGGACGACCCACAAGATGGCATCAAAGACGAGTATGCGGTCAAGAACTCCAAGGGCAGCCTGCGCATCAGCGATATGGTAAGAGACGGTCTGTACCAATACATACTTTACAACTGGAAATCCCGCATCGACGTGGCCATCTCCTGGCTCAACGAAGAATGGTACAATGACATGATTCTTGCCCAGACCGGTGAAGAAGACGAAGACTCCGCCACCACAACAAATGGCCACAAACACACATCCACCAAGTCCTCACCGGGTAATTACCACCGCTGCGCCCTCCGCCTCCTCGATGGCATCCTTCCCTACATCGAACACACGGATAAAATCATCATTCGCTTCCTCTCGGAGATTCCCCAAATCGACAAAGATGTCCTCAGCCGCCTTAAGAAAATGGCAGAAGACCCCGAGCGCATTGACCTAGCGTGCAGCTGTCTTCATTACCTATACATGTTTCGGCCGCCGGTAAGGAAGTTGGTGGTTGATGTGCTGGCGGAGATGTGGACTGAGAATGAGAGGGCAAAACCTAGTGCGAGGAAACTGCTGGTCAGGTGGCGTCCAGAAGTACTGCAACAAGAGGAGGGACAGCAGAGGGGGGTCAGTTTGCCTACGTTGGTAAAAGGGGAAAGCGGTGCGACGGGGGAGGGAATGATGAGCAAGGAGAGTGCTAACGGGGCGTTGGAAGTGAAGCCTGTCTCTTAGAGATTTGGTGTTAGGATCCGTTTTGGAGGAAGAGCGCGGGGGGCGGTTGAGTGCGGAGAGAGCTTGAAAAATGGGAGTTTTATCTCGGGGGAAAGAAGTGTGGAACGAATGGGATGGTATATGTCCTCCGGCATGGATTTCGAGCGCAGGAGATGAAGAAAGGCTTTTTGTGTTTTGGATTTTGCGTGTTTCAGTTCATGACAGCTGTATACTGTTTGTGGCTATTCATGCGCGAGTTCATTTTGTGTGGAAGATGTATATGCCCGAAGCAGGATTAGAAGCGATGGGAAAGGGAAGGGCGCCGGAACAGTGTGTAGCTCTACGAGTATTTGAGCTGCCAATGTACAACATTTCAATTTATTTAGAAGAGACGGGAAGTCGTTCTACTTGTTCATCTTTCAGGGCGACACTACTCACTAGCTTGAACCTACGTTCGACTCAATCCCTTCTTCTTTTCTTTCCTTTTCTTTCCTTCTCACGCACGTTGTGTATCGATTTGGTTGGCGTGCTGGTGATAAGACGCAGGCACAACGCTGTTGAGTTATACTGTATTGTATCGTAGTAGAAGTGTGTTCCCAAGCACTTGGCTTCACTACATGCAGCTGTATATATAAGTATCTAAAAGATTCATTGATTGCAACCGAAGCACGTTGTGTATGAAAAGTAGTACGTACTTAAGACTTTAACTCTAAAGTTGAAACTAAGTAGTGATAAGATCCATAATACCAAGCGTACCACTCCATTACACTTCATGATTCGCCCGAGTTACATCTTCAGCAAGAGCGAAAACAGTATCCCTCAACCATGTCTGCACTCCGTTTTCCCAAGCAACCCGATCATGCCAGTAGTTCGCCAGAGTAATGCATGCATCAATACCGTCACGTACTCCAATCATCCCATTGAACTTGTCCAAATCTCCAAGGTTGCCCCACTCTTCGACTTGAACGTCGCTGTGGTCGTAATGGCCATGGTCTGAGGATTGGCCTCTGTAGGTGTGGAAGTTTTCTATCTTGCCCCAGCGATCTGCTACGCCAGGTTTCATCTTTAGGGGCACTGCATAGGGTCAGATTGAATGCGTTGTAAGATAGTATGGGAATAACATACTGTGACTTTCGAGTTCTCCGGCATTCAATGGCCAACGTCTAACGTGCCCTCTGGCATAAGAGTCTTGGATGATATGGAAACAGCTGCCCAATGCTCGGCGTGAAATCATGGTGTCTTCATACTGCGTATTGTGAGTGAGTAACCCACGCAGTGTCTCTGCGCCATTGGGAGAAGTGTCGTCCTTGAAAAACATTCGAAGTTGGTACTGAGAAGAACTGGAAGCATCGATTTGGTCGAGTCTCGTGTTCTCATGGATACCCTGGTCGCCCACTGATAGCTTGTACATGATTTCCAGCCACATCATGATTTTTGACTTGGTTTCCTGGGGCTCTTCTTTTTCCTGCGCAGCCATGGCGTGGAGGAACTGCAAGTCACCGAAGTGGGATCGCCCTGTAAGGCTTTGCCCGCCAAATAGACCCCACTCTGCAGATTTGTACTCTTTCCCCCATTTGAATCCAGTACTAAGCCTGTAATTGTCGTGTGGGTCCTCGTCAAATAATAGGCATCCTGGGTCGTCGTTCCAAACAGAACCGCGGACAAACTCCTTGATCTCTTTGGGAGCGTTTTTGTATGTCGTTCCTTCGAATATTGGAAACTTAGATGCTATCAAGGCAGCAATGGTCATAGTTTCATGGACCGGTTGATGTTTTTTGGTGAGACCTCTACCACCTTGAATTGCCATGTTAGCGAATACTGGCATTGGAGCCTCGGGTAGCGGGTCGGTGTTTCTTGCGCCATCGGCACCTTCGCCTCCTAACAACGGCCCGGTAGTCATAACGAAGCGCGCTCTGTGTGGTTGGAGATATTTGAATCCGGTAGTTAGAGTTTTCGGATAGATGAAGTCACTCCAGACTGCCGCTCAAAATGCATGCGTAGAGTATCATTATATATGATATTGGTACGTCCGAAACTGGTCGTATCCTCCAATCATGACCGAGTCTACGAATGACGTCTGAGCTCTTGCTCGGTCGCATATAAGTCTGGTCCAGACTCAGTAGCTAAGCCACGCAATATTTTCAATAGACCTCGAAGCCACGTTCCATAGCTAGAGTAAATAAAAAGGAAGGTGGATCTACGGCCATCCCGAAAATCAGATGTTGACAAAGCCTAATATGGAAATCCAAAATCAGAATTGCACTTTAGGCCATTAGTGGCTGGCTGAGATGTACATGTCGCCGCACTGGGTAACAATCTGCCTACAAATGGTATGCACTCGAGGTCTAGATCGAACCCTAAGTGTTATATGACCCTTGTCATGCGCCCATGTACAGTCCGTGTTCGAAGCGAGAACACGCCTTCTTGCGCCCATCTATACCTAACTCGTCAAAACCGCCTCGGCTATTCCGTGAGTGGTTGTGCTTCGTCTTCTTACGGACAAGAATCTATCATCAGTGCTGCATATGGAAATTTATAAGTAGCCATGAACGGTTTTTGGCAATACCAGATAACAGCCTTTTCTCCAATATTATTCGTCATCTATCACGTCGCCTCGTTTGAACATCGCTATACATATCTCTAACGCCGGACTTCTGCCTTCAACTCCAAGATGTATTGGTCGTATTCGAAGGACCTTGTCGGGTTGAACCATGATACTTTACGGGAGCGGCTGACGAAAAATGCTGATTCAATTGCGACTTGCACGGAAGAAATGAAGATTGCATACGTTGAAGACCTGGAGAACGTTGTTTCTATGGCGATCTTGACGGCTACGCTCTTACAACCCGGCTTTGCATCGGCGGCTTCTGCAGTGCTGGCGATAATTGCTGCAAGATATGCAGGACCACAAGGTCTGCCCATAGTTCAGCCCGCCGATGTTCCAACGGAAACGTGGGCAGCTTGGGTTGCCGCCAAGGCGCACACTCTTGGGCCTAAGGCGTTGAAGGAAATCCTGACGTGTATCGGGACCAACGTGGTAGTTCCGAAAATTGCGCGTACGGTCACGGGGACCTGCGAAATGTACAACTCCAAGGAGACAAAGCAGATGTGCATCATTGTTGTCATCAATGAAACGGATTACGAAATCTCGAGGACGGACGGTTGGGACATGTTGCAGTATGGGCCAGCGGCGACGTTTAGCAAACTGCCACCGAGGCAAATCACAGACAGCGACCTGGTCTCCTGGGGTGTCTGGGCAACCGGCAGCGGTAATACATCTGGAGCCGCATCTGCAATCAAACTGCAAACCACAGCCTGTCCTCCAGGCGGGAAAGATTTCCACTTCATCGTTTCAGCATCATGTCCAGCGTGGACTCCGACGAATACAATGGCACTTACCATGTGGGGTTCTAATTGCGAGAAAGAGTGCCGGGATAACGAGAGTGTAGGTTCTCACGTTACTCCCAAACGTCGGGAGACTGTAAATGAAGCACATGTGGAAGTTAATGCAGAGATTGAGAGTACAAGCGGTAAACGAGCGTTTGTCGTTGTCCGGATCACTTCCACTGCTCTAGTTTCACGACCGAAGCTCTGAGGTAGAAGCAGTCGCTATAGCTAGGTTGTCCATTTGGATAATCAACGATAGATTTCCCTGTTTCGGAAGATGGTGTATTGGTGTCTCATTGATCAGTAAGCGTGCGCTTTCACCATACGCATTTTGAGTTGGATATACACACCTATCGCAAGGAGTCAAACTCATCGCTCAACTCCATGTATACGTGCAGCAGATAAGCGTTTCACTATGTTGGCTCTCTTCTTGCTTCTGCAAATCAATCTTAACGTGTTGAATCATGACATATCAATATGTAGTGACCTGAATCATGGGCAACTGAACCATGAGAATTTCAGTGTAAAACCCCGAGCGGGTAGTAGTCTGGAGGCGTTCAAGAGGGTGCTTGGAGAGGAGCATCTAGACACGCTGACAAGAAGCCTTCATGTTATCATCGTTGATCCACTTTCCTAGTAGTGATAAGGGCTACGCGAAGTGTACTGCAGGCGTTTGATTAACAAAACATATTGAACCTATGCATAAGTCCAACCAGCTCACCTGAGCCCAGCTACTCCCTTTCCAGCCCCTTATACAAAAGTCCTTCCACACCCCCAACAAAGTCCATCCAAGCCTTCTCGCAAAAAGGATAGTAATTCCCCCAAACAGCCACCACGATTTCCTTCTCTCTGTCAATCCAAAACTCAACATTCGTCGCACCATACCAATACACACTCCCCACGCTCCTCCCCTTCTCTCCGTTAGCAAGGACCCTATCCGCACCCTGCACACCACAACCCAAACCAAAACTACCGTGCGGATCAAGAAGCGGTGCAGAAAGATCCACAGGGACGATGATAGGAGCCGCAGCCGAGTCTAGTAAACAGCGAGAGTCATTGCGAAGAGCTTCAGGCAACTGCGGACGACAAATCTCCATGGCGCTTTCGGAGGAGAGTATGCGCCGGCCACTGACAGGATCCACACCGGCGTTCTGCGGCAGGAGGACAGTAACAAGGTGCGCGTAATCCCCCACGCTAGCAACTAATCCCGTTCCCAAGCAACCGACATGGTGATTGCCCTCCTTCCCGGGGAACGCGTCACGTCTTCTCACCGTCTCGGGCTCAGGGGAATCGATAGTGACAAAACCTTGGCCGCTCCGCAGCTTCCTAGGCCAAAACTTGCCAGTGTTGTGCGGCGACGATACGACGTCGCCGCCGTACTGCGGCTCGAAACCGATTTCCTTGAGACCAAGTGGATCGAAAATGTTGTCTTGGAGGTACGAGGCAAGAGATTGCTTGGTGATGCGTTCGATGAGGACGGCGATCCAGTCCAGGCCCTGACCGTAGTTTGTATGCGTGCCTGGCTGCCAGAGTAGAGGGCTCGCGAGGAGTACCCCATAAGGGTCTGATGCTTCGTTTGTTGTTTCCCAGACACCTTCGCCGAGGTCCTGTATATACTCTAATAACAGCTTGTTGAAGTAGGTATGGCCGCCGCCGTATGTGTGATTCATCAGCATCCTTGCTGTGATGTCGCCTCTTCTATCTTCGAGCTGCCACACTTTCTTTCCGGTTTCGGAATCGATGGTATAGCCAGTCAAGACCTGTTTGGCGGCCAGTTCAGGAAGCCAAGTATCGATAATGGCGGGATCGTCGAGAGTCGCGAGACCTTTCTCGACGAGCTGCATGTAAGCCATCGCTCCGACAATCTTTGTTAGAGATTGAACGATGACCATGGAGCTCGATGTAGGCCGTTTGTCTGGAGCATTGCCGTAGGAGAAGAGCACCTTATTTTGCGCATTTACAACATGGACGAGAGCAAACGGAAGGTCGGGTGCACCTGTGCCGCTGGAAATAGCAAGATCAATATATGTTTCTAAATTCGATATAACCTTCTGGCTGATGGTATGGGACGACATAACTGCTGGTCGGTCTGCGGACCAAGTGAACAAGGTTGGAGGAGGGCACTGCAAAGCTATTTATACGCAGAGAGAGAGAGAAGACTCTCCTGCATAGATTATTATAGGATGTCGATGATGGATCGCCTGATGTTGTAGCAATTCGATCCCAAAGATGTTCACAAATTTGTCCAATGAGAGTCACTTCTCGACATGATAGCCCAACCTGTTTTGGAGTACGGAGTGAAATGGAAGGATCAGTAGGTAACACAATGTGGGGTAGTTGATACTCAGCTGCTACTTCTGGCCTGCTGGAACCAGGATATTAAGCGACAACCCAGCCTAATGCCATCCGTAATCGACATGTACCACATTCCGTCTTACTAATGCTGACTCTCCATGTAATCGTATAGTAATCGACATGCTCGTATTTCTTGTTCTATCGCTAGCCTCGTACAAGGCCTATGTCCATACAACCGCTCTTCACCTAACCCTTGGTCCAAGGCAGACCTAGCTTCTTCATCTCCACCGCCAGCTGCAGGATATAATCAATACTCTCGCACTGCGTCTTGGCCTTGTGCACATTGTCCCCCCACACATAAATCCCATGTCTCCTCACAAGAATCGCATAAGAATCCGGATACTTCTCCATGGCCTCCTCTAGACTCTCCCTCAGATCCTCTTCATGCGCCGTGTTCTCGATGATGGGTATGCGCAGACGATCGTAGTAGCCCAGGTTGCCCTGCTTCCCCCGGCCTTTTGGTATGCCCTTGATCTGTTCAATCTCCTCAATCTCGAAGCATACGTCTTTTCCAAAGTCGCGCTCGACGAGGAGGGTGACGAGGACGGCCCATTGCGAGTGGGTGTGGATGCAGCAGCCGGCGCCGCGTTCAAAGGCGGCCATGAAGAGGGGAGTACACGCTGATGGTTTGAGGACCTAAAACGACATCAGTCACCTTGCGGCCGACCTGGCTCCGTCACGTGTACCTGTGGTCTTCTCAAATATTCTTTGCTGTTGAAGTCCATGACGAACATGTCGGTGGGCTTCATGAGCTCTTTCTGCACGCCGCTGGGCGCAATGTAAATCTTGTCTTCATGGCGTATGCTCGTTCCTCCGCCAGTGCCTGTCACCTGGCGGGAACCCGCGTGTTAGCCGTGACTCAATCGTGTCTTGGTTGGCGTCGCCCAACGCTTCGAGGTCATCGTACCCAGCCCAAGTTGTAGAACTTTGCGCAGAGCGTGCAAATGTGGTTCGCAGGGTGGCTTGGATCATCAGAGTGTATGAGAGCTTCGGCGTCGGGTCCGTTGGAAGCCATTGTGATGCTGCGCAGTGTTGTGACCGCTTTGTCAAGTTTGGCCGATTTTCACAAGCCAGATGACGCGACCTGGTTTCGCGACTACCCCACGTGGTCCGCGCTAGGCGTCACCCCACCGTCGTAGTTAGGCACGGTACAAACACCCGTCTCACCAGATTCAACCAAGTCGCGCATGTATCTGAAAGAGTGCATGTGTTTATTAATAACGGAATGAAGAGCAAGGCTGTCTCCTGGTGAGAGACCACAGCCTGAGGTATCATCAATATCCAACGCTCGTGCCACTACCATTCCTCCATCAGAGTCGCTCGACTCGGGTATCATATCTAGTTCGTAGTCGTGTTCTGGGCTAGAGGAGAAGGCTCATGTTCCTTCTTCTTGTCCAAATGGAGCACTTCTTTGACCTTCTCGCCCAAACCCTTGCGGTCGGGTGAGGAGCTGTGGCCGCCGTGCTTCTCCTTGTAGACGTTTCCGGCGCCACCTCGCTGCAATCATGTTAGTTGTATCTTGCATTCTTGAGATGCTATGACGTACGCCAGTGTGGAACTCGTCCTGCGCGTTGCGCTGGTTGATCTCGGGGACCATGTCTACCGAGCGACGGCCTTCGTCAGACTGCGGCCCAACGCGAGGCGACTTTCCAATGTTGCCAGCCCCCCCACGGCCAGTGGAGAAATCGCCATCGAGAGACTCGCCTTGGACGCCTTCGCGAACGAGGCCTCCGTCAGTGTAGACGTTGGTGTCAGGGCCAATGTTGCCGGCACCTACAGCAGCGATCAGCTTCTTGTCTTGCGTGTATCGGAAATTCTCTTTCCAGAGAAAGCGCACCTCCGCGGCCTGTCGAGTGAATTGGTGTTGTAGTCATTTTACTGTGGTGTGATGTCGCAGTTGTCTGGAAAACAAATGTTATCTTCTTGAAATATCAAAAGAGTTGTTGTCAAGGATGTAGTAATCGCTAGGATAGTCGAACAGCAGGGCGAAGCGCGGTTTCAGCCTCTTATATTTGCTCTTTCAGTCCTGCAAACAGGTCATCTTGGAGCGACGCAATGACGCAATCCCATCTCGAGGTGCTCAATCCATTGGCGACGCGGGGTGGAAGCAGCCTCCGAGTCGATAACACGCGCCAGCATGCTCATGGCTGCTAGTCGTCCAACTAATACGACGAGCCAAGGAAAGATGCGAGCATGAGGTATAAATTTTGATGGTTTTGACTGCCCTCACCGTCCCGTGGGTGTGGTTTATGCGATGGCGTGAGGTGATCTCCGGTGTTCGCGCGATAAGCCCGGGTGAATTGATTCGCCCAGCCACTGACTAAGCGAAAGCATCCCACTACTCGACTTGATGATTGCGCTCTTACATGTCATCGCCGACAAGGACACGGCTCAAATGCGAGGACCGTGGAAGCTTTGGCGAGGGATGGGACGCACGAACATTGCTGGGTTGTGTCGCCCTTGAGTTGTTGCCACCCCTAACGCAGGGGCAGTGAGCAGGAACACGCAGGGCTCATCAAACCACCCCAACGCGTGAACTTAGGGCTGTACATTGTCTTGATATGAAGATTAGAACAGCAACCATCAACCCCATCAACCTGAGCACGATGACTTTTTGGCACTCAACGAAGCTAGAATACTGAACCTTGATTAAATTGGTACTGATAAACGCTCACGATAACACGGATCATGAGAAGGCCGGCGGCTCGCACCCGCTCATTTGTAACAGCTGTAGAATATTGAAAGTCATGCGTGAGTCACATACAAGCAAAGGCATGTCTCGTCTTGGCACACATGTCGTTTGAGGGTATGTTTACAAAGCTGAATTACGATTATGCGCTGAACAAGCACTCTAACTAAGTCGTGAATACACGAGGTATTAATTGCCGGGAAATGGGTATCATCGCATTAAACAGTCGATGGGCAGGTGGTGATACTTCAAGATCTCAAGCCCTCTTCGTCACTTGGCCTGCTCTGTCCCTCCTCCGCGGATCTAGCTTGTACCTTGTCCTGGTCCGCATGCTTCGCTGGGTCGAAGACGTAGATTGGGAACTCCAGGAAGATGGTTCTCTTGAGAATGACCGGCAACCTGGCGTAGATTTGAGGCGGAAAAGGGATGAGAATGCTCGTACGGTGGAGGTATCGCTCGTACTCGGGCCATTGAGTGCCTTTCTCATACCTCTTCTTTGCACCGGGACGTTCTTGCAATGTCAGGCCAGACACAAACATGAGCAGTAAAGTCAAAAAGAAGGGTCCAAGGATAGACGCGTACAGCGCATCATACGCGCCGCCCGAAACGTAGTTGTATGCTGCGGGAGATACAGCAATCATGAAGATGCCTGTGACAATTAGCCTTGACATCAAAATATGAATGAACAATACTTACCAAATTGAATGATGATTTCTCCAAAGTAGTTGGGATGCCGAGTCCAAGCAAAGAATCCAACATTGCAGACCGCACCGTCGCTACCATGAGCAGTACGGAATCTGTACTTTTGAACATCTGAGACGCTCTCCATAATGAAACCGATAGACCAGAGGATGATGCCCGCGATGTCTCGACCCGTTCCAAACTCCGGCTGATTGAATCGAGTAACCTTGGGCGAGTTTAGGATGGTAACTGGTAATGATACTGTCCAAACCCAGAACATTTGACTACAAACATCAGCAATCACATTTAGATGACGTTAAGAGCAACTCACAACACCCAGAATCCCAGAAAAGACCAGAATTTGTCCCTCTTGTCGTCAAAGCGATCATCTTTTCCACTCTTCAAAATCCTGAACAAAAGGAAACCGCTTAGTCTTGCTGCCCATAGCATGATGAAGAGCGATGCTACAATGTTGCGCGCATCGCCGCGGTTGTCGCTGAACGAAAGTGTGAGGATAGCAAGAAGAATGAAGTTGGTACCGCCGGCAAAGTCGGTGACCTTGTCGAACTTGAACCAGAAGGCGATGGCAAAGAAGAAAAGCTGGTAAGCAACAGTGATGAGGAACGTGATGGCGAGATAGTAGTCGTCAAGGACGTGTACGGCTGCCATGTTGGCTGCTGGACGATGCTGACGTTGTGTACGGGCACGTTCGAGCAGGAATACGGCTACATATACAAAACCCTCGAGTCTTACAGCTGGTCGCTACGTACGGAAGCCGGGCTTTCCACTGTGCGCTGGCAAAATTTGGCCGACCCCGACGAGCCAAAATCGTATATTTCGCGATAGAAGTTGGCCCTAGGGGCTGTGAAGCGTCAGGCACAAGGGTGATGACGCACGTCATCGCTCGCCAAGCCACGATGACTAGGCACGACTCTCGACCGCGATCACCAGCCTTGTGCACAGCTCTCACAACAAAACACCAACATCCACGCTTCGCGATGAGCGGGAATGGAATGCTATACAGTACCTAAGCGGAAATAAATCAATGGTCGAAGATAGATACCATGCATGCACGAGCGGAGAGACAGAAACGGCATGCCATTGCCTGAAACGTCCCTGGTTTTAAACTCCATCGCCTCGAGCACATCGCGTGTCAGGCCTTACCACCGTGGCAGCTGGCCAGACGATCGTGAAGCTTAACCACCACCAAAACTGCCTATCGCGGGCCCGTCGATCATGGATCGTACGCCACCATCCTGCGAGAAACCTTGATGACTAGGTTGACCCGACAATGACATTACCGGCAGCGCTACTGCACGCTGGGCCCTTCGTTCGACCTTTGAGACACACTTGACCATCGTTCGAGCAGCCGCGGAAGCTCGAAACCAGCACCACATTGTTAGAAACATGGCGAGCGGGGCTGACATGTCGCACCCGTTAAGTAGGATAGTTTGCGCCTCAGTCATGAACCTTTGAATGGTTTTGGCTCGCTCTTGCACTATCCGGAAGCTTCGCTCGTTTGGATCCGAACCATCTGTTTCCATTGTGTGTCGACACGTTTCCATCCTATCTTCAACTCTCCTCGGTCTTTCTGCTGTGCAGGTGCTGAGCGGTTCTGCATGTCTGTGACATCGTCTTCGATTCTTTTCCAGCTGGACTGTTGATGTATTAATTACTAATTTCCTTTTTCATCGTACTCGAATATCTACATTTCCGAAAACTCACCATGACAAGAGCTCAGGCATCCTGGGTGCGAGCCCTGCTCCTGATAAGCGCGGTACGTATGTTGCATGCTTGAAGAAATCGCATGTACTGATCGTTGATAGACCATCGCCCAAGCAACGATTGATCTCCACAACACCAATGTACGGCCCGAAACCGTCGGGAGAAGGATTGAGGACTTGATATCAGGGGCCGAGCGGTCGCAAGGAAATCCAGTAGAAGCACTCAACGTACCTGTCACCGAACAAGCAAATGCACTGCACAACGGGAACATCGCCGCCAGGATCGCACAGAACGGACTAGACGCAAACGCCTTGCTAACCGGAATCGCGCAAGGACAAGACCAAAGGAGCGGCAGCGGAGACATCAGCACGAGCGACGTGGGAGGTGACCTTGCAAATCAGATTGCTGGCGGAGGTTCAACGAGCATCGACAGCATTCTTAGCGGGCTCGATGGGCAAAAGCCGGGCGCATCGACGAACCAGACCAGTGTACCACAAGGGCAGGGCCAAAGTCAGCGTCAGAACCCTGAACAGGTGCCGTCACAAGGCGGTACCCAAAACATAGGAAGCGACATCAACTCGAGCAATGTCGCAGGTGATCTTGCAAATCAACTAGCTCCGAAGCCCGCAGCAGGAGAGAACAGCGTCAACGACATTGCTGGGGACCTAGCAAACCAACTCGCACCCAATGGACAGGGCCAGCTACCACCACCAACACAAGCTGAAGCACAACAGAACGGCAGTAACGCTCAACCTATCCAGGTAATCTCAACCGTCATCACAGAAGCCAATGGCCAGAAGCTCGCAACAGCGCTAGTAGAGGCCGCACCTCAGCAAGCAGCTGCTCCCTCACCAGCCGCTGCAGGTGAAGCATCCGCAGCAGCAGAAGCAACATCCGCATCATCGGCAGCGACTGGGGAAGCCCCAGCTGCACCGTCATCACCTGCTGGAGAGTCAGCAGCGGGATCTTCCTCTGCCTCCAAACCAGCAAAGACAGTCTTTCCCGCAGGAAAATCAGCTCTACCAGCTGTAACCCCAATCCCCTGGACAAATTCCCCTATGGCCGCTGGATCTTCAAGCAGCAAGAATGCTACGCAGGCTGCTATGCCCGCTGCTGAGTCTATGGCGACTGCTACTCTAGCCAAAGGCAAAAACTCTACAGTAAGTTGATAATCTGGACTCGATCTGAACCATCATTAACCCTTTCCAAGGCTCTGGCTGCCGCACCCCCTGCTGCTGCTGTCACTGTTTCTGCAGGAGGAGAGCTCACAGCCGGTGCACAAGGTGCCTCAAACTCGACCACTGCCAGTGCAGCAGCAATTGACTCGGCTACGCTCACGCCTGGAGGTCTGGCTGCAACGACCACGACCATGGTGGGCATGGCAGTTACTGTTCAGGCGGGTGGGAGTGGTAGTAACGGTACCGCTGGCGCCAACAATGCCTCGACGAGCGCTTCGTCTAGTGGTGCTGGTGCTGCGGCGGCTGTCACAGTTGTTGCTGGCGACGGGACCAACGGTACTGCCAATGCGGCCGCATCTTCTTCATCATCTGCTGGGTCCGCAGCGGCCGCCGTCACCGTTGTTGCAGGAGATGGAACCAACGGAACCGCCAACGCAGCAGCATCTTCCTCTTCAGTCACAGCCTCAATGAACACAGCTTCTCTCAAGCCTACCGGCATCGCAGCCGCATCGACTACCACAGGCGCGGCTGCAGCCGTCACCGTCGTCGCAGGAACCGGTGGCGCCGCGGCAGCTACGGCAGCTTCTCAATGCAATTGCGCTTGCATGTGTCCTGCCGGTTCCTTCCCCATGTCTGCACCACAAGCCCAGCCCTTCCAACTAGGCTCCATGAGCAGCGCGCCATCGGGAAGTGCGAGCACAATGCAAACTGTAGTCGGTAGTGCGGTGACAGTGGTAGCTGGAGGCGAAGCGCCGCCCGGTGCTCAACAAGCTGCTTCCACGAGTTCGAGCAGTACCGCATCTATCGACTCGGCTACACTGACGCGCCCTGGTCTCATGGCTGGGACTACGACGAGTGCGGCTGGAGCAGGGGTTACTATGGTAGCTAGTGGCGATGCTTCTGTTTCTACCTCGGCCGCTTCTGGGTCCACTGCTGCTGTGACATCCGCGTCTAGTTCCATCTCGCCTTCTGTCGAAGTATCACTTGCACCTGCATCTTCTGCTACGTCTTCCTCGTCCACACCACAGGCCACGACGAGTGCAGTTGCTCAAAGCCAAGTTGCGGCCAACGCGCCTGCACCTACTGCTGTGGGGGACAGTTCGGCACAACCCTTGCCCTTTGATATTAGTACGGTTGCGTTGCAGAGTCGGGTCACGGTGAACTTGGGGAGGAGGTTGGCCAAGCCGACGGAAGTCAAGAGGGGGTGGTGGTAGATGTTTGTACAATTGGCAAAACGGAAATCTTTTTCTTGTGTGGATTTTGCGCGCGTGTTGGGTCTGTTTCTGTGGTATATATCTGTTCGGTAGTGGCAGTTGAGCATTGAGTGCTCCTGCGAGGTAGTAATATTGGGGGAGAGAATACAAAAAAGTGTGCATGCGATCCTTGTCGCGCATTACTGCTGCTTTTGTCTATGGGGTATCATCTGGTGTCTGCGGTGAGCGTACATGTCACACCTTCGTTACGGCTGTTTTTCTTCTCCGCCCACTTGTATCTTCGCCTTCTTGTTCTTGGCCTGCTGGCGCTTCGAGACGGGCTTGTCTACCTTGGTCTCGTGGAGTGGAGTACCTTCGAGACTCCCACCCGGCCGCTTGCCATTTTGGTTTTTGTTCACTTTCTCCTTCTGACCTTGCTTGTCCTTGGCACCATGCGCGAGTGTTTCCGCCGGCTTCTCTCCACCATAGACAATGTCTACTATGCCCTTGAAGCTCTGGCGCTTCAGTCGCGCAAACTCAACCACGCTTCTCGCTTCCTTGGTAAGACCGTCTTTGCCCCTCTCGGTACCAAGTCCCCACACAGAAGCCAGGTTGATAACATCGCTCGGTGCACGTATGCCTAGCACGCTCTTCGCTTCCGAACTAAATATCAAGCCCCGACCACGGGTCACACGTATGAGCTGTGTGGCATTGCTAATCAGATTTCGCTTTGCGCCGGGATCGTTGGACATGATGCCTTGGCTGTAGCAGATTTCAATCTTAATGCCCCGGGATATAGCCATGCCCAGCGTGGGGAACTTGAAGTATGATTCGAAGCGGCGGGTCAGGTCTAGGGAGATGATGTCTACGTCGAGGCTCATACATGCTTGCTGGAGGGTGCGGTCGTCGGTTGGACGTGCGGCGACGAGGTCGTAGTGTTGTTGCAGCTGGGGTATGCGGAAGTTGGAGGCAGAGTCTGTGAGGAAGATGTTGCAGCGGCGGAGGATACGCATGCGGGGGGGCACGGGGAAAGGAAGGGTGGTGGGTACGGGTGAACTCTGGTTGAGAAGCGTTAGCGGGCGAACAGACTTATGTGAAAGCGATATAGTATTCGGTGAGAGGGGTGGACAGAGAGAAGGTCGCCGCTTCCTTTTACCTACAATATCAGAGGGTAGTTTTCCCGAATAAGTGTGTGTGAGCGCAACGACATCGTATCCTACTGCACCGCGTCAGCCTACCACTGGCGCATTCAACCTGTACTAAAAGCTCACATTCGTCGAGAAAAGCTACTGTGCGCTGCAGCTCGCGCGTCGCATCGGTCCAGGGGATATTTAGATCGTGGAACATGGCTGCAATGGCTGGTGCAGAGGGCGGAGGACAAGTGCGACAGCGAAAGCCAAATGATAATTGTAAGTGAGATGGATCGTCATTCAGCAGCTGGGCCCGCGTGCTGGGAAAAGCTTGGCCCTTGTCTACTACTAGTCTAACGCCCACAAGCCATCCACCACCACCACCATCAACACGAGCAGCCAGAGCTCACCACCGCCGACCCCAAGGCACCCCCGCCCACACAGGAGGCCCATCGCGACTGTCGTGACGGCCTTTTAGCGCACCTCCCTCGGTACGCAACAGTTGCGCTCGCTTTATTCGCTGCGCTCGCTGGCCTTGGCTTGCTCTCACAAAGACCCGACGTCCTCCGCCTCTTCACCCCACTATACGATCCCTCGACACCATCCCTTGCGCGTGTCGACCATACCGGCAACACTTCACTCCCAGACAATACGCTTGTTGCCAGGATGGCGCTGAACAACTCGAGCGGGGCTACAAGCCTTGCTCGCGTCTATGCAGATGTCAATGCGAACATGCCCCGGTCATACTGGGACTACGACTCTGTCAACATCTCCTGGGGCGTGCTCGAGAACTACGAGGTCGTCCGCAAGATTGGCCGCGGAAAGTACTCGGAAGTCTTTGAGGGCATCAACGTCGTCAACTATCAGAAATGCGTCATCAAAGTCCTCAAACCCGTCAAGAAGAAGAAGATAAAGCGTGAGATCAAGATCCTGCAAAATCTGTCGGGTGGCCCCAACATCGTCTCGCTGCTGGACGTGGTGCGCGACAACCAGGTTAGTGACGGCTCCGACTGGATTGGCGACTGGGTACTGAGGCCCAACCGCTGCCGTTTGCTTATGAAGAAATGCTAACGACCGCCAAACAGAGCAAAACCCCTTCGCTGATTTTTGAATATGTCAACAATACTGACTTTCGGAGTCTGTACCCCAAGTTCCAGGACTATGACGTGCGATACTACATTTTTGAATTGCTCAAGGCCCTCGACTACTGCCACAGCAAAGGCATCATGCACCGTGATGTCAAGCCTCACAACGTTATGATCGACCATGAGAAGCGGAAGGTGGGCGTGTACCGGTTTCAAAGTGGAGGAACATGGCTAACACGTACTAGTTGCGCCTAATCGACTGGGGTCTAGCGGAATTCTACCACGCAGGAACCGAATACAACGTCCGCGTCGCGTCACGTTACTTCAAGGGTCCTGAGCTACTAGTCGACTTTCAAGAGTACGACTACTCGCTCGACATGTGGTCACTAGGTGCCATGTTCGCCTCGATGATCTTTAGGCGCGAACCTTTCTTCCACGGTAAACAACCACGATACCTAGGCTGCATGTGAGGCACAGGCTGACTTGTTACAACCCAACTTTAGGCAACAGCAACTCAGACCAGCTTGTCAAGATTGCCAAGGTTCTTGGAACCGAGGACTTGTTCGACTATCTCGACAAGTACGACATTGAACTAGATGCCCAGTATGACGACATACTCAGCCGGTATCCCAAGAAGCCGTGGCACTCGTTCATCAATGCCGAGAACCAGCGCTTTGTCAGTAATGACGCGATTGACTTCCTCGACAAGCTGCTACGATACGACCATCAGGTATGTCATAGCCTACACGGGCATGTAATATAGATGACTGACATATGGTAGGACCGACTGACTGCCCAAGAAGCTATGCAACATCCTTACTTTGCTCCTGTCCGACAGGCTGCGCAGCAAAATAGCGCCGCGGCATGATTGAGATACCCAACTTACGTTAATTAGACTTTATGTAATGGCATAAAAGTTGCAGCGAACGAAACACGCGGTCTTGCTTCCCCATATATTCATTGAGACGCAGCCGAGGTACCGGCATACAAACAAACACTGGGCATGAATCACGGAGCGATAAGGTGTACAGGGCAGGGTGCTAGGTATCATTCTTGTATAAGCGAAAGGAGAAACGCAAGTAACGGTCTATGGGAGTCTGGATGCATATTGAGGTGTTTTCGGATGCTCAATCTACTCCAAGTGACTCAAGTCGAGCGTAGTAAATGAATGTTCTGTTTTTGACATCGGACACTACCGACCTGATTTCGGAGAGTGCCTTTGAGTGAGTTGCCTAGCATCGCTCCATGGTTCGTCGTAGGCGGGGTCCGTCCGAGCTTCTCGATGTGGGGTGACGCAGGCCCGGACTTGGACGACTCACACCCAGGCACTTTTTTGTTAATGTTGCCCCGCACCGCGCCCACTACACTGCGCGCCGCCTGCAGACGAAACCTCGAGTACCGACATCTCACAAGGCGCCAGTTGCAATTGAGGTCCCCAATCCGCACTCTATCGCGAACCTACACCCCGCTTCACGCCGAGCGCCCCTACTCGACCGCAACCATGGCGCTCAACGCGTCCTCGCACAACTCGACCGGCGAGAAGACGGCGCCCAACACTGCGCCACCACCCGAGCTCGGCGCAGACGTCAAGAAGGACATCCTGGGTGCTGCTGAACACGACGCTACCGGTCAACATGCCCCCGGCCGTGAGAACGAAAAGGGCGTAGAGAAGAAGGAGAAGTCGGCCAAGGAGCTGGAGAAGGAGCGCAAGAAGGCTGAGAAGGATGCAAAATTCAAGGCAAAGAAGGCAGCAGCCGCCGGTGCCGCCAAAGACGGCGCCGCCGCTCCAGCCAAGGAAAAGAAGAAGAAGGGCAAGGAGGAGGAACAACTACCCGCGTACGTCGAGGAAACCCCAAAGGGCGAGAAGAAGAGGCTGAAGCCCCTGGATGACCCATACACAAAGGCATATATTCCCAAGGTCGTCGAGTCAGCGTGGGACGCATGGTGGGACTCTCAGGGCTTCTTCAAGCCTCAGTTCACCGAGAATGGTGAGAACAAGGGTCCGGGCCACTTTGTCATTCCCATCCCGCCGCCCAACGTTACTGGAAAGCTACACTGTGGACATGCTCTCGCTACGAGTTTACAGGATGTTCTCATCAGGTGGCATAGGATGAGAGGCTACACTACTCTGTACCTGCCTGGTTGCGACCACGCAGGTATCGCTACACAGTCCGTTGTAGAGAAGATGCTCAAGCGACGGGAAAACAAGACGCGATACGACCTCGGTCGTCAAAAGTTCCTTGAGCGGACCATGGAATGGAAAGAAGAATACCATCAGCACCTCACAAACACACTGCGGAGAATGGGTGGTTCGTTCGATTGGTCGCGCGAGGCTTTTACCATGGACGAGAACTGCTCCAAGGCTGTTACCGAGACCTTCGTCCGTCTGCATGAGGATGGTCTGATTTACCGTAGTAACAGGTTGGTCAACTGGTGCACGGCTCTCAACACGGCGCTTAGTACACTTGAGGTCGACAACAAAGATCTAGCGGGTCCTACCAAGTTGTCCGTGCCTGGGTATGAGAGAATGGTAGAGTTTGGTGTCCTCACACACTTCAAGGTATGACAGACTGTACAAACCAAGATGCATCTGCTGATATTCTCTAGTACGCCATTGAAGGCACCGACCAGTTCATCGAGATTGCTACCACCCGTCCCGAAACCATGTTGGGTGACTCTGGTATCGCTGTCCACCCCAAGGATGACCGTTACAAGGACCTCGTCGGCAAGAAGGCTCGCCATCCCTTTATCGACCGCCTCATGCCCATTGTCGCCGACGAATATGTTGACCCCGAGTTTGGTACTGGTGCTGTGAAACTCACACCGGCGCACGACCCCAACGATTTCAACCTCGGAAAGAAGCATGGTCTCGAGTTCATCAACATCCTGAACGACAACGGAACCATGAACAAGAACGCTGGTCAGTTCGAAGGAAGCAAGCGTTTTGATGTCCGCTACACTGTCGTCGATGCGCTGAAGAAGGAAGGACTCTTTGTCAAGACGGAACCCAACCCCATGAAGGTCCCGATCTGCTCAAGGTCTGGAGATGTCATCGAGCCCATCATGAAGCCGCAATGGTGGATGAAGATGGACAGTCTCGCCAAGCCCGCTATCGAGGCTGTCGAGAAGGGCGATATCAAGATCAGGCCCGCAACCTCGGAAAAGGTCTATATGCATTGGATGAACAACATCCAAGACTGGTGCTTGTCACGACAGCTCTGGTGGGGTCACCAAATCCCCGCTTATTTCGTTGAAATCGAAGGCGAGGCAGGTGATCGAACGGAAGACGAACGCTGGATCACTGGCCGGACAGAAGAGGAGGCACGAGCCAAGGCGGAGAAGAAGTTCCCTGGCAAGAAGTTTACGCTGTCGCGTGACGAGGATGTCCTCGATACATGGTTCTCTTCTGGTCTGTGGCCGTTCTCCACCCTGGGCTGGCCCAACCAAACTGCCGACTTGGACAAGCTCTTCCCCACATCTGTCCTAGAGACTGGGTGGGATATTCTCTTCTTCTGGGTCGCCAGGATGATCTTCCTGTCGCTCTACCTCACCGGCAAAGTTCCGTTCAAGGAGGTATACTGCCATTCGCTCATCCGTGACTCTGAGGGCAGGAAGATGTCCAAGTCGCTGGGCAACGTTGTAGACCCTGTCGACATCATGGATGGTATCACACTGCAAAAGCTGCACGACCAGCTTCGTGCGGGTAACCTTGACCCCAAGGAGTTGACCAAGGCGGAGAAGTACCAAAAGACTGCCTTCCCCCAGGGTATTCCTGAATGCGGCGCTGATGCGTTGCGCATGGCCCTTGTTGGATACACCACAGGAGGTGGAGATATTTCCTTTGACGTCAACGTAAGTGATTTCTGATATTCTGCCCTCAAGAATGTATACTGACTCGTTGGTCTAGGTTATCCACGGATACCGAAGGTTCTGTAACAAGATCTACCAGGCCACAAAGTACGTCATTGGACGTCTGGGAGAAGACTTCACACCCCGGGAGAAGGTCATAAAGGGAGGCTCAGAGTCACTACCTGAGCGATACATTTTGCATCAGCTCAATGTTGCCGCCAAGAAGATCAACGATCACCTGGAGGCACGCGAGTTCAGTCTTGCCACCCAGACCGCCTACAAGTACTTCTACGAGTACCTGTGCGACACATACATTGAGAACAGCAAAGCCATCTTCGATGAAGGTAGCGCAGAGCAGAAGGAAAGCGCGAAACAGACACTCTACACTGCCATCGAGGGAGGCCTCAACATGATCCACCCCTTCATGCCCTTCCTGACAGAGGAGCTCTGGCAGCGTCTCCCTCGCCGACAAGGCGACAAGACGCCCTCCATCACTATTGCACCCTTCCCTCAGTACACACCAGACTTTGAAGACGCGACTGCAAACGCAGAGTACGAGCTCCTTGTCGACAGCGCAAAGGGTCTGCGTTCGCTGACGGCTGAATACGCCATCAAAGAAGGCGCAGCCACCTATATCCAGTCCCTCACCCAAGCCACCCACGCCACCCTCACAACCCCGACCTCCCTCCCTTCCATCCGCTCACTCGCCGGAAAGACTGTGGCCGACATTACGATCCTGTCGCCCACGGATACGGCACCGTCTGGCTGCGCCGTCTACACCATTGGCACGTCTGCGACGGCGTACCTCGACGTTAAAGGTCGCATTGAGCTCGATAAAGAGATTTCCAAGGCGGCAGACCGACTGAACAAGGCTAATGAGACGATTGCGCGTCAGAAGAAGATTATGGATGATGAGTGGGAAGCGAAAGTTAGTGATGCTGTTAAAGAGCAGGAGAGGGAGAAGTTGAGGACGGCCGAGCTGGAGGCGAGGAATTGGGAGGCTAGTATTGGACAGTTTGAAAAGATGAAGATTGAGTAAGCAGTAGAGGGTTGTGAAGTGAGAGATGTAGAGAGGGACAGAGAGAGATTGATGAGTAAGAGAGGTAGGGGTAGTGGATGATGATGAGCAGAAACCACGTAGAAATTGGGAATGGACCAAACTTCGATATGAACGGCATGTATTAGCAACAAGAAAGAATTTTCTCAATGCGCTCATTTGTACATGTGTATTCAGCGTCTCCGGAAGTCTGCGGATTTGTGTGCGGTGAATGAGGTGGGATTGTTTGTGTGATTGGTTGCCGATGTTTTGGAACGGGCTTACAATGTTTAGTGATGGAAGGGTCTTGAAGACGAGAAGTATGATGTCCCTGTTCTGTTATTAGCACAGAGGAGGATAGAGGGTAGACTAGATACAACGAGCGGTTACGACGGTTCATTATTGTTTCTGCATGACACAATAACACGACATTACACCTTAGGTCTCCTTGTGACTTGTCGAGGTGCTTTCGGGTATGTTCTAATTTGCCCCGCGACGGCGGCTTTTCCTTCTACAATTCGTGTAGAGAAAGAATGGTTTCCGTAAAGGGAAGGCTTATTCGCCAAGTCGAAGGCTTAACCTTGCTAAGCTAGACATTTCTGACCAAACTTGAACCCCGCGTCTCAAGTCTGTAGTTATAAGCACACCTCCTAGTACAAATACGCAGTAGGCTCCTGCATAACACGTATGCCGAACGTTTTCGATTCGCCAACTCAGCAGTCTTTCTCTTATGTACCGAGCCTACTACTAGAAGACGTGTTCCATGTTGTTCTTGGACATGTAACGTACACAAACATCATCTAATCATACAGAGTTTATAAGTGGGTGCTGTAAGTTTGCTTTTGGATACGTCAGAGTCTGATTACTGAATCTTGACCTGACTAGCTTCTCGGTCCGAAGTCGTGTGATTACGCAACATGGTGATCTTTCCTCGGTATGGAATCTCGACAAAGAGAACGCCGCTTGTGTCCGAGATAATACGTAGGTAGACGGTCTTTGCTCGACTTTTGATTCTTACAATATCCTATTTTCAGGGTGACAAAAAAAAAAACGAAGTTGTAAGCCACCCTGCTCATTCGACGTGATACAGCATGACGAAGCCGGTCTTTTTGTTCTTCCCCGGAGCCTGGCATTCAACCGACTTTTTCGACAAGGTCGTTGGCAGACTTGAGCATCTGGGCTATCAATGTGTTGCAATTCAGTTACCAAGCGTAGGGAGAGTGCCGCCGATAACAGATCTCGATGAGGATATCGCGGTGATAAGAAGCGCAGTCTTGAAAGAGCTAGACGCTGGAAGGAACGTCGTTACAAATGCTCATAGCTATGCTGGTATCCCCGTATCCAGCGCTCTCCATGGTTTGGGAACCATTGCGAGGCAGCGTGCTGGCTTGCTTGGAGGAGTTGTCAAGTTGACCTATATAACCTCGTTCATCACCTCCGAGGGTACAAGTCTCCTTGATATCATAGGCGGTCTGCCGAACGAGTGGGTTGTTGACGCCGTAAGGAAAACGATTTTCATTACAATCTTGATAGCATGACTGACTATCCCACACAGGACGGAAATGTCAGCTTCCAGGCAGATTTGGTCGACAGATTGTACCATGATGTCCCACGACAAGAGGCAGAGGAGATGATTGCCGCACTTCAGCCACATGCACTGGGGGCTTTACAAGGAAAGATGAAATCGCCCGCAGCTTGGAGAGAGATTCCCGTTGCTTATATGGTCTGCGAGGAGGATAGAGCGTTGCCAGCTGGTGCGCAAGACGCAATGATACAGGGCGTGAAAGCAGCAGGAGCAGATGTGGTGATTGAGCGGGTCGCTGCTTCTCACAGCCCGTATCTTTCACAGCCTGACACGGTTGTCAAGTTTCTTTTGAGAGCAGCAGGAGAAGTGGTGGATCAGTAGCTTTCGTTCATACATCTTGAAGTTTGACAAGATCAATCGAAAGTGAAGAGTCTTTGGGAAACGAGACGTTTCTTGCTGGACGGTAACGGTTGTGAAGCAATCCATACCTTGATTGCTATCCGGTCAACTATATTATGGCAATGACCCCTTACAGACGAGCTGCTTACAACGGCCGAAATTCACATAGGCTATAATAGGTCTAGGATGACTTGCAAGATATATATTGCTCGTCCTTGTGATTGGGGTTGGGCTGACTTGCACGTGTGACAGTGATGAACTCTAGGCCCGGTCTGTTTCGAGTCTCACAGCCATTCACGCGGGTGCATGGACACTTTCTTCAATTCATGTAGCTGCCTTACTAGAGGATGAACAGCGGATCTATGCTCATCACCTGTTGTCGCTATATATTCCCCCCTTTCACAATCAAACTTTGGACATTAGACTCGACCTCAATCCCCCCAACCAAGGTTACCACACGAGATTTCCGATACGATGGTCAACTCGACGTCTGCAAACGGCGATACCCAGCTCAAGTCTACGGCCCGCTACTCCCTGCGAAAACGTCCTGGATACTCTCCTACCTCGAATCATTTACGGAAAAAGAAGCGAGTCTACCGTACTCGCGGCGGTACAGTCTCGTTACGAAAGATACCCGATGAGTCTGTCTCCATGTAAGTCCACTGTTTAGACGATCCTTTGACTCGACACACGTCTGATACACATCGAAGCGTCGAGTCCAACTCGCAAGTTTCCCTTCTGCATCTTCCCGGTGAATTGCGGACGGAAAAATACAAGTACGCTCTCTGCGGTATGCACATAGTCCATGGTGATTTCAGAGGATACAGCACGTGGGCCGCTGTAGTCCACACCACCAGCGGCGTTTCCGTCTCTTGACCGCAAGGGTTCAAGTTTACCTTACCGCGCGTCTGCCGTCAAGTATTCTCTGAAACTGCTACGTTTGTGTATTCTCAGAATATATTCCATTTCCCATCCATTAGAAGTTTTGATCACTACTTTCAATCTCGCAGGCGGGCTCAAATCGAAGCGATCACGACACTTGTTATCGAGCCACTATGGGGGAAGCATCCTGATGGAAAGGATTGTTTGGTACAGATCCTCGGACGTTTGACAAGACTAACGGGACTGCGCAAACTGTATCTGAAGAGGTATGAGGGCCTGTGGGGGAGTAAACGTATCTTCGACCATGTCAGGGAAGCGGAAACTGCTGTGGCGGAGGGGTTGGCCAGCGATCTTGAAGTAGTATTTGTGACCTTGCAGGGAGTGGGAACTGAGCATCGTACGATACTTCCCTGGGTATAGTGACCATTGGGCTCCCGTGCTGGTTTCAAAGCGTCTACGGGGTACTTAGGTAGTGCTCAAGACCATGTGCGCGATAGCTGCAGTTGTGTGAATGTTATGATACAGATTGATCTGTAGCCTAGTCTGGTGTCTGGTGATACCAAGTAACTTTAGCATGCTCGTCCACCACTTGCCACAATCAGAAGCACGTTCTTGACAAAAGAAGAGGCATGAAGCCCGTTATATTCACAGGACAGTGCATCGACTCTTGTCTTTCTTCTCTTCTCTAGTTTGCTCCCAAGCCTCCACCCACTCTTTGAAGGCCGCGTGACCACCAAACGCCTTTGCCTCCACGAGTGCCGCCTTTGGATCCGCACCTCGGTCGAGCAGGAACCATACTAGCTCACGTGCGTTCCTTCCTGGGTCCAAGCCAGCCAACACAATGTACTGCAACGGCGTCCCCCATTCGCCTTGTAACCATATGGTGTCAGGCGGAAAGTCCTCCTTATTGACATCCAAGCCCACTACGTCAATCAGATAGCGCACCATAGCCATACTTTGGGTATACTGCGCTCTGCCTTGGCTTTGCTTTTCATCATCCTTTTCTGGGTCGCCTGAAAAATCATGACAAAATGCTGCGCGCACCACGGCTTGATGCAGCGTACAAGGTCCCAAAGGAGCACCTTTGGAACGTAAAAGCTCGAATGTCGTGATGTCGCCACCCCATGCGACTCTTTCGAGTATCGGCTCGCGTGGTTTTCTATGCGGCTCCTGCCAGGGCGTCGCAAGACTGGCGCCATGCTCTATGCACCATACAAGCTTTTCGCGGTCATGGATACAAGACCACATGAAAGGACTACGATAAGACCGTGGAGTTCCTGTCGAGTTGATGTCCCAGCCATGAGCAAGCAAGAACTCGAGAGTCGAAATTGAGACCTCCCCACCCGAGATATCAATATACTCAGTGCTGAGGCCGTGTTCGATGAGATAGCGTAGGCATGGTAGGGAATTCTTTCTTGTCGCGGCTTCTATGAGTCTTTGATTTTCGTAATCCTCCATGCGCTCTTGCGCATTGATCTTCAGTACATGCCCCAGTAGCTCCGGCTCGTTGTTGTCGATTGCAGCATCAATGAGAACCTGTTTTCGAGTCTGTGCGTCCTCCATCTGATGCATTGTAGGCTTACGAGATTAGGTTACCAAATTTTGCGTATTCTGCAGTGTACTTCGGTGCCAAGGATAAGTAAAAGTGGCCGCAGTGTGCTTGGTGGCAGGTGCTCGTTTGCTGCGCAGCCGACGCAGAGCCGATGGAAGCTCTCTTAAGTCATCCCGTAGGGGTTCAGGTTCTGATCGGAGGAAGGAAGGACTGTACTTGAACGACAGGCTAGCTGCTTGCGCGGGGTAAAAGAACTTCGGCTTACCGCAAGAAGGCGAAGATTAGGCATCAGTGTTGAGACAACGAAAGCGGCCGAATTACTGGGCCGAACGTCAAGATTAGCCTGACCAACAGCTGTTAGAGAAATCGACTAGTCAATCGTTGGTAGCTAGACACTATCAACCGACGTGAATGTATGGCATATCTGCAACGGTCAGAGAAGCGCAAGGTGGATGGGGAGAGCTAAATATTCGGTGCGGTCCTTGTGAGAAGCAAAGGGACTATCCAAGCCAGAGATGTAGCTAAGCTTCCTAAGCTTTATTCCTATATGAATATATCAGAACGCCCTGTTAATTCTTCTACTGAGATGCCTTGGCAGTGTAACGTAATATATACACCTATTACTATTATTTATTTCGGGCGGCCAGTGGCCACCGGCCACTATACTAGAAGCACCTGGGTAGTAGGTACTGCTTACACACGAATAATATCACGAGTTTTAGCAAGCCCTCGCCTTCTTGCGGTCACAAGCGGCTAAGGCAAACGTTTCGGCCTAAGAGGGCCAATAAGGACACGATTTAAAAATGTATTAAAATACTAGACAATACCCAGCAAGTTACACAAACCGCCAATAGGTAGAGGCCCATCAGGATCACAACCATAGTCGTAATAAAGTTGCTCTAGTACCGGGTACTAAGGGGGACGGAGACCATAAACGCACCTTGTAATAAAACGCGCTGCTAAGCTTTTGCTTTTTCTTCACACCCGACTGCATTACTAAAACCCTGAGTAAGTCCTCCCAAAGTTGTTGTAGCTGTTGCTAACCCCAAAGCTTTAAAATGAGCAGCATCCAGGACGGCCGCAGCTTCTGGAATGGCGACACGGCTATCTACTCCCCCGGCTCCCCTTTGTATCCATCCAGCGTCGCTGCTCCCCCGGCCATACTGCAACTGGAAGGCATCGAGGATCCTGCGGAGCCATATACACCTATTACAGCTTGTAAAGTGGTAAGCTTTATTACGTTGGAGTCTTACGGCGATTGTCTTACTCATACGTACACAGAAGAATGCCTTCGGTGTTGGTATAGCTCATACAAGAGGAATGAATGTGGTCTTATAAAAGACGTCTACATCGCTAGCTAGAGCCGCTATTCAGCAATTGCTTATGTGATTGAGCTTGAGAATGTGGAGACAGAGAGCCTCGGTTCTCTACAAGGATAAAGGTGCGAAGGGAATATGACCAGCCTTTATTGTCTCCGATATGCTTGCAGCTGGACGACCAAGTATCTCTGATACTGCATCTGTTACCCGATCGTATTCCCCAATTCCGTGAAGCTTGGCCATCGTTGTGACATGCTGCAAAACGTGTTCGGGAAGACGACCTTGCATGCGCGATTCCTCCAACCAACTCTCCAAGGAAACCTCCATGTAACGCACAGGACGACCTAGCGCTGAGGAATACTCCTCAACAAGGTCGTACATGCTGGCGGATTGCGGTCCAGTTAACTCAACTGTCTTTCCAACGTACTTGGATGGCTCTAGTAGCATTGCGGCGGCGACTTCTCCAACATCATTGGCAGCCACTGGATTGGTGTGGCTTCGTCCGAACGGTAAGGCGATGATACCAGCGTCTGCAATGGACTTGGCGGGCAATCCCCAGAAAAAAGGGCTCTCCTGAAACACGGTAGGACGTAAGTGTGCCACAGGGACTCTAGACCAGTTGAGTGCCTGTTCAGCTAGCCAATGAACCCTTTGCTGGGGTGAATCGGTAACCTTTGTTAGATCCATTCTCGAAACCGTCATTTGGGAAAGGTTGACTAGAAGCTCAATCTCGGGATTGGCTCTAGCAGCTGCCGTCATGACCACCGAGGCCGTCAAATAATCAGATGCAACACTCGTGCTAAAGAACACGAGCCTGCATCCCTCGACAGCTGGTGCGATCTGTTCCGACTTCGTAAGATCGGCGATGATCACTTCGGCACCAAGGCTGCGAAGATATTCTGCGCGTTCATCATCGCGACGAACCAACGCGCGAACCGGTAAACCCGACTTTCGTAGGATTTCAACGACACGCCTTCCAACACTGCCGACTCGACCCGCTGCCCCCGTTACCAACACCGGAGATGTGATTGTTGTCATCGTGGGTGCTTGTAGATAGTCGTTGACGAATAGATAGGAAGACAAATGATTGTAGTAAGCCCGATTCTACCACCAGAGAGTTGGGGCTTTGGCTAATTTTATATCTTTTTCGAGCAGGTATATAAGGTTTCAGACTAATGCCGTGCAGCACTGGCCGGTACTAGTTGACGTTGTTGAGTAATATGCAGACATACCTAGGTATGCTATTGCTAGAGAACCCCGCGCTTTACCGAAGTAATGCCCAGCTTTTGAGAGAAGACCCTACGCTTTTCTGTAGCCTGTCGTCGCGGAGGTTGAGATTTTCCCATTACGGCCGTATGGACGATACTGGTAAATTCGGCGCTAGTCACGCTAGTCTTCCCCGAGGCAGCTTCGATCAAGACCAATCATTGGTGAGCAATAATTTGTCCCGAACACGCAGGCTGGATAAGGTCGTGTCAGAAGAATAAAAACTATACTAAGATCTTGGTTTAGTCGAGACTAATGACCCTTGTAAAGGGTCAAGCTTCGATCACAGTGTATTCAGTGTAGTAGAGTAACTTGGAGTTGCTCCACCAAAACGGGCGCTCGATACAAGAGATAGTGTTAGATTATATGTAGCCATAGATATACTCCACCACAGTATGTATGAAGCCGTTCTTGATCAAAGACAACAAGCTCTATAAAGTATCCCAATAATGGCCCTATTCTTGATAGCGCTATTGCTTGCGGCAGCTGCCTTGACACTGGTGCTAGTCACGCTGATGCTAGCCAAACTGGTGCTAGTTACACTGGCGCTAGTCACACTGATCGTGGTAACTGGCGCAGCGTTCTCCAATGCTCTGAAAACGTTGATGACGCCTTTGCCTCCACAAAACTCCGCTTTGTTACCAGTGCAGGGTATATTGCAGTCAGTCTGGTTCTTGGTGAACTCACCAGCCACGTAGCTGCTGCACCAACACTGGTTCCCTTCCTGCACTCCTACAAAAGTATAGGCGTCGCGGTAGCAGCTGTCCTTGCACTTTGCAACTCTTAGAGACGCATCTCCGTTAGGATCCATGTTCTTCTCAAGGATTGGGCGATTCGGGTTCTGAGCGTAGCATCCCAAGGCGTCCCAGGAGGTAGGGGAAGGCCCAAGAGAAGGAGCTTGGCTCGTGCTGGTGGTGGTGGTGGTCACCTTCGAGGAGGTTGTCGTTGGATGGATACTGTCATATTTCCTTTGCGTGATAACACAGTAGGATTGCCAATCCCAGGGTTTGCAATCAAGGCTGACTGATGGGTTCCATTCGCTAAACTCTGCTGCGGTGTCTGAGTGGTAAGATACAGTATCAGTATGGGTAAACCATCGGCTGTGCAAAGGGGGCTTACAGCCGTACAGCTCGCGCACGTATTCGCAAGTCTTGCCTTGGCCGTTGTCGTACCATTCGATGCAGTCCTCGACCGTTTCGGGGTCCCATTGGAGGAGCGGATAGCGTGAGGAAGCTACTCGCTGAACAAAGGCCACAAGCAACAGGGGGAAAGCGGTTCTCATCATGCAGATTGGCTTGAGGGGAAGCAGCTGATGGATAAGGCTCAAAAAAGATTTTCCTGAGGGATGGAAGCAGGTGATGGGGAGATGTATAGCACCCTTGCTGGAGTTGAACAGAAGAGACAAGATCCGGCTCTGGCGTAAGGTGATTCGATGGTCCGAACCATCCTTTGACTACTGATGCCGGCTTTTAGAACACAAGTCAATCGAGCCTTGCAAGGCAATATCGAGAATCCTTCAGCGAGCCATCGAGACCCCCGGCTACAGGGAATCTGTGCAAAGCAGCTGCTTCCTGCGGATTTGCCAGCCAACTCGGCAAGGCCGCTGGTCGACTCGCAGTGGCGTCCTGCTCCGCTAATTCCGCTGCGCCACTGTCAAGACGCCAAGTGCATGAGTGAAATTTGACATGTTGTATGTAGTCGCCCGCGGTTCGTTCACGTTCACGCTACCCGGCAGTGTGGGCCATGCGGCGCGGCGGAAAGAAGGCTTGTTTTGGAAGGTGCCAAGAAGGGGAATCTTAGGTAGTGTTGTGTCTCGTGCGTTCCGCCTAAAGTAAACTAGCGGCCCCTTGCCCCTGGATACCAGCATCCAGTACCTGCATCAGCCTTGTCATAGAAGCAGACTTGATAAAGCTGAGCCGGATCCTACGGAAATCCTGTTAACGGAACTTTTGTTACACCGTATTCCATCATTAAACACATTGCTTAGTGAGATAGCATATCAATCCGTTGTGCTGACCACTTCATCGGGCTATTGGTGACAGACCAAGCATACTCGGGCATTATCCAACATGACGTCCACTTTCCACCCATTCCCTCGACTACCATTGGAGCTTCAAAGGCAGATATGGAGGTGCACTGTTGAGCCGCGCACCGTCGAAGTCCGTGTCGAACACTGGAAGCCTGATCGGGATCCCTTTTTGATATCGTCCACACCGGTGCCTGGACCGCTACAGTGCTGTAGAGTGGCCCGAGATGAGTTACAGAGGTTGTATCAACAAGCTTTCTTCGATATTGGCACTCAACGGAATACCGAGCGGCGTATGTACGCGACGTACTGGTACGGTATCGGGGTCGAGAGCCCTCCCAGTCCTTCGCGTCCTTCCCATCTGAGCAGTTCCGAATTCCGTGTGAATCGCCATCATCGACGCAACTCTGAACCCACCATGGTCGATAGACGCCCGTTTGATCTGCCCGAGGAACACAGGCCACAGGGTCTGTACCTCATCGACAAACTCGATGTGACTGGCATCTACGGACCTAGCATCGAGCGGCGATATGTCTGGTTGAACTTTGACATCGACATGGTAGACATTGGAAATTCCTATCTCAGTGCTTTCAAACCAATCGCATCAAAAATCAAGCGACTTAAGTTTGAGCGCGAGAATAGCAATGAGGCTTGGTTCAATACTGAGAAACGAGAACTCAAAGACTTTAAGAACGTAGAAGAAATTCACGTGGTCTGTGCGGATGGGTTTGATCAGTGGGCCTTTTCTATGTATGATATTTCCTGGCCTTGCGCTGATGACAAAATACTCTTCCTCGATCCATCTGAGGGCCAAGTGGCGAATGGTATGGAATTCGAGGGGGTATGTAGACAGATGTTATTGGATAGGCGTTTGGAACTCACTGGCGTAGCCTGGCACACCAGCGATGAGGAGTCTGACAGTTGAGGAACCGCGGTTCTTCTACTGCTTATGTATACTTGCCACTAAACCGTGTAATTCGTCGTTGGTCTATCGGTATAGGAAGAATAGTATGCAAATCAGTATCATATATTACAAACCCAACGATAACTACGTACATCTTGAAGAACCCATGCAGGTGCCACCAAGTACCATGAAAGGTTGAGAATAGAAATATCCCAAGTTAACGTCGGCCACACGCCACTGCCCAATCTTTGCATGCAGGATATCTGAGAAGATGATCAACGCACTTGGAGTAAGCTTGAAAATTCCATTCCATTAGAGGGAGAGCACTCGAGGTAAGAAATAGACGAAGGAAAAAGTGTCTGTACGAAGACACATCATTAGCAATGATTCATATAGTCTTAAATGCGACTACCAGCCGCTGCGCACATTTCCGACTTGTTTGCTTTGTTATACAGTAAATGGATACAGTCAGCATGCAGCCTCGCTCTGCAATCTTTGCAGGCGTACATCAGCACGGAGGAGTCGTATTCAAATTCTTCTAGAGTTTGTGAGAAGTCTGGAAGCGCGAGTGCGAGTACGCGAGACCAGGCTGAAGGTAAGCCGAATAACGGATGAAAAAGACCGAAGAGGTGGGGACAGTAGCGTTTCGTAAACAAGGACAACCCAAGTTAGCATTCCCGAGAAGGTGCCTGGGTATGCAGTTAGTACCCAGATGCCATAAGCTCGTCGTTGCGTGTTCGGCGATAATAATGGAAGCTAGTTTCGGCGGCGTGCGTGATCACTCGCCGTGTGAGCGGTTTTTTCCAACGTTCTCGGCTTCGCCAACAAACCTCCGACCTCGCCACTGCTGACTCTTCGGCAACCTTCAGCATGCCACCGACGACCTCACCAACACAGCCTTTGAGGGCTGGTTCGGTGCAAAAGAGGGGCAGCAAGCCAGTCGCGTAAGATGACTCATCATTACACACGCTCTTGCGAAATTAATAGTGTTTGTAGTTGCCAAAGATGTCACTCGCGCAAAGTGAAATGCTCGGGAGGCCACCCATGCTCAAACTGCCGCGATAACGCTGAAACGACGCCTTGCGTGTATCCATCGCGCGACCGACAAATCAAGCTCAGTGAACATCACTTGAATGAACTGCTAAAGGATTACGAGCGTCTAAAGGATCTCGAGCGCCTACGCAGCGGCCCCTCCGGGTTGGCTCAGGCTGCTGTTCCCGTCGAAGAAGCTCTCGAAAGCAACACAGCTGTGAATGAAGCCGTGCGTAATCCACTACTTGAGGATAGGCCTTGGTTCCATGCGGTTTCCTCTGAGCATGTACCTATCCACGTTGGGGAAGCTGCCGACGCAGCATTTGCGACAAGATTCCGCCAGACTCTTGCCGTAGGAAATACCAAGCATCTACCTCGAATGGACCACGTACAAGACGATTACCTGATGCTGCCGTCTCAAGCCCCGTCTAGTTGGCCGTCACCTGCAAGAGCACGTTTCTTGGTCAAAGTGGCCCTGTCTACCGTCTGCCAATATTACCATATCGTACGCAAGAGCCAAGTCACGAGAATCCTGGAAGACGCTATCAAGAACAACGGCAATGGTAACCGGGTAGTCATCTGTAAGCTTTTAGCACTATTCGCCCTGGGCGAAGTGTATTCTGCCAAGCATGCTTCAATGGATGCGGCCTTTCCCGGCTTAGCCTACTTTGCTCAAGCAAGAAGGATGATTAGCATTCCTGCTGAGCGGCCGCAGATGGACACCATAGAGGTCACCCTACTATTGGTTTGTGGCACCAAAAACATGAAGCGGAAACATTCTCTGATACCTGCAAGGTTCTTTATTCCTTCACTGTCAATCGTCGCCATTCGGCTTACATCTTCGCAAGCTCCGCCTGTAGACTTGGTCTTATCATGGGCATGAATATGAACATACCTGAACATCAGTGCCCCGATCGGCTTGCGAGAGAGCATCGCGTACGGCTATGGTGGTCTGCATATGCTCTTGATAGATCATGCGCATCAAAACTCGGTCTTCCAGTATCTGTTGCTGATGAAGATATCATGGTAGACTTTCCCAGCAGTGACGGTCTCGATGCTGCAGAAGAAGGCGATTTTGGCGACACTGATTACAGCTTGAATAGCATCAAGTTGGCCAAACTTGCTGCTCGATTGACACGAGCTATCTACAGTAGGAGAAACCATCACGATTCGTTTTCCAAAAGGGTTCAGGCGATGCTCAAGGATCTCACCAAATGGATGGACGACCTGCCAGTTAAGTTTCATCTCGAGGACAACGACACTTCAGCACCTATCCACATTGTCTACATACATCTGCGCTTCAACCAGGTTTGTTTACTATGATCACATCAAACTCAAGCTGACCTTGACAGTGCTGTATTCTTGCCACACGACCGATACTTCTACATGTTCTCCGCAGCCACAAGCAGTCATGGTCAAATCCAACTATCGATCCCAAACGCAACCTTCCTGAAGGCGCTCTCGCACTTGCCGAAACATGCATTCAATGCGCGCGTCACAGTTATCGCATCCTTACGGAAGCCTGGATTCACGGATCCTTGGCTACGCTGGATTATTTCGACACGCAATACCTCTTCTCAGCTACTACGGTCCTCGCTATTTCTAGTCTTCTGCAGTCACCGCGGAGTCAAGCAGACGGTGACGATTTCAACAACGCGGTGGAGTTGTTGCGACAGCTTGCTCAAAGCGGTAACTATGGCGCAAAAGAGTTCGTTAAGCATATGGATGCGATAGAGCAGAGTATGCAACTTGTGGCAGATACCAGCTTTGCGCTAGGTCGACCACAGCAACCGTCAGTGGCCAGTGCAGAGCAATTGCTTCCTCCTTCCAGCGAGGCAATGACCGCTGGTATGGCTCTTGCTGATCCCTCCCTTCGTTACTTTCTTTCCGAATCCGATCTAGATCTTCAAGCTTTCAGTAACCCTGCTTTTGATGAATTGCAGACACCATACTGGTGGGCGGACGGTTGGGGAGTGGGTGGAGATATCTGAACAAACAATGCACGGATAGACTGGATCTTCGCAACTAGATTGACTAATGTATTGAATAAGGCACACGTGTGTACACGATCTAACGCCGAGGACCAATCGTGGCGATAGGAAACACTGCTTCCGTTGAAATCATCTTCGGCCAACTCCATGCTGCTCGAGGACGAGCATCCTTTGCATCCACTCGTTCAACCATGGAGCTGGCATACCTAGCCGTTACGAACGTTAACCCACCAGCCGCCAATACCAGCACGGTACTGATGGTAGCAGTTGGGCCGATGCCGATAGCCTCCATCAAGGGCACCACACCAGCACTTGAGCAAGCCGAGAATGTGTACTGGACAAGGTACTTGCCCGCAATTACTTCTCTCCTTTTTTTCGGGAACGCTTCAGCGCAATACGTGTTCAAGCTCGCAAAAGCGGCCAGGAGTCCAGCCGCCGTAAAGAAGCTCGTTACGATCGGTAGTGCAAGAGCGGCTCTTGACGTCGGTCCATATTGCAGACCCCATCCATACACGAGAGACGCTGTGGGAATCACCAGGAAGAAAGATAGCATCCCCGCGTTCAACCGGTCTTGTGGTAGTCGCTCACCACGTATTTTGATATATCGCCTTACCGTCATGTCCGAGTAGCGTCCTCCAACTATTGTGCCAAGCAAAAAGCCAGTCGCGGGCGCGAGATAGAAAAGGCCGGAGGACAGTGGGGATGTAAGGCCGAAGCGGGTAACGAGGATATGACGAGGTGCGGAGAGGATTGAGTATTGCGACCAGCTAAGGAAGCCACAACTCAGATGCTGATGAAGACGGTCAGCTTCTTTACTTGTGATGCAACGCTATTGCATGTTACGTACCGTCATGATGATATTTGGGTAGGTCATCTGCTTGAAGACTGGCAGTGGGTTGAATTGAGCCAACGCAGTCCGTCCACGCAAGTTCAACGTAAGCGCCGGCGCATCTGTCCTACTCGCTGGGACGAAGAATAGCGCGAGCATAAAAGCCAGACCGATCATCGCGACTTGCAGCCACAGGACACTACGCCAAGTCGAGTAGGTCATCATGATGCCCGCCACCAAAGGACCGAGAGGCGGTCCCAGAACTGTTCCAGCAAGGAAGAAGCCATTCGCAGTACCACGTTGAACCTACGCCAGAGCATCTGATATCAGCATTTGTTGTGTTGGAATGTGGGTGGACTACTTACAGGAGGAAAGTACTCTGCGATGATAGTCTGACCAGCAACATGAAAATAACAACCCTGCAAGCCAGACAGCACGCGCATAGTGACAAACACGGGCATGTTTGGCGCGACAGCGGCACCAATGGTAAAACTGAATAGTACCGCGACACAAGCATTGTATGCCAACTTTCGCCCCACAATCTATGTTACTTAGCTCCAACGTTGTCGTAGGCAATACTGCTATGAAGACTCACCGCAGCTATGGGACTCCACACAAACGAACTCAACCCGATGGCGAAAAGCATGCCTGCTGTTGAGAGACTGACGACTTCGGGGGTGGTGTGCAGATCTACTGCTATCTCGGTGCTTGCGCTGAGGAGTGAAGTGCTCGAGAAGCATGCAGCGAGGGTTGTCCAACTTGTTGCGAAGACGATGACATATTTGCGCCACATGGGCATACTGTCGAAAATTTCTGACGCTCTGGTTTCAGTCTTGCTCAACGTGTTGGGCGGCTGCGAAACGATTGCTTCGGGCGCCATTGGCGCACCAACAGGCACGGCTTTCTCTGCGTCATTCATGAGTTCGGGCATGACGATGAGGTCGGGATGAGGCTTGCATAGTGGATTCGGGGGTAGATGGTCTTATATGATGACATCTGAGCTTCGTTGTTGTTTGAACAGTCATGTTCGGTGAAAAGTCGCGCATGCCGTCGGTGAACATGCGTGCATTCCGAGGCGCATATCCGGCCCCACTATGATGCTGAAAGACTCATCAGCACGGCGAAACGAGTCTGCGCCGGACTTGTTAATGATTCGACGTCAAGGTATATTTCACAAAGATCGATCACCCTATGCGGACGAGATATCTGCAGCCGCCCCATCCTTCAGCCTAACCACACTGCATCTCCATCATTTAGAATGGCCCTCACATACACAGAAGTGCCTATCCATATTCAAGGCACAAGCCTCACCATCTCGACAATCCACAATCTAAACTCCAACCCCCCAATCCTCTTTCTTCACGGTTTCGGCTCCAGCAAGGAAGATCTCGCAGATCTAACCGTCAATCCCTTCCTTCAACACCATGCATATATCGCCTACGACGCTCCTGGATGTGGACAAACACACAGCGCCAACCCGTCCACATCAACCATTCCCTTCCTGGTCGAAACAGCAGAAGCCATATTGTCGCATTTTCAAATACCACGATTCCACCTTATTGGCCATTCCATGGGCGGACTGACCGCACTACTGCTTGCGAGCCGGCAGCCGGACCGAGTACTGAGCTTTGTAAACATCAAGGGAAATCTGGCACCAGAAGACTGTTTTCTTAGCCGGCAGATATTTGACTTCCCTACCGAAGATCCAGAAGACTTTCTCGATGCTTTTATTCAACGTACGTGTGCGACCAAGTCGTACAGCAACTATCTGTTCGCGAGTACCTTGAGATCGCGTGTCCGCGCTCACGCGGTGCGACCAATTTTCGAGTCCATGGTGCGATATTCTGACGAAGAAGACTTACTGGGCATGTTTCTCAGGCTGCCGTGTGCGAAGATGTTTATGTTTGGGGTGGAGAACCGCAGATTATCGTATTTGAGGCGGCTAGAGCGCGAAGGTGTGATGCTGGCAGAAATAGCAGAGAGTGGGCATTTCCCTATGTACTCTAACCCTGTGGAAATGTATCGCCGGATAGCAGGATTTCTGGAAGGTTCACGAACAAAGGTTCATTAGAGTTGAAAGGCCCATAGATTATAGGAACCAGAGATAGGGACAAGTTACTCTTGCCGGCCGCTTTGTTTCTCAAATAGTGGTAGCTGTATGCGCGAGGGATGGACCACGATGCTTGCCGCACAACAGTAATGAAGAGTCTTTCGTTACTGGATATTGCTTCACGTATGAGATCTGATACATCCACATAAAGGTATCAAATACTTAGACAAAGGGGTAAATCGGGGAATTCTGATGTGGCCACTTGTAGCATTCCGAATGGCACGTCGAACATGCACCTCGCAAGACCTGTAGGCGAACTATTGTACTTGGATACTATGTTTTTCACGAAAAAAAGGTTGAGGTGAAACGGGGTGGTAGAAAGAGTGAAGTAAAGGACTTCGCACCCGTAGTGTAGAAACTATCTTGCACAAGGGAACAAAAATGTAGTATTGATTTTAAATTTGAGTTCTAGATGAGTGTGCACTGTATACATTTCTGGAGCTTTACACAGCACTAGGTGCAGCAGCAACGAGCGAGGTTGTAAAACCTATGACTCCAGTCTTCCGTGTTGTAGACTGCGAGACTAAGATACAAAGCATCATGTGTCGACATGGCAATGAACATGCAGACCAGTCAATGAGCGGATACAGTCTCTTCCTGTACTTGTAGTCTTCAGTAATGTTACTTCACATAAAACCTATAGCTTGAATCGGATTACAGGCTTTCCAATTGTCTAGTGCACAGTCAGTAACAGCGTCATTTCGAACCTCAACTCCCTAACAGTATGTCCACTCACCTGGCCAAGCGTTCTACCAAGCTCTGGCAGATCCTCCAACCGCTTCTGTGTCGTCACTGGGCGAACCAAACCACGGGAAACAAACTCAAACGCTTCATACATGTCCTCTCTTGTGCCCACGGAAGAGCTAATGATTCTAAGATCATTATCAATCATAAGCAGCGGCTCGTAAGGGACTTGTTGACCTGGAGGGAGAATCCCCACGCAGACCATTGTACCGGACGGTCCTAGCAGCCTAGGCGCACTTTCATACGCAGCGCTGACGCCGGCGCACACAAGCACCGCTTTGGCACGGCGGTTCTGTGTGATTCTCATGACTTCGTCCGCAAGGTTGGTAGTAGCAAGCACGTCGACGTACTCCTCCGCACCAGCTGACAAAGTAAACCTGCCCTTTTCGCTCCCGGCATCAATGGCTAACACACGGTATCCCATCGCTTTGGCGTACTGGACAGCCAGACTGCCGACACCGCCACCTGCTCCGGAAATTGCAACCCATTGCCCAGCGACCGCACCGCAGATCTTGAGCGCCTTGTATGCCGTGACGCCGCCGCATACAATGGGCGCGATGACTTGATCCTCGACTGCTGCGATGGACTCTGGAATCTTTATGATATACCTCTCCGGCACGACGGTGTATTCCGCAAACGTCCCATCAATTTTGCGTCCCGAGTTGAGCTGTGCCGTGCAGCGAGCCTCGCCGCCGGGCTGCAAGCAAAACACGCATTTACCGCAGATGTCGCGGAGCCAGGCAATGGCAACGCGATCCCCGATTTTGGCTGAGCTAGCCGATACAGCTTCGCCCTTGGCCACAATGTACCCAACTCCCTCGTGGCCCAGGATCTGCCGTGTGGGGCCCACTTTGCCCGATGCAAGCGCCATGTCGGTTCCACATACTCCAGTCACGGACAGCTTGACTAGCACATCTGTGGGGCTAAGCTCGGGAATGCTAACGTCGTTGATTTCAAAGGTGAAGGAGTCTTTGGAACGCTGTGTGTCGCGTTGATTAGATGATTGCTTTTATCTTTCCCTGAAGTTGGATAAGTCATTGGTGACAGGCTGACTTACTACGACTAACGCCGCCTTCATGGTGGAAGGGTGACTTGTCATGTTAGGCAATTGCGCAACTTGATGGTAGAAGTACCATACGTGTGGAGAATAGTACAAGATTAGATGGATGTCACAACTTATACTTTACTCCTATCCGGAGCTCCCGCATAACACGGTACAAATTGGATGACCACAGCTATAGACAAGCACGTCGAGTGAATCGTAACGTAGGTCTACCGGATTAACTTGAATAGGATAAGAGCTATACCTAGGTAAAGATAGATCGACCTCGGCACCAACGGTTCATGGTCATGTGACCAATGACAATAAGTGCATAGTAAGACTTGGGCGCGACATCACATTACTCATGTTACCAAGGCCGAAGCTCCGAGTCTCCGACTAACCATCTACCGTCATCTTGAACCTGAACACTCAACCTGTGTGATCCTACCATTTGCATCTAGGAAACTTGTTACTGTACCGCGGAGCCGTAGAATCATGCACTTGCGCCGCGTTCCCACAACAAGAGCGCACCAACCAACAAGACTCTACTCTCGATGAATCAGAACCCTCCACGCTGCCTTGAAGTTGAGATGTTCTACCCGAAAGCAGGGAGGAGAAACGTACAGAACACAGCCCGGGCAAGAGTACCCTATACACAGAGTTGAAGTTCAATGGAAAAGGCACAATCACAAGGAAAGTTAAAAAATACGGCGCCATGTAAAAAATCTCTAATATCTACAACAGCAAAAAGGTGCGAGGAGAAGAAAAAAACAAGTTAAGAGTACAGATCGTCATCCTGCGTTGCATCTCCAAATCCTCCTTCGGCGATGTCAACACTACTCTTTCCCTGACTGTGATTCACCGGCGCTTTGCCCTTGCCCTTGCTACTCCCGCCACTGCTTGCCGCACTACCACCACTGATATCCACACCGCCACCCGCCAGTCCATTTCCACTCACACCCGCATTACCATTCAGCTGAACGTTTTCTGTGCGGATAACCATTTCGGTCTCGTCCTCGTGGACAGGAGCTTTCGCTTTGCCCTTGGCCGTTGTTGCACTAGAAGCTTGTTCGATGGCTAGAGGAGGAGCGGCAGTACCGTTCTTCGTCTCGGCCCCTTCCTTCTTCCCTGCACCTTCGAATTGCTTCCTCACCCTATCGTAGTGCCTCAACTCGTCCGCACTAACACTAGGCACCAGCTCCTTGTGTGCTTCCATAAAGTCTTCTTCTGTCACCATGACAGCCGTGTCCTCCTCTGTAGCGAGATGGTCGAAAAAATAAGCAATGGTAATGGGTGGGTTATGTGTTGAATTGTATGCTGCGACTTTCTCATCGACTGATTTGGCGCTCCGTGTGATGGCTTTGAGCATGGCGTCGGAGCAGAGGGCATACATGTCTGCTCCTGTATATGTGAAAGGTAACCCTTGGGATACGCGGGCGAGGCTAACGGACGGATGAAGAGTAAATCTGCCAAATCGTTAGTAACCATGAACCTCTTCCCATCATCTCCATTCTTGAATGACTGAAACATAAGGGAAAAGAGATGTAAACATACTTCCTAGTCAACGCCTCCAAAATAGTCTGCTGTTTCTCATGCGTATCGCTCACACCCAGATAAAGCATCTTGTCGAAACGGCCGGGTCTCAACAACGCCTGGTCCAATAAATCTGGCCTGTTCGTCGCACCAATAACAAACACACCCTCGCCGCCATCACTCATGCCGTCGAGCTCAGCGAGCAACTGACTCACAATGCGGTCCATGACGCCGCCGCTATCACCCTGGTTACCGCGCTTCGGCGCCACGGAATCCAATTCGTCGAAGAAGACAGCACAAGGACGCGCGTCACGGGCGCGCTGGAAGACACGGCGGACGTTGGCTTCCGATTCACCAATGTACATGTTGAGCAGCTCAGGGCCCTTTACGCTGAAGAAGTTGAGGGAGAATTCCGTGGCGATGGCTTTTGCAAGGAGTGTTTTTCCTGTTCCGGGAGGGCCGTAGAAGAGGATTCCACTGCGCTTCTTCATGCCCTTTGCAAACAACTCAGGACGTGATAGAGGAAGTTGGATCGTCTCCATGACAGCGTCTTTGACGTGCGTGAGACCTCCCACATCAGACCAGCCCACGTTGGGGATCTTGGGCGCGCCGATTGCATCAGCAAAGTTCTTACGTGCGGCGTCGACGGCGGTGTCAAGATCGGCTTTTGTGAGACTGCTGCTAAAGTGACCGCCGGCTAGTTCAATGTCGCGAGTGGTGATTGTGTCGGGTGGGGTAAGCGATTTTGAAGCGGACACAGCGAGGGCTTCGAGGCGTTGTTGCTTTGCGACAAGAGCTCTATCGACAACATCTACGAGGTCGCCAGCTACTAGGGCGGCAGTCTTGACGGCGACGTTTGCTAGATCAACTTCAGGGGAGAGACGGATGCCGGCGTCGTCGACGATGCTTCGAAGAATACCTTCTCTTTCGCCTTCGTCAGGGGCTGTCATCTCAATCTCATGGGTGAAGAGTCCGCGGATACCTTCTGGTACCTTGTCGATTTCGGTTGTTGTTGCGATCAGTACGCGAGAGTCGGCTAAGATCTCTTTTAATGCTGTGTTCATACGATCAGCGTTGAGTGCGTCGACATGCTTGACCAACAGTGCTGTAAACTCAGCACCACATGTCAAAGCTCGCTCGGCCCTAGCTTTCAGGAAGCCTTCAGTTTTGACATCGCCACCTCCGGCACCGCCTTCAGTGACGATATCGAAAGCATCGATGGAGAACGTGTGCAGGCCAAGGTCTTCACAAGCTTTCGTCGCAACGGTAGACTTGCCAATGCCACGTTGGGTCGAAGTAATCAAGACGGCGATAGGTGGCAGACCTAGGTGGATGGCTCGAGGGCTGGTAGCCACGGACATGAGTTCGCGCAATCGTCTCCGCAGCGACGAGATGTAAGGTTTAGGCAGTTCGTCCAGTGCCATGGTCTTTTGAGAGCTTGATACAGGAGCTCGTTTGGCACCTAGATAGTATTGCCATGCATTGTTGATGGGAGCTGGCGTCTTGCCTTGCTCGCTACCGTTCATCTCCATCTTTGTGCTAGCAGCATCTACCGTCACAGCGCCGCCCCAGATATCAACTTCTTCGCCATCGTGAGACGTGTGAGTAGGACTTGATACATTGCCAATCTTGAACCACGATACGACCTTTGGATTGCGGCTGCTGACACTTGTGCTTTCATCACTAGCGGTTGGCTTGACTCTCGCGAGAAGCTCGTCGTTACCGACGTCCTCTTCTGTTGTAGTTTGGAACACTGCACGACCAAGGGACTCGTCGATTGATACGCCTATCAGGTCACCGCTCTTCACTATCCGCCGCTTTTGCTCAAAGTGGTCTTTCAAGGCAGCGAACAAACTAGGTTGAAGTAAACGATCGGACGATAGAGGTGTTGATACTTTTAGGAGTGTGACCTCTTTAGCGGATGGTGGCAAAGAAGAGCTGTTCAACCGCGGCTTCTGAATAGCGCTCCTAGGCAGATGCGAAGACTGGCTGGGGGTTAATGGGGTGATACGAAGGTGAGAAGGACTGCCTAGGTTTGCAAGAAGAATTGGTGAAAGATAGGCATGTAGCGACAAGGCTGGTTGTGAGAAGCCCGAGAAGCTGCTTCGTCGATCAAGATCCGAAGTCTTCTGGACGGGGTATCGTGCCACCTTCTTGGACATGTTTTCTGGCAAGCCGAAGACCCTGACGGGGCGCCAATTCGTGTTCTCTTCTTCGTCTGCTCGTCCGAATGCGCCCAAGCCCCAGAGGGGATGTGACGAAGGGGCTTCGGTACCTTCGAGCTTCACCCAGTCGCCCGAGAAGCAGCCAACCTTGACCAGTGTATTTATGTCGACGAATACACGAGCTTCTTCGTCGTCTTCGCTCCCAGGCTTTGGGTGAACAAGATCATCCGGAACGCTCTGGAGGAGCCCCTGGGCCTTGAACACCTTGCTCTTGCTTGTCGGCCCACGAGCTGTCGTAGCCGTGAAACTGGAATAGACTGATCCTGGGGTCGCAATTCCGTTGGTACGGAAGTTGCCGGGTCGGGGCGTTGCGGATGTAAAGGACGAAAGCACACCGGAGGACTGAGGCGGGAGCATAGGCGCATTCAGCGAGATGATGTCGTCGGACTCATCGGACAGATCTCCAGCATCGCTTTCAGAGAGCTCAGACTCGAAATTATCGGTAGATTCCTCGTCTGGCGGAGAGGCATTGCGCGAGTTGTCTTCTGCTGCGGAGTAGAAGGTATCGTTGGACGTATCGTCGGTTTCGTCGTCGTCGCCGAATCCATTGGTAGTCGCAGGCTGCTTAACGGGTGGGAGGAGGACAGCTTGCTTGGAGCTGCTGCGATGCGATTGGAGTATGACGATTCTCGTGCTCGGTAGCAGGAGACCTTGCGACACAGGTTCCGAGGCGCTGATCTTGGCTGGCGGAGGTGGGACGTGGGTGATGGGATGAGCGGGTAGCTTCAGAGGAAGCAAATCGCCAGTGTGGAGGACGGTGGGTAGTTGTAGGGCTTCGCGTACGGCCTGTCGCCAAACCTCCTCTTGCGTCGCGAGGTCGACGGCCTTGCCCATTGTCCCGTTGGCTTCCAGACGGCTCTTGGAGGCTCGCGATGCACCATTCATCTGGGTAATGAAGCCCCCGCCGAATTTTGCATGCACCTCGTCCAGCTTCCGCAGCGCTTCCGTGTCCAGATTGACATAGACGGTATCTAGCCCGACGGGTACAACATCGTATATGCGCACCTCGATGGGTGTGTCTCGCCTCTGCGTCTTGTTTGGGGCGATGTTCTGGAGGAGGTGCGAAAACGACTGGAGGGCGAGGGACGACGCTGGGATCTGGAGAGACGAATGCGGACGCGCTGTGCCATTCTCCGTCTTGTCGGCTGGTCGCACGGGCAGGATGGTCCAGGGGGTATTCTGGGAAGCGACGATGGAGCTCGGTAGCCAGGGGGTTATGGCGACGTGTTGAACGCGATGCGAGTCTGGCGTGTCTCCGTTCGTTGCTGCTCTTGTCAGCGACTTCCCTCGCACACTCATTACCAACTCTGCTCTTCACATACCCGCGCTCCTGCTTCTGGATCCAGGAAACAGGTCGTTGAACAAGTCCTCCGACAGCACTCCGACCTCGCCCTTGATGCGGTCGTCGAGCAGTAATCGCGCCGGGATAGGAGGGCGGTCAAGACGTCTCCTCCGTCGCTTCTTGTGTGCATGAACGACTCCATTCTGCGCGTCCATGATGGATTACTGGAGAGTGTCTGCCTCAATGGACAGTGTTGTGAGCATTGGCGGCTCTCTGTTTGTTGCATGCCATGAGCCCGACCATCAGATAGTAGTAGAGCCGCATTGCCTCGGCAGAGCTAGTCCGCTCGGAATGCATGGGTACGTGCGACGAGCCCCCGCGTCTACTGAACTGATTGGGGACAGTAATCCAACAGGCACGCCATTCGCTCTTGCAGTGACTCCTGATAATTCGACACCGGAGTCAAGTCCGCAGTCTCTTCACATGTCAAATCAGTGCGAACGCCATGCAAACCATAGCCACACAACAGTAAACCCTGCTTCCATCTCCCGCTACGAAATTTCCAAACGCGGTAGTTGACATGCATCCCGTCTGGAGATCGCTTGTTGATTTGCCGCGTCCTTCTTCAACCCTGACGTAATGTTATCTCCAACCAAGGCGCGAGCAGCCACCGCGTCAAAAATGTCAATTCACAAAAAAGCCGCAACATGTCTTTCACGTCTTTCAACCTCACCCTTGTGCCTCACGACCCTTTCTGCGCGTTCCGACGATCGCAACCATCCACCTGGGAACACGCCACTGGGAACATAACACTGGGAAGCGTCTGAGCTGCCGAACAGCCGTACTTATGCTCCGCGGAACCCTGGATTCTCCACATCACCGTTGTCGAACCGCACGACTTTACCTAAACCAACATGCCGAGTGCCGCTGTCACATCCGTCAAACACCGTATTGAAGAGCAGTTCAACCACGACGAACAGAAGAACAAATCCAAGACACAAGCCGCAGTAGATTTCGCACACCAGGCCGAGCGTCTCGGACAATACACACCAGACCAAGAAGATGAGAACACAGGCTCTACACAGGCGGTTCAAGCACGCTTCATAACGCCCCAAGACCCCGTTGTCGAAACCGCAAACGGCCATCGCTTACCTGCCGTTCCGCTTGAAGAAGCGACAAAGCTGAACCAGCTGCGAGATAGTATTGACGACCGTGATCCGGCGCAAAAAGAACCGTTGGAACCGCGACTGAGAGAAGCGAAAGATGGGACGGTACATGGTTTGCTTCCAAAAGAAGCAGAGATGGATGGTGAGGGCAAATCTGATGTTCCACTGGGAGATTCCAAAGCACCATGGAAGACGAATCCTCTTTTCCCGCCTCTTCCCATGTACGGACCGCCTACGCTCATGAGGCAATGTCAATGCTGGTTCTTTCGATTCTCATCGGGTATCTTGTCATTTTTATTTCTGCTCGTCATTGTCTTGGGCGCTGGCTTTACGTCACTCCCGGGTATGTGCAAACACCTATTCCTCCTCCTGACATTTCGAGATCCGGAGAAACGGCGCCCCTTCCACGAAGAAGAAACCAAACGAAAGCGCGCACGTCGCGAAGCAGAAAGAGCATGGAAGAAACACGACACCACACCGTCAGCCAAGAAACTGGAGTCTGGGGAAGACAGCAGCCCAATCGATGACTTCTCACCCTTAGAAGGCGGTCCTGATCCTTTGGTCTGCGACGTCCGCCACTACGCCCGCCGCGTAGGTCTAGACTGCGAGATCTTCAACGTCCAAACCGAAGACGGCTTCATCATCGAACTCTGGCACCTCTACAACCCGCGCGAGTACTCACGTACAGACGCTTCTGCGCGCTCTCCCCATTCCCCCGAGCTCTTTCCCCAAGATAGCACGCACGTCACCGGCTCGCAATACTCGGATGGCGAAAAAAAGTATCCGGTGCTTATGATACACGGCCTCTTGCAATCGGCCGGCGCTTACTGCACCAATGATGACGACAGTCTAGCTTTCTTCCTCGCAAAGTCTGGTTACGACGTTTGGCTCGGCAACAACCGATGTGGGTTCAAGCCGCGACACTGCACATTGCAATACGGAGATCCACGCATGTGGGCGTGGAACATTCGTCAGATGGGCGTCATGGACCTTCCCGCACTCATCTCTCGCGTTCTATCAGAGACTGGGTTTGAGAAGTTGGGACTCGTGGCCCATAGTCAGGGAACTACACAGACGCTGGTCGCGTTGGCCAAGGAACAACGACCCGAGATTGGGGAAAAGATTAGTGTCTTCTGCGGGCTGGCGCCTGCGGCCTATGCGGGGAAGCTGATAGGGAAAGCGCAGTTCAAGTTCATGCAGGTTATTAGTCCAAATATGTTTCGGACTGTTTTTGGGATTCACGCTTTCATTCCTTTTATGATGATTATGCATAGTCTCTTGCCAGGGAGGTTCTATGGGTCCATGGGATACCGCGTCTTTGCCTTTTTGTTCAACTGGACAGACGACCGATGGGAGCGTGATTTGCGGAACCGCATGTTTCAATTCGCGCCGGTTTATGTTAGTGCGGAGAGTATGAGGTGGTGGCTAGGAAGAGAGTGCTTTGCACGGCAAAAATGTATTTTGGCTACGAGAGAGGAGAAGATTATGGAGGATAGGGAGGATGAGGAGATGGAACACGAGCAGGAGGTCCAAACTCACAACCAGTCTCACGACTTGGATGACGAGAGGGAGGACAAGGGTGAGAGAAAAGAGGCAGAACGGTACGCGTGGTACGGTCCACAGACTCCCCCTTTTGCACTCTGGGTCTGTGGTTCCGACGATTTAGTCGACGGCCGTCGCCTACTTCGTCGCTTTGAGCGTGGAAGAGAACCATACGTTGATGTCGTACACTCCAAGGTCATCGAAGGCTACGAGCATCTCGATGTCATTTGGGCCATGGATGCGGTTGAGAAGGTGGGCAAGGAGGTTAGAGAGACGATTTGGAAGACGGCGGATCAAGAGGCACGCAAGATTTGCAGAACACCAAAGGGGTGCGAGGATATCAGAGAATTTTACAACAAAGGGGGGAAGAAGGAGAGCAGGACGAGGGAGGTGGATGCGAGTGCAGGGGAGTGGAGTGAGAAGGGGAAGGAGGCTGTGGTCGATGGGCCTGGAGAGTAATGCTGTTGTGAGTGATAGAGTACACATAGACGGCGCTTTTGGTTTCCTTTAGCACATGATATCCCCCGTCCTTCCAAAGGAGGCAGTTTAGACTAGGAATGGACATGGTTCGCAACATCAGCTAACTTGGCGCACAAGGTTTGTGCATACGCTGTTAGGATCGTCAGCTTGCACTTGATAGTTCACTGACTCTCCACACCGCAAATCCTGGCCACCAATACCGTCCGAGGCACAGCAAGTACACGAGCTTCCAGTGCTGTCTTCGCCATCACACCGCAAGGGACGGATCCCTGAAAAACGAGCGGTCTTCCCGCTGTGCCGCATGGCCGCCACGGTTGATATGATTGAAAGCGGCAAGGCGTGTCTAGTTGGTCGCGGACTGGTCGCGTACATAAACAAACCGTGCGCCAGACCCCTGCAGCGACCCCACCAAGCTAGACCAACGCGGCGCTCCTCACCGCTTGAACCCAGAACACTTCTGCCTCCAGCGTCGACGCCAGGAACTTGAAGTCTCCTTCGACAGTCGTCTGTTTGACACAGCAATACATCCACCATGCGAGGAGAGGTATGTCACGTTCGAACAGCTTCTTTTGGGGCTTCAATTGCTCGTAGGGCAGTGGGGGACCCCCGCCTCTTGCGCCGACATGCATCAGATGGAGCTGTATACACGGCGCACATTGCTAACACCAAGCTCTACAGATCTGCCACCTTCACATCGGCCAAGCTGGTACCCAGCTGGGTAACAGCGCCTGGGAGCTGTACGTTGTCGCGAAACCGCATGCGCCCAAAGCCTTGTTGACACTGTAACGCCAGGTACCTCCTCGAGCACGGTCTGCTCCCCGATGGTCGTCCCAACCCCGATGCGAAGGAGCTTGGTGAGGGCGGTTCCTACGAGACCTTCTTCACCGAGACTGGCAGCGGCAAATACGTCCCCCGTTCCATCTTCGTCGACTTGGACCCTTCGCCAATCGACGAAATCCGAACCGGCGCCTACCGCCAATTGTTCCACCCTGAGCTGTTGATCAGCGGCAAGGAGGACGCTGCCAACAACTGTGCGTGTCAGGAAGCTATTGAGAGACACGGAGATACTGACGAGGATAGATGCTCGTGGCCACTACACCATCGGCAAGGAGATGGTCGACAGCGTCATTGAGAAGATCCGTCGCGTTGCTGGTGAGTCGGATGCTCGACTCCAACACGATGCGCCTGCTAACACGCGCACACAGACAACTGCTCCTCGCTCCAAGGTTTCCTCATCTTCCACTCTTTCGGTGGCGGTACCGGTTCCGGTTTCGGCGCGCTTCTCCTCGAGCGCCTCAGCACCGACTACGGCAAGAAGTGCAAGCTCGAATTCGCCGTCTACCCAGCTCCCCGCGTCTCCACCTCGGTCGTCGAGCCCTACAACGCCGTTCTGTCGACACACAGCACCATCGAGAACTCCGACTGCACCTTCCTCGTTGACAACGAAGCTGTCTACGACATCTGTAGACGCAGCTTGGACATTCCCCGTCCCAACTACGAGCATCTCAACCGCCTCATCGCCCAGGTTGTTAGCTCCATCACCTCGTCTCTGCGCTTCGATGGTGCGCTCAATGTCGATTTGAACGAGTTCCAGACCAACCTTGTGCCGTACCCGCGTATCCACTACCCGCTCATTAGTTACGCGCCTGTCATCTCGGCCAAGAAGAGCTCCCACGAGAGCTTCAAGGTCTCTGACCTTACCTTCCAATGTACGTTGAGACGCCATGTCAGTCCGTCCGGTGCATGTCTTGCTAACTTGACCAGGCTTCGAGCCCAACAACCAAATGGTTGTCTGTGACCCTCGCAACGGAAAGTACATGGCCGTTGCGCTCCTCTACCGTGGTGACATTGTCCCCCGCGACTGCTCCGCTGCCGCTGGTGCGCTCAAGGCCAAGTCGTCCTTCAACTTGGTCGAATGGTGCCCCACTGGTTTCAAGCTCGGAATCAACTACACCAAGTACGTGTCTCCCCTTTTCCCCATTTCCTTCTCTTCATTACCCCATTTTCTAACACTTTTCCAGGCCCATCTCTGTTCCCGGCTCCGAGCTCTCCTCGGTCGACCGTTCCGTGGCCATGTTGTCCAACACTACTGCCATCGCCGAAGCCTGGTCCCGCCTCGACCACAAGTTTGATCTCATGTACAGCAAGCGTGCGTTTGTGCATTGGTATGTTGGTGAGGGTATGGAGGAGGGTGAATTTAGCGAGGCGAGAGAAGATCTTGCAGCGCTTGAGAAAGATTACGAAGAAGTGGCTTCTGATTCGCTTGACGATGAGGTTGAGGAGGGTGAGTACTAAACTCGTTTGTTTTTTTATATTCAAAGGGAGAAGTGTGGTTAGCTGAGGGAGACAAGACATTTGGGCGATTGTTGCTGAAGCTTACGAATGATGTAAGCGGTGGGACAAGTTTCCCGCTGGAATGGCATACTTTACCTCTTACGGCATCTTGTGTTGAATTGATGTTTCTGTTGTTGTTGTTGTCGTCGTCGTTGTCGTGTTCGACTCACGTGCACGATATACAAGGCAGGATATGAACGGGTGTAGAAGTAACGAGCCCTACGTTATCGCCTACGTTGGCTTCTGCTAAGAGAGCTTGTAGAGATTTATGATATTCTAGATTTCTATTCATGTCTACACAGTATATTTCATGATGAAGGATTATGCAACCAGTCTATTGGAGTTTTTCGTCTCCCGACGAATATTGCGCTGAAGGAGAGATTATGTACAAATCAAAGGGGGAGAGAAGCCCGGCGCACTGCCCTTGGCTGTCTGCAGACTAAATCTAAAAAGTGTTCGCTCTACGCGTCGAAGAAAAATGGACAAACAAGACGACAAAGAAAAAACACTAGGACACTTTTGTCGTTCCATGAACCTATCCCACCACTACTAGGCTTTCCACTTCCACGAGGAGAGAGAATGATCACTCTCAAAGGAACAGAAGAAGAGGAAAACAAGTTCACCACTCTAGTGAAACCTCCTCATCTCAATCCCATCAGTCCGCGATCGTTGCGGATGACCAAACGTCCTCTCACTATCCGCCGTACTAGGCAGCGCACCCGTACTCCTTGGCATATCCGCACTAGCATTGCGCATTGGAATCTCCTCTTCCGTCGTTGCTCGACTATGCACGGCCCTGGGGCTAATCACACCGGTCCTAGGATCCAGCGTATTCTTGCGTTTGGGAGGGGTATCGTAGTCGCTGTTTGCTTCTGGGATATCGGCCATGGCGGCCTCCTCGTCTGCGCCACCATGGCTGTGGCGGGAGCGGCTGAAGAAGCGATTCCGGTGCGTGCGTTCCTTGAGGACGGACGAGGCGTTTGTGCCGACGCGCTGGAGACCCGTGGAGCGCGCAGAGGCGCTCGTGTCTTCGGAGGCGCGCACGCGGTCGCGGTCTTGGCTGCGTGAGGGAGATGTGACGCGGACGACAGTGGCGCGGGCGCGCGATTCGGCTTCGCGGTCGTCGAGCACGTCGCCCGATGGGTCGTCGAGGCCCATGCTCTTCATTCCCAGCGAGAAGTCGACGCGCTTGTTCATGGCCGATAGCGTTTCTGCTACGCCCGGCTTGCGCAGGATGGAACCTGAGCGCGTGCGCCCGGTTGCGGGTCCAGCCGTCGTACCGCCAGGTGATGCAACGCCTTCTGCAGGCGCGACAAAAGGTTGGTCTTGGGGTTCGTTGCGGATGTTGCCGTTGGGCTGGTCGGGCGTGCCGTTGATACCAACACCAGGTGTAGCCGGGTTCTGCAGGTTCTGGAGGTAAACGGGGAAGCTCTCCTTTTGGCCTGGGTAGCGCATGCGCGGGCCCTCGATGCCGCATTCCTGGATGGCCATGGTGAGGGCGCAGATGAATTTGTTGCGGCGCTGGAGACGGAGGAGTTCGTTTTGCCAGTTGGATTTGTAGAAGAAGACGACGTTGAGCTCGAGCCAGTGGACTTCCTGGACGGCGCGGAGTTCGGTGAGGATGTTGGTTTGGTATTCGCGCTTCTCCTCGGTGACGAATTCGAGGAGGACGTTGCGGAGTTGTTCGATTTGCTGGAGCGTTGTGCCGAACTTGATGATGATGGGGACGGCTTCGGCGAGGGCTCCCGATCGACGATGGTTGAGGATGAAGAGCGTGTTGAGGTAGCTGTTGGGCGCTTGGACAATGTGGCCTTGCATCTTCTTGAATTCCGTGTAGAAGAGGGCAATCTCCTTGACGAAGTAGTCGTCGCCGCGGCCTAGATCTCCCGTGTTACCGTAGACTGTGACACGGTCACCGACATCGTAGGGGTGCTTGACGAAGACGAAGATGCAAGACTGGAGGAACTCCTGAGCGGTTGCGGAGAAGAGCCACGACAGAGCGAGAAGGGTCGAACCAGCGGACGTAAGCACACCAGCGGCGGACGTCGAGATGAGCGAGATGAACACGATGATTGTGATGATGAGCACAATGAACATGAAGACATCGTCGAGCTTGGAGACGACGCTATCAAGATCTTTCAGGGATGCGGTGATGGACTTGCGTTCACGACCAATTTCGACACAGACAGCCTCGAGTTCTTCCATGGAAATGTCGCCGTTCATGTCCTTGTCGAACATGGAGAATGCAGCAGTGGCTTCGTCGTCGCTGTCGAAAGCATTGTTGAGATCCTCGGCATGGACAGTCTCTGTCTCAGGTCGCGCAAAAGTTCGGTAGAGTCGGCGGGCTAGGACCTGGGCACCACTGGTTGTACCAATAAGTTGCAGAACAACCTGGTGAGGATGGCCGCTGCCGGTCACCGTGCGACCCGTGAAATCCCCAGCAACCTTTCCGGCAACATCTCCAAACTTGTTGAAACCGACTTTAATGTTCTTTTGTGCCTCTGTGAGGATCTGACCGGGAGTGCGAGCGCCAGACGGAGCGTGGTCTTCGTTTTGTTCAAACTCTGAATCTTCCATGGCGATCTTCTCTTTGGAGAACCGGTACAGCTTGGCCAAACTTCCAATCTGGAACTTGTTCAGCTCGATCCTATCTTGGTAAGTTCGGAGATGGAAGCTGATGGCGATGAGCTGGATGATGATCTTCTCGATAAAGTTGAGGACGAAACCAACGAACAGAGAGACGAGAACCTTGTTCATAGTCTTTTCCCAGCTTTTAGTGTTCTTGTTACCATTGACGTGATGGTTCGTCATCGTCGGTAGGAAAGATACTTCGATGGCCAACCACCAGAAAAACAAGGTAGCTGGAAGTTCGAGCTGCTTGCCCATGTCTCTCCATTTCTTGCTGTTGTTGGTGAAAAGACTAGAGACGAGACCGATAGGCCATGGAAGGAGTTTAGCAAGTACCTGCAATAGATGTTAGTGCTAGTAAATGCGAAAGGCGAAAGATACTCACTCGTCCAGCCCAAAGCGTTAGCCATATGATCATTAGCCAGATGGAAAACCAAAGAAGCTCAACACCCCCAACACTAGCATTGGGAAAGGCAAATATCGCGACCAATATTGGAATGAGGATCAGAAGAACCATGGGAGTAATGTACGTAAAGTACCTCACAAGCCACGATGAATTGTGAATCTTCTTGAAGAACTTGGAGAAGCTCGTGGTCGGGTTCTCAGGTGGCGTATAGCGAGCCGCCTGCTCGTGCAATGGGTTTGTCGCCGCGTCGAAGTCGTCTACGAGGTCCTCCCTACGGGATCGTACGCGTGATAGAGATGGGTTCATTGACGCATTACGCCTCAGAGCCTCCTTTTCGTCCAGGCCTTGCTCGATAGCCAGCACGGCAAGGTCGTCGTTGAGCCTGCTCGCCTGCTCACGTGTCTGCGAAGGCGATTGTACGCCCTTCATGGCTGGGATGTCGTGTGCGGTTTCGACGGTAAGATGGGTGCCAGATCGCGATCTCATGTGTGTTGGCCGTGCCCCAGTGTCCACGCGCAATGGATGCTGATGTTCGTCCCCCACAACTGTGCCGTCCTCATCGGAAGATCGCTGGTGAGGGTATAGGTTACTATCCATATCGTATGTAGGCTCCGGCCGCTCGATGTTCGGTGTCGTCATGGTGTAGAGGCGCGCTCAGGCCCAAGTTCGACAAAGTGTCCGACCGAAAAGCACTCTGGGGGAGCGATAAGGAAGCGACTGTGTTTGCTTTCGCGGCGAATTTTTTATGGAAGCAAAATCTTATCAATGAAACGATGGTGTACCTTTCGACGCCAGACTAGAAGTCAATGGCATGCGCTCGACCTTCCGGCGGTCCAGGGTCAAACGCGAACTGCTGCAACGGGATGACGTCAAGCTCTGTGCCGAATTTTCCAGACGGTGTTTTAGCGAGTGACGGAGAAAAGCGGCTTGTTCTGCAGTGATTAATTGATAGTAAGATGCGATGGAGAAAGAAGAAAGATAACACAGTGGAATGAACAGCAGCGATGTTAGCAAAGCATGAGGTGGAGCATGCCCGGGGTTAAAGGAGCAGCGCTGGGCCAGGGATTATTTTTGGGGCTCCCGATCTGCGATTCCTCATTTTCGCCTGCCAACCCTTCGTCACTGACTGGCGCGAAAGGAAAAATGGGTCGTGGACGCGACGGTGGACGAGTTGTGGCCATGGCAAACACACCGGGTGGGCCTCGTCGCTTTGTCTAGAATCTCTGTTGGGATCGATTTTGGTACAGAAAGCTGTAAGGATACGCGTCCGCAACCAACCATAGCCATCGCGCATACCGCAATAAGCCCGTTATTGGCCTTCAACAATGGTGCCGGGTACCTATCTTGGTCGCGATGCCGATGACAGTCGTGTCGCATACACCGTTAGGGTTCTGCCAACAGTTTCTCAAGCGACAGCCACCGACGTCACCCAGCATTGCAATGCAGGTCCCGGACACTTCTCTTGTCGGTCCCTCAAAACTCTGCAGACTGTGTCTATTTTGAGCATGTGCAGTCCTCGGAGGTCGCGCGATACACAGGCAAAAAGTTAATCAACAGCTGCTGCTCGGTCGCCCAGTCGGTCGCATCGACTTGGGGATTACTCGACCGTTGTTTCTTTATCTTTCACGTGTCAAGGGATCCCAAGGTGCTTATCCTTAATTTCAGGGTCATTGCCGTTATCGCGGAAGGCTGTTTCGCAAAACGCCCGTGGCGTGCGACAAAAGCTTGAGCGTGCCGATCCTAATGCCGCCCCTGCATAACCAAGGCCTTCCTTGGAATCGTCGTGGGGGTCGGGATCGATGCACAACACCATCAAGAGGGATCTCGACTCCCAAGTCCGGACCCGCTGTATCGCATTGTCTCCATCTTTCTCCCCAGATGTGATCCGGCGATGTGCGCAGGATGAGTGTCCCTGTGCGAAGTCAGTTCCAGACACCGGATAAGGCGGCAACTTTCTCAATGCTTGTCGTGACACCAACCCAACGACTTGTCGAGCGGGATACTCTCCACATGTTATCCATATTGACGATTCATGATTTAGGCAGACGACGTGTCCTCGCAGGACAGATTCTAAGCGATACGTTCTCAGAACTTGTGGTGGAGGAAGCTTGCTCGGCTTCCACATAACCCGATTCCGTTGGTACCAAAGGTGGTGGGTCGCTCTCTATGCAATATGTCATAACTCGTATCCTACGAAAAAGCGTCTTTAACACTTACTGTGATGTAACTTGTCGTTAAAACCCTACTCCTAGTGCGGAGGGTCGGAGTAAACCTACATTCGTCCGAAGCCTAGCGCTATGGATGTGACGAAAGATTGTTGGCTTCAGTACGCTGAAGATTAGTAACCGAACGGCACGACCTTACAACAATACTCGAACAACGTCATTTACTACTCAAGTACGGCGGTGTAGATCAAAATCATTATTCGAGCACAATCCGTGACAGACCCTAACGACCCGGGACGGCGCGCAGAGAGACATCGAATATCCTTGGAGCGTTGGAACATTGATCAACACGATTCTACGCCATGTCAAGCAGCTTTACCTGATATTGCTTGGGACTACAGATTACTCGTTTAGGCAATAGCAGGAGTCTGTGGATTGTAGCACCTTGTACGTGAAAAGCAAAGCCCCTTGCAGTAGTTGACTAGTGCTGAGGTGAAGCTGCTAAAAGGAAGCGTTCCACCAGATTCTGCCGTGATCGATAGGTGAGGATTGTTGCCTGTCCGAGTATGCATTCCTCAATTTAGTCCGTCACGGATGATTGCTCGCATAGGGAGTATTGCAATCGGTGTGAGCCCTAGAAGATTGATGTGAAAAGGAACTGGAGGGCCTACTACGTGAAATAATGTTGGACGACCGAAGGTGACCTCGGGAGCCAGTATGTGCACGCAGTATTACCATTAGGAGAAACACTGAAATCAGGGCTTCAAACTCGAAGTTTCTCGATTGAGAAACGCTGCAAGTACACTGTAGCATTATCGCTACAGCTCTCGCGAAGAATGTAAACGAAGATGTCTCTTCACCTGAATGCCAGGGCAATCGACAGATCCTCAAACCTTCCCAATTGGGAAGGAGGGGCAACAACACTCTGTTTAGTGCGCACGCCGTCCCACAAACAATCAACATTGCAAGCTCAGCGAGTGCATTTTGCCTACATTTATACAAGTCTTAGTTCGTTCATTCTCTGCAATTCCTTCATCGCTCAATACAAGTGAGTCCATTCTTATCGCCAAGCCTGCTCCACGAGTTCCTTCACGCCTCGTGCCTTCATATCCCCCTGTCCAGGAATCGCATCGAAATCAAAGAACCCCTTGGCGAATAGTATGCCAAACGTGGCTATGAAGGGCTGGAGCATCTGTTTTGGAAAGAAAGGATAAAGGTCCTTATGTCCAGGTAACTCGGTTACTTGGTACTTTTGCAAGTTCTCCAACGGATCAAACTGTACATCGAACTTGACGCCTTTGACTTCTTCAGCTATAGCCACGAATTCTTTCCATGTCAGCTTCTCGCCAACGATATAGGATTCTGGTTGCCAGCTGGGGAGGTCGAGCAGACTAGCAGCAAAACGCGCAACATCCGTAGTGTGCGTGAAAGCGACAGGCACGTCGCCAGATCCAGGAATTGCTGCAGCGTTGTTGGCCATATCAATGACGACAGGGAATGGGCCCATGTGTGACGAAACCTTGGGTATAACGTAGTAGTCAAGAAAAAAGCCGTTGACCACACAGGTGTACTCGAGAGACGAAGCCTCGAGAGCTGTCATCGCAGCGAGCTTAGTTTCGGCTACCGGAAAAATCGCTTTCACTCTGTACTACAATGAGCAGTCTGTTCGTCGATCATTCAAAAGAAAGACTTACTCAGGCGTATATCGAATTCCCCAGAAACTTGGGATGTATCGCTTCGTGCTGGTGGACAGATCCGCGGCTCTGATCAATGCTATCTCTGGATCCGCTCCAGCCATAGTGTCCAAAGTCGAGATGACCGTACCGACATCATTGGACTGTAGGACATCTCTGATAGCCTCCACGTTGCTGTAGTCAAGCCCAAGTACAGGTACGCCGAGCTCTTTGGCTTTGGATTCGCTACCCTAAAGATCCATGTCAGCGAAATACATAGCACGCGATACAACTACGAACCAGTCGAGCGAGGACGACGACATGATGCTTTCCCTGTTCAAGGATGGCTTCGACTATAGTACGGCCGAGCTTTCCGGTTCCTCCTGCGACAGCAATGACAGACATCTCTACGGTTGGCTAGTTGTTGTTGGAAGATGGTGCGTGGTATAATCGATCAGTACTGATGTGCTCTTTGATGTGGCTCAGTATAGCACCCGGCGACTCTTTTTATACTGCGCAAGATCATAAACACACTTGGCAGGCGGCTTCGGAACCTCATTACATCCTGAATGACCAAGCATACCTAGGTACTCACGGCCTTTGTAAGCAAATTGTAAGTAGTCGTTGCTCTTAGCAAAAAATGCATCCGTCTTCTGTATACGAAGGAAAATACATCCGGCCTTACTAATACGTCTGTGCGCGGTAGTCTTCGGATGCAATTTGTATCCGTAGGCAATGTCACATGTCGACAGCCTCCTCAGACGTGATCTCACATGCGTCTTGAGGCCGAAGTGACTTAGGAGTGTTGTGGGAACAAAGAAGGCCCCGAGTGTATCTACCCTGAGACGGACTAATGTTCTAGTGAGATGCGCTCCAAAACGTGATCGAGAGACGACCCCGATCACGTGCTTATGCTTTGTAAGCCCAAACTTACCAAACCACAAGATCATGTGCTCTCAGCCCGATCTTCTCAATCATTTCACAAGTGCAAAGCAGTGGGAACCTTCACAACCATGCTCTGTCGTAAACGAATTATAAACGTAAGTATTCTTCAACTCAATAAGAGAACCTTGGAAGTTAACGAGATCGTTCACCTACATCAGGCATGCCAGCAGTGCAAGGAGAGAAAAGGACGCTGCGACGGTGGTCAACCTTGCTGTAATTACTGCTTCAAGTATGAGAAACACTGTATCTATACGGTACGGCGGCGACGGGGCCCTGGGAAGAGGTAAAAGGGAATGGGAGTTGTACAAGCGGATGAGTCGCTTATCTTGTGCAGGAAAGAATCAACCAAGCCCCTCGTACAGCAGCATGACCAGGGTAGATACTCTTCGGAATTAGAACCTGGACGTACTGTTGAGAGCGAACAATCAAGAGGTCACGAAGAGGTGCGGGACGACACGGCAACTCAGGACTTCAGGGAAGGTAAATCCACAGAAGAAAATCTGGATCAAACTGTATATGACTGACCATGCTGCTCAAAGGCCAAGCCATTCCAAGATGCAATAGCACGGATAAATCAACCCAGAGTCCTTGCAGTAACAGTGAAACAGAAAGGATATTGCCTACAGCCGTCAAGCAATTTATAGCGTTTTCTGAAGATATCCGCACGACATCAAGACAGATGCAAGCTCGCATACAGGCGAATCAGAGCTGCTTTGAGAGGAGGACATTTACATCCCTTCCTCCTGAAAATCATGCAATGGAGTTGATAAGGCCAGTCATTGAGGAGGTTCAGCTTCACGGGGTGTTCCTTACGACGGGAGATGTCCTGAAACAACTCATCGAACAGTACCGTGCCGGCGTGGACGAGTGTTCCAATGATCCAAGTCGATGGGCTACGCTTTGTTCGTTCCTGGCTATGTCTGCACATCACAGGACAGCCAGTGGGTCCGTCGTTGGAATGTCCTCAATAGCATGGGCATTCTTCAAGAACGCGTTTGCGATGTACGTCGAGCTCGCAATTGTTCAAAGGCCTCAGATCTCCACCTGCGAGACGTTGCTCGCAATGGCTATGTTCATGCTGCGCACTGCTGATGCCTGCGTCGCTGCACGGCTGACAGCTACTGTCGTCCAGTCGGTGTACATGCTTAGTCTGCACAAGTATGACCATTATATCGATCTGGAGCCCAATCTAGCAGAAAGACAAAAAACGATCTTCTGGGTAACATATGTTGTTAATGCTGATCTAGCACACAGGTATGGTACACCCTCATCGCTAGACGTAGATGATTTCGACATTGCATTTCCTGGACACGTATATCATCATGATTCAGACCATGTGGATCACATAGAAGATCTCATACAGACTGAGCAGACCATTTATCTCCGACGACGAGTTGTCCTTGCTGTGACGCAGTTGCGGATTCACAAACTACTTCAACAAGCGCTCTCCAGGAATGCCCAGCGGAAGCTTTCTGATATTGAAGATGCCATTACAGCAATTGACAAAGAACTTCAAGCATGGAAAAACTCTTTACCGATCAGTATCCAGCCAGGCTTTCGATCACACGAATCGCCGCTCCTCGAAATGCCTATCGCTATGCTACATTACATCTATTTTAACTGTATAAGCAAAGTCAGCATGGTAGTAGTACTGTTAGCCCGTCCGGTGGTATCTAATCCCTTTTCCGACGAACAACCAGCTGCTGAATTGAATACATGTCCTTCCAGTAGTCAGCTAGCTAGAGCCGCCTGTGTGATAGCAGCCCGGGAGATACTTCGCGTACAGCTCCGCTTGCAATGGCAGCCATTGACACATCTCTGGTATGTGTTCTTTAGAATTCGCTAAATGACAATCTCATGTTCAGTGGCTAATGGCGTCGAGGCAAACACTATGCTTCCCACTCTCCGCAGTTCTGAGCTTATTATCAGAAGTACTTGCACATCCAGCGTCAGTTCAAGCGCGGTATGATGCTCAGCTCATTCACGACTTCGTCCAATATCTTGAGCGGCTCCACAATGAAGGAAGTGATGTGCGTGATCTACTTGATGGCTGTAAGATTTTCTATAGTATTGCAACGAGAGCCGGCGAACAGACAAATACCTTCGAACAAACAGCAGAAGTAAGCGACTCATCTATCCCCATGCAAAAGCAACGGCGATAAGCTGACTAGCTTCAAGATTCAATTACTACGATCGAGATTTGCGCAAGTCACAGACTGGTTGCAGCTCGCGCAGGGACTGCTAAGCAACATGCCCGCACCCCACAATCAGGCACGCGAAATCTTTTCGGATATTCTTGGACCCGCTACATCGGATGAGACGTACGGAGCTTTTGTCCCAGCGTTTATGAAGTCGTCCACACACAACTTCTCATTCGGCGTTTGAGCCAGGCCACATTGACTAAATATAACCGATCCTTGCACTCTTCCTGGTGGCATCTGTACAGAAAATACCTATGTTAATGCGGGTGAACATGTGAACCATGTGTTGTTAAGTCATTTGCCTTGAACAACTCGATCGTATGCATATACTCGCGTCTTTGCGAACTCATCCGTGCTCCAGCTTGAGGACCTTCGCTTCGGTATCTTTCCGGCTATGAGGTTTAAGTTGGTTGAGGGCACATATCTGCCAAGGACAGCTCGTGCGTTAAATTTGGGCCCATCCCTTCTTAGCCAGCTCGGTGGGCATCTAAATCCGCTACAGCCAGAACACTAAGGTCTCCAGCGACTCCCCATCAATGCGATCGCAGTGCTCGATGGGCAGCTGAGATTTCCTGTCCCTGCATCAGATGCAACATACAACATGCAAGACATGAGCGCCGATCCAAAGCTCTTCCGCGGAGCCTGCCTCCGCCATCGTAGCTTACTGATGCTACTCTTGAAACAAGCCTATAGTATGATATAGGTATCTGGTCGATCAGAAGACACTGGTCGACCATGCCTATCTCGCAGTAAGACAGCACAAGTTACGAGAGTTGCGACTAAGTTTCGGGGTGTTCTGCATAAGCGAAGTGTGATGTAGTTGCATGCTATGCCAAGAAGCGGGATATCGCTGTTGAGTGGGTGCGGCTGAGACTGAGCACGTCACCATCACAGCTGAATAGACAAAGCCTATATGGGGAGAGTCCTTCAATCAACCTACTACCAAGCCAGGCACGCTGGTTTATACAAAGAAGCAGAAATCACGACTCACATAACGAGCGATTGTGGCTATGTCATCTGCTAATGACCCCAATCAAGCCGAGGCGACTCGCAATGTGCATAGCGGCACGGATTATGCCGCGTGAGGCTGCCTCAATTCTTCTTGTGATTCGCTTATATTGACAGCCCTAGGCTATCAGACGAAGCACAAGTCATCAAAGAAATCGTCCCTATCACCCCGGAAGGCCCTTTGTCAGGCAATATCTACATCCATAAATCACGCCGGGGACGTAGTATCATGAATCTAAGGTTATGGGTACGGAACAAAGATCACACAATGATCAATCAGGAAAACAGCTTACTCTCGAATGGCTTATGCCAGAGGTGCGATGAGATAGCCAGCAACGATCTCGAACGGCTTAGGTCCTTGAGATTGGACAGTTCGCAAACTATAGTTATCAGGCTTGCAAAAGCCGATACGAGATGCCAAAGCTGCAGGTTCTTTGCTCGTTGCAAATTTACAAGATACGGCGAGCACCAGATGAGAGATTCCTTTCTTGTCGGCCTGGCAGCAGTGAATCTTGATATACGTCCAGTCCAGGGTCGGCTCTGCATCTTCACCGACTATCCTTCATTGTATATCTCTCGCCACGAGCATCCTGACCAATTTTCCGGTCAGCACCTCATGTTCCCAATGGATACTGTTACTTTGTGTTCCCAGAATGAAATTAGACACCTGCCCTTCGGACACGATGAGTACGAAAGCATCTCACAGTGGCTGAGAACTTGCCTGACCGATCACTCGAAAGAATGTCCACAAACCCCAGTACGAAATACACTTACAGTGTATTGCATCGATTGCCATGATGAAAGAGTCGTTCCGATACCTCACGCCGCTAAGTACGTTGCGCTTAGCTACGTCTGGGGTGACACAACGGCACCAGATGATGATGAGACCTTGTCCGATGCCCCTCCCATTATCAAGGACGCAATGATAGCTACATTACGATTGCGTTTCCGCTACCTGTGGGTTGATAGGTATTGTATCAACCAGCACGATTCAGCGCAGAAGCACCAGCAAATTGCCAATATGGGCAATATCTACGCTGGGGCCACCTTGACATTCATCGCTGCAGGAGACACAGATCACGCAGCTGGGCTGCCGGGAGTCTCTTCTTGTCGGTGCGATTCAGGTGTAGACTTACAGCTGGGGCCATACTCTTTCTTGCGCTTCTTCGGCAATCCAGAGGCCGAGATCGGGGGCTCTAAGTGGGCTACCAGAGGTTGGACATACCAAGAGGCTGTTATGTCCCCTCGAAAACTGGTTTTCACGTCGAATGGGTTCTATACTCAGTGCAGTATACAGCATTCGTTCGGAAACAGTCATCCCATCAATGGACACTCTGTTATCTCGAGCAGAAAAAACAGATTGGTTTGGAAGCGCTCTGGCATGCCAGGACCAAACATTGCAACGACAGTAGTCTTTCCGGGTACCTACACCGATCATCAACTCCTTTTTCAGAAACCTGTTCTTGACGAGTTCTTCAACCACATCTCCGAGTACATACGCAGACACCTCTCTTACGAGTCAGATCGACTTAACGCCATCCAAGGCGTGTTGAATGAGTTCCGATTCAAAGAACAGCCACTGTTCCAAATCTTTGGTGTTCCACTTCATCCGGCTCCCGGATGGACGATAAACCAAACACTTTTTTGGCGTATGTAGAACAACAGTGTGCAGCGACGGACTGACTTTCCTTCATGGTCATGGCTCGGATGGCAGTATATCCACGAGATACCTCGCCAACCATTTGTCCTGTGTGGTCTAGAATATCGGACCACTGACGAACGGTATTTGCGTCCTTTCTATAGCTCCACTCGTTTATGGCTTGATGAGCACTCGGCGAGAATAAGTGTAGAGTTTTTGGGTGGTGGCTTACTAAACCTCACGGAGGCACATCAGTCCAGCATAGCACTTGACACGGCACTGCCTCAAGAAGCTAGGATCATGCCTCATCTTGTGATCCATGGCGTCATTCTCCCTTTTACCCTCGAACGAGACGAAGCGAATGACTGGGTGCATATTAACCCTTCAGATGTGCCATTCCAAAGGATAACGTAGTTTACAAGCGAGCGGGCCATACAAGCGAGTGGGCCACCCCACCAACTTTGTGCACCTCTACAGGCGTATATTTCAACAACGCAATAATATAATACATAAAAATTTATAGAGTAAATTAAGTAGTATCTACAGCTTCCTTTCCGCATATACGTGTGTTATGCCCAGTTCCTCTGCACCTCGTGCAGCGCGCTAGAGCCTAGCGGCTTACGCCTAATTGCTCTCCTCCTTAACGCTGCTTACAAGCAATCTGCTAATTAGCCTTACATTAAGCAAGTAGATCTTCTCTCTCTCTCTTTGTTAGAGTCCCTCGCTTCTGTATACGCTTTTTCTTCTGCTGTTTACGCGCTAAGGCTGCCTTGTTAGCCTTCTTAAGGCTAGTAATCTAATTACACATTAGCTTAGCTAAGAGTATTATTACCTTAGCCCTCTTCTTAAGCTAGTTAATCGCCTTAATAATTAATACTAGTAATAAGCTCTTGTGCTTTTGCACGCGATTATGTATTAACGTTAATTAAGCCTTAAGCTTACGTGCGTTACTTAGCGTACAAGCCTCCTAGGGAGCCTCTGCGAGAGCAGCTAGAGTAGGCGTACAGAGCTGCACGTCTAGCTTTAATAGGACAGCGTCTAGCTAGAAAGGAACAAGGCCTGCGCCGCAGAAAGCTAAGCAGATATTAGCTAGCGTAAACAATTAATTAAACGCTGTCTTAAACACTAGCAGGAATTTAAGCTTAGTAATATAGTTAATCTAATAGCAGATTAGGCTCTTAATCTTACAGCTGTACGCTCGCTTTAACAGCAAGAAGCAGCTAACATTAAGAGGCTAGAGTAGATACAATAAGTAAGGTAGCATGCAAAGCGTGTAGATGTTGTTCTTCTTATAGAGTTCTTAGAACTTAAGAGAGTAGTAGCTCTTATAGCTGTTAAGGACTAGCAGGCAATACGCACTAATAATATAAGTCTTTGTGTAAGCGTTAAAGTGCTTTAGCTACGCTACTCCTAGCTTATTATTTGTCTAGCTATTGTTGCTAACTACAATTACTTAGTTGCGTAGGATATCCTCCTTGTACTAGGCAGACAGGTAATACTAGCTAGCAAAGATAAGGAATAGTAGAATTATCTAGCTAGCTGCGTTAATTACAGCAATTAACGTTACCTACTTACAATTGCCTAGCTAAATAGCCTTTAGTCTGCCTCTTCTCTCTAACTCTATTACAACAAGCTAAGTTATAATTTTGTCTATTATAAAGCTAGCCTTATTAAAGTTATAGACGTTCTTATTACAGATGCTGTACTTAGTCTTTGTCTCCTCTATAAGCTTAAACTAGTTCCTAATTAGAGCTAGATCCTTGCATAGAGCTCGCTGCCTATTATACAGTTAATTAAAACACATTATAAGGCTATCTGTACGCTTAACAAAGTTGCGCGGCTAGTAAACGCTAACCTAGCCAGCGCTGCGCGCAGCGAGCAGCTTATTAGCCATATTACGTACAGCAGCATACGTAGGCGCAAATCCACGTGCGTCTAAGTTAAGTATATGCCTAACAATCACCTCCTCCTCTCTCTAGGTAAGCTTCCTTAAATTAGGCTAGCAATTAGGTTAGGCAGGTACACCAGCGCGCTGGCGCTTAAGCGTTGTTCGAGAGACTTCGTACGTCCGCGCGGCGCCTCTATAAGACTAGATCTAGCCTTAACTAATAGCTAAAATTACTAGTTGTATATTAGCCTTACAGGAAACGTTTTAGGCTTAATTTAGTAGAGCCATAGTCAATGAAAGTGCAAGAGGTGCGCAAAGTTAGTAGGGTGGCCCACTCGCTTGTATGGCCCGCTCGCTTGTAAACTACGTTAAACTGTTTGTTTCCTTTCAAATTCAGGATGTGGTTGGATGTACCAGAAACTCAAGAGCAAGATGCCTTCCGTCAGAATCAAGTTAGAGAACTTGTTTTAGGACGTTTTGATTCCGCCATACGCGTTCTGATACTCAGAGAAAATGGGAATGCTTGGACGAGAATTGGTATCGGGCAATACACCTTGAAAGACTCAGTCGGGTACGAGTACCCTTGGGCTAACGGTACTGATGCATTTGATTACGGTTACTATCAGGCACTCAAGGGATACCAAAAGCGCACCATCCGTCTTACTTAGAAAGTAGTTGCGAGGGCTTCAGATGCCTGGAGCAAGGGTAGAATCAGAAAATTCGCTAACATAGGCGTGTATCATCTTATTACCTTCTTCCGCGAACTCTGATCGTTGGTACTGAATCTAGCTTCTATTAGGGTAGTGATGCGCGGAGGATACATCGCCCGGGCTTACGAAAGTTCACTTTGAGGTACATAAAGAAGTACGATAATGAACTGCTCGCGCTTCATTCAGTTGTAGACCGTTTTTCCCCTTTCATCTTCCAATCAAAGCTGCACTGTCAACAACCATACTTATGGTGGACGTACGTGATCCATTAGGATCTCAATGTTACATTGCCCATACAAGCTAAACCAAAATAGCCACTCTTTCAAAATTGTTCAACAAGCGTTGTCAAGCAATTGAGTTACGCCCGAGGCGTCCTACAAGAGGGTCAGAAGATATGCCAAGAGGCTCTGCTTGGAGTTGGTCCTTTGAATGCTTAGTAGCGTTGATTGGCCTGGTCGTACGGATGATCTCCGTTTAGGGCTTTTTCCCGTCTTCCGACCCACAGCTGTGGACCTACTTGTAGCCGATGCCGCTTTGACGCACGTGCAGTTGTCGTCGACATAGAAAAACACGTATGTATTTATGTTCTGAAATTGTCGGTCTAGATCCTCTACGCAGTAGACTCCACCACGTCACAAGCAGTCAAAGGACCAGTAGACGCCCGGTACGGCTTCAGCACTCCATTTGCCTAACCTTCCGAGCATTTGTACCTGGAGCTACAACACTTTCAAGGTTTCATCTCGCGTGGTTAATCATCATCCTTGTATCGCTAAAGGTTGAGTTCTCCTTTGAGGCTTTGCAAAACTTTGATCGCTGTCTATCATGCAGAGCTTAGGATGTCACCTAGATACATCAGGTAAGCTGAACAAAGAGCATGCATGTGCATCTTCTCTTAGACGTGGATGAGAGAGGTATAAAAGAGTAGACTGCAGCCGGTCAAGAGAGCACTCATCGCACCATCAATCGCTCCTCTACAGACTTAACTTGATACCTTTCAATATCACAGCTCTCTTTACTTCTACAACATGAAGCATGTTACCACTGTCTTTGCCCTCGCTGCTGCAGTAGCAGCTATTGATATCCAAGGACACGTCGAGTCACACTGTGGTGGTGGAAACAGGGTCACGTTCACCAACGTGAACCCCGACCGATGCTACGCTACCGGCGGTGTATCATAGGCTTACTCGTTCCGTGCCATTCCCACAAACTGGAGACTGAGCACCAGGTCGCACGGAGGAGGTAACTGTGGGCCTATAATCCATGTGTTCGACTCGAATGGCAGGGATCTGGTCTGCCATGGTGGAGAAGTCAACAACGTGGAGTACACGGGAGCTGGTTATAGCTTCATCAACAAGAGGAGGTCAACCGACGTCGCTTCTGGATCTCGAAGACGAGACATACAAGACCATGTAAGAGAGCTCCTAATCACGAAGTATAATGTTTGATCTGGTATACTGACGATACTGTGCTCTGTAGGCTCGCCTATGCTTCTAACGGCACAATTGCCTCGGATATGCCAAGCGCATTCGATGAGTACATCGTACAGTAAGGTCATTCACTATGACCCAAGAGACACAACTTCGCGAGGCATCATTGCATCAAAAGCTTCAGACGTTCGTCCGTATCAAATATATCATCCTAAGACTTTTGCGATGGAACGAATAGCATGTGTTCTCTAGATACGCACTTCATGGGGATAAATCTCCCAACCTTGCTCAAGAGATCGATGATCTCGTGATAACTTTTGAAACCTGTTCTGCCTCTCTCCCTTTTGTTTCGAAGTCCGCAGAGTTTTAAACGATCTTCGTGTGGCCTGAGTTGAAGGTTTGAGCGGTGACGACGGTGATCTTAACGTTCTGCAATGATCGGTCGAAGGAACACTTTCTAACAACACTTCCTAACAGGATCTCTAAGAAATTCTGGGGAAGTATAGAGGCATTACTGTGGGAATGGATGCAAATCATGCGGTTGACGCCTAAATCGGCAATCGAAATTGACACATGCTCTCCACAATGGTGCTACAGAGATGCGAGTACACTACAGCAGTTGTTCTCTTTTGTTGTTGTGTGATTTTCTATGCAATCTGCAGCACATTCCTTACGTAGGCACGTCACCGCTTCACCCGCTTCTCCTTAATATTGCTACCAAAGACGTTCAGCTGTGCTCGGCTTCCCGTTTCTACAGGTCTTATATCAGGATCTTTGTTCTTCTCTTTAGCCTCTCGTTTCGCTTTACGGTCACGCCATCGCTCGCGCCAGGACATAGTTTTCAGGCGCTCATCTTCTTCGCGCTGCTCGGCTGTGACTGGCGCACACACCGCGTTGATTCTGGTCGCGATCACTTCGTCGTTCGCTGCTTTCGTCTTTGGTGTCTTGGTCTCCCAAAATGGCGGTGGCAGATTCTTGATGTAGTCGTTATAAGATTCTCTGGCTGCTTGCGACTCTTGAGTTGTTTGTCGATTGGAGGGCGTTGTTGGAGTTGGATCTACTAGGGTTGTAAGGCTCGCGTCATCGCGGGGGTCTGAGCGGGCGACTGGGCTGTCTTGTTTGAGGTCGCCAGTCGCATTGAAGGTATCTTCAGAGGTCATGTTGGAGGTGTTGACAAAGATTGCGATTAGTGAGAGTTTTGAGCGACTGCATTTGAGTACGTGGGGTTGTCAGGCGTGCCACTATTTTTTGAAGGAAGCTTGGTGCGGGGCTCTATTGCGTAGATTTCTGGGAAAGAACTTGTTGTCCATGTCAGCAGTCCTCTTGATCGCGTTTGTGATCCTATCATAAGAAGGCTGATGCACAGCCACAAGCTGCTGACCACCACAATCCGCCAAGGTTATTACACAAGCTTCGATACCAGTCTATCGTCCGTGTGGATCTTGATTGGTGCTGAGCATTGTGGTGCCAGCCACCGACCAGGGTTGCATTGTGCTGACGGCTTTACGCCTTGGAGAGGAGATCAGCTGCACTCCTCGATGCCCAGTATATTGAGGGGCCACGCCCCATCGCTTTTTGTTTGAGAGCGCTTTCGTTTGACAGTAATACACACAGCCTTCGTCGAAATGACCGCCAGTCGTGGTGCCAAGTATAAAATGCATTTCGACTGCAAGCAAGAGCTACGACCCATCTTTACGTCATTGAATGGTGACAACTCATGGCTCCTGTCCTTTCCTCGACCTTTCGCGGAGCGCCAGAGTACAGGCAAGGCATACTTCCATATCGTGCACGACCCTTGGCTCAATGGTCCCGAAGTCCAAGTGTCGTCATGGATAGTCTTTCTTGCTTTATCGTCCCCACCTGCCGTCAGCAATGGCGCAGGCGTTGAACGACTTGTGCTAGAAATTGAGTCCGCAGCGGCCGAAGCAGGCATTGTCGCGTCTTCCACAATTCAGACAGCCGACGGCAAATCTCCAGTGGATGCCATATTCGTAAACTTGCATTATGGAGATCACCTCCACACACCCACGCTCTTAACTTTCTCTTCTTCAGTTCCCGTCTTCACCACCCCAGAAGGAGCCCTCGTCATAAAAAAACTAAATCACTTCGAGACCATCACCACCTACAAAGATCTCGAGCAAGACACGTTCACCGGCGACTGGACGACCTTGCACCCAAGCCCCATCCTCCCCTCCTACCTAACAATCTTTCGCATCAAAGGACATCACAAACTCAACTTCCTCAGCGCTTTGGTCTGGACGTCTGAACTGGGCACGCATGAAGCAGTTCTCTATTCACCGCACAGTCTGCACACTTCCACGCCAGCTTTGCAGACGTTTCTGCACCGCTCTACCCCTAGCTTCTCTACTCTTGCGATGCTACATGGACTGAAGGAAAGCTGGACTTGGAACTGGCAAACTACCTTCGGGGTGGCGAGTGGACTGCAGTTGTATAGGGAGAGTGGAGCGAAGTATTGGATTAGTACACATGATGACCGGCTGAGTTATGGAGGTTTGGTGTGGTGGTTTGCTAATGATATCTTTAGGACGTTGGAGTGGGGGTTGGGGCAGGAGAAAAGAGGAGAAGGGGAAGTAATGAAGGAAGTTAAGGTTGAAGAAGTGCAGAATGGGGAATATTTTGTGTTGGTGTAAAGGTTGGTAGCTAATTTGAGACCGCTTTCCTTGTCGCTCTTCGCGCCTGATATGAGCCTGTATATTACCTATCCTAATATACGATGCCCCGCGGTATCAACCCCTAAACCTTCCCATCCAGGTGGTCGCGCATCCCGCCCCAAAGACGCGTATATGCAACGCGAATGAGGTGCCGAGTTTCTCCTGTTGTAGTCTAGTGTAGCGCCACACCCTAATATACGTCCTTAGGTCTAATGTAAATACCTATGATGTCGCATGCTTCTAGTAAATCAGTGCTGTGGGTACCAGTCTATCGTCCGTGTGAATCCCGATTGCTGCAGGGCATTGTGGTTCCAGCTACAGACTAGGGTTGCGTCGACGCAGAATCTCACTCATCGCAGCTACTACATCGTCTACATTCGCTGGATAGAAGATTAGTCATATTTCTTGCCAATTGCTAGAGAAAGTAATGGTATGTCAAGCCGATCCTGGTCGGTGTACAGCCTAGGAGTTGGAGGTGGCGCAGTGAAAACCAAGATCAAAGTCAGCCGCGGCTGACAGCAACAACCAATATTTAAGTGCAGCATCATTGCTGTTCTTGATGTGACACTCGGCCAAACATCAAGAATGAGCTCATTCAACACTTCCAGTGTGTTTCAAACTCGAGAATTGGATCACGGAGTGGCCTTTCCTTACGTGCCTCAATACCGAACTTTGAACAGCGTTCGAGCGGTAGATGAGGCTCCACCTAAGCCTAACCCTAGGCGAACCTTTTACGGTGGCGATTCACTGCCTACCGAGTCATCTACACGGGTGAACGACAGCTTTGTTCCCTTTCCGACCCCAACGGTAAACGTACCAACAATCGATAATCTAAACAAACCAACATGCTCTCTAAATCTCATGTGCTATAGATCTGGTAGCCAGGGCTGCATACGACGCCAGATTCGGGTTGCCAGTAAAACTAGATGGGCTGCGTCTATACCTGATATACCAAAGAACTTCTGAGACGACAAGCTGGATATGATTTGTAGCGACCAACAGTTTTTCCAGGCGCTTGATCAAGAATATGAACAACACATTCGTGGTTTCTGGCGACGGTACCTGTCACTCAAAACGCTGAGGCGAATTCGGCTTTTATCTTATACGCCTACTAGTCGTCCTGAAGTTGTTCAGATGGACGACTTCACCCTACAAGAGGTGTTCTGTGCATATCGACATCCGGAGAGCATCAAAACAGAATCGGAGTGGATTGACTGGGTATTTCGTCTCCGTCAAGCTGACCGACGTCATGCTCTAGAGTTTGTCGAAGATTAGAGCGGCTTCCGCATCGGGCTCGTTGGATCAGTGCCGTGGGTAGTGGCGACCATAGTGGGCGTTGCATGGACGGCGAAAGGTGGTGATGCACAGACGGCGTTCACAGTCGCTGCATTCATACTGACTGTTGGTACTTGTGAGTCGAACTGGTTACCATAAAAGTCCGTCCGCTAACACATCCAAGCTTTGCTGGCGCTTCTCGCTATCGTCAGCAAGATTGAGTCTTGAAGCACGTTGCCGGGATCTATCGTCCCTTACTCGGGGTCTCGCAGGCATACAAAACGATATATACGACAAGGTACTCACTCAACCCATCCACTTTAACTGGTTTGAGAGTCGAATCCTCTAGCAGCGACACTTGCGAGTGAGAGAACACGCCATTGGTTCGCTGCATCATACGCGAACAGGCAAACATGCAGTGAGGCTAGTGTTTCGCTTCGCGCAACCCATATCGTCGTTGGAAAGAATTACTATGCGGGACGTGACCCGCTGTAGGCACCGATAAATATGGCAAAGAATGCCATCATGCAAGAATTGGGATTCGCGTTCGTTGATGATGAGCATTAGGTCCAGTAACCATGAGAGTCCATGAAGATGCGCGATCCGAATCTCGCTCAGCGCTCCACAGAATTATCTGTATCAAATGCTCGAAGTCTTTCTTAAGGATACGAGTCGGATAAGATCGGGTGGGAGAAGAGTAGACCGTCGAATTACATCGCGGTTGTCGACCCCTTGACGGTCTTGCAGGCTTTTCCGGATGTTAGTCTTTGAGCCAATAATCAACGTTGCAGCGCAATTAGGAGAACTGTCAAAACACTTCCTTCTCCCATTCTTAGACGGCAATGTATGGCAGGTGGGGAGGACTCGCGGTGCTAGGCCGAGGTAGGGCTCGTGGTCTTGGGGCGACCTCTTTACTGGGTAATTTCCAGTAAGTTATATTTTTATGAAAAGTCCGTTGCTCGTTGTCGGCAGGTTCCTTCTGCGGTACACCAGTGAATCGATGAGCGATGGATTCATCATCCAGGCGGGACGGGGTCCAGATGAAATTCCTCGGTCCAGAGCTTGTTATCGCGTAGCTCGCAGCCTGCAGGATTTACCCGCCACATTCGGAAATACCGTTATGTGTCTAAGATTTCGCCCGTTGCTGGGATGTGCCGCTGCGTTAGTCCGGATAACATCTTCTTGCGTAGTGTGATGGTTGGTAGTGCTCCGCGCAAGTCACACAAGGAGACACACCATCGCTGAGGCCTAGCTTCATCTAGCGGCTTGGCGCGATGTCATCCTGAATCCTCCTATCGAGAGTTCGTGTCACCAGTTTCAACACGTTCTCTGCGACATTTGGCTAGAAATTCGTGTATTTCAATCGAGAATCCTACAACGGGAACCTTTCCCAATGTTTCGGTGACTCCGCTTGTGGATAAAGTGGCATACTGTTCCGCCCAACCGCAAGCCAATCAGCTTCGTCGTCAGGCATACTGCTACAATTTCCTGAACCCTCCACTTCACGAAAGGAAGACCATCGTTTTCCGCAAGCGAGCATCACGCCATCGCGCTATATGCCAATGGAGGCATCCATCCGACTAAGCGACGATGAAGAGCTAACTCCAATGATGCGGACCGCTCCCGGCACTGATTTAGTGTGGTGATCGGGTTCCCGCGTCGGCTGAAGACCGAATACTGCGTGCATGCCCTCTAGATTGCGTCCCGAAAAGCTGGAAAATTTGCTGTCTTACCTGCCAACTGGGGCAAGGATACGTTCAACAAACGCGCGGCTCAAACCATCTCGGGATCAGTCGAGGTCTTCGTCGACAACAACCTCGGAAACACGTGCCTGTGTTCGTGCATCTACTTGACACCGCTTGCATCGCACAAAGTCTACCATGATGAAGAGTGTCATGCGTGAACTTGCTAGAACGTTTCGCAAGAAAGCTTAAGCTGCGTAAGCATTCTTTTCGATTATTCCGGTCGAAACCTACAAGGTCTCGAGGGCGGCATAAGGTAATGAACGGCTCCTTTAGCCGGCAGGCCAGCCGCTTTATGCCCAACGCGACAGCTTCACTATAGTTTTCTGGCGTTGGCGCCGTTGCGCAGCTGCAGATGGCACCGCGTCGCTGTACTACTCTTCACGAAGAGAGCCGTGTCGGCGGGTCCGTACCTGATACACTCACCCTGCTTTTGGCTACCCGCGCCGCTCACCCCACAAACCATACAACATGGTCATTTTCGCGATAGTCGTAGATCGGTCTCCGCTCAACAACCATCATAGCGCATGTCTACGACGATGAATCAAGTCATCATATCAGACTTGAATCGGACGCCCATCGTTCAGATCCTCACTTGGTTCACTCTTGTTACCAGTCTGTTGGCATTCTTCACGCACGCCGGCATTAAGTTCTATGTGTTCCGGAGCCTCACGATCGAGTCATGGCTCGTTCTTGCTGCCTTGGTAAGTTCAACACCAGAATGCTGCGAGCGTTGACTAACGGAGTTGACCAGGTATTCTGCGTCGCACAGTCGATCGCAGTGTCACTGCAAGCTCACTATGGCTTTGGCACACCGATTGCGACCTTGGACGGATATCAGATTGAGTCGAACCTCAAAGTAATTTCACACCTCCGCTCGAATACCTGGTCAGGAATGCTGATATGAGTGTAGTGTGAATACGCTGCGATGATTCTCTTCATCGTCTCCCTTGGCTTCTCGAAGCTTGCTGTCGTAGCTTTCGTTCACCAATTGACGCCCTCCGAACTCCATCGTAGAATCAACTTTGGCGTCCTGGTTGTGATAATTCTGTGGCTGGTGTGTTCCGTGTTAGTCGCAGCGTTCGAATGCCGGCTACCACGGCCGTGGGACAGGACATTGGATCGATGCATCGACCGTGTTAGTAAACTGCACAGATGCTGATTCGGCCTTGTGACTGACTATGGATAGTTGACCTGGTGGAATATCGTTTCCTGTTTCAACATCGTAACAGAGATCGCGATCGTGGCACTGGAACTGGTCATAACAGCACAACTTCAAATACGACGACAACGGAAGGCGGCGGTCATGACTTTATTCTCATGTCGACTGCTGTAAGTTCGAAGTTTCGAACGCACTCCAGTCAGTACTGACAATCTCTTCGTAGCGTTCTCGTTGCTGCTGCGATCCAGCTTGGCTTCTTCAACCGCGAAAGCACCGATGCTGCTCTGAAGGACGATCTGACACTCGGTTATTGGCGATCAACCATCTGCAACCAGATTGTACAATGTATTGCCATTGTGACAACATGCCTTCCATACACCAAACTGTTTATGGAGGGTTTCGAATCGGGGCTGATGCGTTTGGACGACTTACGTCGTCGAGGGGAGCATACCTCTAAAGACGACAGCAAAGGGTACCAGCTCATGGACATATCACGATCAGGGCGCTCAGAGCATTCTACCCGTTCTCAAGGCGGGCCCGATAGAAGCATCAAGGTATCGAAGAGTTGGGCAGTGCAAGTAGACCCCGTAGCCCACATGCCGGCTACAACAATACCGCAGTGAAAACCATAGCACTACAGTGCGAGTATATCCATAGTAGACGAGCTTTCAAAATGTACGTACCAACACATGCAAAAATTTGGCGTTCATTGCGGCGAGCGCACCCCTGCTGCACCCTCGTTTCGCCTTGCATGTGGCACGGCACGTATGCCGCAGCATATGCGCCTAGTTTTCTTTGAGTAGGTGGTCCGGACCGGGACACGGTGGTGTGATTTTATTGGTTTGCGGGATATAGGGTAACGGTAAGGATCTTGTACGAGGATCAACAAGTCCATCTCGGCTGGAATGTTGTGCATAAGCCGCTTTTCATCTATGCAGTTGCTGTAGTACTTGTTCCTACGGCAATTCGCTTCTTGCTTTATTCTTTTGCGCTCATCTCTCTTTCCCTTTCAACATCTATCCGTATCACAGGTCCTTTGATTGTCTTTCTTCTCGGTTCCTCTTCTCGTGTTGGTGATACGATGGCGTCGTCTACAACCAAGAGTGGCGATGTCGAGCTGATCGTCTCGCCGACTCAGTCTACCAACAAGACTGACGACCTTGCGCTGGCGAGACTGGGAAAGAAAGCTGTGCTAAAGGTACGTATCTTCTCTACAGCTTTTGCTTACATCACTAACGGCATTGCAGCGCCGGTTTGGTTTCCTATCCATCCTAGGATTCAGCTGTACCGTTTTGATCACCTGGGAAGGATCTCTTGTGTTAGTTGTACAACACCCCAGTACTACATTGACACGTAGCTAACAAGGTCTAAGGCTGTTCCTGGTCGGTTTCCAAAAGTGAGTAATGATACGACGTACTGACGAAGAGACTGTATGCTGAAAGAAGAAGTGGTGGGCCGGCTGGTGTCATCTATGGCTACCTTACCGTCTGGGTAGGCACTGTATCCGTCTTTATGGTTCTCAGCGAGCTTGTCTCAATGTGAGTGACAATCGAAGTCCGGTATGACAAAGGTCAATTGCTAAGAATGAACCAAGGGCGCCTACATCTGGTGGTCAGTACCATTGGGTGTCTATGCTTGCTCCTCCAAGCTCCGCGAGACTGCTTAGCTACATCTCAGGTACGGCAATCTTCTTCCAAATTTCAAACTCCATGACTTGATCGTTTGTTAACATACTTTCCTATAGGTTGGCTCACACTATGCGGCTGGCTCGCCTCTCTCGGCTCCGGCGCCTTCCTGACCGGCGGTCTCATTCAGGGTCTCCTCATGCTCTGCCAACCTGACACCTACGTCCCGCAAAATTGGCACGTTACCCTCCTCTACTGGGCCATCATCGCCTTCTGTGTCTTCATTAATATCGCTGCCGGATGGCTACTGCCCAAGTTCGAAGGCGCGCTACTGGTCTTGCATATCCTGGGTTTCTTCGCCATCTTGATCCCTCTTCTAGTGCTAGGACCGCAGGGCAATGCTAAAGAGATCTTCACGACGTTCGTCAACATGGGTGGCTGGCAAAGCCAGGGATTGAGCTTTTGTGTTGGAATCATGGGGAGTGTATTCGCCTTTGTCGGTGGTGACGGGCCGATTCATGTGAGTATGCTCATAAAGAGACGAATCCATGCCACTACAATTCGCAGTAAGGCACTAACATGCTGTTCTAGTTGTCCGAAGAAATCCACAATGCACAGGTTGTGGTGCCTCGCTCCATCATGACCGGCATTGCAATCAACGGCTCTCTCGGTTTCGCCATGATCCTCACCGTGCTTCTCCGCATGGGCAACCTCGACGAAGTGCTCGATGAGAATCCTGCTTTCCCCTTCATGGCCATATTCCACCGCGCTGTGCAATCGCGATCCGGTGCTGCAGTCATGGCATCGATCGTCATGGTACTTACCATCAGCGCGAACGTAGGCTTCTCCGCGTCAACATCAAGGATATGTTGGGCCTTTGCCCGAGACAGAGGACTACCTGGATGGAGGACTTTGAGCAAGGTATGTATACAGCCCCTCTATTTATATGAGCGGAAAGAAGCAGTGTTAATTCCAACCAGGTCAGCGATCGTACATCCATCCCCGTCTACGCCGTAGCCTTCACAAGCTTCATCGCCTGCCTACTCGCCCTCGTAAACATCGGATCAACCATCGCCTTCAACGGCGTAATCTCCGTCGCTATCGCCGGTCTCTTTTCTTCTTACCTGCTCACATCATCCCTTCTCCTTTATCGCCGCTGCACCGGTGCCATTCTCACCCCCAGTGAAGCTTTCGACACGGACACAACATCTTCATCCACCACCAGGGACGGAATGTCACGCACCGTCTGGGGCCCTTGGCGCCTTCCCGGTGCCATCGGCATCGCAAACAATGTCTTTGCTTGTGCGTATCTTAGTTTCGTCTTCTTCTTTAGCTTTTGGCCGAGCTTTGCTGCTGTTACGCCTGCGAATATGAACTGGGCTGTTTTGGTCACGGGTGCCATCGCTGGGATCAGTGCGATTTATTATGCGGTTTGGGCGAGGAAGACGTATCATGGACCTGTTATTGAGATTGACGAGCGGGATCTTAGTGGTAGGGTTAGTGTGATTGAGCAGAGGCATGAGTTGGGGAGTACGTAGAGTATGGGTGGGTGTTTGAATTGCTCGAGTGTAAAGGTGTGGTGTTTACTATATTGCGAATACCGCTTGTAGCCAGTATAATTGTGCATAGAAATAATTCTTCTCGTCCTGGATACAAAAGCGTACTGATCAATCAAGCAGCGTGATCGGGTTCGTTGCATGACCAAGTCACGTCGGCTCACCTCTGCCTGCCTAATCAACCTCCAAAATGCCTTCCAGTAGCGAAGTCTGATCTCGCATGCTCAACCCAGCCTCCGTGTACTCGGTTGAGATCAGCAGATATCCAGGATCTTAATTTTCATCTCCTTATTGTTACAGGCCGCGCGAAGCCGACCAATTGTGTTCTTCTTTTCTTGAGCACTCATAGCACTCATATCTCTCAGGACCAGCCGCTTCAGATTCGGTACTAGGGTAAAGATGTGATCATAGTAGGAAATTTTGTTTTCGATGGGATAAGCATGGTTTGCCGTAAGGACTTCAATCTTATGCCTCTGAGCAGAGGTAAGTCGATGCAGTAATGGTCCGACGCCTACGTCTGCCATCGCCCCGAACGAATTAAAAGTGAAAGCGTAGTACTCTCCGAGCTCACGACGGATCTGGGTACATGCGAGTGGCAAGTTGATGGCCATGATCTGTTTGATGGGTTTGAGACTCCAGATCTTTTGCCCTAAAGAGCGACCCCATAGGGGTGACATCTTGTCACCATTGGAACTGACATAGATCTCATTGCCTCCGAGCGCAAAGTAGTAAATCTGATTGCGTATCTCGCTTGGTAACCGTAGGAAGGGTGAATCGAATTGATTCCGCGCAGCGATGGCTTGGTATACACCAGCGTCACCGACTTTGGTTTCTGATCCTTGCATGGCTATATCCAGATGTACTACAGTTGAGAGAATTTCGACAGGATGTGGTTGCAAGTTTTCGTCGTCTGTAGTTTTATGCTCGAGTTTTGGCCGCTTGCGTCGATCACGCGTCACTCGATTGGTTGATGACATACTGATCGCTGCACAGGCAACCGAGAATGTTTGGGCGTGAAAACTTCGATATGCGAAATGGCGTCCTGGCGTGCGTATTGTGGTGTCCTATCGCTGTCGATAACGACCGATCCGGTGCAGCTGTTTGTGCTATCGTAATGGCTGATCTTCGACTGGCTTACTATCATACCAAAACAATAGACAAGAGACCCACTGAAGAGCTGATTCTCCAAAGAGGAATCGAGATGAGGGAGATATATAACACCCGATTCATGGTTCGGGTGTCTAGTGCAAGCGTGGCGCAAGCGGCGCTGGTGCCTGATTGACACCATTCTTGAACTCTGGAGTCAGCGCCGTTGAGGTCCAAGTACGGCTTGGACTTGACGCTTATTGGCTAAGGCTGTACTTTAAAGAGTTTAAAGGACCTGATGACTTATCTAACAAGACCAGCCAAGGCATGCTACCAACAGACGGACTATGCCCAAAGAAGCTAGCAGATTCGGCTGGCCAGTCCAGCCTCAGTCATCTCATCTCCATCCAATGTCTCTCTCCCCGACACCCTATCATCACCGAACACGTGAATAATGACGCTTGTCTCCCTCTATCTACGAATACATCTGTCTCGTGCTAGGTATTTTGATATTCTCTCGATGCACGCTGCGAGCCATCGTTTACTACAACGCTACCTAGGCATAATTTCCGCAGCCAACGAGATCGCGCGCGTTTCGAATAGCTCTGTTTGCAGCTATAGTCGAGCGGAATTTCGTTTTCTTTGCCTATATGCGGTAGGCTGAGAAATGTGAAGTAGGGTACTCGTGAAGCAGACAGCTGCCGATATCGCATGATAGCGCTGTCGACTGGTAAATATATTTTCGTATCTTCCACTCACAGTAAGTCGTACATCGATTGTCGTCTTCTGCTCCAAATTTCGTACCTGAAGGTGATACGCGAATTCTCATGCTCCACGTCTCTTGGCTGAATTGTTGATCGATCATTCTTGAGCTTTCACTATCACTCGACACTGATTGGTCGCTGTGACAACAAGCACTCACTTTGACACGACCCAGATACGGAACAAAATTCCGTTGATATATCATCACCAGCATCGCTTCTTTTCTTCATTCATAGCACGGCAGTCCTTTTGAAAGACCATCAGTCCGATAATGCCCTCACTGAAGGACCTCAACTGCGCGATCGAGCTGTCGGAAGGTCAACAGGCATTGCAGGAGTTTGGTACTACGTACGGCGATGGTTTCGTCGAAACCTTTATTCCCGTACCTAGCAAGTCACAGACCTTCTCGATTCACCTTACATCCAACAAGTTCATCGCTCCTGGCGTTGCAATCTTTGTCTACGTCGACGGAATTTACCAGTGCAACCGCAACAGGCAAGACTTGAAGCTTCGGAAGCCTTCAGATAGCCGCTCTCTTGTCGATTTTCGCGTACGTCAGAAGGAAGAGAGGCAGGATGATGGCTCGATGGTTGCACGCGAGTGGGCCTTTGACAAGCTCAACATTGGTAAGTGTTGCGAAGACTCCACAAAATTGCGGCCTGCTGACTAGTCACAGCTTCAGCAGATGATGCGCCAGATCTGTGCTCACCAGACGTCCTCCAAAACATAGGATGTATCGAAGTTGTCGTCCTACGGTGCGCTGGAGCACGAAATGCCAAGTCTGCCTCGACGATGAACTTTGACGGAGCAGGAGATTACCCTAAACATCTCTATGACTTGGATGACACCTCTTCTCCATCCAACGAGAGGTCCATGTACGATGATCGGGGTCCCTTCTTCACTCCCTTTGACAATGGCCACGGCCCACCACCTCCAATTCCGTCTTACCACCCACCTTACGTGGAAACCACCCGCAGCCAGGAAGGCTCAACATCGAGAAGCCGTCGCACCGCGCATAGCCCTCATGAGATTTTCCCTCCAGCACCTATCACTCGTCGTTCTGGACCACGCTCTGTATATTCCGAGGCTGTTAGCCCCGGGGCAAGGACCACGAACGATCTTTCTTTGTCCGGTGTTCAATATGGCAGCGGTCCTATCCCACATGACGGACAGGTATACGAAAATCAATCTTCAGGTGTCAGGGCTACACAACCTCCGGCTATGGATCCAATGTGGCTGAACAATCTTCTCGCTACAGCAGTAAAGCAGGGGGTGGAAGAATCGCGACGGATGGATATACAGTCAGAATATCAGACTAAATACAAGATACAAAAGGTTGATGCAGAGACTACAAGTCAGTCACCTGGTGCATGGCCTGAATCTCCTTTGAATATCGGTCCGTCATCACATCGCCCATCTGAGCCTGCAGTTTCGTCCTCACGCAACCGCGAAAGCGCCCATCGGTCGCAGTGGGATCAGTCTCAGGCTGGTTGGAGCGAGCGAAAAGCACGGAGCAGAGCAGGCACTCGCGTAACCTGGATCGAGACGCCGCTAGACGAGACTACGTCTTCCAGTGCCGACAGGTGGACCTTGCGCGACAAAGCCGCGTCCGATTCCTGGGACACTGGAGATACTTGGCCGACTGACAGAGTAGCTGAGTGGGAAACTTCCAGCCAAAAGTGTAAAGCTTGGGCACCAAGCCAGCCCAGTCGTCATAGCTCAGTACGCCGCTCCTCTATTTCTCCCCACTCACAAGAGCGGCGAAGCTCGAAGCACGATTCGCAGCGGAGAGCACGTTCCAAATCGCGGACGAGTCATCGGCGGCAAAAGTACGAGACTACTACAGAAGATGAAGAACAGATTGGAGCTTGGGATCATATCAAAAGGCCTTCGGACTCCGTGGTCTCGTTGAGTAGCTCAGATGCCACTATCCAGCCGTCGCTTTCTCGAAGTCGGATACACACGCCACGGCGGAGATCCAAGAGCCTCTCTCGACGTTCCAAGTCAACACAGCGCGAAAAGCAGCGAAAATCATCACGACATTCCCATCGTACACCGACTGAGGAAACAGTACATGCGAGGTCAGCGCCTGTACCTTCAGTGAATGCAAGGTTGGCGCCGGTGGTCATGAATGCACCCATTCCTGCTACTTCGCATCATACACAATCAGAGCCGCCTAGCATGTATGTGGATCCGCCACTCCCGGTCATGCAGCTACCAGAATGGGCTTCTCAGGTACATGATGCAACGCGCAAGCCTAGTATTGCCGCCAGTACTTTAGCACCTGCACCATACGCATCTTCGCTGAAGGATTTCGTACAGAGCACGAAGGGCAAGATACGAGGAGGATATCGGTCGTCTTCTTCATCTTCCTGGGGTAACAATAAGAAAGATGGCGCTGTGAATATGTCGTGGGGCAAGGCAACCAAGAAGGATGCTGGTTGGAGCAAGAAGAGTGATACAGGTTGGCATGACAAGGGTTCTAAAGACAATGATAAGAAAGGCTGGTTCTCAACCGATGATGACACTTCCAATGGCTGGGCGAAGGATTATGATGACGAGACTATCAAAGTTGCTGATGGTTGGAACACGAAAGAGACCGGTTGGGATACAACAGCAATTCCTCCAACCGAGAAGAAACACGGCAAGAACGACCTAGCCGATCTGAAATCCGCTCTAAAATCCGCCTTTAAGGATCCATCAGCTCCAGAAGCAGCTTGGAAGAATCAGTCACGGGGCATTCCGCGCAACACTGCAAAGCCTGCTACACAACAGGCGACGCCTACGCCCTTTACCACCGTTGCAGCACAGACACCGCCACCATCGAAACAGCCCCAGCGTATGAGTAATAAAACCCTATCCCAATACCGGCCAAACCACCCTTCCTCCGGGCCTGCACCGTCACCAGCCCAACAATCTGAACGCCAGAGCAACAAATCGCTCGCAAATTACCGCCCCAACTACCCCTCCCTCTCCTCGCCAAGTCCAATCTCAGCACCACAATCACATTGGCAGTTCCCACCTCCCCCATCGACTTCCCTCCCTGCCAACCCAATCTCCTCAAACAGCACTTACATCGCCCCTGAACTCCCCCGCCTGACAATCTCTCAACGCACGTCCACAGCAAAGGGTATCGAACATGCCGTCCGACCAGGTAGAGCAACGCACTATGGTCATGCTGTGGGCAGACCGCAGTATCTAGATGGACTGGACAAACCGTATGCGGTGTTTAGGTTCAAGTATCGTAGTGTGAGTGTACTGAGAGGAATGTTCGGGCGGGCGGTGGGCGATGAGAGGATTTCCCTGGCGAATCAAATGGACAAAAAAGAAGAAGATGATGAAGGAGACGGAGATAAGGAAAAGGTCAAAGCTGTGTACTCACAGGACGAATTGATTACCAGGATGATGGAGTTGGAACGGAGACTCAAGCATGTTGGTGTTGGCGCTGTTCAGAGTAGCAGGGAACCAGCGCGTAGTAGTGAGCCAGAGGAGAGGAAAAAACAGCGCAGAGTTAGTGCTGCGACAGAGGGCGCAGCAGCGAAGAAGTTTACGGAACAGTGGGTTGAGCGGCATTCGAGGAATCCGAGTGTCGTAGCGCAAAGTCTACAGAAGGAGAAGGCTAGGAAACAAGGGAAGAAGAACAAGGGAAGCGGGCTGGGGCGAGGAAAGGAAAGCGGACGAGATGTGCGGACAGAATGTTGATGAGGGGGGTGTGAAATGGAAAGTAGTTTGAACTTCCCTAGTTACTGGGAGGAATGGGATAGGATTCCGTGAGGAGTATGTATAGTAGGTTTTGTATTTGTATAAAGATGAATAAAAAATTTACGAGACTAGTGTCGTCATGATCACGTTTGAACGACATTCAACTATGTTCATAAATAATCTTCACTAACGTATAGTAAGTTCATCCTCACTCCCATCATCCCCATCATCCATCCATTTTCGTTTCCTCGCATCCAGATTCCCCAGCGCACCGCCTAGACTCCTCCTCCCTGCGCTTTTCCCTACAACATTCTCCTTCGCAGGCGTCCCCTTCCTTGTCCACTCCCTCTTGACCTGTTTGAGAAAGGATTTCCGGTGAGCTTTGGACGTGGACTTGGTAGTGCCCGTTTCGCTATTGCCGTCCACATCGCGGGGTTTGGGCGTTCGGAAGAGCATTGGCATTGTGATTGCGTCGTGTTTGCATTTGAGAGATGGGGTTGTTGGGTCGGCAGGAGGGGGAAGGAGTTCATCATCGCCGGTGAGGTCAAGGGAAGCATCTCTACTGCTGACGAGTGCGGTGTGCGTGCTTTGTTGATTGGATGGGTAGTGGAGAGATGTGCTAACGGGTTCGACGGGCTCCTGTGATGCGACTGTTACATTGCTCGAGTCTTCTTGCGCACCATCTTTATTGTCTTGAGAGTCGGGTATCATCTTAGCGTAAGGTGGAGATCGTTTTCGTTTGACAAGTGTTGTCGGCGAAGATAATGGCTCGGTCTTTACTGTGGCTGAAGATGCGCGGGTTGGTGTCATGACGGTGTCTTGTGTTAGCAGGTCTACAGATGCTCGTGTGGGTGTCATAACGAAGTCCTGCGTCTGCGGAGTCGAAGGCAAGTCCTCTTCTAGCATGGTGTCTTCTTCATCGACAAGATCTCTTGTCTCGATGGATGGGAGTATTACATCTTGCGATGCAACTGCAACTGCGGTTGTGTCATCACCGGCGGGAGGAGGATGGTCTTCGTCTGGATCGGATCCGGCCAGGGACAACAGATCCAGCTCGTCGTCGTCGTAGTGCGAGATTGATGACAACCTTTCCTGCTTGTTTTCCTCTGTGGAAACTACAAGATCCTGATGGCAATCTTCGTGCTCGGAGGAACTTGGCGTTGGTAAGTGGGGCGGTGGCTTTGGGGCGGCGGGAACTTCTTCCGTGGAGATATGATCGCCTCCGTTGACAGAATCGCCTGTAGGAGCTACAGAATCGCCTTGCAAGTGTAGATCTTGATTCTTTATCAAAGTCCAACGATTGCGAAGTGCGCTGACCGGCCACCTCTTCCATTTCTCTCTGCCTCCCCAGATTACCGCCCATGAGGCACCATCTATTGTCTTCCGCTTGCTGATGTATATATCATCTTCACGAGTGAAGTGGTATTTCGTTGGCGGGCCGGGGCCACGTCTCTGCATTCCGACTCTTGGACTGCTTCTCTTGGGCTTCGTAGGCGAGCTTTCGTCTGGCCTTGTGTATAATGTCATCAAAGGTCTTTCTTCGCCTGCATCTATCGATATGATGTCTGCGTGTTGTTCATCGACCACTTTCGCTGTAGGCGCTACGCTGTGGCTCGGGAGGGGGCTCGACTGAGCGGTTGGACATGAGTGCGGTTGTGCAGACAAAGGTGGATAGAACCATTTCGGGTCTGTAGGAGGCGCCACTTTGTCACCTGTTGTTGTAGGCGTAGTCGGCGCGGGGGCCACATTTGCAAGGACTACTGGGGTGTTTGGATCATTCTGGAGTTTCGCCATGGAGTGCATCCAGTTGACGAAGGCACTCTGCGCCTCTTGACCAGCAGGCGTCTGTGGAAAATGTAGATATGGTAGGACATTTGGGACAGGGTTTGGCGCATTTGGTGTTTGCGGTACACCAGTCTGTAGCACGGATCTTGCTGAAACGTCCGATGGGGGTGACGTAGGTTGTTGCGCGTTTGTTAGGGCAGGTTCCAGTTGTCGGTTGCTCATGTCTTGCTCTGGTGGTACAGTAGTCTTGGACTTTACCGATTGCGGGAGTGCCAATTCATCTTCCGAGTCGCCTTCGTTTGCTTCTCCTTCCTCCGAATCTCTCAGGCTGTCCCCAGTCGATAGGAACGTATCCAACAACCCTTTTCCTTTCCCATTAAGTCGACGGTCTATTCTTCGCAAATGCCCTCTGTCGACCACCACCTGGTTCGTATTAAAGTCGATTATGTCGCTCTGTGACTCGTTCATATTTCCGAACTTCTCGAATATCGACTCGAGCCGGCTTTTGAATTTTTGCTGTTGTTTCTGCTTTGCTTCAATGTATTCAGCGTCCTCTTCGTCGGTCTCGGGTGGTCGAATTATGCGCATGCGCTTGTGCCGTTGTTTTTGCCTCGCCATGATGTTTTCGACGTTTTCTTCGTCAATTTGAACGGATTGAAGTATCGCCGGCGACTCCATGGCGCGTGTAGGCAACCACTCTGACAAAGGTCATGTGTACGGGGGAACGAAGAGGGCGTGGGTGGATTGGTGGGGAGTGATCGCTTTTGAGACGGTGTGTGGTACAATCAGTGAGAATGACGCGAGACGCGACGCGACTTCCTCGGCAGGCACCCGACGCCTCGACCCCACTGGTCGGCCCGCAGGTGATCGCCGTTCGTGAACCGCAACACCGTCATTCCACCAACACCTATCAACTTTACATTCTCCACCCTTCTTCAAACATGAAGGACCACGAGTCATAACAACATGGCCAACGACAAGAAACAGACGGGCTTGGCTTGCCAGAAATGCCGGACACCCATCGACATCGATGCCTCTATTGACCAGCTCAATCCGGCAGCCTTCAAGCTATTGACTGGTACATTCCTATGTCACGAGATTACGACACATCATACTAACATGTGACAGACTCGACAGTACCAGGAGAACAAGCAGCATCAAGAATCTCGCCCAACCGCCAGTCGCGCCCACCCAATCCTCCCGAACACCTCAAGACGTATCAAGATGCAGCCAAAGATGCCAGAAACCCTACCTTCAAACGCAACATCCAGGGCGCACCGCCTTCGGGACACTCAAAAGGCGCCCAAAACCCCGCCATGTCCTTCATCGACGTCCACATGTCCGAGTCGATGATAGACCCACCCTCATCCACTTCCCGCAGTCCAGCTCGTAAACCACCAGCCAGCAGCGACAAGGCAAACGCAAATGACAAGGCACGGCGGAAGAGCTTCACAAACAGTCTAAGCAATGTACCAGGCGGCGCGAGCCTAGCAGATGGCTTGGAAACCACGAACCGGCTCTTCGAGATCCTCTCGGCTCGCTCCGACATCGACCACCCCATCTGCGTAGAATGCACCGACCTCCTCATCGACGGCCTCCAAAAGCGTCTCGGCGTCGCAACCCGCGAACGCGACGCCTACGTCGACTATCTCCGCCGCGCAAACACCGACGTGCCCTCCGCCGACGAAGTCAAACTCGCCGAAGCCGCCCTCACATCCGCCCGGAAAGCAGAAGCAACTGCTATAACGCAGCTCGAGGCCCTCGAGCACGAAAAGGCCGAACTTGACAACCAGCTTGCGGCCCTGGAAGCAGAGTCGCGCAGTCTTGATATCGAGGAAAGCGAGTTTTGGAAGTCACGCAACGAGTTTAATACCCAGTTGACCGAGATACAGAATGAGCGGGATGCGCTGGCCACGCGGTATGCGCATGATGCGCAGGTCCTGAACCAGCTGCAGAGGAGAAGTGTGTATAATGATACGTTTAATATTACGCACGACAACCATTTTGCTACTATCAACGGCCTGAGGCTAGGAAGACTGCCGAACCCTTATGTGGATTGGCCGGAGATTAATGCGGCGTGGGGACAGACGTGCTTGCTACTTGCTACACTAGCCGAGAGGCTAGGCTACAAGTTCGAAGGGTACGAGTTGTGTCCTATGGGGTCTACGAGTACGATTACGAGGCTGGAAGCTAAAGGCGGCGGGAACTCGACGGCGACGACGACGACGGCAGCCGAGTCGACGAGGAATGCGGGAGCACACGGCGCGACGAGTGCAAATGCGCCGCAAGTCTCAAAACACAGACTCGAGTTGTACTCTTCTGGCGACTTTCCCATCAACTTTGGTTTCTTGCACCGGAAATTCGACACGGCTATGGTTGCGTTCCTCGAGTGCTTACGCCAGTTGGGAGAATTTGTTGAAAACTCTGCTACTACTACTACTGTTTCTCCGCCAGGTCAGAGTAGCCTGGCGGGTCCTGGTGGGCCGCAAGGTGTCAAGATGCCGTATGAGATTCGCAAGGATCGCATTCACGATCAGAGTATCAAGTTGGCGTTGAATAAAGATGAGGGGTGGACTAAGGCATGCAAGTATACATTAACGTGCTGTAAGTACTTGCTTGCGCATGCAAATAATGTTGAGAGTATGGGGGTGAGGAGGAGGTAGAGTGAGGGGGGACGGAGCAGTGAGATGTGATATAGGGAAGGGAGGGAAGAGAATGGGGATAGCAAATTTTGTGATTTGGTTTAAATAGGTTAGATACCCCAATGATGATTCTTATTTTTTTTTTCAACTTGCCTCGCTATAGACTTGACTTTTTATTCCTTGTGCTTCGGTTTATCTTTCAAAGTGAAGAGGACGGCAGGCTTGCATCAGATCTACCTCACATCCTCTACGCCTACGTCTAACATCCTTATCTAGTGTTGCAGTTTTGGAACATAGATGAGGAAACAAGTGACTAGTCGTGATACCACACGAACAACGTATCCATATCTCGTGTGACACTAAACCAACAAGAAGACATGTACATGAAGCGTTTCCGTGCTCCGTTCGCGTGATGTTCCTATCTTGCGTGACACAACGCCAAAAGAAAACGGGAATATGTGTACATGAGGCTCTTCATGCACCCAGCAGCCAATATCCCTATCTTATGTTGCACCATCACAGACGTGATGGAGACGTGTTCAAGAGCCACAGATAAGATAGTGCATCGAGGCTGTGACACCTATCACGTCATGTCAGTGTGGTCGTAGTATAAATTTACTTCCGACTTCAATATCTTGGGACAAGGATGAGATGGTTGTTCGAGGTCAAAGTCCCATTGTCAACGACTTTGAATTGTTAGTCAAGGTCGCAAGCCCATTGAGTTGTGCTCCGAGTTTCCCCATTCCGTATTCTCATTCACTCACAGCTTTGTGTACGTGGGAATGTGCCAAGTCGTTCAGAATGGGATGTGATGAGTTGTCCATTGAGCTCGAAAGCCCAAGATACCACCAGCAAGGAGTCCAACGACGGGCTAAGATAAGCTTCAACATACGTATACCAAACCATGTTACTGCTTAAAGGAAGGGTATCACCTTGCTACTTTGATCGCCCATACATCGTGTGATCACTCTCAATACGCTTCGCACACCGCACCTCCCGAAAAGCACAGACACGTGTCGCAACCCAGCATCCGGGAGGCACCGCCAGTCAGCACTCAGCCTCACCTTGGCCCATCTGCATCCGCGAGGCGAAAAAGGAAGGTCACGATACTTTCTCGGTGGTGTTGCGGCTCCTAGCGCTGGGAAGCACCATGTCAGCTGAGCCCGTCTAGCCCCCCGTGACTCTGGGTGGCGCACGACGCACGTACAGCCGGACGAACAGCGAAGCCGATATTTCCATCTGCTCGCCTTGCAGCGGCATTGTAGTAGGCAAGCTCCGACGGCCTTAGTGGAAACGGAATGTCTATCCCGTAGCGCTAGCTTGCCGGTGTGATCGTCTCAGAGCTAGATGAACTTCTCGGAGACCCCTGACACGAGCTCGCTTCCACGATCTTTTGCGGGGTAGCGTATTTCCTTAGCTCATAGAAACCGAGAAAGGAAATTAGGGGTGCTCAGAGGCACAGGCGGTATAGTGATCGGTCTGTTGTACTTTGCTTGCGTACAACACCTGTCTAACATACTTGAGGTACCCCGTGGTTGTATCGTCATCATTAACGTTACTCTAATCAATGTCAGCATCTCATAACGCTAATTTACATGTGCTGTTTGGGGATTGCTGTGTAGTGTGCTCGGCTCAAGTGGTGAGCTAGAGTAGTTCCCGTAACGGTGTTTGCATTCTTGGTTGTGGAGAAGTCGCATAGCGGGGAAGTTTCGAAGACGTAAGATATTACCAAATAAAGTCCAGTCGAACACGATGGTGAGAGGCCTAAGCTCCTACTCATGCAACAGACCGGAAAATACGTGTCACCAGGAGGAGGAGCCCATGCATTGTGAAGATTTTGCAGATCCACTCCCAACGTGTGGTGTTTGTGTTTGGTGAATGGTCATGGCATGAGTTTTGCGTAGGTTGCACAACGTGCGTTGCATTATTGGAAAGAGAGACAGAGAGAGCGAACGAGAAGGCCCAATATATTCCGGAATCATCGTGATCATGGTTGACAGGGTGTTGCAAGGCTGGTCGTGTATGGTGCCGTGATGCGTCAGACATTGGCAGTTTGACGACAGAAGGTGCGAGACATGACATAGATGGCGACACCCGCAGCCGCAACCGTCCAGCAGCCGTCTGGAGAAGCGGAGATGGTGGAAGTGATCAATGCGTCGGATGTAATATGTCAAAACAAGCCACAATGCTCACAGTCAATGCTCTTGTGTCGTGAGATGATGCGTGAAGACGGCGTTACGACGACGCGACGGACGCGACAGCGTGGAAGCAACGGAGGTTGAACTCGGATTGACCCAGCAGAAAGGCGCCATGCAGGCACGGGGATTGTGAAAGATGGTCGGAGGGTCTCGTCAGAGATTTCCATGTGTCATTGGTGGTCAGGTGGCCTGCGGATTGAATTTCCTGGGGGTAATCGAAACGCCAGCCACGAGCCACGTGAAGCCAATTTTCTGCTTTGAATCGCCGCCCCAGCAAACCCGAGCTCGCCAAGCCACCGTGACGTAAAGAGAACCTAACCTCACAACCACTTTCCACTGCAAAACTATACGCGTGCAACGTGCTGCTAATCACCCTATTGGCTCGCCTATGCTGAGAATTGATCCTTCTAGCTCAAGGGCCATGTCGGTCCAGCGTCCGAGTCGTTGGCGCTTGTGCAAGGAGCTGGGGAAGACACAAGACATCTGACTAACAATGAACCATGGTGCTCTTTGTCAAGAATAAATCTCTGCCCTCGACTATAAGAGTCCTGGGGGCCTTGCGAGATTCACTATAGAAACCACGCCCGACTAACACGACTTTCCACCTGCGTCACCTACATACCTAGACACCATCTACTACCATCAACAACAACATCCAGACACGAGTCACCTTACCGTCACACCGCTGCCAAACATTCAATGAACATCAACGACTTCCCCTACGAAGTTCTTACCCAGATCCTCGAGGAGGTTACCGAGGCCAATATACGTGATGGTCCCACGTATACATTCGGTCTCCAGCAAGCACCACTGCCTCTCGAGAGGGCCAAGCTCCAGCGCTATGTGAGAGGCCCGGTTCCGCCAGAGCTCCTCAAGTGGGACGCGACTGCCACGCTGCGATCAGTCTGCTGGAAGTGGCACGAGTGGGCTCTGGAGCACTCCATCAAGGACGTCTATATCCGTCGCTGGAAGGGAGGAGAAGTAAGCACACGTTTGTTACTTACCATAAGCATCATGCTAACGAACATCAGCGATGGGCCGAGCTGTCCAACAGGCGAGAGAGCTACCCACTCTACGAACTCATTGACCGCCCGACTGGCACGGCTGTGTACCGCGACCCTTTCGCCTCACTCAAGCGGACCGTGAGCATCTGCAACGACTACCCAGAGGTGGCCGCCAAGGTTAGACGCATGTGGGTGCACGGTTTCTACACCGCCGAGACCGATCGTCTAGTGTTCCAATCGCTCAAGAACTGCACCAACATCACTTCGCTTTCTCTTCCATGGACCACTATCCGTCACGTGGACGCCAAGGCCTGGCGGACTGTCCTCACTGGTACGGGTAAGCCACTGCAGTCGCTGGAACTCCAATGTGTCGACCCTACTTCGCAACAAGCAACGGACAAGGACAATCTCGTTGATCTGGAGCCACTGCAGTCGGTCAACTTCAGCCAGCTGCGACGTCTGAAGATCTTTGGCGACACTAGCTTCATGCCCATCACCGACAATGATCTCTTCGCCATTGCTCGCACTGCAACACAGCTGGAGGAATTCCATCTGACGTGCAACTCTTCCATCACCATCGACGGTGTCATGGCCATTGTCAAGGCGTCTCGCAAGACTCTCCGAGTGCTTGAGCACAGCCCGCGGTCACAGGATGGCTTCTGGCACCCACATCCGGGATCTCCGAGCGACTGCGAGCATCTGTGCGACACTTTCCGAAACTGCCCTAAGCTCGAGACTCTTTCCATCTCGCTTCCTTCTGTATGCTCCCATCTCTTCTCCAACGACAATGCAAAGTTTGCCGGCGACCTGCAGGTACGTGCTTTGCACTTGTGTGAGCACGAGGACGGTCGCTCCACTCAGGAGGCCACCGACGCCCTGCAGAAGCTACTGGAGCAAGCCCGTCGCTTCATCCGCCTTCGCGCGGAGAGCGCCATCCCTCGCGATTTGTACGTCGAGCTCTTCTTCGCAGAGTGCATCTTCGAGCCCGGTTTCCAATCCGTGCATGGCGACTTTTCCCTGGCGCAGATCTCGTCTGATGGGCGCTGGCCACAGAACGTCGACTTCAGCGGCAAGGGACCTTATGGCAGCACCGGCCTATACGGAAAAGAAGAAGAGGCGCAATTTCAGCGCATCGACGAGGCCGACTTTTTGGCCGGTGTTCGTAGGAGGCTCCTCTCCATTCAAACTTGATTGCGACAAATAACGGCCGAAACTTCACTTCAACTTGTAAACCTTGATCACCAACCTTTTTACTTACGAAATTACGACCACATGCATGAGCGACAGGCCTGGAGCCAAAAAGATACCAGGCTGGAGCAGCCATATTGTATTCATGCATTTGGGGAACTTCATAAACGAGAACAAGGCCATGTCTCGAAAAGCGACTACTGTGTATCTTCCCGTCGGGATGGCGGGGTATCATTTTTGTTTTTTTCCTCTTTGCATCTTGTTAGCATTTTAGCGTATGTACTTCAACCAACATAATGAATCAACTTGGCACACTCATCTGGCGTCGTCTCATGGCTCATCTGTTCTGCATCCATACTTGCGCATACACCATGACCGGATGGTTGAGCAAGCAACACGAACAACGCGCGACAAAGAAACTTCGCGAAGCCTCTGCTCTAAATTTGCCAAACGGCTCCTCCGCTTGGCGATCACCAACAACACCCACCCCGCACCTGCAACCCACGCACCCACACTCTCCCAAAGCGGACAAGCCCAAGGTACATTTCCGCAGTGTCTGCTTACACATCGCATAGTCATTCCCTCACAGCAGCTAGCTGTACTCCGGATGTCAACCTCTTTCTCTATCCGAGCTTATCAACCTTACCTAAGCGGCTACGCCGTGCCAACCACTCAAACGTGGTAAGTACCAGATCTGGCACGGCACGCTGAACGCCGACCGATATGCTTGCTGAATAAGAGGCGGAAGAAGACCGCACTAAACCAAGTCGTATGCCGGACCCGGGGGCTCTGTTGAGAGAAAGCAGAGAGTGGCAGGTTTGCCGGAAGGCTGTAACAAGAAAAATGCCGGTGGGAAAGTCTAGCATAATCGTATTTTGCCAGCGAAGTGCAAAAAAAACCCATTGGCAATCACTTACCAAAGACTCATGTAATCGTTGGAAATGATCCATGACGCTACTGCATCGGGGGTATATGTGGGGCGCTAGCCGTGCGGCCATGCTCCATGCAGGATAGCGATGCGGCTATGAGGGGCAGAATGGCGCAAAGCTGTTGGTAACTGCTATGCAAGCAAGCTTAGCTACCCAGCTGGCCCTATGAGGTGGTCTCGGTGCTATGGGACCGGTGTATGGCATGATGTATTTCGAGATGCTGGAGATCGGGGCCAGGGACAAGATAGGATAAACCGACAGGGTCATCTGTAGTGGTAGCTGGTATCAAGTATAAGAAGAAGGGACCACCCCACTCCTCGAAAGCTCTCCAGTTTACCTCCTTATCCTCAACACATACGTCCTACTTCACTTGTTCTCTGTTGACTTTGTTTGATACCCCAATTCGTTCAAGATGGCTCCCAAGATCGCGATTGTGTACTACTCCATGTACGGCCACATCAAGAAGATGGTATGTTGTTCCTGTTGTGTTGTCCTGTGGAAGTTGCTGTCTACCCAACGGCTCCCCGCATGATTCTCCTCTCCAGTCTCTCAACTGAGATTCTCTGCTAACATGGTTACAAACAGGCCGATGCTGAGTTGAAGGGTATCCAAGAGGCTGGCGGTGATGCCAAGCTCTTCCAGTATGTGACCTCTATCCAACACACCCAACACCACGATCCCCAGCTCGCAATCATTCCCACAGCCGCTCAAATCTTCACCAAACAAGCCCCTCTCTATCCCATGTCGAGAGCAATCACTAACGACACAACCACAGAGTCGCCGAGACCCTTCCTCAGGACGTCCTCGACAAGATGTACGCGCCTCCCAAGGACTCGTCGGTCCCCGTCCTCGAGGACCCCGCCGTCCTCGAAGAATTCGACGGCATCCTCTTCGGCATCCCCACCCGCTACGGCAACTTCCCCGCACAATTCAAGACCTTCTGGGACAAGACAGGCAAGCAATGGCAACAAGGAAGCTTCTGGGGAAAGTACGCCGGTGTCTTCGTTTCGACTGGCACCCTGGGCGGTGGCCAGGAGACGACTGCTATTACCAGCATGAGCACGCTTGTGCACCACGGTTTCATCTACGTTCCCCTGGGCTACAAGACTGCGTTTAGCATGTTGGCCAACTTGGACGAGGTCCACGGTGGAAGCCCTTGGGGTGCTGGTACTTTTTCTGCTGGCGATGGATCGAGGCAGCCCAGTGAGCTTGAGCTGAACATTGCGCAGGCTCAGGGTAAGGCTTTCTACGAGGCTGTTGCCAAGGCGCATCAGTGACTAGATGATGGAAAGACTGCTGGCCTTGTTGCTGAGAACAAGACGGTAGAGAATGGGAATGGAGTAACGACAAATGGTAGCACTGCTGCTGCTGCTGCTCCTACTTCTACTCCTGCTCCTGCTGCGTCTTCTTCGCAACCCCAGCAGAAGACGGAAGAGGACAAGGATAAAGAGGGCGGTCCGTGTGGATTGCCTGCAAAGTGCGATATCATGTAGACTTTGGCCTTTCCTCTCTACTTCTTCTTTCCTACTTGTGGAGATTTGCGATGGAATGAAACGAAATGAGATAATTTAGCCATGAGAACTACGCTCGAGTCTTCAAACAGTACTGAGAAAATGTGTGTCAACTCGGATAGACTGGGCCAAGCCCGAAGGAAGAAGACATTGGGTATCATTATTTCCACAGCTACTCTATCACAGACCCATGAATCTGGATAACAAATATTCCCCATAAGGAAAAAAGGTTCCATCAAGCCTTATACCAAACGAAACTCCATCTACACCAGGAAAGAAACAACCCAAGGTCCTCAATCCCTATTCGCTATCGATCCTTGTTCCCCGCAATCACCCACCCTTCTTCCCCTGCCCCTCCTCCCCCCCTGGAACATGATCATGAACGAAGCCATCCACCCAATCCTTGACCCCATCAGCTTTGTGCGTCAACCACTCCCACCAACTCTCCTTTTCCTTCTCCGCCCCCTCGCTCGCTTCCTTATCGCCTTCCTTATTCTTGAGTTCGTCTTTACTTCCATCCGCCGGAGTGGGCCGGGCCGGTACTACTGGGTCGTGAAGCGAAGGAGAGGTATCTTCCATTCCGGACGCGGATGCTGCGATGGAGGATAAGGAGTTCAAATCCATGGACGCGAGATCTGTCGACGAAGACGAAGAAGGAATAGTGTAAGCAGGAACGGGGTCCTCGGGCGTGTGATTCTCATTCCCGGGCGCATCCTCGTCGTCGTCGTGCAACCCAACTGGTTTCAACGGCAGGCGCAACGTCCCATTATTCGGGGCGGGCGTGAGACCCAGCGTATCGCAAACGATATTGTACAGTTCGATATTCTGAAACGGTTGCATTCTGCTGCCGGGCATGTGCGGGAAAGCCGGCCCCCGAGCAATAAACACGGCTCTCATCAACGGGTGTTCAAAATCATATCCGTGCAGACCCCTCGGATGGTATACTTGGCCCTTCTTCTTGCCCGCTTCGACGTCGAATTCGTCCCTTGTGACAATCGCCCAACCGGTTTTGGGCACGATCCAGAGAGGCGCGATCCGCTTGTTGCGACTAAAGTGGTACCGCTCCGGCATATCCTCGTCTCGCAAGTAAACGTCCACGTTAGGATTCTCCTTTGTGCGTTGTTTGATCTGGTTGTAAAGCCGGTGTAGAGAATCCGGATCTCTAGGGCGTAAACCGTAGAGCGGCCAGCCATCCGTATGTTCGAGTTCCTTTGGATCGACCAAGTCTTCCAGTTGAATCAATCTCGTCACGTCCGTGGTAGCCATGCCGTGGTCGCTCACGACGATGACGTTTACAATGTTGGTCAGGTTGCGTGCTTGCAGACCAGACAGGATACCTCCCACCATGGCATCGGCGCTTGCAATCGTTTTGCGGATCTCGGTGCTGTTGGGGCCGTAGCGGTGACCGTCGCCGTCGACGTCGGGGACGTACGCTGCGATGAGCTGGGGCCTGGGCGCATTTGCTTTGGCGCCCACGTCTCTGGGGCCAGGGGTGTCGAGGAGCGACATGATGCGGTCGACCTTGCTAGCAAGCACTTCGGAGCCGTTGTACTTGTCAACGTAAGCAATCTCCTGATGCAGGATCTTGGCTTCAGAACCGGGCCACATGTGCACCGCCGTCCGTACACCTTGTTTCTCGGCCGTCACCCAGAGGGGTTCGCCGCCCCACCAGTGCGCTTGCAGGCTGCGGTCTGGGTCTGTGTAGTAGAACTCTTGCTGTAGTTCGGGGTCCCAGAACGTGTTTCCTACCACGCCGTGTGCTTCGGGGTACATGCCCGTGGCCATTGTGTAGTGGTTTGGGAACGTGACGCTGGGGAAGCTGGGCATCATGTACTTTGGCGAGATGCCTTCTTGGACGAATTGGTTCAGCGTGGGTGTTAGATTTCTGAACAGAAAGTCGGCGCGGAAGCCGTCGAGGGAAATGAGAATCGTGGTCGGGGCGAAGAGCGAGGTGCCGTTTGATACCAGGGTTACTGCGCCCTTGACGTCTTTTGGGGTGGAGAGATTGTACGTAGCTGCGAGAAGGACGACGAAGAGAACGATGATGGATACGTAGATGGCCATGCGTCGGTATAGGCTTTTCCTGCGTGTCTGTAGCAAGTATTAGCTTTTTTCATCTGCGCATTCGCAGACTTTACATACCTTTCTCTGCAGCTCGCTCGCAAGTAATCGCTGTTCATCGCTTTGGGAACTCCTCCTTGACCGGAAACTGGTACTCGAAGCGCCAATACCCTCTTCCATCTCGTACATGAGCGCACTTGCTTCTTCGTTGCCGCTTTTCCTGCGCCCCTTGGTGTCGCTCTTCTTGTCCCATTTGCCAACCTTGACCCCAGAGCCTTTACGCCCTAGGATACCCTTCCCACCATCTTCGCGCGTAAGAAGTCTCTCGCGCTCATCCTCCGAGTCCAAGATATCGCGGTCGCGCTCGTCAAGGTCGCCGGACGGCCGGCCGTCGTAGGCTTCGTCGTCGGAGGTGTGGTCGTAGAGGGTGCGGTCGTCGGTGCCTGCGTCGGAGCTAGCGACCCTGTGCGATTCGTTGTGCGGTTGCGGTTGCGAAGACATGATCGCGTTCTTCGGGTAACGTTATCACATCGCTTGATGAACCGGGAGACACGTTGCGCGCCCGCTATGGTACTCGATATGTTGGGGGTCAGCGACCCCAGACGTGTCTCTTGGCATTCATGTTTCACGCGTGCAGGAATGCGACGTTCGTCTCGCGTATCGACTTGATTCGGTAATGGACCCAACAATCAACAACCTCCCACTCACCCAGAGAATTGAGAATCGACAACTTCATTTGAAAATTCCCATCTGCGTATGACACGTTCTAGAGATTGATACAAATTCTTCCCCTGATATCCAAAGAAAAAAGACTAACCATCTCCCTGACTCTACACTCTACTCCATCTCAAAAACCACCCTTTCCCACGCATCAACCCACCTACACCCCATCCCTCCCACCCTCCCCTCTGAACAATCCCACAACACCAACCACATACACTCCACCAGCTCACCCCAGCAAAACACTCTCACCTCACCCAAATTCCCCGCCTCACCATGCTTGGCACCAACCTCGCGATGCAAGCTCGTAGCCCAACCCAGTCTACCATCGCCCAGCCGTTCACAAATTGCGTCCCAAAAGTGTTTTTGCCATCGTGAGGGCCATTGCGAACAGTCGACGGACCACCAGCCGCGCGTATCGGGTGCCGGGGTGTGCAGCTTTTTCAGAGGTTGGAAGAAGGTGCTAGGGTGCTGAGTTTTGAGGGAGGCGAGGTAGGGTGTTATTTGCGAGGGCCAGGTAAGAGGTGTGGTGATGCCGATCTTGGGTTCGGGCGCTAGGACGCTGTGTGGGAGTGTAGACAAGTCGATGGAGGCATCGGATTCACAATCGGCTTCCTGTAGGCTTTTAATCTCGTGTTGTGGTGTTGAGACTGCTGGCTTTGGCGCTTCGTCTAAGCGCAGGGCTTCCTGTTGTCTTGCAATGGTAGAGGTAGGGGCGGGAGGCGGAGTTGGGGGAACATGCGTCTTGACTGCTGCTGCTGCGCCAGCTTTTTCCAGGCGTGCACTCTTACGGCGACTCGCAACTGTAGTGGGTACTTTGAAGGGGGCCGCTAGCTTTGACGCGTCGTTCAGGCGCGAGCTTCTTCGTTTTACTCTTCTGAGTAGGCTATCGAACTCCAATTCTGGACGGGCTTTTGGGTTGCCAAGCGACTTGATCTCTGCTCCTTTACTCCCCTGTAGGCGCGCACTCTTACGACGATCCACGACTGTAGCGGGATCCTTTGGCAAGGGCGTAGGTCGAGACGGAACAGTATCTTCTGCTATAGCAACAGGTATGGGCTCTGCTGGTGCATCGGACGACGGGGGATCTTCTTGCGCAGCATTCTCAGCGACCAATTCGGCTTCGTCTGAATCTTCCCAAGATATCGGAGAGCTGCTCTCAGGTCCACTTTGCGGCGGTTCTTCTCTCGTAATAGCAGTCATCTGTTCAGTTGGCTCATCGCCGTCCAAAGGAACTTCTTGCGTAAAAATGCCAGCATATTCATCAGATTCAACATGTCTTTCGTCTGTATCGTCTTCCGAAGTGTTCTCGTCGGTCATCTCAAAACTATCCGGCATCTGACTTTGCAGCGCCGACCTTGCTTCTTGCGTATCTTCGATGAACGCCGTGTCGACATCTTCACACTCTTCCTCTTCCCCATCATACCAGTCTTTTGCATCCCGCTGTCTACTAGCAGCGCTTGATTTGGGAGTTGTCGTTACTTGCGCCTTCCAATTCTGGTGGATTTCTTCTAGACGGGCAAGCCGACTAGATGGTGGAGCATGGTTATCTTGTGTTTGCGACAAGCCTGATGGGAAACTGCCGTAGGAATCTTTACCCGTTGATAGAAACGAGGCGTCGACGTTGGAGTCGAATGAACTACCGGGATCTAGCACCGCCGGGTCGCTCATTCGGGAAGCATCCGCATCCTGGCTGGACACCTCTGCGTCAAGCTGTGACGACCTGTCTCCATGGGTTCTGGCGGATTCGAAGTCGAGATAAGCGTTAGCCAAGGAACGATAGAGTTGGTCGTTTTGACGGGTAACGGGTGCGGAGATGTGAACCAAAAGTTCGTGCTCATGGACCATAATGGACTGCAAGCAAGTAAAGGTAATGGTGTTCAATATCCATCATCGTAGAACATGTGGAGCCGATCCAAAAGAAAGCCCGCACGAATCGTTGTTACAGGGAAGGATAGTAGAAGTCAAGTGTTGACGTGAGCAAGGGTTCAGCCTAGCAATCTCCGACGCCACTACTTGGCAGCTGCATTCGGTCTGTGCACGGTCTTATATGCGATACTATCGGATGTGATCATACCTTTCAGGTCGCATGTGGCAGCGTAAGACACGGAAAACAATCTGCTGATTCAAGATATAGATTCCGCATCACAGACGGAATTACTCGTTCAGCTCAAGGACAGCATTTGTCCAGCATCATCATTCAATGGTATGTCGTCTATCATGTAAACCATCCCTACAGAGTTATCGCTGAGAAAAAGAATTCGAACCACACCACTTTTGATTTCCCCTTTTGAGAAAACTACTCCTCGTCCTCCTCAACCGCCTGCATCTCCTCAACATCCTCCTCCTCAAAGGTGTGCATGGGCACGGAGTAGAGGCGGAGAAGGGACTTGTTGGGGTCCTTGACAAGGACGTATTTGCCTTCGTCCATGCGAAGTACCATGTCAACAATTGTGCGCACAATAGCCCATCCGTTGTTGAGGTTCAGTGCCATCTGAGCGGCGAAGTCACGGGGCTTGGCGGTGAGAACACCAAGGATGACGTGGTCGTTGTTGTTCTTGGGGTTGGTACGGGATACGAAACTGTTATCATGTTAGCCAAGACCAATGCGAAATGATGGAAATGCATACCCAAGCTTCATGGTGTCAGCCTTAGCCAGGATACTCTGCACAGTCCAGCGAGCAAGCTTGCAGGAGTTGTTCTTCATCTCAGTGGCGAGGACAGCACCACGCTGGCTGGCGAGCTTGGACCTCCAGTCGAGCGCACCGCCGGCTCCTTGTGCCTTGTTGTCGAACTCGTTAAGGGCCTTGATGGTCAAGTACTGGTCTTCGCCGTTGATGTTGTTCTTGACAACAGCGTCGAGCTCTGTTCGGACAACAAGGTGCAGAGGCTCCTCATCCTTGTCGAGCGACAGATCGAAGCGGCGGTACCGGTATGCCTTGGACGCTGGCGGGTCGGTCTCGACCTCCTCGTTGTAGAAGGGGTGCTCGTGGGGCATGTTGATCTTTTGCGTCTCGGACTCGGAAACGACCTGCAGAGGGAAGATGTTGTTGATGTGGGTGGCTTCCAGCATGAGGGCGCCGGGGCTGTTGATGGAGTCCTTGTTGCCCTCGGAAATTTCGAGGGGCGCGTCGGCGGCGTTCTCGTTGACGGTGACCATGTCCAGACTTGAGCCATCGCGCTTGTCAATGAAGACCTTGTTGCCGCGCTTGGTGAATACCAAGTCCCATGAGTAGACGGACTTGGTGGCGCACATGAGCATGGACAGGACGCCGTCGGTAGCGAATACCGTCGCCTCGTCCTTGTCGGCAAGCTCTTGCAGAATGGGATCGCTGGAAGTGGTGACATTGTAGGCGGCGCGGTCGAGGACGTTGAGTTTGCGCTCCGAGGTCCTCGCGCCAGGCTGCTTGTCGTAGCTGCGGTCGTAGTAGTAGAGGAAACCGTAGTTGTCGATGTCCTCGCCTTCGTGGGTATCCAGGTTAAGCTTGCTGAGACGGGAGAAGTCAATCTCCTCCATGACGTTCCACTCGGGCTTGACCTGTACGGAAGCATCGCGGTTGCGCTGGGGCTTGTCGTCCCTCCAGCCGAAACGGCGTCCTCCCCTGCCTCCACGTCCACCGCGCTGGTTGTCGTACTGGTTTCCGCCACGGCCACCAACACGCTGGAAGGTGCCCCGCCCTCCGCGTTGCGCCTGCCCGCCTCGCGCTCCTCCTCGTCCACGGAAGACGGTGCCGCCGCCTCGTCCGAATCCTCGGCCGCGGGCTGATGTGCGTGTGTTGTCGACGACGGAGAAGGTGGCCTCCTCCTCGGCGGCCTGGATAGCGAAGGGGTTGGTCTGCTGGTTCGCGCCGTATACCTGCTGGTCTGTGAAGCGTTAGTTCGCTGCTCTTTCTTTTTTCTTTGCAGTATAAATCCAGCCATACCCCGGTAGTTGCGGTTGCCGTACTGCTGGCGTCCTCCCCGCTCGCGGTCCTTGCCCTCAGTCCAGTCGGCCATGCGACCCAGCTTGTCCGCCTTGGAGTAGGGTGCAAACGGCACGCCGTCGAGCATCGACTCGGACGTGACTGGCGGGCCCCATCCTGCGGTGTCGGGCAGCGCGGACACGAGGTCCAGTAGTGATGCGGGTGCCATTTTGTGTTAGTGACTGTAGGTGGTTGTTGCCGCACAGAAATTATGTGGGCAGTCAAAGTTGGCGCTAACGAAACGAAATTCCTACCCCGCGGGCAACTTCACCCAACTACCACACTCACTCGACGTCGCTCCAGATCCCACGAAAAGCTTGCTTCGTCAATCAATGCTACCTAACGCAGCACTCTCTGCAGCCTAGTGACATGCGCTTCCTCTATCCAACCTCAGATTATTTCCAGAACAACTCCAAGAATACTGAACAGCAGGGGCAACAATGGTGCACGCCGCGAGAATGTGCTTGCTGCGTCTAACTCGACATCATCAACACACGCATGCGCGCTACATCCTGCCCAGGGTCTAACTTTAATTAGCCATGTCACGCCCTTTAATTCCAGCATAGGGCCGCAGCTGCATAGACCTGTGAGCCTATCGTTGCAAAGCTCCCACCCTCTCAAGTCCTCACCGGTCTCTATTAACCGGTGAATGGAAGAGCAGAAGAACAAGTTCCTATCCTCCCAAGCATGCTCGCATAGCTTTCAGCTTCTCCTCATATCTGCAATTTCGTTCAATATCTCTTCAAATTCACGAACCTCGAAGTGTTCTTGCTTTATTTCTTGTTTAATCTCCCTTGACACAACATGCAATACGAGCCTCTCGAGAAGACGAAGAACGATATTCGCGTTTTGAGGTTTCTGGATCCTTTACGTCCTATTTCGGCCGAAGACTCTATTGAATGCACGATCGAAAATGTTCCGCTGGAAGAAGGTTCTTTCTCCCCCCAATCGGATCAAAGCTACATACCAAACCCAAAGTGCCCGATGGTTTGGGATCGTTTCACAAAATGCGTAGATCTACGAGACGCGACCTTGGAAGGATTAACCCTTGACGAGGCCACAACTGAGGGCCTCCGCAACCAAGCCCACAAGCAGGTCAGCGACACTCGCTTTGCTTGGGGAGATTTCGAAGCTTTGTCATATACGTGGGGCGACGTACGTGATGTAAAAAGCATCATTTTAAACGGGGTGCGCAAAGACGTTTCAAAGAATCTCGAATCAGCGTTAAGGGCTTTACGAGATCTACAAGAGACGCGTTTGGGTATGCATTATTGGGTAGATTCATTGTGCATCAACCAGGAGGATGAAGAAGAGCGCAATGAACAAGTCAAACGCATGAGAGGAATCTATCGTCGAGCTAGGGCTGTGGTCGTCTGGCTTGGTCAAGAAGAGTCTACCGACAAAATTGCAGTTCAGACTATGTGGCACCTTTGCCGGAATCCTTGCATAGAAAACACACTCGAACTGCCAAAGGACTTACGGCTTGATGGATGGCCTGCCCTTTTTGCATTTGCACAAAAGCCTTATTGGAATCGAGCGTGGATCATACAGGAGCTTGCTGCGAATCACAATTCGACCTTGTTGTTGTGCGGAAGATCCAAATTGACGAGAAGAATGATACGACTGGGCGCTACATACTGTCGGGAGCTTCTTACAGCCTTGCAAGACCAAACATGTCAATCTGACCTCGACTCGAAACCCGGTTCATGGCCCATCGTCAGTAGCATATATTGGCTAACGATGCTTACATCCAATTCGAATGCTAAAGTAAGCTTGAGCCGTCTGATGCATCTTGTCCGCCGATTCGATGCAACCGACAAAAGGGATAAAGTCTATAGCATACTGGGCTTGTTGGACCCTACAATGTCTCGAGGCATCGCTCCAGATTACTCGCGTTCTGTACAGGAAGTCTATACAGGTTTCATGATGTCCGTTGTTGAAAGTTCAGGAGGATTAGATTATATTGCGTCTGCAGGCATACACCCAACTGAGAAAGACTGGCCATCATGGGTACCCGACTGGAGACTCACATCCACCCGCCACCACATCGAGTATCTGCGATCCCGCTCAGCTGGCGGTAATCTACCCACTCAGGTTCCGCTGATCAAGCAAGGCAAAAGAAGTACTCTTCTTGTTTGCAGCGGATTGCAAGTGGACATAGTCGATGGTACTGCAGCCGAACCTCCCCTACATCGTTCTACTCAACCACGCTACGCCTTGAATAGATATGGCAGTCGGAAATCCGAAGCACTCCAGCAGACCTTGCTTATGGGCCACCCTAAAGCTACTCCAGGCACAATTGTGGGCTATCCCAAAGCGTCTACAGGCGTACTCAAGTCTGGTGTGATTCAAGATGTACTTCTCAAAGTACTTTGGCCATTAGAACATAGTTCATCGCCATGACGACCAAAGATCTGTCAGTCAAACTACTTTCAAAGATTTGATAAGTTCCGAAAACACAATCGAGGCTTCCGTATCGGAGGCCAGAGTTTAGAAAGCTTCTTCCCAACGGCTCATAATAAAGATTTACATGTAGAGCTTACGCTACGTCATTTGCGCTTGGCTATGCTGTCTTTGGAACAAAGAGCTCTCATAACAACAGAAACTGGTTATTTGGGACTGGCCCCTACAGCTGTTCGCCAAGGAGATGTCGTTGCTATCTTATTTGGCTGTAGGTTTCCTATGGTCTTGAGGCCCTACCTTGATGACATGTATCAAGTCATCGGAGAATGCTACATCCACGAACTCATGGATGGGGAAATGTTGAGTCAGGAGCGTGACGGCCATGTTTCACGGCGGGAATTTGTCCTGTGTTAGTAGGGCTTTTGTTTATGCCAGGTTTTATGAGCTTCTATTTATTCTAGATTAGTCTTCCCTTACTTCCTCTCCTTCTTCTTTATAACATTTAAAAAGGAAAGCATGCTAACTACTACTCTCCTTTCTTCCTGAATAGTCCGACTTCATCGACTGTACCGAAACCAGCTCTTTGCACTACTGAGACACTGTCCTCGCACCGCTCCATTCCACACGTAGTTTCAAGACCTGACTGTGAACTGCCGTCTTCCTGCACATCTGCATGCTCTTCATGTTCGTTTAGGAGCGTGTCTGTCTCCTTCTGGTCTTCTCCGCTGACTTGGATCAGCTCTCCAAACCTGACTTCCATTTCGCGGAGTTCTTTTGACACATTTTCATATCCACCCAGCGTGCCAGAGCCTTTCGTAACCACCGCTTCAAGCGAAGTACGTCCAGTAGTCGTCATGAGAAGTTGCAGAAAACCTCCACTGATAGCTGAAACGCCGTGGTTCTGAACATAGAGAGCTATAAATCCTAACACTAGAATTGGTACGGCGAGTGCAAGCGATAAACCGTATGGCAGGATTAAGGCGAGCTTGTTCTCGAAGTGGTAGGCATTGAAATTGAGGGTCTCTGTTCCGTTGACCATGTCGAATCGCTGATTAAGAGCCAATGCAGAGATCGTGGTATTGATGAGAAGCTCATTGGCCATATCAGGATCAAACGCTGGGCATCCATCATATTTATTGCCTCCATCAAGTCGCTGTTCGAAAACTCCGAGACGCCATATGGTGGCCCCGACCTCGTCATTTTGTGTGACAAGATAAGATTTGCCATGGGGTTTCACATCGAGCACGCATGTTTCCACAACCTCTCCATCTTCAGTCGTGTAAGGCTTTGTCTCATTCGACATGCTGGGATATTCGAAAGTCCATCTTTTGAAAGCGGACCCAGACTGGTTAAAGTTCTGTGCAAAGTTCCGATATATCGCTACAGCGTCAGAAAGTTGTGCCCATTGCTCAAAGGTTCCGCTGAAGTCGTCAAAATCTCGAGTGTATGTCGGTATAGATACATCCTTTTTGATGATATAAGATGCGTGCTGTGCCCCTGCAGCATTTGACATAGTGATATGGTATTCGACTATCTTTGGACTGCATACTGTTTCGGTCACAGGGACAGTCGAATGTATTCGGCCCGAATCCAGCCAGCCCGAAAAGTTTGCCTTTAAGGGAAGCCAGGATATGTTATCAGTATTGGGCATCCATTGGTTTTTGTCTAAGCATGGCCAATACTGTGGCGCATCTAGGTCATGGACGACGCGATAGGTGATATTTGCATCCTCTAAGGAAACATCCCACTGTGATCCCGTGTTTGTTAACGTACAGTTGGGTGCGGGATTGGAAATTTGCCAGATCGCCTCTTTATGGTCGCTAGGCATGTTCGTCAAACTTAACTCCGAGATTGTATATTCCATAGAGCGATTCGTGGTTTCACAGTCCAAGGTGGTTCCGAAGAAACTGAGTTCATACGATGTGTTCTCTTGACTTGCTTGCTTCAGCCGTGATATTTCGCCCACAATCAGGTTTGAGCTTGTGATATATTCCATGCCATTTGTCACACTATATAGAATGAGTACGAACCAAAATTAGCCTTGGTGGGGCTGTAGCAAATATTGGAGAGGGGGAACCTACCTTTGCGAAGAACAGGTCTTTAGGAACGTTGTGTTCTTTGTCATTTGCGGTGATGTTGAAAGATGGTCGGTACAGGTATCGTTTACACAATTAACCTCACACTTTACCTGACCTATAACATTGTCTTCAGATATGTCCAGAAGATTTCTGTGGTGGAATACAGACACATTGAAGCTTATGTCAATGGAAGAAGGCTGTATTTCGACGACTAGAGTACCGGGAGGGTATACTGTTGCAATCGGAACAAGCCAGCAAAAAATAGCTACAGCTACAAGTACCGGCGTCTTGAAGTACAACTGGTAGTTGAAGAAGTGGAACGGATTTGTTTGCACTTGGAAAAGATCCTCGATCAGACTGACCTAAACGTTGTAAGCTTGCATTTTCCTAGCTTTACTGAGAAGAATAGCACCTTAAGCACGCGCTTTCTCAATGTTGCCCAAAGAAATTGCGTGTAGCATGTCCCTATGCTTGCTACTAGTGCAGCACGAAATGCGGTGACTAGTACCAGTGACACTGTAGTAGCATAGGCTTGTGAAACCGTAGTAGTTTTCATGGAGAGCGTAAAACCTGGAGAGATAATGCGACCGTCGAGATAGGTGAAGAAGCAATAATGTGTAGCTGCACAGAAGAACGCTGATTGGGCTTTGTTAGTACTGCGAACAGCCAAATGTACGACCTTACTTGGTATTCTTACATATGAAATAGAATCCTAATATGGTGGCTGGTATCCTCCACGTCTGTCTCGACCCCAAAGCCCTTCCCAGTAAAGGGAGAGGCGGGTGTTTGACTGCGCAATCAGTTCTTTTGGAAGATGCAAATAGTCTCGACATTTCTGAAGCTGCGTCTGAAACCGGAGATAGGGCGGGAGCCAGGAATGGATCGAGATCTGACTGGAAAACTGGATTCATGCTGGAGTGTGAGTGGATGGGTTCACCGTGTGATCTCGCAGTAGCCTTGTCTGATACGTGAGGTTCAACCCCATCCAGACGTTGTCCGCTTGCGGTCTTGCCCTGGGTTAAGGAAATCGTACGCTGATGCATTATGTGCGACACAGAGATAGTTTGATATCTTTAGGCGCACGAAAGATAGATTTTAAATTGGAAGGAGGCTGAGAGCGGATTGTTTAGGTTTTAGCGATACAAGAGGCGCTGAAGCTGAGGTGGGGGCCTGCCCACGATTCGACGCCACAATTCTTGGATGCATTAAGGATTCAGCTGTTGCAAACCGAAGATCAATCGAGACTTTAGGAGTGACCCCCATCCTACATACGACGAAAGCCTTCTCGCCAGATTGGCTGTCTGTCAGACAGACTCCTGCCACCACGGATGCGCCAAAACCTCGTCTATTGTTGACCTAGCCCCCAGGTCGATCTTAGTCGTTCCAGAGATCATATTCTGTGCGTCAGAGCCAAGCAAGTGTCCCCACACCTCAAAGCCCATAATTGGCCTCTCTTCCAAATCCGCCTCAGCCAATTCATTCATTTTCTCCAAAACCTTCGTCCAATTTTCGTCGTCGATCCAGTTGAAAAGCCTTTCGTTCGGTGGCCCAAAGAACGTGAAATGTCTCAGTAATACTCTTTGCTCTGAGTACATGTTTTTCTTGACGACCTCGCTGTCTTTGTGTATAAGTATCGCGTCCTCTTGCCCTAGGGTATAGATGCACTGTGGTAACGCTTAGCGTAAGTTCTGAGATAATGATGCATGAAAATAGCTTGGGCAAACTCACAACCAGTCCGAACGAGAGTACGTCTGATGCCTTGGACATACCTCTCCCAGTCTGTGCTTCTGGACTGCGCCACATGTGGTTTCCTACTGCATGAGGGCCGGTAATCACCGCGTTTGTCGGACACTCCCAAGCAACGTCGAAGTCACCCAAAGCGACATCTGTGATTGTCTTGGTACCCTCTTCATCGCAAGTCCAGTTGACCAGTATATTGTCGGGCTTAATATCTGCCAAGTTCGATTGTCAATCAGGATATCGTGATGGAAGATTTAATCTGGACCGGAGACTGTACCGATATGAATCCAGTCCTTGCTATGTAGCTCTTGTATGGCTTTTGCTGTCTGCCGCAAGACTTCCTTCCGTGCCGCAACAGAGACCTCTGGATCCTCTTGAAGCAGTTTAAGCAGGGTATTCTGGTAGTATGGATAGATTAGAAGTTTTTCTTCATCGTTAGAGTCAACATGCATACGAAGCCGACGGGACCCGGAAAGATCGGCTGCGAGGCGTAAGGACATGTCATAGATTGTTTCGGGGACACGCTTGAAGACGAAAGGCTGATCATGGGATCTAAATTCGTTTTTGTTGAGCGAGAATACAGACATGAGGTATGTGTAACATACACGGCTTTGAAGATGTTCAATCGAGGATCTTTGCGCTCCACGAGCACTTCGCGCTGGATGTATTCACGGCCCGATCTGCCTACAACAGTAGAAGCCATTCTGATGCCTGTACGTGGGATCGGGGATATGCAGCGGACGAGACGACGAAGAAGCATGATTGTAGACTCAGGAAACAGGAATTTATAATGAAGATATTGTCTCTTGAGTCAAAGGTTGTTCGTGGTGGCGATAGAAGGTTGTTCATTAGCGCGGTGCTGTCACCGGTAGCGCACAGACATGGTAAGCGCTCATCCAACTCTTGGCTTCACCCGCGATCGCTGGGTTCAGTGCACACCTTCTCAATCACTAAGGAGTCAACGTGGGTATCTGGAAGAAGGCTGCATAATCCGCTGCTAGCGATACTGTACCCGATATATTAACAAGCTAGCGGCCCACTGCTGAGGCACGGGTATGTGTTGGACATCAACGTGGAGGCGGCTACAGAGTCACGCTCTTCCCATGTTGGCGCACCCAACACGTTGCGACTTCAATATGCACTACAGCTACGTTACAGCTACAACACATCATGAGCGAGTAGCGGATGCGAATAAAGGGTGGATGATCGAAGTCGCACATCCAAACTTCACTTGGCAGCCAAGCACTTATGCTTCGCACGTTGTAGTCACTATCAACCCCTGGGTATGTACCACAACCAAGTTGAAGACAGTGACTCAAAACATGAATCTTCACTGAGCAAAGACAGTTCAACCAACAAAGGCAAGAAGGGCAGCGAATTAATGTGCGAAAAGCAAGAAAACGTGGTGTTAAATCTGCGCGACAAATGATCGAAGTCAAATTTGCCACTTCAACTTTGCATTCTGGAGCACATGAGAATTTCCGGTCTCCCAAATTGCAGCGTGCCAGCGGTCTTGTACATGAGGGTACATTCTATAGGTATCGTATACAAAGTTCAGGCTCCGCATACTTCCTAACCATGTTGAGACAAAACAAGTTGTCGCATCCACCTACCACTTTCTTCGAATGAACTACTCGCTAACAGTCACCTTTCTACCCGGCAGTATAACATCCACAGGCATATACCTTCCTGTTCTGGAGGGGCGATATGCTTGGTTGTGATGTGTTGCTTATTTGCATCACGCCAGTGAGCAGTAAAATGTCTTCTAGAATCGTTCTGGCTGGAGTGTTCGGCCTCGCTATTCTCGAGTCATTACTCATAAGTATCACAGGCATACTGGGATCTTTACACCAATATTGCAGTCGTTGCGCCATCGGGCACATCGGCCTTCTCCACGGCTTTAACGAATCCGTCTTTGACACGCTCTGACAGCATTCTTCGCTCCCAACCAGTAGTCCTGGTTGCATATCCGACTGAGCTTGAACGACTGGAGATCGTCACCAATTTGATGAACTCGGTGGCGAGGACCTCGTTGACTGGCATCTTGGAGACTGTCTGTGTGCAGAACGAAGCTTGGTAGGCCAAAGTACAGTGGATGATTGGACAATGATCTGCTGATATATGCGTACTATAGCTAATAGAATCTGCTGCAAAAGAACAAGGATGCTTTATATGTGCATTATGGACAGCCGGAGTCATTAACAACTCTGTCATACACGAACATACAACAAGACCAACAAGGCCTTTGTGAGTCAAAGTTAGCAACGTCGACACATCTTCTGAGCAGTGATAACGAGCCGTCAAGCACATCAGCGATGGTCGCCATGACGTCAAAACTATGCCTGTGTTGATTGCTTTGTGTAGCACAATTGCTGTGCCTTAGTAGAATCAAGAACAGAGATAGAAGACATGAAGGTACTGGATTGGTCTAAGAATGTTTATTATTCGAGCTTGTTGGAGAATATTTGCAGTACCTCATCCTTTTGGGCGTCTCTTCATCTGAAGATGGATATCTTTGTAGTGTGAGTCCGAGAGAGAGGTGCACTGAAAGTTACTGTCACAGGCTAAGGGCCGATAGGAACAATTAGCTTTGTTACTCATAGTGCTGCCAGAAAAACCTCATTGATTCACTAGTTGTAATGGTCATAATGCGCGTGTATGGTGCTGTTGATCCAGATCATCTGACATCGCAGTCCAAGTGTATTTTCTAGATACATTGACCTGCAGTATGTAACGTACATTACAGATTAACGCTCTACATAGCCTTCTAGCTTATACCGAGAACCTATCAAAACTTTCTGCAGCAAGTTTTTAGATTGAGAGTCTTCCCTAGAAGTAATCCAATAAGGATCTGGATAAGTACTGTATTTCTTTAACGGACAAGGCACGACTATCAAAGACAAGCGCCTTAGTACTGATGAAGTCCTGTATTGCTGTATTGTTACATCCGCAACCTTTTTGGTCTCTGTCATACTGCTTGTTCAAGTCTCTGCCATTTCCTTCATCCTTGCTCTTCGAACTGAAGAAGACCACGTCCAAGAACTCTACTATCTCCTCACTGGATAGTCAAACACAACCTCGCATTCGATCCCTTCCTTCCTCAGCACTTCCACAAACATCTTCTCCCGAACTTCTCGCTCATGGATTGAAGGTCCAGGGTTGGAATGGAAAGGCCCATGCCTTACAACGATCTTCTTGAGTCCACACATCCTTTGTAGGGTGATGTCAGCGATTGTCTTCGTTCTCTCCAATGTTCCAGGCACGCAATTAACCAGCCAAACCGTCTCGATGCCCTGCACAAATTTGTGCGGCATATTCTCTGTGAAGTTCTGTCCGAATTTCCGTACGAATGCCAAGCCGGTGAAGCACAACTCGTTCAGACGAGGAATCAAGGGAGAAGCCTCTGCGTAAAACTGCCGACACACCATTGTACTGGAGATCAACTGAGACAACGGGTACTTTATCCTTCGGTCTGCGTTTTTCCAGTCTTCTACTGTTACGGAATACTTGGAGTACGAGACGGGATTCGATCTACTAGATCGGATCTAGACCATCTGTTGTCAACCCAGCTAACACATTTCACGGTGAAAACGAAGGCGTAGATACGTTTCCTGATCTCGCCGGGTAGACGGAGAAGTGGGGACTGGAAACTGTTCGCATAGGTACTGCGTTCGTTAGTCATAGTCGGCTTGGAAGTTCTGATACTCACACGAGCTCTGCGTGAGCCGGTGACACAGGTTGAGGCAGTTGGTGAGATAGAAGTGCAGCCATGCTTGAGTTTGTCGGCGCGACAGCGAGCATCTGGTTTAAGAAAAGTATTGTGTACTGTGTGTGTGTGGTTATTATAGAGAGAGAAGAAAAGTTTCAAAAGGTTACGCGATGAGGAGTTTTTATCAAAAATGGAAGGTGAGGTGAGCGCAAACGCACCGCTCCAGAGCGCCGCACGCTGAAATGCAACATAAGATATAACAAGAACGGATAAGACACTGCTTCTCTTGTACACTGTTCTCTCTCACTCGAATAGACTACCGCTTTCTCCCTTGGTAAGACGTCTACACGCCACCTCATCGATGTAACACGGGAAAGCGGCGAATCGATATTATCCCAGAAAGTGCTTTGAAATGTTAATATGATCATCCATACCGAGAGCCAGTAGCTTGGATGCTTACATTGTTTCCGTGTTCATGTTGTTGATGAGCCGGACATGGAAACTACGTCGTTGTCACCTTCTAGATACCACAAGCAAGCTGGGTTTGTCAAAACCATGTCAAGCAATACCAATCCCACACTCCACTCACGAAATTGAGTCTGGACCGATGACCGTACCGATAGTGATAGTTTATCTCTACTCGCTCAGCATGCCCTGGCCTCTGAGAACATCTCTCACGGCCACCTCAATATCCTCGTCTACCAATTCCAACCGCTGGTTCCAGAATCCGTTCTTACTCTCATCTCCAAGTGCTAGTCTCCCAAATGCAGCCCCCCTCGTCAAATCCATAATCCCCGCAAAATCGCCGTTATCCAACCTCTTCCTCCCTTTCGCAATCACCTCCTCACAAGTAGTATAATGAACACTCCATTTCTTCCCATCGACCTTCTCAATAACCTCCAAAACATCGCGCGGAGACACCTGAAACGACATTGTGAAAACATACTGGTTACCCGTCTCATCCGCATGGTCCAGAATCTTCACCACTGTTTCGCCAACTGTGGAGAGCGAGGTGAACGTACCGACGGATGTACCGTTGTCAATAAGCTCCACACTTCTACTCTTAAGATCGAATCCCAGCATTCCACTGTACAGCATCCAGTCGAAGAAGCCGCCGCAGATTACACTTGTCCAGCTGAGCTTTCCCTCACCCTGTCCCTCTTTGTACTTCAGGTAGTCGACAATGCCCGCACGCACAGGAAGCACAACATCGTTATATTTGACGAATTCCTCGTTCCGCGAGTTTGGGCCGAATTCACTGGGGATGAAGCGCTTAACGCCTGCCCGTATCGCGGCGTCGATGAAGAAGTTCTGCGAGCTGAGGGCATGCCCGCCGATGAGAGAGACAATCGCATCCTGGCCTTTGAAGGCCGATATAAGGGAGTTGAGTGAGATATAGTTTGCCCTAACGACGGGGATGCCCGACGGAAAGGTAGCAGAGGAGTCGTGACGCGTGAGGATCGTTAAGTTGTATTCTGGGCGCGCGGCAAAGGCGGCAAGGACGGGGGCGCCAAGGGAGCCGCCGGCGCCGATGAGGAGGACGTTTTTGTATGGTGGCATCGTGGGGATGGTCGTAGCTACTTGATGAGCGTAAGAAGTGATTTGTTTAGGGTGGGTATTGGGAGGAAATGATGGCCGAAGGAATATGCTTTGACTTGCGTCCCGGAGTATACATACTAATTCTGAGATTAATGTACACTTCCTTTGCTATTACAAGCTAAACAGGGGTATCATTCTGAAAGACACAAATCCGTACTCCAAGGCCCTTCGTTGCTTGGTAATTTTAATTGTTCAGCAACTATCGCATTCGACTTGTATAGCGCAAGTCCTAGTAGCTATTCTAGTTAAGATGCCTTAGTTGAAAACTGTGCCTTACGGCCGTACTGCAATAATCCAGTCTCTTTTCTAGTAATTGATGATATACCAAGGAGGAAACTAAGTACACTTGGCCCAATCTGTCAAATTTAGCTTACTGGCTAGTCAAAGCGACACTAACACCAGTGTTCTCTATGTCAGCAATCTTGTTCTGTTTACTAATCGATCAGCTAATCTGTCTATACACGGGTCCCGCCAGTCGTCCGTCTACACCAATTATCTAAACATTCCACCAAATTTTTCGCGATCATCTGCACGATAGCTCTACAAGAATGCATGATCGTAGAGCAGAAGTCCTGTAGATAGCTAGTCTACTGCTGTCTACATCGAGTCCTCTCGTGTTCTCGAACGTAACAATTCGTAGAAATTAGTGACGCGTGCTTACAAGCTGTACGAAGCTTTCTGAACCTATAAGTCTTCCCAGTTAAGCAATGTTGTGGACGCCTATAGCGAAAAAAGACAGCAAGGATTCATGTATCTTCGATGGCTATTCCGGAGAAGAACAATCGGCTAGCACGACATCGACGTCGGCCTTCCGCTGGCACTATCTTCGGCAAATACATAACCACTAGCGTATTTCCGCTGATGCTTGTTTCGGGCTTTCTTTTTGTGCCGGTACCTAGGTACTAGGGCAATCGTGCCTGAGGCTTTACGGTGGTCCGAATCAGTCATCTGTTGCAAGAAGCGACGGCTAGCCACGACTTACAATCATTGAACTCATTTCTTAGCTTGATTCCTCCGATCTCATGCTAGCGGGTTCAAAATAGGTCGAGCCTTGAACACAGGTTCAAAGACTCGAAAAACATGCTTGGACCTGCCATGCTGAGACGTACGTCCACAGTAGGTAGCATGCTGAAAGCTACGCGTGCACCGACGCACGAACGGAACATGAATACTCTCAATACCTCAATGTGAAAGGCTCTCCAAACACCAAAACTTCGAACGATACCACTACATACGCTGGTTTCGAGCCGCTATAATTTTTCATCATGCTGGAAACTAACTGAACGAATTAATCGATCGGAGAGGGAAGATAAGTGAATGTTTCAGCAGTCATAAGCGCATCAGGAAATCCCAACCCACCTCACGCCATCTTGGCAAGAAGAAAAGAGTTCAGCTGCGGCTGTGTACCTAAGTACCTATCTGACCAACTTCGTATGCGATTCTCACCTTGCTGCCCAGATCGAGATGTCGACCCACCAATTTGCGCTGCATGTCAGCAATGATTGAGACACAGTCGGTGATGCCGTAGTCATGAGATGCCCGGTATAGGAAAAATCGGATCCTTCGTGGAACATTCAATGCAAACCCTCGTAACACCTCTGCAAAGCCCCAGAGAAAGTTGTGGAAGGTATGCGGTGTGTGCGCATGCTGATGAAGGCACACTTAACTGGAAATTTGGCTCGAAAGAGGGATGTATGTCGGTTGACAGATACATAAGGTAGGTTTCCAACACGTTTAGGAAGCCCAGAATACAGCAGAACAACTCTTTCTACCAAAGATCATTCATCACCTCCAATCAATCGCTCTGTCATTTCGCCTGACCAATACACTTTCCAGCTACTATTACCATAATGTCTGAGTTCTTCATCCCGCCTAAGGAAATCTCATTCCGTCTCAAAAACAAGAAGACGGAGAAGGTTCTTTTCTCCCGAGAGAAGAGCCCAGGCTTTGGCCATTTCAGCGGCGATGCCTTTGCTGATCAATGGTGGTGTCTTGTACCCGGAGACGGAGATTACAAAGGACAGTATCTGGTGAAGAGCAAGTTCACCGAAAACGTTCTGTTCTCCAGAACAGCGAAGAGTCCCAGAGTCGATCATCATGATGGCAATGGCAAGTGGGCAGATCAGTGGTTCAAACTAGTTCGTTGGCTTTCCCGTTCGGACGAGAGACTTGATTGCTGATCATCGATGAAACAGGAGCCGGGCACGGGAGATCGCCAGAATTGGTTCCGGCTTATGAATCCTTACAGCAACACAGTTGTGGTTTCTGTCGATGGAGTCACCAATGCGAAAGCCGATGCTGCCACCGACGATAGCCAGTACTGGTCTTTCGAATTCGAAGACATGGAATTTGTTGGCCTGGACTACGATATCAACCAACAGAAGGTTTTGTCTAGCACACCTGCTGTCGTTGGTAAGCAATATTTCATTTCAAGAATGATGTTCGCACTGTCGACGGACCTCATGCAAAGCTAAGCTGCAGGGATGAGCGAAGTCTAATCTCTTCATAAAGCTCACCCTAAAGATGACTTTCCAGATAATCATGGCTAACTGGCGATATTCTCACAGGTTCGAATTCGCAATCGAACAATACTGATTCTGTTCAAACAATCACGCTCACACTTACCGAGACTACGACCACTACTAGCACCTTCGAGCATTCATATGGTATAACGATCACGGGCACTGTAAGCGCCACGTTTGGCTGGCCAAGCGTCATTGAGGGTAGAGTCGAAATCTCCGTCGCTCAAACCAAGGATTTCAAGTGGGGCAAACAGAACACGGAAACCAAAACTGCCACTCTTGAGATAGCAGCGACGGCCAAACCATTTTCCAAGGTCACTGCCATAGCTACAGCAACCAAGTCTGACATTGAACTTCCATTTACCATAACTTGGAAGTCCAAAAAGACCGGTTACGAAGTCAAGTCGAAGGGCGTGTACAAAGGCACGAGCTACTGGAACACTACCACCGACCTCAAGCAGAACCAGGATGGTGGAAACAGAGAACTAGACCCGGATGATGGGTCGGAAGGATGGGAAAAGGCTGAAGTGATTTCGCGCACCGAGACTACGGCTACGAACGAGGAACGCAGTCTAGACGACGAAAACCCTGAGGGCAAGAGGAAGGATTTCGTGAGGAATGCCCAGGAAGACGAGTGTGAGTTGAGTCAAGATACCTGGCGCGAATGAGCCTGACTGATCGATAACTGACTCCTTTCTTCTCTCAGATGAACATGAGCACGCGGCGTATGGCGCAGAGGGAAGGTATGCGCAGGAAGAGCCCGAGCCCGAGGATTATGAGCAAGAAACCGAAGAACTGGAAACCTGGGCGTACGACACAAAGCGCAGCCAGTACGAAGAAGATAGAGACGGCGAGACACGGGTTGAACGATACGGGGAAGACGATGACACTACGCGAAACAACGGCTATGGACAGGATGATCAGTATAATGGAGAGCCAGGGCAAGAGAAGAACGACGCGAACGCACCAGAAGACTTCACATACAATGGGCGGTCGTTCGACAACGAGAGATCTTCTTACAATGGGCAACCTTACAAGGAGCGGTCTTCTTACAACGACCAGAGCTCCTACAACGATCAGAGCTTGTACAACGAAAAAGGGGCAGAAGAGTCCGAAGGCGCCGAACCAGGTGAGAATGCGTATGAGCATGCGCGATACCAGTCAACCCAGAAGTATAAAGTTTCCTGGGCAGAAGAGCGGGATCTCAGTGGCTATCGTGAAAGGCAGGATGAGCAGGAAAATGGGACGGATACATACGGCGAGACGCGAGGAGCCTCACGAGAGTATGGAAGGTTCGACGAAGATGGACGCAGAGAGTTCGAGCACCCCACACGTGAAGATGGATACCCCGAAACAAACCAACGTTCAAACTGGTAACTAGACGGTGTTTGAGGAGAGCTAGTGGAATATAATAACTTTTTTCTACTTAAAACGTTCTATACAATACTTTGTAGACTACTACTATTTTAGTCTACTTTACTTTAGTACAGATCAAGCCTAGACAAGTATAGCCTAACCCCGTGTAACACCTAAACCTGTAACACTCTTTTCTTTCATCTAAAAAGACGTTGTTGAAAACGCGATTAAACTAGCTCTACTATACCCGCTATGCTCTAATGATGAATGTGAAAGGAAAAGAGCCTGAATCGCAGCTGAACAAGCATAATCGTGCGATCCAAGAAAATTAATAAAGCTGTACCATGTATCCAAAACAACAAGCTCGGGTCGTGAAAGCGTCAAACGTAGGTCTCTCTCTCTGGCCGAAAGAAGAGACCACTCGTGAGGTGATGCCGCGCTGCGCTGTAATGCCGATGAGACGTGCCGCCCAGTCTATAAGGGGGAGTGAGGATAGGGGATAATCGTATCGTATCGCTTCCGTGAAAGAGACAAACGAACAACATCGTCGTCTAATCAGTCCGTCCCTTTCCATCCACCACATGTCCATTCTTCTGTTCCCCACTCTTCCTCGGAATCGTAAGACAATTAATCCCCAAATAATCGCAAATACTCGTAATAACCAAATGCGCCCATTTACCATACACAACAGCGGCGAAAACAAAGTACGCGCGGAGATACCACAGCTCGAACCCAGCCGAGACGGGCCCAAAGAAAGACGTTCCGGGGATGGTAAAGTACGGGTGATTGATAATCAGGGCACCACCAATCATCGGCGCGAGCATAATCGTCCAATAGGGAAACGGCTGGTGCGTAAGATGGGCGAGGATAATCTTCGTCGTCATCCTGCCAAAGACAAGCGACATGGTCAAGCAGTACAAGACGAGGTGATTGTCTTTAAGCAAACTTGAATAAGGCGAGCCCAGCCACGCCATGGTGCACGTGACGAAGATGACGAGCGGAGTCCACTCCTTGAGTAAAGGTAACAAGGGCTGATTCCTGCTGCGTCGTGCCTTGGCTACGTTGACAATGCAGGCGGGGAGGTGCGCGACAAAGAAGGTGAAGAGGATAATGGGTACCCAGAGCTCCTTGAGCGTCACGTTGCCTATCTCCGCTGCGTACGACGGGAAGTAGTTTGCGAGGGGCGTGGACCAGATTTCTGGGCCGAAGTAGCCAGACATGCAAATAAAGGTGCATGCCAGTATCAGACCCTCTGTGCATATACATCCCACCGTCAGCATAATTCCTAGTTTGGAACCAAAGGAGGAAGGTGTGAAGGGAGGAGCAGGGGAACGCACCAGTAGGTCCATTGAAGTAGCCCAAATACAGCGTATGCGTGTGGTATGTCTCCCACGTGGAGAAGAACATGGGAAGCACAGGAATCAGCGCGGTGAAGGCGCCAATCTTTGTGCTTCCATAGCCCACAGCTGCCGTTTCGAGGAGAGATGCCAAAGTGCAGTTCAAAGAGTCTATACCATGGCTAAGGTTGCAATCAGTATCGTGATATTGGCGCATATGGGCTCATAATATTTTTTTGTTTTGTCACGTACTCAAACAGTTCGCCTAGAGGGCTCGATGTGCCGGTTCGGCGCGCTTGCTTTCCGTCGACGTTGTCCATGGTGGAGTACCTGGACACAGATTTGTTGTTAGCCAAAGCAGTCCCACGGCCTTGTTTCTTTCCAATACGATGGGTGTTGGTCATCTTACATCCACATGCCAAAGGCGAAGCTGTAGTATACCCATGAGGGCGCTGGTCCGACCAAATCCGGTATGTAAACCTCGAGGAGCACCACGTTCCCCAGGATGAAAAAGAAGCCTAATAACGTGACGAGGTTCGGTGCAATCCACAGCGGCAGGAGCTCGACAAATGCATTCCACTGTGTGTCTCACGTCAGGTCCCCTATTGCCGACTGCGCTTGCGTGGAGAGAAGGGGTGTGCGTACGTAATGCTTGAGGATGTAGCGCGAGATGAAGGATTTATCGACGCTCGAGTACTTGTACGTGCGGAGGTGTTGCAGCGCATCTTCTGAAACGCATTCGTGCCTTGCAGTTTCTGTTCCAGTTGACCGCATTAGCAAATGTCGCTGATTCGACGAGTGGAGGCGCAAAGGGGCGTACCTTTGCTCGGCGGCATAGTGGGTGACGTGACGGGCTGAGGTAAAGACATGGAGGTTGTGCGGGGCGGATTAATTTATAGAAAGGGTCGTGGCCATGTGGTGAAGCGGGGAATCGATGCGTCGCGTCTGCAGGTCGGCACCTGTCTCTTGTGGAATAGGATGGGATGAACAACGGGATGGGCGCCTGTTTGGCGGGCGTCAAACTTCTAAAGGGACGGGTCCGCCGGCTCGGTAGACAGGGATCTGGAGATTAGTTGCAGGCGCGTCATTGCGCATGTGTTTAGCTCCAATTGATCTTGCACGTGAAGATTACGCATGTCTTTACCCCCGTACAAATCTAATCTGATGAGACCGCCCACCCCAAGTGCAAAGGGACCAGGCGTTGACTGACATGTAATAATGGGTTTATCATTACTCGCGACTACCAATGAACAAACTGCCGTGCGACCACTCTTACCATGAGCCATCGTTGCGCACAGTAGAAGCTCGCCCAAGCGTTCCACTTACTCGCTCAAAAACATCACAACATGTAGCTCAACTCTACGACACCTGCACCGCCTTCCTCTGATCCTCCTCCTTGCGCATATCCTCCAAAAACTTCTCCCACGTCTCAATAGTCCCCTGAAAGAACTCGACATGCGCATCCGCCAAATCCCCCAGTGTATCTTTAAACTCGATCGCTTTGATGCGTTCAAAGTCCGACACCTCTTTGACAGTATGCTCATCAAACGCCTCACTAGCCTTCTTAGACATCTCGACCTCGCCCGTCAGCCGCTCAATCTCAACCTCGAGCTTGCGAACGCGTTGCCGCCTTGCTTGGTCGTGATCGATGCCCCGAAAGTCTTCCACTTTGGATCGTAGGAAGCCAGATGCGCCCATACCGGCTCCTGTCGCGCTGGCCAAGGAATCCCGATCTGCGGCTGATTTGGCCAGGTACTCGCTCAGTTGTTCGAAATCGAGTTGTTTACCCTCTCGCGTGCGGAGCAGTGTCTTGACAGCCTGGATGTAGGCGTCCATGTCGCGTAGACTAGTCAGGTAGTTTTGGTCTGTATGGTCTCGGATGGACTTGAACCCCTGTGACGTGGTATTGACTGATGCAGCAAAGGATGTCAGATTGCCTTCGACTGCAGGTTCCATGGTCGTCAGCTTCTGGCACTGTGTGGCCAGATCGGCGTAATCCGTCTCTAGGTCGCCCTGTCGCCTGGCCACCTTGACGGTAACCTTCTCAACGTTGTTCAGATCCTCGCTGAGCTTGTTAGCTCGCTCGCTGACCTCGATAAAGCGCTGGTCCGGCTTGTGTATCTTGGTAAAGGTGTTGACAAAGGTGTCTGCGATGGCGTCTACGAAGCCGCCGCTGCCTTGTTCAGACCCGCTCGCAGCTCTTGACGACCTTCCCTTCATATGCTGATTCCAATCGGAACTTTCCAAGAAGTTGATGACAAGGGCTGCCCTTCGTAGCACTGGGTGCAGCGCTATCCGCTTGAGGAAGCGGTGCAATGAGTGGGCTCGTCTCTGTGTAAAGTCCGGGCCGAAGCGGTCTCCACGCACATACTCCATCTTGTGTTTGTCGGGCAACGGCGGGACAGCGCATTGCGGGTACTCTTTGGAGAGCTGTTTCCAGAGGAAGACAAAGTCTGTGAAGCGGCGACGTACGGAGAATTCGGGTTTCTGGAAGGACTGGAAGTCGGACTGCGGGGGATGTTTGTCAGACGCTGAACGTGTACGGGTAGTGAAGCTGCGGGCAGAGACACACCTTTGTGGTTACCTGGTACGAGACATATTGGTTCTGGGTGCCTGCCAACTCTTTCTGCGGGCTGCCGACGAATGTCTCTAGGCGCCCTTCGCTGAAGTCGGCCGCCATTGCGTGTCTGCGGATAGCCCCGGGGTCGCGGTTGTAGACTATGTGGTTCTTTCTAAGCTCCACAATATCGCTTATGTGATCGTATTCGGGGTCGTCGAGTATGTCGTCGAACTGGTGTTGCGGGCTGGCTGGCTGGGGTCGTGTTAAGCTCGGAGTGTTGTCGGTGACGTCGGTTGACGACCCGGCGTTAGCGCCTTTGTCCAGGGCGGGCGCATGATGCCTCACGCCCTCATGCATGGCTTCAAAGTCCTCCGCGCTTTTATAAAGCGGGTGAGATTCCTCCATGATGGCCATTGTGCAGTGATTGTGATTTGAAGAAACGATTAATAATGTATAGTGAGTGCACTTGACCGCCATATATTGACGGCGGGTCAAACATGTACAGTAAATGGAGAAAGTGCGACTTGTCCAACAAACATGCGCATATGCTGTGTGCATACCGGAAACCGACAAGTATAACCACCCTGAACGAGATAAACATAGGTATCGTACGTGGCCTAACCAAAGAACCGTAACCGTGACCATAACCATAACCCAGCCAAGACGTGATTGTTACATAGTACTACATCAGTCATCAGCGCCGAAGCGCTTGCTGAACTCCTCAAAAAGCTGTGGAGTAATCTCATCACTGCTGTTCCCGTTGACCGTCCAAAGCACACCCAGCTTGTCATAATGCTCAAGCAGAGGCTCGTTGTTCTCTTTAAAACTCTTCAACCGCGCCTTCCACACCTCTGGGTCGTCGTCCGCCCTCCGGGTGAGTGGCTCACCCGTGATATCATCCTTACCGTCAACCTTGGGCGCATTGAATGTAGTGTTGTAGACACGTCCCGAGGCCTCGTGTACCCAGCGGTTACATATGCGATCAATGATGATATCACTCGGAGTGTTGAGGTTGACCACCATGTTGATGGGCACGATGTTGTCGAGCTGTATCGCCTGGACAGCGGTTCTTGGAAAGCCGTCGAGTATGAATGAGGCGGATGGCCTGTTGGAGAAGGTATATCGCGGAGCCCGTACCGCCGAGGGAATCATGACTGCATCTACTGTAGTCTCTGGCATATCTGTGGAGCTAAAGTTGAGCGCATATGGGCGCAGGGCATTGTCTCGTATCCACCCGCGGGTCGTGAGCTCGTTGACGATAAGGCGCAAGATCATGGCGTCGGGTACTAATTTGCCAGATTTCATTGTGTGTTCGGCTTGTATGCCTGCGCCAGTCAGTACTTTTTCGGACGACGACAACGACACACTTACCAAGGGGGGTCCGCTCCCGAACATTTTTCCTCAGCAGGTCGCCGGAGCTGATGGCCGACAGCTCAGTGAATTTGTTCATCAAGCGCTCGGTCTGGGTGCCCTTGCCGACTCCAGGCGCGCCGACCAGTATGATTCTGGCGGCCTTGGATAATCTTTGGATAGGCATTGTTGTGGATACGCGTTGTTGCGAAGACTTGTTATAGTCGCGGGTCTAAGAATATGCCGTGTTATGGTACAGATGGGTACAGTCGGTACGGTGAATAAAGCTCGAGAGCTCCGCCAAAGGCTCGTAGGCGTTAGAACAAATCCATGGCGAAAATTGAGTGAAATGAGGATCGGGGAATTTAGGTGTGAAGAGAAGTGACTGGAGGAAGTACGGGGTCTCCACCTAGTCAGATGGCAGAGGGACGATTTACCGTCGGATAGGCGTGGAGGTGAGGGGACGGCCCAGCATTCATGGCATTCAATTCGCAAGCCGCGCAGTCGTTCGTCCTGCGACCATCGGAGACGCCAGCGCCTCGGCCAATTGACCACGACATGCCGACTTGCAAGACGACCATTAATCGATTCCAACACTTTGCGCAATACGAGTACCCGAGGCCGGATGCTGTTGCCTGTAGCGTCCCATGGCGCGCATCTAGACAGCCATCCGGTTTGTTCCTAGCCGTGTCGACCATGCGCGTCAGTCCAATGACTTGTGCGCACCGTTGGTGGCGACCAAGCTTTACCCAGCAGATCACCCCGGCGGTCCCTGAGACTAAGTCCGAACCGAAGACGCTGCAACGTCAGCGGAGCCCATTTTCTCAGAGCTGCATCATTCCACTCTTTGCACCAAACTGTTTCCTCTGACATCTGCCATCTCTTTTCTTCCTTCCTCTGTTGACTTTGTATCACAACCACAAAACTACTTTAATTCCTGTACCATACACGTCACTCCCTACACACCACTCGGCGCCATGTACGCCGGTCGCACTGCTTCGAGGGCAGCGCCCGCAGTCTTCAGAGCGGGCATCAGGACGACTACACGACCTCATCGCCCCATGCTCAGGAACTCACCCGCCATTCGCATACTCATCCCGCTCCGCGCCTTACAAACCGAGTCGACGTCATCGAACAATGCGCAAAACTACCCGCCTCCTGGTTTCGACCCTAAGCAGGCGAGCCAGCACTTGCTCAAGCAGAATCAGCAGCAGTCAAATAAAACCGCCGACAAACACGACCCTCTCATTCCCAAGTCCGGCGCAACCGCCAACCCAAAAACACACGCACAAGATGTTCAGACATTAAGCGAGCTAAAGGTGGAGAAGTCGGCCGCCGAGACCAAAGAGGAGAAGAAGGTTTTGGCGAAGAAGGAGGAAGAGAAGAAGAAACTGACCGTCTGGCAAAAGGTCAAGAAGGAGTTGGTGCACTACTGGGATGGCACCAAGTTGCTTGGCTTTGAGGTCCGAATCAGCTCCAAACTCGCACTGAAGATGGCCGCTGGTTACGAGCTCACCCGCCGTGAGCGTCGACAGGTACGTATGTGGAGGCGATACGTCCGAATGCTGCTAACAAAACTAGCTGCAACGCACCGTACAGGACCTTGCTCGCTTGGTACCTTTCCTGCCCTTCGTCATCGTCCCCTTTGCGGAGCTGCTGCTCCCAGTAGCCCTCAAGCTCTTCCCCAACATGTTGCCCAGTACATATGAGGGCCAGTCAGCCAAGGACACCAAAGCCCAGACACTCCGAGCAACTCGCAAGGACGTCAGCGCGTTCCTTCGCACAACACTAAAGGAAACTGGTCTCCCTGTCTCCGCCGAGAACGCTCAGACAGCAGAGTTCAGCGAGTTCTTCCGCAAAGTGCGCACCACAGGCGAGAAGCCAACACCAGACGAGATTATCAAAGTATGCAAGATCTTCAAGGACGACCTCACCCTCGACAACTTGTCTCGCCCACAGCTTGTTTCCATCTGTCGCTATATGAACATCACCTCTTTCGGCACAGACAACTTCCTACGCTACCAGGTTCGCGTTCGCATGCGCCAGATCAAGCGTGACGATCGATCCATTGCTTACGAAGGTGTCGAGTCCCTCTCGGTCCCCGAGCTCCAGACTGCCTGTGCAAGCCGCGGTCTACGAACCTACGGTGTCTCTCCCGGCCGCTTACGGGACGACCTTACTAGCTGGCTCGATCTCCGTCTCAAGCACGGCGTCCCATCCACCCTCCTCGTCCTTTCCAACGCCTTTGTCTACGCCCAGGGCAAGGAAACAGAAATGACCTCTCAAATCGACGCCTTGGAAGCCGTCCTCTCCTCCATTCCCGAGGAACTCTACCACGAAATGGATCTCGAGGTGCGCAACGCCGAAGGCGCCGCTACCAACAAGCAGCGTCTTGAAGTCCTCAAGGAGCAGCAAGAACTCATCAACGAGGAGAATGAACAAACCGAGACTGTGGAGAACAAGGCTACGGCTAGCCCCAAGGACCACGAGGACATTGACGAGAAGCCGATTAGGGACGCGCAAGAAGCCCAGGATGCCAAAGAGGCCAAGGCTGTCGAGGAAAGCAAAGAAGCCGAGGCTAGTGCTGGTGATGCCGCTGGTGGATCGGCTGAGCGCGCTGAACAAGATGAGCGTGCTATGAAGATGGATGATCCTACTGGTAAGGACGAGAAGCCCGTTGAGGCTGCTACTACTACGAAGAAGGAGTAAAAGGGAAATTTCTTTCTCATTTTTTTTACTTCAATAACAACAACAATTTTTCTCTCTACTACATGTGTATAGCTACGAAATCTCCCGTTATTTGGCGTCTTGAAAAGACGATGTGCACACACACATACAAACACATGTATATATAATGTGTATATAGAAACTACACCCGTTCCTCGCTTGTCTGTTGAGATAGGGGACGGGTCTATAGAATTGTATAGATTAAATGAGAGATACTCTCGTGAGAATTAGAGGTTGTTGAGATGAAAATAGCTACAGTGTGATTGTTTTGTTACTAACTTGCTGCTACTCTTCACCAGTCTATATGCAATTCTTTGCTTAGTGATTTCTCTCCTCTCTCTCTATCTCTTTCCAGCTTCCATACGAACGCGGAAATCTAGAATGCTGACGTCATGCTTCCCGTCCGTTTCCCCCCATCCCCCACCATCAACGCAACGCCTTATTCGTTATCTCAATCAAGCTTTCTAGCCAAGTGATTAAACATCAAACTAGGGCAGTTTAGCTATTGTTTACTTTCTTCTTTACACTCGGTTCTACGTAGTTGACTTTCTTTCTTTCTACGCCTCCTCCTCCTTTGTTTGCCTGGACTTTTGTCGAATCGACACAAACGCACGCACGCACGCACGCACGCACACCAGCCATGCCGGACCCAGCACAAATCAACCGTTCGCTAGGGACCATCAAGACGGAACTCGAGTACCTTGCCAACTCTGGTGTTTTGTCGCCGCCGCAGTTACAATCTATCCAGGCGCAGTTACCCGTGCGTTGTTCCCGTGTTGTAATAACAAGATAAGTTGTGTGGACGTGAACGCTGGCTGACAGTTAAGTGGTGGTGTTTTAGCAACCAAATGGACAGCCGTCTCAGTATATTGATCCGAAATATGTGAATGGGGGGAATCAGTTTAACCCGGCTGTTATTGCGCAGCAAGCGCAGGATCCGGCGCATCCGGCGAATCCGAATCATCCAAAGGTATGTTGTGTGCTTGTCTATGCCAACCTCTCTCCTCTTGGGGGTTGAAAGAAGAGAAGAAAACGAAGAGGAAAGACGCTAAGGTGGTTTTCAGCACCACGAATGGGCTTCGAAATTGGCGCATAAATTTGGTAACGCGGCAGTCTACGGTGCTGGAGCGACGTTCGGTGCGGATTTGGTTAATGATGCTATGAGGAAATTCTAAACAAGGCATATGCAATGTGAAAGTGGTTGAGGACGGCATGCCACTGGCAAGCGAGATGCTAGCGAGAACTGTTTACTATACTTCTTCCTGTCTCACAAAGGTTTAGTAGTTGCCTCAAGATCATCCAGTATAGCGCGCTTATTCTCTGTGGGTGAATGTTCTTTAGCATCCAAAGCCCTCGAAATCTCCATTAGGTGCATGTACATTGCCCGATGGACCTCAGCGAACCCTTCGTCTTTCTCCGAAGCAAATTGGCAGATTGTGTGGTGGTTGGCATCCAGACCTATCGTTGTTTCGTTGGCGAAGTTTCCTCTGGCCTGATTTCCATCCACGACCTTGGAGGTTGGTCAGCTCGACAAAGTGTACGACCAGATACTATATCAGATATTGACTTACAAGTACGTCGTTGTATTTCTCGCGTTCGTAGAATGAGGTAACCAGAAGCCCTCTGCCTAAGTCGTGAAACCATTCTGTTGTATCAACCATCAGATTACCGTCATATCTTGAAGCTTCGAGAGCCTCATCCTGCTTTATCCCAGCCGCCTCAATAATTCTCTGCAAGGTTAAGAGACGCTCGGCTACTTTCTGTTGTCGCCCAATGCGCGGCGTCCCGAAGAAGATGATGCTTTTCGTTGAATAGAAGATGCTGCGGGCATCATTCCCATGTGCCATCGCTAAAGCCTAAAGTAACGAAGTTCATTGTCAATCAACGTATATAGACTGGAAGTATCCAAGGACTTACCATTTTGATGATGATGCCACCCAATGAATGGCCGATGAACATAATCGGCTTTCCCCTGGGTGTATTCGTTTCGTCCCTTGTTTTCATGATACAGCTCTCCAATGACTCTGCAGTCTCATCCAACCACAGCTCGGTGCGAGATCGAGTTCCTCGTCTTGACAAAGAAGTAGGATGAACATAGTTGAAGGTCATGACGCGAGCATTTCTAAAGCCTTGAAATCTAGGCAGTAAGTCTCTGAGCCACAACTTCCCACTCTTCCCGTCCGTCCATGTGCTGAATCCATCACCTCCTGGCCCATGTACGGCTATTATACTAGTTCTGATTAGACTCTAAGAAAGAGAGAATCTGGAGGCTTCTTACTCAATACCTAGATCGGAAGACGCTGTTGTCGGTTCGAATAAGATATGCAAGCCACTTGTTTCTTGTAGGACAGCAACTCGCTCAGATTTAGCCTCAACCTGCGGGTTTGATGCTGGGGCTAGATCCTGCGTGATTGCAACCTCCTGTGGCGTTTCGGCGCGGTCGCACTGAGAGGATGGCATTGGATCCGATGGTGACCTCAGGAAAGCGGGTGCTTGCTTATCCTTCGGCTTGCTGCTACTTTCCTGTGCTTTCATTGCTTGCAGTGTGTTTGACGGAGGAATGGGTCTGAATGCAATTGGATGTGACGGTTGAAACACTAGTTCTGCGTACGTACTTAGCGGTACAAGCTGAATCGCGAGACACTCCAAGGAAGTGTCTAGGAGTTTGATGCAATTATCTTTCATTAGATTACTGTATGGAAGTTAATCATGAACAAGCAATGTCAAGAATCGTAGTACTTGGCTTTTATACGATCCCCAGAGCGGTTGGCGCTTCTCCCACGCTGAATGTAGAGTTGCTCAATACTGTTCAGCGCCTTCGCAACATTCCTCATATGTTGAGAGATGGTCTCAGAGAGTCCAAAGTTCTCTTTCTCAAGCGACACCAATACCAATTGGACTAGGCTCTCATTATCCTCTTCGGAAAAACAGTGGTGATCAAGAGTGGCACACCATCGGATACTGTCCTTCCATTGCTTTAGACCCAGAGCTGCCTCTTGTAGATGGAAAGTCATCTCTTTGTCGTGAACAGCCCAGCCGTTCTCAAGAGCGAATGCACGCTCAAAGCCTCGAATGACATCGTTACAATCTTGATATAGATCCTGGCCGGATGGTCCTCCAGAGGTCTTCCATGTGTCAATTGTGTATTGCAATATCTGCCGCGGCCACTGGAAGATATTCATGAATTCCATTGTTGTACAACGACAATGGCATTGGCAAAAAAAATGTTACCAAGGCTAGGTTGCCGGCTGATGGGGAACCTAAACTTGCGCAGCAACCGATTAATGATCACAAGGCCCAGTTTGGCTCAGTTATGACTCATGTGCTCTATTGTGGGCGTAGAGACAAGTGTGTTATAACGTGATTGGTAGAGTGATTTATCTATCATGCAGCCTTCTTCAGTGTGGCGTTTCCGGTCAAGCCCTGCGTTCTTGGAACAGCCCACGACGAGCGCAGCATCTATCGCATGCGCAACGATTGTTTCACATCACACATAACTACACAAGTCACCTCTATCCATTGTTCATTGTTCCAAAAGGATTCAATCTTCTATGGATCCTCTAGCGATCCTGGGCGCTTGTTTGGCATGTCTGGGCATGCTCTCTAGTGGCATAAGCAACCTTGCGAATGCTGCCGACGCGTACTTGAACTACGAGGACCAATACCTGGATTACGCTCGGAGATATGCACGATGTCAAGCAAGCCTAAGAGAATGGGACATGAAGTGGTCGAAGTATCCCCCGATCGACCAAGCTACTGGTGTGGCTAAAGTCGTGCCCGAGCTCCAGGATATTAGAGTCCTGACAAGCGAAATCCAACGTCGAGTGGAAGAAGCCGAAGATGAAGTTGCAGAAGGACAAAATCTTCCTGTCGTAACCAGCAACCACTGGACGGGAAGACTTCGGGGAATAACAGGACCACTGCAAGAAAGATGGGCCAAGTGGCGGAAAGGTGGAAGCAGCGCCATCACCAAACGTGCAATGCATTCTTTATTCAAAAAGGGTCTTATGGAGAGTTGGCTCACAAGACTTGAAAAGGCTATTGAGGATATAGAGAAGAGTTCGGAAATGACATTACGAGCACGTACAGGCGCGAACTGGGCTGAAGGCTCATCCTATGCACGAAATAAGGAAGCAACGGAAGCGGAACAATTCATGTCGATGCTTACGGAGTCGGTCGAAAGCTTACGTCAGGAATGTATCGCAGGGCCTTGCACGGGAGATTGGGTATTGGGACTTCGCCCTCCAGAACATCTTAAAAGCGTCGCTGTATGGGAATTCTTGGTGGATATCAATCTCGAATTACGGTTCCGTCATGAGACAACACCGGCTCGAGATATATGGGAACTCAAGACATGTTACATGATGGACAACAAGGAAACTCACGACTTTCGCGGCAAGATTAGGCCAATACTCCCAACGACAAACCGAGCAAACGTCCCTGGAAATATTAATGTCACAAATACCATTTGCACCAGACAGGACGCATCAATCGAAAGAGCAGGTTCGATCGGCAGTTTACTGATCGAGGAGCCCCATTACTTTACTACTCAGAGTTGGAAAGTGGGTGTCACAGACCATGTCCGTGGTATAGTCAACTGGGCTCTTCTCTTATGGGAAACGAAATGGTTCGAGAGCTTATGCTGCTTTGGTCTGCACATGGAGAGCAGCCAGACAACAAACCATTGCATGATGCTTGTAGGAGAGTGTACACCGGGACAAACCCACGAACATGTCGCGCAACGGCTGCAGAATCTAGGCATCACTATCGCCCAAATCGTCCTCGCAAGGCCATTACGATTAACCAATCATGACACTGGCACGAAATTTGAACAGCGAGACGAGAGCGGAACTTGGAAAGAGGTTCAACCGAAACGATTGGCAAGTGATATATTATCAGAATCCAAGTCGATTGTTCTGGCAAGAGCCATCGAGTTTTGTTTGACTGACTCACGTTTCGAGACGAATGGATTCCAAAAAGCGTATCTTATGGAGTACATCAAACATATATATGATCCGTGAGTAATAGCCGCACTTACTATCACCGTCCTCTTACTAACGCTCGGCAGAGTGATAGCATGGCACCAGTTCGTGAGGCAGGTACGAGAGGAATACAGAGGGCAACAGGGGAGAGAAGTTGTGCATCCACCGCCCGAGTTTGACATCGACCGGACCGAGACAAACACAAGACGTCGTTTAACAACGTAAACGAATGAACAGAGAAGCAGCGTCGCTATGTACGAAATACCGTGAAGCGATACCGTGGTACATCCTATCTCATGTCATGATACAACGATAACCCATAGACAACGAACTAATTACGCTCACCACACCACCATCACCACCATCACCACCATCACCATCATCATCGAAGGAGAGGGCCTCATACATATACAGAGGGGTAACGACACCACAATCACGAAAAAAGAACACAAAGTTCGATATCTTCAACTTCAATTCTTCCATCCTACCCTTTTACCAGGTAAGACACTACTTCACTAAGCTAGCATGGTATAATGCGAAAAGACCCAGGACAACCAAAAGGAAACCCAGTGCTCGCCTTATTCACAAATCGACCATGTAATCCCAAGACCCATTTTTTGTGGAAAGAGAGATAACAGAGCCCCCATCCATCCTCCAGACCGAGTACACCAGTACCGGTATTAGACTTTACGTACAAGAGAGAAAGGAAAAAGTGTCCGTAGACAAAACTCAAGCGAACAGGTGGTATAAGGAAAGACAACAAAAAAAAAGGAGAAGGACAAAGGAAATGAAGGGCTCTAGAACCCTCCCAACGCAGCAACCAAACAATGAAGAAAAGGAAAAGAAAAGACAGAAAAAAAAAAGAGCAGCTAGCTAGCTAGTATGTCGACATGTCCAAGATGTCCCAAAAAAGGTATGAGCAAGAAGAGCTTGCAGGGGGCCAAGCCATGCGCCAGGCAGGTGTCGTAAATATGGGGGTATTCGAAGGGCAAAAAATGTTTTGCGCGAACCAAAAGGCGAAAGGGGGAGTAATATACCCCAGCAGTAACAGTAACTGTTCGCTGCTGCCAACCCAGACGCCGTCGCCAAAGTAGAGAGAAAACAAAGGTCGTGAACACATATACAAGGCTCTCTCTCAAGCCCCCAACTAAACCGCACTCTTCTTCCTCCCAAACATAGTCCTCGTCCGACTCTTATCCCTCGCCTTCTTCTCCGCACTAGAGTGATCTTGCTTGTGGGCTGATCTTCCCGACCTCTCATCCAAACCATCATCCATGTATTTCTCCTTGTAGATCCAACTGTTACCAACCATGCTCACACCTTTTGCCTCGGCAGCACGGTAAAACTTGGCCGCCTTCTTCATATTCTTCTTGCAGCCAACGCCCTCGGCGTAGCAGTATCCAGCTTCAACAAGCGCATCGGCGTCGCCCCAGTTACCCGCAATTTCGTAGCAGCGGAGAGCGAGCGACTTGTCTTGCGGGGCGCCCCAGCCATTGCCGTAGCACTTGCCTAGTTCGTAGATGGCCACGGCGTACTGAGCACGATGTTGCTTCTTCTTGGTAAGATCGGTAGCACCGGCTTGGGCTTCGTCGTCTGCGACTTCGAGCTGTCCACTATCGACAGCGCGGCGGAGCCATTGTAAAGCTTCAGATTGGTTTACGCGCATGCCCCAGCCGTGGCGGCAGGCGAGACCGTACCAGAACATTGCTTCGGGAAGACCGGCGCGAGCTGCGAGACGGAGGTGGTAAGTTGACTTGAGTAATTCGCCAGCTTCGTGGAGTTCAAGACCCATGTCGCAGTGCTGCTGGGCTGTGACTTCGCCAACTGAGCCAGCAGTTCGCGCACGGATGGTGCTGTTGCTGGAGGTAAGGGACGGGGCTCCGTGTTGCTGCTGCTGCTGTTGGCGTGCTTGGTCAAAGGACCTCGGTGGAGATTCGGGTGAAGGGGGACGCGCCTGAGTCTGGTTAGGGTTTTGCTGGCCTGGTTGATCCCATGTAATCTGGCTTCTGAAAAAGTCCTCGATGCCGACAGACTTGCGGTCGACGGCTCGGCCGCGAGGCAGGTTGAACCTGGTGTATGTGTAGGAGGGGGCTGGGTTGCTGGAAAAGTCGCCTGACCGACGGAAGTCCTCGCTTACCATGCTGACGGGTGTGTGCACTTGCTCATTCGCGTAGTGTGCGGTGGGGCTGTCACTGGAGTCCTGTCGTAGGAGCTGATTGTCAAACGAGGGTCGCATGTTTACGCTCTCGTCTGACGCTTGTCGTGAGGGCCCGACGTCAGACCGTACGTCTAGTGACGGACGGACGCTCTGTCGGCTGGTGGGTCGTGAGAAGTTGGGTCTCGAGAAGTTGTAGGCGGGGCGCGGCAGGCTGGAGCCATTGACCGAGTAGTCAGATGCAGCTGACGGCGAGCGTGGTATCATTGTGGGGCCTGTAGCAGGCGTGAAGGGGGACTGGGCCCTAGACAGGCTAGAGCTGGGAGACAAGTTGCGGTTCTGGTGCAGAGAATCATAGGATCCGCTGAGGGACATGTCGTCGACTTCATCGTATCCGACGGCAACAGAACGGATGCTTGGCGACTGTCGCGGAGAGCGGGTTGAGTGGAGGGAGTTAGACGAGCGCGGGGGAAGCAGGTTAGAGCGTGGTTGCGACCGCGGCTGCGACTGTTGCGAGTGCTCGGAGCCACCAGACGGCTTCCTCTGCGGGCTGAGGAACATGTGCGAGGGCGCGGCAACGGGGACGTGGGGGCTGACGGGTGTGGCCTCGCGCAGGCCAATGTGAGGCTCTACGGAATCGGGCGAGTGCGACCTGGGGATGTCGAAGTAGCCCTGTGGCGGAGTGGCAGGACTGGCCTCAGCAATGGTGGCCATGGGACTCTGCAGAGGCCCAATGGCATACTGCATCTCGGGCTCGTCCATGCCGAACTGAGGGTAGTAGGACTGGTGTCGTTTGTCCGAAGACACCTCCTGCCTGGGGGAGGCATCGGGTCGTGGGGACTTGACGGGGCCTGCGTCTTCGTTGGGCGAGTTGACGGTCGAGTTGGACATGCTCGAGAAGTATCCGGGGCGGTTGCCGAACTCATTCTGGATGGTGAGAGGTGCAATCCGGCTCATGCGGCGTCCATTCTTGTCCTGCTGCTCGAATCGCTTTGCGAGCAGGCGGCCCTGGAGGGCGAGGGCGTCCAGAGGAGAGAGGGCGGGCGGTGCTTCGCCGGTGCGCGGGCTGGGCAGGTCTGAGCCGAGGGTCAGATTGCTCATGCTGGCGCTGGCGAGGTTTCCGAGGCCGAGGTGGTGGTTGTTGTGGTTGATGTTGTTGAATGTCTTGTTAGCGGAGGAAGGGGGGTCAAAGGACTGCGAGCGGAAGTCGAGGCCGCCCGGGCGTTGCTGTCTGTTTGCCATGGTGAAGACGGACTAGTTCATGGACTCTCTGCGACGGAAGATTGATGACGCTGGGCCGTCATGCGCGCGATCGGGCAAAAGAAGCCGCCTGGGGCTGTGTCGGCTGGGTTTGGCGGGAAAAGCAGGCGATGGCGGCGGTGGAAGTGGTGTGCTGGTTGTGTATCGGGGTGCAGATCGATGCAGTCGACGGCAACATGGAAGAAGAATGAATTAATGCAGCGCGAAGGAGCGGATACGACAACAAGCGTCGAGTGATGGTCTGCAAGGCCTGAAAGCAGATAGACGGGGGCGACGGCGATATGTTCTATGGTGCCCTCTAGCTCGTCGTCGCGTGCAATAATAGCTAAACTACACCTCCTGAAACCAGACGTGGACCGGGGATGCTCCTTGCACGCCAATAGGATCCCCTACCATCAGTCGGCCCTGCATCTTGTCCTGCGTCCACGACGTTGACCCACCGCGCCGTCGCCCTGACACAAAGCCACACCGATGCACGCATGGCAGCAATTGGCGGCCCTATACATGATCAAATCTCTCGCTCTGCTGACTTTGCCATTGCTTTTCAACATTGCCGTACCAAACTTCCAATGTCCTTCACGCGTCACCTGCATACCAGCCACGGCTCCGACTGCCTCGTTTCACTAGTCCCATCCCTACACCACCCGTATCCCCCCTCTCGGATTGCTTCCCTTTTGGGCGCTGCCCGTCGATAGGGTGGCACTCGCTTCGCGTCACTTCATTTGCTGTTGGCACATTGTGGAGCGGAACATGTTCCAGACTATTGCTCATTAAACTGCTGCCCGTCCTGCGAACCACTGTTCCTGCAACGCTTCTGTGTCAAGAGCTGAGAATTCTGCCTATAATTGTGTGAATATACATCACTTGTCGACTGGACCGCCCGCCTGCCTGCAAATCTAACTCATGCAGGGAACAACTAGCTGAGACCCATTGCCAAGAAACGGCGTAAGGGGCTTTTACGTGATGCCCATCTGCTGCTCGCCCTGTGCCAATACAACTACTCACCAATACTCGCAAGTTGGCGCCGCCTTTGTAGTCTGCTCGTAGTCGCTTTGTAGTCACGCCGACGCCATGCACTCGTCCCCGCAGGCACAGTCCGGCTATGACGTTGCGTGTCGTGATTGAATCCACATCGTCGACTACTCTCCTAGGATGAGCCTAGGCCGTCGCATCGATCTTCTCCCACGATTGTAGTTGCACGCTATCCTCTAGCTTGGGCTCAGAAGAATCGTCAAGGGACACACGTTTTAACCCCATCATCCACCCCACCAGTCCAGCTGGTACCCAGTTGCCCACCAGATCATAGGTCACACTGCCGCGCCCAACGCGCCATACTTTTCTTGGCCGCCGCTGCGTAAGTGCGTCAAAGACGCCGTTGTGTAATTCCCGAAGACTGGAGCCGTTGTGGTTGAGCAGTCCCCGGTTCTGCGCAACGCGCGTCTGGGCCTCGAAGTTGTTGGCGTACAGCGCTCTCGTGGTTGCAGGCCAAGCATGTGGGCTCCCCAGTCCTCTAGTCTGAAGGTGATGTTTTGGCCCCACGTTTGTGAGATCAAATGTTCCGAGATGAAATTGCAAAACTTCAATGCCAAGGGTTCCCAGTTCCGCCCTGAGGGACGCCAGGAACCCCTCGAGTGCGCTCACAATGGTCGTTTCTACGCTATGGAATGGCGGTCGTAATGACGCAATGATGCTGGGTGTGAGCATCAGCACCCGAGATTTGAACTCACAGACTGTCGGGAGCAGCGCTTGCGTGACTGCGATGGTGTTGAGCACTTTGGCGTTCAGCGCATCGGACCAGAGCTCAGGCGTCACCGTCTCCACAGGGCCTGTAGGGTAGATGAGGTCCGGCACCAGTATGACACCGCTAAGATTGAGATTGTGCGGGCTTGCTCCAGAGAAAGCGACGTGCGGTTTTACGAGAAGCTCGTTGAAGTTGCGAATAGCCTCTTTTGTGCCCATGGTGTCTACGACGTCCAGGTGCAGCGGCCGCACATCTGCTCTCGACTCGCTGAGGACTTGCTGCTCCTCGTCCATGTTGGAGCAAACTATATATACGATGAAGCCCCGTCGTTCAAGATCTAGGGATAGCGACCGCACAATGGGGGAGTTGGGTGGTCCAGCAAGGACTGTCGTCGTCAGCCAAAGTCTGCCGCGCCTTCCTCAACTACCGCAATACTCACCAACAACTTCCCTCCTCGCTCCATTGCTTGCGCGTGGTGCTCGCCGTTTGCGGTTATATTTCTTCTGTTCTCTCCATACTAGAAAACTCCCTGTGCCAACAAAGGCGACTATAGCTGCGGTCAAGGCTCGGTTTCTGGACACCCAGTCCTGTAGGCGATGTAGGTAGGCACCGGTAATGGGATGCGGGGGCGGAGGGGGCGGTCGTGGTCTTGCGCGTTCTGGGAGCCATCCTTCAGGCAGACTTTTCTTGATGTATCCGGCGACATGCGCAAAATGCGCATCCGTGGCATCCCATATCGATCCGGTAAAGTTGCGGACGTCTTTGGTGTACTCGGAAATCTACACGTACGTCAGCGAGTCGCAAGTAAAATACCCACACTGTACTTACCACGCCCAAAATCTGCTGATCATCACTCGACATGTTGCGAAAGAGAGAGAGAGTATATGCTGAAAGATGCACCAGTTTTCGCGATGCTCAGAGTCTTCAAAGGTTGCCTGCGGAGGTCATCGCCAGTCCGCAAGTGCACTACGTCAAGCACTGACTCGCGCAACGATCTGCACAAGAGGCACCAGACTCGCCTCCGCAAGGTTGCCTTTTGCGCCACCCTTTCGGCGAACGTATCTAACATTAGCATACATCTCGCACCAAATATGCGCGCTTGCTCACCCTGCAGGGGGATCGCCCTTCATCTCGTCTAAACGATAACAGCGGGTGATCTACCTTTTCCATGATAGAACACTTTCCCATCAATCCGGCCTTGCTATTGTCAACCACCAAAAGCCGCGTGAACTGCTTACGTGGCTGGCTTCGTCGTTTGCCTCTTCCTCTTGATTTTCGATTGCGAACGTTTCTGGTTCCATCTGCGACGCTGGCTGGGTCACTACTCTCACCAGTGCTCTCCTTCGTTGGTCGCAGCATTTATTCAGCCTCCTCTCGGGCTGTTTACAATCGACCGACAGAGCCACTCTCTACACAACCAAGAAGAGCCAGCCGGCCCCCTAGTCCACAGTTGCCCCCTAGTCCACGGCTGGCCCCTCAACCTCAAAATCCGCCTAAACCATGAGGGAGATTGACGCTCACTTCGACGCGTACGAGCATTTGAAGCATCTCCCCAGAGATGGCGAAGCATTGCACATGCTCCGCAAAGCCGCATCCATGGTAAAACCGATGATGCGAAAGCGCGGCTGGAAAGTAAAAACATTGGCTGAATTTCTCCCCGACGAGCCTCAACTCCTAGGCCTCAACATCAACCGCACAGAGCGCATTTTGATTCGCCTGAGATACCACCACGACTCGCGGCAGTTCTTATCCATGGAGCAAATAACAGATACACTGCTCCATGAACTCTCGCACATTGTCTTTGGACCCCACGACGCTGCCTTTAACAATCTCTGGAACGAACTCCGCGATGAACACCAGTCACTGCTCTTCAAAGGCTATACAGGCGAGGGTTTCCTGTCCCAAGGCCAGAAGCTAGGTGGTCGCCGCGTTCCTCTGGATGAAATGCGGCGTCAGGCTAGGATCGCCGCTGAGAAGCGCAACCGCACGACTAGTTCCAATGTCAATGCCAAAGATGGAGGACATCGTCTGGGCGGCGCACGACCTGTGCAGCGCGGTATCGATATGCGCAAGGTCATTGCCGATGCGGCGTCGCGTCGGAACAGCATCACGGATGGATGTGCAAGTGGGAGTGCAAATGCAGGAAGATTGGTCAACCAGCAAGAGCAAGACGGCTTCCGCACCACAGCAGAACAAGACGATGCTAATGATTGGGCCATTGCTCAAGCGCTGCAGGATCTCATGTACGATGAGGAGATGCAGAGGCTGGGTGCACCAACGGGCAATGGCGGATTGACCTGGGATCCCGAGAATGGGTTGGGTTTCGATCGGGATACGCCACCTCGCTCGCAGAGTTCAAGTTTATCGAGAGGGGGTTTGGCGTGGTCGAGCGAGAATGGACTAACATATGACGACCCTTCTTCAACGTCCATTCTCGCGAATCAGAATCATTCCACCCAAAGTACGTCGCATCCTTCGCCGGGCCGACCCTTGTCGAGACCTGTTACACAACCACCACCAGTATCACGAACATCTCTTTCCTCCTCCTCCCGCCTCATCTCTCAACACGAACAACAACAGACACGCAATAAAAGCCTGCCTCCAACTCCACCTCGTTCTTCTCCCCCTACACGCTCCTCTTCTTACCCCCAATCGCCCCCTCACTCTTCCTTCCACCCCCAGCCAACCTCTCCCCAAGCCTCCCAGCCCACGAGTATAAGCTTGCCGCCAGATACATGGGCCTGTCCGCAATGCACACTGCACAACCCGCTCGACTACCTCGCCTGCGAAGCCTGTGGCCTGGAACAACCGCCACAGCCCATACCTGAGAACCGGCGTTTCGCTTCCTCGCACATGGGCGGATCGGTGCCTAGTTTGCCCAAGCCGCCACCACAGTTTGGTCTGAGGGGTCAGACGGCTACCCCGTTTGAACCTGCGAGGGGGAGGCTGGGTTGGAATTGCTTGGAGTGTGGGACGTTTATGGAGAAGCAGTGGTGGATTTGTAGTTTGTGTGGGACTATGAAGGCTGAAAGTTAGGCTTGGGGGGTGGAATGATGGAGGGAGTGAGTGAGCAAAGGCGTGGTTGGAGATACGAAAGGCGAAGAGATGCATCGGTGTTAGGGAGCGACTTTGTTCAATTCTTTTTGGTAGCGTATTTGGGAAAGGATGGTTCGGCGTTGGGAGGAATATATATATATACCCGGATGGTGGGAAAGCATAATGAGGAGATATAATCCACATAGATGAGGCGTGGTTTCTATCCTCCCGTCACTCAACTCAACATACTATTAGCAAATTCTTGTATCGAGCATTCCTCGCGTTGCCAGTAAAGGTGTGTCTCTTCCAGGACGTGCACAGCGGAAGAATGCCCTCTGGAATCTTCTCACCACCCACCAACCGACAAAAGTCCGACAGGGATCTTCGAGCTGGTAGTTCTCGTCAGCAAAAACTCATCAACTTCAGAATAATCGTATGGACCTGCGTGCGTGTAGGGACATGCTGGTCTGATGTTGTTGCATACGGATAATACGTGTCGAACAGAGCCAATCGTCCGTTTGAAGAAGCCCAGCCGACGTAGCTTTTCTATAAGAGTTTTTGAATTTTGGACATCGATCGCCCTATCGGAGTGGAGGGTATGCGATGTCAGTTAGTTTGATCGATACCGCTTTGGACGAAAGCTGGTAATATCTTGTGATGTTAGTTATGATGGCATCGCGGTCCTGGTTCGGTTGTGCGGGAACCTCCACGGCGGACATGGCAACGATCGGGAGAGGTATGGTGTCGTTCTGTATGTTCGTTCTATGGATATGGTTGCCAAAGTAGCTATGGTAGATAAGTAGTCTCTTGCTGTGCCTTTTTCTAATGTTGATCCTGCTTAGCTGCTGGATTTCGCTAGCAATGAAGATTGTTGCATGTTTTCCAATCTTCGTTCGAGACCATGAAATCAAGAGAATCTGCGTCGCAAAAGTTTTGAGATGCGGGTGTTATTGCGAAAGAGAGATGCAGAGGAAAAGACACAGCTGGGTAGTAAGCAGTGATGTTTTTGAAGCGGACTGGGCATCGCGTTAGCCCGCGCCTCCAAGCGACATGGAGTTTTGTCGAGATTTCGTGTGCCAACTCCGCCCACGAACGAACGTTCAGCACACATAATGGAGAGTATCGCCTAGATATTTCGCGCTCATCATTAGAGTTGCATCATGTTGGGCGAGTTCACCAACGCCCAGTATGAATACGACAAGCTACTGTTAACCACCGGATGAACAGCGGCTCTTTCGCCACGTGATCGGACGTTGGCCCAAAACTTACCTGGTCGCCGGTTGCTATGATCGACCCGGTGGCCCAAGGTTTTGCAATCTACCTTAGGAGATGCGGTGATCACGGCTTTCCTGTCAACCATTGCAAACAGCAAAAGCATTGCCGCCACGCGCTTCTGCCACCGGAGCATGCCCCGAAGAGTAATGACGAACCACGGACATCGACGGGATGGATATGGAAACATGTCGTTGAGCCCGTTCAAATACACACCCTAGGCAAACAGCCTAATACAGATGCTAGTGTCCATCACATGCACGCAAGAACGTATCGATGAGGAAAAGTAGACGGAAAAACCAAGGTGGGCGTTACCCCAGATAGATTGACCTCACTATGAACCCTGGTCAACGAACATTTTCCCCAGCTTTCGCCTCCAAACCTCGGCCTTGGTGGGACCTGGTCAAAGAAACGGGTATAAAGAACGGGTAGATCCAGCTTCAACATGGTAGATACCGTTGTCAAACACCTACTATCGCAATGCGTTCATTTCTCCTTGCCGGCACGGCTCTCGTAGCCACAGCATTGGCTCGCAACCTCCCCCATCGTTCTTTTTCTTCCCTGGCTACGAGGCAGAATGGAGGTCTTCCTAGCTCTTTCAGCTGGACGTCCAGCGGTATTCTAGTCTCACCAAAGAAAGATAGCAGAAACATTGCTGGTATCAAAGACCCTTCTATCATAGAGTACGAGGGTGTATACCACGTCTTTGCCAGCACAGCTGTTGAATCAGGCTACAACCTTGTGTACTTCAACTTCACCGACTTTGACCAGGCTCAGCAAGCGCCATTCTACTATCTCGACCAGAGTGCTATAGGCACAGGCTACAGAGCTGCACCGGAAGTTTGTACGTGAAGTGTTCTCTTTGTCCTTGCAACATCGCAAGCCGTGAAGATGCAGAGCACTCTGCTGACACCCTCACAGTTTACTTCGCTCCCCAGAAGCTCTGGTACCTCATCTACCAGAATGGCAATGCCGCATACAGCACCAACCCCGACATTTCCAATCCTGCAGGGTGGACCGCCCCCGAAGTCTTCTACCCCAACGGTACCCCCGCACTCATTGCCGAAGGTCTCTTGAACCCGCAACAAGGCTACTGGGTCGACATGTGGGTCGTATGCGACGACGCCAACTGCCATCTCTTCTCCCACGACGACAACGGCCGGCTCTACCGCAGCCAAACACCGCTCTCCCAATTTCCCGCCGGCATGAGCGAACCCGTCATCGCACTCTCCGAACCCAACAAGAACGACCTCTTCGAGGCATCAAATGTTTACCGCGTAGACAACAACACCTACCTCCTACTTGTTGAATGCATCGGCGCGGGCGATTCACCAGGTGGTTTGCGTTACTTCCGCTCTTGGACATCGAGCTCGCTGAGCGGTAGTTGGACGCCGCTCGCAGCTACGCAGCAGAACCCCTTCATGGGTGAGGCTAATGTAGCTTTCCCTGATGGAAGGTGGTCAGACAGTATTAGTCATGGGGAGATTGTGAGAAGCCAGGTTGATCAGACACTGACGATTAAGCCGTGTGGCATGAGGTTCTTGTATCAGGGCATTGCGCCCAATGCGAGCGGGAGTTATAATGCGCTGCCGTGGCATTTAGGATTGGTGACGCAGACGGGGAACACGACGTGCTAGAAGTTAAGCACGAGCGGGCGGAGATGACGAGATGCATACTTGTGAGCTGTATATATATGTATAGACTTTGGCATGTATCTACGTTATCTCTCTCCGCTACGACCCAGCACCCTATAACATGTCCATAAGATCTTCCCAACCGCCTTGCTCCATTGTGTTTGCTTCGGTTTTCCACAGTTTCCATCCCAGAGTACTTTTCTTTATGAGCATGCTGTATATCATGGAAATACCGGATCATTGTCATACCTTATCGCAATACGACCGTATGGCAACCCAAGTAAAGCTACATGATTATCTCCTCACGATACCCACCAATCTGCTTGTTACTACCAAACATTACCAACCGTTCCCACATCCTTCGCCCCACTACGCAAGAAGATCTCTTCACCCCCCATGCTCCCTGTCAAGATTCCCTGCAAACCATGATCTGCACATCTTGCGGTCTCATCTCGGCATCACCCACATATTGCATCACAGCATGACGACTACGCATCCGCAACTTCCATCATCACCTGTCGTCATCCGCGCTACTGATAAAATGTTTACGCGTGGTCCTGGACCGCACGTTCCGGTTGGCGACATCAGCTTATCGCGAGGCTGTGCAAGTTTAGGCAGACTGCTCATCGCAAGTGATTTGTACCATGTGTGATGGAGCGTCCGGATGTATCGCATGTTGTCGCGCGACTTTCCAACAACAGCGTGGGGAGAAGAGAGAAAGAGAAATTTATGCGGCCGCTAGACTTCCTTGAAGAACGAGCGCAAGCCGCTTCCCCGAGTATGGTACCCGTGTTTATCTTTCCTTCCCCCCTTGTACCTGCGTGGATGACGACATGGTTGGGAAGAGGTTTCTCTGGGCATCGGACACGCGAGGTTGCGCTGTGATGACGAGGATTGGAATTATGTGAGCGTCGGAATACGAGCGATGTAGACATGACTTCTTAGTATCTTACTCTTGCTCCGACGCGATTGCCGTAGTGCGTCCGAGCATATGTTGTTCTACGACAGATCAAAGGTGATTTGCCCTACGAGCAACTGTTCCCTGTCTCTTTTTAAGAAAAGGAGAATTGCATTGACGGGCGAGTACGTGATTTAGAGCTCTTCAGGGCTCAAACAGAAGGATCGCAGCGAACAACCCAACACGGTATACTAAGCAAAGATAAGCAGAGACAGGAGATACTTTCTGTAGCGTCATTGATCGATTTCCCCTAAACAAGAACAGCCAGCACAGTGTTGGGAATAGAGACCGAGGATGCTATAAGTTTGTAGTCGCAGTGATTCGAGCCAGTGCATTGGCGGGACATGGGGCTGATGCATACTCGTCGTTGGACAAAGTGCGATGGCTGTACTCATATCTTTCAACGATATGTACGCGAACACTGTCGCATGGAAGTGGTATGTGTACGAGCTCTCGATGCTTGTATAGTTACATTGAGGGGAATCACGCGCTTTGTGATAGTTGAGCCCGCAGGACATACGATATTCAGTACAGGCAGTATCCTTTGGGAGCAGAGAAAGGGTGTTCTCCAGACATCTGGAGCGTTGTTCCAAAGATGTGTGCATCTCTTCATAGAGCACGTTCACCTCGGCAAGAACACAAACCTATACCCTCAACCACACTCCCGACCGGAGAACATCGGAGAAACAGCCTCACCACTCCTCAGATCCTCGATCCCGATAAAGTGCACCTTGCCCAGCTGCCTCGAACACCGCAGGAACACGAACGCCCACCTGCAGCGTCGGAACGTCAGGATCCAGCTCGCGTTTCACATCCCAACAAACACGCGACACAGTGGTGTGCTACCCCACGATTTGCGTAAAGAGAACTGGGGTTGTTGGCTAAAGGATTCAACATGGACAAGCGAGCGAATTGCGAAACTATGCATTTCGGTTAAGATTCCGATGCGAGTGGATTGGTGGCTTATTGAGGATTGGTGGAACATCTAGAGTTGTCGGACCGACTAGGGTGAATATGTCATAGTATGGAAGCAAGAAGAGGTGTTGAGAAAAGCGGCACGCAACTGCAAAATGTGCACCTTGTCTATAGAAGTCTTGGGCTAAGTAGGAGGGTCAGGGGAACTTGTTGGGGCTTGGGTGCAGGCATATGGTGTAGGTTTTCTTGGTAAGGTTGGGCGCCGTAACGAACTGCCAGACGCGGATCGCCAAACTATCAGAACGAGCTTTCGGATAAGACAAGCTGCAGTGGCGAGCAGGTTGCCCTTGAATAGCGAAGCGTGTGTCCGTTTACGTCGCTACGAGATCGCTTTTTTGTTACCAGAACGTCTGCCACATGGTCACTTACAGCAATATTCGTGGGGCTATATCGTCCTTCAACAGGACTTTCTTCTCAATGTAGAAGATATCTCTGATGTTAGTGAGAGTATGCCTCCGTGGCCGCGGAACCAGCTAAGCAATCTCGCAATCAAGTGAGAATGCGTATGTTGTTGGGAAGCATCGCGAACATCGGACGTTAGCGCTCTATGCGCGCACACGCCGCACACGCGGTGCAGCTAATGACTTCCGTATGACCTACCCTCAACTAGCTCGTAGCCAGGCATAAGATTCCCTTTTCGTTTCGAGGATGGTGCAGATCTGTGCCATGAGCGACCGCCGTCACTCCTATGTTTAACGTGCACTGCCTCTTTGCAGTCATGCAAGTCATCGAAAGCTTTCAAGCCTTATCTGGGCATGGAGAATTAACACGTCCTGGTCCTCCTATCACGACCGTAGGACGTGGGACTCATGTTAAACTTGATACCGTAGATCTCGGCGAAGAGCATCGTGACACCTCGTTCATACTGCACACGACTCTGGGCGGCTTTCGCAAATCGCGCACACGACGTGGGTTTCCGTGCCTCGAAGCTAACAGCCAAGACATATGTGAAGGTAAGACAATGCCAGCTCTTTTGCCATGACACTCAACATGTATCGGTACTTCGTCAGACGGGAAAGATCGGGCTGCGCAATTCGTGGAACGTCGAAGACCGTCAAGCGTGGGATAATGTTAAGATCAGTTACCGTCTTCACCGTTCAAGCACTCCGATCAATTTCCGCGATAGCTCGTTAGGGGGGCAAAAGTGTCCGAGAGGAAATCGACTACGGAACTGAGGTTGAGTTGGAAGCGTCTGGATATACTTGGCATCCCACGTCGATGGCTGCATCAGGTAGGCGTGCTTGAAACCAGCCCAACATCCCACACGATCGCCTCTACTTGATCGGTTGAGGCTCTTGAGAACGAACCAGGGTGGCACGGCACGTTGTGGCAAACAAGTTCTGCTTGTAACTGCCGCCATGCAGTAAGCTCGCCTTGATGTGAACTGTGGATAGCAGCCGACCCCCACGGTCGACAAAGGATCGACGAACTACAGCTAAGTGGACCGCGCGGTAAGCGTACCCTGTCCCGATTGTTTTTGAATCGTTGCAAGTAACCGAGGCTAGAGCGGAGTTGAACGATGCATATGGTGATGATTCGGACATGCCCACTGCCACACACATCTTTCTTGCGGTGTGCAAGGTTCTAGTGAGCTAAGTTTTACTTCTGTCGCTCAAATGTGTGGTGGAAGAGAACAGTCGTCTAAGCGGAGCGTGCCAAAGTGACGTCCATCAGAATCATCCCTGGAGGGCCCGTCTGCTGACGAAGTTGGCCTTCGATCAGACCACAAACTCCATTCATCACTGTATCGCTCTCGGGAGGGGCGAGATCCTGGTCCCAGTGAATCCCATTGCCCATATGACCCGCATATGTGGGCTGACCCCTCACCCCTCATCAGCACTAAGTCTGGTGCGGCGTTGTTGCCGAGTTGTCGGACGAAGTCGCTGAAGGTGGACTTTTCAGATGTTGGAGTGGATCTTCTAGATTTTCCCTGCTCTTCTGCTGTCTTTGTGGGACCAGAATCCACATGTGGAGAAGAAAAGTAACCATGGCCAAGGAACTGCCGATGAGAACCGTCTCCTTATGCTTATGGCTGCAACGTTACCCTGGTCGGTACATGAGGTACCTCTAGGGTCATCATTGCAAGACCGCCGAGGCTACTGAAACTGGGCGTTACTGACGTATACCCTGCAAGATGAGCGGATGGCTTGAGGTTACGCAGTTTTTGGGCATCATCCAAGCCGGCAGTACCCAGTATTACGTGCATGATTTCAGGGCCTCAGTGCAGAAAGAGGCAATAAACGACACACAAGACTTGACCGTAGACGAGACTGGGCGTCATGCAAGTCAGAGGCCTGGTGCAGCGGCAGGTCGAAAGTGTGTGGCCTGGTGATCCAACGTGGTAAGAAGGCGGGGAAACGAGACTCTAGGATCGCCAATTTGTGGGGTAATAGCGTCGTCGTTGATGGCTGCATGGTCGGCTCACGCTCGGTTCTCGTCTTTGCGACGAGGCTGTGTGCATCCTCGCGAACATTACACCTGTTCTGCAGTAGGAAATGGCGTCGAGGGATCCATATGTATATGCCACTACGCAGTGACTGCATACGGCTTACGGCAACGCCAATAAAACTTTTCGTCCTCGTGCCGCCAGACTGTGGATTCCCAAAAGGTTGAACAAAGAAGATTGCACTTACGCGTGAATAGGAATAGACGTGATTGGATGCGACAAGGTGTGCCGATTGAAGGAGATCTGTCCCAGTATTCGATGCGAAATTCCGCGGTGTTCTGAATGCCGAAGCGAGCTGCCACGGCATCACGTGGGGGCGCTCGACAAAGATCCACCGAGGATCAGGTACGACGATTGCGGCGTACCAGGCATTCCCCTTCTCGCGTTTGAACCTAAGCTGTGGAAACAAAAGCAACGGGCGAACATGCTGATGACTTTCCTGCGCACCGCAATTGCCGGAACGGCGCTCGGCACATTGTTGCAACGCTTTTGTTCGAGAATCCATCGGCTTGATGCTTTTCGCGTGGCACTCGCCGTCGGTTTGCACCTGCAGCGATGCAGACACCTTCCATGTGTGGATTGGTGGATATACGAGCAGGATGATGTCGTGTCCATTGCACGACTCATACACAATCGCCTTTGCGGGAACAATGTCGTGTGAAGATTGTGAAGAGCCTCAAGGTTTGAGCTATGGCCAGACCCCGCCACCAAGAGTAATGGGCGTGGGGGGAAATATCGCGAGGGATCGGCGTCGTCATCCTGGCCAGGCTCTGTAATGATGAGACATGAGATGCCTCTGATAAGTTCGCTATTTTGGTCCGTCTTGGTGGCCCTGCGGCTGTCGGATATCGATGACTGCCTCTGCCCGGATATTGCATGGCCTTGTGATGAGCTTCCACTTCTTGCTGTCTGCCACGTCTTGCATCACCGCTGGAATCCACCATTTCTCTTACCCTTTGCATTGCTCTACTGCACGTCGTAAGTGGTCGCCGAACTCTAACTCCTGGACCGACTGGGACCACGACCTCAGGAAGGGCAAGACGGAGTAGCCGGGGTCGCTGAACGGGATCAGATGATGCGAATAGGCCGGCCACGATTCCCCCACCCCCACACTAACACCCCCGAACGGTATCCATCAACGCTCTTTTGAGTCCGCCAACCCTGCGCATGGTGCCAGCTGTGGCGAGAATTACCCTATCAGCTTCCAACTAGGATTCCAAAAGATCGTCACAAGGCGTGCCCCCCTTGCACTTCACCTCCGGCCAAGATCCGATGTTCACAGCCTCTCGCCCCCTGTTCGCTTGCTGCAACGTGAGCAAAAAAGCAACCGCCGCTTCAATCAGCAATCCTCGCCTCGTTTATTGGCCACACGCAAGCCCTCCAGCTAAGCGCAAACAGCTGTGCCTGGTATCGGCTACGTGCAGAGCAGCACCTCGAGCAGGCTGCGGGAGTCACCGCCCCTTTGGTCGTCACCAAGGATGCCTGTCCCTCCCTCTCTGATGCACTTCACGCACCTTGCTTTGCCTGCCGTCACTAGCACTCCTGACGACGCCGTCAGCTGGACCCCCACACTCCGCATTGCAAGGTCAAGTGTCCGGCGTTTGAAGATATTTAAGTACCTGTACTATCCTCGGGGTGTTACCACACATCGATCAACCATTGACGTATTTGTTCCGTTCGTCGTTGCTGTGTTCCACTTATTCTTTGTCAAAAGTATCGCTTCTCTCTGCAAGCTTTTGTTAGTATAAAAGTCTACTAGACCTCCGCATTCGATACTCTTCTTATCATGTCACCACACCACGACGCACCTTCTCCTGCAAACAGCTACAGTCAAGATACCGACTTCCACCATTCCGTTCAGTCCGTCTACACTATGAGCCAATATAACAACTTTGACACCAGCTCAATGGAGTCTACCGATATGGGTATTCGACGATCCTTGGTTCCTGGCATCTATGTTCCCACCGTAGCGTTCTTCGAACCATCATCGGATAACGTTGATGTCGAGACCACTGCCAGCCACGCCGTCCGCCTAGCGAAAGCTGGTGTTGCTGGAATCACCACCCAAGGATCCAACGGCGAGGCTGTCCACCTGTCACACAAGGAACGCGATCTCATCACCAACACCACCCGCAAGGCTCTTGATGATGCAGGCTTTGGTTACATGCCTATAATCGTCGGATGTGGTGCTCAGTCGACTCGGGAAGCCATCGAACTCTGCGAAGAGGCAGCTTCGGCTGGCGGAGACTACGCTCTGGTACTTCCACCAGCGTACTACCAAGGCTTGTTCTCGAAGGATACCATCAAAGAGTTTTTCCAGGACGTAGCCACCGCTTCGCCCATTCCAATTCTCATCTACAACTACCCCGGAGCAGTCTCTGGACTGGATCTCAACTCCGATGTTATCATCGAATTGGCTCAGCACCCGAACATCGTTGGCTGCAAGTTGACCTGTGGCAACACCGGGAAGCTCAACCGCATCGCCGCAGCAACACGTGCTGCCACTGTCTCAGATCCTGGATCCGGCTTCATGTGCATGGGCGGGTCCGTTGACTTCACACTGCAAACACTGATTGGAGGCGGATCCGGTATCATTGGCGGCATGGCCAACATTGCGCCCAAGACGTGCGTCAAGCTTGTGGAGCTGTTCGAGGCTGGCAAGTTCGCGGAAGCCCGCAAACTCCAGGCCATCGTTGCCCGAGGAGACTGGGCGGCTATCCAAGGCGGCATCATTGGCACCAAAGCTGGGCTCATGGCCCATTTCGGATATGGAGGCTATGCTCGTAAGCCTCTCCCTAGGCCCGGAAAAGACGAAGTTCGCAAGTGGCGAGATGCCTTCGACGAGCTTGTCAAGACTGACAACTCTCTTTGAGTAACACAAGTTCCCCCGCTTCGACAAAAGGATATCATGACTCCATGGCGTGCATGCTTTCCTTCCCAAACACCGTTTCGCATTGCTCTCGGCGTTGAGCGCACTCTTGCATATTCTTAGTGGCGTTTTCCTGATTAGGTTATCGTTTTCTTGATTGTTAGTTTTGTGAGCGTTATCTTTGGTCACTGGCCTGGAAAAAGCAATCTGGTATCTCTATTCCAGCCGTTGTCGCTACTGGTTGCGTCGGTGCAACATCTTCAAAATTTGCAACGATAGTCTTCTTGTTTTTCTTGAGCCGTACGACTGTTTACGCATAGCAATGAGTGGGCGGATACCTGGTATGAGTTGCATCTTTAGCCTGTTGGTACTCGTCGTTGTCATAGAAATGACGAATCCTGAAAATTGATTAACAACTTGCACATCGTATGTGATGATATGATGCTTGTCTGACTGCTCATCTGGATTGTGTGGTGCCCTAGTGATCACCTTGTCTATCGAATGGTAATGCCATTGGCAGTCCTGCTCACTCGGCTGGGGTGGTTGCTGTAATTGGACTGTTATGGTTTCATACCACTTCAGCCCTGAACCGGTGTAACACGTAGAGTTGTTGGTGCTGCACCCCCGTGCGAAAAGCCAGCGCACGAACCTTCCGGTATGTCTTGATGTATCCTCTCCACCACAACCGGGAGCTGGGACGACTCGTTCCATGTTATTGGCTCTCCAGTCCAGTAGTCTCCATTCCACTGTACCGGGGATCCCAAGACCTGCAATCGTGAGAGGGTTCCAGTGCCGACTTCCGTAGGCAAACGATGTCTCACCAACGTGAATATCGTAAAGCGGCATTGGATAGTGCATTGCACAAACCGAGACATATGAGAGACCAGTGACAGGGCAGCTTCCAGGATGGAAAGTCGATCAGGCCAGTTTGCCATCACCTGAGCATGGTTTTGCCCAATACTGACAAGACGATATTCGGTGACAAGGGCGCAAACCTTCATAACAGCCGGGATGTTGAGGACCTGCAGTAAGCCGCACAGGCCAGTCGCGATCTTTGGCCACTGTAATATCCGTGTGGCTTTCGTGTTACCTCTAGCTGGAGGTAGCGAGTACTGTTCAACGATCACAGCGTTCTGGTGCTGATGCCCAATCGATCAGCTACCCCGGCAGCTGATAGGCTGACGGCTAGCAAGAGGCTGAGATGAGAGCTTGCTGAAACTCTCATATTGGAGAATCTCGTCCGGTGAGCAAGCCGCAATCGTTGTCAGCCGTACGTAGTCTCCGCTACTCTGGCTTCACCCCACGCTCAAGCGCCTAGCGTCCCGCCGTGACGGTCGGATAACCTGACGTCCTCCATCCCATAAGCGCCAGATAAAACCGTGTCTTGTGTAAAACCCCACACTATTCAGTGTGCATAGCCATTGGTCTTTCTGAGAGTTTGGACCTGCCGTGATTGCTGCGTGAATTGAGGCATGCCAGGACTGCCGCAGGCTGATACAAGAAGCAGAGAGTGCTGGAAGGTATCCATATTCAGGCATTTTCTGTGCGAAAGTCATATGAGGGAATAGAGATGGCGCATGGAGTGAACACGAGCATGATGTGTCTGAGAAGAGCGAAGGAAGAAAGACTCTTTGTTGTACGCGCCTTACCCGATTAGGGGTGGTCTCAGCGGATAGGCTTAGAGGCTCTAGCCTGTTAGCCATGCAATAGCAGTTCGAGTAAAGATCTGACGATATCTGCTTTGTACACGCCACATAACGGTGTATTGCTCTTCTGTGCTGTATTTTGATAACGCATCATCTTGAAACTCTTCTGCTTGCTTATTTAGCTTCAGCGTGAGGGACAGATCACACACGATGGCAAGAGCCCACCTAAATTGTCTGCGAATAACAGTACCGCTACAAGCAGTGAATGATTGAGCAAGGTAGCATGAGACTATCACTGAAGCTTCCTCCTGCATGCTTGTTTCGATGGCTTCGTATGTACAATCTTGAAGATCCTCGATCACAGCAACAAGGGTGGCTTTCTGCCTGAAGCTTAGCGTGCATTACTAGCGGCATTCCTTTTGCGCCTCGCACCATCGAGCTGAACCTATGTGCTGCACACTTATAGGTCTGGACTCTGCACTTTCAAGCCACTTTTGATATAGATTGCGTTTTGCCCAGTGTGAAATTCTTCAGTATGTGTTCAACCCCTTCCGACTCCCTACTCACAGTCGCAACCATTGTTTCTCGTCACGATGCACGATCTCTCCATTGATGACAATGCGCTTGGTACACCGAACCTCCTTTCTAGTCGATATAGCTCCTGTCCCCTCCCAGATGTGCGTTAACCAAAATCAGGCGCTTTGCAACCTTATCAATACTTGCCTTTCATGGGTCCAGAAGACTTTCGCCTCATGGAACTTCAGCCTGGAGATGAGACTGAACCGCTTGTTTGCCGCCTCATGCGGGTTGACATACGCAACCCGCCCCCATACGAGGCACTTTCATATACATGGGGCCGATCAAGAGACGTTTTTACCCTTTACCAAGAACCTGAGATTCCTGATACTTCTGGTACTTTGAGAACAGTTTCCAAGATCACTAGAGGACTTTATGAGGCTCTTCTGCAGCTCCGTCAAAGGGCCAAGCCAAGGATCTTGTGGGTTGATGCGGTCTGTATCGACCAGGAAAGCTTGAAGGAACGTGGAGAGCAGGTCAAGATCATGAGGCAGATCTATGCCAATGCAGCACGTGTTGTAGTTTGGCTCGGTCTGGCAGACGATGAAACTCCTGTAGCTGTACAAGAAATCGCCAGGCTGAAGAGTTATATTGCCTCTCGAGGTTTATCACTCGAAATTCTTAAAGCGATGACTGACGAGGGTCCTGACCACAAGATGCTGGATCTAAACGAGCATGTCCTTGACGAGAAAACTACCGCTATTCTCGGGCGCGTCTATTGTCGCCCATGGTTTCGACGCATATGGGTAGTTCAAGAAGTCACAGCCGGCGGGTCATCCAGCGAGGTTCACATAGGACCTTACGTTATTCCTTGGGACGATTTAGGTATGGTGGCTCTGGGGCTTCAAGTCATGCTTTGGAATTCGCCTGTACCCATCGAAGGGCCCGGATCAAGAAATGCGCTTGTCATGTGGCAGGGTCGGCTGTTCGCAAGGAAGACGCCACCGACATTATTGGATGAAGCGCGAAGTTACCTCGCTACAGATTCTCGAGACAAGGTATACGCGCTGTACGGCTTTCCAGCATTCCAGGAGCTGTTCCAGAGATTTGGATTCAAACCGGATTATACAATTAAGGAGCGTGACCTATATGAACGGGTGACCCGGCTGACAATCGAAAGCTCGCAGACGCTCGAGATCCTACACTATGTCGATAACCCAGAACTGCCTGCGGAAGAATCAGAATGGCCATCCTGGGTGCCAAGATGGACTCAGCCAACCCTCTATTGGAGTTTTCCCCTGCAAGATTATACCATCTATAGCAAAAAGACTCACGGAATGCTTTCTGTCTTGGAAGGACCACAAGGAAATCTGCTTCGATTGAAGGGCGCCACTGTAGGACGCATAACTGAAGTTGCACAATGCATCGATTGGACGCCGGCTGACAAGGAACCAACGATACAGAACACCGAAGCTCTAACGCAGTTCTGGGATGCGACTTCAATGCACCCGGGTTCACCGTCTGACTCCAAGGAGGACAAATTCGTTGGCCTAGCACAAGCACTAACAGCGGGCCTTGACTCCGACTGCAACTCTGCTGCCAAAAGCTCCGTCCGTCATACAGCGGATGCTATCGAGTTTGTACTCCACAGCTTCAACACAGCTTCGGTTTCCAGTCAAGTCCAACTCTCCGCCCTATTCATCCACCTTCTTGCCCTTCGGGACGCCTTTCCCCATGGAGATCGCCTTCGGTACCAAGAGAGCGTAGTCTGGATCTGTGCAAATCGCCGCCTATTCCAAACTGACAGAGGACTTTTCGGGCTTGGTCCGTTTCCTGTACAGCCTGGTGATATTGCAGTCATCCTGTACGGCGGCTATACGCCTTTCGTGCTGAGGCCAAGAGGTAATTACTATCAGTTATTAGGTGAGTGCTATTTGCATAAAATGATGGGAGAAGACGCTCTGCAGTTGCGCAAGCGTGGTACTGGTGAAGATATGTCAGAAGAGACAATCTTTGAACTGAGGTAGAGCAAACTAGTAGGAATATGGCTGGTGTAAAACAGTGGTCTTGCGTTTATCATAAATGATACCTTAAGACAAGAGGACAAGGCCATCCATGGAAACCATTCAATGATTCCGTGTTGAATGCACACCACCTATAACAACCACAGTGCTGGGGACCTGCAGTACGCCGCGCCAACCCATCGGGGTGTTTGGCCGTTTCACTATCCGTGTGGCACCCGCGTTGGTTTTGCCTAGAGGTAGCGATTTTCTTTCAACGGGAACTGTATCATGCCGCCCAGTCAGCAGGCTGTGGTAGTTGTTAGTCGCACCCAGTCACCGCCATTTTGGCTGCATTTGACGCTCGCGCGCGTTGCAGGGCGACATGGCGTTTTCTGTCTCACAAATACCAGGTAGAACCGTGCCCCGCATAATATCCTACGTCCCTAGAAGCGCAAAACCACTGGCGGTTCGCTTAGCTGATGGATGTTCGTTGATTCGCGCGTACTGTGAGGCGACCCAGGGCTGGCGCATGCGACTGGAAAGGACGTCAATGGCTGGGATGCGTTTGTGATCAGAGCTGATAGGCGCGCAATGGTATTGTAGAAATACAAATGTGGATTATGCGATGGTGAGCAGCGAGGGAGATGAGGGAAGAGCGTTGTAAGACCATGTAACGGGTTACCAACTTTGGTATGGTTTGAGTGGTAAGCTTCGGAGGCGGCAACACCGTTTTCTCAAGCTTTCATTTAAGGGGAGATCGCTACGCACGTCCTCTCTCCCGCAACAAGGGTTTACTAGTATCGCATGCCTGAGTGCGCGAAACGCTACTACAGTATAGTCGCAGATAATCTTGTGGTTCTGCTTGACGCCTTTACGCGGATGTGCGGGGTATGGGGTACGTCAGAACTCGTATCTTGTAAGCGCTATGCTGAAAACCACTTATAGCATAGCACCCATTAATCAAACCATACGAAGCTCTTCGCAACAGATGCTGCCCGATCTACACTGACTTTTGAGGCTCCATCCCTTTTGCACCTACGACACTGTGACTGTAGCCACTTCGACATGGGAGCCCTCGAGCCACTGAATGCTGCTTGCCAGTGTTGATGTAGTTGCAGGCAGCCTAGCGTGTATAGCGCAAACGTTGATACCCCTTGATTCTGTGCGTCGTACACAGTCGAAAATTGCCATATCTCATTTCCGAGAATATCTCATCTCGGCGTGAGAATGGAGATGTTTCTTTGGGTCTGCTGGAGACCGAGGGGTGTAGGGCAGCGGTCATTGGTTTTGCTTCTTCTCATTTCGGCGCAACTTCCGGAGTTTCGCTGCGGGATAAGTTCGCCGGGTGCCGGCTCCATGTGCTGCATGTAGCTCTCGACTTCGCAAGTATATCTTTCGGTCTCTGACATCTACCTGAGTAGTAGATACAGGCTGTTGCGATGAGGTCTTTACAAGTTTTAGCGTGCCTGTCGGGACTCCATCAACTATCAACCGCGTACAATACACCAGCACCGCCAGATGCGACCCGGCCGGACCTATTTGCATACCTTCTCAATTGGACACCGGCCAATCCCGTACATGGTATCTTCGGCGACAGGAACAACTCTGTAGCTCCATGGCATCCTGAACCACATCAACCTCCTCACTACCCGCCTCACCGACAATGTGACGTATCGAGTCCAGGCGCCCAGTCCGACTTCTGGCTTCCGAATGTGCCGCACAACGGAACAAGCCCTTTCTTACTCAATGCGCCTAACTACCACATCTACCGCAATGTAAGAGATTTCGGGGCGGTTGGAGATGGTGTTCATGATGACACAGACGCTTTTAATGCTGCAATTGATTGTACGTATCCTCGTCGAATTCGGAGATTCACAGCTCATAGTTTTCAGATGGTAGTCGATGTGCTGGAGGCCAGTGTAACGGTGGGACTACTGGAAAACCTGCCCTCATATATGTGCCGCCGGGAACATACGCCATCTACTCCACCATCCAGCTTTACGTCAATACTCAGATTATCGGAGATGCCGTCAATTTACCCACTCTTAAAGCTGCCTCGAGCGCTCTGAATAATACCGTTGTGGTTGATGGCTACGACAAAGGTACCCAAAGTACAAACAACTTCTACATCGGCGTACGCAACCTCAATATCGACACTACCGCTGCGGATCCTGCCAAGACTATCTATGCATTGAACTGGGCGGTCTCTCAAGCGACCAACCTTATCAATGTCAACTTCATCATGCCCACCAGTAGCAATCACATCGGTATCGAAATGAATGGAGGTACCAGCGGCGGTGGATCGGGCCTTTTCATGGGAGATCTCACGTTCTCCGGCGGCCTCATCGGACTGCAATTCAGCAACCAACAGTATAGCTTGAAGAACCTCAAGTTCACCAACGTCGCGACAGCTATTGCGATCACGCACGGTTTCGTCATCTCGATGCAGCAGATCAACTGCATCAACGTAGGCATCTGCGTCGATATGGGTGCTCAAGGAGTCACAGGGTCGCTCAATCTTATTGACAGCTGGTGTGATACTTGTGGTGTGGTTGTCAATGGTTCCAGTTCTGTCGTGCTGGAGAACATCGACGTGAAGAGTTCTGGCCCGCTATTGGTTGTCAACGGAACGACGATGGCTCAAGGCAGCCTCGTAGGACAAACGTACATCTCCGGACACGTGTACGAGGATGGCAATGGTACATCCATAGTCTCTAATGGCACTAAGCACGTCTATGCAGATCGTGGTAGTCTGGCTGATGCTTCGGGACACTACTTCACTAAGCCACAACCGCAGTATACGCACTACCCTGCTTCCGCTTTTGCTTCCGTAAAGGACGCTGGCGCTAGAGGTACTTTTGCTTATGCCAAAGTCATGTTACCAGTTCACTGACCAGAAACAGGTGACGGACAGACAGACGACACAGCCGCTATCAATGCTGCACTCAAGAACAACGCAAACTGCAAGATAACCTATTTCCCACACGGTGTCTACAGCGTGACGGACACCATCTACGTTCCGCCCGGTAGTCGAATCGTTGGCGAAGTCTGGTCCATCATCAGCGCTGCGGGCAAAAAGTTCAGTGATGAAGCCAATCCCCAGCCTATGATACAGGTCGGCAAACCAGGCGAGGTTGGATTGGCCGAGTTTAGCGACATGCTCTTCACTGTTTCCGACGTCTTGCCCGGCGCCATTCTCGTCGAAGTGAACATGAAAGGCAGCAATCAAGGCGACGTTTCCTTCCACAACACGCATTACCGCATTGGTGGTGCTGCGGATTCTCGCACCGAAACCGCGTGCCAATCCGAGACGCAGCCGTGCAAAGCTGCTTTCCTGGTCATGCACCTTAGAGAGACAAGTTCGGTCTACATTGAAAACAGCTGGCTCTGGACTGCTGACCACGACCTCGACGGCACGAACCCCACATCCGTCAGCACAGGAAGAGGCATGCTCGTTGAAGCCACTACAGCTACTTGGCTTGTCGGCACCGGCAGCGAGCACCATACGCTTTACGGTTACACATTGCACAACGCACAGAACGTCATGACCTCCTTGATGCAGATCGAAACACCATACTGGCAGCCTGTGCCCCAGGCGCCGTATCCTTGGACGCCCAATGCCACCTGGCACGATCCGACCTTCGAGGGCTGTTCAGGCAACATCAGCCAGTGCTATATGTCGTGGTCTGTACGTGTCATTGGCTCAGAGTCGCATGCCCTTGCGCTATACGGCATGGGCTTCTGGGTCTTTTTCAATGGCCCCCAGTATGCGCCCTGTTCGGGTCCTGACGGCATCTGCCAGATCAATATCGTAGACTTGGAGGACTTGAAGCCTGAAAGTGCGGTAAGGCTATATAATGTGAATACAAAGGGCGTGCAGAATATGATATCTGTTGGTGGAAGTAAAGACGCTATGACGGCTACGCAGGCGGCGAATCCAGGGAGTTGGGGTGGTGTCATAGCGGCGTTTCTCAGGTTTGACGCGACGAGGCCACATCATGATGTCAAACGACACCACGTTCGCCATTCACGGATACATGCGCAATGAAAGGTAGCGCATTTAGGTACGCCCTGTGCATGACTGAGGATCATATATCGGATGTTGCGAAACAAGTTCAACATAACTGAATTACATTCTTCTGGGAAGACAAAAGATGGAACAAGGTATCTTGACGGATGGCAAGGCTGATAAATGAGACAAGGATTCGAGGATGTACGTCAATGAGATGCTTGCGGCGACGAGACGAGATGTGTTGTGTATGCGATTAAGACTTACCAAGCCATTGAGGATAGAAAAATGACGTTTTATACATGCCGTTTCACATACGAAGAATCGAGCTTGATTATCATTGAACAGAGTATTATTGGAAATGCGGGTTCTTATGCTATATTACTCGCGAAATGTTCACCTGCCCTTGCCCTTGGACTTACCACCATGGCCTGGACCGCGCTTAGCTCCGCGACCACTTGCGAGCTTGACAGTGAATGCACCACGCTCAATGGTGTTGACTAGGATGTATCCAGAGGGGAACAGGAAGTGCGACCAGGTTCCAACAAATTGAACGATACCACCAACAGAGTCGTCCTCAGGGTAAATGTCGAAGAAACCCTCAGTCTTGACGCTCTTTCCAGTGGGGTCCTTGCTGATGCTGCGGACATCGTGTACCCAGATACCAGCACCGTAGTTGCTCTGGTAGGCAAGTCCATCGACGATGTAGAGGTTGTGGTCGATGCCCTTGCTGTCAGTGGCGAAGAAAGTACCGGTAGCCTTGGGGTTGCGGAGGTCGGTGAAATCGATGATGTGGGTGACAGGGCGGCCGGATGCAGCTGGACCGACGGCCTCTTGCTCATCGAGCTCGTCGTTCAAGAGGACGTATTGGTGCCAGTTGCGCTCAGTCCACCATCCTTGATGGCAGTAGGTAGCGCCGGGATAGGAGAGGGTCGAGATGACCTCAGATGCAGGGTTGCCGTTCTTCATAGTGGAGTCGTAGACGGTGACGGTGTCCTCGTTGTAGCCAATGCAGATGTTGCGACCGCGGAACTTTCGGTCAGGACCGTTGTAGGTGACACACTGAGCATCGTGTACGTATCCGTCCTGGCTAGCACAGCCGGGAGAAGTAGGCTTGCCAGGGTTGGCGAGATCGATGTACTGGAGACCGGCCTTGCAGGTCTGGTTTCGAGGCTGCGCACCGACGGCGAGGATGTACTCGTTGTCCCAGTCAACAACCACGTTGTGGGTACGCCCGATCGGCAACTCGTCCCACAAGCCAACAAGGTCGGTCTTGGGGTCAAAGGTCTTTGGGCTGTCAGGGCTAACATCGAGAAGCTTCTTCATGTCGAAGATCTGGACGTTGTGCCCAACAGCCTCAGAACCGATGATAACGTAGTCGTTCAGCACGCGGATCTCGCGCCATCGCGAACCTACGCTTTGCGCAGGAAGACGACCCATGTACTGGATCTGGCCGTCCTTGAGGATCTCAACGAACGCAGCACCTGAAAATTGGCCGACGATACCGAACTCGCGGCCGTTGCGAGCTGTCCAGCCCCAAGAAGAGCTTCCCTGGCCTTCAGGGCCGCCCATGTCGGCATGGTTGACGAAGTCGTAGAGATCCATGTTGTTACACCTGAACGTCTGGTTCGCATTGCCTTGCTCGACGACGGCGAGACCATCCTTGCACTTGATGCGTTTGTCCTTGCCACTTCCCCAAGAACCCTTCTTCCAGCTCTTCCAAGACTTCCATTGACGAGAGTCTTGCTTGCCTTCGGCTGCGTCATGATCCCATTGGTCCTGGAAGCCGTTAGTACTAGATCTTGTAGACAGAAGAGGAGGATATGTCGTACAGCCTTCAACTTCATCAACTTCTGATGAATCGCACCAGAGGCATACTCCGACTTGGAGAATTGCGCAGCCTGGACGGCGATTGGGAGTGCCAACACAGCGAGCGAGAACTTCATCTTGGCGTTCTAGGAGAAGTATTGAGCTGGAATGAGCATATTAACCTGAAGCTCCAAGGGTATATATATGACTGTGATACCCTCATACTGTAATCTTTTGCTCTCGGCCATCGCGTTGCCACACGACCATTCAGTACTATGTTACCGTCTTGGTACAGTCGTATACTCTGGGCGCCATTTGGCATCTATGCTTCTTGGGGAAGGTCAGGACTACCAATTGGCTAACCTATTCAGGCAGGTAATGAAACAGATTCTAAGTGGACTGCTGTCGCCAAGCAGCGAAATTCGTGTCCATGTCGTGCGCCACAGATAGCCGGCTTTGGGTTCCCGAACTGACAAGAAGCGGCGGTCAGGATGGAAGCGGAGATCACTGCCACGGCCCGCTAACAAAGACCAAGAACCTCCAAGGCGGCTGGGCGTACGGACCAATATACAAGACTTGGACGGGAGCCGTTCGCAGCCAAACTCTAGAGAATAGATAAGAGGAAGGAGGTTACAGAATTGGAATGTGCAAACTTAGTCTACGCATGTCATCCATGGATGTCTCGCTCGGCGATGGGATCTCGGAAAGAAGCTGTCCAAGAGCGGAAGGCCTCCGCCCCGTCGACCGTGATTGAAAAACAACCTCGCCAAGCATCTCTGTCCTGTGCGGGCTCCGAGGGGTATCAACAGGGAGTTATTTGCGCGACTTCTACGAGAACAGTATCTGGATATCGCACATGCGTGGCGTGCCTCGAGCGTCAGGAGCTCTTCTTCTCAACGCTTGACGCGCACGGTCAAAATTAGCCTGTTCGTCGATGAAGCAATCATCCGAAAAGTCTAGGGTACAATGCAGGAATGACGGTTGAATGATTGCAAGGTATCGATGTTCACAAAGTGACGCGAGATTGTATTGGAAGAGGTACACCGGGTGGAGCGATGCTAGGAGCTGACGTCATCAGGGACAAGCGTGTCGCGTCACTCTTCCGCTCTGCGCCTCAGCTGCTGACAACTTCAACAATCTTCACGGTGCTAGCGATCACGACAAAATTAGTTGCCGCGTCACCTGACACGATGAGAAACTCAGTCTAACTGATTTGTTGGTAGCAGCGCGCTTTGATGTTGTTAGTCTCTGACACAGCCGCGAATCCGAAATATGCACAGGCAGAGCTTGCAGCTCGCGATTGGATAGCTATGATACATTGTTGTTCTCCATGGTTTGAGTAAGTACAAGTACCTGCCATTGCCGATGTCGCAACTAGGCTCCTCGCGAAGCCCGGTCAGCGACACGGTTCTGGCAACATGTTGAAAGCTACAGACACCTGGATCTCGTCCATATCACAATTATTGCCTTCGTACAAACACGAATCAGCCGTCGACGGTAAAGTCAATCTGCCCAAGAGCCATCCAATCGTATCAAACAAACACGACTGCCTTCCAAGTTTACACCGTTGCGAAGCTGTTGGTGGATCCTACGTGTACCGTCGACTAATCAGATCTGGCGACATGGTCTAAGTATTGTCCATGGCAGTGTGAAGCTGCAAGTATGACATAGTCCACAACGTCTTCGGTCGAATCACCTGCCACTGCATCTTGCGTAGTAAAAGAGGCTTGGCTGTTGCCGTTCAAGACGTCGGCAATCTCCTGTTCAGTCGCGTCCGGCAACTCATAACCTTCTACCTCATCGTTTTCGACTTCCGGTTGGTCGATCAACTCTTCGTCAGACTCCTCATCCGACTGTTCCTCTTCAGAAGGTGCCTCTAATCGTTTCAACTCGTCCAATGTGATCATGTCGTAATCATAGCGGATCTCGAGCTTGATACCAGCTTCCTCCAACTCTGCGAAAGCACGAGAGAGCCCGAGTGCCTGGAATGGTAGACCGTTCAACAGGACTACGCGAACGGTCTTATCTTGACCCAGACAGACAATATCTCTCAAGGATGCTAATGCGGGAACGCACCTTTCCAACAGCTTTGGGGTTCCTGGTGTGATGTGGGTGTACCACCGCTTCAAGTGTGCGGGAAAGTATACAGACAAGTCATTTTCGGCGGTCGCAGCATCGAGGACAGCTTCTATCGGAATACCGCAGTACTGGAGCTTTGAGAAGTCTTGGAAAGATCCTAGTGTTCCAAGATCTCGACCGTCAGGATAAACAATGTCTAAGATCGCCTTATCGGAGTAGCTGAACGCATATAGCTCCACCAGGGTATCTCGATGTTGTCTCAAAGCGTCGCCTAGGAGCTTCCAAGAGTGCTCAGGCCACACTGACATTGGATTGTCGTCATTACCGAACGGCTCCCACGCCATGGTATTGTGTTCGTACATGAAGTTGCTAAGAGACTTCACTGAAGAGATCATCTGCGCCACGGCGGAGATGTCCATCATCGCATTCCTGAGAGCGATCTCTCGGACGGGGCTGCTCGAGGTGGGGATCAGCCAGTCCCTGAACGGCGTCGTCTGGTGAACACCCTGGAGAAAGAGCGAGTTGAGAGACGGAAGACGGAAGACGCATGAGATCTTCTCGAGTGACAAAACATCGGTGACAATCGTGAGTTTGTTGAGATGAGCGAAACGGTTGGTCTGTCCATCGATCGACTGTCCGACAGCAAGATTGAACAAGTCTAACCAACTCATTTCATCTGCGAGGAAATCATACCTGTTGGTCCAGTTGCGCAAGTGTTGCGGAGCGATTTCTTCCAGTGCGAATGTCTGAATCTTGTGGGCATTGGCAATGATCTTGTCGTATGTGTCCCTAGTGGCCAACACTTTATGGCTTAAGTCCCAAGGGACCAGCATTTTGTCGTTCCAATCGAACACTGAACACAAGTGGCGGACATGGCTAGCCAGTGTAGTGTTGCTAGCGACCGATTGCGCTTTGGCCCAATCGTGAGACCGACTGCCTATGTTCTTGTAGAGCACCTCTTCTGCAACGCGTTTGCAGTGATGATTCGTAAGGCATAACTTCGCAAGTGTACCAGGGCTCACGTCTAGATATCCAACGACGTGCAGGAGGAGCTCTTCTGGCATGCCAACGAGACACGCTTGTGAATTCTTGGTAACAACAGGAACTTCTGGACTGCCAAGTAGGCCTTCAAGTACGGATTTGTGGGTGACTTTGACGGAGATCGAGACGGATCGTGTGCGCTTGTTCGAGATTGGATCGTTCGAGGTCGAAGCCTTGCGCTTTTGCGGCCATGGGACGATAGGCGGTGCCATGTTTGCAGCGCGAGTGAGCGAGGGTAGGTGGTATAAGGGGTACAGATGTTACAACGACCCATTTACTGGTACAACAACCGCGTACAAAGTCGTGTCGTTATGCAGATGCTGGTGGCCGCAGTGTTGGTGGTGAGTGCGAATCATAAACTCTGAACGCGAAGGAGAAAAGAACAACAACAAGGTGGGTCAATGCGCGAGGTTCACGCGCCTCATCGCGTGCAATGTTCTTCACGGTGAAGACTCTGAGTGCGTGGATAAGAGCAAGAGGGGAGCGGAGCCCTGGCCAACGACAAGGGTCACCGTGCTGCTTTGAAGGGGGCCATCCGACTCACCGCCCACCGGGCGTTTGCAGAACGTGCGATGTGCGCGTGCATGTTCATGGCAATTGGGGATAGAGTTTGTAATTCGACCGCGTGATCGAGGGTTGACATGTCATACTGATCGACGTCGAGGCTCACAGAATACCTCGAGAGACAACGTTGCAACCGTGCTAGTCACCCAAGTTTCGATTTATTGAGCTGCACATATGCACAGTGACCAGTGTATCGGGTTGTGACATCTAAAGCAACTTTCAAGCTTAACTCAGGAAAGGGAAAGGTAAAATGTCGAGTCAATATCTTCATTAATACTAGAATTCAGACGAGGGTATCCTCGCTGGCGTATCTGCCATCCACAGACCAATGGACTCGACCCTCAAAATAAGTGACTATTCACTCCTCTATTTCTTGAAACCGAGAAATTCGTCCAGCCACTGTCCATCCTCATCGCTATTCAGCCACTCAACCCAGTATGATCCTGTCCCACGGAGAAGTTTGTACTCATCATCTTGCTCATCAAACACCCGAAATGCCAAATCACTAATGACTTCCACTTGTTCCTTCGTTCGCCTCCTCAAGAAACATCTGACAAGGAGCCGCGATTCATCGACTCCTGCTATCCTCCAATCTCCGTGAAGTCGCATCGTACATAGCTTGTACGGAAGCAAGGCTATTTCTGTATGAAGCTGGCGAGATGCGAAAAGTAGACTCAACCCAACATCGGCCAGTCTATTGTAGATATAGATGTCTGGAATGGATAAGGGCCTATCGCGGTATGCGTCCAAGTGGATAACGCGGTTGACGAAGACATGTTCGAAGACCATGTTTCTAATCTCGGCAGGGAGGTGGAGAAGAGGTGAGTTGGCTGCGTTGAGCTCGGTGCTAGACGTTTTAGCTACGGGGCTTGCTAAATTCTATATGAAGACTTACTTTTATCACAATGACCTTGCTCGCGAAGCTGTTGAGCATGAGCTTTGCGCTGAGCCTCACCGTCGGTTTGTTCCTTTGCCAATGACTTGCTGATATGAGGCGCCCCAACGCGGTGTTCGGATGCCATGCTGAGTTTCTGTTGAGACTTGCAGAGAGACGTAGGAATAGAGACGTGGAATTCAAGGCAAGCTACTTGAGGAGTGGAGGCGTCGCATGGAATAAGCGAGCTAGTGACGTAGATGGAACTAGGCTCCCGTACGGGCATTGCACATGTAGTGAATAGTTATGACTTGTTTGAACTGTCTATAGCTAAAAATCGAGACCTGTGCGCTTGGCGCCTAGCTGTTTCTGCAACGATTTCCATTTCTGGGTAGGTGCCTTGCCTGACATGGGGGGCAAGAAATCAAACCAGGAAGCCACGTTCCCTCGATAATGTATGTACATGTTCAACACGTCGACATGTCCGGAGACTGTTACCGTAGTCATAGCTTGAAGCTGTTCTACTGTTCTAGTCTCGAAGAACCTCATCAGAAGACGCCCTAACCACGCCACTTCGCTCCAGTCGTCCCAATCATAGAATCTAAAGTGGAACGTTGCAAGCTTATACGGAAGCAATTCGGTTTCTGCACGTAGTTGGCGAGAAGTGGATAGCAATCCGAAGTTACTCTGGCGGAATGATCTTGAGCTTAAGAAGCCTTTTCCATAGGATGGATCGTCATCATGGAATACCCACTGCTCGTCCTCGAAGACGCTGGCATAGATCACATCGCGTATCTCGGCTGGCAAGCGGAGGAGAGGGGACTCGATAGCGTTGTACTCGGTGCTATAGCGAAGATTAGATTGATGTTTGTGTGGTTTTTGTCTGGTACTTACATCCGATCGAGTTGACTCGGATCTCGTTGAGCAGCTCGCCGAAGAGCTCTCACATGGCGTAGTCTCTTCGCCGTGGGTGCATCAGTCGGATACGTTAGAGATCGCTTTCGGGAAACCATGTTGAGTTGTGCGAAATTTCTGACGGGTGGAGTGATCTGGAAAAGGAAAGCAGGAAGAAAGGCTGAGGAAAGGCCTCTGATATAGTACTGGTGAGGTAGTTCTACAGGCTGGCGTGTGACGGACAGACTTGTCAACAATCAAGCCAAGCAAGCTGGGTACCCCAGCTTGGCTTGATTGTTGGGTGCCTCTACTTCAGCTTAGCTTGATTGGCTTGGTGGGTTAAAACAAGCCAGCTTGATTGTTTAGCTTGATTGGCTTGATGGTTAAAGCGTTTTTGAGGCTATACAAATAGGTGGTATTAGCTATATCGTGACTTTTTTTAGAGTTAAGTTTCCGAATCGCTGTTAGTATTGCTGCTGTCTCCAACGTCCCACGCGCTTACGCCGTACAACGCCTCTATCTCATCGTCAGTTATAGAGTTTCTGTTGTTAAGTTTATCGTCGCCTAGACCAGCTGTACGCCACCGTCGTACGCACTGTATTGCCGCCAGAAGTCGTGGTTGTATACCTCGTCGGCGAGGCTCTAGGAGATCACCCAACTCGCTGAACATACGCTCACACTCGCAGCTTAACGCTAGGATAGACAGTACGTCAAGCGCAAGCTTGCTGAGTTGAGGATAGCGATCCCGCATCAATAACTAGTATTTTATTAGGTTGTTGGCGTACTCGCTGCCCTTCTCCACCCGCCGCTCGCACAGCTTCCACTAGGTATACTTGTCGTTAGCTGCCTCGTCGCTGTTGCTGGCAGTTGTAGGATCAATAATGCTGTCGATTGCGTCGTCTATATTGTTTAATAGTACCTTTAGGCGTCGTACAGCTAGTTGACTGGTATTGTATTAAGCCTACAAGCCGCGGAAACTAAGGTTGTTAGACTCAAGCTAGCTAGGTTTCTTAGTACCCCAGGATTTGTCGCAATACGATTAGTAATACGGGTGGAGTATTGTAGCTGCGTAGTAGGCGGGCGATAGGTCTAATTTAGAGTAATACTCGCTGGCTTTCGCCCACGCTGCGCGCATGTTAATTGCAAGGTGGTCCTTGGGCGCCTCGTTGTGGGCGTTATACTTAACGGCCTCGTAAGCCAGTACGCGCGATTTGTAGTAGTTAAGTATATACTCGAATACTAGGATGACTTTAGCGATACAGCCAAACCTCCCGCTGTTGCCGCGCCTCTTAAGGCGCTTTGTAGCAGCTTTTAGCGGCTTTAAAGCGTCCATATACTCTGTAACTACCGCCTAATCGTGCGTTGTAAGGCCGTCCGATCTTATCTAGTGTGGCGCGTGAGGCAGTTTGTTGCGCCGCGACTTAGCGTAGGTATCCTCGTCCCGTATACGCTTTATATGGTGGCTGGCGTACGCGTTAATCGCCAGTTAAAGCTGTACAGCGCGCTCAAAGCACGAGTAGAAGGAGTTCTAGCGTGTAATAACAGGCTTGACGGGCTTAAGGATCTTGCGTTTATCAGGAGGTGCGTTAGCTGGTAGCTCGCGATAGGCAAGGCGCTGAAAGTCAGCAAAAAGAGCGTATTGCTGTGGTGTTTTAATGTAGTTGACGATACCTAGGAGTACGCCTAAGGGCCTATCGCGCCTCCACTCGCTTATATACTCGCTTTCAGCAGTAATCTTAGCAGTATCGTTGTTGTACGAGGCACTGTTTTCTCCCCAGAGGAGCATCTGGCCAACAAGGTTAATTGTATAAGGACTATAACAGAGGCGGCGATGGCGTAGGTTAAAGCCTATTGTTAGCGCAATTGCGTCTATCGCGGTGTCGTTATTGCTTGCGTTGTTGAGTACAAAGTAGCTAATACGTTAAGCGTTTATACCGAACTCTTTTAACGTTTAGATAATAACCTTTGCCATCCTATGTCCACTGTGGGCGCCTGTTAACTGCGGCAGCGCGATAGGTAAGTCTACAATATCGCCTTGCTTGTCAACGTAGTGGGCAGCGATACCCAAGAACCCACGCTTGCCACCCTTTGTCGTCCAGCCGTCAAAACTTATGTGTATCTTGCTCTGTGCCCGCGACAGTTCTGTGACGACTTGCGGCCGTAAGTGGTCGTACAGGCGCATAACGTAACGAGAGACGCTGTTGTGGGACGTCCACAGTGCCGCTTCTGCTTGGACGTTAGCTAACGATATTAATTGTCGAAAAGCTGGCGATTCAAACGTAGACAGTGGGAGGTTAGCTTCAATAAGCCAGCTAACTGCGTTAAGCCGAAAGCGCTGGGAGTTGAAGCCGGAGAGCTCGTTCGCGATACTCTAGCTAACCCGATTGCCAGTAAGTACTTGTTGGAGGACACTTATCGTTGTAGAACGAGCTGTTACGTGAGGTGGTTAGTAGCCATGGCCGCGTCTCTTCTCTCTAAGGTGTCGATAGGCAGAAGACGTTGAGTTTGTTGTCTCGTATACCTTCGTGACGCCGAGGTCAATAAGCTTATGCTCGTAACAATAGCGGCATACAAAATATATGCGTTGAGGATTGCTTCGCAGCGCGACGCGCTAGCCGTAGTTATAGACCTAGCTTTTCTTGTGACGCTGCAACGCTATAGGCTTTATAAACTGAGGGAGACAATCCTAATTAATGCTATTAAAGTTATCCTCTAACTCCTCGTCTAAAGCTGTATTGTTAGACTCGCTGGTTGCTATCGTTGCCTCCTTGCTGCCCTCAGTGGGTGGGTTAATATACTCCTCTATTTGCGACTCGCGCAATTGCGCTTCGAAACTTAATACCTAGGACGCTTTAACCAGGGCTTTACGGGGCGACGGACGAGGTGACGATTAAGGGCTTTTAATAGGTATAGCTTGGCTGTAGGTGCTGCTAGGTGTAGGTTTAGGACGCTTTGTTGTTAACGCTGTAACAGCGTCTTTGGCGCGTCTCTTCTGCGGCATAACTGCGACAAGGATATAGCAATAAATGCAGAAAGCCAGCGGCAATACAGCGGCGCGTAGGCGGTACGTGATACAGCTGAAAAGTACGTGTTGTGGGTGGCGTTGTGTATACAGAGTTGTACAGTTACAATATAAGATAGTTACCCAAGTAGCACAAGATGTATTGCTTAGCACCCTCTATCGTAACTACTAAAAGCAACCACAACAACGCAACAATTAATTAAATTCAACAGCGGCAATTAAATTGTAGTTGTCTGTTTATAAGATACGCAGCGCAATATACTATAAATATTGTGTTGTAGTTGTACAATTGCGCAGTTGAAACAACGCGTTTTTTCGTTATTCACAACATCTACCTTTACCTGTAGCAACAACCTCAACACCATAGATATATACAGTAATATTAGGCCTACAATCGTCTCTACTACGCCTAGCAAGCGGTAGTAGAGGTGTATAATAGCCACTGTATTTGTACTTGCTGGTGCTACAGTGTGTCGCCCACGGTCGCCCGAAGCAGGCAGCCGTCAGCGACACACTGTAGTATTAGGAGATTTTTTTTTGCTGTATTCGAATCGCGGCAGTAATAGCTCTATCGTAAGGTTTTTTTGTATATATATATGTATATACAGCGTTGTTGGGAATTTTTTTTATATATTAGTTGCTGACCTTAACACCAAAAAAGTATCGTGTGATCGCTGCTACGGCAAACCCAACAACCTCACGCGTAGGCCTTAGCCAATCAAGCCAATCAAGCCAAACAATCAAGCTAGCTTACAGCAGCTTGGCTTAATTGATTTGTACCTCTACTCCAGCTTGGCTTGATTGATTAGCCAGCTTGATGCGCCAGCTTGATAGCGATCAAGCTGGCTTGATTGTTGACAAGTCTGGTGACGGAAGTGGCAGTCAATCTTGAGTTTTTCAATTCACTCGAGCGGTATTCAACGCCCAGTCATATAGTGGTCTAGCTCATTGCAATATCATCCTTGACGCAGTTATTGCCTAATTGTCCTGTGTCCATTCTGGATTTCGAAAGATCACCTTGAACGATTTGGAGTCAGTATTGAACATGAAAACCTGCGTATTGCAGTACGTGGGCGTAACCTCTTACATCTATAAGCCTAGTCCTAGTTTGATTCTAGCTTTGCACTATCTTATTGCAATCTGTAGTGGCTGCAGAACTATATCTGTTTGGTAATGTTAAGTTCTAGAAGTCTTTGTTAGGCGACTGTGATTATTAGGCGCAAGTAAACAGTGTCAGAACCTTATCTATTCTAGACCGACCCGACTCGATCCGTGGTAAAAAATGTATATGGGCGCTACCGTGGCTCGACGGTAATTCGTTTTTAGGCTTACAGAACAATAGACTCTATGAGTGCACCATGACGTATATCCAGCATCGGCTAACAGCATATTGCTTGACATACAGTAGTGTATCTAGCATGTTAGTGAAACACGTTAACCGTTACATGGCTATCTTGTCTTCTGTCCGATATTAGGTTTTGGAAATTATCGGGCCTTCTTTCATTGTGCATCAAGCGGCAGTTCACACAGCCTTAACTTTGATGCCGATCGGCATCGTCGTGTCGGCAACTGTGCATAAATACCGCCGAAAGCATCAGATATTTCATCACTGCAAACAAAAGCCTGCTTTTCGAACAAAACTACCACGTCTATCCAATATCTCCAAATCCAAGTTTGTTATACTCTTCATGGCTATCAAACTCGCAGCTGTACAGGCAGCTCCTGTATTTTTAGACAGGACAGCCTCGACACAAAAGGCATGTGAGCTTATCCGAAAAGCGGGATTCCGAGGTGCAGATGTCATTGGCTTCCCTGAGGGTTTCATCCCAGGATTTCCGGGCTGGTTTCCCTTCCTCAGCAATACTGACCCTCTCATGGAATCGCTTTACCTTCAGCTTTTCAATAACGCAGTGGAAATTCCTGGCCCTGAAGTGGAATCGCTGCAGGATGCATGCAGGGAAGCAAACATCTACGCTGTGGTTGCCATCAACGAGCGCCATCCGAACACTACTGGAACGCTTTACAATACCCAACTGACTATCGGCCGAGATGGAACTCTTCTGCACAAACACCAGAAATACGTGCCGACTGTGGGAGAACGTATGATCCATGCGCCTGGCACGACAGGTAGCAAGACGTCGATTCAAACGGAATCTGGTGGGCTGAGTGGTTTGTTGTGTGGTGAAAATGGCAACCCCCTAGGGCAGTACTCGACTGCCTTAGATCACCCTGTCGTACATATTGCTGCTTGGCCGCAGTTTCTGACCTTTGGAATGGACGTGGCCGATTTCATTAATACGGCCGGCAAGGCCGTTGCATTCTCAGTAGGGACTTATGTCATCAACGCGGCTGCTGTTGTCTCTGATGCAGAGATCGAGGCATACGGAATCGATGAGAGGACTAGGGATTTCATGCGAAGCGAGCAGAAAAAAAGAAGAGCTTCCATATTTGCACCGGGAGGTGTCGAGGTTGCTGGGTCGATTGATGCGAAAATAGGAGACGAAATCCTGTTCGCAGATGTCGATCTAGATGCTGTAAAGAGGTATAAGCACACCTTTGATTTCGCAGGTCACTACAACAGGCCTGAGATATTCGCCCATCATTTCAAGAAGTATCTTCCGTAGCATACTCGCAAGCGAGTCGTCGCTCTAACTTCTATCTACGAGACTACAGAATTCTCACCTAGTTTGCTAAATTGCAAGGCAGAATTTCACGCTGATTTATTGTTATACAATTAAGAAGCTTTATTAGTAATTCAGCTTACAGCTTTGTGGCACTCAATCAAGAACATGCGCTGCATGATTACTGTCAGATATTCAGTCTCTTAGTTATAGATATATATTGCTGCGAAGTCTGTTGTCACAATGTTTCCACTGCACAGGGCCTAGCCACAACCAGGCAGGCCATCGTCGGCTTACGTTAGTCTCAACAATAGTGGGCAGGGAGTCTGTAGTCTATTGTGAGGGTCTCGGAAAAGACAAGATGATATTTTTAAGTGGAATGACAAGAAATCTGTAGGAAGAAGGTCGCGAAGGAGCTCCGCAGTGTTATCTACATAGGAAGGGTACACATGTGACCTATTATGTCCGCAGTGGCCCGTGCTGGAACACCAACGCTCTGAAACCATCACATCTATGCTTGCACCAATTTGCTATCTTTTCTTGCTCTTGGTACTGGCTAGGTTAATCTACACAGTAACTGGAGGGAGAATAGGAGCTAGGGTATTAGCTTGGTGAACGCCCCCAGCTAGGCGCGACTTAGGAAGCCACATTGACAAGTTGAGGCTTGAGCGGTCAAACACCGGTCGAAGACTCAGGGACTCGGGAAAAAGCGGCCCAAGAGATGGCTGAGCCTTCAAATCCTCGATTGCCTCGTAGAGAGACGAAGTGTCCAGATTCTTCGGCTTTCGCATTATAGTAAAGAGACCAATCAAATTTGCCTCCGGCTGGTACAAAAGCCATACTCCTGCGGCTTCATAGGCCTTGGCTGCATCACGAATACGGGGATAAATTTCGCGAAGATGTTCTTCGACCTTGTCACCAGAGTAGCTCCAACGTTGGAAACGGCTTAGACCATGGGTTTCGGGATGGGAGAAGTGACAGGCTCTAGTGACATGCCAGTTCCATCGGTCGACCTTTTGCATCGTTGATCGGCTCCAAAACTTCTCTGGAGGATCCCCAGTCTCGTAAACATTGGTGGTCCAGTGATCGTAATCAAGTACGTCTTCCCAAGTTTCGAACAGATATCGTCCGCCCGCCATAATCTGGCCCGTGATTGGATGTGGTTGGTAAGGCAAGTACGTGATGTACATGCCTTTACGGACGTCCATATCACGACGACCCAACTCCTGTGCATTGACACAACTAGGAAGATCGATTCTGGCGTCAAGGATGATATCTGAGGTGAATGCAGCTTTCGCATTGATCTCGCCGATCTCGTAGCCTTTAATTTCTGACATTTTCAAAGGCGGATTGTGCAAACGATAGGTTTCAATGTAGGCTTTGAGAAGATCTGTTAAAACTTTCTTGTAGGACAAGCTACATATTCCATAGTTTGTTGCTTGCATTTATATATCTACAGCAATTACGCTTCACTTTGCTCTTCTCCAAGAACTGTTCTCGGACAAAACAGTACCGGTGTGTCCGAGCGGATGGCAGCGGATCGTACAAAGATGGTAGCTGACCGTTCTTCCTGGTCTGCAAGGTTTAGTGACGACGATGATGTTTGGATGGATTCCAACATGCAGCTTTCGGCATGGCCTCGTAAGCCGCTCCAGACACTTCGGCAAGCTTCCCGGCAAGCCCGTCGGCGAATCTTTGGACGTCAAATCTTGAACAGGTCGTCATCTTTCAACCAGCACATGACTTGAACGAGAAACGAGAGCCTATCAGTTCACAATGTTGGATAAACTATCAGCCTAGTAGAAAGCTACATGTCTCAATGTGCAGATGCTTGGACACCCAGTGCGCCGTTGCTTTTGACAGATATTTAGTCTGAATCGCATTGGCCGATGCAGAACCGTATCGCCTTGCAAAGTGTCATCATTTGACGTGCTGAGCGGTGCTGTTACACAACTCCGAAAGGATCATTGCAGCGGAAACTATTCAGAATCACAGGGTAATGGTGAGCGAATTTGAAGTTATCTTTGAGCGGAATCATAAGCAAGCTTTACATGTATCAAAGTGCTCCACTAGCGATCAATAAACAATGTGGTTTGCTTGATCACAAAAAAAGATCCTGCACAAACCCTCAATTCACGTCAGCATGAACATAACGTATACGCTATGATCAACAGCGATATTTCTCACTGATATTTGCAACTTACAGCAGGTAGCCTCCTAACGGGTGGATGATGAATCCCTGCAAAAGTCGGTCCGACGGCGCTGAAAATTACGTAACTGCTTGCACTAAAAATACGCGTAAGTCGTATAAACTACGAGCCTAGGAAAGCTTATTCTGTATCTCCGCGGTGGTACGGAATTTGCCGTCCTGCCTTCAAAGACAGGTAGGTAAAGCCAGTATTTCGTCTACATATACACATTAGACCAATCTTCGTGCATAGTGTTATATCACTCTGCCTTTACCGCGTTCGTATGTACGCGTTGTGGTAGTGCTTACAATAAATACCTGCTGAGCACTCCGAGAATACAATTGCAAAATAATTTCGATCACGAAATCCATTGTCGCAGTATGATTGATGCATCTAAATTCATCAGAATGGTCTGTTTACAAACAGAAGCAATGTAGCTACGATAGATTACCTAAATACAAACTAAATCTTTGACATTCCTGCATGAAACTCATTGACTTGCCTTGTTCTATGTATACATATAAGCGCAATCTAATGTTCTAAATGCTTATTGAGTCATCATGCGATGAGATAGAGGTCCTGATCCACCATTCTTTGCATTGATCCAATTCGTGCATTAGGTGCATATGCACGAAACTATCCCAAGTTCGGTACGATTGCGTCATACCTGCAATCAACAGACCCACGAAATGAGTACGCGTATAGGAATCCGATGTCTTTGCTAGCACAGTATTTGGGGACATTGCGAGTCATAGGTACAAGGTTTCGATGCAACGAATTGTAACGTGAAGATGTCATGTTGCTCCCGAAGAAGCGCTAGCAACTAAGACAGACATAGTCGTAGAAGAGTCTTAATAGCTCTAGAGTGAGTTAAATAACATGGTCCATCATGTCACTCAGATATATATTGTGCTTTGGTATCTTCCTCCTGATCATTGCCTCAAGATTCCTCCACGCCAATCTCGCACAGCTAATACATTCAAGTCACGATGCGGTCCTTTTCTCTGTTTCTGGTTGGTCTCGCAAGCGCCGCCAACATTTCTGAAATCTCTCCATTTGTCAGACCAAGCTTCCCTATCAGTACTATTGATAATGATGGTGTATGTTTCCCCACATATCAAAATGGAACAAGAACTCACTATCAGCGAAGACGCACGCGGGTCGCTACGATGTTCGCAAAACGATGGTCTGGCTTGATGAAGAGAACCCAGAGAACTTGAACAGCTACTGCTATTTCTATTGGTTGACCACCACCTGTGGACGGAAATTTCATACGATGCTGGCCCCGAACTTCTTCCGCGGCGAGACAACTGGTATCTTTAGAGTGGAAGATCTGCAGAAGTTTTCATCTACGGGGGCAACTGCCTTCGCACCTGGAACTGGGAGCACCGAGTTTCTCAATTTTCGGTCAGAGATTCAAAACCTCACAAGTCCACGCGGAGGTGACAACTTCACTGATGTGCATATTTCTGCGGACTATGCCGGTGTCAAGATGGATGTTCAAATGACTCCGACGGGCAAGAATTTGTACATTGGGGGCGCTGGTGGCGTAACGATCTCACCCAAGGATGGTGGAAACTCTAACCTAAATGACTATCGCACGCTTGTCCCAGGATATTCCTGGTATTGGGTATGTATGCACTGTCAAGTCAGATAGGAGTGTTCGTCGCGCTAACATGTTCTATCTATAGGGGAACCCAACCCTTAAGCTTGAAGGAACTATCACGGTGGATGGAGAAGAACTGCAAATTGACTCAGATCAGTCCAGAGGCTATTTCGAGCGCCAGTGGGGCGAGTTCGGGATTGCTGGAGGTCACTACGGATATTGGCTCTACCTTTCCAATGGTATCCTGATCCATGGCTGGGTTGTAGGCCCAACAGTCGAGGAGCCTTACGGCATTCCTGCCTGGGCGACGATCTGGCACCCCAATGGCATTCACGAGGTCCTTGAAGTGGACAACACTACAAAAGGACTCAATCCATGGACAAGCGAATACAGCGGGAATAACTATTTCCAAGATGTCGAGTTGAACCTCTCTCAGCGCAACGCATCCTTCAACATCCACCAGGTAATCAAGAACGGCGAACTCGGCCCACTTCCAGGTACCAAAGGATACAACATCAGTGAGGCTTATGCTCAAGGAGATGGCATCTGGGAGAACGAACGAGTTACCTTCTATGGTCATCTTGAGCAGCTGTCGTACTGGTAGAGACTATATCTGTATGGTTTGGAGTCCAGTTGGCGAATCCTCAATGTTTACCCGATCAAGGCGCAAGCGTGTAACTCGCGACTGTGTTCATATAAACGACATCTAGACCAAAGCCCTAAGCGTTAGCCCAAGATTCATCTAGGCTACTATTAATTGACTCTTAGCGACCTAGCAGTCTAGAGCTTTCTTACAAATTGGATACGACTCTAGTATCACTGTGCGATAGCTCCCTGAACATAGCTTCTTACAGTATTAAGGAATTAATTCTGCAGGTTAGCCATCAATGAAAGAGACAATCAACCTTGAACCGATATATCCCCGCCTGCTATATCTGCCGCTCAGCCACCTGGTGATCCAAATCACTACCACACAAACTCTCAGACAGCCGGCTCTCAACCCTAATATGCCCACGCTGAGTTTCCTTCATATACGACTGCCCTTTCAGACCACAACTCGTCCCCGACAGGCTTTTGATATAGTGCTAGGGAAGAAAGCCTACAGGCTAGCGTCTGGTGGAAGAGGCAGCCAACCTTGAGTCATTATATTCACTAAGGCAGTATTTGATGCCCGGCTACCTAATGGTCTTGCTCAATACTACCAGAGCTCTTGATCTAGCCACTGCACCTCCAGCTGCTCTGATGTAGCCACCTCCCAATCGTCCTGTGTCCATACTGCGATTCCATAAAGCACCGTCCATGGGTTGTATTTGACACCGTTTGTGTAAACCTGCATGTTGTTGCTGATAGCGACCTTCTGTTCCTCTGTCCTTGAATCAACAAACTGTTTATGCGAAATGAACGATAGTCTTCTGAGCGATCCGGGATAGCAACATGGAAGGTGAATATGCCTAATTTGTAGGGTAGCAATCGTGTTTCCGAGTGGAGTTGGCGAGAGGCAGCTATGAGACCCAGGTTGCATGCGTTGAACGATGAATAAGTCTTGACAGGGCCGCGGTGTACATTTAAGTGGTAGAAGATGTCTCCGAACACATAGTCGTAGATAGCGATCCTGAGCTCGGCTGGGAGGCGAAGAAGGGGAGAGGGTATGAGACTGCTGCTGCAAAGCACGTCAGTCGCGCACTCTAAGATCAGGAATTAGGGCGCTTACTTGTGGTTGCGAGGTTCCTGAATATGGGAAGATTGAGCTTGACTACGCATGGTAGATCCCTGCTCTGACTTGTTGTCACGCTTTTTGGATTGAGACTTCACGTCCGATATCCTGGCAGAAATAGCGTCGGCGGGAAGCATGCTGCGCGCCTCTTGACTGGAACCGTGGGATGTATGATGACTGTCGTAATCGGGGTGGTTTTGCAAGGAGAAAAGGTTGTGAGACTCAGAGGTAAGCCCCCGATGGGGTTTTAAGGCTTCCGGAAAAAGTGGAGGTGAACCAAAGATCCGGATTATTGACTTGGTCATCGCTTCCATGTGCTGCTTCGTTCGCTACCACAAGATCTGCTCCACAAAAGACCGTTCTCGACGAGCAACGCCAAAAGTGTTGAGTTTGTATTGAAGAAGTGCTGTGTCGACATGGACCTAACGAGAAATGAAGAGCAGATTCGGAGGACCGTGATCAAAAAAAGATTAGGGAGGGAATCCTGTCGCGACTATTTCTGATGCATGCATAGCTGATTTCGTAGTCTTTAGCGAGAAGACAAGTCCATATCATGTTTCCAATCTCGGCCGGCGGGTAGAGTATGGTGCAATTTCTTGCGTTTTAAATCGGAGACATGGGAACTTTCAGATCACGACTCTGTTGTACGAGAAACTAAATTACTTACACCTGGTCACGACGGGATTGATTATGCATAACGCGGTGGCCAGCGGCCTTGGAAGTAGGAATATAAGCCTTATCCCTATTCGCTATCTGGACTCTATCATCCCACTTCTTCTTATCAGTGAGTTGCCTGTTGCCAGCATACAGTGGTGTGTGGCTCCGGGAGGCCATGATGGACGGGATGAAGTTTTTCAAAGGCGGGATGGATGTTGACGTCCGAATGTATACGCAAAGTGCGAGAGCGGCGATGAGGGTCAATCTCAAGTGAACACAGCTGAGTGTGGAACGATGGAGCAATCGTTTCGGATCTGTGGATACATGCACATCCTGTATTCTGGCAGATGGCGATAGCAGAGTGCTAACAAGTAAGCTGCCCACCAGCACCGCTCTACCAAGATTGCCTCAGTAACGAAAGCACGTACTTCTGGGACCCGTTTCACTGTCACGCTCACTGCTCACTGGCAGGAATGCTCGGCAAAAACGATTGACCAACAGCTAGGCAGGAGAAATCTCGCAATGCAACTCTGTAACCCAGTACATACCGGTTCCTGACTCCAACTCTCCAATGCCCGAAACATCATCATCGAAGATATTTATCTCCAACTTGGCAAGAGCTTCGACCTGTTTCCTTGTTCTTTTCTCCAAGAACACTCTTATAGCCGAGAACATATTGTCTTCATCATCCTCGAGCTCTTCCGGGGGCAAAGTATCGAAATAGAATGTTGCAAGCTTGTACGGGAGTAAAGCCGTCTCCTGGTGAATCTGGCGAGAGACATGGAGCAGGCTTAGAAAATTGTGTTCGCAGTAGGCGGAAGAGGGATAGCGATCATAATCGCTGAATTGACGCGGCCTTAGGCTGACATGGTAGTTGAGAAACCATGGGTACTTGTTGATAAGAACGAACTCATCGAAAACATAGGTATATATCATGGCTTTGATCTCTGCCGGAAGACGTAAAAGTGGTGACCGAACAGCATTGATCTCGGTGCTAAAAGACTTTGTAAGTCAGAGCGCCAATGTCTGAGACTCAAGGGACTCACCTCTTGTTCAGGCGAGCACTTTCATGTAGGAGTAGCTTCTGAGGACTGGATTGCGGGGTCACGATCGGACACGTCTCCTTTTCCTCTGCTGAGGAACTGCTACTCGAGGGTGGCGCAGCCTGCTTGCGAGTGGGCATACTGACTCGCGTCTGAGGTGTTCCTATGAGGGTAGCAAGAAGGTGCAGAAGAGGCAAGGTGGAAAAGCTGCGTTGTAGATCACGGGTAATTGAGGAAACTGCGAGTTCTAAAGCAGGCTAACCGCATTAAGGGCATGGCTGAGTACATAGCCGCCCCGAACCCCGCTTTCGACCACCCCTGCAGAATCCATTCATCAAGACCAGAAGGTAGGCAATCGCGGTTCTGGAGCCAACGATTTCATTCAACTGTGTTGTAAACAGCCAACTCGGAGTGTTCCAGATTCAAATAAGCGAACCAGTACAGGCCGGTTCCACTCTTCTCATACTGATACTCGTGTTCAAGCATTTTATTGAACCCGTCAAACTTAACAAGATACTCCATGCTTTGCAGGCTTGAGACCTGCGACCACGATCTGTCCAACAAGAAAATTTCCAGAACGTCAAGTGGTTTGCCCCAAGGATAACGAAAATAGCCAAACTTGAAAGTGGTGAGCTGATATGGCAACAGGGCGGTTTCTCGATACAATTGGCGAGAGGCACGAAGTAGGCTTAAGTATCGTTTGACGTGCGCTGTTCTCTTGATGATGTCGTACTCCCCTTCCACGAGAGTAAACCCTGTGCGTGTAAGTTCGAGGACTTGATCGCGGAAGACGTTGTCGTAGATCATGTTCCTAATCTCAGGCGGGAGACGAAGGAGTGGGGAGTTCGCAGCGTTGAGCTCGGAGCTATCATAAGTCAGTTGTCGCTAAGCGAGAGCACGGAAGGAACTGGGGAGTCTTACATCTTGTCGCGCGCAGCAATCTCACTTCGAGACTGCTCCAGATGCTGATCAGCCGCGTTGCCCATAGACGAGGAAGACATCGATGGCGAAGTGGTCTCAAGGATTCAAGGAAGAGCGACGGTAGTGGAAAGCGTGTTGTTGGAAAAATCTAGTCGGAGAGAAGATTGAAGTGCCTGAAGGGACCCTGCCAAGGTCGGATATCCACAGACGTTCTTTCCTTTCTGAAGAGGTGGCCAAGGTGAATGAGACCACTCAAAGAGACTTATGGCGTCAACAACACGTCATAGCAAATCCCTGCCTTCACCTTCATCTTCGACCCCAATGCGGTATGCAAGTGAAGCAATTAGGATACGGATATCATAATACAGCAGTGTTCATGAACCCAAGACTAGTCTTGTAAAGCATACAGCTACAGAGGATGGTCTTGGCGCGAAAATACATCTAGCGCCTAGGAACATGAATTGAGTCCTCAGCATACGGCTAGGAGAGGGCACATCGCATCCTCATTCCTTTGCCCAATACGCTGCACTTCCTACCTTCCACTCATAACTCCTCTTCACCTTGTCGTAAAAATGAAAACCCAATCTACTCAATACTTTGATCTGCTCCTCTGATCTCTTTTCCAGAAAGCTTCGTAGCGCCTCACGTTGCTGTTGATAGATTGCCTGCTCTATATGCTGGCCATCTCTATTAGACCTGTATACAGAAAAGATGTCGAAGTAGAACGTCGCTAGTTTGTATGGAAGCAAAGCGGTTTCTTGTTTCAACTGACGAGACGCAAGAGGCAAACCGAGATCCCGATCAAGATTTTTATTCATCTCAACTCGACGATTGAAGATCTATTCAAGCTTGTCAAGGAAGAAGGATTGTTCACAATATACGTAGAAGTATACGATATTTCTGAGTTCTGGAGGAAGACGAAGGAGAGGTGATTGCAAGGCGTTGAGATCGGTACTAGGATATTGTTAATTTCTCGTTTGATAACATATTCAAGATTCGCACATCTTGCCGAGCCGAATTTTCTCACTTTGTAGCTTTTCTTCAGCGGCTTTCATCACTAAGTCCTGAAGCGATGGATGTTTCCAAGATGAGGTACCTTTGACAGAGGGCACTTGACGCGACCAAAGAGACCAGGCAGGAAGAGATAGAACAATAATCGTGTCAAGCGGAGCAGTAGAAGAGGATGTTGGTTTAGTTATATACACAAGAGAAGCGTGTTGGTTGTTGTTTGCCAAGGTGAACGTGACGCCCGTTGTATGCCAAATACTCCAGTCGCCTGATGGCCTCGTCTTCCACTTCCAGTCGTCCTCTGGGATGATGTCTGGAGAGATCTAACATCACAACGACTCTCGCTGCAAAGATCTGCTAGCCACCGATATCAAACTATCCTTTGGTGTTTACCTAAGAGAGAAACTGCTTAAAACCCAGTTGTTTGGCCCAATGCATTCTATTTCCAGTTGTTTTCAAATCCTTAAAGGTCAATGTTTGAAGCGCTTTGACCTCCGATTTTGATCTCTTTAACAAGAATTTTCTTATGTCGAAAGAAAAGAGAGGATCGTCGCGTGAGTAACCATGCCACTGGTCGAAACTGAATGTCCCGAGCTTGTAAGGAAGCAATCTCGTTTCATGGTAGAGCTGACCACAAACGAGCGGCAGGTTTGGATATCGATACTCGGTCTGATCAGGTTTGACGACGACGGGGAAACGTCCGGGCCGGATGTTGGGCCGAAAGCGGTAGCGTGTATTGCCGAGCCCGTAAGCGTAGATACCTTTCCTAATTTCTGAGGGAAGACGCAGGAGTAGAGACTCGATGGCGTTGCGCTTGGTGCTAAAGAAGGCCTGTTAGAAATGGAGCAGTTGAGCCAGATAACAGAAAATTCACATTTTTTCGCGCTGAGCGGGGTCCGGCAGACGCTGCTTGCTAGTTGCAGCTTTGCGACTGGCCTGGTGAAACATCTTCCATCTGAAAGACGTGTGACTAATTGGTGGAGAGGCAGTAGCTTCGGAAGCGCGGGCGATCTTGGAAGAAAAGTAAGTGAGTAGGTGATGGAACAGAAGGGTAGGGTGGGGGAAGAGCGAACGAGTAAGAGAGACTTTGCCAAGATTATGGCCTTTGCTGCCAGTAGCTCAAGGTGAACGTGAGTGTTGGAACCTATGACCATGTATTTGAATTTTTTTAGCATTCAGAAGCGCGCTATAGTTCTTCTGATCTCAGATATAAAGACCTGTAAGGGGCTACGCTCAGGGAGCTACTGCACAGGTATACTGTTATTGTATTCGATAGAGAACTAAGCTCCTAAGCTGCGTAGCTATCTATATATAATGCTAGTTGCCCGAGTAACAATCGGGCCGATAGAATCCGGGTGCTCGGGGTAGTACCCGGATTCTGCGAGTGGACCAAGAATCCATCGAGGAGCTGTCTGAAGGGCGTTCGGCCCGTTACACCCCACCCGGATTCTGTGGGCAGTGCGCCCTGCGCACGTGACCGAGATACCATCGAGGAATAAACTAATTGGGCTTCAGCCTATTACAAGACCAAGTACAGCTAGCAGTCCTATCACTACCAAACTCGCTATCTGTCGACCGGAAGGCCATGACGGCTGTGTGAGATGTAATTCTGCGGCCCAGTACACCCCAGTTCCCACAACCTCCGTATCCATGTAACGGCTATCGTAGCATTCTACTCGAGCCATAACTTCAATCTGGGCCTTTGACCGTCCCCGGAGAAATGCTTTCAAACGAGATAATATACAATGGTCCCAGGGATGATCGCCTAGCTGGAAGACTCCGAGCTTGTACGGCAGTAATGCTGTTTCGTGATACAACTGGCGAGAGACGAGAAAGAGGCCTAGTTTGCGGCGAGAGCTCAGGCGCTTCCTCGTCAAAGGACCGGGATCGATGACATAAATTTCGTCCTGGGATACGTAGTTGAAGACCATGTTCCTGACCTCAGCAGGAAGACGAAGCAATGGGGAACTTGTGGCGTTCTGGCGGGTGCTGTTTGTCATTAGCTGCAGATACATCGACTACAAGCTGAAAGTCTTACATCTGGTGAAGTGCTGCGGGTGACTGAGCTTGATCGCCGAGTTCTGGCATCTTAGACGAGCCAGGTCCTGGCGGCGCGGTGTCCTCGGAGACACTGTTGCTCATGATGGAGGAGTGCGTGAGTGACAGAAAGAGTGGAACAGCGAGGTGAACGTAGACGAATGTAAGAGATTTTTCGAGCGACGCCAAGACAACAACAGTGAGAATCGAGACGCGCCTTCCTTGTTAGGCTGACCAAGGTAGGTAACAAGTCAGAAAGGTCAACTCAAGTCACCAGTGAACAATCAGATTTCCATGCAGTTGCTACGTCTCAATGCTCACTGAATGTACATGAACGTCAATCCACCCACCCCCAGAGCTTCACCTGTGAACACATGCGGGCCTGGTGCACATAGTCAGGCTCTAGAGCTTCTCAATAAAGATTAATCTTCTTAGGATAATAACGTCGTTTCTCTATCAAGTGAGTCGGAATCCTTTTTTGGTGTTGGATGGAAAGATTATGTTCGACTTGTCTGAAAGCCCAAAGCGGAGAGCACTGCGGGGTCCAGGTATAGGAAAAGAATAACAAAATGAAGCACAAGAGACAAAATCTACACGCATGTTCACGCTAAAAGGTTTCTCGGGACACCAGGTTTGTGTATGTTTTTCCTCAAACAATGCTCTTCCACCTCTGATTTCTGCTTTTATATACCGTGCGATAGAGAACAGACTGCGCAGATCAAATGGCTGCGCACGTGACCGGGATATCGCCGACCATTCACAAACCGATTTCCAGCCCATCACAAACTGTACTAGCTCGTCAATCGCGCACAGACATCATCTTACAGAGTCGTCGCGTGGGGTTTAGTGGGGTGGCTGAATAACCGGTGTGAACGTCAGCTAACGAGCTTGGCATAAGCCGCTCATCGAGGAACAATCACGTCCTCCCACTACACCGTAGGACTCTTTAAATCGCTGGCTACCAGCGGTGAGCTTTTACCCAAGCTATCGTAACAATTCCAAGGTTCGGTAGAACAGTCATCGCGCGCACAGACACAATGGTATTACTCCTGCTGCATGCCAACCGCAGCACTTTGGAATATGCCAATATTCTAACCGAACCTGGAAGCGGGCTGAGTAATACGTCTAACCCATGTCTGCAACTCAACCATAATGTTGTCTTAGGGCTGGATTCATATCATTCAGCTCCTCGATAATGGGATCAGGAGATGTAGAATGATCTTTGAAAGAGCTGTACCTAGGTAGCTTCCACACCGTGCTACAAGCTGTATAGAAGAAGGATGCAGTAATCGTCCTTCAGTATTCCCACACTCAATCGTCACTCACGATGGAAAACCAGAACATTATACCCCGAAAGCCATGCGTCCAAATCCCTTCTCCTCTATTCGCTTACCAATGGAGCGACCGTCACGGACCCGAAGCTCGCCAGCAGCCCCTCAATATCGTCACGTCTCCAACTGTGTACAGCCCTACAGATATAGAACCCAGCAGTGGAGGATTGAATATCGCACAGCACTCCAGGTTTGGTCAAGAACCCATTCTTCGGCATAGTCAAGCACAGGAAGGTGACCCTGAGACGGTCTGTCGTCAGAACGCAATGGACCATAGTCACGACACGGATAGACGTGAGATACACGTGGGTCAGCCTACGACTTTCACTCGGACAGGTTTACATACCATTTACGACGAGCCCTCAGCCACAAACAGTAGGGCTGAACTTTCGAACGACGGACAACAACCTCTCAGCATCGGAATACCCACCCGCTCACACAGTCCCTACAATACACACGAGTCGCACGACGACACGGTTCTATTGCAAAACGATAGAAGACAGCCGAGGAAAAGAAATTCAATACTACAAACTCCAATCGAAGTTGCTGAAGCAGCGTTCAATAGCATAGCAAACGCCGCCTCTGGAGCCGTCCGAAGAAGCTCAACATGGAGACTTCGCCGCGAAGCCCTCCGCGACAAGCAAGGCTATGCCAGAATACACAACGCACAATGGTAACGGAACACATTCGTCCAGGTCATCTTTCAACTTGTATTCTATCTCGTCCTCACTGCCGTCGTCTACTTTGTCTTCGTCGGCATACCGCTGTGGAAAGGTACGACATGGTACATGTACCAGCTGCTATCAAAGATGCTCGTGTTGAAGTACGGCTACGTCATCTTCATCGGTATCGCGACCATTTACGCGTTCCTGCCACTGCTCATCCTGTTTGAGAAATATCCAGAGAAAGCACTGCCGCTGGATGATCCGCGGGTCACTCAGACAGCCTTGATCATCCCTTGTTACAAGAGTGCCGGTATCATCGAGAATACAGTCAAGATGGCGCTCAAAGTCTTCCCGCCTCAAAACATCTTTGTCATCGCAAATGGCAATTCGCCCGAACCTTTGGACAACACTGCTGACGTTGTTGCACCGTACGGTGTTAACCATGTCTGGTCCCCTGTTGGCTCGAAGATTGTGGCACAGTTTGTGGGCTGCTACGCGGCTGAGAGGTTCAAGTATGTACTGTTGATCGATGACGATTGTGGCCTACCTCCAAATTTCCCCATCGTTTCGGATCGCATCAAAGGAAAAGTCAAATGCCTCGGATACACAATCAAGTCCGTAGGACCCGGATCGTCCAAGGGGACATTTTGCCAGCAGGCCCAGGATCTCGAGTATAAATTATCCGGTCTTCAGCGAGCTATGGCTGGGAAAATGGGTTCTTGCACGTTTGCGCATGGCGCCATTGCCTTGTGGGACAGGAAGTTCCTTATAGACACGTTCAACGAGCATCCCGGATTTTCCGTGTCGGAGGATTGGTTCTTTGGACATGCTGCGCGGAAGCTCGGCTCCAGAATTACCATGTGTACTAGTGTATTCGTGGAGACGGAAACGCCTTCGGCTATTTTCTTCTCTAGTGGCGGGTCGCGAGGTGGTTTCGGTGAGCTCACCAAATTCCCTTTCCTCCCTTTGCTTTATTGTGGCTAACGCTTTTACCAGGCGAAATGACAATCTGGAAGCAGCGTTTCTTCCGCTGGAACTTCTTCTTTGTAAACGGAATCTTCTACAACATGGCATACATCCTGTTCTCTTGGAAGCTCGGATTCTGGGAGATTGGCACAAAGATCTTCGTCTTCCAGGAAGTCTTTGAGACGTTGCTATATGTTCTCGCACCTTTTGTTCTACCCATGTCGTTCATGATCAATCCTGCTTTTACCGGCATCATGACGGGCGTTACCACCGGAGTATATCTCATCAACGCGGTTTTGTTCAACGAGATACATCTCCGTTTGAAGAAGGAGAGAGTCTCATGGGCCTGTATTGCATACTACATGTGGTACAAGTTTGTACTGAACTTCGTCAATATTTTGAGTTGTTACTGGTAAGTTAAAATGTCCCCTGGCTGGTATGCAAGCGGATAAACGAATATTGAGTATTCCAATAGGTCTATTCTCAAATACACTCAATACTTTGCCGTCCGCCACCCCAAGGTTATCGAAGATGAAAAGGCTCTCGACGTGGTTCTCACTCTGGACAATGAAGAAGTGATGAACCAGTCCACCACTCAGCCACTAGCGGCGCAGCCTCCGAGACGAGGAATGAGCATTCGTACCCATTTCACCACGATGCCAGCCGAGCAACATGAAGATCGATACTATGGAAGAAATAACGCAGCAAGAGGTGTAGTGAGTAGGATTGCAAGTGTGCGGCAAAGGGAGAGAAATGAAGTAGATCACTACAGGCCGTATGAGATGGGCTACTTGCAGCACGCAGATGGGGGTGTATAACAGTTGGAGAAAAAGCATGAGTGGGAGCTTTGTACGTTCGTTATCGGTTACTTCATTCGGCGTCTGAAAATAGTGCAGCGTTACTCTACTAGCTTTAGATGAAGTAGATACTTGGGGAAATTGTTAGGGGATGATCTAGGGTGAGTTCTCAGGAGTAAGCGAGTGCAATGGAAAAGTAGGTCGTACTAGCTAAAAGAACAGAGATATTATCGAGGGTAAAGAGAAGAGGGATCTGGTCATCATAGATGCTCCTTCACATCAGCATTCACTTTCATACACCGTTCTATAGAGAACACATTGCACAGATCTCAAGGCTGTATCCACATAAACTGCATAGAAGCGGATCACCAAACCACACAGGACATTAAATACTTAGATAACCCCATCACATGCATTAGACAGCAGCCATTATTTCGACGAGATGATAAACGCACACACTTCATTCTGGGAGGGCAGCCCCGCACATTTGTCACTCAACACATCTCTAGCATGTGAACGCAAACGTACTTGATCATGTTTTCGCAAACGTGCTTAGCAGCTATAACCAGGTATCATACAAATTGAGGAACCAGAAAAAAAGAAAGAAAAACACAGGATCCACCAAAACAGAAACCAAAACAAGAAATAAAATCGACAAACATATTTACCAGACGACCTAATCCACCCTCCAACCAACCTCACAGCCCCACTCTCCACACACTTCCATCCTCACTCTTTTACTGAATTCTCTCATCCCTCTCAGTCGCGCCATAGCCCGCCGGCTTCCTAGCACGACCGGTAACATCACTCCACGCAGCACCGAACCTCCGTCCCGTGCTAGCCAAGAGACCCTCTTCCTCCTCCTCCTCCAAATCACGATCAATCTGTTCCTGATCCAGACTAGGAGCTTTAAACAGCGTAGTCAAGAAGACGACCAGGTAAACACCCAAGAAGGCGAACTGAGCCCAGAAGAGGACGACGCCGAAGAAGGGGAAGTTGATGGTGACGCGGTTGATAAAAGTAGATAGAACAGAAGGGGTGCAGACTTGCTGCGCAGCGGGATTGGTGGCGAGTTCGCTGCACGACTTGATGAGGTCCTTGTGCTCTGTGCAATCGGGTTGTTCATCGAGGCTGTTGGTCTTCATGTCGCAGTACGTCTGCGGGCCCCAGGTAGCATATTGAGGAGCAACTACCATGGCGACGGAGTAGTTGATGGCAAGAGTAATGAGTGTCAGCAAGACGGTAGCCATGAGGAGTGCCTGGGGCGAAGTGTGTCCCTTGCGGATCTTGAAGATGGTAATCCACAGGAAGCGGATACCGGCAGTCGCGATTCCGACGACAGAGGCGGAGAAGAAGAAGAGGACGAGCAGAAGGAATAGAATGTAGTCAATGGGGAACACCTTGGCGGACTTGACGAGGATGTAGTTTAGCGGCTGGAAGATGTTGATGTGGCCGAGGATGTAGCCGCAGTGGGCGCCGCAAATGGAGTTTTTCGCCTTGTCGATACCGGTGATGAGCATCGAGGCAAAGATTACAAGGGCAAAGACCATTAGGATGAGTCCACCAACGAGCTTGAGAGGGCGGAAAAAGGCTTCCGTCTTTATCCACGCTTTGACGATCCAATGGCGGTCTTGGCCAGAGGATTCAGCGGCAAGACGCTCGCGTCGGATGAGGGTACGCTCTTCGCGGACAAGAGCTTCTAGTTCGCGGCGGTCACGGCTGTCGAGGCCGTTTTCGCTGCCTTCGTTGCGGCCCTCGAGTTGGCGTTGGCGCTCGCGGTTGCTCTCTAGCTGGGATGCGGTGTTGGCAGCGAGGGTAGGGGCTGAGACGGAGGGCGCGGATTTGATCATGGCGACGGGGAGGAGAGCCATGCCGGCGCCGGTGTAGAGGACGAAGAGAATGGTGCCGACGGTTATGAGGAAGCCGAGGCCGAAGGATAAGGCGCGTTCGCCATCTAGACAAGTTAGTGTATACGAGAGGTGGCATGAAAGAATTGTCGCTTACGGTTCTCGGATAGCAGGTGCTTGAAGTAGTCGAGATCGAGACGCTTGTCATCTTTGGCTTGCTTCGCAAAGGGAACGAAGAAGCCAACGAGGAAGATGGCGACGACGAAGATGAGGAAGCCAAGAGTCCATTTCAGCGCTCCTCCAATGCGCTGGCCAGCCGTCTGCTCGCCATGCTCGGCGGCATCCTCATCGTACTCCTCGTACCAGAAGTAGGTAAACGGGATGACCAGAAGACAGAGAATCGCGTCGAGCGAGTAGAGCGTGTAGTAAACGATGCGCAGCGTGTAGACGATGCTGTCGACCTTTTCAGGCGTCGCCCAATCCTTTTTGCGGCCTAGACTGGATTTGGACGTAGATGAGACAAGGGCGACATCGACGGGAATGAGCAGAACTGTCGCGAGCAGGGCGAGGGTGGTGAAGATGCAGACGATGGTGACGGCAGCGGCGCGGTCGCGCGGCTTCTGGTAGACGTAGACGAACGTGGACGCGATGAGGAAGAGGATTGCCACGGCCACGGCGTAGGCGACCCAGATGAGCGAGGTCTGTATCAGCGCCATGATGACAACGTGCTATCACTTGAGCTGAGCTGTGGTTGAGAAGAGGGGATTCCAGGTTGCGACCGACATGTTTGGGCATGACGTCTAGCGGCCTGGAACCTTGGTCGATCATGGCCGATGTAGTTAGCGCTGCCCACATCCCTGTCAAAGCTGCTGGAGCTCTCTACGCGCTAGACAGAATCGCGCAAGAGCTCTTTGACGCGACATGCGTAGGGGTTTCGGCCTGAGGCAAGGTTATTCCGAGGATGTTTTTTATAGACGATTTGTTACTCTTGTACATTCTCAAGATGAGGGTTTTGCAGACAATGACTGTAGCATATATAATTCAGTATAGCACGATCTGCAAACACATCAATGGTCGTGTATATAAACGGAACGCTTTCTAAAAGACTTTGATGTGGTATGTAGCTACTGCTGAGTAGATTCCTTCGGTTCGGAGAGCGAACAAGTGCAAACAGAAGAGTCATCACCATGACTTCCAGGCTCGGTCCAGCGCTTCTGACCAGGGGTGATTAGTCTCGTTTTCCGTTTTTCCATGTGAAGCATTAAACATAGCCATGCCCACAAATCTCTCTCCTGGTTCAGTAGTGTCGCTCTCCTGGAACGGCATAGAATCGACGTATATCGGAGGAATGCGATGAAATTCATCATTACCCTCGGTTACGCGAGCGTATTCCTCCTCGGAAATTCGATCAAAATCTATGCGGCGTGTTAGACGCTTGTCTGTGGGCCAATCCACGCCTGGATAACGGAAGATAGTTCCGTGATAATAGTCAAACGTTGGACTATCGATGTAGCTAGGCACTAGACCAGGTAGTTGTCTGGTTTGGCCGTTGCCAGGAACGCTCGCTCTGCTCTGCTGCTGCTCTTCAATATCATCGTCCGAGGCCGAGTCCTTGAGATCTTGTATTTGACGTGTATAATCTTCCTGTGCGGTCTCCTCGACATGTTTGATTTGACGTGTATAATCTCCCCGGGCGGCCTTCTCTTTGCGATAATGAGCAATACAGTCGTCGTCAGCACTGCTATCCACGTCGGACGTAGGTAGAAAGTAGAGTTCCAGACGGATCGCATTCGAGCTGCCCAACGGCGATCCGCGCTTAATAGCTTTGAGAAGCTCAACTGGCTTGACAGTCTCTAGGGTCATTTGTGTGAAGTAGATGGCGAAACTGAAAAGCTGTGGGAGCGGACAGGACACCCAGCCATCGAACACCATGAGTGCTTCGCGCCCAGAGTGATCTGTGAATGGGATTACATGTGTTTTCGTTCGATGAATACGATCACTGAGCGCCGTACCTCCTCTTGGGTATCGCATTTTACGATAGAAACTCGATGGCATGTTCAAATGGAGCAGTATGAGTCGATGGATGTGGTTGAGGAAAGTGTATTCTCTTCTATAAGTATTGTTGTTGATTGCGTCGCAAGTTGAGCGCTTTTGGCGAGCTGACGTATCGCGATACTTGTTGGACTCTTTGGCTATCGCCGCAGTCGCTCTTGGAGATAGTGTACTTGCTGCTGAGCCTCTGCTACTGTACGTGGTGTCTCTGTCTGCGGTGCTGTCTGCGTTGCAACGTTGTCATCTATAGTCATCTGTGGTGGAGACGGTGTTGTAGCTAACGATAGGACGCTATCTGGACCGTGCACTGTACAGTAGCGCGTAGAGAGCTCTTTGACGCGACGTGCAGCCATCAATTGTACCCACCACGTACTCACGACGTACTCACCATACTCACCACCGCTGTATCCACACCACTGCCATGACAAGTGTCGCCGGCACCTCCATCCTCCACCCCCATCATGCAGTGCTACACTGAAATAGCCCCGCCCACGGCCGTCAGCCATGCCATCAACCTCCCCTTCCTGCACTCTAGATCAAACAACCTAGTCGTCGCAAAGAACTCGCTCCTCCAAATCTTCGAACTGAAATCCACCACCACCGAGGTCACGCCGGGCGGAGGGAACGAGTCGGAGAATGCAGCCGCAAACCTCGACACAGAGGCGGCCGATGTGCCATTGCAGCGCACCGAGAACACGGCCAAGCTGGTTCTCGTTGGGGAATTCCCGCTTGCCGGCACAGTCATATCGTTAGCACGCGTAAAAGCGCTCAATACAAAGAGCAAGGGCGAGGCGCTGCTGGTGGCCTTTCGGGATGCAAAGCTCAGTTTGGTAGAGTGGGACCCGGAGAGCTACAACCTCCATACAATATCAATACACTACTATGAGAACCCAGACTTGCCCGGCATTGCACCTTGGTCCGCTGATCTCAAAGACACGTACAACTTTTTGACGGCAGACCCCAGCAGCAGATGCGCCGCCCTCAAGTTTGGCACCCACAACCTCGCCATCTTGCCCTTTCGCCAGCGTGATCTTGTCGAAGATGACTATGATTCCGATGCCGACGCTCCCAAGGAGACAGCCCTGAGAGCGGAGCACAAGACGCCCTATTCCTCGTCTTTTGTCCTCCCACTCACCAACCTCGACCCCACCCTTACACACCCCGTTCACCTCGCCTTCCTGCACGAGTACCGCGAACCCACCTTTGGCATCGTCGCCGCCTCGCGCCAGACCGCCCCTTCCTTGCTCGCTCACCGCAAAGACATTCTGACCTACTCCGTCTTTACGCTCGACCTCGAACAAAAGGCGTCCACGACCCTTCTCTCAGTCTCTGGACTGCCCTATGACATCACAAAAGTAGTCCCCCTACCGTCTCCCATCGGTGGCGCTCTGTTGGTGGGAGCCAACGAGATTATACATGTTGACCAGGGAGGAAAGACAAATGGCGTGGCTGTCAACGAGTTCGCCAAGGCCTGCACTTCGTTTCCCCTCAGCGACCAGTCTGATCTGGCGTTGCGGCTGGAAGCATGTCAGGTTGAGCTGTTGTCCCAGGATACTGGTGATGTGATGATTGTGCTCAACAATGGGCGCATCCTGATCCTTACATTTACGCTCGACGGTCGAACCGTCTCAGGAATGACCATACAAACCGTATCCTCAGACCACGGCGGCCATGTCCTCAAGACTTCTGCATCGTGCACAGCGAATCTGGGCCGCGGCCGCTTGTTTGTCGGAAGCGAAGACGGGGAATCAGTAATGTTGGGCTGGACTGGCACGTCCAGCCAACTCCGCCGTAAGCAACCGACTGCTGACGCCGACTCCGACCAAGACATGTCTGATGACGAGGACGGCGATGACGATATGGAAGATGACCTCTACAACGATACAGCACCCGCAGTCCAGAAAATCACAGCCGCTGTGTCCGAACCAACGGCGCCAGGCTCGTACACCTTCCGTGTCCACGACGTCTTACCCAGTATAGCGCCCATCAAAGCCGCTGTTCTGCACCCTGGCAAAGACACCGAGTCCCTGAACAAGGGTGAAATCATGCTTTCAACTGGGAGGGGCAAGGCTGGAGCCATTACGGCGCTGAACCGCGAGCTTCATCCTGTCAGTGTTGCCACCATGGAGCTTCCATCTGCGCATGGCGTATGGGCTGTACATGCGAGGAAGGCAGCTCCCGGTGATGTCACGGCGGCGTTTGGTGAGGATGCTGAGGCGAACCTGGCGAGTGATGTAGATTATGATCAGTATCTTGTCGTTAGCAGGACCAGCGACGACGGTACTGAAAGCACAGTTGTCTACGAAGTGAATGGCAATGAACTGTCGGAAACTGACAAAGGTGATTTCGAAAGGGAGGAGGGGAGCACCATGGACGTAGGGGTTCTGGCCAAGGGAACCAAGGTCGTCCAAGTCATGCGCACAGAGGTCCGAACCTACGATTCCGAACTCAACATGGATCAGATTCTTCCCATGGAAGATGAAGAAAGTGGCAACGAACTCGCCGTCATCAACGCCAGTTTCGCGGATCCATACTTACTGATCCTCCGCGAAGATTCTAGCGTCAAGATATTCAAGGCTACAGGTGATGGCGAGCTGGAAGATGTCGAAGCAACAGGGTTGTCCGGGATTCAATGGCTGTCCGCCAGCCTATTCAAATCCTCAAGCTTCACCGAAGTCTTTGCCTTCCTGCTAACACCCGAAGGCGGGCTGCGCGTATTCGCCATGTCAGACCTGTCCAAACCGTGCTACGTTGCCGAAGCCCTGAGTTTTCTCCCACCAGTGCTGGCCCTGGACTACGTACCCAAGCGCAGCGCAATCAAAGCGACCATCACCGAGATCCTAGCCGCTGACCTAGGCGATGCGACGAGCAAGTCTCCCCACCTCATCATCAGGACATCAAACGACAACCTCGTCATCTACAAAGCGTTCCACTCTCCGTCGCGATCGTCAACAGATCTCTGGACCACAAACCTCCGCTGGGTTAAGCTAAGCCAACAACACGTCCCACGATATATTGAAGACACCAGCTCCGAAGAAGACGGCGGTTTCGAGAGCACACTATCAGTCATCACCGATATTACCGGGTACAGCACCGTCTTCCAGCGCGGCACAACGCCTGCATTCATCTTCAAGGAGTCCTCTAGCGCACCGCGTGTCATCGGTCTCAGCGGTAAGCCTGTGAAAAGTCTTACGTCTTTCCACACAGCGAATTGCGCTCGTGGCTTTGCATACCTAGATTCTACAGACACGCTCCGCATCGCGCAACTCCCATCCGACACGCACTACGGACACCTCGGATGGGCAACCCGACGCATGCCCATGGACGCAGACGTTCATGCCCTCGCCTACCATCCCTCTGGTCTCTACATTGTCGGCACCGGCCAACATGAAGAATACCAGCTCGACCCCAGCGAAACCTACCACTACGACCTCCCCAAGGAAGACATGTCGTTCAAACCCACCATTGAACGCGGCGTGCTCAAGCTTCTCGACGAGAAATCCTGGACAATAATCGACACGCACGTGCTCGATCCTCAGGAAGTCGTCTTGTGTATCAACACGATCAATCTCGAGGTCAGCGAACAGAGTCATCAGAGGAAAGACTTGGTCGCAGTCGGTACGTCGATTGTGCACGGCGAAGATCTCGCGACCAAGGGGTGCATTCGCATTTTCGAAGTCATCACCGTGGTGCCCGAGCCCGACCGGCCGGAAACGAATAAGCGGCTTAAATTGATTGTCAAGGATGAGGTCAAGGGGGCTGTTTCGGCCGTTAGTGGGCTGGGAACCCAAGGGTTTTTGATCATGGCTCAGGGACAGAAATGCATGGTGAGAGGACTCAAGGAAGATGGGACGTTGCTTCCCGTCGCCTTTATGGATATGCAGTGCTACGTCACGGATCTGAAGAATCTGCCTGGAACGGGTATGCTGGCCATGGCGGATGCGTGGAGAGGGGTTTGGTTCACGGGGTATACTGTAAGTTTTTTTCTTTTGCTTTTGGTCGTATCGACGACTAGATGGTGAAGTTACTGTGCTAATAACCGGAACAGGAAGAACCGTACAAGATGTCTCTCTTTGCAAGGTCAAAGCATAATCTCGAGGCCATGGCGGTGGAGTTTTTGCCGTTTGATCAGCAGTTGCATTTGGTGGTTGCGGATGCGGACATGAATCTGCAAGTGCTGCAGTTCGATCCCGATAGTACGTTTCCTTTGGGTCGATGGTGGAGTGCTCACTACCTCGCCATCTTCTCTACCCCGTCTCTCCATCTCCTTCTCTCTCTTCCCTTCCTCCAGTCTATCCCTTTTTCCTGAACACCAGATCACTGACGCGTCATAGATCCAAAATCAGAAGCTGGTTCCCGCCTGCTGCACAAATCCACCTTCCACACCGGCCACTTCCCCACATCCTTACATCTCGTCCAATCCCACCTCGCCCTACCATCAACAACCGATACGTTCACGCAGGACCCATTGGACAATGACAACAACGACGATGAAGACGACGACCACGACGACGACAATGACAACGCCACCCCTGCTGCGCCCAAACCCAGCAATACAAAACACCCTCTCCTCCACCAAATCCTACACACATCCCAATCAGGCACTCTCGCCCTCATCACCCCACTAACAGAAGATTCCTACCGCCGCCTCAGCAATCTCGCCTCTTTCCTCGCTTCTACTCTCGATTCCCCTGCTTCCCTCAATCCGCGCGCCTTCCGCTCCCCAGCTGCAGATCACTCGATCAATGGGATAACGACGAGTGAAGGGGGTTGGGACGCTGGTACGGGGGCTAGGGGTGTGCTGGATGGGAATTTATTGATGAGGTGGGGGGAGTTGGGGGAGAGGGGGAGGAGAGAGGGGTTGGGTAAGTATGGGGAAGGGTCGGAGGGGGAGTGGATGTTTTGGGGGGAGAGGGAGGTGTTGGCTGGTTGGGGGGTTTTTGGGGGGAGGGGGCGGTAAGGACGAGAGAGAGAGAGGGAGAGAGATTTGTGTTGGTGCTGTGTGTTGAGAGATGGATGGGGTAGTTGGCGGTTGTCGTTGGGGACAAGAACATGGGGAATGGAAAGTTGTGTAGAGTTTGGGGAATGAGGCATGGTTACGGAAGATGAGCAAAGCACTTGAAGGATCGTAAGCAGTGCTGATTGCGTAATATGCCACGTGAAGTTGCAGCCTCAAGTATCTTTATCCTGTGATGGGGTTTTTTTATTCCGTGTGTAGATATATGAGAGGTCCTCTCATGTCGATACAAGTTCTACAATAGCGTGATTGAGCCGCTGAGAAAGGGTAAAACAAAAACGCTACATCGTTCTAAGCTACACCCCCCTCCTCAATTCCTCTCTCCCTGCAAAATCGCTGAAATTATCCACAGATGCTAGGTTGTAGATTGCATGTACTGCCCGAAGCCGACGGGCAATAATAAAGTGTTCCCTGTGACTGCAACAAACAGTGTTAGAACTGAAGAACTTATATTTTGGTGTATCAGAGTAAAACATACATCTCCGAGACGACAACTATTCCATCCGCAGCCGCTGCAGCAGCGGACTGAATCGAGGTCCCCAACGTTGATATTGAAACCGATTCCGCCGTCGGGTTGACACGATTGTGCGAAGATGGTTTGGCCGAATATGGCGACGAGGAAGGTGAAGGGGACTATGGCTGCTCTCATCGTGAAAGTGGGTTGGTTTGGGTCGTTTGATCTGACGAGTGTGTGGTAGTTCTTAAGGTGAAGTGGGAGGAGGAAACTTAATGCGTGCTAACATACCTACGCATATATATACATGTAAATCGGATGGTCTTTTTCTTGGCGAACTTGGTGTCCTAATCGAGCTAGATGCTATCGTCGAATTATTCGGGGTGATCGGAAGGGTCAAGTACGTATTAGAGGGTAAGCTTATGCCTTATATCATGATGTTCGACAGAATCTCGGTGATTATCACTGCACAACGGTCCGAATAGCTTCAGAGGTAACTACGATTCAACCGAAGCCTTGGTATAGCTAGAATGAAATAGCCTCTGGTACCTCTCTAAGCGTTGTAGTAAAGTGTTTTATGTGTTCTCCCATCAGAAACGGGTGCTCGATGCTGGGATTGCAATTCATCGTTGGTTGTGAGGAAAGTAGGTGATTCGGCGCAAAAACAATTTTAATAGAGTTTACAGCTATAGTCTGCTTCGTTATCCGCAGCAGCACAGCAGTGCAGTAGTAGCTCTACAGCATCTCTTGCGATTAGTGAACGATTAGACTAAAGTGTTGCCTCCTCAACAAGTCTACATTAGTTTCGCGTTACGTTAAGCATCCTTCTTTTTTTATAGTATAGACGCGACGCAATGCTCTATTGTTACAACAATCAAACCATTCTCGGTCTAAAAGCACTGCAACACCCTCAGCACGCGGGAGCGAGAGTAGTATATTCGAGCAATCTTAGAAATATCGTCGGGTTGAATAGCATTCTAAGGTTCAGCTCTTCATTAGCTAAGATTGTAATTGTTAGCTGTTGTCTCAGGTCCCACACTTGGACGAACACGGGTCTTTTCTTTTGGCGGCTACGCGATCGAATCCGTCTCAAGTTAACTATCAACCACACATTCCCCGGCCTTGCAGCCAGCAGTCCTCAATTACAAGTAGCTGGGTTTTGTCTATTGCCAAAGTCTTGTGCGACAACCTCCATATCCAATGTCATCGTGAGGGCCCTTCCGGCGCAAAACAAGCATCAGTCCATGTCTGCAGAAGAAATGCATTCTATCACTTGCGTAAGGCTGACATTGAACAATTTGATTGCATAGCGCAGTCCTACATAAAGGACAAAACTTCGCGCGCTGCGAGACACCGGGCAGAACATCTACCATGGCAACGTGGTGCCATCGTAATTCTTGAATGTTCCACCAAACTCCTTAGTAGCTTCGTCGATTACACCAACCATGTTAGTCACACTGGTATCAACACTGATAGCCCCAAAATCCTTCCATTTTGAGCCACTCGCAGCAGCGAAATCCGTGTTCATATCTGTCTCGACAAGTCCAGGATGAAACACGAAGCTCGTAAGCCAAGGCTCTTCAAAATGGAGACGGCGAATGAACCAGTTCAAGGCTGCCTTACTGCCTCCGTAAGGGCTATGTTTCGCTGGAAAAGCGGCCAGCATATCCATGGCTCCGATTGATGCGACCAATGTTGAAATGGCAACGAAAATCGGCTGCTTGGTTGGGCTCGCCTGAAGAAGATCGGCAATCGCTTGGAAGAGCATGACCGGACCGATGGTGTTAACACGAATATGCTCCGTGATATTGCCGACTTCAGTATCGCGTACTGTTCCACCACCGGTGGAGATGCCAGCATTGGCTATCACGACATCAAGGTATTTGATACCGTGGTCATTTTTAAGGATTCTGACGGCATCTTTGGCTGAAGTTTCGGAAGTAGAGTCGAGAGGTACCAGTATGAGCTTTGAACCTTCCGCGGTAGGTAACGCAGCGAGCTCTTTCGCGCTTATGTGTGCTGGGTTTCGGACAGCAGCTATGACAGTAACAGAGGGCTTTTGTAAAAGTAGGCCTGTGAAGCCCTTCCCAATGCCGCGATTGGCACCAGTGACGAGATAGATCTTAGGCAAAGCCATGATCTCAGAGTGCGGTGAATGAGAGTTGAGGAGTATGCAAATAATTTGGATAGAGTGATGATTCTCGTTGTCTTGACTGTGAAGTGATGGGGACCTCTACTTGTATAGCTCCCTAAGAATGACGGAAGTTTGAAAGACCTAGTCTGAGGCCATTCTACTTCGTTCCTATTCCGAATAACGTTTCTAGCTCGGAGATAGTGATATTGCTTATAAAAGCAGCCGAGTTCTTATAAGCAGTGTTTAGTAATACTACGTTTGAACTTCAACCTCGTACGTCGCGGGAGGATCTAAGGATCTGCATGCTCCGCCTAAGCGCTAACAGTCGCCATACCTAGAACGACCGGATGTTCTGAATTACGGCGCTACAAGATCGTACGGCTAGGTCCGCATGTATAGGGCTGGTGCTACTAAGGCAACTAATAGACGCCTCCTCGAAGAAGTCAAAGCTAGGCGCATCGCAAGCAACCAGGCGAAAGCGCATTAACAAGTTATCGCTAACAAGAAGGTACATGTCAGGCCTGGCTGACGATATATACTATCCTGCACCATGATCAGTAGTTCACTGATCATACGTACCTTTTTGGTTGCATAGCGTAGTGGTGCAGGGCTGCGTTCTGACAGTACACGAAGAGTCCGCTGAGAGCATTGCCAACAGCTTGCTAAGACCCGTGCTCGCCGCTAGTTCCTCTTCGAGGAACTGAAGATAAACAAGTCTGCTTTTAAGGCGAAGAAAAAGGAGATAAGAGCGAAGCCTACGGGCCTCACGAAGGTAGTAGTAGCGAAGAAGCCAGCGCAGAAGGCGCTGTTGAGCATGCTGCGGTGGTTTCGCGTTTGTGTTCACGCCTCAAAGGTAAGTGCTAACGACTATATTTCCTAGCAAGTTATCGATATAGGGTTACAACGGAATTGTAGGGTGCGCATCATACGCACGTACGCGGTATCGGTATCGTAGTAATCCATCTCCGTCGGACAAACAAACGCCCTTTTTTGCCGCCTATCTAACACTACTATAGTTGTCGGCATAAGTTTGTAAGTGGGCTACTAGCAGGGGGCTTATTTTGTGGGTCTTAAAGTCACGTAAGCAGATCTAAATCGTGTCACGTAATCAGCTCCTATCGGAGGAGAGGCATCTAGAATAATACCGATTTAGCGTCTCTACTTACATTAGATATGCTGAAGACCATAGTAGTCTCTAAGCTAAAATTAGATGCTATATTACACCTTATTACGGACTGGATACATGTTAAGTAATCAAGGGAAATTGCATAATTCCAAAGCATAGTCAGCTTTATAAGTAGAGCTCAATATTATCGAGACGGCGCGGTCGCAACGCTGCATTCTGCTCACAGTTCTACTCAAGTTGAACGTTGATTGTCGCTAAACTCGATTCAATATGTTGCTCAAGCACAGATCCTTTCTGGCAAGCGGGCTGGTAATTTTACAAGCACTCCAGATCTCTGTACAGGTGAGATGCCAGGGAGTCATGATTTGAGGTTCAGTCTACTAACGATGAAACAGGGTCTAGCTGTTCAAGCTCGCAACGAAACATGTAAAATCAACCTCAAACCAGATACCGTAGGTCTCTTGCTCTTAGTTCACAACTAATTATAGTACGCTGATAAAATGCAGGCCGACATTGCAAATACTTCATATGTCAATACTGTGCGAAGTGTTCAGATACCTTCACGAAGAACATACCGTTACGTGTTTTCCCAACCGCTCAAATCCGAGAAGCCTTACCTTCTCTTTCTGCACGGATTTCCAGAGTCGTCTTATGGTTGGATAAACCAGATCGAGTACTTCAAACGGCATGGTTATGGTATCATCGCGCCAGATATGCTAGGCTATGGTGGCACGGATAACCCTACTGACTTGGAAGCCTTCAAGCTGAAGACCATAAGCTCCGAGCTAGTAGATCTTCTAGATTGTGAAGGGATTGGCCAGGTGGTCGCTATCGGACACGATTTGTGAGTCTTGAGACTTCTGGACTTTGCTGTTGTGCCTCAACTGAGGTAATCACACAACTAACAGATCTGTAGTGGATCTTCCGCAGTCAGCGCCTTGCAATGGTACAATCCAGACCGCTTGCTGGGTCTGGCTTTCATGAGTCTCGGCTATTTTAGTCCTGGCCTAGACCTACCTTTGGCTGCTATTGAAGCTTTGAACAATCAGTCAGAGACCTTCTTTAGTTATCCTGCGCTCGGATATTGGCCCTTTCACAATACTGATGAAGCCACTACAGCTTACGACAATCATGTACGTTGCTTTCATAGCCTTCTCTGATCGATTATCTAACTTGCATATAGCTTGATTCTGTCTACACCCTCTGGTACACTAACAATGAGACATATCAACGGCAGTACCTTGCGCCCTACAACGCTTTGGAAACCTGGCTATCTGAAGATCGCCAAGCACCATACGGCGGCGCATACATATCCGAGGTAACCAAAGCACAATGGAAATCTATTGTCGAACGTCAAGGAGGACTCAGTGGCGGTCTAAACTGGTACAGAGCGAATCTTCAAGGTGTCAATAGCGCCGACGCAGCCGGTACGAACCTGCAATCAAAATCTCCCGTACATCTATGTATACTGATATCCCTGCAGCTCTACGGTCTGTGTCTCCAACTATTTTGAAGCCCACCCTTATAATAGTCGGAAATGATGATCCAGTCGCCCAGCCAAGCGTACAATTGAACAACACGCTTCCTTTTGCGCCGCGCGCCCGCATCCGAACTCTTGACGCGGGACACTTTGTTCCACTACAGGCAGTTGAGGAAGTCAATTACGAATTGCATGAGTTTTTAAAGACTTTTACTTAATTCATACGTAATGTTAGTGCCTTGTTCGACATCCAATTCCTGGAACAGCGGAGAGGCGGGTGATGGATTCTATAGATCTGTGGCACGGACTGGAAAGATGTAGCACAAGGACAGTACAGAAGATGTTGCATCCAAAGGTCATGACGATCGAGGTAATAGGGAATAATAGTATTCGAAGTGATGATTCGTCCTTAATTGTGTTGACAAGCCGCTCGAACAGAGAAGTCATGTCACCGTTCCCTTGTATGCCTCAACCCACTATCACTGCTGTCCATGGCTTTCCATCATGGCCTGCTCGGAGCTTGGTCGAAAACTCATCGAAGAGGGTCTCTTTATCAGGAACGACGAAGTAGACGTCGCATTCGATACCAGATGTGTTCTTCAGATCTTCAATGCCTTTCAGCACTGACGCGCGGATCTTAGGAACGTCGATCTTTTCGCTGAGATTAACTTCACTCCAGCCGAAGTCGACACCGACAATAAGAAGGGAAATAAGGTCAGATATGATGAACAAGCCAGTATGACAAATCAAGCTATAGTTATAACATTGATGATAGACGAAAGACTCATATAAAGGTCCTCTTGGCTACCGCTCAGCAGCCAGCTTATCTAGAACGCGTATCGGTGTGTTCGGTGCGCGTGATGAATGTAGCGGAGGCCGAGGCAGCCGGTGTGAGAAGGTCATCGGCGGCTTTGGTACTAGCAAGGCCACTGCTTAGCAACTGTGACGCCTGATGTTAGGATGCCGCAAGGAAGAACTCGCTCCTGATATCCACTGCACGCCAACTCAAAAGTCGAGGTATTATGCAATGCAAGGATAGCACACGGAACGAAGAGACAAGAGGCTCTACTCTGGTAGGTCTCACTCGCATTGGAAGTCGCACCGTGTCGTGCTAACCTTACTGCCTAAATATATCGCGGGTTGCCGGCGCGAGTGTCACGACATTAGGTATGAAACGCTTAGAGATCTAGAACAGTGAGATAAAGTATGAGTACTTTGTGTTGTGCTTGAATACTGCGATTTCTATATTGACAGAAAAGAGAAACAGAATGCTAACTGGACAGCTTTATTGTCTTCGCATCGCGTCTTGGGTCCCTCGTCGGGGATCATATCACCTTGCTAACTTGAACTCGCTCCTCAATAAACTCATCATAGGTGATGCAGCCTAGTCTAGTTTTGGTCTCGGATTGTAATCTCCGAAGACAGCCTAACGGCCTTTGGGTGAGACTGACGATAGAACTAGTCGGACTGAATCTTGCGGATTTTTAGATTCGCACCGATCGGCTTTAATTAGGCGTGATTGATAGAGAAGAGTGCGAGTACGAGTACGAGTGCGAAAGCGAGTCCCACCTACTAGGCTAAAATTACAAGTGCGAATCGGTCCTATCTGTAACAGCTACGTTGCACAAGCCTCAACTAGTGATCAAATTCTACGTGTGGCTGATGCCGGAACTGCTGACTTTACGCATAGCAGAGTTGACTAGTCGGATCGATAGAGTGAACTTGAAGAAGAGAGTAGCAGTGTAATGTAAGGCGACAGAAGTGGCATCTTCTAGATGGCGCCATGAGAAACCTTCTAAATCTCTAGGAGGACAGCGTCGCAATGGATCTGGACGGTCTGCATCCTAGAGGGCGGTGGTCGAAAGTGGAAAGTGAGATGAGAGTGTTCTTCGAAGGTCACCTTCAACTCGGATACCCCACCAATAGCGAGCGTCGCTGTGATTAGATAAACAGCCCAGCTTCTGTCACTCATCGTACTCATCTTTTCTCTCCAACGGTACTCTACATCTACTGGCCGAAGAGCTTCAGCAAGTCAATATGCCTGGCCGGAAGCGCGCTGCGTCGCCCTCGGGTAGTGCGTCCGCCGTGAAGAAGACAAAGAAGAAAAAGCTGCTGTAAGAGTCTATTATCTAGTCGTCGCTCTTGTTACCAACAAAATCTCCTAGCGTCATATTGCATGTCGTCTATCGCCCCGGTATCTTTCCTTTCCTTCGCCTTCCCGCCGAGATCAGAAACATGATTTACCACTATGTCTTCTACGGAACAGCCACGATACAGCAGAAGAAGGGTCAGATGCCTGTAGGGAGGGAGCGGAACATTTCTAAACGCCCGACGAAGCCACCAATGGACAGTCCGAATCTCAGCTTACTATACGTGTCTCGTCAGCTCTATCACGAGACCGCCCTGCTTCGTACATGCTCACGATATTCTACATTTATATCTGGTCTTTTGGATTCGGCCTTCGCCGGGCCCTCGCGTCGTTCTTGAAGAAGAGGTCTAGTACGCAAATTGAGGCACTCTCCAACTTGAGGGTTTGCCACTGGTCGTGGGTGGAAAGCACCTGGGTGAAGAGGTCCGGCAACGGATCATACTGGGTGGAGATGCTGGGTCTCGCTGAGCCTTCCTCTAAGCGATTATCCAAGTAGTGGGCTCGGCAGTGAGTGTATCTATGGTAAACCAGTATGCAGCAATCAGTGCGTTTCAAAACAGCTGACCGCGCGTCTTTGATTACGAGGACGACTCAAATACATCTCATAGCATCCAAACTCTTCTCTCAATATGTAAACTCGTCTTGTAGCCATGCTAACAGTGGTCTCTGTTTCTTGCCACGCGCTTAGTATCGTCTCCATGTACGTTGTGAACTCCAAAACCAAAGGTGAGAGAAAGTCGCGGTCGGCCCGGCTAGGCAGCTGCCAAGAGTTATTCATGCGTATATTGGCTCTGCTCTTTCTCTCAGTTCTCTTCTTCTCTGCCCCTCATTCAACTACTCCCTACGCCCATTTTCCGAACACAACAAGCGCAAGGTCAACATGGCCAAACGGAAGCGCGAAGAATCTGGAACTGGAGACGCGGTCAAGCATACCCGAGTGTAAGATTCTTGACTCTTTATTTGCCCGATTCTTAACTGACAGCTTGGATTCAGTAAGAGTTCAAAAGCTCCTCATTCCCCTTTTCTCCGCCTTCCCGCCGAGTTGAGGAACGTCGTATACACCTACGTCTTCAGCGGCACCCACCATGCGATATCCAATTCTGGCTTCAGGTTGACAGCTTGCAACATGGGTCTACTCCTCGTCTCCCGTCAGGTCCACATAGAATGCGCTCTGTTGCCGTACAAGCTGTCCACCTTATCATTCAGTTTCACGGGCCCCATTCGTAGGTTCTTGGAGGCGAGAACAGAGCAGCAGTTGCGGTCTATCGAGGATATGCGTGTCTTCATGTCGTTTGGAGGCAGTAGTCGGCATACTGGGTCCTCCTGGTTTGAGTATCTCGGTTGCGAAAAGAAGTGATGTTCTGACCGCTACCCAGTCTCATGTCTCGGTGTGGAGGGGGACGACTTGATAGGAGACAAAGTGGAAAGTCGCATTTGGAATGACTAAGATGCAGTTCCCATTCCTGATAGTACCGGGTCATGAAGATAGCAGGCGACGAATATATTGTGGGTAAGAGTACAGTAGGCCAAGGCAGGTCAGGGTAGAGAGTGAGTATAGTGTATCAAGGTTGAGATAGTATTGCCTGCGATCAAGGGCCAATGGAATATTTAATTACTAGTGATGAAAAAGAACTATTCGTCAAGTCCGTTACATACGTGGAAAACATGCTCGAGTCGTGTTCGTAAAGTTCATGTAGATTAGAGAGAGTCCATCGAAAATCTCGCGAAGCGAAGAGATACCAGTCTTACAGAGACAGCTAGGGACGTTTAGATGAATGAAAGGTAAACTAAACGAGGTTACAAAAAGATCACAGCGCCTATAACTCATCTTGTCACGCTATTGGCTTTGTTGCCTCTGGAAGTTTTTCCAAACTTGAGAGAGCCCTGAATTTTCTGGTCGATTTTTGGCGCACTGTGAGCAACTGCCGTGTTTGCTTCATTATTCTGTCCATCAAACTGGACGTTCTGGCCGATATCCTGAGTGATTGATTCACCCACCCTATCGAACGTCTCTTGCGATTGTTGCTGTGCATAATGTGTATGATCTTGGGCTGTTGATGTTCTCTCGTATTGTCCTTCGTAGTTGGGCTCTGGCTGGTTGTACACTTGGGGAAAAGGTGGTTGCGCATTTGGATTGTAGCCAGCCTGATCATACTGCTGCTCCTGAGCATACTGCGGTTCCTGAGTATATGGTTGCATTTGCCCGTACTGCCCCTGACTGTACTGTTGCTCCTGTGGACTCATGGTCTGTCCAGAGAAAGATACAGCAGAATCCCTTCCTTTGTTCTCCAACTGCGGGGTCCCTAGATTGTAGCCGCTGTAATCGGGTGCTCGAGAAGACATATCTCGGAGGTCTAATTGGGCTCTTTGGTATGCCGCCTTCTTTTCCCTATGTGTTTTCGAGGTTCTCACCTGGAAATATCTACTGTTGTCAGACTAATCATGCTCATGGAGTCGTGATTGTGTCGCTTACAGTTGGACTGATACCGCAGTGAAGATTGTGGTTTCTCTGGCGCTGCTTATCTCCGCTCGAACACTCTGCACGTCTTTCCTGTGGAACCACAACTTGGCTTGAGCACGTCGACTTTTTGTGGGACTAGAAGCCCATTTGGAGAACGATCGATGAAATTCCTGGCACGTATCGGCGCAAATTCCTATTGCCTCTGCAAATCGAAACCTTTGGAAGACCTTGAAAGTTTCGTCGTCCGCCTTGATGAGCACAATAATATGCGCGACACACTGCTCTATGATCGTTATCTCGCTTGTTAATTTTCTGAGCTCCTTGGGAAGAGATCTCAGTTCCTTTATGGCGTTGTGGAGTGCTGATATGACTTGGCAAGAGATAGTCAAGACAGCGACGATAGACGCTACAGTTTCCAGTCCTGACATGAGTGCGTGAGACCAAGATACCTGCTTGATATATAGATGGTTGATTTGTAGTCCCTGGAGCTGACCGGTATCCTCCGTAAGCGTTTCGGGCGTGTAGAGTTCGTCACCTTCAATCTCGATCATGCGGCCGTTTCTGGAAAGTACAGGGTATCTTGGTCGCGGAATGTTGGTGGCGTCCATAGGTACATATCGCGAGAGGTTGCTATGGGTCAGGCTGAAGTTGAGATGGTTGCGAGATTACATCAGGCTTCGTGGCACCCTGCTGTACCACACGCATCGGGCTGAGCCCAGAGGCCGCCCTCATATTGCACGAATCATACTGCTTAGCGGGTCAAGCTTCTTCAGCCTTGCTCCTTCAGCGATCACATTCCTCCAGATATGCGGAGGCTGCATTGCGCCACAATCCTTTGCGCACCATTTCCGGTGTTCATGTTCACCGGTGCGGCACACTTCCCCGGCCGATCGCGGAAGTAGATGTAATTCAGACAGCCATCTCGAACACCACCCACCCTCACAGCGCTCTTGATCAAAACCGAATCCAGATACATACAGAATTTGCGGTTTTTTTGTATACGTCATGCGCTCTCTTTTGCATGCAGTGTTCCGATCTACTCGCTCCACGGAAGGATTACTGCCAATGTACCACACAGAACGGCATGAACATCTTGCTTCCAAGGCTTAGCCAATCTTGGGTAATCAGCCTATGTTGATGTTTTAGGGACCCTCGGAAATCTACAAAAACGTTTCTTGATTTACTCGCAACATGAGTAAAGGTCAAGCTGAAGACAACAATGTGTCTGTAATTCGCCAGACCGTTGGCGGTTCAATCTATGGTGGTACCGGCAATCAAATAAATGGTGTTTACTATGGATCAGGTAAATATGACACAAGATCTATGATGTGAAGATCCTAATGTTATTAATTCCGTCTGCTAGACAATGCCGCAAAGAGATGGCTAGCGAGTCAAGCTAGCAAATTACCCCCGAAGCTACATGATGAATCCATGTTTGAGCCCAGGCTTCGGGACAAGGTTTACAAGCTGGAAGCTTTCCAGAACTGTCTTTCAAATACGGGCAGCACGTTCGTTATGCAGGGCAGGCCCGGCATAGGAAAGACAATGATCATCCAAGGTCTCATAAAAAAGCTCGTTGATGATGCGGATACCGATAGCGATCCAAGATTTATGAATTGGCTCTCTCGAGTTCGGTCTGAAGCAGACAAAGGCCATGATGGATCTCAGAGCCCAGGAAGTGAACAGGGCCCGGGATGCGCAACTACGAAGCTTGTCACTGCTGCGTTATATTTCAGTACAAAACGTGTCGCTATTTCTGAGCACGCCCCAACGAAGCTACTACTATATCTCCTTGAAGCGATCTGCAAACAAATACCCAACTCGGCGGGAGCCATTGAAGAGCTATACAAACTGACACCTCCGAACGGAATGCCGACCTCGACTCATATCAGAAGATCACTTCGCACCGTACTAGAGAGAGCCAAGCATACCTGCATCTTCATCGATGCTATAGAGGAATGCGCAGATACTCACCTTGAAGAAGTTCTTTCTCAGCTAAAGTTACTTCAACAGGAGACGGGCATCGGTATTGTGCTGACAGCCGTATTGGATGTCAAACGGAAGTACCTGGAGGAACACTTCACAAAAGTGAAGTTCCATCCAGTGTCTGCTGAGCCTGAGGATGTAAAAGCCTACATACGCAAGAGACTTTGGTATAACCGGGATGAAAACTCACTCGAATTGCTTGCTTCTGGAATTTCGAAAGAGGCAAATGGAATGTAAGTGTTTCAATCAGGATTTATGTTTAGAATGTGCCATTAACTCTTGCCCTAGCTTTCTACTGGCTAGACTATATTGCACGCGGCTCAAATCTTTCGATAGAGATGAAGATGCTCACGAAGAATTGCGAAAGATTAGGGTATCACGACGCACAACCGACAGACGTACCGAAGATGACATCAAAGAAGCATTTTGGGGTGTTGTCGATCGAATATTTCACATGGAAAGGACGGGTGAAGACAAGAGAATTGCGGAGTTGGCAATGGGGTTTGTTCGTGATGCACAGCGACCACTTTCAATCGATGAACTTCTGTGGTTGTTGAGTACCGACGACGACATGCCGTATCCTTCAACCCACAGGTTGCACAAATGGAATTACGTCAGATCTTGCTGTCATGGACTCATAGAAGACGATGATTTCCGAACCGTCGTCTTCATCCATCGCACTATGCTGGATTGTCTCGAAGATCCCCAGTATGCCAGCAAGATTCGCGTGCAGCACGGAGAATTTGCGAAAAGATGCTTGTACCAGCTCACTCACGCCGAACTCAACAAGAGTGTTTGTCTTGATTCGAAAGCCCTCGACGATAGGTTGGTCAAATTTCCTCTTTTTGACTACGCTGCCCGGTATTGGCACTACCACGTTGCTCGCTCGTCAAAGACAAGAACCGTTCCTGGCACAAGGGTTTCGATACCCGGCTCTCTGCTCCATGTCTTGAGACAGTTTCTGGATGATGATCTTCGAGTTGAGGCAGCTTTCCAGGTGACTTTGTTCCCGACTCGAGATTTCCAATCGTATCTTGATCGCGCCATCGAAGAAATTCCATTGACAGAAGCGTCGATTCGATCGATGAAAGCTGAGGAAAAGGTGCTGTTTGATCCATTCCAACGAAACAAGATGACCGGCCTACATGTTGCTTGCCAATACGGATTCGAAGAAATCGCCAGCAAGTACATCACAAAGAGAAAGAGATACGCACAGTCTCTGGACAGAATCAACATCCATAAGTGCACGCCACTCCATTACGCTGTCGAGGGCCAGCATTTTCAAATCGCCAAAGCCTTGCTTGATGCGGGCGCGAACATGAATTGCTACGATATCTTTGGTGGTACCCCTCTGATTGATTCGTTGTACCATTCTGATACGTCTATGGCGAAGCTCCTCCTTAGGGGGAAGAGAACTACTTTGGATGTCAATGCTCAAACAGCTCCTGTTACGGAGTTCAAACCGCATGAGTTCAAATTACTATATCGCAAGGGACCACCAGATCTACGGGAAAGCGTTATCGTTCGGCATAGGGTAAGTGGACGTACCGCCTTACATTATGCAGCTAGAAACAACATGGAAGAGATAACCCAGCTTCTCCTAGCGACAAGAAAGGTGGACTGTAGCCTCCAAGACACACAGGGGCAATTAGCTTGGCACAAAGCTGCAAAGTACGGACACGTAAATATCCTCTCTATGTTATTGGGACACGGGATGGATCCATCGTCCAGAGCTGGACAAACACCAGAGGGCAAAGAACCGGATCCTGAGATCAAGAACTACGAAGGCTACCTCAACACGGCGTTACACATTGCAGCAAAGTCGAACAGCCCAGAAGTAGTAAACTACCTTCTTGACAAGTTTCCGTACCTTGCACCACTCCAGAACGGTCACGGTGAGACTGCTCTCAGTCTAGCAGTCGGAATGCAAGAAGCGGATATGGTGGGCCTTCTGCTCGAGAAGCCCCTTCCCGATGGCATCGAGGTTGGTATCAACATTGAAAATGAAGCGAAAAGAAGACCCATTCATGTCTCTGTCTTTGACAAGTCAGGCACATGTATGAGGCTTCTGCTGGGATGCGAGGACATAGAGGTCGATATCAAGGACTCTGATGGCAACAGCCCACTGGATCTCGCGGCCAAACACGGTTATCCATGCCACATAGAGCAACTATTGGAGCTTGACATATACTTCGAAAGAGGATGTGAGCAGTGGCGTAGAGCGCTCCGTTGTGCATACAAGGAAGACAACATGCGGACCTACCGTGCGCTGTTCTCCTCAAAAAAGATACATGGAATGTTGGATGCAGAATACGCAGAGTTGAGAGACATGGTTCTATCAGTACCACCGACTGTACCCCTTTCAAAGGACATCCTCGATGCCATGACCAAGATGTAAGTGCTGGCCTTCGCTGTCTGATGATCGATTGTAACGAAGCTACTACAGGCATGCCACAGAAGTTGGAGAGTCTTCTGTTTCAGATGATCAAAAGCCTCGGAGAATCACGCTGCCAATCGACCAGCATTAATGACACGGCCAAAACTCACCTTGCGGAAGAGTTTTCCACTCTTTCACATGTCCCTTGGGCGCGGGAATCCGAGGTGACAGCAGAGCCACTTGATGACGAGCACAATCCAGGCTCACAAACCTCTACAGCGTAGTAGAAGGCTGTGTCGCAGTATCTTATGGAAAACGACATGGTGTGATGGATACCTCAATTCGATGCGCTGACCTCAAGCATGCTGGAACTTGGAAGCTGAATCCTGCATCGGATTTGTTTATGACACCCAGCTCAGACTGAAGACAGGAGTATTGAATTTCTTGACTATTTCATGTCTTTCTGCTATCAATCAGTTTTCCTTGGTAGTACATACAGATGTTGCTAATTCTTATCATTCCCTTTGTCACGTGAACACTTTATATAAATCGGGCACGAGGGCACACACTGGCAGGGTGAGCATATATCTGAATATTCCAATTTCGTTACTCGCAATACGATGAATAATATTTCTTATATCTCGGAGCTCTTTCGTGCAACAATAGTGCCATCGATGCACATACTGACACTCAGTGCCAAGCATCACGTGCTGGTGTGTGTGAGGCAGATTTTGCTGCTGCTGCGCGATGATGTATCGTCGGTTTTTGCTTAGAATTCCTGCCCTAGGAACAGGTACATTGTACAAGCCTCAACTAGCGGTCAAATTCTACGTGTGGCTGATGCCGAAACTGCACGATGGCGCGAGAGGCAAAGGCCAAGTCAGGGTCCGCATCCGGCTACCGGATCTTCGCCAATCTTCGGCGACAAGAGCCCTATTGATAGCCCTTGACGTGATTGGCCCGGCCAAAAGAAGTCCGAGCGCATGTTCGTCGAAGCTTCCCAAGGAATGCACAGCTAGAAACACATGTTTTGGCAGACTCGAGTGCATTTTTCACGGTAATAGCGGGTTTATTGTGCGCATTTTGATGCTGTGGGGCCAGCTGCGTAGTTTAGGCAGGCAGTCGACCGCTTCCAGGCAATCTTGGGCTGTTGAGGGACCATGGAAGGGCATGGAATTGTTTGGAATCTTCTCTCGCTCGGCGCAGCCGGTGCATTTGCAACATCCCGGTTACTACTTTTAAGTCCACAAGCGTCGCCCCCAGCTCGCATTCAATATACACACGTTACTGCTTTCGAGTCATAATCAGTTTCCCTCACCTTCTGTCCCGCTACTGACTTCCGCGGCGACTCTTTGGTAAGCGCTTTTTTGCCTCTGTCCGCGTCGATTCGACGAGTTAGCCGCGCCTTCTTTCACCTGCAAGGCTGACGTGCAGCTGGGCGACTACTTTGCACAACTCTCGCCCCGAGGCTCGTTGCTGACTAGTATAAAGATTCTCCTCGACACGGCGACTCGCACTCTCCACAGACCAACCTGATACCCGTCCCGCCTGCCCCTAAACTCGACTTTTACGACCCCGCTAGCCCCTCGTCTACATCACCACCACTCACGCACCAACCGCGACAATGGTCAAAGACACAAAGTTCTATGACACCCTGGGGGTAAGCCAGCCTCGTCTACACGACATCTCGCACAGGGCATGGTCTAACAGCAACAGGTAGCACCAGACTGCTCCGAGTCCCAACTAAAGACGGCATACAAGAAGGGAGCCCTTAAGTGGCATCCCGACAAGAACGCCCACAACCCAGAGGCCGCGGACAAGTTCAAGGACCTCTCCCACGCATACGAAGTTCTCTCGGACCCGCAGAAGCGCCAAATATACGACCAATATGGCGAGGAAGGCCTTGAGCAAGGCGGCATGGGAGGAGGTGGCGGCATGGCAGCCGAGGATTTGTTCGCGCAATTCTTCGGCGGCGGCGGCGGTCCCTTTGGCGGCATGTTCGGCGGCGGCATGGGCGGCGGACGCGAACAAGGCCCCAAGAAAGCCCGCACAATCAGCCACGTCCACAAAGTCTCGCTCGAGGATGTCTACCGCGGCAAGGTATCCAAGCTCGCACTCCAGAAATCCGTCATCTGCCCCAAGTGCCACGGCGTCGGTGGCAAGGACGGCGCCGTTAAGAAGTGCGCCGGCTGCGATGGCCGCGGCATGAAGCACATGATGCGCCAGATGGGCCCCATGATCCAGCGCTTCCAAACCGTCTGCCCCGACTGCCAGGGCGAAGGAGAAATCATCCGCGACAAGGACCGCTGCAAGCAATGCAACGGCAAGAAGACGATCATCGAGCGAAAAGTCCTGCACGTACACGTCGACCGCGGCGTCAAGTCGGGCCACAAGATCGAGTTCCGCGGCGAGGGCGATCAGCTGCCCGGCGTAGAACCAGGCGATGTCGTCTTCGAGATTGAGCAGAAACCCCACGCCAGATTCCAACGCAAAGACGACGATCTCTTCTACCACGCTGAAATCGACCTGCTCACCGCGCTGGCTGGTGGCCAAATCCACATTGAGCATCTCGACGAGCGCTGGTTAACCGTCGACATCATCCCCGGTGAATGCATCTCCCCCGGCGAAGTCAAGGTCATCCGCGGCCAGGGTATGCCGTCGTACCGCCACCACGACTTTGGTAACTTGTACATCCAGTTTGACGTCAAGTTCCCGGACCGCCTCGGTAACAACGAGGACGGAGGCCCGATGAGCCCGGAGCAGATTCGCGCTCTCGAAAGCGTCTTGCCGCCAAGGAAGGTGCCAGAGGCTATGCCCCCTGCTGATGCTATGACCGAGGACTTCACCCTCGAGGATGTGGATGCTGGTGGTGAGGGCCAGAGGGCGAAGGGAATGGGTGGCATGGACGAGGATGAGGATGATATGCACCCGGGAGCTGAGCGCGTGCAGTGTGCGTCTCAGTAGAAGGTGTGCTGGAGTAGCTGGAGTAGAGTGTGCATGACGTTATGAGAGCATGAGGTTATTACAACTGGGGTGGGGAATGTTGGCGTGGTGGAGTTGTGCATTTCCCGATTGCATTGGAAGCTTCTGCGATACCAACGAGGACTGCGGTTTTTCCCCTTTTCAGTCAGGTTCTTTTTTCTTCGACTTTCTGCAAGGCATCACTATCTTGTTCTTGCTGGTTCATTCGGCGTTCTTCTTAGACAGGGGAGAAAGCCTGAATAACGGCATCTTAGTAAATGAGGGTTTAGTAGTTTCTTGATGAAAATGTTCTTCTTTAAGCTGTTTGCTCCTGCAAATCGTCTTTTTTTTTTTCCTAACGTCACTTTTGTTCGCTCATCTGCTGGTACCACCATGATGCAACGAAGCTCAATAGTATGTACCAGCGCTACCATAACCTTCCATCGACTACCACGCTAGCGGCTGACGCAACTCTCTCTTGGTAAATCAAACCTATTCAGCTGCCGGTACTCTTTCCAGCGAACCATGCCGATGCCTCTCCATTCCACTTGCCGCACAAGCTCGATCTGAACAATGCTCACCGCCCTCGTTGACGCCGGTCTCGTTCCAGCTGGTCAACTTCACTCATATCCATATAATCGTCCTCTTGCTCTTGCGCTCGAACGCCTATCCTCAATCTCTCGCTGGCGCCGATTCCGTTCCAGCTGGTCAATTTCCCTTGTAGTCATATCCAACCATTCAACCGCCGAGCACGCATAAACCCCCATGACATCCAAAGCCGGCTTCCATTGCACTTCCGCCATGACGTCGATCTGCGTAGCCGTTCGCCGCGCCAGGAAGGCAACGAGATGCATGCAGTGCGAAGCTCGGATGGTAAAGACGTTTAGTTCGTAGAGCAGTAGCGCGGTCTCGACGTGTGTTTGGCGACACGCGTGTAGGAGGCCGATGCAGTTGGTGCGTGTGGGGTGGCTGGCTCGCATGTTTGTACCTTTTGCCGTTGGCGAAACGAAGAGATCGATTTGTGAGTGACGGAGGACGAGGGCGAAGATTTGATTGCGGAGTTCGGCTGGTAGGCGGAGAAGTGGTGATTGCGTGTTGTGCGTGGGACTAATTGTTTTGTTGTTAGGAGTGAGAGAGACGTGTGCTGTGAATTGACTTACATTGCAGCGCGAGCTTCCTCTGGTTGCAATTTTGATGCCATGTTCGATCTGTCGCTGATGTTGGGATTTGGAAAGACTATTTACACAAGATGCTAAAAAGTGAAGAGGGCAAGAGATATAGGGGTTCATGGTATTCATGATGGGGCTGTGCGTGTGTATGCTGAGGCTTCGAGGCAGTGGAAGGTGGCTGAGCACATTCACCCCATGTCGCTTGGAAACCTGAGGCAGAACACCTATAATTTCCCACAACCATGCGCGCTCCCAATTTCGCCGGATCAGCTTGCAACAACGGATCATTTACATGGATTGCTGCGCCAACACATCCCTTTCCTTTCCACGCAGAGATTCAGTCCATTTGGTCACGGACATGCGTTCCTGCTCTTACCAATCAGTCCACACTGGCGCTAGATCCCAGTCTTCTGTCCATCTCCTACGCACATTCTACAAGAGATCAATCTAATTACACGTGCGATGTTGGAGAAACTCGATCATACCAAGTTCATAGCTTGTGTCAATTACGGACGTGTCAAACTTGTATGGGAAAGCCACGGTCTTGGCACGCACTTGGCGACAAACGTGGAGTAGCTATATCGGATCATACCTTGAAGGAGTATGCTTAGACGTAGGCTTTTCTGGCGACTTCTCCGTGGTTTAGGGCGAGGGCACAGACCTGGTTCCTGAGTTCGACAGGAAAATGAAGAAGTGGTGATGAAGTGCTGTGCGTGGAACTGATTGTCTTCCAGGATCAATTCCAGGATCCATCAGAGGTCAATACATATAAAATCTTTTCTTTCCCGATCATTGTGCGTGCATCCAAGCGTTTTGTGTTCCACTCAATGGTAGTTCCAATCTTCTATGTGTGAACGATTCCAGCTATGGCGACGATGGTAATAGGGTGGGTGTCAGTGGCTCGTCATCTATGGATCATCGCAGTATTATAGATGAGTTGAGATGTACCGGTAGAAGTAACTATATTGAAGAATAACTAAATATTACGTTCAGATGAAGAGTAACGTTGTGAACATTATAGATGTGTCAGAGAAGGAAAGGATTATACGATAACAAAAGTCCCACAATTATACCAAGAAAAGTGAACAGAGACGACCTAGTTTGATCATCAGTTTTCCCTTACAGCCAACGCACTTGACGTATACAGGTAATAGAGTGGCTGCTGAATCTTACAGCTACTCTGACGTCTGGGTGGTCGCTGTCTGCGCTTTTTTGTCGGAGTCTTTTTTCGGTTTAGAAACAGAACTGCCCCAAGTCTTGACGCGGAAGAGATAGTAAGTCAAAGCAGCAACGAATATGTTGAAGATAACGTATGCCCATACGATACCAAAGTTGCGCCATCGCTCGGTCCAGAATATCTTCGAGCCCTGAAGGAACTGGTCGGCGATCGTTACCGAACAGTATCTGCAGTGCTGTGTATCGTCTGGATTCTGCAACTGACCAATCGCACTCTCCAGGAAGCTTGCAAGGTATTGGCCGCATGTCTGATTCTCAGGTGGACTGAAGATCATTGTTTCTGCTTGGGAGCACTCCACGAGCCTCGAGTGCAGCATTGTCGACACAATACCACCAATCCAGTATGTAAAGGGGCTAACGCGATACATGAAGATCCAGAATCCGGGCAGCGCGGTCGGACTTTGCAATACACCGCAAAAGACGATGCTCATGAGTGTAAGCATGATGACGACTCCAGATGCCGTGACAGTATCGGGTAATGCAGCTATCGTCATGCTGGCAAAGGAAGATGCGAAGACGAAAAACTGAATGCTGTAGAGGAGTACAAGTACTTGGCGTTCCGAAGCTTGAACTCCAACAACTGGGTAATAGAAGCAAGCATAGAGAAGGATTCCGGAGATGATTTGATAGGGAAGTTCGACGATAATATTAGCAAGAAGGAATGCGCGCCATGAATAAGCTTTGCTGGGTCGCTCGCGGACTTCGTATAGCGCACGTTGCGTCACAAAGAGAGGTTGGATCTGGATGACGATAAGTATCAGCGCTTACCCCGAACAGACGGCTGAGTGTGGACAAACCTGTTGAACTAAGGTAGAGAAGAGGGCTGTAATCATAAAGATGGCGAACATTACATTGGCCATCCCTGCCTGAGTGGCGTTGACATCGTAGAATGTGAATCCAACGAAGAGACCTCCCAGAATACTGAGTACAAACTTAGATAGGACGTATTCGGGCATCCTCCAGTACTGCTGGAAGACACGGTTTGTCACAATCTGGAATTGTCTTGCGAGGGGGGCTGCAAATTCCGCCTGCTCACCGGATTCTGCTTCGACGGCCACTGGCTCGTTTGCCTTCTCTGCGTGGAGTCTGTCGATCTCGGCTTCCACACCCGATCGCTCCGGGCTTGCTTTCCAGATGGCATGCCAGTCCTGTTTGTCGCGCGGGCCATTGTTCACTGTCTCGATCATGTACTCGGCTGGGTTTTCAGCATCCTCGCACTTGCGTGCTCCGTTGGATTCGAAATAGTCCAGTAGAGTCCTTGAGTTCTTTCCAATCTTTCCAAAGTAGACGGTTCTTCCACCTCGCGCAAGGAACAGGAGGCGGTCAAATTCCTGGAACAGGATAGCGCTTGGCTGGTGGACAGTGCAAAGTACCGCTTGACCAGCGTCAGCAAGCTTACGCAAGAAGGCGCAGATAGCCCAGGAGCTCTGTGAATCAAGGCCGCTGGTAGGTTCATCGAGAAAGAGAAGGAGCTTCGGTCTGGCAGCAAGTTCGACGCCAATAGTAAGAAGTTTGCGCTGCTCAACATTCAATCCTTCGCCAGGGATGCCAACAATAGCATTAGCGAAATCTCCCATGTTTAGCATGTCGATGACTTTCTCGACGAATTCATATTTCTCTTCCATGCTCACAGATGCAGGCTGGCGAAGCATGGCGCTGAATCGCAGGCTCTCACGGACGGTGGCGGTGTCCAAATGCAAGTCTGTGGCAAGGTTAGTGGTAAGTGGTGTGACTTAGTCAGAGACTTACCTTGTTGCTGAACATAACCTGTCTTGCGCTGGAAGCTAGCATCCAAAGGCTTCCCATTGACAAACATGTCACCAGTGATGACACCCATCGTGGTTCGCTGTGCCAGTACATCAAGGAGGGTCGTCTTTCCAGCGCCACTGACACCCATTAGTGCCGTGAGTGTGCCGGGCTGAACCCAGCCAGATACGTGATCCAACAAGCGTCTGGGCTCTCCCTTGATTTCAATATCATAGACGACGTCCCTCCAAGTGAAAATGTCCTTCTGAGGTTCCATGGCCTGAACACTCGAGCTTGGCTCGGATGGCTTAGTTTGTGAATGTTCGGCGCCCTTCTCCTCATCCGTTGCTGTTTGGCTATCGTTCTCTTGGAGATACTCCGGGACATGGCCACGTTGGAAGACGAGCACCTCTGCCGTGCTGGTAGTACTCGAATTACACTCAGTTGCCCAAAAGTAAATCCCCATAAGTCCAAACAAAAATGCAAGCAGGATGCCAAAATTTCGCCAAACATGAGAGTAGTAGTACTGGTAGCTTTTTGCAATGTAGTCGTCTCCACTCACAGTACGACGACCGGCAATCGAACCTACGGCTGAGCAGATCCATGAGTCTCCGACAAGCGGAGTGTATGAAGGAATGATCTCCGAGCATGTGAATTCTCGTCCGTGGAATTCGTTCGCAATCAAGATCTCAAAGGCGTAGAAAATGGGGTTGACGTAGCGGATCCACGAAAACCAGTCCTTCATCTGAGGCACTGAGACGACGTACCCGGTGTACATGACAAGCGCTAGGCTAAGAACACCTGCAAGTGCCATGGCTTGGGAAATTGTCTTTGTAAGGGCAGCCATGGTTCTGAATGCGGCGCTCATCACAAAAGTGGTGATGTAAGTAATGAGGAAGAATATAAAGAACTGCGCTGGCTCCCTTCGTAGGCCAGCCATGAAATAGAGGATCAGGTTGAAAACCACCGAAGAGCAGAACTTGATAGGGATTTCGGCGATGATTCCAGCGATAGCCTCACAGCATGGATGATAAAAGGCGTACGAAGCGTGTTTCTCGACGACCGGGCGTTGGGCGTAGAGACTGTTAATCTCTGCGATGGTGCTGAGTGCGCTAAGTAATATACCCATAAACAACACTGCACCTTTTGACGAGAAACCGACCGTGGCATCAGGAGTGTTGAAAAACACAGAGCCTAGCACTAGCGATAGCACAACGTTGATGAGAATGTTGGTAGCCGTTGCAGCTATGTCTCCCATGATACGCTGGTAGGCTCGCTTCGTGCACAAGCCGATTTGTTGTATTACACTAAGAGTGTAGGGAGATTTGGGGCGAACATGCTTTGCCTGAGCATAGTTCTTCTGGTTGCGAAGTTGGACCAGGCTCTCGTTCTGGCCACCGGGGGGATAATTTCGCTCGTAAACCTGCATGTCTTCCATGAGAGCTTGGTACTCAGGCGACCGTCGCCAATGTTGCTCAAATTCTTCGGGTGTCCGAGGGACCTTATCTTCCATTCCTGTTTGAGCCCTCCGTTCTTGTGGATTAGTGACGGACGTGAGGAAGTCTCCAGTTGTTTGGCGCTGTGGGCAATGCCAACCCTGCCTTTCAAAAAATGACTTTGCTGCTGTGGCCGGCCCAAAGTATATTTGGCGACCCTCGTACAGGACTGTAGCCTTGTCGAAGATATCGTAGATGTCCTGACTGGCCTGGTAGATTGCGACAGCGTTTGCGGAACCGCCCAAGTCGGACGCTAGGCGCAAGGTTTGCACAAACTTCAGCGCCGTTGCTGAATCGAGGCCGCGCGTGCTAGGTATATCAGCATGAGCTGCAGGATTCTGAAGTCTAAAGGTGTTTGAGGGTGTTACCTGTTGTCCCAAGCGCAAAACGGAGATCCAGAAAGCATCATTTCTGCAATGCTGACGCGCTTCCTTTCTCCTCCCGACACACCTCGGATGAAGTCGTTTCCAACCTTTGTGTTGTACGTATGGCTCAGACCAAGGACAGCCATGACAATCTGAACGCAATGCTTGCTCAATTCGTTTCGAGACATTCCACTAGAGGTTCGGACAGGGAGTCGGGAACGGGATGCGAACTCGAGTGTTTGTCCTACGGTAAGGTGAGGAAAGTGCTTTTCAACCTATAGCCGTCTGTAAGCATCAACATCGGCCAGCTGTCCGGACATCACGTACTTCCTGATTATAAACAATCTCTCCCTTGAATTCCGTCATCATCCTGTCCTGTGAAATGCCGTTGTAATGAACTTTCGAATCTTCGCCGATATGGAGCCCAAATAATTCTCCGCACATTGTTTTCAAGAGAGTGCTGCATCCCGATCCTGGTCGTCCGAGCACAATGAGAAGCTCGCCACTCTGGAGAACTCCATTAAAGTTGTGCAGGATATGCCTAGCTTGCTTTTTGCTTGATCTGAGGAGTTCGCGGAATCGCATGGGAGCCAGGAAGTAACTACCAACAGTCTGTTGTATCTGCAGGGCGGATCCTCTTCCGTAAACATCCAGACTCCTGTATAAGATTCCCGTGTTTTTGGGTGTGCCATCTTGATCGTGAAAATTGTTGAGGAAGCTGCGTAGCCACTTGACTGGGTCGAAGCTTCCACTCTGCACGTCCAAGGCGGGATCACCTTGTACATCAGAGGAGGTGGACCCTTGTGCAATACTTTGCTTCCTTTGTGAAATAATAGTCGCGACTCGCCGTAATTCACCTTCACTTGCATCTCCTATCGACGGGCGGTTCATCCCAGTTCCCTCGCTGCTTAGAGGAAAGTTGTCGTGCTCTTTATTCGGGTCAGCCTTTCCTTCAGTGTCACGTCCCTGAGTCTGAATAGTACCTTTGATAGAAGTATTTTGATAGTGCCTCCCATATTCCTGGGTATGATCATCGTCCATTGCACTGTCTTCGAACATAGCCGGTGAAGAGAGCGTGGCTGTTAAAGCACAAGAAATTGATTCTCGATGAACTGATGCAAGAAGAGCGTGGCGAGATGCATATGGAATGTAGAGGGCAGGTTATTGAAATGTGGTAGAGGGATCACTTAAATGCCTTGTATGACAGTGGCTGAGGTTTAACACGACCTTCCATCGTCGTACAACAATCAGTTGAACGCGGAGAAGGATGACGCCTTCATCTTCCGGGCACTGATCACCGCTACAGCTGCCATCAACTACTAAGCCTAGCCGCGTCTATGATAACTGTATCGTTCCTCTCCACATGAGCCGCAAGTGTCCACGCTTTCCTGTCGACTCGACTCATTTAGAGGGATACCGCACTAAGTTGCCCTTGTAGGCCTTATCGAATGCATTCTGAGCCACAATGACGTGATCGGACCTTTCCCTTTCTTCAAGAGTTTTGTCCGTGTACAAATCTACATATGTGAACCCCCTGCAAAGTCCAGACATGGAAGTAGGAATTGAGCAAGGAGGAACTTTCGCCCGGAGAACTTTGGCATCAACAACTCGTACAATGTCCTATGATGCCAGCCGGAAGCGGATGTGTGGATTGAGCATGGCCTTGGCAGGGTGATTGTCGGGGACTCGGACGTCTCGTGTTCCGGTTCAGGTATTTTCGTACAACCACCGATCGGGCCGACCGCAAACGAATATGTACACGGCGCTTGGCATTTGGCAGTGAGGATGTCGAATATCGGGACTTATAGTATGCCGATACCGATTTCCTCCTGAAATTTAGATCTACAGCGTAAGACTACCCAGCAATCTGACCAGCAGTTGTATCTTAGTGTTATGTTAATGATCACGAGCGAATACAAGAGGATGGTAACTTGCAAACTACACAGATGCGCAATATATATGTCCTGGCATCAATTGAAGGCTGACTCCAGTCACAAATCTAATTTTGTTATGACCCCCTCGAGCGAAGGCCAATATTCATTTTACGAAAATATCGGCAATACTTGCTTGAACACGCTCAGAGCTTCTCATTCCCACTAGTGAACGATGTAGCGCGATAGATCAGCAATTGCTTGTTTATCGAGTTTTGCATGGACATGGCTCAAAAGCTCGAGCATCGTGTCCTTGGTTTTGTTGCTACTTGGCGGCTTGAACATGTAGGACGTTCCGCAGATGTCGGATGTAGAAGATATCTGACAGGCGCTATAAGTAAATCGTTGATGAAAAGAGTGTGCGATGTATGAGGAATTCATACTGGGTTAGTATCCTTAGCATACGACAGGTGAAGGCAACGGAGAGATGTGGAAGTACGCATAACGGAACCATATGAGAGATCTGCGCGCCTAGATACCGGGATTCAGCGGCAGTTGACCAGGTGAAAGCAGGACTGAAGCGCTCCAGAAAGTTGTGGTACTTTGAACGCTGCTTCCAGCGTCGATTCTTCAACCTACCATTAAGTCTTGGTTAATCTGTGAATCTCCTCAAAGTAAAACTTGAGGTCGTCTGGCTTGACGAAAGGAGTGATACCATGACCGAGGTTCGCAATCCATCCCTGTTTGCCACCACCAAATCCAGCCACCATCTCCTCCACCACCTTTGTGATCGACTCCCTGCTCCCGTACAAAACGCCCGGGTCCGCATTACCCTGGAGAACCTTGCCCTTTGCTTGCGCAACCTTGTATGCCTCCGCAGGCGCATGTAGCCAGTCAAGACCAATGGTGTTGTATTTGGTGTTGCAAAGATCGTCCAGCGCATACCACGCTCCCTTCGCAAAGACGGTCATGGGAACAGGCTCAAGGCCCTTTGATTGGAGACGCGCGGGCAGGTTGTCGGCGATGTAGTTAAGGTAGGGAAGCGCAAAGGTCTTGAAGCATGACGGCGACAGCTCACCCGCCCAGGAATCGAAGACTTGGATCATCTACACGTGTCAGTGCACCACTTCGGCCCTGCTTCGGACAACATACCTGTGCTCCGGCCTGGACTTGGAGAGCCAGGTACTCGACGCAAAGTTCGGCAATCTTCTGCAGCAGCGCTTTGCTCTCCTCGGGGTACTTGTAGATCCACGTCTTGGTCTGAATGAACATCTTGCTGCCACCTCCCTCGACCATGTAGCACAGCAGCGTCCACGGCGCACCACAGAAGCCAATCAGTGGCACCCTGCCTGCCAGTTTCTGCCTGGTCATAGTGATCGCCTTGTAGACATAATCTAGCGACTCTGCTACATCCACCTTCCTCTCGAGAACCTCCTTGTACTGCTTGTCCTCTGGCGTTTGAAGCGGGTCGGGGAAGTGCGGGCCCTTTTTGTCCACCATTATGACTTCCATGCCCATTGCCTGTGGGATTACGAGGATGTCGGAGAAGATGATGGCGGCGTCGATGAGGCCGGCGTAGCGCTCGATGGGCTGGAGGGTGAGGGTCGAGGCAATCTCGGGGCTGCGACAGCACTCGAAGAAGTCATTCTTGCCCTTTGCTTCGTGGTACTCGGGGAGGTAGCGGCCGGCTGCACGTCGTCAGCATGCAATAGACATGTTATGGAGCATGCTTACCTTGTCGCATCACCCATATCGGCGGGCGCTCGACTTTTTCGCCTGCAGAGGGTCAATTCAGACTGTTTGTAGGCGAAGCAGAGAAGGGGTCTTGACCTCTCGCTGTGCGCAGAATGAGGTCATTCTTCATGGGCTCGAATTGGGGAGCCATTTCTGCTGTGGATGAAAGTTGGATGCATGTCATCGGCGTCGTAACTTTGTAGTTCCGAATACCCCGCGCGTGCAGCTTCGACGCTAACTGCATCGAGACGCGTTCCTGCATCCCCTACCATTGCGCTTGACCCACATCCCTCTAACGCCAATCCTACTCCGAGGATGCTTCTTAGACATGTCCGGTATTCGACATGTCATGACTTGGCGTGCCGGTGCAACCCACGTCACTTCATCCGCCGAGCCTACAGTACAGCCTCAGCTTCAAGCCTCTCGTCCCTAAGCTCGACGCGACCCATCGCGAAACCACGTGCCACACATGACATCGGTCGAACGAGTCTTGCACTATCGCAATGCCGCGGCGCGAAGAGGACGTCTGCAGTGACTCTTGACCAACTTCAACAAGGGCCTCTAGAAGCCGAGGCGCTGCCGCCGCAAGATGATGCAGAACCGGAATATCCGCCGCTGTTGCAGCAAGTACGCAACAACATGCTCAAGTTTAGTCACTGTGTGCTAGTCACACGCGTAGGCGGCTTTTACGAGGTGTGCAAGTAAGCCATTACCTCGAACTAGTGCTGAGGGATCTTATAGCTATACTTTGAGCACGCAGACGAATTTGCGCCGTTGTTGAACATCAAAAAGTCCAAGCGAAGAGTTTCCAAGGGAAGCAAGAAGCCTGCGATCTCCATGGTTCGTAGTGCATGTCAGAAACCAATTACAATGCTGATACCATCAGGCTGGTTTCCCTGCCTATCAACTAGACAGATATCTGAAGATACTGGTTCAGGATCTCAACAAGCATGTCGCGATTAGTGACGAATTCCTCAACGATGCACCAACAAAAGCAAAAGGCGAATCGCAGTACACACGTAGAGTGTCGCGCATCGTAACACCAGGCACTCTTATCGACGAGCATTTCATGGATCCATGGGAGAACAATTATCTTCTTAGCATCCATGTCAGCCCTGAAGTAATCACACAAGAGGAGGTCGTGAACCAGAGTCCTGGCAGCTCCAGTGTGCCATCTGTCCTCAACCTCCCGCGCACGGAGGTCGGCCTGGCCTGGATCGATCTTTCAAGCGGTGACTTCCTCACGCAAAGCACAGACATTGCGTCGTTGCCGTCAGCAGTAGCCCGTATCAAGCCTCGAGAGATTGTGCTAGACAGTGTCTTCCAAGAGCAGAACCATTCGCGAATCGTTTCTATTTTGCAAGAAGACGGGCATATTATCACGTTCCAAGACCCCCTAGGGGTGCCACTTACTGTCAAGGACTGGAAATCTATGTTGGAAGATGTAGTGGACGACTATGACATAGGCGACTTCACTCCAAGTGAAGTCGCTGCGGGAGGGTCGCTATTGCATTACGTCAAGTACCAGCTGCTCGGTTCGCGCAGTCGACTTCGTGCGCCAGTACGGCATCAAGCCGAAGAGCATATGAGCATCGACAAGAACAGTCTAAGGGCGCTGGAGATCCGAGCTACCATCCGGGAAGGTACCTACGAAGGAAGCTTGCTGCATGCGTTAAAGAAGACAATCACAAAGAGTGGCACAAGACTGCTTACGCAGCGGCTGTGTAAGTCAGTCTTTATGGTCGACAATATTGTATTGCTAACATTTCCAAGCTGCACCATCAATGTCACTATCAACCATCAACGACAGACTAGATCTCGTCGAAGAGATGATACAATACCCGCAACTCCGCCAAGACATCAGGTCGCTCTTAGAACAGACCTTCGACACTTTGCGCTTAGTAACTAAGTTCACTTACGGTCGTGGTGACGCTGACGATCTGATCGAGTTGTCAAAAACTATCCCTACCACCGCCTACATCGTGGACGTACTGCACGAGCATGTAAAATCTAGGATATCCATACCCGTCGATCCCACATCAGCGGCATCAGAGTATCGAAGAAGGGAGTGCATATCCATGCTTGAACGTCGATTTGATCTAGTACAACCACTCGAGCTCGCGAACCGCATACAGGATGCCATCGATGAAGAAGGTCTGTCTGAGTATCACCGCATGGAAAGTGAAGAAGCCGAGGGGATGTCAAATCTGGCTCAGGATGTTGTTGGCCGAGAAGCCGGAGAAGAAGATCTGAAGGAGTTGCCACAGCGCATTCAGCCAAAGCTCAAGATGATCACTGGGAGCTTCAAGCCCGCAACAGACGGCAGAGAAGATGTCCACATAATGAAACGGAACGCCAGTCCAGCACTCGAGCGTCTCCACAAGAGCTTGGATAAGATGGCAAAGGAAAAGAGCAAACTAGAACAAGAAATGCGCCAGAGGATGGCAACAGACAGCCTCGTACTAAAATGGACACCGAACCTCGCGCACATCGCTCACGTTAAAGGCAAAGACACTGCCCGCACCACCGCCTTCTATCCCCGCAGCTTATCATCCAGCAAATCCACACGCTCGTTCCAAATCCCGGAATGGACAAACCTAGGCGCGCAAATGGATGAAACACGTTTTCGCATTCGAACAGAAGAACAACGCGTCCTGTCTTCCCTGCGCGAAGACGTCATCAAAAACCTCGTCAAACTACGACGCAATGCCGCCATCCTCGACGACCTCGACGTAGCATGCGCTTTTGCCATACTCGCTGTGGAGAAGAACTTTGTCCGCCCAATCCTCAGCGCAGAACCCGCACACAACATCGTCGGTGGCCGCCACCCCGTCGTAGAAGCCAGCCTCTTATCCCAGGGCCGCAGTTTCGCACCAAACGACTGCGTCCTCGGTCCCCGCTCACGTATCCACCTCATTACCGGGCCCAACATGGCTGGTAAATCGACATATCTGCGTCAAAACGCCTTGATCTCCATCTTGGCGCAAACCGGCTCTTTCGTACCAGCGACTTACGCGGAGATCGGCCTTGTAGATAAAATCTTTTCCCGTGTGGGTTCGGCTGATAACCTCTACCAAGACCAGTCCACATTCATGGTCGAGATGCTAGAAACCGCTCAGATACTCAAGGAAGCTACGCCCCGATCTTTCGTCATCATGGATGAAGTAGGTCGGGGTACTACGCCGGAAGATGGCGTCGCGGTCGGCTTTGCTTGTCTCCATCATTTATATAATGTGAATGGGGGTAGGGTGTTGTTTGCGACGCATTTTCACGCACTGGCGGATATGACGGAGGGAAAAGGCTGGGAGGATCTGAGTTGTTGGTGTAATGATGTTGTTGAGGATGGGGACGGTAGTGGAAGGTGGGCTTATGTGCACAAACTCAGGAGGGGGGTTAACAAAGAGAGCCACGCGTTGAAGGTTGCAAGGGTTGCGGGGATGCCAGAAGGAGCGATTGAAGTAGCTAAGGAGGTTTTGGAGGGGCTGAAGGGTGGCAAGGCGAAGGTGCATGGGCAATGATAACGTCAGAATAGCCAGGTAAACACTGCGAACAGTTCATCCTTGACGCTCGCATGCTTCTCTGAACAGAAGTCTTGTATGCCAACTCGAATTCTCCTCCCAGCATCGTGTCCTGTCCTCCTTCCTCGGGTACCTCACACGAACTCTGCTTGGCACGCGTTAATAACGCCATCTGATGTAACGACACCATCTCGTGACAGCTTGCGACATGCATTTCAGCGCTAGATCGAGCTCTGACAGAGGGCTTGGGTCGTACAGATACTCTGCATACGGCGAAGATCATCGTGTATTGCAATCTATCGCTATTTGCGTCACGCGGGAAGAGGTGGGACGACGTGGCTGTGCAGGAACAAGATATCTGAAGCGCTGTGAGCATGCGAGGTGATGAAAAGGACACTGGCATTGACATGTGTTGTTGTTGTTGAAGGAATGTCGTGAGACTGGTGTTCAGATTACCTTTCTACCCCACCTTTACCCGCTCTATCTTGCCCATTAGGAAGGCGTGTGATCTTTTGTATTCTCCAACCTCGATACATCGTCTTATCTTTACTTTTCTTACTCCTTCAGACACCTAGTCCTGAAGGACATTGAACAAGTAAGCTTCACGAGTGTATCAAGAAAACTCTAATCTTGAGATTACGACAATCATGGGTGAAGCGCCAATTACCCCACCATCGTCATCGTCACAACGTGCCCCACCTCCGCTACCTAGAACCATAAGTCCAAGTATCACACTCCAACCACCGCTTTCTAGACGCGGAAAAGGACCTGGACTGGTGCTTGTGTTGGATCACTATGCGGCGAGAGAAGCCAAGGACGGGTGTTTAGATCCACCGCCACTACAGAAATGGGCCGAGGAGGGGTTTGCAGTCGTGCAGGTATGTTTTGGGAGCGATTGCGACGGAAGCGGAGGGCCAAGTTGATCCAAGGTACTAACGCTGATTACCTGTAGCTGCTAGTCCCTGGCAAAGTTGAAGACGGTGGCGAATTTCCTCTCCAAAAAGCCCTAGAAGCGTTGAAGAACTGCAAAGGATGCGAATTCAGCAATGGTGTTGGACTGATATGTTAGTCAACTCCTTTCTAAGCAATGACGATCATTTGGCGACAAACTGACCATACCCTGCAGCATACCTATCAAGAACTCCATATTACGTTGAAGAAGCCGCCGGTAGCACTCCAGACATCAAAGCTCTTGTCTCCTACGGTGGCGGAAAGTTCACCACCATCGGCTCAACACCACTTCCACCCCAATTGATACACATAGCGGGGCTGCCAGATACTCGTCGTCGTGAATCGTGTTCACTGGTCCCAGGACCATCTTCAGAAGATACGACACCACTCCCGGAGAACGTCATCAAGTCTTACCGATACGAAGATGCAAAGAAAGAATCCGGATGGGTACTTCCAAGCGATGAGGACTACCACAAGCGAAGCGCAGGCATTGCGCACACGAGGAGTCTGACCTTTTTGAAGCCTTTGCTTGGTGGACCATTCTTCGACCTGGAGGCTGTGTGGGAAGAGCATACGAAATTCGAGTTTGGGGAGAGAGATGTTGCGAAAACAATGGCTACAATGGTGGACCAGCCGTATGTCAATCACATACCGACCATGACGTACGTATCCATCCAGCACCATTATTGAGCGTCAACACCGTGTCGGAATACGATATGCTAATAACTAGGCAGCGGAGGGGTGGGCCAAGAGCGACTCACAGCCTTTTACACTCACCACTTTGTTTTCAGCAACCCGCCCGATACCGCCCTCTCTCTCGTCTCACGCACCGTAGGCATCGACCGCGTGATTGACGAATTCATCTTCACCCTCACACACACTAGAGAAGTTCCTTGGCTTCTACCCGGTATCCCTCCTACCGGCAGGCCTCTCGCCATTCCCTTCACCAGCGTCGTTGCCATGCGCGGCGATCGACTGTGTCACGAGCATATCAGCTGGGATCATGCGACGGCGCTCAAACAGTTGGGGCTATTGCCGGAGTATGTCCCTTTTCCATTCGAGATTGAGGGAGAGGCCAGGCCGGAGGGGAAGAGGTACGAGGTCAAGTTGCCGGTTGTGGGTATGGAAGGGAGTAGGAAGTTGGTGGATGAGAGTTGTGAGGAGAGCAATGCTTTGATGGGTGGTAGATGGCGAGTGGTTGACGATGTTTGATGAGAAACTCTCAAGGGATAGGGATGGATAAAGGCATGTCTTGTGGCTCACAGGCTATGCGCACCATCTCCTAACGGTTGATATCGTTATCATCGGCCATGTCTCAGTCACGCTGGACATTCTGGAGGTGATCAGCGCACTACGCGAAGCTGCGCACAAAGCGATGGATCGCAAGTCGTGGTTTCTTCGGAGAAATGTAGAAGCAGTTGGCGTGGAGTGCGCAGATCAATGCTATTCTCGGTGCCGCAACTAGTACTAGCGTCCAGGCGGTGTTTGCAGGGGTGTGCGAACATCCTTCCAGAAAGGTTCCACCATCGTTCATCAGCCAGACATCCTTCCAGAAGTTCACCGAGGAGAGCTAACACTCACTTTTGTCGGCTACTAGCGTTAGCCATGCCACTTCGTAAACCCCATACTAAATCACGTAATGGTTGCTTGCCTTGCAAGAAAAGACATATCAAGGTTTGAGCAAGCTGTGCCCTTGCGCAACTACAGTGCTTACTGATCACGTCAACATAGTGCGGGGAAGAAACACCTACATGCCAGAATTGCATCTTTCGACGAGTAGATTGCGCGTATGGATCAAATGCTAAACCCAGTCGACATGATCTCTCCAGAGCTTCAAGTTCGGAAGCTACCGGATCCCCAACCCGCTTCCCGCTTGAAGAGCCACCATGGCCAGCAGGGAAGCTTCGCGCACATGATACAGCATTACAATCAACGATTGGTGTTTCGAGACGACAAGAGCTGCAGCTGATGGTCTACTACATAAACAGAACGAGTCGAACCCTAGCACATGACGCCGCAGAACTTGTCGCCTGGACGGAAGCCATCCCAGAAGAGGCTGTGCAGTACGATTTCCTAATGGATGGGCTCTTGGCAATGGCGTCGCTTCATTTCGCATTCTACAATCCGGACTCGCGTAGGCAATACACCGAATTCGCGATACGATATCAGAACGAGGGATTGCAAAAGTACAACGACACTCTGGGAGATATCAACGACACAAACTGTACTGCTCTCTTTGCTTTCTCCATTCTTATAAATGTCATGGCCATCGCTTTGCCAAATGCAGATCCGAGTTCTGCAAATTCAGCGCATACCGAGAGCCTGATGACCACGCTTGAACTAGGGCAGGGTATAGGAATCATACACTCCAAATCCGTTACCCTCCTGACCAATGGAAAACTGGGATCATTCTTCCGACCCTCACCAGGAGACTTGGACCCGGACGATGAGACAAAAGCCGCGTTGGAAAAGCTTCGTCAACATACAGATAGCCTTCTGCATTCCAATTCCATCGACGAAGAGCGCCATGCTGTCTATGCCTCAGGAATCCGGTGTCTTGGAGTCGTTTTCGGATACATGACGAGCTCGAATCATTTAGGGCGCGTCATTGGCTGGCCTGCGATGATTTGGCCAGAGGAACACAGAGAGGCGCTCATGAGGTTGATCCGAAACGGCGATATCATGGCTCTTACCATTTTCATGCATTACGGTGTGCTTTTACTCCATATCCGGCATCTTTGGTGGGGGGCGCGTACGGGAATTAGCCTCATCGAGGACCTGGCGATCTCGGTACATGCTGCAGGTCCTAGTTGGGGTGCGCTGACCGAGTGGCCAAGGGGAGTCGCTAGGCGAATTGAAGATGGTGGGCGAGGCGCTTTCCAGTTTGACGACTCGTTGCCGGGAAGACTCGCGTAACAAGTTTTCTTCGCCGCAGAATCGACTCTCCAATTACATCAAGGACTCTAACTCTCCATATGTACTTGGAATAATTTGGAAGCGATAGGTGACTATACTGGTTCAGATTTCACAGTGGGATGAAGAAGGAGGTGCTTCAAACAAGACCAAGATGACATACAAGGATTGCGCCACGCGAAGGTTCTATTCTAGGCGGTTGTCCCGGCCGTGTAACATCTGCTTTCGCAATCAGGCAGGTCAAAAATAACTATACGAATCCGTCGGTGTAAACAACTCAGCTCAGCGCAGGGAATAAACCGATATTACTCGCCGCACCGCCCTCCCTCGACCCTTGCTCAGCAGCGCTGTGATCTCACTTGGATGAACCCAAGCCATCCAAACCATTGTAGCGAACATGAGCACAGCGTCGAACACGTAAAGGAAGACCTCGTGGGATATGAGATACCCGTCGTTACCCTGTGCATACTCAATGAGTCGGAAGATGCATCGCACGAGAATAAGTAAGCTGGCTACGTAGAGTGCATACAGCTGTCTTTCCCATGGCAACGACTGGGAATATACTTTTGACGTCGGCTGTTGGACCATACGGGCATGGAAGATGACGCCGGTGACGATGAAGAAGCCGAAAAAGAGAAGCTGCACTACTAGGCCGGCAATAATAATCTTCTCTCCGGTATGCACAGCTTCAATGGTGCCACTTGCCATTATACCCCCACCTAGTGTCCATGCGTCAGTCTTCGCTGTCGATTTAGACCCTGGAGATTGGAAAAATACGTACCGGCTCCCTGCATCATGAATGAGATTACATCCCCCGTTACGAATGACTTTGTGAGCCATTTCTTGGGTATGAGTGAATGTGACTCGCCGTCTGTCACCAAGATGATGCGGCCGAGCATCATGTAGATGCTTGCCGCGAATAGGGCGGGCGCAACCAGAAGGAGGATAGTCGAGAGTGAGTAGACAGCGACGGACCAATTGGGCGACTCTTGGGCGGAAATGGCTCTCTGTAAAACACACACGTCAGTTTTGTCGTCCTTTTTAGGCCACAATTTCTCGCACGTACCCCGATATACCCGATAACCTCGACTGCAACAAATTATTAGTCAATCTCTTCACGGCGAACGCAAAAAATGGGTGTAGCTTACAAACGCCGCCAATAACGAAAGGGATGAAGATCCAAGTCCGGGTTCGCATCATTTGATAAAAGTGCAATGCTGTGATGAGGAAGAATAGGATAATAAAGATGACGGCAGCTGCCATCGAAGGATTGTAGCGGTAAAGCTTGAAATCGACGGTCTCTTCTGCCATGATGATATCGCTAATTGAAGATAATACGAAGAGGAGTGGGTGTTGAAGGTGTAGAAACGTGCAGTAAAGCAAAGCGAACAACGTTTTTTGGAAGTCTATAATTCAAAGTACCTAATCAACCTGTCCTATTTGTAACGTTGGGACCAGATTATCTACACACGTTCCGCAGGCTGAGCCATCTAGTACAGTATTCCACGGTGCGTATGCGTATTATATGATACGCCCAGGTGCAATTTCTGCTAGGGTTGCGAAACCGCAGTACATCGTCCGGGTAATTCTGGGCGACCTAGCGATAAGGTTCGGGCTGAAGACCGGGCTAAGGATAGTCGCTACATTAGCGGGCCCACTGCGCATGGGGCGTATGCGTATGCGTGTGCGTATGCGTATCGCCCCACTTGGTACGAAGTACGCAGCGGGTCTTCCCGATGTCATCAGACTTGTGCTTTAGTGTGGTTCATAGATGGGATGGCTTTTCGAGGAGACTTTAGGATAAATCTTTGTTGCGTAGGTTTAAGGTATGTGCAGGTACGACTGGAAGATTATGTCCTGAGGCAATATCTAATCGTTTCAACCATAAGAATGATATTCATAGTGTGCACCGTTGCTTTCCGGACTCCCTTGCTGCTAGTTGTACTTATACATTGGCACACAGTATGATTATCAAAGCTTTCTGTGTGATCTAGTTGTATTTCTACGTCGTACCGTCTTGGAAAATACTGTGATATATCTACACATAGTTGGAAGTGACTCTGATGAGGAATGGTAGAGAGGATCCGCCTGTTACAAGCAACAAAAGGAACTCCACCCTTGATGAAGGAGTCGGGGCTGAACGCCAACCGACGACCACGTCAGAAGGTAATAATCACCGCGGGGCGATAATCACGTGACTAGCTTCACGCCAAGCAAGAACGACCCCACTATTATGTAAGGACAGGTCCGCACGTAACCAGACATCTTTAGGTCTTTAGAAGATACAAGAATTAGTATATAAGGACAGTGAAGATAAGTATAGATTGCAATAGGTATAAAGGATAAACAGATTTTATTATTACACTTATTATAGTTAACTTAAATAGTTTATCTCTTACACAGATTATTAACTAGTTATTCTATTATTTATAGAATTAGTATTGTTTATCCTTTTAGTTACAA